TACAGAGACCTGCAAGACCGTCAGAAGATCGGCGCGTTTATGAAGAAGCAGAACTGATCGATCTACCTCTCTCTCTTTTTTTTTTTTTTTTAAAAGAGGTTGTACATCAAGAACTGAGTCCATTACGAACACCTAAGTCCTGGTGATTGGTGACACAACAGCATCCTGTCGCATCTGGTCAGTCAGTTTGTAACTCTCAAGATATAAGATTCAAGATTCCCCATTTAAAGAGATAAGTACATTTAAAAACTGCTTAAAGATCTTTGCCACATTTTCGTTCTCTTTTGTATATTTCTCACCCATCATGATTTTATGTCACAGCAGCAGAAACAATGAACATGAGCGAATGAATGATGCATCCAATGCAAAGCGCTTTGAGGGTCTCTGATAAAGTGCTATATGAAATCGGACGCATTATTATTATAACTATTTAACATGGATCAGCCTCCCAGGATAGTCCCAATGAAAGGAACCACACAGTCAGTTTTGTTTCCCTCTTCTTCAGACCTTGCAATAAAAGAGAATCCTGCTTTGGGGGGTTTAATAACAGTTATGCTTTTGACGCAGTTTTCCCCTTTTTTGCCTACTGCTAATTCTTTTTGGGGGATTTTGTTTGATTTCGAAAAAATAGTTAATTTTTTACACCCACCCATTAATTTTTTGCACTGGAAAGAATTCCTTCGTCATCCGTTCCCACAGCTCACCTACAACAGCCCATGTGGGACAATAGATGCATTCAAGTATGAATAGCTGGCAGCATCCTAAAATCTTGTGAACAGGGTGAAGGGATATTCCAATAAATTTACAGTCAGTCACATCAAGAGCATTCAAGGTCAATTTTTCGCCCGGGGCCTTTGTGCATTTTTATGTTTCCCTCTGTTCTGACCTCTGCCCCAAGTGCAACCTCCACTCATCTATTTCTTATAAGTTCCCAGAAACTGGAACTTTCTGCTTTTCAAAGATGGAGGATTTTATCTCAGAGAATCAAAGAACTCGATGGATTTGAGTCTCGAAACACAACATCGTATAGCTAACCGAGAGGACTGCTCTGATAACAAGGTCATTTCTGTTTTCTTCTAGTAAATGGGCAGTCACTTGTGATAAATGATTTGATCTCAAACTGATCATACATCGTGTATGTGTGTGTTTGTGTGTGTGTGATATCTGTCACTTCAAGGCTCCCAGCACTATTATAACGAGCATACGGTTGGCATCACACACGGCTCCTATTAACCCATCGGCTTTTTTTGTGTCTGAAAGATTGTGTGTTGGTATCTTGGTCTCCATTGCTGCAATTGTATACACACATTTCTTCGTAGGCATGCGAGCATCCTTATCCACTAATGGTGAATGTAAGTGTTTTACTCATGTTTTAATATCTGATTATGAGCAGTGAGTCAGGGAGAGGATGAGGCAAAGTCTTTGGCTCAGAGCTACAACTTGAGTGCCGCCCCACTCCCCTTATCTGGCCACATCATCCGTCTTGAACGTGCCCGCACCCTCCGGTCACTGTCCTATACTTTTTTCGCGGTCAGTGCCCCGAGAGAAGTTAGCCATGCACCCAGAAAAACCCCTCACACACTCCCACAGCCGCTCAATCAGGACTATTCATGGCAGACACTATAGGCCGACAAAGAACAGAACATTATGCTCGATGTAAGGGTGAGCCAGAGGTGAGCGAGAAACCCCAGGAAGTCCTGGTTCAGTTTCACAGAGGCTTTCACTGCAGGGAAAAAAATAACAGACACAATGAGATGTTTCAAGTGGAGCTTCAGTCTCTGAAGAACTGCAGAGAAACATCCCGACAATCCCACACTCCCCTCCTTGCTCTGATCCCTCTCTCCTGCTACAACAAGATTCATGAGTGGCTCCTGCAGATATCTAACCTGGCAAGCATATAAATGTGTGTGCGTGTGCAATGTGTATGCGTGTGCATGTGTGTGTGTGTGTGTGTGTGTGGGTGTGAGTGTGTGTGTTCTTCAGGCCATCCCGCGGGGGATACGTGCGTCTCGTCTGTGAGTCACAGGCAGGGTCTGTGTCTGTGTAAGAGTCCATCAGAACACATCAGCATCAACATCCCCCTTGATCACCTCAGGCACACACACACACACACACACACACTTGTATTGTACATCGTCAAACCTCCCCGAGGCTATGTGCTACCCCACCCCACCCCCACCCACACACACATACACACACACACACAAACACACACATCCCCTCAGGCTTAAACCTCAGTTTCTCTCCTCTTCCCACTTTCCATGTCAGACTGACTGTCCCCTCACACTGGACAACTGCAAGCATATGCCACTCACCCGGGGAAACACAGAGAGCTGTCCTATGAATAAGAAACTACATAAAACACACACAGTCAATGTCTCTCTCTCTCTCTCTCTCTCTCTCTCTCTCTCTCTCTCTCACTTACACACACAGACATCTTTCACCAATGAGAGACTAACGATGAATAAATGATATGGAGTACCCAAATTTTGTTAAAATCAGTGCTAGTAAAGGGATCATTTGCATTTTCTAAGATGGAGTAGTATGAGGTACTTGTTAATAACATGTGTAAAATGTTCAGTAAATGATAGTCTGAAAAAGCAGGCCTCATGTTTCTACTAGTGACTATTTATAGAAACATATAAGCCTGTGGGGAAGTATGCAGCCATACTATTTCCTGGTTCAACCAAGAAACCGACCACTAAGGTTGAACACAGAAAGTTTTCCTTTTTTTTTGTTCACAGTTTGGATATGTTTCCTCTATTACTGATAGAGAGCAGGGGTTTATGACGTTGATGCAGATATTCAATAGAGGGAGCTCTAAATCATTTGGCCTCAAAATCCGTGGGTACTTGTGGCATTCACGGTAACACACAGCCTGTGATTCCTACAGTCTTTGGCTAACCAAAAGTGTCACATTGAAAATAAAAATAATAAAAAAAAAGTTAGTGTTGGTGTTGACTGTGTTGGGCCTTAAGAGATTAGACTGGCTGACTCAGAGACAGGTTGAATTAGGAGTTTTCCTGATAGTTGGATATAGAAGTAAATTCCTTCACTGCTTAGCAAGAACTGAATTATTTGACGTTTGTAATCCTCCTCCTCTTCAAAAATAAATAAATAAATAAATAAATAAATAAAAAAACACTTGAGACACATTGTCCCATTGTTGCACCTAGAGTGTCAGTGTTTAGATTCAACACACTAGTGAGTCCAAATCTGGGCCTTAGACTTGGTCATTGTAAAAAAAATTACTCGTGATATTGAATTCAGTGGTTGTGCTGTTAAGACGAATTAGTGTGTTTTGTTGTCTCTATCAGTGACTGCTCATCTGAAAAACTATTCTGATACAGTATACAAAGCTATTGTATGAAAGAAGACAGTGTTGAGGGCTGTCTCAGGGTGAATTTCCAAGCAATAACAGTGAGAAGAGAATGATATCTCAGAATAGAATTGGAAGAATTTTGTAGGAGGTGAGAAAACACTTTTAAGTGTTTATCTTCCAACAAGTGAAGAGAACAAGGTTTTTCATTTGTTGAAGATTCATCTCCTTTATACATTTTACAGTCTTATTCCCTGGGAGATTATGAACACAAATTATTCTTAAAGAGGACATACGGTCAGCAGGCATGTGCTGATAAACTGAGATAAAGCACGACAGGAAAACAGGGAGACAAAAAGAGGAGGGTGTGTAAACAGAGAGACAGACACACAGAGACAGGGGAGGGTAGAAACAGAGACAGACGAATAAAAACAGGGAAAGAGACAGAAACTGGGAGGTGAGAGTCATATAAACAGAGCAGAGCATGAAAACAGGGAAGTGCACTCTGAGTGGACGGCGGAGCTTTATTTGTGTGTGAATGCTTCAGCAAGGCTCTCTGCACTGAGGGTTATTATCTCTCTATGACACAGATGAATGGTACATTAGCATAAAGAAGAGCCTAATATGACACCTGACAGAGACAACTCACTTGCTTTTGCTTCATCACCTTTAAATAAGCTTTCCTCTACCTAAAACCAGGTCAAGACTTTTATTTCATGTGTGTTCATTAATGTAGTATACACACACTTTAAACATTTACTGCACAGTTTAGTACTAGCAGAGAATAAAGGCCTTAGTTTTTTTTTTTTTTTTATCAAGACAGATGTCAACGTGGTGTTCAGGGTGTGTGTGTGTGTGTGTGTGTGTGGAGGGAATAAAAGAGAATATAACAGCTCTGCAGAGCCTCACTTCACACTGAGTGTGAGGTAAGGGCCTCTGTATGGACTTGTGGCCTTGTTTGGAGTGTGTTGTTCAGTCAAGAGGCTCTCTAAAAACACACACATCCATCCACACGCATACACACGCTCATACACACTGGCTCACTACAAATGGTATCAATAGCTTTCTAGCACATGGAAAATGAGTGCATGTTTGGTGGGTGAAGGTCTTCCATCCGCTGATTGTTCTGCATTCCTGTTAACAATTTCCAGTGTGTGTATCCGTGATGTTTCCTGGCACGTGATGAGGGTTTTGGTGTTGACAGGGCTGTGTGCGTAGAGGGAAAGTCTCTTACTCTGGCTTAGCCCTGGGTTTCCGGGTCAGTCTCTACGTCTCTGCTGAACGTGTGGAAGTCACTTCTTGGCTACTTCCACGTCTTTGCTGACTCATCGAGCAGACAGCGTGTGCGTCCATAAAAATAGCAAGGGGATCCTTGGGTATGTGCGTATGAGGTGTCCTCCTGATGCAGTTGCGTAGTGCCAGTTAAGCACCTTTCAGCTGGGAAACTCTGGGATTGCCCGGCCAATCCATCCTCTATTAATTGGATCAGCATGTGTCCGAGGCGGCCAGGGCAAGACTGCTACAAACTCATGTCCTAATTGGATTAGTGAGTGTGGCAGTTGCGAGTGTGTGGGTGTGTATGCGTGTGTGTGTATGTGAGAGAGAGAAAGAGGGTTTCCCCCGCCTTACCGTGTCCCTGCTGTGTATAGTAAAGCTGCTGGGGTAAGACGTGAATGTGGCGTCACTCTCCAAGACAGATGTCCGGTCCATGTTGTGACCTGGTGACTGGCTTTGCCCGGCTGCCAGGACAACTCCAAGCAGGAGACTCCATCTGCAGCAGAAGTATGACGTCACTGCGCAAGAAGAGGGAGACATGGACAGGAAAACACTAATTTACCTGACTGGATCCGCCCAAGGTGGCTGTTCATGAGCTGCTAACTCTGCTAACAAATTAAGTCAACAGATGGTGATGGAGCCTGCTGTGTAGAACTTGCCCCAACACACCAAAAAGTCAATGTCACTGTTGCCACTAAGTCAAATGTCTAATTTTAAGGTTAGACAAGTTCTTTTCTTTTCTTTCTTTTATTAACATCCAAGAGGGTCAGAGGTCAGCAGAAATAACATTCAAGGACACAAGGAATCAGGGGGGCTGATAACCATCATAAAAAAATGTTCAACTGATAAAAACAAAAATCCAAATTCTATTTAAAAAGAACAAACAATGAATTAAGGTTTTGCTGCGAGTGTGTTTAGATACTGAAAAAGGGTGTGTGTGTGTTTTTTTTAGGGTCATCCTTGTTTTCCCCCAGCGTGAACAAGACCCCGAGATACTTGAACTCCTCCACTTGGGGCAGGATCTCATCTGGCACTCCACCTTTTTCCATCTGAGAACCATGGACTCATATTTGGAGTTGCTGGTTCTCAGCCCAGCTGCTTCACACTCTGTTGCAAACCGATCGAGTGAGAGTTCACAGAAAGTTCACAGCCTGATGAAACCAACAGGACCACATCATTCTCAAAAAACGATGTCCCAATCCTCAGACCATCAAACTGGACCCGCTCAATGTCCTGGCTGGGCCTAGCAGTTCTGTCCATAAAAGTTATGAACAGGATCTGTCACAAAGGGCAGCCCTGGCAGAGTCCAACCCTCACCAGAAACGAGTCAGACTTCCCATCGGCTATTCAGATCAAGTTCTGGCACCAATCATACAGGGAATGAACAGCCCTTACCAGGGTGTCCAGTGCCCCATACCCCTGGAGCACCCCCGACAGGATACCTGAGGGACTTGGCAGAATGCCTCCCTCAACCCTACCTCACCAGGCAAGCTGAGGAGTGTGAGCCCCCTGTACCTGGAACACACCCTCTGGTTACCCTTTGTAAAAGGTCATTTTAAAGACACTGCCCCCAGTGTCCACGCAATGATGCAAAGTCATGTCAGCCACGAAAGTCCCACAACATCCAGGGCCTTGAGGAACTCAGGGCGGATTTCATCCATCCACACTGGCTCCATTTCCTTACTGGAAGGCTTGTTGGTGGGATTGAGGAGGTCTTTGAAGAATTCCTTCCACCATGTTGACAGTGCACTGCTTCCCCGTCCTGAGACGCTAGATGGTGGTCCAGAACCTCTTCAAAGCCATCTGAAAGTCGTTCTCCATGACCTCACCAAACTTCTCCCACTCCCGGGTTTTTGCCCCAGCGACCACTGAAGCTGCATTTCTGAAATAATACTCTTTACTGTACAAAACTGCACTGGTTTCACAGAGAGCAGTCTTGGTACCTTATTTGCAAACATTGAAGCTATAGCAGTAAATCTGGGAGTTAAACTTGACTGCAATTTTATTTCTAAATATTATAAAAGACCAGTCACATAACAGTTCCACCATCACTTACGCACCATCTCCGAAATCAAATCAATACTGTCACAACCGAACCTCAAAAAGTCACTTATGCACTCACATCTCCTCCAGGCTTGATTAGAGTCACTCTCTACTGTCAGGAATCGTGCATAAGCTCTCAATCGCTTCCATCTGGTCCAAAATGCAGCATCTAGGCTTCTCCCTGGTTCTTAAAGACGACATCACATCACATCACCCCATTTTGGCTTCCCTTTTTCGTTGGCTCCCTGTAAGTTTTAGAATTGATTTTAAAATTTCTTGACCATTTTTAAAGCCCATACAAGCCTGGCTCCAAGCTACATATCTGAACTTTTGACCCCCTATGAGCCAGCCTACTGCTTTAGATCCTCAAGCCTCCTCAGGGGGGTTAATGGGATTTAATTTTAAGTCAACACATAAAGTTTAGGTGGACTACTTAGAGTACTAGAGTAACAGAAATGTTCATCTTTAGTTTCCTTTTCCTTTTACACGAATTAGAGAGCCTTGCAACAAGGGTTAAGGGAGTTAACTACTTAACTTAATTACTTCATTAAAAGCACAACTGTCATTCTTAACCTCTTAACCTCTTTATTTAAAGTGGGTCACCTAAGCCAAACCTGAAGGTTGTAGAAGATCCTAAACCCAAAGAAGACAGTTTGATCCCTGCTGCAAATGATGAGTATCAAATACTAGAAGAATTACACAACCAACTAAGAAGGAAACTCTCCATACAAAAAGCATCAGGCCTTCTGTGATTCATAAGTACATGGTTCAACTTTTTGCCTTTGAGGGAAGACTTGAGTCATCTACAACGCAAACCCACGACTTCTATAAGCGCTGGTTGTACAAGTGGTTGTCCACAAAAAGCTACCAAAAAGAAAACAAAGACTCTTCTGATGTATGTCTAACAGCCTGTGACATCAACATTAGCCATGATATAAAAGAGACAGCATGCTGTCCTGTTCAAAACTAAGACATTACAAGATAAGACTTGAACTATGCTTATGGCCTAAGGCTATTTTTTCTACGTACTAAAGGCTCACCAATGCATACAACGCGTGCTACCTTTGAAGGCATGATGCATGGTGGTTTACATGAAAGGGCTTTCTGTGTGTCTGTCCCTAAACTCTCCACAATGCACAAACCAACAACAAAACAACTAAGTGGTCAGTATGACAGGGGGTTTTGTCCAGTTTGTTTAGTGTTACTGTAGTACACAATAACACTCTATCACAAAAAGTAACCCTCCTGTCACCTGACCAGTGCAACAAAGTCTGAACTTAGCTTAGCTCCTGTGTTTGCATGTGTGGATGTGTGGGCGAGTGAGTGGGGGTGGGAAGGCTGAATGTGCCAATCCATAAGCCCCATCGACAGAAAAACTACTGTTCCTCAACCGGAAAGAGCACTGGAGGAGAAACACTCAAACTGAATGTCCTCAGAGCAGTTCAGACACACACAAAAACACACATGGCAAGCAGGCAGAGATGTCAATACAGAATTTTGGCTAAAAGAACATTGGGCGGTGTAGTGAGTGGGAGACAGAGTGAGTCAACTTGTTTAAAAAAAAAAATCATTGCTCTTCGCTCCATGCCGTTTTCATTAAATTTCGGTTCACGATCAGAAATACTAACATGTATTCGAGCAATTTTCACACAGACAGACACTAAAGATAACAGAAGTGTTAAGTGGTAAACTGGTCGTGTCCTGTTGTGTGGCTGCAGCCTTTGTAGAGGGAATTAACAGAAGTTTTAAGATGAACAACACAGCAGAATTACTTCAATAAGCAAATTTACTCAATGTACCTATATTATAGTGGTGCAATCCTTTTTTTAAATATATTTTTTATAGAATATTCAATATAGTTAGCAGCAGTTGATCTTTAACCTATCTTAAGTGGTGCCATGTTAGACATTTGCCCTTTTCTTAGTGTCACCTCTCCACTACTGTACCACTGAGTCCAGCATCTACATAACTTCTTATCTTTAAATGCTGAACTTTACCCTCAGATCAGAAGAGCTGAAGAGAGAATATCTAGACAATGTTTTGGGTTTTCTTTTTGTAGGTCGCCAAAGGAAAACGTGATGTCCAGAAGAAGAAGAAGATGGTGATGAGATGAAAGTGGACGAACCTTGGCCTTGCTAAGAAAACAGCACAACGCTCTGCATTCACCGTAAAGCCAATGAGGGCTCAGGTAACTGTGTTTTTTCTGTCTGATTAACTCAACAAGTAGAGCAAAATGAGAAGTAAAACTCACACTCAGTAAATTTTAACTCAGGGTGTTGAACGTAAGCTGCAGTTGTGGTGCACCTTGATTTTTGCTGGTGCCAACAAGTTAATACGAAGCCCTGCTTATCATTTCTCTCCACTTTGTGATCATCAGAAGCACTGGCCTAACTTTCACTGCACTCTCTCTTCTGCCTGCTGCAACTTTTGGTCAAAAACGTAACTGCAGGGCTGTACAGATTCTAACATTTCAAAGCACGAATCAAATCAGTACAAAACAGAAAGATTTTTAAAAAATGGACAAGTTTTTAAAAAACTTTTTTCTTATTTGAACTGGTTATGTGTGTTTCTTTGGAGTTTGGGTTCAACAGTGATGGTCTTTGAGAACTGGAGTTCAAGATGTTGCACACTTAGTTGAAAGAAAACAGTTTTATATGAGTCCAAAGGTATGCCCATCATATGCGAGTGGAATCAAAAGTCACTGAGGTTGTCGTAGTGTGTAAACTAAACTATCAAATAAAATTATTAGTGATTTGGGTGAGCTAACCATTTAAAATGAGACCACAGAGCACACTGAAAGTAACACCAAATAAACTTAGAGGAACCGCAGCAGAGCATGCAGCATCTAAAGGCATCTGTTTATTGAAGAGTAAAGCTGTTAGACGGCGAGCTTTAATGTGTGAGCATGCAGGTGTGTGTGCTTGTGTTTTTAGGAGCTGGATGTGGCTCGCAACCACAGATCTTTCATGGCAAGTTAATTAACCAACAGCGCTTACTTAGACCTGTTGATAAAGCAAAGCCAAAATTCGAGGGAACTCAAACATGAAATTACGTCTTTTAATTTATTGCTTTTGTCAAAGTCAGATTTAAAATGGATAAAGTGAAGGACACCAACACCACAGTGCCCTCTGACACAACCTCTGTCATTTTAAAGCTCTGACCCTATAAGCCACGCTCATTCACACATCAATCAAACACCTCCTACCACTCACACCCACGCACTAACACACAATTCCTGTGCATATTTACAGTACATGTATAATTATGTGCAGGTTTGCACAAGTCCTGCGTGCTGCTCTCATCCAAAAAAACACGACCGCAGGCTTTGCATGTATGTATCATCCAAACAGAGGTGGATCCTTAAGAGTATGTGAACGTAAAAGCCTCCCAGCCACTGTCCCAGTGTGTGTGTGTGTGTGTGTGTGTGTGTGTGTGTGTGTGTGTGTGTGTGTGTGTGTGTGTGTGTTTGTGTGTGTGTGTGTGTGTGTGTGTGTGTGTGTAAGAGCTTACGCGCAAAAATGTGCTATGCTGGGAGAGCAATTTACTTCTTCAAGCCTTGGGGTGGTTCCAGAGAATCTAATCAAATGTCTTGACAGCATTTACAAACCACTTTAGAGGGCAGGTGCAGCAACCTGCTTACTTGGAGGAGTCACAGCACAGATATTTCTATTTACAATGGCAGATTGAGTTAAGAAGTAAATTTGAGGACTACTGAGTTCTTCAGGAGACAGAGGGTTCAATTATTTTTTATTTAAAAAATAAAAACGCAAATTGTTCAAAAGATAGGACCTGAAGCCAGACCTCATCTTAGATTATACTGAAAAACTTGAGGCACTCAAAGGTGAAAACTTGGTTACTGTAAACCAGATTGTACAAACCTTCTGCAGTAAACATAACCCGCATGACAACCTGTTTCATGAAATCATGAAAACTGAGACAAATTTAAACTTTTTCAAGATTTTTCAGCCAAAATATCAAGAAAACATCGTTAAAAACAATCCTAAATAAAATACAGGGAACAAAAAGTAAAACTGGTGTCAGTGCTTCAGTTTTTGTGGTGTGGTTGAGTGACGCAAAGTTTATCACTTAGGTAAATGTGTGTGTTTCCTACTGCCAGCAAAGCTGTGAATAACTTTATTAACTGTGAAGCTGCTGCTGCTGTCACGTTGCAAAATATGAGTTTGTTCATTTTGACGTGGGCTGTATGACAAAGATTGGAAAGTAAAAGTTCTTCCCTTGGAAACAGGAAGTTTTTATCAATTATCTCTGAGAAGAAGCCCACCGAGAGACCCAAACACTTCGACCCACTTGCATAGATGTGCAAACATACTCACACGTGCACACATACACACACACTCCCACAAAGGTATGCTGTCGTAACAACCGCCTAAGATGCGCAGCCTTTGCCAGTGAGGGGAGAGTTTTGGGCCAATCAGAAGCAGGAGGGTGACAGAGGAGGAAGTTAGTATGTGTCACACTGTATGTGTTCGTCTTCATCACTGACAGAAATAGCCCTGTCAGAGAGTAAACAACACATCTCATTCATAAAAAAAGAGCAAACGCCTACTCCACAGTGCAATAAGTGGAGGTACAGACATCAAGAGAGTAAGAGACAGACACACAGACGATCACAAAGAGAGACGGAAATAAAGACACACAACAAAAGAAAAGAAAGAAACAAAGGAGAAGTGTGAGATGTAAGAAATACAGCCTGATGATGACATTACATCCTCGTCACTGCTGGTTCCACTCCTTTGGTTTGGAAAACACCAGAAACCTACGTCACGTGGTGAGACACCACTTTCCAACTCTCACACTTTTCTTGATAAACCACACACACACGCACACAGACACACACACACCATGCCATGTGCACACAGTCGTATACATATATATAGTATCAAATAGCATCAAAGCTGTACAAATACTATAGTGATTTGTTACACAGGACTTAGTGCATTTAAGCGTGTTAAACCACCTGTGCTTCAGCCCACACCATGTGCCATTACACTCAAAGCACTTTCCACTTACACACACAGGAAGACACGCAATACCAGATAAGGAAGTTGTAAAGGGTTGTTAGGTTACATGCATGGGATATGTGTGTGTGTGTGTGTGTGTGTGTGTGTATGCATAGTGTGTCAGAAAGAGGAAGTGATGCAAGCTTCAATGGAAGGTATATTTTTAGAAAAGAGCGGAAGTGTCACTTCTCTTTCCAGGATTAGCAAATACACGATACAGACAAGCAAACACACAATATCAGACAGTGAAAGTGTGCACTTCCACACCACGTACACCAACATAGTCTTCCAGTGGTGAGATGCGGTGAATGATGCAATTCGTAGTAGTTTTAATAAAAATACACAACCCTAACTTGCAGGTTAAGCCCTTTTGTCAATGTGCAGCATGTTCCCTGAAACTTTTCAATGATTTCTGCTGAAATTGTATAAAATCGAAAACTTCAACATAAAACCAACGCCACTTAACCGATCAATCAGCAGCTTTCTAATCCTGTTTTCACCACCAATTCAAAGGTCTTTTCTGGTGAGACTAAAGCTTCGTCACCACAAAACTGATGTCATCTGACTGTCATGGCACTGAGAGCAGAGTGGGTGTTTTCACTTCCATTTACATCATATAGTCACAGCATGAAACCAACATGTGAGACTTAAGTGGGTGACATTAGTTTCTACCTTGATGACTGGACCACCAACCTGCTCTTGGAGTGACCGCAGTTGTCAGAGATGGTAATCTCTTGCACAATGGTGTATTGTGGAGGTGATCAAGGCTGACAGATTACATTTTTCTCCCCGCAGGACTGTGTTGGTATCGATAAAATGAGACTGTAAGTGAGAATTTAAGCATTATCAGTCTGTTCTGAAAATATATAGCGGCCCATTAAATGCTGCTTTTAAAATGATACAAACATAGGTGAAGCACTGATGTAAAACTACGCCCTGTCTTAAACAAATGCAAGGAGTTCATGTTTTGTGAGCAGGTATTTATGTGAAATGTAGACACCAATGCATCATCTCTTACCCCAAGAGATTTGTCCTTTGCATAATCACCCAACCACAGATGCAAGAAGTTTTGATATCACTGTTTTTAAAATGATTCATTTATGCAGCAAAAAAGTCCCACCAATTCTACGGTTGGTAGCACTGCCGTGGCGATGATTATCAGCCTACTCAAGGGTTGAATAACTCTAAACTAAATATTTTCATTCAGGTTAAAGTCCTCAGATTAGCCTGCTTTGTTTTTTGCTTTGAAAATTCAAATTAAACACTTTCACTCATAGAAAGTTAAAACATTCACATTGACTATTTACAGCCTCAGAAGATCCTGGAGAGGGTTGTCTTCCCCCTGCTGTTCCTGTTTCTCAACCAGTCCTGTAAGACTTCTCGTACCCTGTTGTGGTTTGTGGTTGCTTTTCTAGGATTAGGTCTTCATTTTCATTTCTTTCAACCAGCTCCTTGTGTGTCTTAACATCTCTTCTCTGCTGGTCCTTTGTTAGAATATAAAAGTCTGTGCTCTCCACTTGAATTTAGAGTTAAAGTTAAGGCTTCCTTGGTGCTGGTGACAGATGCTATCAAAAACTACGTCTTCTGCCACACAGGCTTCAGGAAGAGGTGAAATCATAAACCTTGTAAATGTGCCAGACTCCTGTCTATGAACTGATTTGATAAAGGATGTGTGGTGAGAAAGTCCCCGCATAGTATTTATCTCATTTTTGAAATGCTGACAGTAGTTTCAGAGTTTAAAAGACTCAGAGTTGAGTTCTTAGGAGAACCAGGGAGTTGATCTTGATAATTTCTTGGTTTTTGATCTTCTTTTTTAATATTTCCTCATCTTTGAGATACTATTTTGAACATTTTTTGGGGTATGGCAGGAAGCCACAGAAGAATGATCTCTCTGTTGCCAGTGACTGCTTCATTGTAGTTGTTTTACAATGACAATAGCAGAACAAAGAGTCCAATTCACCTTGGACTTTGAGTTGAATAAAACGTCCTACTCCTTTCCCAGATCGACATCATGGGAAGTCTTTATGACTCTATAAGGCTGTAACACTTTGTGGATGGGATCAGTGTAAGCTTTATAAATGATTCTGTGGTCTACGTGAAGTGTCTTGTGCATGTCTTTAAACAAATCCAACCAAGGATTTCAGCTTTTACCAGGAAAAACGTGCAACACACACTGGAAATCTGGAGTTTGATAGAAGTATTTCTGCAATTGTGAGTCACAAAAGTCTTAACAAAGAGATATTACAGATGCAAAGTATGAGGTATAGAGTTTTTAGAGATTTGCCCAAGAAGTAGACATGCATGATCAGTCAACTATACAACATCGCTCTTACTAGCAAGCACCAGAATAAACATTTGTCACCCAATAATGCTAACAGAAGCGCGAAGATGCTGCCCTTTCTTTAACCTACCTGGTGTTCAGATTTAACTTACTGGTCTGTAGTTGTCGAAACTTAAAACGTGAAGTTCTTCTTATTGTTCTAACATCAAAACTTATTCATCAGCTAAGTGAATAAATAACTAAATGAAGGGGCATCTATGAGGACTCTCACCATTTTCTACAGTTGATGTGATATACAACTGTGCTTCTATTTTGACTGCTATCTTACCTTTAGACAAGTAGGCTAGTCATAATTTAAGTTTCTGTTGAATCAACTTGACGATGAAAAGTTGAAAAGTTCAAAACCACTTCTCTACTGCATTTCTCCTGATGTAGTGAGGCTACAACTTTAAACCAGCGGTGTGTCATTGTAAGGACGAAAAGGTAACAATAAAACAATCCACTACCAGAAGCCTGTAAGGCACAAAATGAAGGTTTTCAGATGCTCTGCATGAAAGACATCTTGGAAAAGGAGACACACAGACGGAAAGAGGATGTTTTCGACAGAGATGCATCATTTCAGAACCTTTCACAAACACATCAGCAAACACATTAACACCAACACACACTCCGTACAAGTACAAGACCCAATCCCCTTGCCTCCCTGTGGTGTTCCTCTGGGGGGGTTAATGGACGCACTCACTCACCCTGATACTTTCCTTCTCCCCTTAAGCTCATCTTCCACTGCCCCTGTCCTCCCACTCCCCTCTTTTTTTCCCACTTCACGAGCGTTTTCCACCCCAGTGGAAACCACGAGGGGTGGGCCATACACCATCATCAAGAGTGTACACAGAAAAATGGGTCAGATAGAGGAGTGCGGTGGATGTAAGGAGGGGTGGCCTCTATCTCCTCCACAGAGCAGTGAACGTGGTGCTAGGGGCTGAGCGTGTGTGTGTGTGTGTGTTTGTGTGTGCGTGTTTGGAGGTGACAGGGGTGAGCTGGTGGTGAGAGCCCCCCGGCTGGCATCACCTTTAGGCACACGCTGCTACTCAAAAGCCCAATAGCAAGACCCATTCTGATGTTTTCATGACAGAAACAACTCTTATCTTTGGTGTTGGATTTCTATTTCTGATGTATGCCTGTTGAAAAAAAAGTATATATTACAGCACATCAAAAGGAGTCAACAGTATATTTGATAGAAAATGAACTGTTTTGTTTCCTACATCAGTCTGAGCAGAAACCCTCCGCACTAATTTCATCTCATAAACAAGTGAGCATATTTTGACTCAGTTAGAGACTGTCGTATATGTCAGTGTGCATGTGGGTGCCTTTGCTGTGAGTGTGTGTGTGAGTGTGTGTCTGTGTGTTTGCATGAGCGCATGTGTGATGTTGATGCGTAGGAGACAGTTACGTGTTTTGGCTTACAACATGGTTGTCGGTGACTTGAGTTGTCATGACAATTTTTTTGTAGGACTTCACCATGGTGACCATGACTGGACACACACACACACACACACACACTATCTTAATCCATTTCAGTAGAATATTTTGTTAAATATGTGAATGACACACTTTTGTCTATTTCCTTTTTTTTACTTTTTACACAGATGCAGTTCGGTCTGACCCAGTTTTCCAGACAGAAAAACAAGCTTTTAGACAAAATAGCTGCCACACTGATCATTTCTAAAAGAGGAACAAAATTGTTTTTGATATAACACACAGGAATATAATATAATAAGGACCTGAATTGGAAGTATAGACTGATGCATTCAGCTCCAACTACTTCAGACCATTAATAATCCATGTCACTCTGCGTCTTCAACAGAGTCCTTCTATGATGTTAGGGGTCTAAGTTTGTTGCACTTCTGTGAACTTTGATCATCTGTGTTTTTTAGCTAAAAGCAACATTAAATTCTAAATCAACCATGCTGCTCTGATTTGATCTAATGATCCTAATATATACTGTATATTCCTCTGGTCCCTTTTGGACCAGTTAGTTATACCCATAACCTTGATTCACTGAGAGAGAAGTTCATCTTTTCACCAGGTGACATGTTCTACATGTACCCAACAGGGCAGATAATGTGGATATTTCATTCAGACACACCACTCTATTGCCCACGCGATGCATAGACCCAGGACTTTAATAGCTTTACATGTTTTTCAGATTAAAAGAAAGCTTTGTGTTTCTCACTCTGGTGAATTAAAATACCATTATTTCAGCCTCGCTTCGTTTTATTCGTTTTATTTCAGAACGCTTCATCTTGGCAGCTGTCTCGTTTTTACATTGACAAAGTATAGACTTCATCCTAAACCAGCACTTACATCCAAATTATGCTAAGTTTGATCTCAGGCATGGCAGCTCTTTGTGTTTATGCACACATATCCTCTACTAAGTAGAAATAAATTAATTATTGAGTCCTTGAACACGTTGAGTATATATGCATGGGCCACAAGATGCTGTGCCTTTAAGAAACTTACATGACAGCTGCCCTGTGGAGGTCATAAGGATATGAAACTGGGTAGAAAGGTTTACTGGGAAGATCAAATTGCTCATAACTTTGTTTTCTCAGATGTGGGACCTTTGGTTTGATCACCCCAAGACCACCTTATATCAAAAGTTGAAGTGTGACTGATTGACATAGCCAGCGAAAAAGATCTGTAGTTTGGTATCAGATTGTAGTTCACCATGTGTCTGTTTGGTCCAAATGTTAGGATGGCTTTCATCTCTCTCTGTTTTCAGTCTGATTTGTCTCTCTTGATGCTGCACGTGGTGGCTGGTATTGTGCCTACGACCATCTTGTGTTTTTAAATAGACATTAAGGGTGCTTAAATCTTGATTGGTGAACTTTGAAGATTTTATACATTCAAACTTGTTTACAGGTCTTCTTGCTGCACTAAGACGCTGTTGTCCTGGCTTGTCTTGTAAAGACAAAAAATACATGAAATTTCTTGCACTACTGAATTAACAGTATGTTTTTTAGAGATGCTAAATTGTTGGTTAAAGGTAATGACTTTTAGCAACTTATAAGGCTTTGGAAACATCACCAAGAACTCGTGTTGCAGCATTAAAGGGATATGCCAGCATAAAATTAAGTTAGGGTCAAACACACCGTAACACCGAGTTACACACCCCGTCGAGAAATGAATGTTGCTGACCGCTTGCTTCTCTAGTTATACCAACTCAAGTAACGACATTGGTTAAATGTGTGGCTCTCTGTATTGCCATCATGCGGTCGTTACTAAAGTTGGTATAACAAGAGAAGCAAGCGGTCGGCAACATTCATCTCTCGAGGGGGTGTCTAACTCAGTGTTACAGTGTGTTTAACCCTAAATTAATTTTACGCCGGAATATCCCTTTAATACCAATAAATTTAAAAACTCAATGTCAATCAAGTATAATCATTCCTAAAAGGACAGCCATTACACTGATAATAAGTAGTATCATTGGTTTAACAGTCTCCAGTGGACTGACTTTGTAAATTTAATGCAACAAACAGAACTGGTTAAGAGTTAAAAGTTTAGTGTTAGTATTTGATCGACAGCTGCCCTCGTGAGTTTCTGTTCTCTTTTGTATCTGAAACAGAGTAAATGCCTCAGTGACACAAACAAAACAGCGTGATCTTCTCGGGTGCAAGTTTCACCGGTCACTTGACCATTTTGACCACAAGTTGATGCTCTGTGGCACAGGGAACGAAAGTCTCCCACATAGTAACTCCCACACACACACGACACGTTCAGACGTCAGCCAATCACACACAACAAAGCTCTGACATCATGGCTGACATGACAGCTAAGCAGGAACAGCTGTGTAGTAGTTACAGGCCACACCACAGAGCAATGACGCAATAACATGTGTGTTAGCGGGGGAGTGTGTGTGTGTGCACTGTACGGGTCTAGGGCCAGTTCTGCGTCTGACTAGAATATAGGACAGAGCTGGTGTGGTCAGCGTGGGAGAGATGAGTCACGAGGTCAAACTGAAGTTACATTCCATCGAAGAGGGAAGAGGAAAGAGGAAAGAGAGAAAAAGTTCGAGAAAGTGAAGAAGCTGAAGTCAGAGTGGGGGCAATCAAATACGACAGACAGACAGCAGCAGTGTGTATGTCACTGACTCGGTAACACAGATTCGACTTTTGGCCCAAAGGAAAGATCTCATGAACTCTGTGATGAGGTTACATCCACATTAACCGACATGTGTTTCCATGCTTTGTGGTGTTACGTGTTCATGTTGCGTACAGATAGCTGTGTTTGAGTGGTCGGCTCCGCTGGGGAAAAGAGGGAATCCTGCCCAGACATTCCATGGCACAGATTCCCAAAAAGTTTCCACTACAAGTAAGAAACACATACACGCATGGATTCCTGTCTAATGAAAGATGGGCAATGAGGAAAAAAGCAGGATACAAGAATTTAGAGAAGCATTGTGCAGCTCTCTGACAGCTAATGACCCACTGGTTTATACAGAGTGGCATATAAGTGCTGAATCAGGCAAGGTGTGCACATTGTACAGCAGCTAGTAAAGGTCGTATAACACACATCTATCTTAAGACACGTGCAGATGTCTGTTTCAATCCAGCTATACCATCTAAAAGGTAAACTGTGGTAAAACTCTGAGTTGATAATTACTTAGTCTTGATCTTTTTGTCCTTGTTGAATACATATCGTGTGATGCTGTTTGCTTACTTTTGCACTTATAGTGTATGGTTGTGCGAGTCATTGGAAAATCAGGACAAGTAAGCAATCTCAAAACTAATAGGTACAACAATACAGCCTCTAGGAGTGACACTCAGTCTGTTAGGGCTTTAGGTGAAAACTCATGTTAGCTGTAAGACTTAATTATTGTGTTGCCCTAGTTAACAATTCGACTGGCGACTTGTTCAACAAGAATGGTGCTGGTGTTGAGAAACTACATCTGAGAGCAAACTGTTCATTGTATTTAAATAAACTTATTCTTTGTAGCCATTCATGAATTAAAGTTAAATTGCTTTTGCATAATGGTATGGGTGGCAAACACTTCTGGAAAGATATTAATGCTCAACAATATAAACAGGTTTTGGAGCAATGGATACTGCCATTCAGCCAAAGCCTTTTCAGGAGAGACCTTTCACATTTCAGTAAGATAAAACCAATATAGTAAACATACATACATATAAATGGGGGGTGGGGGATAGAGTTGCAGAGAAATTAACAGAACTGATAGCTGCTACTGGTTAAATAGATGAATAAGTGAGTAAAAATCATCAGCAATCCATCCAACAATTTTAAAGATATTTGCTGCAAAAACCATTGACGTCAATCTCATACAGGTACAAAGCAAGAGATCACCGAGGTCACCCAAAAATTTAGACCGCTTATAATGAATATGCACACCACTTTTTGTGCATATTCACTAAGTAGACCTTGAGGTATATCTTAATTAAAGTTATTTAGCAAGCTAAGCAAGTATGACCGGCAGCTGGTGGTGCTCGGAAAATTCCTGGAATCATCAAAGTCATGTGTTTGTCCTTTGAGCACCGTGAATGTCAAAGTCAAATTTTACTGTATTAAGTTGAACAGGTCCAGAGATTTCAGCTTGTTGCCTGATTCAGCTACATAGAGTTACTGATGGTGTAAAGCCACTGAACAAGAGCGTTATAGCTTGATTTGATTGTTTTAACAGTGATCCATGTTGCTTTTTACAAATGCAGCAACAAACAAAATATCAAGAAATAAAATATAACGTGACAGTAACACAACACAAGCCTGGCACATCAACTCTGCGGCCATGAGAAAACAGAAGGTCTGGTTTCCATAAGACTGAAGTAAACACAACTTTTCCTCTCTCCTTCTGCCACTTCTCTTCCAACCATCAAAGCTCCCACTCCCCATTCATCCATCCAACTGTCCTTCTCTCCACTCCTGTCCCCACTGAGCAGAGTGGGGCAGTGGAGCATTTCCACAGTCGCAGCCAGGAGAGCTTCCAAGGCGTCACAGACACACACACACACACACACACACACTGTTACAATCACACAATTGTGTTTAAAAAGCTTTCCAAACACACAGACACAGAAACTTAAAGCGCCAGAAATTATGTAAGTCCCAGGCATACCTTATATAAAGACCAGATATGTTCGTGGAGGAAAGGAATATCTTGAATATGGAAAAGGCTTCTTTGACAGCCAGTCACAGCCACACACACACACACACACAGAAATGTAGATACAACAAAAGCTCCCGTGGTCATTGTTGAGGTAATGGCTACTGCTTGCGCCACTGTGGTTACCTCATGCTCTATGTTTCTATTCCTGTCTGCTTTGAATAAGATGACTCCTTCACTGTTTCCTTTCTGTGTGTACGCACGTGTGTGTGTGAGTGTGTTCCCCTAAAGAGCTCCTACTTGCGTATCTTGTCTGTCCATTAATGCTGATAAAGTGGCCAATTATAGCGTCTGTCTTTCAGGAGAGGATCAGGCATAACACGCACTGTGACAGATATAGACCTCTGCTTTGCATGCAGCAGTCGTTTCAGATGTTTGCAGGATGTTGAACTGTAATGTGGATGGGAGTGCCGCTAATGATTGATGAAAGATAAAAAGGGATCTTTCTCTGCAACAGGTTGAGTTGGAGTTATTTGTTTAGAAGTAAAAAAAAAAAAAAAGTGTCACTATTGGATGCTGTAGAAGAGTGAGAGTGGAAATGTGTTTGCGTGGATGGTGTGGAAAGTGAATTTAAGTGCTGTTTCCACAGTGGAAGTTTGTTCCTGGATAGGAGCTCCAGTGGAAGTTCCCCCTCATGGAGTGAAGGAACACAAGAAGGGAAAGAAGACAGGGAAAAGAGGAAAGACAGAGCAGAGGAAGGACTGAGTGTTGAGTTTAAAGAGAGGGCAGCAGAAAGAAAGGAGATTATATGAGAAAGAAAATAGTGGGACAGAGACAGTGAGGGTGTTGTGGGGGTGGAAGAGGGGCCTTCTTGCAGAGGTTAAGCGGGTCAGTTCAAGTTTGTGACCTGGCATTGACCTGGATCTAGTCTGTCAATAACTGTGACCTTTGTGACAGACAGACAAAATATTCATACTGAAAGCTGATTAAAGGTTCGAATTTAAAGGCCTCCCACAGAGTCTGACACTACCTGTGGTGCTGTTAGTCATTGTTCGGATTAGCATCGAAGCTTGGCAAAATAAAGATTTGATTACAAAAATGTACGACTTTGGTACATTTTCAAACAGCCACACTCCAACAAGAATTCAGAGGATAAAAATGTGATAAACCTCTTTAAAACTATTTTCAGATATTCTTCTTAGAGGAAACTGTGATCTTACACTTGGTGAACACTGGACACACAAAAATGTTTCTCCAAGCTTCACACAGCTGCATGAAGCTTGGAGAAAAATAAGAATTAAGAGAGAAGGCTAAATCCCCAATTTCTCTCTCACCTCCACACACTAGGTTAATCAAAGTTATTTCAAATCTTTGACTGACTTTTTTGAAGTTGAAAAAGGTTAACACAAGTCCTACAATTTTGCAGTAAGAAGCAGAATTATACCTAATGGAGTAAAAACAATATGAGTCCATTAAAGATGGTTACAAAGAGGAAAAAAAGATTGCACTACTTGGGCCTTAAGGATACAAACAATGCATAACAGGCTGGGGGTTTTTGGCTGACAAAGACTTCTTTGATGTGTTGAAATCCAAAAGGATTTGCTGTAACCAATAAAAAAGGTCTAACAAAAAGGGCTTTATCTGTCATGACTGCATGTTGAGCTGAATTATCCAGATAATGCTGTGGTGACTTTACATTAATATAGATACACTAACAGTACTGTTTCAATGTATTCTGAGGCATATGTCCTATGAACGAAAGGACACGTAGTCAGTTTCTGATTGAACATTTCATTACTACTCAAATTACTCATATTTTTTCAAAGCAAAGGGGAACTGAAACTAGATCTGTGTGAGTTACGAAAGAAACAACTATAAAGCCAAACATACTCTCTGGCATATCAGAAGTGTGTCTTATCTTTGGTTGCAATAAGATTTAGAATACTTGGATTATGTGCGCATATATCCCCCACCCTCTCATGACCCCTCAACCTCAATCTGGATGGAGATTTCAAAGCATGTATGGCAGACCGCCCAACAAGTTATTTATCTAAGAGGATGAAACTTCCAAAACATTACACAACATTACTGACCAAACATTTAGACAACAGAATCCTCTCTGTGGCTCAGTTAGTTAGGTGAATCACATCCGGTGAGTCAGCTGATTATTCAACAGAGAGGAGGGCTGTCTCCTTTCGTCCCAGTGACAGAGCTGATGGTCACTCCTACTATCACCACAGGATCGATGGCACATAATCACAGATATTCGCATAAACACATCGACGTGATGGTGACTTATAAGGCAGAGCTTGGTGTAACAACACTTTTTAAAAATAGCCTTAAAGGGCAGTTTGGTTTTTTGGTACATTGACTTTACACAGCATCATTTCTACAAAAGGTAAAAGAGGACGTATCCTTAAACTTTTCTAAAGACAGGCTCATCAAACCTACACAGAATGCTACAATTGTTGTATGTTGCTATGGGAGGAAGATGTTATACTGTATTGAAAACTTTTTTAGTGAACACATTTAGTGTAACCTCTAACACTGTGGTTCTCAGTTTGTGGGTGGGGGCCCACAAGTGGGCTGCAGGGCCATTTTCAGGATGACAGAGGTGTGTCGGAAAAAGACGTTATTGTAAAAGTCTCAGCCTGACTCTTATTTTAAAACACCATGGGTTTCCAATGACACTGTGTCTTAACAGTGATGTATTCACAATTCTACACAGTAGGCGTCAGTCATTTGAATGATTTCACACTGACCTTAAACAACACGTTTCAGAGATTTAGGTCAAGTGGAAAACCAAAGTGTTGAGAAACAAAGCCAATGGCCAAACGCAAAAACTGTCAACCTGAAGCAGGCTGTGAAAGCCAATGTGCCCCTGCTGTAGGCCTGATGTTAGAATGCTGATTTTGGCTGCAAAACCAAACATATTTACAACCAGGATCAAAAATGGCTGAGTTGCCAGGTGGAGCGCAATTGAGCCATTTGCCAGGGGGCTAAAGGCTACCACTGCTCAAACTTTTTGCCTGTGTCTAAATTGAAAGTTAGGCTAAGTTAGCATTTCCATGATGCATCTTTGGTTTCAAAATGCTTCTTGAGAAACCAATAACGTCAATGAGACCAAATGTGGGTTTATACAAGGGTCAAGGGTTTACACAGTCCATGGTTGTGACTGTTATTAAAAAAGTGATAGTAGCTCCTGAGGCAGGAACATTGAGGAACACTACAGTTACTTACACTAGATTGCCTCTGGAGTAGCTTGTCCATGCAACATGCCTGCTCTCTTTTATCAGAATCATTAAAATGCCCAAATGGTGCTACTTCAATTCAAAGGTTTAACATCATAAAAATGTAGGAAAGTCTAAGGAGGGTAATGTATGGCATTGTAATTGAAGCACATGGCTCTGATTATATCCTCATCCTGTATTTTACCTCTCATACTCTGTTATTTCTAGCCTTATTATTAGTAATTTTCTTATGCATAATACCCAACAGAGGTGGAGGTTTATCAAACAGAGATTTAAGGGCGAGGTTATGTTGTTGTGTCCTACTTTCTTCTTCCTGTCATTTTACAATTCCAGGAACTTAAAGCTATGTATCCCAGGATTACAATCGAGGTCTACTGCAGCAGAGTATTACGTAGGCAGAGCAGGTTCAAGCGGAGAAAGTAGGGCCTTTGTGATCTCAGCCTTGGCAGAACTCTGGACTTTAGAAACCTCAGCTCTGGTTTGAGCTTTGTAATGTGGTCATCTGAGTGTGTGTGGGGGAGGACACCAGTAGCGTAAGTCTTCTTCCAGTGATGCAGGAGGATGTTTTTTTTTTAAATATAATTACACTTTTTTGTAATTACACAAGCGTGTAGGCGTTTAGATGCTGGCATCTTTACAATGAAACAGATTTCCTCGTTTCCAATATTCCTGAATATTGGACATGATGCTGGAACTCCCTCTGAACAGCTTGCATCAGCAGCAGATTATGTCAGCATTTTTGGGCACTGCACTCCCACTCAACAAGTCAGCAATTCCAGTCATGGGGAGCGGCACGCATAAATACTTGCTCTTCAGGTATGCAGCTGGCCACGCATCGGGAGGGAAGTACTGATGCTCCACTTCCACCAAACCAAATGTGTCTTATAGAAATATCTGGGAGTGCCTTTCTCTCTCGCTGTGAGGAGGACTTCTGGGAAGATCACAATGGCCCATGTGGGTGGTTTGTCTTAAGTGCCAGTTGGTGCCCACGCAATTTTTACCATGCCACATATGTTGATTCCCGTACCCAGGTTATTATTGAGTATAGAGTTTCAATCGTGAGAAGAGGGTGAAACTGAAATGTCAGAGTTGAGCTCTAGTGAATCATCAAGAGTGAACTACTTAAAAGAAAAGGTCAAAGATGAGCTTATGCCAACTTAAATAAAAAATAATTCCGCTTTCGCAACTGAAGTGAAATGTTATTCAACCATACTATGACCTATTAAGCGGTAGCATGGTGAGTTTTAGTTTTGACCAAACAAACAGGAGTTACAGAAAGGTTCGGGAATTAAGTGTACGATGATACCATGAAGAAGAAAATAAAACAAATAAAACTCGGTTGAACTTTGGAGAATATTTTTGTTGTGGTTGGTGATGACGTGGCTGATGGCTCGAGGTAACTCAGGGTCATTTCTACAGGAACTGAAGGTGCGTCTAACCCGCATGAGAGCATAGATCACATTTCTCTACATTTTACGAGGAAACATATACAAATATAACAAAGTAACAAATTACAAATCTGAAGACACAATTTTAACTGTGTAAACTTTTTTTCTACTGATTAATTTCCTTCTTTACATTTGTTTCATCCGTCATTTGCTATTTTTTTTTTTTTGTATGAGCCTATTTCTGTTCTTGCCACTGTACTCATACAGGGTCAGTTTTCTTTTATTTTCTATCACCAGGGGGACTCCAAGGTAATAAAAAAAAAGTTAATTATTTCTTTTATAGTATCTGAATATGAATTTATTAAAATTATTGGTAAGCAATTTTGGCATGAAATTCAGTGTTTATTACGTTTGATTTTAACCCTTCAGGATAATTCATATTAGCAAAGTCAACACTATAAACACAAACTAGCCAAATCAAATATAGGTGCATTTGATATTAATATAAAAATTAGATATTTTTGGGCATGGGTTGAACAACAAACCTGACTGGTTATAGCACCTTCTTTTAGGTTTTTATTTTTTGATTCTAATTAAGGGGAAACAAAGAGAAATTACATTTAAGTAAGAACTGAAAGTGTCAATCCTGTTTGCACGAACTACACCACAGGTCAGATTGCGTAACAGTCAAAGTTATATTCTGGCGAAACTGAACTGTCTCCTTTTTTCATGATGCTAAGAAGACTATTCAATGACAAAAAAAGGGGAAGCATCAACAAATGTCACCTTTTATCAACCTTCTAATTTCTTCTTTTACACCCACTGCATACTTGTGAAATGAAAGTGCAGTTTCAACAAAACTTCGTGTTCTGAGGAGCTCTTTTTATCTAAACTTTCTGGCAAAGATCTGACTAGGATTTTTATTTTGCTTTGTTATTGTCCCTTTTGAGTTTCTAACTGAGAGAAGTGATCTCATATTTGCATGACGCTGAAAGTAAAGTAGACCCCAAAAGACCAACTTTGTCCTTCACCTTTGCCATTTGCAGAGTTAAAAAATGATATTAATTATGTCCACCCATGTAATATCAAATACCAAAAGGTTATGGACTATGAGTCAACTCGATTAAAAAAATCATAAACTTGTAAACTACATGTACATGCAGCTCTGGCTTGTACTGACACACATATGCACATACACACAAAGCCACAGGCAAAGGCGAGATTAGACATGCTTTCCCTTAAAATCCGTCATTTGCTTTTCCTTCTTTATGCTTACAAACATACCTGAGGTTTATGAAGCCTAAAGAAATTATGTCTTATTAAGAACAGACCCACTTCACTCCCTTCAAATTATTTAATTCATCCACTCTCTCTCTCTCTGTGTGTGTGTGTGTGTGTGTGTGTGTGTGTGTGTGTGTGTGTGTGTGTGTGTGTGTGTGTGTGTGTGTGTGTGTGTGTGTGTGTGTGTGTGTGTGTGTGTGTGTGTGTGAGAGAGAAAGAAAAAGAGAGGGAGAATAAGAGTCTAGCTGGTGGTTTTGCAGATGTTTGTTTAGCCTCGAACTGAAAAATAGATTGATGAACGTCTCACTAAAAGCCAAATTAAACTTATCACAAATGCAAATAGTTATCAAGTAAGAGATGAATTTGGCTGACTGCGATGCAAAGTCGAACAGACTGCAACTGTTTGGGGCAAAGGCACTTAAACTTCATTCTTCATAACAGCATTTTGACGTGTTGTTTTTTCTTATCTTTGAAATGTCAAAAGAAAAAAAACATCAAGCAATTAAAGCATTATTTACCATAAAAATAAAGAGTAAATCCGCACATTAGGTGTTCATAAAATAACAGCTGTTGAACATTTACATGAAACAATTTACTACTCTCAAATTACTCACAAAACTCCTATCTACACCCAAAAGACTGTTTTAACTAGACTTTCATAATTTTAACCGCCAAGTCTCCTCAAATTTGACTGTCCTTTCAGTAAATAAATCTTTCCCTGAATTAGTTACAACATTTGCATTTCAAACTGTATTATTAATTCTGAAAGCTATTATTGTTGTTGTAATTACTGTAATAACTGTTGTTGTATTTGCATTTTCGATAACATTTTATGTTTATTTAGATTTTTTTCTGCAATATTGAAAATCGTAGTAGTGTGAATTCAACATATTGTAGCAGAGTAAGCTTGATGGTGACAGATTTAGCAACTGCTGTTACCCTGCAGTGAAATCTGACAGCAAAATTCAATGTGCTGAGTAAATTAAGCATGTTGTGTGGCAGTGAGAGTGAAACCTAGTCCCATTCGTCTTTTCTAGGCGTGTGCATTATGTAAGTCCTACACCATGAGGTGTTCATTATCAGGAATTAACGAACCTTGTAACATGAAGCAATCCTTTTGTCGTCTGATTTTTCATGGTTGACATGTCACTTGAGCTGTGAAGAGCAGCTTTGATTGCATTTCAGTTGCTATAGTAACATGTTTTGCATACAGACCACTACAAAGCTAGCAGATTACTATTTTTTATGAATTAACAGACACCCTGCTGCCACGGTGTACTATATGAATTTTGCATAATAACTCACTGTTGCACTGTCATTAGAATAGAGTCATTGCTACTGTTATTATCTAGATCTTTGCTTTACGATGAGGGGATAAAATGTGAATATGCCAAACAAAACTTCAAAACATCACAGGATATAATACAAATTTACACACAATGGAAAAGTGCAATACTTCTGACAGCTGCAGCATTGTATCTCAGTAAAGCTATCTCCTACTTTAAAAAAAGAAAATGATTCCAGCATTTACTTTACATTTTATAATAACATTATTTGTGTATTTCTGTCAGTGAGGAGATGAAGTTTGAATATGAGAAGTCTGAACTGGTTTGCACTGAGTCCACTGTCCACTACATGTAGACCTGGCATTAGAAACACATACTACTTCAAAAAAAGTATCAAAGAGTCAGCAGGGGGGAATAGCCCAAACAAGGAAACTTTCCACCTCTGCCCACGTCTGTGACTCATTCAGAAATGCAACCACTTGTTTATCAGTAAGTGTTATTGGATGTGCGTGTGTCCGTGTATGTGCTTGTATGCCTGTGTGCGTGTTTTTTTTGTGTGTGTGTGTGCCCATGTGGTCACTCCTTGACCCAGAGTGACTGTCTGTCAATGCCCTAGCCCACATTTAGACCTCCTGTACGCAGATTAAAAGATCACAGATTAAACACACACACACACACAAACACACACACATTCTGCTCAAGTGATGAATATCTGCAGGGCGACAAAGACACTGACTCAGCTACCAAAATGTCATCACTCTTTTATATGAGGTAAGCCTGAGCTACAATTACAAGCTGACAGGCAGATACCTGGGTTGGAACTGTGGGAGTGGAATGAGTGGAGGTGTGCAGGGCGTTCAGCCAGACAGCATTATGGGATGCCTCCTCAGAACAGGGCCGGGAAGTGCAAAACTAAAGGGCAACTTTTTCTCACACAAACAATAACACACTCGAGCCAAAGCACAATTTTATACATACTTTTGCATGCAGCCAACAAATTCCCAAACTTGGAAAAAGCATCCGTGTTTTACATCAACCTGATTTATAGGCTGTAACTGCAACTGTTTGATTCATCCCTGTCACTGTTACCTCACTTTGCCTCAGCCAAGAGGGGACAGTGCCTGTTTGTGGTCTGAGATCTCCATCTAAACACTTAAGGAGGGGGAATCCTGAGCTTAAAATGACAAAACCATAGCACACACATTGACACACACATGCACTTTTACATGTTCCTGTTTCTGACATCTCCTAGAAAATGGCATTTAAACAACTGCCTACACAAAGGTGACTCATACACCCACTGTTCACATATTTCCACACCATCTTAAAATTACACCCACGCACACTTAATATCACCACCAGCAGTTAAGTTGCAAACTAAATACCTGCAATAGTGATATGATGAGTTGTTTTCGTTAACCTTGTCCCAGCAGCCAACCCACTAACAGGTAGTTTCATAGGTATTATCTGAAGAGGGTTCCTCTTATGATGCAAGAATACTTTTCCATTTGATGGTATTGCCCAATACAGAGATTACAAAATTCCACCGAATTCAGTGTCCTCAGGATGCTTTTGTGTCTGCTTTTTTTTTTTTTTTTTTCTTGTCTGGCAAACTTTTGTCACCTTGCATTTATGCAAGTGGGAAAAAAAAAACATTTATTAGTGCAGAGGGACTCCTCTTAAGATGTTGCTGAATGAACAAGATCAGGATGTGAAGAAGGAAAGTTTACATTTGTCCTGATGTTTACAGCACTGTGCGTTCCTCTTGAGTCAACACTTGCACCTTATGGGAGCACCATCACCCCTATGGGATCCTTACTGTGAAGAGTCTGTTTGATCAGTGCATAGCTAACATGGATGATGACCTTTCAATCAACAGTCCAAACCCCCATAATGCAAATCTTACATCTTTAATTACTGATGTTCTGTTCCCACAGAGTCTCATTAAACAGGGAGCGACTGGTAGCCACTCGGTTAAACACAATCAGCGTCTGCGGCTGACAGTTGTTCCGCCCCTGCATAACTGCAGACCTGCCAGCAACGGAGCTATCTGCCTTGTCTGTCGGCATGCGTACAGCTTAAAGGGTGTAGGCACATTTGCAATACTCAAAGTCACAATTACCACAAGAGTCAAGCCAGTTTTAGTAATCAGCAGGTTAAAATCGTAAAAACATGAGCAGAAAGCACTCTTTGTCCCATGTCTAACGAGAGTATTAAAAAACGTATCATGAGACTTCGCACTCACTCAGATCATAAACTAATTTGAGATCAATCACAAGAGATTTCTAATGGGGGGACTGAAACCATCCCACATGTATAAAAGGTATGAACATACACACTCGTTCATGTGTCGTAGCATGCTGGGTCCTGCCTTGACACACACCTGCTGCTTCAAAAACACTGTGTACATACTTATGTGTGAGAGAGGGTCATATAGTGTTCTTTTCAAATGGTTCCTAAAGAAGCTTCTGCATAAGTGCTTCAGGAATCGTTTCTGAGCAACATCACTTAAGGCCACTGCAGCCTCTGACAGGTACAGTCGGAACAGATCACACACACTTTCAAAAGTACAGACATAATATCAAACATATGCTCACAAGAGCACACACCCTATGGTCAAAATACTTGATTGGCTGCAGGGTGTCTGTTAATTTGTAGGAAAAATACACCTCTAGTGTAATTCACTAGCTTCATATTGGCCTACAGCATTAATTCCTGATAACTAACACCTCATCGGGCATCAACTCACTTGAACTTAAACAAAGAAGACTCACATAGAGCTGGGTTTCACTCTCACTGCCAAACAACCTCCAAAATGTACCCACAGCATCAAATTGTGCTGTCAAATTTCATTGCAGGGTAATAACAAGAGTTGATAAATCTGTCATGCTGAAACGAGTTAGGGAAACTACACAGCAATAAGTGGGAGCTGCAGCATATCAGCCTTCTCTTTCTTGATGGAGACGTACACATAAGGCTGCTGAAAAAAAAGTGTAAAAAAACTCACAGTGATAACATCATATAATGGCCCTCAATCCCCAAGTGATATACAGTACACCTCCTGTGCTTCATGGAAACACTCCTCTACACTCCTCTCTCCTGTGTTTGGGCACTGGTGTGATAAGGCACTGATGGGTTGTATTACTTCACTTGGGTACTCCCAGGGGGAATCCCCCTAGTGTAGCCATGTATGCGCGTTGTCTATGAGGTGTCTATGTGTATGTGTGTGTGCGAGTGTGTGTGTTTCTCCACAGAGGGAAGAATGCCACCATTGAGCACCCTGCCATTGCGCCAGCAGTCCTCTCCCCCGCACCCCGCCCCCTTCCGTCCTCGCATGCACTCTGACGTACAGTTGGAGCAGATTTGGTGACATGAAGATAAAAGCCTTCCTCTGTTTCTTTCTGTTTCTCTTTTTTTTACTCTTTCTCTCCAGTGTCACCAGAGTGCTGAGCGCCACTGCCCTAGCCATACACAAAGAGAGCTCATTCAAACTGACACAATCACTTTTCACTTCTGCTGTGTGGTAGATCAGAGTTCAGAGTGTCCCACTGCAATATGTCCACCATACAGTCATCAGCTTTGCACTGGGGGGTCTAATGATGCTGGAAAACCACAGCATACACTACAACTGCGACATGTGACAAGCAGCACCACAGGAGCTTTTTTATGCAAAGGACCCTACTTCCTCTTCCATAAATCTGACAACACTGACAGACCTGCAGAGTTTTCACAGTTCTGCACAGAGGCAGCTGACACTTAACCTGTCAGAGAAGTTCTTTATAGCTGGATAATTAGTTTTACAAGGAGGAAGAAGAAGAACATAATATTATTGATTTGATTTGTAAAATTCAATTTGCCAAGCAGGAAGTGGTGGCACCAAAGTCATTCATTCAAGATGTTGGTGGCCTTGTTTGCTTTGGGGGTAATCAAGAACAAACTTTAATCTTTCAGTTTTCAGAAGTCTACTTTGCAAAACAACAAGAATCGATAATGTAATTGCAGATTTAAAGAAGGATTGCATCAACAGCAGCAAGAACAAAAACAAGGTTGAAATGCACCGACAAATGGATTAAAGGGGAAACATTTACTTTTATTTTCTCTTGATATGAGCAAAAACTACAGATTTTTTTTTCTCTAAAGCTGCAGGGATTGTTAAATTTGAAGATACTTGAGGGAAAAAATAAATGAACCCTAAAAGAATATTATATGTTCATTATTGTTTTAATTAAAGTCAGTTTAAGGTTCAATAGAAGGTAAGGTGAACAGTAAATCCCTATGTAAATGATTGCAAGCCAACCCCATACTCCCCTTGGTGAAAAAAAACAACAAGTGCTTGTGCTTGGGTGTGAGTGAGTCACCTGACAAGAGATGCTGGTGGACGCAGTTGATTATCCACACGTCCAATTCTATTAAAAAGACACGTCATAATCCCTAATCACTTCCACGTCTGGCAGAATAAAGACTGCTGGTTAATCTGGATTACACGTCACTATGATGAGGTCACACAGTTGAGGCAGCTGATATCCCAACTGGCCAGGAAGAGCTGAAGAGGAAGACACCAGGTGAAGCACAAAGGGGGGTGGGGGTAGGAGGGGGACACACACACACAAACAATTAAGCAGATGGGTTACACTAAAGGACAAATGTTCAACACAAAACCAAGATGGCCAATCATGGTAGAGAATGTAAAGTGAAAAGTACTGGCATTAGCTTGTACAAATATGAAGGCCCCATTTATTAAAAAATAAATGGCCCATTTATAATGTCTTACCCCAAATGACTTTGACAGTGCCAATGAATACATGAGGGGGAACCAGCAAATGCAAAACAACTCGTGATCTATGCCTATAAGATATGACTTGCCTGCAATGCCATAGGGGTTGAATTAAACTGACGCATAATTCATTTTTTAAAATTACACACACAAACAAAACAAAAAAACAGAAACGAACCAAATGAGAAACCTAAAAGAGCAGATGATGCAAGAGTAAACACAAAGTTTAAGTATCCACCCTTTTGTTTATGCACTTCGACTATCAGGTGTTCATAACAAGTGAAGGAAATAAAAGAAACTACTTTAGACTGAGTGTGAAAAGTGAATTTAAACGGTACATGTGCAACAGATTTAAAATGATCTATGCACTTATGTTTGTTTTATCCATAGAAGTCTCAAACATCAGGTCATGTAATCTGAGGGACCAAACAGCACTCTTACCAAACATTATCAGGATCCATGTAATATGAGAGTTATTGTGAATGCGTAAAACTGGGGGAATTGGTGTCCCTCTGTGTTTAGATGGCAGTGGGCTTTTCCTTTCATTACGCAAACACGCATGAGAAAATGCTTGGCTTCCTTCTCTGCAGGTCAGAGAGCACGTGTAGCACAGGAGAGGGGTTTCCCCAGGGCGGACGCGTAAACATTAGCCGACCGTGGCTGCGCAAGGTGTGTGAGCTCGCCTTTCACGGCGCGTTTTTTCTTCATTTCTCATCGTATATTTTGCGTAAAACTCCACCTACGACTTCACCACTTAGATACAAACCGGGCAAAAGCGGGGTTTCTCCGTCTGTGTTTCAGACTCAAACGGAAACAGCACAGCTTTACTAAACTGCAAGCTATCACATTCACAAACCTGGTGTGTGTCTGCTTGGCGAGCCTACGAGTCTTTTCTTTCCCCGCTTTTCCAGCCTTGTCCCCGGGAAGAGAGGGAACCTGTGGCTGACAGAATTACCCTCGATTTCTCCTACCCTTTCATCTCTCTCTGTCGGCACAATCAGCTGACTGTAAAACTATCCTCTACTATCTAATATCAGGTTGGGACCGTGTCTGCTCATTTTGAAGCCGTAGCCCACTACAGACTGTTTTCTATATGGCCTAGGTTTCCCTCGCCAAATGAAAATGGGGACATGCTTTCCAGCTAAAAATACCTGTCTACGACTATATTTGGCTTGGCTGGATCACAATCACAACGCTAAAATAGTCGGGCCCGCCCCGGCACAATGAATGAGCTCTCTGCTATCTCACTCTGCCTCCATTCGCCAGGTGCTAAATTTAGCAACGAGGCTTGCGTCAATCACGAGCCTAGTGCGTCAAGGCTTCCCCCGCCCCCCGGAGTTCATCATTGGTCAGAATTAGGACGTTGACCGAAAAATACGCGCCTTGTGATTGGCTTTCGTGAATTATTGTTCTCAGAGTCTCCGCCGGTACTTTTTAATTTTCAGGTTTCCGTGTACGCTTAAGGGCTGTGGTTTAGCCTTATATCCTGTCAACTGAGAACATTATACTTTATCTGTTGTAGTATGTTGTCTCAACTAGAGATATCTACGACTTTAAGAAAATTAATGAGTCAAAATAATTTTGTTTTCTGTCTGTTAGATACCAACTGCCATACACGATAGACCTACTTTCCATGTAGAGAAGAAATACACTATTTTACACCCACTGTGGCTGAGCACCAGTATGTTATTAGATTGAAAATAGTCCTGTTAATTGTATTGAATTATTAAAATTGCTCACACTATAAGATACTTGGTTTCAAGACTTGTCTTCAGCTCATGCAGTTGGCACTGAGCGAACCCAATCTAATTTGTGATTAGATAAGTACAATAATACAACCTGATTTCATCCTAAACCTCATTACACTTTTAGACTATACATTTGACTAAACAACTAAGGGTGAAATGTAGGTCATAAGACATTAAAAAAAAAGATTTTCAGCCCTGCTTTAGTCTTTTGTCACCACAAAATGACACTTGTGATGTTAGATTTATTACAGCCTAGAGGCGAAAAGTCTATTTTGAACTTTTTCACTACAGACTCATGACCTAGGAGCATGAAGTTTGGAGTAAAAATAACAACATATCCAAAACACAATGACAGATGAAAGATTAGCTCATTAAAAAAGATTGATAACAAAGTTTGGAACTATCATGAGACATAAGTAATGGATATTAATCTATCTGGACACTACCTCTGATCCTGCAACACAAATGGGTAACAGTTCAAGAGTTGGCTCTAAGCAGAAAGAGCAAACAAAATTGTGTCTCACAATTTGTTTTTATGAAAGAGTTTATTCAAATGCCTAAAAGATGTTGGAAGAAGTTAGAATAAACAGTTGGATTTGATTAACTTAAAATCACTACACTGCCTGCCTTAATATTTCAATACTAACACTCTTAAATGTATCACTCACAAGGTAACACAGGACTTGACCTATATACAGTTTGTGGTCCTGAACTTTTTTGACTTCAAGTGTTTGTCCCAAATGTTTTACAGATAATTCTGCATGTGAAAGGACTTCAGCAAAACTAATTCAAGCTCCTCACTGACTCTTGATATGATATCAGGATATGACCATAGCTCGGGCTGAACAAGCTTAGCCCTCACACAACCACAAATCGCCTCAGCGCGCATGTCAGATCCCCCCTTTTGCTTCTTGGTCTGCAACCATCAAACCAACCGTCCCTCCCCCTCGCTTTCCCCGATCCTCTCTCCACCTCTCTCTCTCTCTCTCTCTCTGGCACGAAGCGCGAGGCTTATGTGTCTGGTACTGTACGGAGGGAGAGAGAGAGAGGGAGAGAGAGGGAGCTCTACTTCAAGTGACGTCACCTCTCCCATGGCGTCACATTGACGTAGCGCATACCAGCCGCTAATGTGGAAGCGGAGCCCACATAAATGCACTATTTGACTTTCTCCCCCTCAGACAGCGCACATAAACAAAGCCGCGTTACAACTCCACACTTTGCAAAGCACTCAGCAGCACTGAATGACAAACTCGCCGCTTACAAGACCGGACGCTGACAAGCTCCTTTTTTACCTGGGAGATTTTTGTTTTATTTTTTCTTTTTCGACCACTTTGTAAACTTTTGAGAAAGAAGGAAGAAGAAGGAGAAACTTTCTTAATTCTCTCCGATGCACCCTGTTTTTTCTACAGTACCGCTACTATTTTCTGAGACATTTTTTCCTTTTATTTTCTCGACTCTTTGTGATTACCCTGGATGGAGATAGGATACTTTGTGCGAGGTTATTACTACATGTAAAAACGGAACCGCCACAGCAAACAGGTAAGAAAACCGAATGAATGAGTGTATGAATGAGACACACGGACTCTCAGTGGCTTTTATCACCTGTTCACTGGTCTTGTTGTATCCGCTCTCAAACAGACCACTTTATGTCTTGTCTGTTGAACTTTGTGAGTTCAACCTGTTGATATGTTCAGTTCCAACACTCGTACCGCTGCTCACATTTGGACCTCGTGTGTTTGTGTGTATGTGTGTGTTTGTCTTTGTCTCCCCGGGAGCGATTGGAGCAGATTTTGAATTTAATTTGCACTGAGAAGCTATCATATCCTTTCTGGTTGTCATGGAAATGAGATGCCTCACATTCACACAGTGAATAGAGGAGTCAGACGCACTAATGGTCTGAGTGGAGAATAGTCTAACCTACATTCAGACAGGAGCTGAGAGAGAAAAAGAGAGAGAGTTGAGGCTCTTTATTTCACGCCATGTGTTGTTTTTCCTCTCATCATTTAGGATTTTCTAGGAATGTTCTGTTAATGAACGACTCATAGGATTACATGGTGTGTGCGTCTGAGTGGGTGTGTTCACGTCAGTATTTTGTTGACAAATGAACACCTCGTGCTGCATACTGCTTCTCTATACTCTTTGGCCTCACTACGAAGTTTGAGGAGTTTCATGAAAATGATCTTCAGAGCAGCTTTAATAGGTACAGCCGGAGCAGTCGTCCAACAGGTGTCACTTCGCGAGTTTCAGCAGTCCCACTATCTTCGGTCTGTGTAAGGACAGGGCCTTTCCTCCCATTGATCGCAGGAAGAAAACCCTCAGCATTCAACACACAGCCGCGTCAAATTTCTTGAGCCCTCCGGGGAATATATCATGAAGACATTTCTTGACAACTGCATTCTTAAGCAGCTGTTATACTCGTATAAGAATTAACCCCTGCTGCTTTCTGCCTCCTTTCCGTCTTTCTTTCATACTCTTGGATCTACGCACGCACGCCATTGCGCACGTAGAAGCTTCTGACAGTCCTCCTCTCAGGGCTGATTTACTGTACTCACATATTTCTCACTTCTCTCCTTAATGTCTTCTCTTTTCTCTGCCTCTGTTTGCTTGAAGCCTCGCGCTGTCCGGGGTTATTGGTGCAAGGGGGCTACCGGCGCTCCGGAGCGCGTGCTTGCAGGTCTTGTTTCGTTCTCTTGGTTACCGGTGGCGCGCGGAGCCAGAGCCTCACCGACCGGCTCGGCCTGAGAAGAAAAAGCAAGAGAGGTGCCGTTTGCTCATTTAGGTAAAAACAGAATGAGTGTCTATTTCAGCAGAAAGTACGAGTTATCAAACTGTTCATAATCTCTCATGTATTCCTAAACCAAAGAGCGCATTTACGCACAATTACGCATAAAACTCTCCAAGTTAATGTAAGAATGGAGCTATTCAGACTTGTATCAAATATCCTTTTATATCTTCTGCTGCTGGAGCTAACCAATGTGAAAGGCGTAAAGGTATTTTTTTCCCGCACTGAAATGGCCCCACTCAAAATTGAATAATGGCTGTTTCATATCAACTCTAATCAAATCAAAGAAGCACAGCCTTGTTGTTTGTTTAGTCTTGTAATTTTTGTTTTTTAACATATTTGGAGGCTCTGTTAGGCATTTCATTTTCTTAACAAAGGACATATCATGAAAAGTAACCTTAAATGAAAGTTCAGACTTGGCTGGTTTAGAGAGGAGGGGAGTTTGGGGAAAAGTCACAGAGTGGACGAATTCAATATGTTGACAAAGATAAGAGCAGGCTGCAGGTGCCATGAGAGGGGTTAATAGGGGCTCCGGCATGTCAACACACAGTATTGAGATGTATAGCCAACCGGTAGATAAAGTGGTCTCTTGACTTGATTGTTTCTAAGAGGGTCTGTAAGTCTGGTAGAGAGAGAGGGTGTGTTTGTGTGTGTGTGATTGGATATGAGAGAGTGTGTGACAGAAAGGGGGCGCTCTGGGCCTTGAAATCTGACAGCCACAGTGCGCCCTGCTGCAGTGAGAAGGAGTTGGAGGTGCAAGGCGCACAGGAGTCCGCTGGTTTGGTTACGGGTCCGACTCTCCAACTTTCTAGATTGGTCTCTCTTTCTGGATGAACCCTGAGCAGGCGAACACGCTGGTGATCAGAGGCAAGAAAAGCGATGGGCTGGCGGCACTGGCACATTCTGCGTTTTTAAAAGTTGTCACTTTTGTAGGTCTGTATTTTCTGGAATATTATTTTTAGTTTTAACCTGTTTGGATTTCTCTTTGTAAAATCATAATCCTAAATTGCGGACTGAGAGACGCTGTGGTCTTAGAATGAAACTTATCGCCCACGTAAGCACAAGTCCTGATATGAGCTGAAACTCCTCAGTTGTGGTTCTTAGCATTCCTTCTAGCACAGATTGACTGTCATGTCTAATGTCTTACATGTCTTGTGTCAGAATTTTGTGCGTGAAACTTTCACTTATCTTGTGTTTGTCCTGATTTCATGGGTAGCTTCAATGATTGATTCCGATTTAAGAACCTGTATCTCGCTCTGCTGTGCGCACGGTGGTTTCCTTGCTCTTTCATCTTTATGCTTCTTTTAATCATATTTACTAACTTGCTTTTTAAGATTTTTAAACTCGTTATAGCCTCTTGGTGATTGAGTCATTTTTTTCCCTCGTATTTTTCATGGTGGAAGCATTTAAGACATTTTGAGTCGATATTAAAAAGAAGTGTATGAACAAGAATTTCTGAGCAAGTTTTTGGGAGTTGCTCTTTTGAAATGGCAAAAAAAATCGGACTAAATCTTAGATTAATAAAGAGCACACATTATTCTTTACTTTTTAGTGGTCGACAAGTGGTGATGCGAAAACACAATTATTTATCCCGCACGCCGCCCCTTCACTGGCTGTGAATCTGACATCTCTCCTCCGAACACAGGTTCGGAAGAGCGCGCCCAGCCGAGCTCGGAGCCCCGGAGATCGGACACTTCCTCAGCGACGCCCGTCGAGTCCTCCCTGCTCCAGGAGCCCTGTCCCGGCCGCAGCCACGCCACCCCTCAACCCCGGACACCCAGCACCATTCAGCGCGAGGCTCTTACACCAGGTACACACTTCAACTCTTCATTTAAGTATCATCAATTTTCTTTCTTTCTTTCTTTCTTTCTTTCTTTCTTTCTTTCTTTCTTTCGCCTCTGCTTTAGAGTGAAGTGTGGCTGTTGTGAGTGAGATCCGCTGTTGTTCACCTCTTAGAGGTTTTTTGGTGTGTTAAATTGTTGAAAAACGCACAACAACCCACAAAGTCAGTGTAGAATCAGGGCTGACACGGAGTCTATATCAGATAAGCTTTATTTTGGGACGTTTTCCCATCTTCACCTCATTGACCGAAAATTCAATTATAAAAAAAAAAATAAAATTTTATGAACTTGCTCCTATAATCTTTTTTGTGGCCGCGTGAGTCTCAGCTTGTATGCGCGTGTGTGTCTGTGTGTGGGTATGTGTGTGTCGTGTGTTGACTGGCAAGTGCGGACGGTGTTGACATTTCAATCATTAGATAAACTAGCAGAAATGGAAGACATCAGGCACACCTAAGTCTACAAACTGTGCTGAATGTACGTCAGTGACAATGATCCGAACAACTCGACAGCATCTATAAAACCTTTGTGACTAAAACTGAGCACAACCACATTTTAGAGATTGTTTCAGTTTAGAAAAAAATACTACTCAGTCCTGAATGTGAGAAATAATGTTACACCTCCCCGCAGTTTAATGAAACGTCTTTGTAAATGGAAGAGATGAGGGTTCATTTATAGACATTAAGCAAATATGTTTCTGTGCTTTATGTGTGTATTTGTGTTTGCATTTGTATGGAAGTGACTTTTATGAGGCCACTGATTTCAAATTATTTATCTCATGAAAAACTATCCTGTGATTTTTTTGTATTTATGTCTGCAACTTCATGTTTTTATTTGTTAGATCTATGGCATTCTGACAATGAACAAGCGCGCTCAGTTATTGGAACAGCTGCAGTTTGTCCAGTTGAAATGCACCCCTCGAGGTTAGCGACTGTTTCCCTTTGCTTCACTTTGCTGCACCACCTGTGTCTGACTCTGCTTGGGTTGTCTGTCCTATTGCTTGCACATCTACACACACATACACACACACACACACACACACAAACACACACCTGCTTGCATGCATGTGAAATGAAGGTTAATGATGGTGGTGGTGGAGGGCAGAAAGCTTCCTATAGATTTGGGGTTAAAAATGTAGCTCAACTGATAATCATATTTGTTCTCAGAAGAGTGTGTGGAGGAGAAAATAAGCACGCTCGTGAGCATGGGTGTGTGTGTGTGTCACTGAGTGATGGCTATAGGCACACCACCAAAAAAGTAAAGCACCGGTGAGGATGAGACATTTGCAGAGACACAAGTGGTTTTACAGGTTCTTCTCAGGATAAGGGTGCATGTTATTGGCAGGATGAGAGTATACAGGCTCATGTTGACATCTTGAACATCTTTAGTGATGAAAATATATGTGTGGGTGTGTATGTGTGTGTGTGTGTGTCCATCTGTCTTTACCTGACACACACACAGACAAACATCATAGCCCATACAGTGAGAATATTTGTTTTACAGGATGTCTTTACCACGCTCTTTCTGTCTTTCATCTCTTATTAGCAGGAACATCAAACTGAACTGAAAACCTATTTTATTTGAATATGTGTGTGTGTGTGTGGTGTGTGTGTGTAGAAAGCTGCATTTGACAGGTGCAAAAGTCTTACACCACTCCCATCTACACACACTCTCACACACATATGCACATACACACATTTATGCCCAACATTGATCTGAGGCTTGACCTACTGACACAGCACAGAGAGCCACAAAGTTCACCACACTACTTTCTCTCTCCTTTTTTTCTCTTCGCTGGTGCTTAATCAGTGCTTTAGGTGTAGCCCACTAAACACCCCATGACGCCCATAATGCTGCATGTGTGTTTTTCCACGTGGGTGAAAGAGCTGGTCACTTGTAGAAGAAAAAAAAATCAATGACGTCAAGCGTACGTAGGCCTACAGCTTGACTCATATCCTCAATTTAAAAAAAATGCACTTTGATTTTCCTATCGAGACTCACTGCTGTTTGCATTGTGTGTGATATCAATAATGGTCAACTTTAAAAATCAATTAAAAGTAATGGGCGATTTTAAAAACGGGATACACCAAGCTACTAGTTGAAAGAAAGGATAGCTAATTTGATATCTTGTGTTTGTAAAATACAAATACACAAAATTAAAGTCATATTCTGTCAAAAAAAGATTTTATTTATACTTAACTAACGCCATAAAATCTTGTATTCTTATCATACAATCGCAGCTGAAACTCCAACTATCACTCAAGTTGAGAAGAAAAAAAAAGAAGCAACTTAAATTTATTATTCTTTCCCCTCGAGTGACATCCATATAAATATTCCAGTGGTGCTTGATACTTTCAAGGCAAAAATTCGTGAAAGTTAGTTTTGAGGGTGAGAAACAGTACATGACTTTTTTTTTTCCACTGAACACAGTAACACGAATATAATCATTATCACCACCCCAAGCCTATGGATGGTGGTATTTGTGAGTGCTTAGACAACAGCAGGACCGATATGTCCCGTATTTGAATGGACAAACATGACGCGTGAGGAACGGGGGCGATTACGGCAGCGCTCGCACAGGCTGGGCGTCAATGGGCGCAGCACAGTGTTGACAGTTCCGCGCTCGAGAGCGACGAGCAAACACCACAAAACCCCGGCTGCGCTCATGACACCCATGACTGATCAGCCCGCACACACTCACCCCAAGCACACGCGCGCCCACTGGGCTCACACTCTCACATACATATGCGAGGGTTACGCACGCAAGCAGGCGCAGGTGGAATGAATTGCGCAATGGGTTTGGTGGGACGTATAATGCACGCGCTGCAGTGATTGTAACTGAATTAACTTTGGAGGAAAAATTCAAGACATACCGACTGGCGTCTGCAGCAGTTAGAGGAAATATCTGTGTGTGTGTGTGTGTGTGTGTGTGTGTGTGTGTGTGTGTGTGTGTGTGTGTGTGTGTGTGTCTGCAAGAAGCATCCAGCACCACCATGGGGTTCCATTATTGTTTAATGTTATCTCATCTGCTTTGCCATCTGACTGACCAGAGTCCTGACACACACACACACACACACACACACACACACACACACACACACACACACACACACACACACACACACACACACAGACTACATGCACTCATACATTTGTCACAAGCATTTCAGCTTGCAGAGTGGATTGGATCTTCGCTTTGACTGCTTGGCCTCAGAATAGCGCACGGATTGGATGCAGTTTCTCTAACTGAACTAACTGTGGGAGTCTGAGGCTGTGTGTGCGTGCTCCAAAAATCTCTACTCTTATTCAGTGAAGAGCAAGAAGTGTTGAAGCAGGAAATTGAGTAAATGCTAGCAAATGGAAAGAATTGTTCAAAGTTTTCATGTAGACCTTGAAAGGTGCATTCGGAAAAAGTTTTATGACATTGCAAAATCCCTGACGACTTTAAAAAACCTAAAAACTGCCTGTTCCAATAGAGCTGTGCAGAAATATTTCACTGTCTAATTGTCGACCCTGTTTGGCACGATCCTTGTGTGCATGAGCCTCCAGCAGAGTCTGCCTGATTCCTGTAGATTTACTGTTGGGTTGTTCCTGTGTCCTTGTTCTTTAAGTGCTGCTTTTCTGTTTTAAATCAGTGGTTAACTAATAGGTCAATAAACTTTCTCACTGACTAATGATTGTTGCTGTACGGCCGTACTCCACTAACAAGTATAAAAATGCTTTTTGATTGAAATGTCTGTTTCTGATGTTCCACTCAGCTCTAATATATATATGTGTGTGTGTGCTCTGTGTCCCTGGCAGACATGCCCTGTGTGCAGGCTCAGTATGGGCCCGCCCCTCCAGGCTCAGCCTACTCTGGCCAGTCCTTCAGTTACCAGGGCGATAGCTACAGCTCTGACCTCATGTCCTCTGACTACACCAAGCTGGACCTTGGCGGCGGTGACATCTCTGCTGCAGCAGTGACCACCTCCCTCCCGAGCTTCAACGTGTTCGTGGAGGGGAGCTACGAGCCCAAGTCGTCTTGCCTCTATCAGATGCCTCCTCACAGGCCGACCATAAAGAAGGAGGAGGAGAGCTACCCGACTGCTCCGCCTCTGGAGGCCATGTCCTCATCCACCATGTACTTTAAACAGTCCCCACCCTCCACCCCGACAACCCCATCTTTGCCACCTCAGCCTGGCACCTCCTTCCTCTGGGAGGAGCACCCCTTGGCCCCACCATCACACACCCACTCTCTGGGCTCCAGCTTGGAGGGTGGCCCCCTAAAGTCACCCCGCTTTCCACACTTCTACCAGCATTCACCACCCCACAGCGGCAGCAGCGTGGGTGGCTATGAGAGTCTGGGAGGAGGACTGGTTCGCACCTCATCCTCTTCTTCATCCTCCTCATCCTCAGTTTCTCATCCCCACGGCCCGCCCCTGGAGCAGCCCATGTACCAGCTGCACCGCGGGGCTGGGGGCAGCAGCCTCGCCTTCCGCTCTCTGGCTCTCGGGCCTTGTGGTCCCCTGCTGGGAGACAGCCTGCCCTCACCTCCTCCACGTGGCCCCCCGGGTGAGGGCACCTGCGCAGTGTGTGGAGACAACGCAGCCTGCCAGCACTACGGCGTACGCACCTGTGAGGGCTGCAAGGGCTTCTTTAAGGTAAAAACCCTTTAAAGATTCTGAGATATGTTGTCAACGGTTCAGCTGACCTTTGAAAGAGCTTAAAATGCAGAAAGTCTTGCGTGAAAATGGAAGTTTTACAGTTCTCAGTCCTGTTGTTTCTAACTTCTGTTCATCCAGTCCCACAAATGGACACGCTTTCAGATGCACACACTCATTTGTTGTGACAGTCCCCCTTAGAATATCACCGGTTATCGGCGGTCTAGCTGCATGTGATCAATTTTGTTCCACTTGTGACGCTCCCACTCTGCACCCTTTGCCACACTCTGTAAATCAAATGTAAAGTCATTATGAAAGCTTAGCACATCTACAAAGATCGTCTCTTCCAGCACCCAAGCATTCAGAGTGTGTGTAAAGTACGGCCTGTATGAGTGTGTGTGTGTGTGTGTGTGTGTGTGTGTGTGTGTGTGTAAGACCACACGATGACAAAACTCATTCTGTCGCAGACAAACAGGGAAACTGTCCCACATGAAAAGGAAGTCCTTTAAAATCAAAGATCCCTCACAGCTTGTCGATGAACTCTGAATCAGCAGCCACAATAGTGACTTCAGTTCACTTACACAATACTCAGCAAGAAATGACTCAGATTTGGTCCATCACATGATTCAATCTAACACTTTTCACATCCCATTTACCACACATGAGCTCTCACACACGCTTACACACACACAGTTCAACAATTAACATCCTGCAAAGACAGTTTTTAGTCACACAGATTTCTCATTTTTACAAAACAGAAACATCGCAACAAACTTGCATGTGGTATAAAGCCTCATTCATAATTCAGTGAATTTACACTCAGCAACGGTGAAGCAATGTCTCTGCACATTTTGAATTTCAATGTTTTTTGACACGTCAAACTTTTTATTGACGGGATGATACGAGGAGGTAAAATGAAGAGACAACAAAAAGGAGGATGCAAACACAGAGGTAATTGAATAATGCCTCTGGTAGGTGGAAATGAATTATCCTTGCTTTCAATTAGTTTCACAATTTGTTTTTATTTAGTAATTAATAACAGCAACGTCTGGTGGCAGCAGGCCGCAGGCTGTCTGTTCGCTGCAGCACTCGACAGCCACACAGCCTGTCAGACCTCACTATGTTTCCTTTGCTCACACATGCAGATGCAACCAACTATGCACACATATCATCTGCACACAACCACATATTCATACAGAAGCATGAGCATGTTTGTGAGTGTGTTTAATCCAGGATGCAGCATTGAAAAACTGAGCCATTCTTCCCAAACACCTGCTCTTTTTTCATATTCATATAATCAGGTCCATTACTTCCATTATTCTGCTGGTTTTATTGTGCCCTTAAAATATGTTCCTGATTATATTTGATTATCCCTGAATAGTTATTACACATTAAACCATTGTAGCGGCTTGCTGTAAATTAATCTTATTTCATTAGTGCAATTTGAGACACATTTTCACAGTGAATTAATTTGAACTCTTAAACCAATTTCTTCAGTTTTCATTATTTTGTCCAAATAATGTAGTCCATTCCCTGGTTTCCATTAATTGGTTGAAACTATTTAAAATTTGAAAGTTGACATAAAAATCAACCCGATGTTGAAAAAAATAAACATGCTACAACTTAATAAAGAGAATATTCATATTATTCTGTTTTATACACTCACTCTCCTCAGCACAGAAGTTACGTTTGCTGTGCTGTTTTTCAGGGAACACTCTGGGTCAGCTCAGTTCATTGAACACCGTTTTTATTTTCCATGGCTTGCACAGCATGCAAGTCATAGAAAGGTTGAAAGGTGCATCGATGTTAGAGGTAAGGGAAACTTGAAAACAGTTTGGGTAAAAAAAATACACAAAACCCCATCACCTCAGAGCAAATGTGATAAAATGCAATCAAGTCAAGACATATGAGGACATTAAGACATCAAGATATCACCATGTAGAAAGCAATAAAATCAGCTCACACATGTTTTTACTATGAATTTCCAAGCACTTTGTCTACAGAGAGAGAGAGAGAAAGAGAGAGTGAGGAATGATTGCCTCTTCTTTGTGCATACAGGAGATGAGGAGGCAGAGGGAGGAGAAGGGGGAACACGGTTCCCTAAAGGCTTTTAATTTAAGCTGGGGCTATTAGCACATGTTACTTGTCAGAGAATCTGCCTCTGCATGCCTCTCCATGCAGCCCCCACAAAACCCCCAGCTTCTGCATTGGTGTGTGAGTGTGTGTGTGTTCATTTTTTAGAGGGCCTTATATGGATATAGAATGTCAGACTATTCTCTTTGTCTCCATTTCAAACTTAATCTGTAGCTTAGATTCAATTTTTGTCAACACAGACATCAACTTTAATCCAAATTTCCATTTTCTCAAAAAACTCAAGACAGATTAGATTATTCAACCAGAGAAAGAACATCCTCGCACATGCTCATACACTCCTAAAGACTCGCTCATACATACATGTGGGCAATGAACAGAGCACAAGACAGATCTACAGATTTGTTAACCATGTTGGGATAATTGAATCTGTTTGTATGGAGTTTGTGTGTGTGTGTGTGTGTGTGTGTGTGTGTGTGTGTGTGTGTGTGTGTGTGTGTGTGTGTGTGTGTGTGTGTGTGTGTGTGTGTGTGGGCATATAGGAAGCTTCCCCTTGATGAGTATCAGAGCTCTGATATATGCAGTCGCCAGTCATGCTCCACGCTGCTCATTAGAAAGCAATGTCACAAGAGAAACACATGCACGCACATAAACACACATAAGAAAGCACACACACACACACACACACACACACAAAAGCAGGAGACAGGCCTGCAGAGCTTCATTTTCAGAACCTTAATTGATCGTTTGAAAGAAAGGCTTTTTGGAAGCAGCTATCTCATAAATGAGGCCCTGAGGTCAAAGAGTGGAAGAACTTCCCCTCTATTTACCACCAAGGTCCACTCAGCTTATACTCTTTTACCTTCTGTCTCTGCAGGAATGAAAAATAAACTCTCACCACATAAGAGAGAAGTTTCACAATCATATAAAAAAGTAATCTATTTCTTTAAAGTTTACAGAACTTTGCTGTTATGTGTAAGAGGCAGACTCTGCAAACATCTTAAACTTTGTTCTGGCTTTGGTGCCCCGGAGTTGTGGAGGTGTAAAGAGACATTGGCATGTTTTAGCTCGGTGCGTCATGCAGCTTTGGACTCTCACTTAACGGATGCTGTTTTCCCTCAACCACATTAATGACCATAACTAACTTATCCCCGCGCGCACGGGTCACTGACCATTGAAGGGATGAGAGGAAGAAGACATACACGGCGATCTTCGGTACCATGGCAACACTCGCATCCGGCACTGGCGCCCATTACGCGCTAGTTCCGCGCTCGCGCCGGAGCATATGGAATAATTGGTGTGTTATTGGTCTCCTGGGGGCACGGGCATGTGTGGCGCGAGGGGTTCCTAATTGGATTTATTTGTTTTGATGTGTTTTAGAAGCATTAAAGAAGAAGAGAAGCCGCGACACTTTCTGGGGGTTCCGTTTACAGTGTGCTCGGTGGAGTCAGGCGTTGACAGCACACAAATTTAAACTCTTTGACCAAATTATTATTTTAAAGATGCCGTTTTGTGGTAAAAACCCGCCAAAGGCTTGCCCAACAGTTGAAATATTCGTGTCAAAGACGTCTGTTGATGGGGAATGATGATCTGACCTTCCCCAAATCCTGCACACATACTTTGAAGTGTTTGAAAATCTCACAGCAGCCAGTGTCTGACTCTGAAAGAAACTTTTCACCGACTCTTCACTTATCCCACCTTCAGAAAAGCACTTCTTTACACTCCTTTTCAGCCCACAGCACTCGGGTTTGCTCCATTGACGCGCACTTGAGAGACTGCCGCCTCTGTTATCAGTGCTTTTATCTACGCGGGATCGCACCAGCCCCCCACGTGGCCCGTTTCTGATTTCATTTTAATAAGGTCAGTAATAATCGCGCGAGCCAGCCGAGGAGAAAACAGCTCCCGCGGGGCCAGTTGAGTGAGGCGCCATGCGCGCGGCCCCCGAGGTGCCACGAGCTGACCCGCGAGCTTCACAAACAATCTGATCAGGCAGCTCTTGCGGACGCTCTTCCCCCTGTCTCGCGGGACCCGCTTCGGCACGCCATGCGCTCGGTCCCCCCCATTGTCAGCCCCGGCGCTAATAAAATTGTCCCTCCTGCAGGCGAGGCTTGTTGGGAAATTAATTTTATCTAATTATACTGATGTCACCGCCGCCTTTCAGCGCGTAATTAAAATCTGACCTGCGAGCTTCTGCTCTCGGTCTTTGATGGGGAAGGAAAAAACAGAAATTGAATTAAACAAATCAAATATTAGGTGGATGATTGTTTTCGGAGGCTGATTATCGGCGTGCTTTTTCCCCCCTCTCTCCTCAGCGCACTGTGCAGAAAAACGCGAAGTATGTGTGTCTAGCCAGTAAGAACTGCCCTGTGGACAAGAGGAGACGCAACCGCTGCCAGTACTGCCGCTTCCAGAAGTGTCTGAGTGTGGGCATGGTGAAAGAAGGTAAGAGGGGCGAGGTGAAATGACTGCTGATACTTAATGTAAGTTTCAGGTGAACGGACCTGACGGGGCAGCACCACGCTCATTCATGCCCGTGGTAGTGGAGAGAGAAAGCAGTAGCAGTAGTTAGTTCCCATCAGTTTTAACAGAGCAGACTGAAAATGAATGATTTGGAGATTTGAAACTGACACTAAGGTGTGTCCATCCTGCTCAGAGACGCTCACACTTTTCATCTCCCTGATGTTCCTCACCTGTCTCACACACTCATACAAAGCTCTCACAGCACACACACTTCTCTTCCTGATAGCACATGTATGCAGCAGACAGAACAGTTCCACTGCCATCTGCTGGCTAATTTCCTTCTGTGTCAGATTGTAGGAAACACAGGGAGAGATCTTGAATCATTTTTGCTACCATAAAAAGATACAGATAACAAGGAATAGGAGATCTTTCAGCATGCTCCATAGATACACCCAGCTCCTAACATAACAACAACCCCATCGTGGCCTGTTGTCAGCTTCTGTTTTCTGGTTCACAGTGGTGCGCACTGATAGCTTGAAGGGGCGCCGAGGCCGTCTGCCTTCCAAACCAAAGAGCCCTCTGCAGACGGAAGCATCTCCTCCTTCTCCACCCCTCAGCCTGCTGTCTGCTCTGCTCAGGGCTTACTCACACTGCACGCCCCGGGACCTCGACTACAGCCAGGTACCCCACAACCTCAGTTTAAAATGCTTGAGTACACTGACAATGTTTTTTTTGGATCTTTAATAAGTCCTGTTCTCCATCTCCTCTCCACAGTTCAGTGCTGCAGACCCTCCTTCCTCTTCCTCTGATGCAGAGCACATCCAGCTCTTCTACAGGCTGCTCACCGTCTCGATGGAGACCACCAAATGCTGGGCTGACCGGCTGCCTGGGTTCTCCGAGCTTCAGCGTGAGGATCAGAACGTGCTTATAGACTCTGCCTTCCTGGAGCTGTTTGTATTACGACTTGCTCACAGGTGAGACAGAAGAAGTTTCAGAGTGTTTTAGAAGGACAAAGATTTTTATTTTCTCCACTTTATGCACACATCTTTGCTATTTTGATCACTTGTTCCAAACACACTTACAACCTAACTTCAAACAAACAGTAGCTCAAGTCTTTTACAGTTACATCTCCGAGTTTAACTGTGCCAGCCGAACTTGCGTGCTGCTGTGTTGGTGTATCTCCAGAGTAGGAGGAGTGGAGCTGAGTAATCGCCATATGAACCAAAATTATGAATGGAGTCTGTAGCTATGACAGCAGCTACACCCACAGAGTTCCGCTCTGCTCCGTTCGTCTGATATCTGACGCACAGAGAGCTCTGTGTGTGTTCTGCAGGCTAAAACTGTGCTAACATTGTGAACTGTGAATTGACAGAATCAATTCCATCTAAAAGCCGGTCAGCTGACGGGCTGAAAAGGGCCGTTATGAGAGGAAATACATTCTTAATTCAGCTGACTGGAATAAAAAGGGAATTGACTTCATTTACCTCATGTGTCTAGTGATGTGTGCGCATGTTTGAGTAAGTGTGTGTCTTGCTCGTGGATACCTGTGGTGCCATTATGACTGCCAGTGCCCATCTTTGCCTCACTATCACCCCAAGTTACCAGCCTGCTCTTGTAAGGCATGCAGCCGGTTAAATTTATGAAAGAGAGGGGGGCTGGGGTTACAAGCTCATTCTTTTGTCTGCGCTGTTGTCCAGGGCAGAAAACCAACACAGTCACACACACATAAGCACACTTACTCACACACACACACGCACACTGATGATGTAGAGTCCCAACTTTCAGTCCTCCTCCCAGTATAGGTCCAGGTGCAGGGTGGGTAGAGGATTGGGTGGTGGCATCACAGTCCCAGCAGGAGAAGGACTCTGACTCACGCTAAACTGTGGACTAGGATTGGGTTTTTATCAAACACAGGCACACACATACACACACATACAGACTCTGCTCTTCTTCCCATCGGCCAAACTCCCACAGCACCGAGTAAAAACACACAAACGCAGCACTGTCTTTCTTTGTCCATCCTCCGTGAGAGCAGACGGATGCAGTCCACACTCACATCCCATTGTTGATGCAGCCCCTCGTTGACCCTGTATTGAACCCAGATGCCTTGTAGACCCCTATGCTAGTGTACGTCTGCATGTGTCTGCATGTGTGTTTGTGTGTTTGTGCGTGTATGCTCAGTGTGTGCAAAGTAAATTTGCTCCGCTCTTGTGGGCCTACATTGCCCTAAGCACCCCGTTACCACCCAGTTTCTGTGGTTATTGGTTGATTACCGTGGTGACAGTGTAGTCTGGGGTGAGGGGAATGTGTGGCAGACATCCAGCTGTGTGTTTGTGCGTGTGCATGCATGTGTCTCCCTGTCTGTCTCTCTGTCTGTGTGGTTTGCAATTGGACACTCAGGGCTTTGAATTGTTTGTTGGACTGCAAAGTGCACAAGTGGACAATTAACCTAATGAAGACAAAAGTAATTTTTTTGCAGCCAAGAATTCAGCTTCAATTTTGTAATAATAATGAATTTCATCATATTAAGTTTTAAAAATTAATTGTTTGCTTCATTTTGGTATGATTAAAATGGATGCAAAAAAAAGTTACAAAAGTAAAGGTGCAAACCCATCCAGACTGCAAGCTTTTATAGCAGAAAATGTAAGGTCTAAAGAGCCATAACCAGCATAGAACTATCTCAAAGTGAAGACAGGTTCCTTACCCTAAACAAACATCACGTTAAATCCTTTTGGAAAATTGAAAATTGCTCAGAGTAACTGTTTATTGGGTTGACGTGAGCATCTCTGTGCATGTGTTCTAGACACAACAACTAGACATAGATTTACTTCATTCTGTCCTCATGACAAATGAACGGGGCATAATCCTGGGCTTCACAGTCTGATTTTACTTCCTTCAACCTTTTGATGTCTTCTCGTCATCTACCAGCTTAACATGCGACCGCCGGACTACTTTTGGCACTATTACTGATTAGTCAGAGCTTTCCCTCCTTCTCTGCTCAGTGGTAAAGGAGCGGGATGTTGCGTGTCGTGAGTAGCTGATGGTTAAATACATCTGAGAAGACTTTTCATTTCCTCATTAAGGCTTTGTGTTTCCACTGCACACCACAGCCTGGGCACATTAAAGTCACAGCTTACCTATCTGCGAACAGATACACACACAAACACAACAAGCAACCCCATGCCTTAACCCTTCACCCCCCATCCTCCCTTAAAAGGAAACACAGGAATGTTTTTAAGTGCTATAATTTGGAAAACACAACTTTAATCAGCTGCATGCCTGTGTTTGATGTGTGTCCTGATTGTGTGCATGCACATACTGCCAAGTTTTCTCATCGTTTTTATTGTAATTGTTTCCTTGCCCTGGCATCTCAAGCTATATTTACAATACATGAGGGAAAACACAGTGTTTCATTTGAGGAGTGGTCTAACAGAATCTCCCTTTTCTCTGTGTCTCAGGTCCATGCTGTCAGAGGACAAACTCGTGTTCTGTAACGGCTTGGTGCTGCACAGGTTCCAGTGCCTTCGAGGGTTTGGGGAATGGCTGGACTCCATCCGGGACTTCACCACTCATCTCCAGAGCCTAAACCTGGATGCTTCTGCCTTCGCCTGCCTGGCTGCACTCGTACTGCTCACAGGTAAAAACTCAAATCAGTCGCTTCAGCTAACAGATACAAAAGATGATCATTCACATCGCAACCAAGCAATCACATGTAGTGCTTTTGTGTGGATGTATGGGAGCAAATCTACCAAAATATAGAGACCTTCTTTCCCTCCTCTGAAGCTGTATGGGGGGTCAATTGAATGTGACAGAGATCAGGTGGACTCATCCACTGACGTCACACATGTGCTGAAAGACTCACATGTTCTCACACTTCTCTGTCTAAAACAAGAACTCGATACCCAGCAGCACCTGCTGCACCTGCCACACACCTGGCCCTGTCATCAGCATGAATTTGTGAAAAATGGAAGCAGGGCCACAGCTTTCTGTGCAAAACACGCCTGAGATGACCCCAAAGTTTTTGCTGTAGCGAATTAGAAACACATTTTATACAGTCAGTCACAAAAGTAACTCAAGGATGCAGAAACAGTTACGTGTTCACATTTTTCACACATCAGAGTCAGAAGAAATTGTATATAAAGGTCAAATGGGTACATTTCTTCTCCCTCTAAGCCCGGCTTCCTTACCTCACCCTCGCTACTTCCTCCACCACCTCCTCCTCCTCCACTGCCTTCCTCTGTCTAAGCCCTCCAACCCCATCCTCACTCTCCGGGGGAGCACTTAACTCTGTGCCTGATCGACCAGCCCACCGTGGAGTGCAGCTCTGGAATGGCGTCTATGCTGTTCTCAGTGGCGCTCTACCACCTCGGCAAAGCACACAACGCGCCGCCATGACAGAGCCACCAGAGCCACCGGGCGATCGACTGATTTTCAGAGTGGCCTGTGCAGAAAGGCAGCCATCGATCCCTCCCTGGGAAGCCCGCGCATAGAGAGAAAGAAGGGATAGAGAGAGCGTAGAGAGAGAGAGAGAGTGTGTGAGGGCTCTGAAAGCGGCAGTGTAAGGAGGGCTGGAGTGATTCTGCTGCAGCAAACACAGAACAAACAAAAGAGGCACATAAACAAACAATAAATAAGCTTCAGATAATGGATACCTCAAAGTGAGACTGGTCTTAGTGACAGCCTCCCTGCCGCACCCACCGACCTGTGAGTGTGTGTCCTTGTGTGAGTATGTATATGAAGCGTGTGTGTGTGTGCAGCTGGACACCTTGTTCCCTGCAGAATGAGTTAGTGTCACATTAAGCCTAGTGCAGGTGCCACTGGAGTTGCTATGGGCAGCAGAGTGTGTGTGTGTCCATGTGTGTGTGTGTGTTCGTGTGTGTGTTTAATTTCATTTGGCTGCTCACAGGGCCGAATAATCAGCTAATTGTTGAGCACTTTTGTGGCTGTCAATGTCTTAAATTGCTGGAACAATTTGTATGTCTGTGTGCGCCTGTGCAAATGTTTATATATGTGTGTGGGTGCACAGTGTGAAGAAGGCTTATTAGGTTAGACTGTGTATTGATCTGTAGTGAGTGAGACAGGTTAAGGCCTGTTAAAGACATTAGCCATACAGGGTAATGAGGTGGAATTCAATATAAAAGAAGATGTAGCTAATGCTCTCTCGGCTGAATGAGCACTGATGTATTTGTCTGTGTGAGTTTCTTTTTTTCCTTTGACCATATTTTTTTTCTGTTGAATTAATTATCCGCCTAATACCCCTGCTTCTGTCTGTCCACAGAGCAAGTCCCAGGTCTGAAAGACTCAAAGCGTGTGGAGGAGTTGCAGAATAAGGTGATTTGTTGCCTCAGAGACCACCTGGGCTGCAGCCCTTCCTCCTCCTCGTCCAAGGCCACGCCCCCTCTTAGTCGCATTCTGGGATTAAGGGCAGAACTTCGTTCCCAAAGGACCCAGGGCCTTCAAAGGATCTTCTACCTGAAGCTAGAGGACCTGGTACCGCCCCCTCCCTTGATTGACAGGTTCTTGGACACTCTGCCCTACTGAAGGGCCATGAACTGACCAAACAGAGAAAAAATAACGTAATGTCCTGTCCCCGCTCTCGCAGGAGCACGCACACACACCCAGAGGAGAGACTCACTTTCCTCTGGCTGATGCAGAGCAGAGAGAGCCAATCCAATGCTTTTCACTCAACAGGACAACCTATGTAGAACGGCTTTCACTCAAACAGGCAAACCTACTAAATGCTTTTCACCAGTATAAGAGACAATTACTCAAATGCTTTATTACTTTTTATGTCATCCTCCTGATTTCCTCATGTGGGGGGTGTATGACCAGGCTGAGATGGACTGTGGAAAGAAAACTGACTTTTTACCGTCCTCTCTCCTGCTGGGTGTCGGCTCACCCAGCAAAAAAAGGAAGAACACAGCGGTTTATGAGCCCTGTCTATCTGTGTTCATGCAGTCTGAGGACTTCTGTTGAGGGTGGGATCGAGTGTTTTTTTTTAACCTGAAGACGTCCCAGTGAAGCACGAGTCACTGTGTATTCTAGTTCCTCTTAAAAGAGAAGGAAGAGTAGGGCGTTTACACACTGAAAGGTCAGAGGTCATACAGCATAGATGAGCAGAAACAGATATTTCATAAACACATGGAAGTGGCTGTTGAGTTGGGCTCTTGATTCCAAGTGCAATTTCTTAAGTGCTATCTCACAACAAAAAGGAATAGACGGAGAAGGAACGGTTTAATTTCAAACTCTAAATTATTTTAATATAAAGTCCTGTACTGTTGGTAGCTAAAACAAAGACAGACAGTCTCCACCTGGCTTTAGGAAGCAGAGGAGATACTGCACTAACCATTGATGACTGAGTCACCCAGACTTGAACTTGCTGTAGTATGTTTTTTTTTTTTTATTAATAACTCATTTTGAAATCATAGGTCCAGTAGGAGTACAGAAGGTTGAACATGGACAGAAATTTGCTTTTGAAGCACTTATACCCTGAGAAGGGCTAGAAGCACAGACACACACTCGACCTGCTCCCCTGGCAGACGGCGGGTGAGTCGGGGGGAGAGTAGGGTGCTCGACAAATAGCTGTATGTCCAGGGGTGAAACATTCCGCAGTCATGCTCTTTTTCTATTTGTTTCTATTGTGATTGGAGGCCGTGTAAGAGTGTGGAGGACAACCTGTCTTTGTGTGTATGCTTAAAGAAGCCAGGATCATATGCATGGTGTGTCATAAGAGCTGCCATAGCCTGTTGAAACAGTTCGACCTGTGTTTGTGTTCCAGACTGTGGCTCCATTTGGGGATCTCCCCATGCCTCCACCACCCACTTACACACTCACGGCAGCAGTTTGATATATGAAAAAAGCAAATTATATAGATATAAATATAAATATAAATATATATATACAAAACTAATATTTTGAAGTGTTTTTAGCTTTTTCAAATATTGTGGTACGAGTTGTGCATTGTTTTTTGAAGAAGAGAAACAAAAAAAGAAAAAAAGTTGCTGTTTTTTTTTTTCAATGTCCGTCTTTGGCTTGAGTTCCCTGTTCGATTATTATTTTTTTCTTCCTCTTTGGTTCACTGGATTTTCTGTTCAGCACTTTGAAATTATAAACTAGTTCTGATTATTCTGCCTCACTGTGTCCTGAGTTCTGATTTTTTTAAAACCAAATTACTCTGTTTCCAGAAAGCTCAAAGTGTGCAAAAGCACAATTTTAAGCTGTCTGTATACAAGACTCATGTTTTTTGTGTGTGTGTGTGTGCGTGTGTCTAAACACAAAAGCCTCCTGACAGGTAAAAGGCCCCATCTCTCTCTCTCCCTCCCAAGGGACCCTTGGACTCTAACTGAGAGTAGAAGGGGATTAGGAGGGTGGGGAAAGTGAGGGGGGCCATGTTAGCATGAGGTCCAGATCAGCCTCCAGCCTCGTTAAACACCATCGATCGCCTCGGTGACATTTCACATGCCGTCTATACTGTCACTGCCATCACTCACACACACACTTATATACACACACGCTCTCTCTCCTTCTCCTTCCCTCTGTCTCAGACAGCAAGGTGATTGATAAGAACTGTGGTAGTGAAATTGTGAACGGCTCCATCTGTGTCTGAGAAAGACAGGCACAGATGGAAGTCCAACACAATGAAGTTTAGACCGTACACTCACCATTTTGAGCATTCGCCTCATAACACCAGAGCTCCTTATCTTCTCTCCAAAGATGGGAGTGTTTTATACCACAGAAGTTCTAGAAAACTAGGAAAACTATCACTTTGTGGTAAATAATACTGTGTGTGTATGGATGCATGTGGCACAAGAATGAGTCCAACACGTCTCGCTTCTGTCGGGGGTTCCAGCATCCATATTTTTACTCAGTAAACAGGAAAATAACATTCACACCAAGGTGTGTAATTTCAGGTGTGTAAGTCCCATTCTTTAAACAGGTATGTCAGAGTGCAGGGCAAAATAACATGTCTGCCAAGCACAGAGGGCTTTGCTTTAATCTTGAACACACTCGAACTTATTCATGCGCACACACAAATACACACACACATAGTGAGCTGTCAGTCTGCAGGCCAATCGATCAGTGCTGACAGATTGCAGATAACCCGAGAGTTTTAATTAGAGGTCCCATTAGAACATAAATACATAGAGACATTGATACATATGCACACACAGCCAAAGCAGCTGTTTTTCTTCATATTTATTCTAATCTATTCTGAAATGTGAAGCGACTCCTTTAAGACTTTGGGTTTTTTAAATGCAGAGCTATTTTGACAGATCACAAAAGGAAAAACACGAGTGTGAATATTATTATCAAATATGCCTGAATTTCTTTAGCTCTTTAGGACCCTATATTGCCACACCAGAATTGCTTAATGGCACATTTGAAAATAACAGGAGAGCAGTTGATATTTTTCCGAAGATAAACCAAGATGTCTGTTGTCAAAGAAATAAAAAGGCTTATATGCACAAAGTTATTTAATATCCACTTGGAAACAGTCAGATGCAGGAGGTAAAAAGTGAAAAGAGTTGGCTCCCTTTCCTGCTGAGAAACTCCCAGGATTAGACTGGAATGAATGACACCACCTGAGTTGAACATACAGACAGATAAACACACATTATAACACAAACACAGAAGCACATGCACAGACTCAAACATTTCTGATGACTCGCTTTTTACCCATTCACTGTCAGTTGTTTCTCCCCCTCAGTCTGCACCTCTGGGAGTCCCCTGGGAATGGACAGACAGACAGACACACACACACACAAGCAGGCACTTACATGTGTGTACAGTACCAGGGGAAATCCCGTGTAGCTTGGGACTGTGCTCTTCACTGTGGTCCCTTGCATCTGCTGGAGGAGAAGTGTGTGGGGGGTTGGCCTAAATGTCAAAGGTAAAGAGTGGTGAAAAAGAGAAGTGGAAACATGCAATAGACCCACTCACAGTGGCTGATCACGAAGAAGAGGAGGGGGAACCCCAATCTGTCTCTTTGTCTGTCTCCAAACGCAACACAGACCAAAATATCACAATAAATGTTTATTTCCATAGAACTGGTGCTTTTCATGCCAGCAGCCAACTGTGAAAGGGTGAAATTACAATGTTAAATGAAATGACCAAAAAATGACATTTCTACAGAAACACCAAAGAAATACCTCATCTTCTTTTTCTTCGACCTTTTCTAGTCTGTCCTAACTTCCAAAAATCAGAGCTGTCATAAAATCATGTTTGAGTCTGGACCATCATCTAGCCAGGATGCTCTGGTTCCTGCTGTTTCTGCTGTTTTGAATGATGTGATGTTCACATCGTTTTAAATGTCCCAACTCATTTGGTCAGTTTGTGTATCATGATCAGAATTAAAACTTAAATTAGACTAAAAAATACTGACACACATGTCACAATGAACTTGTGAGGTGGAATGTAAAACTAGAATATCAATTTTGCTATAGTTAACGGCCAATAACAACCATTTCTGCAATCAATTCATCAGCTTGATTTTTTTTAACTTTGATTTTTTATTTTGAAACTTTTTGGTTTCTGAAATGGAATGGTTTTCCACTTTTATACATTTGTGTTGTGGACAAAACAGGCCTTTAAAAGTTTACATTTTGGGTTTCCGAACTCTTGTCTACTATTTCACCGTTTGTGACATTTTGGGACAAAACAACCAATCAGTACTTATTAAAAGCAACTAAAAATTTCATCAACTATAGATGTAATCTTTTGTTATATTCACCATGATGTTAAAAACAGTTTTAACCCAGAGTATTTGCGGTGACACAGCTACTTTATAGGCAATAAATGTTCATTTAGATATAGCCTATGGGATATTAGCTGTCCATTAGATAAAACCAATATCCACACATGTGTGAATCATGACTAACTTCTATCTTTCGCAAACTATACCCATTTGGTACATATCAACAAATAAGCAGAGAAAATGTGGCAGATAAACTCTTTATTTCCCTGAAGAATTTATTCAAAAGTCAAACAAACGTCTAACATAGTCAAGTGTCTTTAGTGCTCCTTCTATATGGGGAACTCATTATGCTGTAGATGCCGGTCGACGTCGGAAACTTTTCGTGGACGCACAGAGGAAAGACTTGTTTACAAACAGAAGAAAATGTCCCAAAGAAACTGAAAGTGATGTCGAAGATTGGAGGAATTTGCGGTACAGATTTGTTAACGGTATGGAGGCTGTAAGGAGGCATCAGCGAGTATAAACCTGAATCTCTCCAGGTGTTTTCAGGGGTAAGTTTTCTCTGCCTGGTTTTTGAGTTTCTCTGGGCTGACTCATGGTCGACAGAAGAAAAGTGTTTAGTGGATTTGAGGATCAAGTTGCGCGTCAGCTAACAACAAGTACCCTGTTACTACTATCTAAGTTTGAGTTTTGTTTTAGTTTCAGTTGTTTTAGCTAGTTTACAGCTCAGCAGGTCTGGCTCCCTTTATCTGAAGACATGTAATCCAGCTGTGTTCACATAAACTAACACTTTCAGGTCCTACATACACCACCGAGTACAGCTATACCACGACACATGACGGTGTACTGTCTTCATGTGCAGACTTGTTTTATTCTTACTGTAGTGTTACACATTCAGCAGCACTCATCTTTCTTCACCGTTTAATCTCAACTCTATCTGCAATAACCCAAAGACTGAAAAACTGCGATACTATCAATGGCCTCTACTGTGGATATTATTCTCCTGCTGCGTACTGCATCATACAGTAAGTCAGATATGATCAGAAGCAGTAAAAATAGCTGATTATATCTGTTTTTTGACAGTAAGATTAAATACTTTTGAGTTATCAACAAAGCAGAATATTTAAGGATATCCCTTTGGGCTTAGAGAAACACTGATAAACAATTCCAGCGTTTTCTGACATGCTGTGACTGGACAGTCAATCAATAATAGATCAACAATGAAAATAACTGTGAATGCATTGATAACTGGGTATTATGTCTGCTTTGCAATCAGGAATACTAAAGAAAATAACAGATTGTTGCCTATGGTGATTTTAACAGAATATATTTTTTTGATTGAATAAATGAATGAATGAATTGATTTAACATAAACATCTTAGAAACTGAGAATTTTATACAATTTATCTTTAGGAATGACTCCAGAGTTTGGCGAGTTGATTGATCGAGTCATTTTTTATGTGGATGTTTTCCTGTCAACATGTCAAACTTCACTTTCTCTCCTCTCTCAAAAATGTTATTGCAAGAGATTTCTTAATAAATCCCATTGAGGTGCCGGTTTAAGATGTGTGGGCTTAAAATTGCATGCGTCACTGAGTTTATTCATTTGATTTACGTATTCATTCTAGACGTACTCTGCTGGTCTTTCTGTGGGGGCAGTGAGATAAAGCTGAGCAGGTGGAGCGTCCAAGTTACACAGAGGTGTTGGCTGTGGGCAGTCAGCAGGACACATGGCAGAGGAGAGCAACAAGCTGACACTGAGGCGCCTTGAGGCACCGATCCACAAGTTTATTAAAGTGGCTCTTCCCACGGACCTAGAGAGGCTGCAGAAACACCACAGTAACATACTGAAGGTGACGGCAAAAATCTGGCTCCCCACATGATAGCACCCTCACATCCACTCTGTCACTTCCGCTCCACAGATGGATAACAGATCGTTTTTCCTTTTTTCTGTCTTTTTTTGTTTGTTTGTTTGTTTTGTTTGTTTTTGCAGTACCAAAAGAGCCAGCAATGGGATCGCCTTCATCAAGAGCACATCAATGCCAGCAGAACTGTTCAGGTATAAAATAATCCTCTGTTACTGAACGGTTTCTTCTTAACACCAATTAAAGCATAATTTCCTTCTTTTACGTCATCACTAAGACAGCTTGTGTTTTATTCAAGCTAGAGCCTTACAGATATGTGAATGTGGGGATTGTTTAGAAGATGCTGTGACTCATTGGCTCTCAGAATTCCTAAGCAAGCATGACCAAGCAACTGCAGACTCTGTTATTTCTTTCAAGTTGTCTTAACCCTTGAGAGCTCAGTTTTTAAAAAACAAATCAGTTTAATTTTACTAATAGTCGGACTAACACAAAGGATTTCTCCCTAAACCTAAACCTAATTCAACCCAGTCACCCCACCAACAACAAAGTGAACTTTGTTTCATCTGGAAAGAAAACAAAGCAGATTAACAGTTAGATTTTTAATACAAAGCCCAACTTATGAACTGTTTCTGAAACTTTTAAAAAACTCGCCTTTGCTTTTCTCAGCAGATGGATTTTTTTAGATGCCTTTTAGGAGACGGTTGTTTATGGTACCGGACCGGGCTTGTCATCACAACATAACTATCTCCAAATTAACTGTAGCACTAAATCTGCTCATGAAGGCAAAGAGACAGAGTTCAACAATCGGAGAAATCTGTTAGAATAACAAATGTACCGTCTTCTTGCCTGTGAAAATGTGCTTTTTGTTCATTTATGCAAATATAAGCATACCTCTCACACTGTGACGATATTACAGTGTGAATAAATAAACTCTATGTAGAAACTTACTCTAGAAATCAGGGCAGAAAAAGAGCTGCAACCCAAACCTCCAGTGTACCGTCTCTTGTGTGCGAGCACTTGCTTACTTGTTCACATGGTGGATGTGAATGCCTCAGGGGAAGTTGTTGCCTGGAAGCGACCATGTCTCTAAAGGTGAAATAACTCCAAGCAGTCGCACACCTATCCTCTCACCATTACCCTGCAAACTCCGGGGACACACAGCAAGTGCTTTCTCGTGTCTTCATGGTGTTAATCAAGAGTAAGACATAGACTACTCTGCTTTATATGTGTGTGTTTGTGTGCATGTGGTCCACAGTGCTCAAGGATAAACAAGTTAGAGGAAAGATACATATATGGATCATCTTTTTTAGTCTGTCTGTCTCTGACCCTGGGTGTCTTTATCTTTTATTGCCCCCCTACCAGTGAGAAAAACGGCAGGCTCTCATATTTGATTTATTCCACCAGATTAGCGCATAGCTAACCATCAATAGAAGAAGCTCTGTCAGACCCAGTAATCTCTTGTACATTGTGAAAGAGGGGAGCAGGGTCAGCACTGTTCTCTAATGTATGTCTGCTGTTAAAGCGTGTGTTTTAACCTGCTTGGTTATGGTTAATTTGCAGTCTGACAGGTTCCTGACCTGTCTATTTCTGTATTAATCAGTGTGTTTTTCAGTTTTATGCACATGTATGTTTATTCATGCTGTGTAATTAGCAGAATGTGTTATCGGCAGCATATTGACCCCTTGAGACCAGGTCGTACCTTGGCCTGAAAGACTGATGGCTTGGATGTAATCCTCCTGTCACCCTCAGGGCATAGTAGGGAGCGAGGGGGGGCCTGTGTGCCCGAGCCTCATAACTCGACCTAATTAAACCCAGATCCCAATGTACGTATGTTTACACACACATGACGGTTTACTGGAAGTCTGGACCTGTCCTCGTGGGGATTTCTCAGGGGCAACAGGTAGAGAAGAAACATTTGATTGCAGTTTTAAGTTTTTGCCTAGTGTTAATTTGTTGTGAGGCAACATGGAAGTACAGATTGATATCATAGAAATGGCGTTCTCTGTTGTGTGTCTTGAATATTTTTGCCAAGAGAGTTAAATGTTACTGTAGATTGGTCATACCTTTGTCTCTCGAGATTGGAGAAGTTTAGTGATTTCAGGTCATAGCGGATACCACATAGTGGGATCTGAGACATCGTACCCTGAAGTCCTCAGCCAAGGGTCTGCTGACTATTCTTCAGTCCAGGCTGAGGACCAAGGGGAACCAGACTTTTTCTGTCAGGGCCCCGCTCTCTAGAACAAACTGAGGAGATCAGACTGGCAAGTTCCTTATCCTCTTTCGAATCTCATTTAAAAAACCTTTTTTCTAAGTGCTTTTACTGGATGTGACTTTTAACTTAGCTCTTAACTTTTGATTTATTCTTAACTCATTTATTTTATTTTATCTCATCATTATCATCATAATTATTTTTAACTTATTTTAGAAACTTTTAACATGGTTTGAGTTTCCTCTTTTATCGAATTCTAAATCATTCCTTTTGACTGACTGTTTTTGACTGATGTCAGCTGCTGTATGTTCTTCCTCTATTTCTATTCTGTTTTTATGATGTGAAGCAGTTTGTTACTCTAAAAGTGCTTTATAAATAAAGTTGATATTATTATTATCATTATTATTGTTACCCTCGTTTCTATGTGAAATGATTTCTATAAACACTATATGCCTGACCCAGAATATTTAGAGCATTCAAAGGCAGGAAAAGTTAAGCTGCAGGAATGATGCTAAGCCTCTGAGAGCATTAGTCAACACAAAAGTGTTTTTTTGTGTGTGTAACTTCTAAAGCCCCTGTGAGAAACTGACTAAAATAAATACTGACGCCTGTGTTCGGGCAGCAAAAGAAAAACAGACTAACAGCTGTAAAAAAAAAAAAAAAGATTTTTATCTTTATTTTGTTATTTAACTGTCACCACTGCTGTAGGGAGAGTGTTAAATGAGGTGTTTAATCGTACACTGCCTTTCCCAAAGTTTTAGCATGCCTAACTTTCATTGTGTTTGAGTAATTTAGACATTAAAAACTGGGACAGGTGAGATTTTTCGGCTCACACCTTTAATAGAAGAGATTAGCAAAGAAATAAGGCTTGCCCTTTGTCCACAGAGGGTGTCAGAAGTGAGCTTTAACTAATAAGAAATAAATCATTACAATGTTGGAGTATAATACATTTATTGCTGATATTCTCAAGATAAATTTGCCACACACATCGCATTACTGCTATTCTACCTTTGCATGATCCCCTAAAGTCTGCTCTTTTAGTTAGAGGGTTTTAAAATGTTTGATCAGGTTGGTGAAATACCACATGCATCCCCAAGAATGGTATCATTACCTCTACAACTGTCAACACCTTACATTTTATTACTGATTTGTTTGGCCCTTTTTAAATATCAGTCTCCTGCCTCTACTCTGTGTCCCTGCAGCAGCTGAGAGCTAACATCAGAGAGATGGAGAAGCTGTGCGCTCGGGTCCGTGCTGAAGACGCAGCCTCCCTGGAAGCGCTAGTAACACCAATCCGAGACAGGGCGTCAGCAGCAGCACGAGACTTCCTACTTCTACACTCTAACCCAGTCTCACAGCCTGTCCCGGCACCTGCAACTCAGCCAACCAGCTGTGTGTCCACTTCGGATGAAGATATCGATGAGGAGTTGGTGTCTGGCAGGCAATTCCAGCTCCGCCTTCCAGAAATCCCTTCAGATCAGAGCGCAGCAGAGTCTTGGGACAACCTGGAGGAGGTACGCATGCACAGACTAAAGAATTTCCTCGTGATTTTGACAAAACCTACAATGGAGAGTTCAGATATCAATGATTTCTACGAGTTTAGAACTTTTTCTGCCGATTGGTTTACTAGTTACAGATTGTCCTGCTGTTGTTTCCCTAAATATTCACAGCCGTCTGACCCTTGTCCTATGAAATAATAAATAAGTGATCATATCCATTGATACTGGCCTGATAAAACTAGTTTTAACAATAGTGTCATCAAACTTAGTTCATCATACCTAATGAACAGCATTCAAAATATGTAACTTTTTCGCAGTGATATTTTTCTCCGTTTTAAGTAGCTGATACTAACTCTTGGAAGTAACTGCGTAAGATATTCCTGTATCCTTGTTTTAAAAAAATTTAGCTTTGCCAATAACACATGGCAAAAGTTTGAATTCATTGCAATTATTGAAAAACATGTAAAAATTTTTGATAAACAAGCCTCATCATGCGTACATTTTACCTATCTGACGGGTGTAATGACGATGCTGTCACATTGTTTTGATGCAGTTAAATGAAGCTCAAGCGAGCTATCAGGATCCAATTTAGAAAAAAGTTTTTGGATTCAGGAAAGACGTTTTGCAAACACCAGTACTGATTAATCATGGAGGACACTAGATAGACGTACACTACAGATATGGGATACAGCCAGTGTGCATATTTTTAATACTTTCATATGGAGACCACAGCACTGGATAATGTAAACAAACAGCATATTTCTTGTTTTGTTTTTGCGGAATGTGTGGAAAGTTTTGCTGCAGACCAAAAATCAGATATTGATGGAAAGAGCTGGTCACTAATTTATCAATAATGGTCTTATTCTAGCCAGAATGGACAACCAGGACCTGAGGCTAAAGAAGCAAAATGCGATACAGTCAAAGTGTGCTTTTTTAAAGTTTGATCAATTTAATTGATCCCTATATAATGTGATATTCACACACCAAATCAAATTAGTTTCAATCTTTGATCTGTGATTTATGTTTCCATGATTGTACACATGATTTATAGCAAGTGTAAGATGATGTAATGCAGCTGACCTCTTTTGTTTCTGCTGAAATCCTGACTTCATGCCGCGCTACTGTTACACAAGGCCATTCAAAATGCATAAATGAAAATGAGAATGAATGTGATCGGTATGATGTAATAACAAGGTAATTTTTTCTCTTGTAGGATCTGAAGGAGCTGAGTGGTTTAGTGACCGAGTTCTCTCTGCTTGTCCATGTGAGTGTTCACTCTTGACTCCTCTGTGAGCTGCCTAGCTGCTACATTTACATTTCTACACTATATCCATTTCCCTCTCATACATGTGTGCACAGCTACCCCAGTGAGCCAAGAACAATGTAACAGGGACTCTTCATCTATATAACATTTCCAGGAAGTGGTGTGTGTGTGCATTTGACCATGTGTGCTCGTGTTGCCTGGTGAAGCTGCTGTGAGAGGAGGTTACGCAGATCAGCTCAGTGCTGCTGGGGCCCTCACTAAGGCAAGAGGGAGAGATTGAGGAGGACACAAGGATGAGAGGAAGGATTTAGGGGGAGGGTGGAAGATTGTCCACAGGGTGGAGAGGCAAGGAACCAGGAACACATCGCAGGAGCAGGTGGAGAACAGACGGTGTAGATTATCACTCTGTCCTGAGGGATGGAGAGAGAGGAGCAAGGAGAGAGTAACAGAGAAAAGAAAGAGTGAGTGAAGATGTAGTAGCCATGAAAGCATGGTTAGAAAGAGCATTGACATGTTGTTTCGTCGTCTCGAGGGTGAAAAACACCGTTAGGGGAGAAATATTCCAGCGCTCAGCCACAGTGGAAACACCGAGGGAGTGTGTGGTCGTGTCTTTTTCTGTACATGCGTCATGTTTGTGTCTGCTCCGATGTCAGTGTTTTCATCTGAAGGTTTTCTATCTTATCATGTCTTAGTACTATGAGCGTAATTAGGAAGGAACAGTGTAGAAAACAGAAAACAGAAAACTACAACAAGTATAAGAAGAGCAGCGTAATGAACAGTAGACATGTGCACGGGTTGGCAGAGTGTTATTATACATGTTATATCTGAAGTTACAGACTCAAGTTTGAGTAGACACAAGGAAAAAAAACATTAAATTAAAATTTACTTAATTTCTCCAGATTTTGGCTGTTTTAGTTTTATAGAAAAAATGAGAATCGAAGGCAAAATGAGTGGATCACATTACTTAGGGGGCTATTTTTGCCTTTATTAGACTGGCCAGCTGGAAAGAGACAGGGAATGAGGGGAGAGGAGAGTCGGGGAATGTATGCTACAAGAGGTCAAGTCCAGGAGTTGAACCTATGACCTTTTAACCTATGACCTTTGTACTCAACTATGTGCAGAGGGCATGCAGTTGAACCACTAAAACAACTAATACCATTTTTCTCCGAACTCAAGTGTTCTTACTTAAGTGAAGAAAGAACTTTTTTGGTAAGATGCACAAATTCATAAATTAAAAAAGGCTTTTTATTTTTCCTTTTAAAAACCATCATTTTGAAAAATTCTTTGTGACTGTTTTTGGGGAACTTTATACTTTTTTTATTTCTATGGCTGCAAGAGCTGATAAATTCGATCGTTTTAGCATCTCTAATACTCAAAAAGTCTTTCCTCATTTTTGTCATTGAATTGTACATTATAAATCTATGAAACTGGGACAGTTGGAAGAATAAAATCCAAACAGTCAAATTCCAATTTTTGGTTGTAGAAAATTATAATGCGCCTTTTTTTCTACTTTCTTACAATGTAATCCACCAAATGTGTCTGAAACAGTGTGGCTGTCATGCTACGGTCCTAGACAGATCTGTCCAAAACTTAAACACAAAAGACTTCTGCAAGAAATGTGATCTATAATGTTTGTCAATTGTTTAACTTTTGAGCTCAGATTGAGGAGATGAACAGAGGGAGAGGAGTCACATAGGAGAGATGAGGAAGAGTAGGAAGGGAACAGTGCCCTGCTTGTTGTTTGGCCACTGTGTCCATCCAGCTCTCACATGGAGAGAGACAGCTGCCTCTCTAAATATTTCATGAGATTTACACAATGCCACACACACACTCACTCACACACACACACACTCACACACACACACACACACACACACTTCCTGTGTTAACGTGTGCCATGGAGCAGAATTTAGACACATAGAAACGTACTGTATGACAGGTGGCTGCTCTGTCATATGTGTGTGTGTGTGTATTGCATGTGTGTAAACTGAGGTGAATGTGCTGGCTCGTGTGTGTGTTATTGTGTGTGTAACCTCTGTGCATCAGTCCCAGCAGGAGAAGATTGACAGCATAGAGGACAACGTCAACACAGCCGCTGCCAACGTGGAGGAGGGGACCAAGAGCCTGGGGAAGGTGTGTATATATGTGTGTGTGTGTGTATGTCTGTGTGTGCCATGATGATCTTGTGTGTGCGTGTGTGTGTGTGGTAGTGTTTGGGAGATGGGGAGATCGATGGCACTTTGCCTCCCAGCCATTCCACAGCGTTTGTCCCTATTGATCCACACGAATACGGAGGAAAGATGCAATTAAGGAAATAGAGAGAGGAGAGGAGGGGAGGAAGAGTGATAGAGAGGTGACAAGTGAGAGTGTGTAAGTGTGTGTGTCCCTGTGTGTGTTCTATTAAGAAGCGGTTTGAATGACTGTTTAATAGTTTTTCAAGAGCAGCATCCGGACTTCCATTATCAATTCAATACACTCTCACACACCAAGTGTAACTCAGACGGACAACTCAGCGCCCTTCACACATATTACGCACTTGGAGTGTTGAACTTTTTGTCCCTAATACTTGGTATGAATCACCTGTGCTCCTACGTCAACTACACAAACACACACAAGTGCAAAGTTTTCAAAAAATACAAGATTTTACTCACTTTACCTGCGTTTTTTTTTTTGTTTAAAGTGGAAGATAAACGGCGCTCATCAGATGAAGAACCCTTTTTTTTTTGATCTTACACTTTTAGGCACATAATGGAGGTGTGAAGCCTTTCCACTGTAATGACACTCTCTCTCAGAGGCGATGGCGATGACACAGTTGTGATTTTTTGTGTGCTGAAGTGAACCTTTTCATAGCTCACACAGGACAGAAGATAACCTAGAAACGAAAAACTCATTTCTTCAGGGCTTTTTCAACAATTATCTGAGGCTGTCTGTTCATTTAAGTCAAAAAGAAAAACATTCTTTCAGACATGTCTAATACTGAGCCATGCAGATGAGGATTTGTCCCAGCAAATGGGATTTCTGCCACCACTTAATGATTAATAAGGCGAACTAAATTCATTTTGTGGTGCTCAAAAGCATCGGAATAAAGACTTTTTGCTGATTGAAAAATGCGTGTATGTCAGTCTGGATAATCCGCACAGTTTAAGGACGTGTGTCACGTAGATTATTTCTTTATTAAAATGTGGCTCGAGTGTAAACAGAAGCGCTGACAGAAAAGTCTGTTGAAAGAGAATCTGTTGTTGGGGTACGTTTGGTTTGTCATCTACTGAAGAGCTGGCGTTTATTTTGATCAGGATTCACCTCCTAAGATTTTGGAACATGTTGAGATCAAACCAAGACTGTCTTTGTGAGCAGACACACACACACACACAGTTTCTTTTTGCAGTGTAACCTCACTGACTGACTCTTCAAAGTTTTAAATAGAAGTCTTAACATTTTTTAAATAAAATCAACTCATTTAGAAAAGAAAAAATAAACAAAACTGTTAAATGAAATTGAATTTACCCAAACCGCGACACAACAAAGGTTGACTGCTCCGTCTGGGTAGGGGAAGGGTGGTGGGGATGCACGCGGAAATAAAGCAGATGAGAGGGGTGTCAGATGTTTTAACTTGTTTGAAAGCTTGTAATCTGTCATCAGGTCAAACTGCATTACACACACACAAACACACACACACGCGCACTCATTTCCTCCATCCTCTACAACCTGCACCCAGACTCCTTTTAACTCCTCTCAGATGAAATTAAAATTCCCTTGACTGCCACAGGGGTTGGGACAAGCAACGCTAGCTTTTGAACTAGATTAATTTAATGGTGAAGTGTTAATCAAATGTGTGTCCCTGTGCAAGCGTGTGTGTGTGTATATATCATTAATTGTCATCAGCAAAAAGCACCTTCCACTCTGATGATAGCCGTAATAACACACAGGCCACATCTCTCTGATTTCTCCTAAATACAGATAATGAAAAAGCTTTGATGCAGCAATGGAAGGGGCTGATTTTCATTTACTGGCTTGTTTGTGTCTTTTTTTTTTTCTCTCTTTCGCCCTTCCCCGAGTCGATTTGTGATCATGAAAGGATAGAGGCGTCCAAACTCTCTCACAGATTCTCTTAAAGCCTCGACTAATGCCTTCCAAAGGTGTGTGTATGTGGGTGTTAAATTAGAACATATCTCTTCTTCCTGTCTCTCCAGGCGGTGGGCTACAAGTTGGCAGTGTTGCCGGTTGCCGGGGCGCTGCTGGGCGGCGTGTTAGGAGGTCCTCTTGGCCTGCTGGCTGGGTTCAAAGCTGCAGGGGTGGCTGCTGCTTTGGGAGGGGGCGCCTTGGGGTTTGCAGGAGGAAACCTAGTACAGAAACACCGCAAAGCCAGGGTGGAACTACAGATGAAACAACTGACAGCACCTCCACCTGAATCACCTGAGAATCCAGAGTCAAGCAAAGACAAATGACCCAGAAGCTGCGGTCAGTCCTCTGACCTCCAGGGCTGAAAAACCACTGCCAACTGAGTATTCAGAAGCACAGAGTCGACCTCCTGTTCACAAGCCTTACAGACAATCCTTATCAGATGTTTTGTGAAATAAACACAAAATAACAGCCTTATTCAGGAGTCACAAGCTCCATTAGATGTGATTGTGCTTTTAAAAACAAAGCTATTTTATGCACACTAGTGACTCTATCTTATGAACAGTCTTGCAGTTATTAACACTACAGCTCTTAGTTTGAAATGGCTATGGGCAGTTTTTATTTAAAAAAGTATCTTGAGCACAAATTCACAAAGTATAATCAGTTTTAACAAGCTCCACCCTTCTGCCGTTATCACTGCTAAGAGTCCGGTTAGTGCTTTCCTGCTGAAACTAATATTCAAATGTGAGTAGCGTATAACAGAACTGAATAATGTAAATAAAAAGGTTCTGCTTATACATTTCAATAATTTATACGGTTTGTGCTTTGACTTGTTTTTGCCAAGTATGAGAGCAATTACTGCACAAAAACAAAAACTGCACCAAAGTGCCACTTTTCAAAAAGCCACGTGTGTAAATGAGCCATGTGTCGACTACCTTGTTGTGAATAAATGTGTTTTTTTTCCAACCTTTGTCACTGGTTTCATAAATGAAACAGAAAACACAAAACATAACAAACAAACAACAGGCAGCACAACATCCTGTAAAATGGTTTTTAATTTACTTTTTTGTTTTTGTACTCTTCCTCCACTCTGAGATGACTGTTTTAGAAATGGCATCGCGCACCCCCCTTCTTTTGCTGTCCTGTATGTGGGCTGATATGTCACTATGCAGGCGTCTGTCGGCCTCTATGGAAGGGTAGGATGCACAGTACAAACTATGCAATGGGTCCCCCACACTCCTGATTTGGCTTCCTCTTAAGATTCCTCTGTGTCCAGTGGATCTCAGAGATTCAGACAAGTACCTAATCTCAGACATATTAAGAGACAACACCAGTTTTAACAAAACCTGTATAAAGTGGCAGACTTTTAGGTTTCCAGCATTCATCACGTGGGTTTCTCCCCTCTTGTCTTTCGGCTTCTTTAAACACTGGAAAGAATGAAATCCTCTGACCATGGTGACACATTTATCAAGAGGTAAACAGCAAAAACAACAGGTATTCTTAACTTCATGACCATGTTTAAATACATTAGTTCAAAACATAATTCCTCTCTCTTTGATTCCTGGGACAACAACTCAGATGTGTCATGGCAAATGTGCCTTTAAAAAGGTATTCACCCCGCTTTGACTTTGAATGTTTTACTGTTTTACAGTAGTGGAGATAACTCGCATGTGAGGCCAACATCTTTACGGGACATGAGATTTAAAAGAATGTTGTTTTTTTTAACACTAATGAACAATTCTTAACTGTATAAACATCCTAAAATACTCAATAGAGGCACCTTTGGTAGCAGCTACAGCCAAGAGGCTACTTTGATAGGCCTGTAACAACTTTTCACATCACAACACTAATTCCTTTAAAGAGTATGTGCTAAAGTTACAAGCTCGTGAAGTTCTGACTAATTCAAAAATTTGCCTTAAGTCTGAACACTAAGCTTACTGATAACAGGCCTTTACATGGAAATTTATTTAAGCCATTGATTTGAAGATTTGGCCTAATTTTTGCAGTCATCTCAGGGTAAAATGAACCTATATGGATTTATTTTCATACATTTTTGTGTTTTATCTGATAAATCTAACCTTGAACTGTCACTAGCTGTTCAGTGCATGTAGCTCAGAAGCCTCCAAACGGCATGGTGCCTCTAAAACCTACAGGAATTATGGTGCTATTACGTAAAAGCACATTGAGATTTTTTGTTCATCTTTGAGAAGGAAATCAAAATAGTATCGTCTGTGATTTAGTGTTGTGAAACAGTAACACATAAAATGGTCCAAAGGGGGCAATACTTTGTATCAGCACAGGGAGAGACATCTCATCTATAACCATTTAGTACCAGGGGAGGAGAGGGTGCATCTCTATAGGGTGGAGTAGCTCTGTCTCCTTCACTTCTGTCTCATGTTCGAAATCATGTCATCCCAGTTACTATTTAAAAATATTTTTTCTATTCCTTCAGAGTGTGTGGAGAGGACAGGAGGTAAAGCTACTTCAGACAAGCATACCGTTATTACTTGTGCTATACAAATGATTTAGACTAGAGTTGGTCATATTGAGATGCAGTCATGAGGTCAGTGGGACTAAAAAAAATGATCCTCTATCAGACGGGCTGGACTACCCACAAATAAGAAACTACTGGAGTGAAGGAACTGTTCTGGGTTCTTCTTCTTCTTCTACAAAAAGCCAGGTGATGGAAAAAAAAGAAATAAAATAAAGAAAACTCTGTATTTAATTTAGACTGACAATGAGACTCCCATGAAGCACAAACATATTTACAAGCTCCAAAAAAATAAATGTAAAAACACTACTCTTAATGCCTCTAACCCCTGCCCGCACATGTTGTCTCCTTGACTCCGTTTCCTTTTGATCCAAAATAAAAATTGTAAGTGAAAGAGTTATGAAAATATAGATTTTTCCAACATGGTTGTGTAGTGGACTGCTTCTCCGTTTCCTTCTCCTTCTTTTCTTCATTCTCCATTTCTATATCTCTTTCTCTTCAGTAAGGGTGGTGGGTGTTGCTGTTTTGTCCCGCTGGCCTGTTCCAACCCTAACCCCCTTCCCTGACCCCGGGGCGTGGCAATGAGTCACAGGTTCACTGGAGGGCCGAAAGGGGTCACAGCTCGTCACGGTCCCGTGTGAGGATGGTGTAGCGGGTCTCGCTGGGCGCCAGCTTCTGGAAGGAGCTCTCTGGAGGGCTGCTGGCCACTTCTCCTACTGTCTCCTCCTGAGGGGAATATTCATGCTTGAACCGAACAGACAAGTTTCACATGACGCGACAAACTTTCGGTCTTGCGGCTGAACCTGTCTTACCTGTCCAGGCGTGCTGTCTGTGGGGTCAGGACCATGGTGAAACTCTCTGTGGAGCTTTCCGGAGTGAAGGTCTAACACAAACTGCCTCAGCTTGCCAGGGATACTGGAGAGAAAAAAAGAGACTTATTATGATTCGTTTTTTTTGATACATCTGTTATTCTTTAAGGACGTTTCATGCGAAGAGATCTGATTTAATAAACTCTAAACTGCACAAACTTGGTCCAAAGTGATGGGAGTCAGCGGGGTAACAGTGCTCCTGATTCATCAGCAGGTGTACATTAATATTTACAAAACTAGACCCCTAAAACGCTTCACCACAACAGCCTTCCTGAGTCATAAGAGGCCGAGTCACATTCACAAAAATGTTACCAGAGAGTCACCCAGCAGGGCGTTTTATCCTGCAGTTGGAAATCTGCGTTTTAGAAAAGACACCTCATTTAACAGCGCAAGAGGGTCCAACAAGCGGGTCTATAAACATAGCACAGCTTTGTTTGTTTTGAGGGAATTTCCCCTTTTTAATTGAGTCTGTTTGTTCCTGTTTTGTATCAGTAGCCTAGAAATGAATTTCATGCAAAAAAGAAGTACCAAAAAACCGGCGACTGCAGCTCTCAGTTCTCTTAAATCAGTTGCCACTTCAAAGGCAGTCTTTGTAATAGCGGTTCTTATATGAGCCACATTAACAGTTTGTTCGAATCAGGCATTCCTGCACTCAAAGTTCAGCCATAAGACAGACCTGCTCGAGCTGCAGATCAGGTCGGAGTTGATACAATGCTTGGAGAACTTGAAAAACACAAGTGCCCGTGGATGTGTCCTGAGGCGGCATTATTCCACATCAGCACTGTCCTGTGAAGTGTGCTCATTAACAACAAGTCAGGGGGGCGGCGCAGGCGGAGCTGGTCCCCAGTCACAGCTAACCCCATTTGTCAGAGTAGCAAACACACGCACTCATACGTATATGTATAAAACGTACACTGCACTGATGTAATTACAAGCTGTGTGCCACATGCAGTGGTGATGTGATGTAATTAGGCTGAGGAGGGCTGGTCAGTCCTCGGGGCTTCTGTCTATCTGATCAGACTCTGATTGGGGACTGGGGGAGTCAGGGTGGTGGAGGGGCAGAATAAATGAGATTAAATTAGATTAGACTGGATTAGTTTAGCACTTATTGCACGTGCCAAATCATGTCACATTAGCTCCGGTGTCCTGGCCCATTCATAAGGACAGATTTTGGGAGGTGTGACATTTCCCTGGTGTTCAGTGCACAGTGGGTTATGGGGGGTTATGGTGTGTGTTGCGTATGTAATGAAATTGACTTAATACAAAGGCACAATGAACAATTTCAGAGACACGTCAGTATCAGGTAATAATTGCTTAAAAGCATTTATCAGACTGATTTGACATTTGGGTGATTCATTTGTTAATAACAGCAACATTTGTGAAGTTTTCGTTTATTTTGGCCATTTCTTTTTCTGTACTACAACTATCTGCTGCTTCACTAATCTCTCAAAATTTTGATCGATCCTCCCACATCAATAATACTGCTCTTCTAATTTCAGAGTACTCAATTCTATTGAAACATTCAACAAAAAAGAGTGAAAGGTTTTACTTACGAAAGGTCTCTGAATTCGGGGAAGACATACATATGTCTGAATGAGTCTATAGCGATGACGGGACAGTCAGCAGGAGTTTTTTGAATGTGTAGCAGAGGATGGCGGAACTTATCGCAGTCTGCGTGCAGGAAGTTGATAGACCCTGCAGAGCGGACAAGCTGTTAATAACACATCGGCTATATGTTGATGTTGAGCTCACAAACGGCTCAAATTTACTTTCACGAATGACCCACAAACAGATGTACACACCTTTCTCACTGATGAGCTGGCGAGCCACTTCATGCTGAAACTGCTCAAGGCTGTCTGTGTCTTCTTTAACATGGAACAAGATGAGGAACGGGATTCCCTCTTCAGTCAGCTCCTGGAAAACACACACACACACAGTCAATGACATGAGGAGTCAGAACTTAATAATCTTACAGGTTCACATCTATTAGCACCCTGCAGCTACATGTACAGGTTCATATATCTAATATCAAGAATAATAGCTTTGATAACAATTTGGAAAGGGAAAGAGAGCAGGAAACAAACCTCTCCATTTTCAAAGGTGATCTCTCTGACCAGAGGCACACACTTGTCCTGCGCCCAGGCGTAGGTCAGGTCAAAGTTTGTGAGCGAGCCGAGGTAGATCATGTCCGGGGAGTTCTCCCCTATGGGCTTGTAGATGACGTTGTCTCCACTGAAGCGCTCCGGCTCAGAAACAGCACTGAGAGAGTGAATTTAAAGTTTCATATAAATATCAGCCTCTTTTGAATGGTAAGGGAAAATACATCCCCAATCCCAGAACATTTGGGACGCTGTGTCAAATGTCACTTGAAAAACATAGAGGAGGTTTGGAAATCATTTTAACCAGTTATTAATATTAAACAGGGCACCATTCTATGAGAAACTGGGTGAGAAAATAGTCCAGCCATTTCAGGTATCATGGATGCTGCACCCTCCACTCTAAACAGGTGAGAGCGTAACAGCTTATGTGATACTAAATGTTAAATTTATTGTTCTTTAATGTTTAATAAATGTTCTTCCTTGAGCTGTGTCACCCCGCAGCAGTCCGTAATGGACTGGCCTGAGGTCTCGCTACAAACAAGCAGCTGCTGGAGGAGAGTAGGTGAGTTGTGTTTAGTCTCTTTGCTAAAGAAATCAGAGAAAGCTAAGAAGACGTGTGGTGACTAGTGCTGTGGCTGGGACCCTATATGTACTGTTAATGCAGTTAGGTGCTGTTCTGAGTTTTATCTGTGACGTTTTGGTTGAAGTTTGTGTATTGCTCCTGAGTCTGCTGTGTATTACTATCATGCGGTCGTTACTAAAGTTGGTATAACTAGAGAAGAAAGCCATCAGCAACATTCATCTCTCGAAGGGGTGTCTAACTCGGTGTTACGGTGTGTTTGACCCTAAATTCATTTTATGCCGGAATATCCCTTTAAGTTCCAATGGAATGGATAGCTTAGCAACATTGATGCTTAACATTGTACACAGAATTTGGAGGAACATATACTTGCAGTACCTTTTTTTCAGAAAAGCGCTTGCATAATACAGTCAGACAACGCTAAACCACATTCTGCACACATTACAACCGCATGGCTCTGTAGTAGCATGACATTGCTTTTTGCTTCAACTCTTGATGTTGCCTTTGTACTTCTTTCATCTAAATATAAGCCATCAAAATGACAAAACATGCTAACTCTCATGGATAAATAAAGGCTGCATATCCACATGATGTTTCTTGTGTGCCATGTCTCACCCAAAAGCAGCATGGAATGTGCAGTCATCGCGGAGGATGTTGGCAACTTTTTCATATGTGTGGAAGTTTTCAGAGTCTTTTGTTTCGAAGAAAGCTATGATGTTTCTCTTGCTTCTCTGTTAAGAGGGAAACCAAGGGAAGGAAAAGAAATGATGCTGTGTTATTCAACAGTGACATAATCACGCTGTACAATGGATAAGACGTGTTTCTGCGACTCACATCTACAGTCTGAACCTCCTCCAACGACTGTATCTCTTTGACAGGGTCGACCTGCTGCTGGCGAATGAAGTCTGCGATGGCCACCACTGACCTCTGACCCCTGTATTCCCTCTTCATCATCATCCCATTGCGGAACAACTTCAGCGTTGGATACTTGGTGATGCGATACCTCTGGGCTATGTCGGCTGCACAGAGAAAAAGTTAAGTAAAGAAGGACGAATCAATTGATGAAGAGAAAGAAGTGGAGTGAAAACACATGGGGACAGGGGGGCTGAGTATCGGAGCAGTGACAGAGACAGGCGGTTGGACCTCACTCTGAAAACACTGCCTTTAGTCAGCTCTGAGCTCTGATCTCCCACATGAAAGCTGCCCCCCACCAAGAGTAAATATTCTCTGTGCACACAGTGAATGAGTGTGTGAGTGTGTGCATGTGGCAGGTGTCAATCTCCCTGCGGGATGTCTCTAAGCCTCCCATCTTCACAGGAGGCAGCAGTTTTGTCATTAGTCTTCAAACAGTTTGCAGGTCATCAATAATTCTCTTTAATTTGCTTTATCTCAAAAGGCTGAGGCTGGCCGTTTATGTGTCAGAGCTTTGGTGTGCTGGGCATCTATGTGTACATATGTGCATCAAATATAGAGAGGGAGTCCAAGCGTGTGTTTCCTCCGTTTAGTATGTAGAATGTTGCTGTTAGAGCATCGCAAAATGTAGAGTTACCATAAACCACATATGCCCCATATTCTAGGCTACAACAAAAGACTCATCAATGACTAAATTATCAACCAGCAAACATTTTTCTCTTAATTTCCCAAATTACCAACTTACTTCCTTCATTTGTTTCACTTTTTTTAAATAAAAAAAGACAGAAAAGACAATTTCTTGTTGATGAAATAATCAAAGGTGTATCTCTGGTGACCTGTATGACCTCTCTCAGTATTTTCTTTTAATTGCAGAGTAAACAAGAAAAAAAACTTGACTGATAAATGATGGTGATTTCAATGTTTGAGAACACCGAAGACAAATAAATGGGTGATTGTCACTCACAGTGTTGGTCGCAGTCGACACGGGCAAACACCACCTGTTTGGTGTCAGGAAACTCCTCCCTCACTACATTAGATGCCTCCTCAAAAATTGGATGGAGCATTTGACTGAACCTACACCTGTACGGGGGTCGGGGTGAAAGAGTGTGAGATCAAAATAAACTCCAGAATTTTCAAAAGCATCAAATTGATTTTATCAACAAAGCACAAACCGAATGTCTGCAACTGTGAACGCTCTTCAAGGATTTCTGACTCTAACAGTTTTATTTTTTGGCTTTTAATTAGAAATAAATCCTATTAAAATAAATAAACAGAATGACTCAGGCCCAGAAAAAAAAAAATCAAAGTCAAGTCGCATTCATACACAGCAACAACTTGATGAGCAAAATCTTTGAGAAATTTCAGACTTACCAGTCAGCGTAAAAATTCACTAAAGCCACCCCAGCGTTATCTGCAAGGAAACACACACAAACAGGGAATAAACATAAGCCTCTTGCAAAACTGAATATTTTCAGAAATGTATGTTCTGCCACCGGCATTAATTAATTGGACTTATCAGTGTTGAAGCTCCTAATTCACTATAGAAAAAAACTAAATAGGAAGGCTTTTATAGGACACTTTAATGACACATTTTGTAACCTATTGCACCCGTGGTCATACACACACAAATTAGACCACTGATTTATGAAATGTTACTGAGTGTTTATATGGTGAAAGGCAAGCAATGAACTTTCAGGTTAGACCCGCAACAGTTTTGAGAATATTATTCAGAAAACTAATTGAAACCTTAAACTACTGCTATGTTAAATTCTATCGATCAAAATTGGTTTTAAATTTATTTGTTGTTTCACCACCTCTCGCTGATAGAAAGGTGCTGTTACATGATGACTGTTACATGATGTGCACTACTCCAAATATCCTTTGTAGAGGTACACGATGTAAAATATGTCCAATAAAGTCCATAAAACACCAAGTCCAATAAAGCTGTAAAAAATGTCAAAAACAGGATTTTCTGGTTTGCAAATCATTGAAACCATAAAATTAACCTCAAATAGTGCAAAACTGTCAACTGTTAAAACTGAAATTCTTCGGTTTGGAACATCGTTTACTGCCTTTCCCACAATGCCTTTTTCAGGAAAGACCTTGGGTAATCCAGTAAGACGATGTCAACCATCAGATGATCAAGCGGGCTGCCAGTTTATGAGTATATTAAAGACATTTGGTGCTTAAATTTGGACAAAGGAGACACCAAACTGTTAAGCAGCTGAAATCCTATATTAGGAAAGAATGCAGAAACATTTCACTTTAAAAACCACAGAAGCCGGAGTGTTGTTAAAAAACAGCCGATACCACACAGTGAGGAACATGCCAGTAACCCAACTTTTTCTAAACCATGATTTAGTTTTTAGACTTCCCCCTCTTTAATATATGATCAACATTAATAATTTTGAATAATTATTAATTTCTTCAATTTTACCGACATTTGACACAGTAGTCCAACTTTTTGGGGATTTGGGGGTTGGATCGTGAAAAAGTGGAAATGAAAGACCTGAATTGAAGTGTTATTATGGACAGCTTGTAAAATATTTATGTCAGTACCATAAAAAAGATGAGAAAGAAAAACAAAAAACAAAAATTTGTATGTGCTGGATGTCTCCAGGGAAAACTTTGCCATGCAGTCATAGGCTGTAGCTTTGTTTTTAAAGGACAGATTCAAGAGTGGCAAAGTTCATTTCTTTCAACTCCCAGCAGGAAAATGATTGTGTTCCTTAAAAGCTCCAAGTACAGCTTTAAGATACTTTTGAAGAGTGATGCCTTACTTAGGATCTCATCAATGTTGTTTGAGTCCAGACTGGTGATTTCCGTTTTTCCTGGAGTAGAGAGGCCCATCGCCTGCAAACACACAGGAAAGAGACTGCTGAGCAACATATAAACACACAAGTGCTGGTTCAGGCAACCTTCTGTGGGAGGGGAGCAAAGATTCTTCAGTTACCGCCACGATGAGGGGAGTTACTGGATCACTTAAGGGTATTTTTAGGACATATAGCATGAAATTATTGTTCTATTATTATTTTGCAACAGGAAGTGGTTAAGCAGTTGAGCACCCTCTGTGTCTCTTTGAACCAGCAATTTTCTGCAACTCCTGTGACCAACCATGTGTACATGTGAAACTGAAAATGAAATGTACCCAGTGGATCTGCTTCTGGCTATTTCACCAGTGAGCTGTTCCTGGCACTGGGCTAAATATATTGTACAGCAAACAATGTTACCTCTACTCTGTCTTGGTGCACCTTTAGGACCCATCTTGGGTTTATTCAGCTCTCAAACAAATAATAGAAAGCAAGTTACAGTTATGCCTGATGTTTGCTCTACTATACTGTTTTGCATGTGCCATATTTGCATATATTCTTTCAGACTCCTACATTCAAATCATGTGGTTGTGCACACCATGCTGTACAGATTTTCATCAGTACCCTCCTTTTTTACGACATTGTCTGTGACCACTTACATGCTCAAGTCATTGGCTGGAGTTGTGGTTGATGTAGTAATAAATACCAAAGATAAAAGATGAAGATACCAAAGCAATTTCAAGTTGCACCTTAGACAGAGTCCTTAAATGAACCATAATTGTATTTCATGGGCCTGATATACAATGTTGATGTCAAAACTAGACAAGACTTCTTCAATATATTTATTCTGCGACACAAAAACATCTCTACTGCCAATGTAGCCCCACATTTAACACGTCTCAATGACGTCTACTGCCCTTGTTTGGCGTAGGCACTGTAGTAAGTAGTCCCATGACAGTGAACTGCTTTAAAACGGTGCCTGAACACTCATCCAATCCATCTGCTGTGATGTGTGTTTACTCAAGATCTTATTCAAACAGGAGACACCGTGCAATTCTTCCAGCAAGTTAAACACACAAGTTATAAATAAAGGGTTGTAAGAAAATTTCAACTTCAGTGTTGAACAGTGTAATGGTGAGAGCTTACGCTACCTCATGTGGTACTGAGGCTTGGGTAACCCAAATATGGAACTGAACTTTTGTGCACCATCAGTCAGTGCCACTGCCCAACCCTTAGTTTGGTGTTATTAAAAGAAACGGTGCTACGCCCATTATAAAGCTTTTATTGTCCTTCTGATAGCTTTGAAAGGCTTGACCTGATTCACAAATTTGGACCCCAAATCTGATCCAGAAAGTTAGGGATAAAAAAATAAGCAACAAAGTATACAGCAGATAAGTGTTTCATGAATGAGGCTCTTTGCATAACATCACAAGTTTGGCCTGGATTCTTAAAATAGTCTTATTAAAGTAAAATACCTGTCTAAGGCTCACATTGGCTATCATGTCTGGATCTGACTTTAACAGGGTATCTGCAGTAGGGCCTGACCATATGGATTTTTTGGGGCCGATGCCGATTATAAGGGGGGAAAAAAAAATCTGGTTACCGATTAATCAGCCGATTTTTTAAATCCCCCGCGCGCGCCGATTAATGCCTCCGCGTCTTAACTCACGTTACTCTCATTTCCGGTCCGGTCTCATCTGCAGACATTCAGCTGCCTCAGTAAGAGAAGTAGCTCGATCACGTAATGTGTACTGTTGTTTATTCTACCGTTACTGGCACGGCTAACAGTGTAGCAAGGCTAAAAGCAGGTGGCTAACTCTAACTTTAGCTTGCATATTACTTGCATATTAAATGGTGGAACATTTTTGAAGTGAAACCGAATCTTGTTGTCCGCATTTTATTTCTGAAAATATCAGTGAGTTTTGGCTGATTACCGATTATTCTCAAACGGGCTAAAATTGGCAGATTTAATTGGCTCGCCGATAAATTGATCGGGCCCTAATCTGCAGGTTTCAACCATAGACTGTATATACTATGGACAACTTGGTTCCGCCTACCGCCTGTATACGGATTTGAAGCCAAATAGCTCTTGGTATTTCCAGGATTTTTCTTCATTTCCTGAAACCAGAGCTGCGCAGGAGCGATGTGCGCATTCGGCCGCGCAGCCGTGAGTTGCTGTGATGACGGTCGGCTCAAACAGCGTATCCCCCGGGAGAGCTACGCAATCCCTGTACGCCCATAGGCTGTATCAAGTGTCAATCATAGAAAACATGAACCCCCTAATAACTTTTAAAAACGGGGCTTCACAGAAAAAAGAGGACTTGAGCACAAACCAGTCTTACAATAACTACATGTCAACATCACAAGCAGGGGGGAGAAAAATTTATGTTCTGTGTAATAAATTACTAAAGTTGGTCCACAGCCCCATAAGCTTTGCTGGAGGAGGCGGGATTTATGACCTATACTGCAGCCCATCAACAGAGGGTGCTGTTCTCGAAGTGGCTTCACCCAGCGAGGAGGCAGACTGTCCATTCTTTATACAGTCTATGGTTTCAACAAGTCCAAATTAAGACATTTAAAAGACCACAATAAATACAATTTAATGTCCATTTTACATTCATACAGGCAAAAAGTACAAAAGACATGAAGGGAAATCGGAGCATATTAAACTAACTTCAAATCAATCTTTATTTGTAAGTAACATCCATACGTTTTTAAGACCTTTCAAATTTGAGACATTTAAAGGCCTTAAATTTTAATTTCTAGATTTTAAATGTTTTCGGACTTTTAAAGACCCAGCAGAAACCCTGTTTAAGAAGCTGTGACTGGTAAATGTATAGAGTTTTGGTGACTTTTAGGAAAGTTATCTGGATATTTCTGTTGAACGAATCATAAGTTAATCATTTTGACGTAGAATACCTTCGTCGTGCCTTTTACGACACTAGTCCTCAGGGCACTTATTTTATTATTATTTTTTTTATTGAACAAGACAGACAGTACAACCAACGAGAGACACATCACAACAACCTCAGGGCACTTATTGGAAGTGTGGGGGGTGAAGTCAAAAGTTTTTATTACAGGCCCGAGTTCTTATACCAGCAGAGCCGCTCCGCTGAGTCTAGTTCCGGGTTTTCAGCCAATGAGAATGAGCCACAACAGAGGAATTCACCAACCAACGAGCACAATCCAGGGACACCACCAGACAACCCAACCTTTAATTTGATCATCTGTATTATAACAGCCCGTGAAAGTAATCACACTAAACAGACCAATATATTCGCTGAAGCCACATTCCACTCACCGTGACCGCATACACGGCTGTGTGGCTGCACTCACTGCTAGCACACAATGCTAACTGGACGCTGCAGCTCGACTTAACAAAGTTATCAGGAGTCAAACTACACAATACTTTCCAAAGAAGCGTGATAGAAAGACACTATAATGTTCACTAAGTAACGCCCCGCTCACATAACAATACAAGGGAATACTATTAACTCAAAACAAGTTATTTCACTACAGGTACCATTGGTAAACACTACCGGTTAAGTTGACTATGCAGTTGGATAACTTGATAAGATGTGGATATTATTGAATGTTTACCAGATACATTGCCCTCACGGTGAACATGTATTACATCTGCATTTCCAGAAGCTTAATGGACACCTAAGCCACTTTAAAAGCCACGTCTCCTGTCTCAGCAGTTAGCTAGCGGCTAACTATCCAGCGGCATGCTAACACTAGCACGGTCTTGTCGCTACAAATAAAAATAGACAGCCGAAATTCAAAAGCTTACCAGCAGTATAACCGTGACGAAGCGGATATCGAGAGAGGGAGATAATACCAGCAGTTTCATTGTACAGTGAAGATGGTGTTTGAGGTGGTGTTCAGGCTTCCCAGTCTGTCTTGACGCCGCTCTTCTGACTGCAGCAGGAAACCAACGGCGAACCAATCTGACGGTGACCACGGAAACGAGACGGGTACTTCCTGGAATTTGCGTTTTCTGCTGGGTAATGTAGTTTTTAAAGCAATCAATCAGATGGACCCTATGGGAATAAGAACTTCAATCATGGCGATTTACAGTTTTCACAACAGTAACGGGAATTGTAGTGTTTCTTCATCCAGAGAGCAGCGATTCAACGGGACTACTTGGAAGAAAACTTTGCAAAGATTTCCATCCCGAAGGAGAAGAAAGCAAACGGTAAATATAATGCCATCGAATGAAGAGTGTAGGCAACACTCTTACAATTCGGTTATCTTGACGTTTGATTCAATTTATCCAATGTCAGAGTTTTGATGTTTGACGTTTGCTCGCATATGAATAACACTGATTTCTCTTAGACAAGGAGTAGTTGCATCATTATGGCTCATTTTTGTGCAATACTCTATGAAGCCTGTTTTAACTGTCAGTAAAGGTGCTTGAACTTTTTCTTAATATAAATTCACACATTGTAACACACAACTTGTTAGATAAGACCCCCCTTTTGATGCATGACTTTGTAAAATCTCCATAAGTTCAGTTCAACTAGATTTCCAATAAAACACAGGCTCCTCAAAGCAACACAAAACTTCATCTTTATTGAAGGATAACAGCAGACAGGAGAATCCCTCATAAAGTTTCTCTATTCCTGTGAACAGGACAGTAACAATTGTTTGTTTGCTGGCAGTTCTTTGTAAGAACAGGTGGGCTGGTCTCAGTATGTGGGGATCCCCTTTCTCTGCCTCTGCAGGAACTCGGATCAGGATAGGTGGGGGACCTGGACATGCATCCACGCTCACCAAGGATGCTCTGAACTGTCCAACATCTGCTGAAGTGTCCCGCTCAACTCAGTCATGGTAAGAATCCAACACAAACAGAACAGCTATCTAGATAAAGTGAAGGATTGTACATTATATGAGTTTTATTTGTCATCTGGGTGCATCTGTTGTTGACTTTAGCCTCTCCCCTGTACAACCTACTTTTATTTGCCCTCTCCACTGTCAAGACCATTGAGACTATACCACAATTAATTGTGTGTGCTGTAAGAACCTAATTGTTAAGGAGATTAGGGCAGAATGTTGAATTGAATCCCAGCATTAATATTTGATGGGCTAAAGCTGTCCATAGGGGGTTCACAGTGTGTGAGCAATTCACAGATGGAGTCAGAGGACGATCTCTCACTCTGTCTAAAAATCAGAGAGCGTAATTAGGAGCAAAATTTCCCTCTTCATTCATTACTGTCAAAATAGACGTTAAAAATAATCATCAAAACACACAGAAAGATATTTTTCTCATCGTGCTGCCAAAGTTTGAGAATGTTACTTGTGGAGCAAACAACATAATGTGCATTGCATATTATTCTCATAACTCTGGATGGTTAATGTGTCCCCCAAAGACCAGAATTAGTCAGAGCATCATGAGCCATGGAATATCATCCTTTAAACATTTGGGGGATACAGTTTGGAAAGTAAATATCTAGTAAACTTTTCTTCTCCTGAAGATTTGGTCAATGACACCACCTCTATCAGGCAATATTACCATTTCAATAACCTGGAAGCTAAATGAAGAGATATCATGTTTGAAGTCAGTGAGATGTACTGCTATAGGGTCATCTTTATTATCTCTCTTTATAGAGCTCTTGTGCTGATTCACTCTTTCTTTTATTGGAAATGAAAACAGAGAATGATCCACAACAGCATTTAATCATATAAACTGCATAAGAAGTGAAACAGGTGATCACGTAATTGATCAGGTACTTCTTTCCAGTATGATGTAGAGTGAAATTATCTAATTTGACCATATTGTTACACTGAGCATGTCCTCTGCATTTGTAACATCCATTAATGAGGGGTTTTAGTTGGACCTTTGTGCTCTTTTTCACCATTTTCTGTGGTTAACAGTGATTTCTTTTAAACCAGTGTATATTTTGTGGTCTGAGGATAATGACTGATAGTGTCTTTTAGTTATTTAGCCAAATATGTGACTGTTAGTTGACAGAAATCTTCATAGTGTGTTATGCCTCACTCTAAGGCAGCCCTGTGAGGCTAACAACAATCCAGAACATGACCCAATGAAAATCAGATAAAGAAACCTTCAGTGATCAAAACTGTGGAACTTATTATTGATTGTCAAACAAATAATAAAATACAAATAAACTAAGTCAAAAAGCTCAACAGAAGCACAGAATCTTTGTGAGAGGCGACAGGGCAGCAGTCCCCACCAACATTGCCTTTGCTTCCTGCAGGCAGCTTTTCTTAGGCTTATAAATACCCAAATCAAGGTTCACCTCTTCAGAAATCAGATTCACTTGGGCAGTGGCAGAGCAGACAGAGGGGTAAGGGGGCAAACAGAGCAGAGCGGAAAAGAACAACATGCAGGTGTAACAATGAGTGATACATTTCACCATTGGAAGAAAGCCAGAGGAAATGAACAAGAAAAAGTCAGCAAAGAACTGGTACTGCTCTGTCCAGGAGGGTTGCCAAGCCGGTTTTAACATACTTCAACTCATAGGTGTAAAATGTTAGACGTGAAATTCATGTGTCTGTACAAACTGGTAAGACTACACAAATAAACAATATTAATGTTAAAGGTAAAGCTTTTTTTCTTTTCTTCTGAGGATGGTGTACAGTATCAAATAAATGAAGTTGTCATGCTTTTGCAGCCGAACAATGCTTTGTGGTGGACCAAATATCAACGACAAAGACGGAAATAGGCTAATGTTGATATTTGGAAAGACTTCTCAGCAAATATTTGCTCTTGTCAAACAAGCTCTATTGGTTCTTTTTTTTCTTGACACGAAGGCGGAAGTAAGCGATCTTTTATTTCAGTTCAATGTGCTTCATTAAAATCAATGTATAAAAAGAAAATACCGGTAATCATGCCAAGTATCAGTATTCATGTCTTCCTCTGTCAATACAAGAAATCAAATGTCACAAAAACATTGAAACTTTAACCCTATAACCAACCTGTTGTCCCCACCTGAGGAGATGAGAAGTTAATTGTGTTAGTAACCATTTAATTAACATCTTCTCATACATACATTAATGTAATACTACATGTATCAACCCCCCCCCCCCCCCCCGCACTTTTCATCTGTCCATGGTTTTCTAATCTTACCCTCTTCTTCTTTTCTGTTTACATCTTTTTCCATTTCCAATTGCTGCCATTGATTTTCATGTTTGTTTTTTCAGCTGATTATGTCCCTGTACTGTGATTCGCCGGTGGGCACATTGCTCTCTGCACTTTAATTGGACATTTAATTAGATCACAGTTTTAGTCCAATTAGACTCAGAGGTGTCGGGAAAAATGCTACAGAGGGGAGAAGAGGAAAAAGTCCCCAAGCTGGTCTCTGTCTCCCTTCCCCCCATTTTATCCTCTCTCCTCTAGTTCTCGCTCTCTTTCTTTCGTTTTGTCGTTTTCTTGCGGCCTCGCCTTGTCTCTTCTGTCTCCCTCCTCCTGAGGGCGGCTCATTAGTGATATAATGGGATGACACAAAACACACAGCTCCACTAGCTCCCAGAGTGGCTCAAGTGGGGCCAGAATTGCTCACATACACACTCGAACACAAACACAGTTTCTTGAGGGGAGAGGGTGGGTCAGTTCTTCTAAAATCATGCACTCTCCCTCCCTTTTGATGGAGAGCCATGGAAGGGTATGCAAAGGTTATTAGTGTCTTGTGTAGACTGCAACATCAGTCTATCACCTGCTTGCAGCACTGAAGACTCCTTACACTCACACACAAACCCACAATGCTCTGGGCAGACTTTATCAACTCAAACTAGAGCTGCGGTGTGCTATAATATCACTCCACCTAATGACACGAAGATGAGCTTTATTCTCAGCAGTGCTGGCGTACATGCCACTCAGATGCAGGGCTATTCTGCACCTGTTTAAGCCCCCCTGCCGAGGCTCCTCCCTCTTTGACTCTTTGTTGTCATAGTTGCCACATGGAGCGCGTCTCTGTGCATAAACAAAACTGTGCCCCTGTGGTCAAAAAACACATGGGCAAATGTAAACACACACGACAAACACCCTGATGTATGCCAGTATGCACACATTAACACTCAGGTGTAAGTCCTCAGAGGACATAAGTCAATCTCTGAGTCCCTGAAGCAGCCACACACACAGACGCGCGCACACATGCACACACCCACACCCACTCACACATATACCTGTCTGCCTCTCGTTCTCCACCTGCAAGCCTCCTTCCCTTCCTCACACTCACTTTTTTGACATAGTTTACACAGTATATTTCTCTATTTTCTTCTGTATATGTGAGTAAATGTATGTGCGTCGCATGTCGAGGGAATGCGTGTGAACGACAGGCAGCAGGCAGGGGTGTTTAAGCCACAGGCGTCACTGCCTGACCCCCACGGCTGTAAGATTGACAGCTGTGGTCCCGCCTAATTGCATTACTCTCCCAGGTGATTGGCTTACACCCTGGGGGCTCATTTGTCGAGATGCATTGTGGTAATGATGTAAATTAGCAGATCTACGTGTCACTCAGCCTTCTCCCCCCTACTGATTGGACCTGCTGTGCCCCAGGGCTGGGCCCCCAGTCGAGGGGACCAGCTCATTGGTCCTTGGGGAACCAGGAAGTCCCCCAGAAATAGGGCTTTACAGATTGGGCATCCCTGTGGGCTGAAATTATCCTTCCTCCCACCTCTTTACCTGTCAGTCAAAACCCAGGGACCGATCCCTGCAGCCTCTATTCCTTAGCTGAGACACACACACACACACACACACACACACACACACACACACACACACACACACACACACACACACACACACACACACACACTCACACACACACACACACACACACACACATATATGGCATATTTATGGCATATATATATCGCCCCATGTTACCACACTCTGCTGTAACTTTATAAAAAGTCTCTTTGTACCTGCATGTGTGTGTTTGTGTGAGCGCTTGTCTAGATTGAAATAAAGGCCACAGGCTCAAGTTCTGTTCCCCACTGCTTACCCAGCATGCCCGAGCTATGTCCTCTGTCAAAAGCAGACACCTTCACAGTGACAGACGGCTAGAGACAAACACGCAGGCACACACACTTTGACTCCCTGGTCTCTTTGCCAGTCTGCCTCAATAGCTTCAATTGAAGTATTAGTTCCATTGCAAGTCTGGTTTCGCTGTGTTTGTGTGTGTTTGTGTGCATGAGGAGGCAGAATGTGTGTATGAACTCCTGTAGTGTTGCTGAAAGGTTTCATGGCAGTGTCTGGATTCTTTGTTACGCTCACTGCGGTTATATGAGGCTGAATATGAATAAAGACTACATAATGTCAGCATCAGCATGAATCAATACTTATACAGATGCCCAATCACCTGGTCTGGACCTCAGCCCTGGATCAATAGTTTACTCTGAGTTATTGTCTTCATATTAACAAGTGGAGCACTCCCTGAGGAACGTATGAATGGCAAAAATGAGAGCACTCCAACCCTCTCAACAGGACCTGGTGTTGTTTCTACACCCGCTTTTGTTTGATTTCAGACACTGCATTACAAAAACCTTTTTAGCCAAATTTGGATGCACTGTAGGTGTTTCCAAAACATTGCGGTCCTCATGAAACTCTAATTGCCTGCTCTTGGTGGTATGAATGTCCCTCACAAAGATTCAGGTATCGACTTGTATCCCTCGTGTCAGTGTTTGGCTAAATTTATTTTTCTGCATCTAAGATTATTAACAAATCGATTCATACATTTTTTGTGACAGCTGGAGGTTTTCATATTGACTCCAAATATTCACAAAAACAAGATTTTAAAAAGTCATGAAAAGTAGAGGAAAAAGTTTGAAGCACAGTGATTTTTTTTAATATGGTCTCCTGACATTGCTTCTTCTGATAGTGCATCCATGTGCATATGTTAGATATTAGATTTGGAGACTGTGCGTGAGCATGTGGACAAGCACGTGCATTTCTGACTGAGTAATCATTGTAAATTAGAGATGTTTGTGGTTGATTTTGGTAAAAGCCTCTGTAAAACCTCTCTCACGGAAAAATCACTTCCCATGACACGGCACATGTGCCAAACAAGCAAACACACACACTCACACACACACACACACGCATGACCCATCATTAATACACACCTATAAGTGCTGCAAGTAATGTCTCTCCCTCCTATTCTCTTGGAAGCACACAAAGACCTACTTTGCAATAAATGTATTAACTAACCTGTATTAAATTTCCAACACTACTTGGCAGAGCGTGAGAAAGCAGCGAGCATGATGGGTAATTGCCATGCTGCACGCAGTGTCTACAGGAGTCCTCTTTATGAGGTGATGTAGGGGGTTGATGGAGGACACTTGAGGTTTTCCTTCCTTTGGATCATTCAGGGTTTTTTTTCTTCTTTCCAGTTTCCATGAATTTGAGAAATGCAGCCGGCCTGCCTATACTTTATCAATATCAGCTGTATTGTCTCAACGTCTTCATACAGTTAGTTTCATTAATAGGGAATCAGATCTGTTCATGTGATCAGTAATAAAAATGTCTCGGTGAACTCTTAGATTGTGGCACGAGTTTGTGCCTCCAGCATTTACGTGTTTAGGGGCAATAATTGATTTCTATGTTGTCCCCTGCAGGGCTTGTTCCACATCTCTAAAACCCCTGCACACATACACATGCACCTTCTCTCACGCATGCACACACACACACAGCACGGCATGCTGCAGTATTAATGAGACATGAATAAGACATGAAGAGAGACCCCCCTCTTACGCCGCTCACACAGGGTCTCCCTCCTCCCCAGCTGCTTCCTGTCTGCAGATTACCCAGCTTTCGCTGGGCTCTGGTTAAGTGGGGCCAGGAAGAGATTTAGCCCCCTCAGCAGGAGCAAACACACACAGGCACACACTCACGAGCATATGCGTATAAGCGTGCACACCCACTCTTCTCACTGTGTGCAAACATTGGGAAATATCTGTTTTATGGTGGGGTTGAATGCTGACAGAACTTGAGGTTTTGTTCTCTGCCCGGCACATGACCAAGGATGAAGAACTTGACCTCATCTTTTCTCTTATTTATTTATTGAGACCAAAGAAATCGTCTGAGCTTTGACATGTGAAATTATATTGCCAAATTGAGCTAACCTGTGAATGATCAAGATAATCAACATGTATGTCAATTTGTGCTTTTTAAGGGTTAATTTTAACTTACGTCAAATTCATCTGCTGAGCTTATTTCGTCCGATTGTAAATGACTTTAGTTACGCATATGTCACAGCATTATGCATTAACTGCTGAGTGGAGAGTCATAGTTGTAGGGTGTGCTTGAAGGTTTATAAAATGTAAAGGAAGCTGTCTAGACTCAGCTGAATGCCACCGTATGAAACTCTTGATAAGTGAGCTGAGTGTATGTTGCTGCAGGTTTTGACCTTCTCTCTGTTTGTGTTGCAGGCCTCAGCGACGTCTAGCCCAGGACCTGCCTCTCTGGGCTCGCAGGTCCATGCAGCAGCTGTTAATGGAGATAGGAGCACCCTTCTCAAGCTCATCACGGGTACATAGAGCACAAGCCTTTGAATTTATTAAAGGTTTATTTATTAAATAAGTGGTAGAGCATTAGGAGAGCAGATTATTTTTTTGCAAAAATTCAAATCAAGGCGCAGCTGTTTTATTTGTGCCTTTTAACTCCAAGGCCCCGAAATATCTGGGACGCAAAGTTTTTCAGTTACATCTATAAATCATAATTTATTGCTTTGTTTCTCTTTATGAGGGAATTGTCCTTGTGTTTTCCTCAATTTTTATTATTGTTAGAATGAAGGGACAGCCTGGGGTTTGGGTTTTTCACAGGGAAAAACAATGAAAGGCCAGGTTCCTTCTTCCGATGACTCTAATCTTTTATCAAAACGCTGATAAGAGTGTTTGTGAAAATATGAGATAAAAATGTAAACAACAATTGAAACTTGTCTGTTTGAAGGATCATGCAGTCCTCCATGTTTCTAGAGTTTAAGTATTTATCTTGATTTCTAATGAAACTGAGTCATTTAGTAAAGTGGAAGTGTAACTGCTGTTGAAATAAAGCCATCTAAGACTTTCATTTAAGCCTAAGGCGCTGTCTAAGAAAAAGAGTCTATTACATATCCCGTGACAAGCATAATATTACTTACTGTGAGTATGTTAAAAGAAAAAAAGCATTTACCCCAAATATTTGCCTTTAGCTTAAACCTCGATCTGTTCATTTTTTCTCTATGTGTATGTGTTTGTAGCTGATCCATCTCTGCGGGATCGTGAGGACCAGTTTGGTCGGACCCCTTTGATGTACTGTGTGCTGGCTGACCGTCTGGATTGTGCAGAAATTCTGTTGAAGGCCGGGGCCTCAGTCAACAAGACCGACCACAGCCAGCGTACCGCTCTACACCTTGCAGCTCAGAAGGTGTGGACACACACAACACGTACACAGATGTGATAATAAGCTTGTTGTCGTTCACTTTCAAAGCAGTGTTTACTAAAAGTTACAGATTGTCTGACATTGAAGGAAAATAAATAAAAGTGGAGAGTGAAAAACTGAATAAAAGGAGAATAACTTCAAATAATTGTTTGACTAAAAACAGTTTCTTTAAGTTAAAAAAAATCCCTCAGAACACAGGAAGTCAGCCAAAATTATTTGAAGATGATTTAACAAGTTTGAGTTTCTCAGTTTGTCTCAAATCACAAGATCTGAAAGGTGTAAAGATTCAGAAATGTAAAGCAGACTTAAGACTAAGATTGATCTTACGGAGTTTTAATGAAACATACAGTTTGACTCCATCAGCTCCTGTGGGGAGCCAGTGCCCTCTAGTGGCTCTAAGTATGGCCTGAGGGCTCGTGGGGCTGGTTGTAAATCCTGCCAGATAAATAGAGCTGTAAGTGACACTCACACACACTCCTCAAAAGATTTATTCTGCACAGAGGAAATCCAGTCCCACCACATTTGGCCACAAAAACCACTAATATAAGATCCCGGTGTTCTTTGCTCTTTCATCCAGGGTGAGATTTCAGAGGAGACAGTGAAAATTAAGAAATGTCTGTAGGCAGGGTGGTGTTTTCTCCAAAGGGGTGTAGCAGAGGAGCAGTGGGATGTTGAAACTAAAATGATCTCTTTGGACTTATTTATCGGTGAGTCTGCTGATACAGAGTCATCATATTTTAAAAGGAAGGAAAAAAATCTGTTATCGAGGTCTGTTCGTGTGTGTGTGTGTGTGTGTGTGTGTGTGTGTGTGTGTGTGCGTGAGTGTGTGTGCGTGAGTGTATGTGTGTGTGTGAGTATGTTGGGGGGGGATACTAGTGATGGGAAGCCCTGTCTCTTTGACATCTGATCAATAAACGGCTGAGACAGGCAGAGAGGCCAGGGATTACCGATCTAATTGGACTGAGAATAGGGAGGATGGGAACACACACACACACTCAGACACACACTCACAGTCTAGATGCATGCTCACACACGGGATAGATCTGTCAGACTGTGGCTTTGTGGTCACAGGATGGCAAATATACAAAACACAATCACACATGTGCACAGTCAGCTGGCCTGAGAGCATTGGATGTTGCGCAACACAACACCTGGCAGCAAGGCAGTGAGAGGCTAAAATGTGACGATGATAATGATGATGATGATGGGCCAGGCTGCAGAGCTCCTGTTCACCGTCTCATCACAGTGACAGTGAACGTGTCATTGTTGCTTGTTCGTGATAAAGACAGAATAAAATCGTCTGTTTTCACCCGTTTCTTCATGTCTGTGTTGCAGGGGAATGTGCGTTTCCTGAAGCTGCTCCTGTCCAGACGTGCTAACTGGCTGCAGAAAGATTTAGAAGAGATGACACCCCTGCACCTAGCCACCCGCCACCCTTCCCCAAAGGCCCTCGCCCTCCTGCTCAAACACATTGGACCCGGGGAGGTTGACACACAAGACAAGAACAAGGTAGCACTATGCAGAAACACACAAATGAAACTGTTTGTCTTCCTAACTGTCTTCAGACAGAAACCAGTTGGTCTGCACATCTGACCAATAACCTGCCCAGAGATAACTGACTGAAGACGGTTTGGCAGAAGCAGCAGGAATTCGAGGTCAGACACACACACGCACACACATGCACAGAGAGGCGCACTCACACAACAGTGAGCTATTAACAATATGTGCCTTTGTCCTATGTTCTGCTGATAAGGCCACAAACACACAGTCTCCCTCTGTCTGCTGGGGCTGACGCGTATCTGACATCAGTTAGTTTTGTAATAATCCAATATGCATCATCGTGTCAGATGACGGTGGGTTCAACAAATCTCAGAATAGCTCATTGGCTGTTATGAAGGCAGTATCTGGGCTTCAATCTCAGCTGGATGTTAAGCTTTTTGCGATGCACATTTTCCTCATATTTCTGGCCGCTTTCTTTCAAAATAAATGCAAACAACCAAACCTGGTGTTAAATGAGTCTCCCTGTTGAAACTCCAGCTGTGAACTGTGTGTCTGTCTTTTCTCCCTCTTTCTCTGCAGCAAACTGCTCTCCACTGGTCAGCATTTTACAACCGGCCTGAGCATGTTCGCCTCCTGATCAAGCACGACTCCAACATTGGCATCCCAGACAGCGAGGGAAAGATCCCTCTGCACTGGGCAGCTCACAGTCAGGAGCCCAGCGCTACACAGACTGTCCGCTGCATATTGGTACACTGAATTTTACACACAGTGTCATTAAAGTCACTTTTTAAAACATACTTAGAATATTTTACTTGACCTGAAATCTTTTTTACAGTGACCTATTTTAAGTGTCCTCAAATATGGTATTGGTTTTATGATCTGAGTTGGTGGATTCCTTTAAATATTTGTCATTTTTGCATTTTTCTCTTTCCTGCCCTGTAAAGCATTATTATTATTAACAGATAATTATTTTTGTTTTATTGTAAATGTGAGTGTCAAAATTAACCTTCATCCACAGCTGCCAATCTCTTTCTTCTTTTTGTGGTCTTGTGTGGTATGTGTGGTGCATGTGTGCTTGAGCAGGAGGCAGCTCCCACCGAATCCCTTTTGAACTGGCAGGACTATGAAGGGAGGACACCCCTGCACTTTGCCGTTGCTGATGGTAACGAGGCAGTGGTTGAGGTCCTGACATCTTATGAGGGCTGTAATGTGACAGCTTATGATAACCTCTTTAGGACACCGCTGCACTGGGCGGCTCTGCTCGGTGAGTGAACTCACATTCTGTATGTGACCCCAATGCAACCTGAACCAGAAATACACACTGATCAAGCGCATGTACAGATTAGGGGGACCGGCTTGTAAAATCTTTGGTGTCCACCCAAACTCCTAAGCTATGATTGGTCATCATACATGTGTGATTGTAGAGTGGCCATGCTCATGATGAAACCCACAGTATGAAGAGTTTTGTCAGGGTATTGGAAGTCTTCTTCTTGATACTTTACTATTACTCTGTAATACTTTCTTTAAAGTTAGTCAAAGCAATTATGATCAGTGGAGAGAAAAGAGGTTAATAAATGCTGTCCAGTCATGTGTGTTTGTGCACACTTCAATCAATCAATCAATCAATCAATCAATCAATCAATCAATCAATCAATCAATCAATCAATCAATCAATCAATCAGTCTTTACTTGTATAGCACTTTTCATACAGAAACTATGTAGCATGAAGTGCTTTGCATAGGTAAGGAATAAAAGAAACAAAGAAAACCCTAATCTACCCCAACCCAACCCCTCATTCCCACCTCGCAATCTATGCACAATAAAAACATGTATTAAAATGTATGAACTTAAAAAGGGCTCGATTTCATATAAACAGGAATGTGTGCACTAAGGAAACACCATTTTAAAATTCAAGATAAGGAAACACTGGAGGTTTAAGTTAAAATCTAAAAACAAAGTAACATGAAACGAAATTTAAGAAATAACAAATAAAATGAAATAAAAACAACAGTAAAAGATACTAAAATAAAAGCACCAAAATAGGTCAATAAAAGATCCTGTCATTAAACTAGAAGAGATAAATGCTAAAACACGTAAACAAGTTAATGATATAAAATTAAGTTAAAAGCAAGACTTAAATAGTACATTTTCAGTTTTCACTTATTTCGTCCCATCTCTGCAAGAGTCTGTGCTCCAGCCGGACCACCAAGTCAAAAAAGCCTTGACACTGACTTAGACAAAAAATGTTTAGAAATTCTGACCTCCTCACCACAAAATGAAAATTTTCTTTGCGATTTTATGACACTTGTGTGTTACAGTAACCTGTATGTATTAGAAGCCATGCAAATGGGACAGCTGTAGAGAAGCTGATATTTGTTATACTGTCATCCACTTCATCTGTGAAGACTGAAATAGGATTCAGAAGATTTTCATGGTGCCAAGAGGATGCATCCTCTTTACTTTAATGATCTCCTGACTTCCCATGAGCCTCAGCTTCACTTTGAGTTTAGTGCTGATTTGCAAATCTTGGCCAACGCTCTTCACTGAAATGGTAAACTATTCCCCGGTATAGCTTGTTTGTAATGTTGTTGGGAACGTTATGAGGGACCATCAATGCTTTCAACAGCTTGTTTTTATTGCATGAAACTAAGACAAGCCATTATTGAGTAGGTAGTTGACTCATGTTAACTGACTATGAAGTTGCATTTAACTCTGTAAACAATATGATAAGTAAACCAAAATACTGAGGAGGCTTTGTGGGGTAGTACAGTTAGGCCACTGTTTCAACTCCTGCTGTTGTAATTATCTCCCTCACATCCCACTTGTGTACACACGTGTTTTTCAGGCCATGCCAGAATTGTCCACCTGTTGCTGGAGAGGAACGTTTCAGGAACAATCCCCTCAGACAGCCAAGGGGCAACACCTCTGCACTACGGTGCTCAGAGCAACAATGCTGTGAGTCACACACACACACACTTATAAACAAAGCTGGAAAACCTGCTGAGTCAGCAGAGTTCACATTTATCCAAAATAATGTTGTTAATGATTAATGAAGTCGTCTGATTCTGTATGTTTTCCATCCCTTTGAGTGCAGGAGACAGTGGGTGTGTTTCTGTCCCATCCGTCTGTGAAGGATGAGCCTGATCTGGAGGGGAGGACAGCTTTCATGTGGGCTGCTGGGAAGGGTAGCGACGACGTCCTCAGAACCATGCTGGACCTCACTCCTCACGTTGACATCAATATGGCCGACAAGTATGGAGGCACCGGTGAGCTCCTGGGAACAGCTGGTGGATATGCCTCCACCCACACGCTCCCTCACCTCTCTGTCATGCATCAGAGCGTGGGGGCATGATCTCCTCGGTCATAAAGACACATACTCACAGTGTTTTATCCTCAGTGTTTGCTATGATGATGTCACCGGGGGTTCCCTCAAGGTGCTTGATAGAGGAGTGAGTGGGGGGGAGGTGATTCTGTCAGCAAAATAAGTGTGAGCTTGATGAATAGACTCCCACCACTGCCAGTACTGTCCTCTGAAACATACACACACGCAGACATGCATGACTCCCTGCCACACTCTGACCCCCGGCATATAATCTCCATGGCGATACCCTCTCTGCTCAGCCAGGCGGTCATTGTTTATGCATGCATAACATGCAACGATTGAGTCATGCTAATGAGACGATGTGAGGAGCAGTGAGGCTGACTGGTGCCCGGATCACTTCCACGCACTTGACTCTGGTTTGTTTTGTCTGGGGCCTGGACAGAAGGGGGAGGGGTCTTAAGAGTGCTGCTCCTCATAAAAATACCCCCTGTTCAGCCCCTCACTTGACCAGGATTTAGCCACATCCCATAAGGACAAGAGGATAGATGCACCAGGAAGAGATAGAGATGGAGGAGGGAGTTTTTATGCTCATCATTTAGATTTAGGAAACTGAATTCTAACCTTAAGTATTATTTTGTATTCAAATTCAAATTCAACTTTATTAGTTTAGCACTTTTCAGACAAAAAAATTTAGTTCAAAGTGCCTCACAGAGGCTAAAAACAACAATTAAACAACAATATAAAACGACCCACACACCCATGGACCCACACACACACAGACACGCACCCACCCTCGCTCACCCACACAAGCACACACAAAGTAAGAATGTAAGATATATTGTTAAAGAGACATGGCCTGGCACTGAGACATTATGTGAGGAAAGAGCTACCTTTGGGAAACACCAGAGATAAAAATAAAAATGGTAAAAAGAAAGACTAAAACCTGATGGACTAAAACAAGAGAATAATATTAAATAAACAGATAAGTAAGAGCTCTTTACCATATAAAAGGGGTAAAAGAAGTCAAAACCTCTGTGATGGGAATTAAAAAGACTAAGAACAGAGATAATTAATGTAATGACATAAAAGAAACATTAAGAACTTCAATTCAAACGAACATTTGCAATAAGAGAAATATGACAAGACAATCAGTGAAAAGCTTGGTTAAAAAGATGAGTCTTGAGCCTCTTCTAAAAAAAAAAAAAATCTCTGTTTGTTTGTTTGTGTGTTTCCACAGCGCTCCATGCAGCCTCCCTGTCAGGTCATGTGAGCACAGTAAAGCTGCTGCTGGAGAGGGGAGCCATGGTCGACTCTCTGGATGTGATGAAACACACGCCGCTGTTCCGGGCATGTGAGATGGGACACAGAGACGTCATACTCACACTCATCAAGGGTGGGTGTGATTCATGTGAAAAATAAAAATCATCAACGTTTTATTCTGTCTTTTAAATGTCCAAACTGAAATGTGAATGTAACAAATGAAGGTTCTACACGTGTGGACCTGGTGGATGTGGACGGTCACACAGCTCTGCACTGGGCAGCTCTGGGTGGGAATGCTGAGGTCTGCCAGATACTGATGGAGAATGGGATTAGTCCGAATGTACAGGTATCGATGTATGAACCGAAGTCATGTGAGAAAACATGAAAAAAGAAGTTCAGGAACATAAGTTTCCTGTTAAGAACCCATTACATGTCAGCTTTGGCTAAACGTTCAAGTCGTTGTAAGAGGAAATCATAAGCAGCTGTCTATACAGGCATCTGCTTATACCTGAACAACTAATGAAGGCAGTGATACAGTTACAAACTATATTTGTACTTGGCTAAAATCTAGGTTTGAGTTAGTCTCCCATTGATTAAAAAATAATAATTTGAATAATTAAAACTTTCTTTTTGAGCTGCTGTATTTGTGATTTGTAGGACCAAGCAGGACGGACTCCTCTCCAGTGTGCTGCCTATGGCGGCTACATAACTTGCATGGCTGTTCTCATGGAGAATAATGCTGACCCAAACATTCAGGACAAGGAGGTAAAACAAATACATCCACTGATGCTGTCTCAGCTCCTGAACTTAGCTCTTGAATGACCGAGTTCTCTGTTTTTTGGTGCGCTCAGGGGCGAACCGCTCTCCACTGGTCGTGTAACAACGGCTACCTGGATGCTGTGAAACTGTTACTGGGCTACAACGCCTTCCCTAACCACATGGAGCATACTGAAGAGAGGTGAGAGAAGATTTAATGGAGAGGTACAGGAATAGGTAAACAGTTTTATAAATGACTGTGGTTTTATGCAGGTACACCCCTCTGGACTACGCTCTTCTAGGAGGTCACAGTGAGGTGACTCAGTTTATGCTGGAGCATGGGGCTTTATCCATAGCAGCCATCCAAGACATCGCAGCCGCCTCCATCCAGGCTGTGTACAAGGGTTACACTGTCCGCAAGGCCTTCAGGGAGAGGAAGCAGCTCCTCATGAGGCACGAGCAACTGCGAAAAGATGCAGCAAAGTAGGACACAAGCACACACACACACACATGCATATTGTAAGATTACATAGTCTTTGGGTCACTGCATACTTTTTGTATTTAACACATACACACCATCACTCAACTCATGCATCTATCTTCATTATTTGTCTCTGTCTGTTGCCACAAGAACAGTCACACTCTTTACATATCTATCTTTTTCCCTGTCGCCCCTGCACACAGATGCGTCTTCGCCCTGTCTCTCTCCTCTGGCCTGGTCTCATTTTGTCATTTGTTCACCAGCCTCATCTTTATTTTGTCTCGACTCTTGTCTTCGAGAGGCAAATTTAAATTGTGCGAGCACATTAGCAAGCATTTTTTGTGTGTTTTGAAGCAGACATCTATTGCAATCTTTAAAGTATTCCTCCACATCTCGCCATCTTTTTGGATATTAGATTGTCACCAAATAAACTTAACTTTTAACTTGGTCAGATTACAGTGCATTTCTGTAAAAAATCTTTTACTTTAAGAGATCTGACTTCTTTCCTCCATGTTCAGGAAACGTGAGGAAGAACAGCGACGGAGGGAAGCAGTGCAGCAAGTGTCCGCATCCTCTCCAGAGAAACGCAGGATCCTTTCGGTGAAAACAGAGCAGGAGAAGCTGTCCTTAATGAACAGGATGGAAAACTTGTCCATAAATAACCCAGTGGAAGAAATTAAGAAATCATCCAACACCAAAGAAGAAAGACACAAAGGTAGAAATACGCTGATTTTCACGTACGAAGGAGTATTAGAGGTTAACAAAAGTTTTTCTACAGAGTTTAATGTCCTTTAATTCTCATTGTATGAAGTATGATGTCGAAACAAAAGAATCTTATTACTAATTTTAAACAAAGGAAAATATTTTTCTGTACCTCATTTCTGCAGATAAACACACATAAAAGTAAATAACACACAGAACGTTACACACATCTTGTTTTCTTCTCTTTTCTCTTTATTTCTGCTCCTTAGTCCACAAGAGGAGATCCTCCAAAAGAAGTAAACTTCCAGAACCAGAGGCTCCTGATGTTTTGGTGAACCACTGTGATGGTACAGGTGACTCTGTCCCCAGTGCTCCCCAGCCAAACCGCCTTAAAGAACTTCTCTCTCACTCCAGCTCCAGCCAACCACCTACCCTGAAACCAAGACCTCCTTCCACGTCTAAAGCCAGAGAACGACCCTCTCCAACCAGTCCCTCCACAAGCATCTCTGTGACCAACCAAACTGACACAATCACACAAGACGGCCTCCACCTGAAAAGGAGGGACGCTCACATGACCATGCAGATGACTCCTGGAAAGGCCGATGCTCATGTCTCTCTACAAAAGCACAGAAACCACAAGGTGCAGATGTCAGAAAAAGCTGCCCTCAAAGACAAAACTGTTGCCCCTTCATTAAAAAGCGGTTCATCGTTAGACCACAAAAGCCTTTCCGTGAACACTCAGTCAGCCGCACATGCACCGATCTCAACAAGCACAAGCAAGGAACTCAGTAAAGAGCGGCGCAGGGAGAGGAACAAAGCGGCGTGCATCATCCAGCGAGCCTGGAGAAGGTACGTTTGGGTTTGTTGGTACCTGAGAGTTGCTCAGTAGCTAAAGCTTCTCTGGCTGTGGGAGATTGGCACTGCCATGTGGTGCCCACATGTGCCCTCTTCCCACATGCACCCCAATCCATTCTCATCTCTGCGGTAACTCCCCCCCTCTGTGTTGGGTCTGGATGCCATCAACACTTCATGGAGAGGGGGAGTTGAGCGTGGGAGATGGGTGAGACATGTAAGCAGGGGACAGACGGGGCTGTAATCTAGAGCTTTCATACCGGTTTAACAAGAGGCTAAAAGTTCAACAGTGCTGCTCTAATCGCTACCAGCAGCCTCTCCTCGCTGTTCTCTCCCTCATACAAACTCGTGTTTCTCTAGGAGGCTGCCAGTTCGCCGCAGGACGCCCTCTGTTTCCATTTGGCTTCACAATTATATTCTGTATGTTCTGCCTGTAAACTGCCTTGAATAAACTCTTGTTTACTTTGTTTATACTTAGTGAGTATTAGTGTGAGGACTTGCCAGCTTTCGGGCCTTTGAACGCTGTCTGAGATATTTTATTGAACGCTAATGTGGCTGCATGGATGTGTGTCCGCAGGTTTCACGCACGCGGGCAGAGGGAGGTTAAGAGCCACGAAGGGGTGGAGTCCAGTGGTTTAAGACACGCCCAGACCAGGAAGAAGTTGGAAATCCGACATCAGGCCAATAAAGTTCTGGTTACTAAGAGCTCTGTGCTTCAAAGTATCTATGGTGAGATCATCTCTTTTCAATTTTGCAGAGGGGTTATTAAAGGGATATTCCAGCGTAAAATTAATTTAGGGTCAAACACACCGTAACACCGAGTTAGACACTCCCCCGAGAGATGAATGTTGCCGACCGCTTGCTTCTCTAGTTATACCAACTTTAGTAACGACTGCAGGATAGCAATACACAGCGGTCTAAGGAGCCATAAACAAACTTTAATTAAAACCTCAGCCACTGTATAGCCACAAATAATGCTCAGAACAACAAATTAGGCAAAGTTAAAAAAAGTTTGGTGGCTTGAACCCTATATATACTGTTGATGAAGTTAGGTGCTGTTCTAAGCATTATTTGTGGCAATAGAGTGGCTTTTTGGTTGAGGTTTGTTTATGGCTTCTCAGACTGCTGTGTATTGCTATTGTGCGGTCGTTACTAAAGTTGGTATAACTAGTTAAGCAAGCGGTCTGCAACATTCATCTCTCGAGGGGGTGTCTAACTTGGTGTTACAGTGTGTTTGACCCTAAATTAATTTTATGCCGGAATATCCCTTTAAAACGTAGAAGTCAGAGGTATTCAGAAGCAAATGCTACCCTACAGCAGTCATTACTTAAGAGTGTAAGGGAATTAAATCTGCACATGTACGTTGAGAGGTAAAACACCATTAAAGGAAGAACCCAGATCTTTTCTCTCGTAGAAAACAACCCACACTCCTAAGACTGATAGTACAGGAGGAATACTGCAGGATTAAGATACAGGATTTAGATATACTGAGTTTAAATATGGGCCAGTCCCACAATTTTAACAAATCCAAAGATTGTTTCTTGAAAGTATAACTTTAGTAGCTGAATCCTGACCGAGCTTCAGTATTCCTGAAAACGTATCAAAGGGCCACACTGCTGCTCTGTCCAAAAAGAGTTTTTTTATAGGTAAACATCAGCTTTATCTTTCAATGGCGGACTAACTGGAGAATCAAACAAATGCTTTCTTTTGACTGCAAGCTTGTTGTATGTAAGTCATCCAAAGCTTTATAATTTTGGTTGCGGGTACCTCTCTCACTTCCCAGGAGAAAACATTAATTATGAGGGAGCAGCAGATTAAGGTTGAAATAAGGATGTTTGTCGTCTCAGTGTTGAACATAAAGTAAGTGACGTACTCTGGAAATAAGAGCCCATCCATGTAAACGTCTGAATGACGCTTCAATCCACATACCTGGGCAGTATCAGCATGGTTGGCTCTGCTGAACCTCTGCTGGGGTTTCACCCTACAGACAGGCCTGACCTTCATCAGACATCACCAGGTGATGACGGGAGTGCAGGCAGAGACCTTGCTGCGCCAAAACATACGCACATGCATGCTGTCTTCACTCGCAGACAGGCAGTTCAACCCCTCCCCTCCTCCAACTCAACCCAGACTTCTGACGAGGATGTCCCCTCCCCTGTCTCACCTCACCTCCCTCCCTCTCTCTTTCTCTGCCTCTCGCTCTCTGACAGTCCTGGCACTGTGAAAAGTTCAGAGCTGTCAGGGGGAATGTCAGACGACTGCGTAGAGCAATCTGCTAAACACACTCACACACATGCATACAAACCCCAACATGGTGCCACACACACTCTGAGACCCATACCTGCACTTTGTTCTAATAAGAAAGACATTTGACACACAACTCTGGACTGGGTCACACAGCTCTCTTCATCACCTTAGACCCTGTTTTAAATTTCTTTTAACTCATTCCATTTCAGATAACACACCACCAGAGAGAGAAATGGATGTTTGTATCCTAGACATCAAAACCTGAACCTGAACCTCTGCAAAGATCTGATTTGTGTGTTGGTTTTAAAACAAAATCTATCTGCTATCTCCACTTCATAACACTTTAACGGACCAAAGGGCCAATGGTGGTGGACCGCTCCTTTCTCTTCGCTGCAGGACAGAAAGATTCAGAAAATCTTCTGTACCCACAGCCATCAGACTTTACAACTCTTCTGTAAATAGTAGATGACTTTTAGAGACATGACAAATGAGACGACAGAAAACTGAATTTCCCTTCGAGGATCAATAAAGTTATTCTTATTCTTAAAAAACAAAACACACTTGACTTTGGTTTTTCTTTACGCTGTGCTCATCCAAAACTGGAAAGAAACAAACGTTGAATGATGAATTGGTTGCGTGTTCCCTTTTTTGATACCTGTAACAGTCCTTAAATATGATCGCTAGTTCTCTCATTAGACAGGACCTTTTTTGATAACTTGGGTGTTTGTTTGTGGCCATTAAACATTAAAAAACATCAATATTTAGGCTCCAGTGAGGATTGAACTCACGACCCCTGGTTTACAAGACCAGTGCTCTAACCACTGAGCTATGAAGCCGCTGATGAAAACTGTATCGTCAGGTGTATTCAAAAAGATAATGCTTTGAACAATCCTGGGTGTGGTGTATAACAAGATCAACGAGTTACAGTAGTGTCCTGTGCTTTGTTATGCAGTTGGGTTGGTTGAAGCTGCTCTCATAATGCAACTCAAACAATATCCAACAATCAGCTTTTCCGTACTGTCTTCTAGGCAACTCTATGGCAAGACGCGGACGTTCACTTCGGGGCTCTCAGTCTCAGCTGCTCTTGGATCTTCCTCTACGCACGCAGAGCCAGTGTGAGTGCAAATACAAACTCAAACGCAGAGTTATAATACACGTAGAGTCTCTAAAGGTCATGAAATGTGCTTATTTTGCAGTGAGTGGTATAGACTGTGTGCACCTGACTGATGCTGTGAATCAAGCCAAGCAGTACTCCTACCACCTGAGACCACAGAGCGCAGGTCAGGGGACCAGAGGCCGGGGAAAACATTGAATCCACACACACTTGATGTTCTTTGATGTTTTCTCAGCTGGCTGGCGGCCTTACCTCTATAGAATTACTACACATTATTGTTCACTCCATGTGCCAAGCTTTCTAAAATTAAGCCATATGACATCAGAGTCATGACCTCACAGGGTGGGGTTAAGTCTACAGAAATGGTGTGTGTAAAAGATAACCTTTCATCCATTGTGGAAGGAACACACACACACACGCCATCCCAGTCGTTCTACATTGCTTTCGCACACACACTGCGATAACCTTTCCTCCTGTTGTGGAGAATGAGGCAGTCTATCAACGGCCGGTCATACAGATAGCCCACCTGCAGCCTCAGTCTCACACACACACACACACACACACACACACACACACACACAGACGCGGTTACACAATAACTGGTCTTTAAGTGCTTTGCGCTACAAAGAGGTTTACTTTTAACTATGCAGTTTTTATTTACTTTGATATGCATTTGCACAAAAAAACTCCATGTTACCCTCATTGTTTGTTTTTATTTGTGTTTTATAAAAATGAAATAAAATTCAAACATAAATCTGATGCCTTTACGTTCACTTTTCCATCTTTTTCCCTTTTAAGTTTTATTTATTTCAATCTAAAGTTCATCATGTTTCTTTCAGTAGGCATCGCAGAAACAGCATTTGTCAAAGTAGATGAATTAAGACAAATAGAAGAAAGACAAGGGAACAAATACGGGACACTGAGGCAGTTTATAAGACAGAAAGAAAGCCGTAAAAACAAAATGTTGAGTATTCTTTGATTACAACAAAAAGAAAAATCACATTTGCACTGTTCTACCTGTGTGAAAACGTAGGTATGTGTAAGTGACTACACACAGCTGTGAATGTTCAGTTTGTTACTATGAGGGGGGTCAGTACATGTCTCGAAGACCAAGGTTTCCACGGCGGGCTGAAGAGCCATGCGTTACAGTGACACTGTAACAATAGAGTAAGTCTGTCAACCACTGCTCCCTGGTCGCCCCCCTTGAATACCTCTGAAACACACACACACACACAAAGAATTAGGTTTAACAGCTGCCATGACAGGTGAACAGATTTTAATTTCTTTATGTAAAATCAACTCCTGTTAATTCCACGTTTACCGTGAGCTGCTGTATAATCTCCTGCAGCAGAGGAGCATTAGCGAGCAGCTGGTTTTGGATCGGCGTGTGCTGCAGCAGCATGGACAAGATCTGACCCAGCTGTGGAAGCTCATCCTCATTTAGATCTCCAACTCGCAGCAACTGCAGAACCATCCGGAGCAGGCGAGGAACAGTGCTCAACGCCGACACACAGGCACCCCATATGGCCTCTCTGCACATGGGACAAAAGGTGTTTGAAACCCAGTTACTGTTATCTGCAAACTACATGCATGACAGGTAGAAAAAAATGGGATATAAAGCAATATCTATTGGTCCGATTCTAGATTGAAACACTTATTTGCTCAGCCTTCTTATCGTAGTGACACTCCGGTTATACAAGGACACATCTCCTCTTTGTTCACTTTTGCCACCAAACAAAGATCAGTAACAGGTTGTATCGTTTTACCTTTTGTGGTTGGTTTCAGCAGGTAACTCCTGCTGCAGGGTGACCAGCAGAGCCAGCAGGCTTAGGCAGCACTGGGACAGGAAGCGCAGCACGGGCTCAATGGGCAGGACGGACAGGTCCATTAGTCTGGATACAGCTCTGAGCAGGCCGGCTGCCATATTGTCAGGAACAATCCCTAACTTGGTCTTACAGAAACACACACACAGATATGCTCTTTTTTAATTTACCGACGACTTCAGACTGGAAAATAGTGTAATACTTTCAACCAAGTGGGGAAGTTTCATACCAGGTACTTGCAAATGCCATTTTGCAAGATGTCGAAGCACTGAGACTTTGAACCCAGAGTTTCCAGACAGTGGCAGACTTCCTAAAAATAAAACAGTGGCATCAAAAATTAGTTTCATATCAGATGAAATATTGGCTGAATGTGAAAATCAAACATATAATTGGTAGTTTTACATCAAGTCAATGAAGACTGATTCAGGAAAAACAGCTTGACACACACATCACTGCTATGAATAAACAAAGCATTTGAGCACGAGTATACATATTGAATTTCCCTTCAGGGGATTAATAAAGTTCTTCTTATACTAGAGTATCTCGACAACATTGTCTGGATTAAGCCAGGAGGCCTTCACTCAATACGCTTGTACTGAATCAAGGTCACACTGAAAAGTATCTGATTCCATGTTTTGCTGGGATAAAAGACGCATCATAGCGTATCGAGGCTTAGCAGCTCTCAGAAACTTTTTGAAAGTGGAAAACAAGACGTATCTTTTTCCTTGTTAACTTCAAATCCAAATCAAATCTCTCATTAGCTTTTATCAATTTGATTTGTGCGTGTGCGTGCCGAAGTGCGAGAGTGAGAGCGAGCCGGCGTGTGTCAGAGCGCTGCACCTGTTGGCATTCTCCCCATCATTAAAAACAATCCTGTCTCATTAGTTGAACTGGAGTTGACACAGTCCGTCCCTTAATGCCTCCTCCCCCTCCCTCCTCTTTCGGCACCACGTCCCCTCCCTCCTCTTTCCCGCCACTTGCCCATGATTGACTCAGACAGGGAGATGAGAGAGGCAGGATCTGAGGGCTTAATTGAGGAGCTGAATTAGTGATTATAAGCCCCCCTCTTGTTCACACACCCACACACACACTTGCCCCAGGGCATTGTAACGTTAACTGTAATTTCTGTGCAGAAATGTCACACTCCCATCATGCCATAGGCTCTCATTAGCATTTGTGCATATCCACCGTGCCTGATAACCATGCATCTCCAACCTGTGCAACGCGATAATGGTTCCCCTCTCAGCCGGAGTGCAACGATAAAGCTTTCACCCTCTGAGCTCTTTATGAGAGACAGAGAGGGACCAGGGGGACTAAAAGACCACTGCTGTGTCCAGAATACCAAGACCCTTCATTTTCAAACATTGTCTTTTCTGCTCTTGTCAATTTTAAATACTTTCCGGTCTTTCATCCAAGTTTTCTCATCAGCGGTGACTTTGGTAAGGTAGTTGTTAGAAAGATGGCGTGCTGTAAACGCACCTCAACAATATCCCAGTGGTGAGTAAACTGCTCCAGCGGCGTGGGGTAGAGGCTGAGCGGTGAGAGGGGCGAGGGAGGCAGGCAGTCGTCGTCATCCTCCTGCAGGGTGGCCAGCCTGTCAGATGAGAAGCCTGTAAGGGTGGAGAACAGGAAGCTGATGTAGTCCACATCCTGCAGGGCCGCTTCCTGGCACCCAACAGACCAGCTGCTCAGAGATGACCTGAGGAACATAACCAGGTTATACAATTAGAGACAAATAAATATGTGGATCGAACACCCCATTTTTCTGAGTATTGAACGTCATCTTTTCAAATATTCTACGTATTTCGGGGGGAACCATTTAAATTAATTTCCAAATTGTGTTTCCCTGGAGTAAATATTCCTCTTTTGCATCACGTAAAAATTATTCATGACGCTGTGTTTTGCAACAGTGTAACATTGAGGACAATCCGTTATCAAATATCTCCCCCATGTCTCGAGGGGAGGATAGATCTGTTACAGTAGGAAATGTGAGCGAATATTAAGAGTTGTTATGAAGTCGGCACGCACATGCGGACAGAAGTGTCTTCTCAACTACTACTCTGTGACGACACTGCATTCCAGCCTCCCAAAGAGCTCTTTGTGTCCTACTCATTACTGTCACTCACACATACACACACGCACACACACGCACACACACGCACACACACACACACACACGGAAAGGTAAGCTTCGGTTGTGATTATTTGCTGTCACTCGTTCATTTAAATTTGAATACACACATTCTCAACATCAGTACCTGTCGACAGAAAGATAAGGTGTCTTACAGGTATCAGTTTCAGTGAGTGTTGTGTTTAAAAGTGCAACACTGCCATCTGGTGGTGGTCGGGAAGACTGTCTCCAGTGTTTACTTCATGTGCCGCTTAAATCCGAAGGTAAAAAGCATGTCTCTTCTGGTATCAAACTGTGCTTATGAGGCTTCAGCAGTTCTTAAGAGTTTTGAAAACTCACCTAAAGTGAACAATACGAATCAGAGAGGCAGCGAGGCCAGCGGAGATTCGTCCAGAGGTGCAGCAGCAGCTTAGATTGGCAAGCAGGGGCTGGGGCATCTTGGGCAGGAAGTAGAGCAGCTGCACCATTTGCTGCTGCGTCTCTGACGGTAACACGGTTATGACTCCCTCCTGTGAATCTTGACACACAAACACACACACGCACGACATACTTAACATGTGATAAAACACAGACAGCAATGCACGGGGCCCTCTGGGCATTTAACATGACCCTCTAACAGGAAAATGAATCAATACCAGGAAAACTTGCCTACTAGCAGTAGAAAAAAGAAAAAAAAAGAAACAGATGTAGCTACTACGGTGGAGTCTGAGATGTGCGTGTGAGTGTGTGTGTGTGTGCACCACGGTCTTTCTCTGACGCACATGCTGATGTCAGAAGACCTCAGACAAAAGGAGTCTTGTAATAGTAAATTGCTTGCTGTGCCACAGTTTCTATCCATATGCTCCCCCCTCTTCTCTCCCGTTTCATTTCAACATTACGATTTCACAACAACAGATGTTTCTGCTACGAGATGCTACAAACTCTACAACAATCACGCTTTGCTTTTCTCTTTTAATTGAGTGTTTACCGTAAAGTGAGCATGCGTTTGTCTGCAGGCTGCTGAGCATGTCTTTGTTTCCCCGGGAGGCAGCTGCCTGGATGGACAGGATGAGTCGTGCAGAGAGGGCAGGGTTGCGGTGGCCCAGCTGGGACAACTGTACAGGGAGGTACGCCAGCCAGCGACTCAGCACCTTACTCCTTCAGAGGAAGACAGCAAGGGGTAGTAAAAAGCCTGGTTTGCGCAAACAATCATGTGTCTGAATAAAAACACACAATTGAAGCCTATCTGTTCAAAGCATTTTCATTTAGACTTCAATAGATCTTTGTGTTTCAGCAGACGTGTAGATGTTACATCATTCCTCCTGAAAACATAGATTAGGGAGGACTAGAACACTGCGCTCTATTTCTTATTCTGTCTTCCTCTTTATAAACAAGCACTAAAAAGAGATGAGTTTTCAGGAAAAGTTAAACCCGGGAAAACACTCTTACATCCAGACTTTACTCTTAAACCCTCTTTTACAACTGACAGTGTGATGAGGCAGTCCCTGAAACAGTCACTGTTTGTTTCTTACTTCTTTCAAATGGGTGGCCATGATTAATGTCCTGGAAAACTTAAATTTCTAATAAACAACCCGTTCAAATTGGGTAATAAATTGATATGTAATAAATGTCAGCAGAGATATTGTAAATTTAATAATGGATGCACTATGAAATGATGAAAAAGCCTCTGAGAATGCTTAAACCAATAAATAAACAGTTGGAAGCACTATTCTCTCTCCTGTACTGTGATTATGTATTTTCATGCCTACTTTTATTGTAAAGACCCTTGAGCAGGTGCATTTAATGAAGAACTGGGCATTTCAAAATGATGGTCTTCAGCAGGAAACTACTGCAGAAATTATGTTCAACTCAATACTGTGAGTCCTCAGTTTAAAAACCCCATACAGTGCAAAGACAACAATGACTTGAGGTACCTTGCTATGTGTGTGTGTCCTTGCACCTGCAGGTAGAGTTTGCTGTAGAAAGACAGCAGCAAAGATCGCGTCTGTAAAGTCAGGTTCCTCTGCTTGTAGTACACATAAACCGCTGCCAACAGCTCCTCTGTCACTGCTGCAAGAATACAAACACACATAAACAAACAAACGAATCAGCTGACTCATGACTTCAAAAATAAAAGTCTGCTCATTTTTCAAACACCTCAGTCCATAGTATGTGTGTCAACATACAAGTATTATACATTATATAAACGAGCTTTATATGCTTACTTTTGCTACTCTGTGTGAGCACCATTTTCCACACAGTTCCCAGCAGCATGTGGAGCTGTCTGTAGCTGAGCTTCACTCCACTGCTCAGAGTGTCTCTCACAAACACCCTAAGTGGTGTCAGCCAGTCTCCGGCCATCTCTCGGCTAAGTCCTTGCCTCTGACTCAGGGACACCATGACTTGGCACAGTGTGATGTTTAAGGCCAGAGGCTCCACTGTCAACCCCAGGGCAGCGACAGTCTGTTTAGTCCTGCAGTGAAAGCAAAGGAATTTTAGTACCACCACTGATTTGGATCTTTGTAATCAATTAGTGCAACAACAGCTCATTGGTACTTCATGTGTGTTTGACTATATTTCACAAGATTTGCAGGTGAAATTAAATACACACAACCACAACCTTAAAATGAAGTTCTTTGCCTTTCTCATACCTTACATAAGAATGCTTTAAAGAAAGGCTGAGGGAGAATGTCTGCCCTTAATTTAACGCTGATATTACTCACCTTTTAATATCGACCTTCTTTTTATGTTTAGGTGTGTCCCGAGTACCGTAGGGAAAGTTTTTCATGAAATACTGCTTAAAATCGCCCAGGTATTCTTTGTGAAACCATGCATCCTACAAAAAGGTAGAACCGTCATTAGTCAACTTTTTCTTGTATAAAAAATATACTACTGGATATTTTTACACTCTTCATCTCACCAGTGCATCCCTGTGCTCCTGCTGAGGCGCCAGTTTTCTCAGCAGTTGCAAGATGGACAACACTTGGAACATTATTGACATTGCATCTGGGGTGAGCAGGTGAGCACTGTCACTGCTATTCCAGGGACAGTCACTGGTACTAGCTTCCACCCAGACTTCTAACAGAAGAGGCACCAGAGTGGATGCAAAGCTTTGAACAGAATCAGCAGAGTCCAGCCCCTCACCCAGTGCGGGTCCAGGTTCCACCTCCGGTCTGATAAAAAAAAAAAGAGGGGCAAACACAAAACATGGATTAGAATCTAGGAAATTCAACTGAAACTTTTTTAAATTTAAATTTTAAAACACATTTTCTCTCTGGTCTAAATTTCTTCATGGTTTAAGAAATTTTCAGTGTCTTACCTGAGTTTGAAGGTGGACTGTGGAGTTGGTTTGGCCCCAGAATGCTCATACACCCTGACTCCAACTTTGTTATAGGTGAGCTCTTCCCAGTTTAGGTTGAGAGGTGTTAGCCTACCCTCTCCACTGGAACCAAATACTCCTTCAGTTTGGACAAAAATATCACTTTCCTCCACAGGTCTTTCTTCAACCACTGCCTGCAGGAAGCGCCCAAGCCTTGAAATACAAATGACATAAAAGTAACTCTGGTAGCATGATTCATGTTAGAATTTTCAAAAAATATTCAAAATGTGAGAGCATTTAATCCAAACCTGGAAAGAACAGAGAGACGCCAGTGCTGACTCGTCACAGCCCTGCTTGGGTTGACTGACAGTGCCCATGTTCTTCCCTTTGCATCTTGGGACTTTTTGGCACCAGAGCTGCTTTGTTTGTGAGAAATCAACTCCAGGAAGTTAGTGAGAAGTACAGCAGGACGTGCAGCTAACAGACCAGGGTAATGCTCCAGCATCACATCAAGAACCTTCATGGCATCCTCCTGGATGCCAGGCTCAATATGGGTCATGGCACAAGACAGGTGGGCACTAAGGAGGGGGAAAAATGGAGCCACTCGTTCTGCGGGCACAGACTGTGAAATGAACCTGGAAGGTAAACACAGGTTCAAACAGATGAGAGAAAATAACACCAAGGGTTCATTTTTGTTGTATTGCTGAATTTCCCTTTTCACAGATGCTTGTCAAAGATAAGATATATTGTCAGGCCATGTCTCTCTAACAATACATCTTAAATTCTCACATTTTGTGCGGTTGTGTATTTGTATGTGTGGGTGAGTGTAGAGTGGGTGTGTGCCTTTGTGTGCATGTGGGTTCATGGTTGTGTGTGTGGGTGGGAGTGTTGGGTTTTATTGTTGTTATTTTTGTTCTTAGCCTCTGTGAGCCACTTTGAATTTTTTTTGTAGGAAAAGTGCCATATAAATAAAGTCATATTTGAATTTGTCTCACCTGAGCACACGTGTCGCTGCCAAACGAACATTGCCATCCTTGTCTGTGAAAACAGCTGCCACTTCAGAAAGCAAGCGAGACAGGTGCTGCTCTAACAAGGAGGGATTGAGAGACAGCAACTCTCTCAAACCCAACAAGGCACTGTGTTTCACATTGGCATTGTAATGGTGGAGCTGAGACAGAAGGTCCTGGTGGAGGAAAGAGAGGGAGGAGACTCTTAGTGATCCAGAGTTGATTCAGTTTACTGTCAAATTAAGAAACAATGGAATAGCTTACATTAATACCAAGCTGTCTGTGAGTGGTGGGGCCGCTTGTGTCTCTCCTCAGCTGTTCTGATATGTGGATTCCTTTGGAGCGGAAATTTGTGTTGGTGGCATTATCCGCTTTAGGTTTCAGCTTTCCCACCTTCAACTTCACCTTCTGGAAATCATCCTGCCTCTTCTTCTTCTTGGACTTCATCTTTGGAGGCTATAGGTCTGTGCTGATGGACACAAAGAGGAATAACACCGAATTCAACAAAAGCCAGACTGACCACCTGAATGTGTTTGTACAGTGTGGCTGAAGCATTTCGACCTACAACACAAACTATAATAAATACTGTGAGGTTAGGTCAGGAAAGCATTTATCAGAGTCTACAATCGATCCCACAGAGTCAGGGATCTCGTGGCTCCAACAATTTCGCCGCTATCTGGTTTCAAAATCTTGCATGACAGCTGTTCATGTTACTTACAGCTCAACAAAGTCCAGGGTACCACCGTGAAGGGCTCACACAGCATCAAACACACCCCAAATGTCTCGAGCTAAAGATTAGCCCCCTGCTAGATACATAAATTCATATAAAAAGAAAATACTCCGCGTTCATACATCTGGGGCTTACGCACGGGGTCCTCTAGTTTCGTGCGTACACATTTACGAGGTTACGTTAGATATGTTGACTACAGCAGCTGCGGAGCTTAGGTTCCTTCATCGTCAAAACAACTTTTAGGCGATATCACGATGCTTTACACATCTTTATGTGTTAAGTTAAATAAGCAAACTTAAACTTTTTTGATTAATTTTTATCCAACTGAATGAATTTGTGTTCTGAATGTGCTTACATGGGTCTATTTTTCTCCTGCGGGGATAGACGGGATGGTAGGGGAAGGTCCCGCCCCCGGGCCCTTCTATTGGCTGTGAAACGTCATCGTCTGTCGGGTTAAGGTTAGAATAACGGTATGGATTAGAATCAGGAAGAGGTTAACGGTTAGGTTTAGGAGATTCAGAAGTGAAAATAATGTTCTGTAATTTTCTGTTCGATGTACAGAGCCGACAGCCCGCGTTTGGCTTGAGCGTGTGAAGACATTTCAAGATTTTGTAGCCAATCAGAGGCAAGCGGGATACCCTGGTGCTCAAAGCGAACGCACTCCGTTGCTGTCCGCACAATTCCCATTTAAAAAAGTAAATAACGTCTATCCAACTGTCGACCATTCTCGATAAAATAGCGCGATTTTTAGTTGTGTTTCAATATCAGGGTGTGTTTATTTAATTTTTCGCAGGGAACTGACACAGAATAGCGTGAGATTTGATGTTTTAAAGCAGGCAAACGCACCGCTTACCTCGCTCGTTGACGCGCCTCTGGACGTTGTGTTTTAACATCCTCGATAGTCGGTGGGAGCTGTGCACACAAGTACTCGGTTCGTCTAAGATATCGTCCTTAAGGTGATTATTGTCGTTTACTTTTAATTGGCGACGACACAGCGACGAAATATGCTGAGTGTCTATGCCTGCCGAGAGGTTTTTAAAGCAAGCATGATAGTGTCGAGGAGCTTGGTCCAGTATTAACTGAAGGCTCAACTAGGCCTCAAACAACAGGGGTGAACTGGGTTTAATCCAGATAAATGTTTGCTGTGTCTTTCATGTGGACTGTTTTTGACACATAATAGTTTTCAGTGAATTGTCTTCAATATCCGCAGAGTTCAAACACGGAGAAAATGGAGGTTCAAGATTCAGCCAATAACCCCACACCGAAAAATGGGCCGCAGCCGAATCAAAAGAGAAATAACAGGGTAAGTATCAAAACAACGAGCTGTTGGAGAGACTTTGACTTTCTCTTGGTATCTTCTCTTCAACTCGTTTGTTCAAGAGAAGGCTGCTTTGCAGGACCAAGTGGAGAGTCAGGTGGCAGTAGTCCTCGGCTGGTGGACTTGGTGCCGTCCCCGTGCTCTCAGGCTTTGCTGTGTTAGACCGAAGTCAGTGGTCTGGACCTCACAGCTGCGGCCTGTTCGTACTGGTGCAAACATGTCTTATAGTTTTCACTTCTTTTTTTAGATTTGACTTTGAGCTTCACATCTGTGGTGACCCTGGTTCTCTGAACCAATATCTGTGTGCAGACCACTCAGTTTTTACCTCTGAGTGCTGTCACAAAGTCAAAGAGACCAGGGTTTAGCAGGGCACCTGGAGAAATCATCTTATGAGAAAAGATTTTTTTCCTGCACTCTTATATATATCAGCTTTGATAACCACCCACCATTTAAATGTAGCTTGAGAGACTGTGAACTTTAAAATTCATTAATTAAACTGTCCAAAAATCTAAAGAAATCAGACAATCAAGTGTAACATGCAGCCCGCTGAAACTTTTCTTGTACTTGGATGCTTTTTTGTCTCTTGGCTAGTCTGTACTGGTCTTTCAATTAATGGAATATAGTGTAATTTTTTTGTTGGACAGGTGCCATGATCTCTGGCAGTGGCCAATTTGAAGACTTATTACAAAGCTGGAATAAACTTACCATTCTTATGATCTAAACTGAGTTTACTCTCTTTTTTCACATCCTGAAAAAGGGGATTGTTAACTTAGTATTGTCCCAATTGTTTAGGCTGTTTTTGTATTTTGCCAAACCTGGAATCAGGGCTCTCGACCTGAAGACCTTAATGCACAGTAGAACAGAAATCACTTCTATTTTTTTTTTTCTTTTTTTTACTTTTCTCGCAAAAATTACTGAGGTGTTTACCTCAGTGTCCAATGTTGCCCATGTAATCATTTAAGCAGCTGAACTTACTTTCTTAGCCTCTCCAGTAAATATTTTGTTCTACTCAATTAAACATGTTTTTGTATTCCTCGTTCTCATAGAATGAGGATTACAACTACAACTGTACTTTTAGGACACTTGTCTCTGTGGCTGCTGCTGCTTGTTGCAGGAAAAATGGAGAACAAGCAAAATATTGGCTTTATGGCATACATAGGGTTGTGGATATGGACCTGGAGTTCAGTCCTCTGCTAAGTGTCATCCTGTCACTAATGCCTCTATGTGTCTCTCTCCTTCATGTGGGTTTATTCCCTTCCTTGACAGAGAAAGCAGCCGCAGCATTCTGCTGATATAGGTAAGTCCTCGATACATGGTGCCCACTGCCCGTGCTGGGAGTTGAAGCTAGAGGCGGTGATTTCCCTGCTTCATGTCTTGAGGTGGTGGCATGTTCACCACTCTCTGAGACTCTCACTCACAGAAAATGGTGGCTGTTGTGGTGCCATGATCAGTGTTTGTCACTGCAGAAAGAACTTTGCAAAATACTTTTCACTATATCGCACCTGTGTTGCTATTCAGAAAAGCCACTTTTCAATGTCTACTCGATTTGAAAATATAGAAAAATACAGAAACAATTTTCCAACCCATTCTCCAAATATGTTGCTACATTGAAGACAGACATGGCTAGCTCCTCATGTCCCCAGAGACTGCTACACATTGTCCCCAAAAAGCAGGACATGAAACCATGAGTTTGCGATGGTTGCTGTTCGGAGATTGATGCACTTTTTGTGCTGTGATGGTTGTTGGAACTTCTTCCTCTTTCTTAATGTTTTTTTTTCCTCCTGAATGCTGCACTCTTTTTTGTATTTTTTTTTTTTTGCTCTGCACAGGCTGCGTAACGTATTTTGTCATCTGAGTTAAACGTACTCACAAGAGCATTTTAAATAATGCTGTCGTGTGGTCGCTGTTCCGCTGCTTTTAAAAAATTTTTTAGCACGAAAATGACACTTTTGTGGTCAGGCGTATCCAGGGGCAATGCATCATGGGGGCTGGTGCCCGGCAGTCCTGTTCAAGTCCACATGGGGGGTTATCCAAGAGCAATAGTTCTTGTTCACCCCCCCAAACTTCAAAGCACACATGAGGAGTTTGGGTTGTTTGTGAAAATAACATTTATTGGCAATGGGACACTGAACCTAGTTAACTTCAGTGTCTTCTAAGCAATAATCATTATATAGGTGTCTTTGAAGAAATTGACAAAGTGGCTTACAGAACCAGTTTGTTGGACACAAACCTTTTCAGAAGTTCATCCACTGCTGACCCTCGTAAAGCCTCTGCATTTAGCTGACCCACTGTTGTGTTCTCTCAGTGTACACCAAAGGCTCCACCATCCAGACCATGCCCAGTCTCAGCAAACTGTTGAAGGAAGTCACAGAGTGCATAGTTGGTGAGCAGAAGGCCTATTTACTGCGCACATACCCTCTTTCTCTATCGCATCAAAATCCGTTAACAGCGACTGTAACTTGTCTGCAGGTCTTCAGTATGTCTGGGAGTATCGAAGCCCCAGTAAATCTGTCCCGCCACACTACCAGTGCAAACTCTGTGCCGTCTCCCGTTTGCAGCATGATATGGTTGCACACGTGAAAGGATGGAAACACAGCTTCAGGTATATGGTGAGAATCCTTTTTGTTTACTTATTTAATCTAACTGAACGTTTGAGTTCCATTTGATATGTAAGGTTGACAGTTTGAGCTAAATGTCATTTAACAGACTTTTTTCCAAGGTAACTGTTCTGTATTTGGTAAAACAAAAGAATTAAGGGATTACTTGTAAGAATGTTTGTTTATTTAGTACAATCCCCCTTCTTCCCAAGCCTGTGATGCAGTTCTCTTCTCATGTCTCTGCACTGGACAGTGGTGTAACTTTTCCATGAGTAGCAGACACAATCTTTCAGCAGCAAGCACGACTGTAAAAAATGCTCTGAGCAGAAGTGGAGAATAACATAGTTTAGTCCACGTTTCTGTTATTCAAGGTCACTCCATTCCACCCCCTTGTTTTTTTTACCAGCTGCAGTGGCTGCTTTGGTGGCAGGGGAACTGTTTTCTAGTAGTGTATGGACCCAGTTCAAACCTGTTTGTATAAAAACCAGGCAGTTTTAGTGATAACACAAACGCATAATCCCTGCTATCACAGAATGTGGCACTGTTGGCAGCATTGAAACTGGTACATAACCAACCCCTAATCAGTAAAATTTCTCTTCAATGTGCACAGAAAAAAGTCTACCCTGACAAGCTCACCCATGAGGAAGAGGAGGGTGTCAAAGACCCAGCCATAAGAAAGAAGATAAAGGAAGCAGCAGCTGATGTGGAGAAAACGGAGGGCAGAGGACAACTCAAAGTGAGTCTTGCTTTGATTGCATTTATAGTGTCCAGTGGCAGGGTAGCTTCCCGCTTCTGTTTAACGGGGGAGAAATTCAAAAATGTTGGTTAAAAATCTTGTATGCCCTTTCTAGTTCAGGAACACTTGATGTTTTTTGAAGAAGTCAAGAAGAAGTCATAGAGAAAATTTTGGTTTATCCTTTTGAAACAGCTCATTCCCAGAGACTACAGAGCATGAAAAGTCCAGGTAGAACCAGGGTGAAAAGTTTTCAGAGAGTTTAAGGCTGTGGAGTTGACTTCTTCATCTCTGGTTTCATTTGCGGAGAAAATCTTTGAAGAAGAGACCCCAGCACATCATTTTGCTCCCTGTAAAACAAAAAAACTTGAATAATGAAAACCAGAGAGTCATTATGAGATGATAAGGTTGAAAGTTCCAGTTGCCTCTGCAGGACTTCCTCTAAATGCACCGCCTGTCAATTCTTATGGTTAATTCTCTTTAAAATGGGCCTTGTACAGATTTGACACGTTTGTCTTTTTTCTGTGTTTAAGGTGATTCTGAAGGAGCCTTGTGAAGTCGCTGCTTTCAAAGGACTTCGTAAGTTATTCGTACTGCCTCCTGATTGTGTTCTGTCTGGGTAGTGACTATCTCTAATGTCCACATCTCTCTCTCTCGCAGGTTCTGCAGCTCCTAAAGGTGTGCCTCCCCCAGCACTGGGTCTGGGACCGAAGGGGCCGTCTCCTTTTGGTGAGTCACTTTTAACAGTTAGGAATATACTGAATGTACTTGCATGCCCTCCACTACTAAATAACAGCCTATACATTTGATTGCTTGTTTTCTTCAGGTCCTAGGTTTTCTGAACAGAGGTTTCCTCCTCAGAGGGGTCTTCTCCCTGACTTTCCAGGAGGAGACTATGGGGAGCCCGGTTTTGGAGGATACTCAGCTGGTCAAGATTACCTTGATCCTAGTATGGATCGAAGACCTTTCTCAGATGGTATGGGCCTACGTCAACCTGGAGATGGCTTTGGACCAGGTGGTGGCAGGGATAGTCTTGGGAGGACTGGACTGCTGGAAAGCCCAGGAAGACAGTATCCTGATGAGTGTCAGGGTGGCCGCATGGGGGGTAGCTTAATGGACAGACCTGTTGACAAACCAATGGAGAGGCCAGGTCTGATGGGAGCCGCTCCAGAGAGTGGCAGTCTGCCTAATAAACTACTCACCTATCTGGTAGAAGTTTTTATATCACATATTGGGGTCCTCCCAAACTTAAACAAAATGTCAAAGTTTTTCAGTTGCATGTAGTTTCTTTACCTTTTCAAAATCTGTCTTCAGGATAGTTTCCGGATAGAGAATGAGGATGACGCACAGCTGGTGTTGAAGGTGACACAGAAACTAACAGATGTGCTGATGGAGTACAGACTGAGGAGTATATCATCGGTATGATGCTTGTTGTTACTACAAAAAGAACATCTCTATTTTCATATCTTGAATTTAAAGCATATTGTGCATCATGAACATCTGCTCATCATTTCGTCTTTAGGGCCCTAGTCTGAGCAGCTTTTCTATGGGTTCAACAAGTTTTTCTTCCACACCCTCAAGACTTCCAAGCAGTGACAGATATTCTGGTAGTCTCTCAGGTATGTAAGCACCAAGTTTTCTTGCAATCTTTTGCACTGATACATCCATCAATATGCACCGTATTTTATCATTGGATGAAAAATGAAGTATTGTTCTGCATGCTGGTCTTGTAGTTTATGGTGTATGTTGTCCTCTTTCCGCAGGTCCTAGCAGGTTCTGTGACGGTCCATCCAGATTTTACAAATGACAGAGGGTGTGACACCCTAAACTTACCATCCATCACTATTTGTCTATCAGTTTAGACTGTACAGGAGTTGAAAACTTGTTTATTTAGAAGCTTTTAGGTTGTTTCCGGGTTTTTTGTTTTTGTTTTTTTCCCCCTTCGCTTTTCAACCACTTGGGATCGTAAGGCTTTTCCGGAAAAGCTTGTGCATGTTTTTAGCATGTCTAGCTGGGTTATACCATTAGACCCCTGTGAATAACCCATGGTCTTGTATTAAAAGTATTTGACAAACTATTGTGGTTTCTCTCCTTTGTAGTTGGTGGTTCATTGTGATTAAGAGAAAGAAACTTATAGTTTTGTGAGATTTAGTCACACACATTTTCACTGTGAAGTTTCCACATGTAAGAAATTTATTTCAACATGTAGATGGTCACAAAGGGAATGTATCGAAGATATGCAGATTTAGCAAATAGAGGAGACTGGGGACAGTTGCGACACTTTTTGCCTTTCTCTCAATTACTCAGAGATGATTCCCTGTACCATTTCAATATGATAACATCACACAGATTTTTCATATTTATTTATTTTTTTTAAAAAGGGTCAACTGTTACAACCAACCCCATCCCTGGGACGGTTGCAAAACACCATGCGCTAACTAAACTCACTGTTTAGTTAGCACTGTTAACTAAACAGATGCTAAACGTGACTTAGAAATCAACTAAACAACAATTAAAACTAAGTTGAGATGCAAACTGGATGGTATGACAAAACCACATGAAAAAAATTACTTTCATACTTTAAAAACAAGTTTTTCCTAATAAATCCAGAAGATTATGCTTAATGTGTCTTCTGTCCTGCTGTGTGTGTGTGTTGGGGGGGGGGGGTATGTATGTTTCTGATTGGCTAGGAGTAATCCTTCTTGCAACCATCCCTTGTTGCAACTGTCCCTAGTCTCCCCTTTATTTGATAAGGAAGAAACATAACAGATGGGTGCAACAAGGAAGTGAGTTTTGTAGCAAATTCAGAATCAGTCCTCAAACACTGGGCTTGCTGTTGAACATTAGTTTTCAGCTTTAGCCGTTTCATGTCCCAAGATGTCCTCCATTTGCTTCACACTTATAAGGGTTAAAAGCACTTCAGATCCCAGGAAGTCTTGCCCGTGGAGCCTTTGAGCAAGTGCCGCACACTTGGGTGATCTAAACTGGACTACAGCCTCGCCAATACTCTCACCAGCAATGTCACGCAGGAGGAAAATATCATCCTTTTCAAGTTTGTATTTGCGGAAGAAACTTTTTATATGACTTTCATGCACATCTGCTGGCATGTTTCTAACATACAGGCATGTCTGAGCTGCTGCGCCTACGATTTTGGTCCGTGGTTCCTCTTGTGCCTCAGTTGGATCGAAGTCCCCTCTCTGCCTTGTTGTTTTGTCTGCGTCTGTCTTCAGACAATGATTGCGATTCTTCCTGGGGTGGGTTTCTGCCATCATTTCCTTCATCTTCAACCATGAGATCGATGAGACTTCAATGGGAGTAGATCCTACATGACAACCAGAGAGTGCCATTGCATAGTCATAATCCTCAGCGCGTTTGAAGATGAGAAAAGCCGTGTCTGTTCTGTTTCCTTCCTTATCTAGTAAATGTAGTACATTTTTGTGTGGGATGGTTGCGCATTGAAATAATTCTTTGATTTCAGTCTTGGTCATCGTAGTAGGAAGTTTACTAACCTTGACAACACAGTCTTTTGTTTGTGGCAAGGTATTTAAGTTGTCAAGTCTTGGCCTTTTTGCTTTCAATGTCAGTCTGCTGAAAGGTCTGTTCTTGTTCTGCAGTAAGGGGGGAGATTTTCGTTTGTGGTTTGCAGTTTCACCAGAAGGGCTTCGCTTCCGTTTTTTCATTGTTCCAATGTCCAAGGCGCCTTCACATTCTTCCAGAGCACCAGCCCACATCTTCTCAGTTGCTCTACGTACCTCTACAGAGTTGTTTCCTAACTGGTGCTGATTGAAGAGAAGTGCGTCATTTGCATCCTGCATGTTTGCAAACTTCACAAGGCATGCATGGTTAAGTCCCAACTTAACATTCACTATGGCTTCCTGCACAACCAGCCCTCTGAAAAACTGGCAGATTTCATTTTTTGTGGTAGAGGGTGGCAGACCGAAGAGCCTGACGTAGCCTGGACTTGACTCCAGACTTACCTCCTTTGTCATCACCTCACCAGACAGATCTGTGTAGTCAGTCTTTGTTAAATCAGTGATTGGTGCTGTCTCATCTTGTCTCTGATGGGTTGACTGGAGACCTTGAAGGACAGTGCAAATTCCAAGAAGAAAGGCTGTACCTGAATCAAGTTTGGGTGCATCAGGAACTTGGTTACTTGTAGTATCCTGGTAAAGCGACTGTTGGTAATTTGCTGTACTAAGATCATGTGGAATCATAGTAGAGGGTGGTAAATCTGCTGTTTTGGGGCTAAGGTCTGTGCCATTTACATGCAGATTTACACGCTCAGAATGCCTTGGTCTTTTGGCTGAATACTGGATGGGGGAGGGGTTCTTTTTCTTCAACAATGTCTTAAGTTTCTGCTCCAACTCTGCCATGTTACTGACATGCAACATAACATTAGACCCTTTCAGGACTTTTCCTGTTAGTCGCATCGCCATCTGAGCATCTCTCTCCGTGCTAAATCCGATAAATGCCTCTCTCTGAGTTCCTCCAAGTATGTAGACTCCACCTTCAGGAATGTGAAGATGTTTGAAGAATGTCCTTATGTCTTCAGTACCTGCCTTCACGTCAAGGCCTTCCAAACGCAGAATAATGGTCATTTTGTAAGACAGGGCGGGAATTCTCTAAAACAGAGAAAACAAACGGTGAAAAAACCCACATCTACAAAAGAAAATCAACATTAACGCCAACCCTTGAGGAAGGAATCCACAGGACGAAAAACACGTGCGTCATACAGGAGCCTAGAAAAGAAACAGGGAAAATACATGCTTTGTGTCTCCGTGAAATGTGCAAAAATACTTACATCCACAACTTACTCCGACAGAAAATGCACTAAAGCGATGCTGAAGAGCGTTGTTATTGTCCTGCACAACGTGCCTGTAGTGTCCTACTACAATGCGGTACACCCGCCCAGCAAGGACTGGAGTTTCCCTCCCTTTACTTTTATCTGTTCTCCAATGTAAAGCGCAGTCCGGTGGTGGGCGACGCATTAGCGCCATCTACTGGACTGGAGTATGGGTTGATTTCCACGCGGGAAAAACTATATATATCAGTATACTTAATGCTGTTTTGATTTTTGAACTGAAATTTAACTATGGCATCATTAAGTATCCCTGTTGCAACTAGAATTGTACTAAGAGCACCACATACCTGAATTCAGTTCTTTAATTCTTTTGTTTTTGTACTCTTTAGTCGAATGTGACAAATCAACTGGATTGTCTTGACTTAAATTTAAATATAATCTCAGTCTGTCGCTTTAACAATAATTTCCAGTAATAAGAATTAAACCCCAAGTCTTAGCAAAATGAAAACGCAGAAAGGGGTACAGCCTCTATCGACATGTTCTTTAGTGTACCAGGTGAGATCATGAGTCAAAACATGACCTCGATTTTCGACTTGAAAGAAATAGGTCGTTCTCCACTGTTTTCCTCATTTGCTTAGGAGTCAATGTCTACAGTCAACAAAAAAGGTCCGCTGAATTCTTAAGATTGTTTAAAGTTTGTTTCAATGTTCTTTTTACTTTTATGTTTCCCCCCTAGATTATTATCGTACTTACTTCTTCTCGTTATTCCGGTTGTTCACTTGGGCGGAAGACTGCAAACATACTGCGCTGTCTCAAGGAAGTGGAAAACATATCTGTAAGTTCAGTTCCTGCCAAAAGTCCCTTGTGTGACTCATAATCGAGAAGGAGTTTGATCATTCAGCCGGAGAGAGGGTTGCACAGATGGTGTAACCGCAGAAGAGGAGGAAGGAAGCTCCAGTTGTTCCATAACATTCATATTCATTGACCAGGTTTAATAATTTAAAAGGAAAAAATGTGTACCCACCTAAACATTTTTTGTTACACCCGATCATATTCAGCAAAAGTAATAATTATTAAATAACGATGATAATAATAATAATAATAATAATAATAATAATAATAATAATAATAATAAACAGCATCAAACGCTTTTAAATATGTCTTCTCGAAGCTAAAAATATACATTTAGAGACTCTGCAAGAATCTCTTGTAGGGGAGACTGGGATAAGTTGAGCCACCCCCTGTTGCTTGGAAATGGTAAAAGAAATTGATCATGTGACCAAATATTTAGGAGATGGGCATCAATTCATGGAGTCTGTGAAGGTTAGAAGCACATAGATGAAGGGGTTAGACATTTATTTACAAAAAAAAACATTTTTCACTCTTTAAAATAAACATAGTCTGAAGTTTTATTAGAATTGTGTTCAGACCAAAAAAGATCATTATGGATACGGCTCAACTTACCCCATCTACCAACATTTTGAAATATATTCAGATACACTAGTTAGAGACAAAACTATGATCACCTTAATGTAGTGATCCGAAATATGAAAAACGGCTCCTCTTACCCCACTCTCCCCTAATAACTGAATGTCAGAAGGTTGCATAAAAACAAGGAAAGGATCAGATTAGATGTGGCCCACCTGTACTACTGATGCTTTAGTGGGAGCCCAAAGAGTGCTTAAAGGCCTGATAACAAAATACATGACCAAGTTTTTGTGTCATACGATTAAAAAAGTCATAATATCATCAAAAAATATGAACGAACAATTAAAATCTTTTTTATGGCTTCTCAAAAGACAGCAGTTGTAGTAGCAATATGTATTCTACCTATCAAAAAGAATGATAGAAAATACAATCATCTCCAATTCTTTGGACAAAATGTAGTTAATTCAAAATTATTTTTTCGGAGCATATTAGTTATCAGAGCACTTGTTTGAACAGTTTTTTTTTTAAATCTTGTCTTACTTTTTTATTTTTATTATTTTTAAATCATTTTTATCTTTTATCTCTTTTTGTTTTTTAATTTTTTTCTCTTTTGAAATTTTTCTTTTATTCCTTATTCTATTTAATTTATTTCCTTTTTTTTTTTTTTTTTTTATGATCCAAGGTTTCACATTGGTCGACATTTTTTATGACGCACCTTGCGTACAGGCCGCTGTGTCATCACGCAGACTGAACAGGATTGTGGGTAAATTAGACCGTTGTTTACCATGGCGACGGGGACGCTACCGTTTGCTGTTCAGAAACCAGGAGTACTTCTGCCACTATTTCTCTTATTTTCTGCAGATTTTCTTTATTGCCAACAATTTATCATCTCACATAAGGCTCCTACAGACTGTGCTGTTGAAGAGTTTTTTGATATCTCGAGTCTTTCCTGTGTGAAGTGCGGTCCAAATCAGCGACGGAGCACAACAGGTCCGTTAACAACACACAGCTTCACGTGCACTGATTTACAACGGGTGGTGTTTAATGAACATTTTCAAACAATTTAAGTTTAATTATAAAAAGTGTCGACTACGCACAGCGAGGAGAAACCCCAGGGAACCAAGTATCAGCGTTAGCTATGGCAAAATCATGCTAGTACCCAGTTAGCTAACTAGCCTGCCTGTTTACAGATATAAGAACGGGCAATTCCACCGTGATCAATATACATGTTCTGTCTTAAAGTCGAGCACAAAAAAACAAGAGCCATGGGTTTGGTCAGTGTTGCTGATTTATTTTTGTATTAATCGTGGTATACGTTATTGTACATTAGGGGAGAGTGGGGTAAGATGAGCCATTTTTCCTATTTCGGATCACTTCATCAAGGCAATCATAGTTTTGTCTCTAATTAGTGTATCTGCATATATTTCAAGATGTTGTGCATCCCTGCAAACCAACAGAATGAGTGTAAACATAACTGTCTTGATAATGTAGCATGCCAAAAAAAGTGGTCTCCTATGTTCAACTTACCCCGTGTATGGGGTAAGTTGACCATAGGAGCGGGGTAAGTTGAACCGTATCATTACTAGCCCCCCACTCTCCACCCCAGCCCTCCCTCACCTTCTCTCTCCCTAAATAACAGTCACTTCTTCACATTCATGTGTATTTTTATCTATTATACGCTATGCAACTGGTACAATAATTCTTTTTATTATTTGCACGTAACTGCTTAAAAGCTTTTTTTTTTTTTTTTTAATAAAAAGCCATTTTAACATAAGAATGTCTTTAAGTGATTCAGAACATTCACAGCTGTATTTTTGAAAAGAAAAAGTAACACATTTCAATAATCTGAACTGAAACTCTGATCCTCTCATCAGACTGCTTTACTTTTAAGCCACTGGCTCAACTTACCCCAGAACTACTATTATGACTTTATTAGTCCTCTAAGCTAAAATGGTGGACTTTGATGCTCGGTTTTTGACCTCATGTTGTAGCTCATAGATACCACAATTGATGTATGAAACACATTTAAAATGATCTTTTTTGGTCTGAACACAATTCTAATAAAATGTATGACAGACTAAATTCACTTTCAAGAGTGAAAAACGTTTTTTTTTTGTTGTTGTTGTAAATAAATGTCTAACCCCTTTACCCACGTGCTTCTATCCTCCACAGACTCCATGAATTGATCCCCATCTTCTAAATATTCGGTCATATGATCAATTTCTCTCACCATTTCTAAGCAACAGGGGGTGGCTCAACTTATCCCACTGTCCCCTACATTGCCACATATCGACTTTTAAGACAATATGATTTAAACTTTTAAAATCATCAATGAAATATAGTCAGACACCACAATAATCTGGAATGCAATATGTATTATCAGCATATCCCAAATTATTTACATATTTAATAGTAAAAAGTATTACTATTATGAGGTCCATGTCTGCTTTATCAAGTGTCAAAAACAGTTAACAAAAGACTTTGGTTATAACTGTTTAAAGAAAAGGTGTCGATTTTTGAGGATGTTTATGTTATAAGAATCTATTTTGGTCCATCAATGCTGTGTTCCCCATAAATGGCAAAATGGAAGAAACCTACACCTTTTTTTTTTTTGCCTGACCCAACTTTTTGCATCATTTTGTGTTTCATATAACATTGCAGTGGTTTCCCTCTTTTTCTACAGGACTAAGCTGCACTTGCAAAACTGGCTACCAGACTCTCACCACTGATAAGGCATCTATTACTTGTCAGCAATGTCCCACAGACAAACCAGTAAGAGCAGAATACTCTTTATTTGTTTTCCATCTTGAATCCTACCAGTAGTTCATGTCACAGTCTTAACACCATATCTGATATCATTCATAGAAGTGCTTTTCAGGGCATTTTGTATTTCTTTATAGGCAGTAACTAAAGATGGATTTGGGTGTATTCGCTGTGCGGGTAGTCTCACTGATGACGGGAAGTGCCAGTGCCCAAAAGATAATATCCTGGGTGAGTAAACTAACCATGGGGGTCTAGTTTAATTATGGCTAGAATGAGTTTTTACTGTCTTTGACACTGAATGCATTTGGTTACTGTGTATAAATGTCTCAATTTTGCTGTTTTTCTGTTCAGTGGAGAGAGACATCAGTGGGAACCTTTTGGAAGAAGCCAGATGTGAAATGTGTAATGGAAACACCCCTGCATTGTCTGTCCCAAACAGCAACTGGGATAGGTCTGTATTGAGCCCTTTCAACCAAAACACTTGTACATCAAGCTTTATTGAGCGTATTATCTGAAACAGTAAATGTTCGCATTTTAGCTGTTTAATCAATCTGATGTTATTTGATACTCTCAGCATAAAAAAAATCTCCAGGGTGAGACATAGAAACATTATCAGTAAAAAATCAATTTACGGAACAGTCCAGTTAAACTTTCTGAACAAACATGGGAACAATAAAATTAACCCTCTATTTTATGCATATTATTTCTTAAATCGCTTTTCTTACATTTACAAAATATTGTCTATGAGGCAAAAATGTGACCTCTGTCCCTTGTACTGCCTCCTTTCAGTCTGAAGGTCATTGTGACTTGAAGGATACAGAAACCTTGAATCAAAACATCCTGGTCTTTTCCTCCGAGCACTTTTATCTTTCTCACCCTGCACACAGATACATGGGACGACTTGGTATCTAGAAGACAGATTTAAGAGACCACTTAAAACATTTTCTGTTTATGTTGTTCAATCAGAATCTCTGTTGAAAAAGCTCTCAGTGTCTGTCACTTACTGGAAAATCCCTTCACTAAGCACTGAGTGCTATTTCTATGTCATGGTCTTTTATCTATCTAAAAGAGATCTATGTATGAATGCATTTTGTCATGTCACTTTACAACAGATATTATTTCAATTCTGTAATAAAACAAATACCTGAGATTGTATTTTATGGGGAAAGCTGTGAATAGAGAGATCCAGAAGTTAAGGCATATTTCAACCTCTTCTGTGCCAGTTTTCACCATTATCCGAACTTTCTGAAAACCATTATCAAACTGCAGTGTAGCAGATACAAAACTACTTGAAGGGAAGATTGTGGATAAAAAACAATGAATATTCCTGAAAATGCTTTGAAATGGGGTTATCATTGCTACAGTCAATGTATTTAAAAAACAACAACAAAAGCAGTCGTCTTGAAAAAGAATTAGAACAAGAAACTGACAGTTAAAAGAGGAAGTTAACTTTAGGTAAATTATTGGATGAAGGTCAAATTGCAGATAGTTTGTTGTTATGTTTTCATCACTTTAGGACTTTTTATTATCACTGACTTTGACTATTCACCCCAATGTTTGTTCCTTACTATTGATATTTTTTCCCACTTTGTTTGCTGTGTCGTTTGGCTTTTGGCCTCTCTCTCACTCTCATTATTTCAAGGTGTGAAATGTTACATAAATTAAACTGGTGTTTTTATTGTCAGAGTGTGAGGAAAGGATCATTTTATTTTAATTTGTTTTTGTTCTTGCAAAATGTAAGAGCTAGAACAGACCTCATAATTATCTTTCAGGTGTGAGCGATGCCAGGCCTCCTTCATTAATTCCTCTTGTTCGTGCAAACCTCCTAATGTCTTGGTGAGCACTGTCCTCCCTCTTCCTTCATAACCTCCTTGTCACATCACACCCACACACCAGTATCAGACCCATAAAGGAATATATGTGGGTTTTTTTCAGGCAGGAGGATTGTGTTTCCCAACAGGCAGCCTCTCTTCTAATGTGAATCCCAGCGTCAACTATGCTCAGTTGGTGAGTCTCCTTGACCTTGCTAACTTTCTCACTGTATTTGCTGGATGTGTTCTCATTTGAGTTTTTCTGATATGTTGTCCTTGCAGAAATTCAGCATACAGTCTGCCTGGTTTGTCCAAAACTTGTACTCCTCATCAGCAGCCTGCCTTGTAATTCCAGTTTTCTTTTATCCAAAATCACAGAAGTCATCATCTTTATTGACGCTAAAATCAATATAACCAGCAGTTATGTTTTAACAAGTTGTTTGCTTTCAGGTTTTTTCCAACCTAACAGCATGTCAGGCTCTGGGGAACATGTGTGTGATGAACATGCACTCCTTCAGCAGCGTTTCCACTGATGCATGTGGCCTCTTTAACACCATCTTCAGATCCAAGGCTGCTCTGAGCTCAACGCAAGCTATTTCCTACTGGTAAACAACTCTGTCACAGCGCACATGTAAATAGATTGTGATGTTTTTGCTGATAAAGATCCCCTCACATTGTTTGCTGTTTCCCCAGGAGGGTTGATCTGCCTTGGCTTTACTTTGGGGATGAACCTGGACTGGCTGGCCGTGTGCTTCAGACTGATCCTGTGCCTGATAGGTTCAGTTTCAGAGGCAAACAAAAGGTATGTGTCTGTAACTTAAGTCAATTTAAAATCAAGAAAGAAGTAAAAAGATAAAGAAACACCAAGAAAATTTCTCTTTTCATTTCACTACAAATAAAGCTATAAACAAGGTGTGGTACTGGATTATTTTTTTCAAATATTAAAAACTCTTTTTCATATATTTTATTTTTAACAGAACACTGACATTAAGTTGCTTGCTGCTGTCTATAATGTAAGAGGAGAGTTCCTCAGATGGGAACCTGTCGGAGGAAGAAATCTCCAGGTAAGATGTCAGACTACTGCTGATTCAGTTTAATACAGAGAAGCACTGTAACTTTTATATAAAGTGTATTATTCTGCATTGATTAGACAAATCAGTTTAAAGCAGACTTATAATAATAATAAAATATAATAATAGTAGTAATTCCTCCATCCACTTCACCTCTACTCATATAAAAATAATAATAATAATAAATTATTATTGTTATTATTATTATTATTGTTATTATTATTAATGTTGTTTTTTATTTTATATTATTGTTATAATTGTCGTTGTTGTTGTTGTTGCTTGTTGTTGGTGGTGGTGGTGGTGATGGTATTGTTTTTGTTGTAATTTATTGTTATTATATTTATATTATTACTGTTATTATTGTTATCATTATTATTATTATTAGTAGTAGTACTAAGAATAGAGAATAAACTTTATAATATAGCACTTTATAAAACAGGGTTACGAGTGCTTTACTAATTAAAACAAAATAGAAAGAGAAGAGACACATTGAAGAGAAATGTGAGAAAAATGACTGAAAATCTAAAGGCTTAGAATCAACAACATAAGAAAGATAAAAACAGATAAATAGATAAGAAAGGATAAAAGAAAGATTAATGGCAGAATCAATAAAGAAGTAATGTAAAAGCCACAAAAACATGGATGAGCATCAAGCAAGTTAAGAGGATTATATGTGTGTATGTACACAAAATAAATTTATCAGCTGATGTAGTTATGCCGTTTTTTCATGCCATTCATATAATATGTATTTTCAAAAGGCTGATTAATTCTCCACTTCACCTCTAATCATCTGCCTTTCTGTTCTTGTCCTTCAGCTCTGTCCAGACACATCCACTAAACAGGCCGCAGCATTCAGCTTTGGAACAGCTTACCAACAAACAGTAAGTGGCTTTTTCTTTCATTCACCTTAAATGCAGTGAAAAACTTGTTTCAGTGCCCAATTTTAATATAACACATGCATGTGTGTGTTTGTAGTGTGATCTCTCAGTCAAAGAGCTGTTGGATACATATCCTGAGCCCTTGTTCTATGATGTGTTTATGGAGCTTGGTGGAGGACAGAGCAAAAAACTTCTCCCCCTGCCTACTCTGGTCAACAACCAGCAGTACAATGGACAGTTCATCAACCAAGGTTTGGCATTTTTCCTAGAATCTAGTATATAGTGCGTGTGTGTGCATTGCCTCAACATATTTTGTTGGGGTACAGAGAGTATGAAGAACTGGTACCTGACCAGACGAATGTTTCTTGTGGACGGACTGAGTGGAAGAGAGAAGAGCTTGAGCGCCCAGCCCAAAGTCATCCGTGTTGCCAGCAGTATTAAAATAAGGTAGGCCTCTATCTAACCTGTGCACTAGCATGAAAACTCATGACAGATGATCACTGCTTAGTGAAGCCGCAGTAATATATTTGACTAAAAGCGTGTGCTTTGTAGGTTTCAGCTGGTTCCAAGAACACTGGAAGGACAGGTTTATCCTCCTCTACTGATTGTGACTTACAGAGACATTCTCGTCACAGAAGTCAATTCTCAAACTGTGCCTGTGAGTACAGCCAGGAATATACTCTCACACAGACAATCCATTCTTTCATTAACCTTCAAGGAATAATGCTGGAGAGAACAGATAAACATCAGAGTGTAAGGGAGGAAGTTGGCAAACTAAATAATTTAACTTTTTATAAGTAACACTTTCGTAAATGATTGACCATCAAAACCATTTTCTAAATGCGTAATGTCCTCATTCTTGGGTATTCTCTGCAATAGTAATGGATTTCCTCATGACAGGAATGCTGTTTATTGAATTACTCAGTCAATTATTTGACAATGAATCTCTGAGTTTGTTGTACAGACATTTATTATATAATTTATAATAATATTTTATACACAGACGCATGTTTTACATGAAGGCCAAATCCTTCAGCTTGTATTTCTAATATTATCTCAGAACTGTTTGGTTTTAGACAGCTGAAAACTTTCACATGAAAGGAAGAATAGATCAAGTGTACCCTCATTTACAACTGCATATTAAAACTTCAAACTAAAGTGAAAATATTTATGTTTCCTTTCTCCAAATCAAGCTTTTTGTCGGTTAATGTGCTTATATGTTTTTCAGACAACGTTTGCTGTGGAGTATGAGATGGATCAGAATGAGGTGCAGATGAAGACAAATGTGAGTAAAAGCATCGATGAAACTTAGTTGAAACAAAGGGATGTTCTTGTTGTTGTGTCTGAGAGATGATCTGTGTGTGATATCTCTGTGTGTACAGACGGCTCTGGGTGTGATGGGCGGTGTGGCAGTGCTTCTCTCGCTCCTGAAGACAGTTAGCTGGAAGAGGAGGATTGCCTCTCCACTCATTGATGTGGAGGTACTTTCTCTTCAGCAAAATATCATTCAAGAAACATTGATCCTGACATTATATTGGAAGTAATTTCTCTTTTTCTCGCTTCAGACGTTGATGAAGTTCTTGTTGTTTTATGCTGGAGATCTGGCCAATGTTTTCTTCACTGTCACTGTGGGAACAGGACTTTACTGGCTCATTTTCTATAAGGTTAGTACAATTCTTTTTTGCTTTTCTTGAATAACATTGATGATTTTAATTCATGAGTGGCCTTTAACATTTTTACCAGTGTCTTCTCTCTTAAGCCTTCTTTCAACTCCTTTTTTAACTTGATCTTTTTTTGTAATTTCTTGACTTTGCATGCATTTTAATTTTTTCCCTCTCTGCATTCGGTAGACGTTAGAGGCAAGTCTTTTTCCTCCTTTACCTTCTGTATCTCTACTTTTTTAAAAATTTGTAGATTTAGGGTTTATTACTGACTGATTTACTGGATTAATTTGTTTATGCATCTGTTTAGGCCCAGCAGTTTGTATCAGTGATGTTGCCACTGCCTGCTCAGGAGGAGCAGTTTGTGACTTACATCGGTTGTGCTTTTGCCCTCAAGGTTAGAAAATTAGAGATCAGCTGCAGTATATTTGGAAACAGAAGAATTCCCCCCAAAAAACTATTCTTTTGTGTTTTTAAATTTAGGCTATCCAGTTACTCAGCAAGCTGATCCTTCAGGTGTCTGTTGATATTTTTCTTGTGGACTGGGAGAGGCCTCGAAGTAAAGCTGGCAGGACTGTGCATGGTGAAGACATTTAGTATACCTTCATATAACTCTCAGCTGAGAAGTAGCACTGTTTATTAAAAGTAACTTTCTGTTTTTTTATATTTGCTGCTCTTCCAGTTGCTGGCGAGTCCAAACGTGACCCCTCTCCAGTCAGCATCTGGAGGACCTACTTTGTAGCCAATGAATGGAATGAGATCCAGACCATTCGCAAGATCAGCCCAACATTTCAGATCATGGCTGTGCTGTTCTTCCTGGAGGTATTTAGCTTGAAGCATCACACTACACCATTTGTTCTTATCCTCAACTTTTGCCCCTTATCCCTATGGCTGACATGTTGCCCTGTATTGGTTAGGTGCTGGGTTTCTCTAACCTGGCCCTGAGGGACCCCTGGCCAACCTTAGAACGGTCTCCAGAGGCATACTCCCCCTCATACAGCCTGATTCTACGATACGGTCTTGCAGCCACTCTGTGGCTCTGCATTGGACTTCTACAAGTACTGCCTGCCTTTTTCTCTGTGCTCACTCCATCATTCTACATCTCTCTGATCTCTCGTGTCCTTCTGTCTTAATAAAAAATGGACAGATATATACAACAAAGCAAGGCAAGCTTCTTCAAAATATCATTTATCCTTACAGGTGATTTTCTTCACCGTGTTCTATGAGCACTTTGTGGAAGACAAAATTCGCCAGTTTGTGGATCTGTGCTCCATCAGCAATGTGAGTCACCCAGTGCATGTTTTCATAAATTATGTGTCTGTAACGTTACTTATATATGTGTTTTTCTGATTATTTCTGCATAGATATCTGTGCTGCTGTTGTCTCACCGTTGTTTTGGCTACTACATCCATGGGCGTTCAGTGCATGGGCATGCAGACACAAACATGGAGGAGATGAACAACAACCTGAGGAGAGAAACAGTAATACACCCACAGACTACACACTGTTTCAGAAAGTAAAGCATGTTAGTCAAGCTGTTTTTCCACATTATAGCCATACTTTTTCTGTCTTCATCTTTTTCATTTGAAGGAGTCCCTGTGTGGTCAAAGGGGTCTACTTCCCAACACAGACACCCAGACCTTTCAGGTGTCTCTTGCAAACCGTTTGCGGGTACAATACGACAGGATACGGGAGCCAATCAGCAGGGTATGTTCTCTCTCTGTTGTCTTTGTAATACAGCTATAAATTTCAAACAATCAAAATAAATGCATATCTCCTAATTTTTTTCAAAGGGTCACCTATTTCCTGGACTCCATAGAAATGGTCCATCACGTTTGATTGATGCAAGTTCAGCTAACGGCTTTGAGACACAAGCCAGAGCTTACAACACCATGAACTACTTTCTGGGGTCTGTTATAGACCATGTGAGTGCAAATGCTCAGAAAAACACTCCCACAAACACAATGAGCAACGAAGTTTGATTTTATTTCATGTGTGTCTTTTAAGTTGTACACACCAGCCTGTTCTGTTCCTGATGTTGCATTTTCTTTAGGCTCACCCGGACATGGACTTTATAGTGAAGGACAAGCTGATGTTTGAGAGGGTCATAGGGATGGAGTTCCTTGAACCCAGTGAAAAAAGCATATTTTACAACGGTAATGACCCCATAGCACAGAGAGCCCATAGCCTACATTGCTGTTGGTTTGCACACGTATATAAATACTGAAGTGTGAGTCCATATTTTCTGTTTGCGTTTCTTTTTGCAGATGAGGCCCACTCCTTCAGTGATATGCTGTATTATGGAAATGAGGCCACGCTGCTGATCTTTGACACTTTGTTCTTCTGTGTCGTCGACCTGGGATCACAAAGCTTTGTGCTCGCAGCTGTTCTTACATATATACAGCAAATGGTAGGTTTTTGGGTGCAAATATAGTAAGTGGCCTTCACAGTTCCAAAAGGATATGAATTAAAAAATCATTTCGTTTCTTACAGATACTTCGCCTGCTTCGTAACACTCTTGGAAGAAAGAACCTGGTCAGCAAGACGATGGTGGATGAGAGGTTTCTGATCTGAAGCTGCCTGTTGTCACAGTGTTGTTCAGTGGAATTTCTTTTTAAGATGTTAACTGTTCCCAGCTTGTAAAGTTCTCTTTTGTACTTTTCTATATTCAGTGTTTTCACTGTTTTTCACGAGTTATTTATCTGATATTTTTAAGAGATATTTTTAATGTTTTTTTAATTGATTAAAGGGTTTTGACACAAGGGCAGCCTTGTTTGACGTTTTCTTCACCTGATCTCATTGAACACAACTGCATCTTGAAAATGATGCTTGAAAATCACAAAGATTATGGTTTGTTAAGAAAGTTCAAGGGTTTGAAAAAACACTGAGAATGACTCTTGTTCATGATGTAATGCTTAATTGGTTTTCCTTAAAAGACAGGTCTTATTTCCGAAGTTCATCCTTTTACTAAGAAGCTTAGCTTTTTTCCTAATTCGATACTGATAATCATACTTCATGAACTTTGATTTTAGAGGAATTGTCATACTTCAGTGTAGTCCCCTAAAAAAGAATTAGACTTTTCATTCAGCACTACACTCTCCTGGACGGCCATGACCTTTCTCTGCTTATGCATTCTGTGTCTGTGGCTTGTTAGCTCAGCTTAGTTATTATGTAAAAACTGTTTTCATATTTTTAGGCTTTGGTACTTTCTCAGAATATTGTAAAATGTCCCTGATTGAAAACAAACAGACCAAGAAACATCATTTTAAATGTGTTTTATGCATCAATTGTGGTATCTATGAGCTACAACATGAGGTCAAAAACCTAGCATAAAAGTCCATCATTTTAGCTTGGAGGACTAATAAAGTCATAATAGTAGTTCTGGGGTAAGTTGAAGCAGTGGCTCAATTGAGAAAGTAAAGGAGTATGATGAGAGGATCAGAGTTTCAGTTCAGATCGTTGAAATGTGTTACTTTTTCTTTTAAAAAATACTGCTGTAAATGTTCTGAATCACTTAAAGACATTCTCATGTTAAATGACTTTTTACAAAATAGCTTTTTATCAGTTATATGCAATAATAATAATAAAAGGAATTATTGTTCCAGTTGGACAGCGTACAATAGATAAAAATTCACATGAATGTGAAGAAGTGACTGTTATTTAGGGAGAGAGAAGGTGAGGGAGGGCTGGGGTGGAGAGAGAGAGAGTGTGTGTGTGTGTGTGTGTGTGTGTGGGGGGGGGATATGGCTCACATAGGAGACCACTTTTTTAGCATGCAATAGTATCAAGACAGCTATGTTTACACTCATTCTGTTGGTTTGCAGGGATGCACAACATCTTGAAATATATGCAGATTCACTAGTTAGAGACAAAACTATGACTGCCTTGATAATGGCCAAAATATGAAAAATGTCTCAACTTACCCCAGTCTCCCCTATTTGCTTGTGGAACCATCAGAACCACAGGTAGTCTTCTCTGTGCCTGTGGGCGTAACCTGACGTCAACGCGGCTGTCAGTGCTCAGCCAATCAGCGCTGACTTTGTGGTGCGGCGCTCCAGAATGATACAGACCAGAGGGGTCGGTGCTCAGCTATGAGCTTCACAGACTTCACATCATTCGCTTAAGGTGAGTCCAAATGTCGCTCCGCATTTCTCACTGTTAGGATGTGAAATATGGATGTGTTGGACCAACTCGGACCTATCACACGGTTGTAGACATTATCGAGTAGGACGACAGTTGGAGGGTGTAACCCATGTACCACTAGCTACCATTAGCACGAATTTGGCTGCTCTACCTACTTGACTGACGCACGTCTTATCTTTATCCATTTAACGGTTCGTTATCTGTTACTGTCAAATGATGGTTGCACCGTTTAGCTGTCTAATTAAGCCTTGAGACTGACAGGGTTTACTTTTAAGTCCCCTGGAGTTAGTTTCCGATTTTGAGGATTTGCTTTTCTTCTCGCTAGGAGAGGCTAATGATATCAACGGACATGGCAACTTTCTTGCAGAGCCCAGAGCTGGGACGGCCCCCTCTATGGCTTTGGTGACTCATACTCAGTTGTGAGTTTTAGAGGATATTTTTCTGGTCGCACGAGGTCAGCCTGAAGGACATATTCCTTTAACAGCGTTTCAGCTGATTTCACCCAGGCTGTCATCCTCCAGTCTGCTGCATGTCTGTGCAGAACCTCACCAATAAAAAGGAGATATATAACTTTTAGGGAGCAGACATCCCCAAAACTATGCGTGCAATGGGGGCAAATTACATATGATGAAACCCAGTCAGATTCTAGTTCAGTGGGTCACAATGACCAGAACATTTCTTAAGATCCAAATGTCAGTGCTGAGATTCTTGCCAAGTCTATTTTGGGGAGAGCGTGCAGCCCTGCTGACCTGTTGGTGGGAAAGAGAGTAGAGTTGCAGGCTGAGGCCAGACCTCCACAGCAGAATATGTTCTGTTGTCGTCTGCTGATATGCATTTTATTTAGACAGTAAAAAAAAAAGAGCAGCCCTTGCCTGAGTATCTAAATCACAATAGTAGTTTAACAACACCATGGCATGCCAACACTTGACAAAGTTTTACTACTGTCTCCTGGTATGTGAAGGAAATTCTATATGGTGTGTTACTCCTGCGGTGAATACACACTCTGTACATACCGTATAACGAATGGATGATATTGGCTGATTTGAATTTGGTTCTCCCTTCATTGGGTCACTAACAAATATTTTAAACTTCTATGGCTGCAGTAGTTTGTCATGTAAACTGTATTTTTTTTTACTGACAGGGGTTTTGTTACTGTCTTGTACTGATGGTAATTTTGATATGGAAAGGTCAAAGTGAGTTATAGTTAGGGATGGGCGATAAAATGATATATATAATTAATTTCTCTCAATATCAATATAAAGCATGGTCAATATCCTCTTCGATAGTCGGCATTCTGCCATGTTTCTGTAGCCAATGAAGAGGGGAGTGGCCACGGGTCCGCTTCATGCTGAACCAATCATGTGCTGAATTAGAACCAAGTAGCAAACTACTGCTTCGTAGCAGGCTGCAGCTACACGCAACTATAGCACTTAAACAGGTGAAGCCGACGGCACTACAAACCACAAACAGAGCAATGAGCTCATGGCGCCTGTGCAGCCGAAACAGCCGACCATTCAGTCCACTTTCTCTAGTGCAAGACACAAAGACCTCACAGATGCAGTAGCTTATTGTATTGCAAAAGACATGCTACTAATAAGCACTGTTTAATTTCATCTTTTATATTGTGATACATATCGATATCGACTGAAATGAAAAAAATATATCTGGATAAACTTTTTCCCATATCACCCAGCCCTAGATATAGCACTGTTGAATAACTAACATACTGCTTTTGTTTTAACAAGTGACTGTAATGAACAGTCACCTGCAGGGCCAGCTCACTCACATCCGTAAAAGGCTGAGGCCAAAGGACTCAGTCATCAAAACCTTTTAAATACAGTTTTCATTGCTGCCTGGTATGTGTACTGACTTGCATTTAACTAAACTGCTTTCTTTGGCTCAGGAAGAAATAGAGTTGACTCCAGTGCAGTTAATAAGCAACCTTTCTGAACCATAACATATTGAACTGTACTGACCATAGTCAAAGTAAGTCCACAGTCGCCTGCAGGGATTGAACTTCTCAGCAGAAAGTGCATTGATATTAGAATATTATCCAAAGATGATCTGTTAGTATGGTGGGGTGTTGTTTCTGGTTATGAAGACATCCCGTGTTTTTGTTTGTACATTTAAGACACTAATACTTTCAACCTGTTCCAGCTTTTTACCTCATTACATAATGACCTAATGTTTTCACAGTGTTAGCTTAATGACGCTCAAAGAGAACACTCTCTTATGTAAAGCATCCTGTTAATCTTGTTTAGCACATCCAAGTGTCGCTGTCTCTTCTTTGCCTCTGAGCTCTGAACGCCTCGTCAGTGGATTTGTAACCATCAAGTGCTTTTTCTTTGTGTGTGGTTACAGAGCTTCTTGAGCCATGCCTGTGACGTCCCAGCTGCTCAGGGGTTTGCCCCGTACCAAGGTATTAGCCTCAAGTCTGTTACCATGCCAACAACATCAGTCCTGGCTAGGACCCATAACTCACGGACCTGCATCAAAACAGCCCTGTCATGCGTGGCAGAGCCAGCACCAATCAAGAAGTTACCAGACAGCCTCGGTACTCCGCAGCTACATCCTCACACCCCCACAGGTCAACTCCATCCTGAAAGCCAATGAGTACAGCTTCAAGGTTTGTGAGATTACACAATTAAGAAGCACTCCCACCATCTCTGAATTTCAGTCTTTCAACAGTTAACTTTATATGTTGTGGCTGCAGGTGCCAGAGTTTGATGGGAAGAATGTTTCATCAGTGATGGGTTTTGAGAGCAACCAGCTGCCAGCAAACGCCCCTATAGAGGACCGCCGGAGTGCAGCCACTTGCCTGCAGACACGAGGAATGTTACTGGGTGTTTTTGATGGCCATGCTGGCTGTGCCTGTGCACAGGTAAAGCTTACTCTGTTAAGCATATGCTGCATGACATACTCTGACTTTAGGGGACAAAATCAAGGTTAAAACTTCATTGTAGATGTTTTCAGAGTGTGTGAGTGACACACTGATACTTATCGTTGTCTGTAACTAGATTTAGTTTATTTAAATGTATAACAAAGACATTACAATGAACAAAACCAATGGAAAGAAGGAGTGTGCCTTTAATTAGTTTCTGAATGAAAGCCTCATGTTTTTTTTTCTTCTCTGCCAGGCACTAAGTGAGAGGCTGTTTTACTACATAGCAGTGTCTCTGCTGCCACATGACACACTGTGTGAGCTGGAGGCAGCAGTGGAGGCAGGCAGGGCATTGAGTCCCATCCTGCAGTGGCACAAACACCCAAACGACTACTTCAGCAGGGAGGCACAGACGCTTTATTTCAACAGCCTCCGGACATACTGGCAGGAGTTAATAGATCTTACCAGGTGAGGACTTCAAAACAGAACAGAGTTTACAGGAGAGGGTCCAGACTCCAGCTCTGGGGCAAACATGTTGGCCTCTTCAGTAACTAGACAGACATTTAGTGGTTGTTTCCATTGATTAAATCACTTACAAATGTGTGGGCTGGTGATGTTTGTATTCGTCCTAATAAAAAGTGTAAAAAAAGTAGTAAATTGTCAAACTGAACAATTCTGTTTCAAAACGATCAAAATTTTATTGCACTTTTTTGATTTGTTCTTACTTTGCAAACTGGTCCTGAAACTGGTTCTGCATTTATCCTCATTTGTATCCTCTAAAAACACACCCACACCAACACTCGCCTGTCTGTTGTTTTGCCAATAGTGGTGTTGTTGGTCTCCGCCCTCGCCCTTTGTCTTCATCTCCGTCTGTTTTACACATTTACACTCTGTCTCTCTTTCCAGCCCAGGTGAAGTTCCAGACACCCACGAGGCCTTGCTGAACGCCTTCAAGAGGCTGGACAGCGACATTTCTCTGGAGGCTCAGGTGGGTTTATTTCTCTGTCTTAATGTAGGCTGGATTTGTTGGTTCCTGTAAGAGCATCTGGAGGTTACAAGGAGCTCAGATCTTTTTCCGTTAACCCCTCCAGATTTTCTATCCATGTGGCACAATCAACCTCATATCAACCTCACTGTTCCAATGTAATGCTTTAAAGATTTGCGTCATAGACTAAATCAGATTGCAAGTCCTTTAATTTGATCTGAGTTCAGGATGAGTGCTGTGTCACTCATAGGTGAGCATATTGAATATCATCTTTAAAAAAAAATTATGACTGTTCCCAATTTAAACTTTTATAGACTTAAGAGAAGCTCAGGTTTCACAGCTCTCCATGTAAGTTGAACCATGTTGCGTAACCAGTCTGGCTCACTGTGTTCTTTTGCGGTGCAGGTTGGAGACCCAAATGCCTTCTTGCACTACTGGGTTCTGAGAGTGGCCTTTTCTGGAGCAACAGCCTGCGTGGCCCACATTGACGGGCAAGACCTGTACGGCAAATAAAAACACATCCACACAGTCCTGTTTCATGAGTGAATCGACCTCGATAAAACGTTTCTTATTGTTCCTGAAGGTACATAGCCAACGCAGGAGATGCTCGAGCAGTGTTGGGGGTCCAGGAGGAGGATGGGTCATTCAGCGCTCACACACTCTCCAATGATCACAGCGCTCAGAATGATGACGAGATGGCTCGGATACGCGGAGAACACCCTCCATCAGAAAGGAAGACAGTTATCCGACAGGTACCAGACCTACTAATGAGCTCAACTTCTTTTTTCTTTTTTTTATGGCGTTTACTAACATCTCTTCCTTCTTGCTGGTGTTTTCTTTAAGGACCGGTTGCTTGGCCTCCTCATGCCATTCCGTGCGTTTGGGGATGTGAAATTTAAGTGGAGTATTGAGCTGCAGAAGCGGGTGTTGGAGTCCGGACCTGATCAGCTTCATGAGAACGAGCACACCAAGTTTATCCCTCCAAATTACCACACGCCGCCCTACCTGACCGCAGAGCCTGAGATCACGTACCACAAACTACGGCCGCAGGATCGCTTCCTGGTAAAAGAGACGACACACAGACCGCCATCATTTAAAGAGGAAATGTGCAGTTGGATATGTAGTGTTTGTTTTTGAATTAGTGTATTTTAAAGGTGTAGAGTCAAAGAGACAGTTTATTCGGGTCAGTTGTTTACTTATCGAGCTGTGTGGGTCTTGTTTTTATCTGTTATAGTCTCAAAGCTGGCCAGTTACGTAGGAAGAGGATTCATTTCTGATCCTCAGGGCTGTTTCTGTATTTGTCTCGTTGGTTTTGGTTTGACAGTTGTATGACCTGTGGGTAAAGGTCGTGTTTGTAAATAGGAACAGTTTACATAATCAGTGTCCACTGGCAGTATTTTCCCAAGCCTCATGCTCTGATTTGTCTTCAAGCAGAATAACTTCAGATTGTTTTTGATTTGCTATTTTTTTTTTTTAAACTCTCCTTTATCTGTTTCTGTCTCTGCAGGTGATTGGCTCAGACGGCCTCTGGGAGACCCTCCACAGACAGGAAGTGGTCCGTATCGTTGGGGAGTACTTGACAGGGGTGCATCAGCGACAGCCCCTCAAAGTTGGAGGCTACAGGGTTACCCTTGGACAGATGCAGGGGCTGCTTGAAGAAAGAAAGGCTCGCGTGTCTTCAGCTTTTGAGGACCAGAACTCAGCGACCCACCTGATGCGCCACGCCGTGGGAAACAACGAGTTCGGCACGGTTGACCACGAGAGGCTTTCAAAGATGCTGTCGCTGCCCGAGGAGCTGGCTCGAATGTACCGGGATGACATCACCATCATCATCTCGCAGTTTAACCCTCACGTGATTGGAGCACAGAGACCTGAGGGGCAGTCCTGATAAAAACAACTACTTCTTCTGGTGTAACCCTCAGGTGTCCACACACAAACACACGTGTCTGTGTTTTATAAATGTACAAACAAGCACACTCTGTGGACAAACAGGCCATAAAAAGAAACTATCTGTCCAGAAATCTGACTGATCTGTTTTAACTCTATTTATGGAAGCAGTTTGTATGTTTCTTTGCAGTCCTAGCAAGTTACATTTTTGGTTTAACGCCACAATATTTATGCTGCGGATTTTCTCTGGTTACTGTTTTATATCCACTTCTCTGCATGGCCATTAAAACGCTATCACAAACTGACTTGGTGCCAAAAGACTCAACCTGTCTCGTCGGCTGAAAGACTCAGCGAGGTTGAAGTTATAGAAATTCCAAAGAGGGTGAAGGATGGCCTTTACAAGAAAAGACTTCTCTGTGCACGCAGCACCTACTCTACGCCTTTTATATAGTTTCTAACTGTACAGTCCTTTTATGGCACCGCGCTCTCTGTCATTGCCACCTGGTTTTTTTGTTACTCTGTCTCTGAGGCCGATGTCACAACAGACAGCTTGTTTTGAACTTGTTTGTGTCTTTGTATGAGATCGTCTTATGACTGTTCAAACACACATTTTGTTCTGTATTTACTCTGCAGCCTGTCAATGTTTGGATGATGATGTTTACTCCAGTATCAGCTTAAAAAGCTAACCTCAAGCTTAAAAAGTGCACGAGATGTTGAGATGTAGATGGCACCTTTACTCCAGTGCAGTGGTTCTCAAGTCCAGTACTCGAGTCCCCCCTGTCCTGCATGTTTTGGATGTTTCTCTGCTCCAACACACCTGATTCAAATGATCAGCTCGTTATCAAGCCATTACAGAGCTTGATAACGAGCTGATCATTTGAATCAGGTGTGTTAGAGCAGGGAAACATCCGAAACATGCAGGACAGGGGGGACTCGAGGACTGGACTTGAGAACCACTGCTCCAGTATATTTTCTTGACTCTTCCCTGAGTTAAAGTGATGTTGAAGAAGTTCGGAGGAATCATTCATTGCATTAGGAGAGTATTTACTTTATCTTGTTTAAATCAGCAGTTCCCTTCATATGAAATTATTTAATAATTTCTAAGTGTAAGAAAGCAAAAAAAGGAAACCACTGAACTCGTAAAGTCTTCATTTATAATCAGAAATGCTAAAGGACAGGGCAAATAAAACAAAATAATCCAAATATTTACAGGCTGGACCTCCAAACTAATATGCCATTATTTTAAGACCTGCACTGTATACAGCTACAGGTACACTGATATTTACCTGTTTTTTTTGTATGTTTGTTTTTTTTCTGAGACACTTACTCTCTTTTATAGTTCTTAGCCACTGTGGGTTATTTATCAGCCTTTTATTGGCCTCACTGACTCTGATCAATCACAACAGTCATCACGGTGGAAGTTTTGTTCTTATCCCAGCTTTGAGGTTAAAGGCACACGTGCTACAAGACTCACTCGCCTTATGCCTTCATTTTTCGGACAGGTCATTAGCCTTGTTGGTTACATATCTTGTTATTCCCTCCTGTTGACACACTAATGACAGGGGTCGTGTCTGCGGCGTAGAAAAGCCCCGATGAAGAAGCAGAATGTAAATTTGAAAGAAGCTGTTCAAAGAGAAAAGATTATTTATTTAGCTTTGGCAGTATGTTACACATCTTTATCTACAGTTGTATAAATTGTATCTTATTGAGTTTTGTATATGGAATGGTTTAATAAAACACTCAACACACACTGCTTGGCTCAGTAGTCTATCATTTTATGAATGTGATGCTTGTTTAATTAAAGTCATTTACTTTATATAAATGAATATGCTACAAAAATGCATTTCAACATTTCCAATTTCTCTGAGTGATAAGGGAGAAAATGCAGACGCAGTATTTTCTTTTCAAACCACAATTTTATTTGCAAACAAACCAGTATCTTTTCAAATCTCGGTTAAAGACTTTGAGCTGGTTATAAATATTCTATGCATACAGTGATGTTAATAACTGTAGTACATTCAAAGGAAGTATTTGATTATTTGGAACTTAAAGTACTTTTTTGAGTAAAAATAATTGAATTTCAGCCTCTTGACATTCCCAACACGTTCACATTATTTGACCTTTTATTTTATATTATTTTTTGAAGTGGCTTACCCTAACTCAAACAGAAGAGATGTTCGTTTATCACTGACCAGGGTTTGAAAACATAAGATATCGGTGAACCACCACTAGATGATGCTGTCGTATCAAACGGGATGACGTGCCTGATCGAGGAGGTAATAACGCGCCTAAAAGATTTAAAAAAATATATATTTTTCAGCGATGTCAATACTAATAATAAAACATTACTAAAAAGATATGTATGTAAAATTATAAATAGAAAAAATACACACAAAACAAGCTTATGATGCCTCAAACCTCTGATATGCTGCTCAGAGTAAAACAGTTTTGTTAAATCTACTTTTATTAAAATAAATGGAGTTTCAGATGAACACGTTTACTCAACAGTAATACTGTTACAGAGATACATTTTTATGTAGCTTATTCCAGTTGGCTTGATGTATAACAATAAGCGTACTACATATGACATGTGATAGTATTTCAAACCTAATGATTTATTTCTGGTTTACAGTCATGATGAGCAGCTAATTTTGATTATATGATCCACATTATTTCATGTATTAAAACATCATGAGTTATAAAACGGTTAGGCTTGATCTGAATATATTGTACCCTTATTGTAAAATGTGGCTAATTTAGTCAAACTGGCAACAAATTGTCTGAGTATTGAAGTTTTAATCACATCAAAGAATATATATGAATAAAAACTTCAAAATATCACCTTTTATATATTTACCAATTTCATTTTAAAGAGGTAAAAGTAACTTGTGGGTAAAATATTTGAATAGTGAACATAAATGCTGAAAAGTCTACACTCTTCTATATCTTCACGGTCTCTGTATCATCCACAGGTCCAGTGACATTGTTGGGGCAGAGCTGGACTCTCTGATGGTGGTGACAAAGAGAAGGACGTTTTCAAAGCTACAAGTAATCTTGGACAGCATCCACCACCCACTCCATAACGTGCTGCTTAAACACAGGAGCACATTCAGCGCTAGACTCGTCCCCTTAAATGCACCGCAGAGTGTCACAGGAAGTCATTCTTACATATGGCCATCAAACTTTATAACTCCTCCCTCTGAGCGTCGTACAATAGATTCAGCTGAGCAATCTGTTGGTAAACCAGTCAAAACTTCAATTATCTATTTTTTTCCCTTTGTATTAAAATGGATTGTTAGTCAGAAAAGAAGCAGGTCAAACTGTACAACAACATCCCATCTGATCGTTTTTTCATCGACTGACTGTAGGCGTTCAGAATAACTGCTGTATTTGTCTAAATGTGACATTCAGTTTACTGGGCATAAACTTCTCAACATAACACTTCAGTAAGTGGGCCTCATTTCCGCAGCTGTGAGGATGTTTTTCCAGGACAAGCCCGTAAAAGCATCTACAGTTATTAAGTTTATTTATATGACTGTACTTCTTCAGTAGGATGAGAATGTAGGATGGGAAATGAAACTCGTCCCACATAAACAGTAACACAACAGAGTAAGGCTCTGATCCAGGTAATGTTTAGAATGAGCACTAACTATGGCAACTTTCAGATTATCTATATTTTAGAGAACTTAAACAAAATATATTTATTTTCCAGAAGAATATCTTTAGAAATTAAAAATCCCAAGGATCCACATAATGTTGGTATATCCAACATACTCACTAAGTGTCAGATGATGTGTCAGAAAACTGTGGTTTCAACATTGGCTTTTTGAAGTGAGTTTGAGCCCATGCAGTGATCTCCACTACAATAGAAAATTAACTTCATTGATGGGAGATGTCTCTGTAGGGTGCTTTCTGTTTCAACATTACAACCTTTTCAGTGTTTTTTTGTCCTTGTCTGGACTTTTTTAAAAATGTGTTGCTGGCACAAAATTTTTAGGAATAGATTTCACAAAAAAATCAGAAATGTTCACTTTAAAACATTATATGGCTATACCATATTTCAATGATTGTCGAACCACAAATCATTTTTTTAAACAGCATTACAACTTTTTTTTGGAAGTGGGCTTTGGAAAGATGTTTTAGTAGTCACTGTGTTTCTGTTTAATGACTCTTGTCTTCATATATTATTTAAAAAATTCAAATACTGCTCAAATAAGAAAAAAGTAACCCTCCAAAGATTAAAAACAATAACAAAAAATGAGATTACATGTCTTTGGATAAGTGCAGTTGAAAACAAAGGCTAATAGATTGCTTTGTATTTTTTAAGCGTGCCTGTTGTGTATCATGAATCTCGTCTCCTGGCTCCATCTTAGAAAAACAAGTCAGTGTAGATCAGCTGGTCACTGTTTGCTGTGATGGTGAATTGCCACGACTTTAATGTTTCTATATTAGGATAAAAGTAACAAGGTCACAATATGAACAAAAACAGACGTGTGTATGTGCACATGCATGGTGATGGTAAAGTTTGATATCCTGAGCTGGCTGGCTCATTCAGCACACGGTTAACTCTGCATTTCTTCCCTTCACTTCTTCTCTTTTGTCCCTCAAGCCTTCAACTTCTACCACCGCTCCACAAGGTCTGTGTATGTGTGTAAGTGTGTCCCTGTCTTTGTGTTGTTGTGGAAAGTGTTGCCAGGATACAGGCAAGGAGAGAGTACAGACATAAACACTGAAGAGACTCCATGTTGAGTTTGTCGTTATGAGGTCGTCGCTCTGACACTACTCTACATTTTGCTTTTGGAAGCTGCAGTAGCAAGTTGTTAGATGACTCATCTCATGCACGCTCACACACACATGCACACACACACACTCCCTCTCACACATGGCACATGGACTGGAACAATACGTGGTTGTGGCTGCACATGTGGCACCCACATCCACCTCATACATGTGTGTCTGAGTGGGTTTTTCTTTGTGGGTGCTACAGCCACTTAGTGCTGCATAAAGGCACACAATCAGCGCTAACAATCTGCAGCCCGTCTACCACCGTCTGAGAGGTGACTCACAGCATCACTCTCTTTGACACAGCTACGACTTTGAATGTTCAGCGACAGAAAACTGTGACAAGGAGAAAAAAGAGGGATGCTTTGACACTGACAGCATGCCTTTTCCAAAAATTAGTCAGAACTCTGAACAGGCCACCTGTTTAGAAAGGGTGAGTGGAAAGGAAGTATCCTCATGTCTTATGTCACCCACCATCTGCAGCACCACATTTCTATCCTTCACTGATAGACACACACAATAACAACTCAAAAACCAAAAAGTGTTGTCCATTTTCTGTTTATTGGGAAAACAGACCACCATTTCCACATTACAAAACAGTTGCTATTGTTCATTGCAGAGGCAGTTTTTGAATTCAGTGACATTTTGAGTTGGAGACGTTTTGTAATGTTATAGATCCCTCAAGCTGTTTGCACAGAATTTCATAAGTTTCAAGCAGGCGAGAAAATACACTCTCAAAAAAAAGTCAAATCAATTATATAAAAATGAATAACTGCTAATGAAACCAGCTCAATCTGGTGGAGCAATTTAAATAAATTACAATCAAGCTTTATAAATGTAAGATCAGAATGGGTCCACCACAGTCCAATTAAACACTGCACTCATTAATCAAGCTCCACTTGCTTTTGTAAATAAAATGAGCTCAAGTAAGCGTGTGCACGCCTGTGTGCGCGTGTATACACTGCTGGACAGTCACTTCTTTACTTCTATTACTGCCCTAGCAATGTCCTTTCTAAGAACTTATCCCTACATATTAGTTTATTTGAAAATGAACTTAATTGACGGAAAGTGAAATTTAAAAAAAAGGGGAAAACTTCATAATAGAACAAAAATTGGTTTTATGCATATAAATGTGAACTATATCCAAAAGACATGCATTGTGTTGGTGAGGATCCCAACAAATTCAGAGGTACAAATATGTTTGTTAGTCTTGTATGTGTAGTCCCTACATCATCCTGTCCTCCTCTCCTGTTGATTTCTTCGTGTCTTTTTTTGAGCGTCTGATCACTACGATGAAGGCGATAGCTGCAAAAAGACAAAATAAGTCGAGACGCTTTTACAAGAGGAAACACAAAACTAGATGACTTTGAAATAAACAGTGTAACGCCTAAGCAGCTGGGTGAGTGGGTCTAACCAGAAATAGATTACACACAAGTTTAGTCAGACTTACCACAGAATGCCAGGACGCCAACAAGGATCCCGATGGTTGGTCCCATTCCCAAACTGGGGCTGCTAGATGCAGGTGCTGTGTAGCAGTAACCCAGCACTGTGCAGTTACAAACTCTCACTGAAGAAAGGGCAAAGAGCAGACATGAATGTATATTCAATTTTTTTGAATCAAAGTTTAATTTTTTAGCTTAGGTGTGTTTTTGTTTTATTGTCAAAAAATCAACATGCACTCATTGCATACAAAACACTGAATGGCTGAATCCCCTTGAAAAGTTTGAAAAGACCTTGTATTGACCTAAAGATGAAGGGAGTGCTTTCTTAACGTACGGTAAAAGAGGTCAAATTAAGGTCAGGGTAAGCACTTAATACAAGTTCAAGGAACATTTGAGGTACATTGTGATGTGGTAGAATACCGGTCAATCGCAGACTTTTCGGTTGTTCGCTGTCTTTGTGTTTATAGAGGAGGTTGGTGAGCAACACCTGTTTGAACTGGTGGGATGACCATTGTTTGCCATCAGAAGATCAGATAATTTGATATTTAGCAAGACAGCAGAAAAATCTAAAATCTTCTCAAAAGCCTTCTTAAAATTTGCCAAATCAACAATTAAAAGAGTTTGATGAACACAGAGGAGAACAAAGTTTTACTCATCCATGTAAGGAAAAAAAACATAGCTCTAAGTGATAGAGAAGTAGTTGGCTTAAAGAAACTGGCAAAGGGAAATAGCTAGCTGAAAAAACGAAAAATAGTTGCCCCCATTGAAGCTTTGAATGATCAGAGTATAGTTAGCTTTGAATCAACAACGAGTAGTCAGCTTTAATCACTTTAAAAAGTCACTTATCATAAGCCCTTAAATAAACTTTTTTTTAAACTCACAACTTTTATTATCCACTGCCTATCATGTGTTTTTACAGTTTCATCATTCTTAGTCCTAACTGCTTGGGAAAGCTACAGCTCTGTTGTTCGATCTGCTGAAATAATTCTGAAATAGATAAATAAAACTCCTCAACACAAAGACACGTGTTCACTGTGTGTGGAAAAAGGCCCCCGGTAGTCTACAGAGGCCAATATCCTAAAATAAATCCATCCCAAAATAAAAATTTAAAATTAAAATAAATCTCTGTTTTCCCTTAAACAACTGGCTCTTATTCTTATTAAAATGAACCCAAGCAAGAGTAAATAGTCAAATTGTTGGAGGCTATTTATGGGCGTAGATCAATACACAAATTGGGGTAGTCAATGTGAAGACCAGCGGGGCAGCCAGTGGAATGAGATCTCCACCCCCCAGAAAAATACAATGACCTGAATCACTTTATCACTTTAATAACAGTGTGGCTAATTGGTGAATGTCCATGACTCTGAGGAACAAGCACCACATGGTTCAGCTACAGAGACAAAAACCATCAGGATAGTATTTTTAATGGCACGAATGAGTAGACTTGACTTTTCAGCTTAAGTGAAAGAATGAACTCACCTTCAAAAGACTGAGTGACTCCCATGCCTGCATTGTCTTTAATGTTGATGGGAAGTTTGAAAGTTTTCTCCTCTGTTGCTTTTTTAATAAGGGCCAGTCTCGCTGTCATACCTTTAAAACAAAGACAAGTAAACAAGTAAGAAAATGTCATGATGTAGATTAATACCTAGTTCTAAAACTTCCTTCTGCATGTTTGCATACCATCAATAATTTTCAGATCCCAGTTGGGTGATTTCTTGCCAGAGCCCAAGGTGAAGGTGAAGGGCTGGGAGAAGGGTGCGCTGTCCTTATCTTCAGCCTTGATGATGACGGGTTCAGGTTTCTGCATACAGATAAAGGCCTGGTTCTCCACCAGTTTGGGAACATTGTCGTTCACATCCAACAGCCTGACGGACAGGGCATGCTCAGAAGACATTTCAGGGTTCGCTATGGTGAGAAATCAGATGACGTGAAATTACAGAGGTCATTTCATTGAATTCAACCTTGTTTAATGACATCAAAAAAGAACCAGGTGTTAAAGATAGAAGGTCACAAACACATCGAAGGCTTAAAACCACTTTAACGTTTGACAAAAATACCCCTTCGTTTTAATTAAGAGGTGTCTAATACAATACAATCTTCAACAGTGCTTCCTCTTCCTAATGAAAGCTAGGATTGATTTAAAAGTTAGAAAGCCTTTTAAAATAACTTAACTGCACAAAAAGTCTCTGAAAACTGTGAGATGAGTTTACTATCTGACCCTTTTCAAATGCGATGACAGTGACTTCAAAAGCCTCCAGGGTTTCTCTGTCCAGCTTGTCTTTGGTCTTGATCTGTCCTGTGGCGGCATCGATCTCCAGCCAGCCCCGAGTGTCACCGTCCAGCTTAAATCTGCACGGCACAAAGATACACACATTAAACACGCACACGCACACACACACAGTGAGGGAGATATCAGAAATCATTCATGATACACCAGACTCTGAACTGGAGCCCAGGGGATATAATGGTAGTCAAAACAAATCCATTGTCTGTTTTAGGTACACGTGATAGACCCAACTCATGAACAGATGAAACTTCAAACTAGCTGCCAGTAGGACCCATTAAAGTAAAGGATGAAGCCAGAGCTGAGTTAGTGGAACAGTTCACGAGGTACGAAAGCCATCATGTGTTTGGGATCACTCTCCTATCATACTGAACATCTTGGCTTAAAAACTGCTGAACAAAACAGACAAAACATTAGGGTTAGAGGAGGTTTGTTTTTATGTGTGTGGCCTTCAGCAGAAGTGATAGCTAATAGACTCAAACCCTCTTCAAAGTTTTTCTGTTTTTAATTTGTTTTTGGGCTTTCATACTTTTATTTAAAGGACAGGACAGTGGAGAGATAGGAAACTATGGTTAAAAGAGGGGTTCTTGAGGTTACGGGCCACAGTTTGGGATTGAATCGGGGCCACCTGCCTCAAGGCCTGTAGCCTCTGTGCATGGGGGGCATGACTTAACTACTAGACCAAAACGATGCCCCAGAGGGCAGGAAGATGCTGGATAAAGCTACAAAAAGGAGCAAGCAACTGAAATTAACAATATGGAGGTATTAATGCAGAGGTAACTGAATTTCTTGTTCTAGGAATAGGGTTCATGTCAGTTTAAGAGGTCTGCTGACCAAAATTATAATATCATTAAAGTCCTTGTTTTGGCCAGTCTGTTGCTTTGTCTTGGTGGTGTTATTGTGCACATGTGCCTTCATTGTGCTAATTAATGGATAGAGCTTTGCATAGTTTTCACATATAGAATTTTTCTCTTTTACTGTAATAAACAAAAGTTCATCAGTTAAATTGTATTGCACAAAAATAGTGTTGTGATGATGGATGTAACAGGGACTGTGGTCAAAGCAAAAGGATGGCACAGATGTGCAAGATATGTACATATTTTCATGGGTATGGCCCTTAAAGATGATACAATGCTCTAAATGCTGACATCTTGACGTATCAGTCATGTAAAATTATAACCCCTGATATTTGCCCGATTCTAGACTATTTAAAGCCTTAAAGCTGAGGAGCTGTCTTGTTGTTTACCCGATCTCTTTGCCTTCTGGATCCTTTGCCTCCACAGTGAGCAGCACTGAACCCTTGGTGGTGTTTTCAGGCACAGTCACATCCAGGATATCCAGGCTGAACTCAGGGGCTTCGTCTACGTCAGTCACAGACACCGAGACAAAGGTTGTCGATTCAGCACCGTACTCCAGACCTTTCATCAGCGGCTCTGGGTTACGAGCATCAATCTGAAGCTTGTAGGTGGGAGAGGTCTCAAAGTCCAGCGGCTGTTGGGAGACAAGCAGGCCAGTTAAAGAGGGGGGAATAAAAGAGTGGGAGAATGTGTTAAAGGTCATGGTGAAACCCTGTAAGGACCACTGTACAGTCAAGACTTCCTTCTTAACAAAGTTTCATCCCTTTACGTTTGTATTTTCCCCAACTTTGTTCAGAAAATGCCAACTTTCTGTTGGTTTAAACATCTGAAACGTATGAGATCCTTAGTTTTCCTCTGGCTCACAACACAATAAACATAACTTCTTTTTTTAGGTTGAGGAATGTTTGTGACAGAAAGACAGAAATTTTAAAAGCAGCAACCTTGTTCTCTGACAAATTAGGAGATAGATTTTCCACCATTTTCTGAAATGTTAAAGATCAAATATACTTATTAAGTAGGTAAATGTATTTGTCTACACAATAAGGAATCAGTTGTGAGCTTTATAATTAACAATGGGTTAAAGTCAAAGTCGCCGAGCTGAATAACAAACATCTGCTTGGGTTAATGAATGGATATGGTAACCAGTGATACTGTACCTTAGCTACAACAAGGTGGCCGACGCCATTTCCATCAGTTTCCACAGTAAAAACTCCATCTTCGTCACCCTCAGAGATGTGGAACTCAATACGGGAGCTGCCACTGTCTGGATCATCAGCGTCTGATGCTGTGAAGGACACAACTGTGTGTCCCACAGGTATGTCCTCAGCTAGTGGGTGAGTGCCATACTACACACAAACAAACAGAAACATGAAGAAAACAGGATGAGCCAAACAGCACAAATAATAATCAAAGAGAAAGTGTGGTTCGCATACTCACATCACTCTCCTCGAACACAGGCAACTCATTGTTGACATCGATGACTTTGATGACAACCTTACACTCCTCGCTGAAAGCTGTGAAACAAAAGTCATAAGTACTCAATTAAATCCTTGAAATGCACCCTCTGTTAGCAGGTGTCTAACTTCATATAACATGTGTGTCACCTGGATCGTTCACTCTGACATTGAGGTTGAAGACCTGTTGGTCTTTCCTCTGCAGTGGGCGCAAAGCCTGAATTCTCCCAGAGGCAGCATCAATCAAGAAGGTGTCAGGGTCAGTTGGAGGATCTTGGGATATGATGGTGTAAGTCAGCTGAGAGTTCAACGTCCCGGGTTCATCATCGTCGTGGGCCAACAGCTGTCCTATCAGGCTACCTGAAACCCCAAGAACCAGAATCTGAGCCACAAATGAGGTACATACACACAAAAAACTGCTGGGTTGTTTTTTCAACCCAACCACTAGGTTGAGCCTGTTGGTCCATTTATTTGGGTTATTTTCATGGAGTTGGGTATTCTGAGTGTCCAATTTGCAAGGTTATTAATATGGGGAACAGAGTTATTAGCTGTTGGGTTGTTATTGCAATACAGTTTTGTTGGTTTATTATGCTGGGTTTAAAGAACTTAGCAGAGTAGTTATTGTGAACCCTTTGTTGGGTTATATGGACAACCCAACTGGGTTATACAAACAACCAAATTGTTGGGTTAAGTGAACCAATCCAATTAGTTGAGTAAAATTAACCCAGCATGTGTTCTGTCCGATATTTAACCAGCACTGGGTTGGGTTGTTTTTAACCCGATGTTTTTAAGAAAGTATAATCCTCCTCCCAGTTCTACGTTATAAACAAGAGCCCAACATGTTTGAGGAGTTATAGGAGATTTTATGCGTATAAATGAACTTCAGTTTTCAGAGTCAAACAATAGAGAGGATGTTGAGTGAATCTTTTTCTGTCACATTATTTCAGAGACACTTTGGTTTTTGAAGCCTAAATTAAAGTTACTTTTCTATTAACAAATATTTTTACAGATAAGATAGCTTTAAAAGTGGTATTCATGATTGAGGTTAGCTTCATAACATAAACCAGTTTTATAGTTAGCATGTATAAACTTGGGTGCCAAGACATATGATTTCAGAAAAGACATTTTTGCATGTAGTACTTATATTCATTACTGAGTGTCTCTACATTTTGGTGTTGCTATTTTGTCTTGAAAATAAAGATCTGAGTTTAGATTTTCTTCTCCAAATGTGCTTCAATCTTTATCTCTGAAAAATTCTGTTTTGTGTATCAGGACAAGAGAACACAGAAAAACTGAATGCCAAGCAGACAGAAGACACACTGGTGTGATCACAGCACCAGAATTGAAGAATGAGAAAAACATGAGTCAGTGCCATGAATGGGTTATGTAATAATCACGCACACGCAGACACACATCTTACCTGCAGGCTCCCCTTCCTGCACCTCAAAGACACTCTCCTCCAGCTCACACACTGGTCTGTTATCATTCACATCTTCTACCAGGACTTGAATCTCCAGGGGTGGATCCAACTCTTTGCCGACGTTATCCTCAGCAAAAACAACCAGAGTGTACTGAAACACAACCAACACACAGTCAGGAACAACATCTAGAGGCTAGAGTTTAGCTTTACATGAGCTGAGAGAGATTTATTGATTCGTTTTTTGTTTACCATATCTTTATCCTCTCTATCTAGCGCCTCAGTCAAAAGAATCTCTCCGGTTTCTGTAACCTGGAAGGGGAATTTTAGCTCTCGCTCTTTCTGCACTAATCTGTAGATTGCATTTGGATCATTGGACTGGACCTGCAATGGGACAAGAGATGAAAAAGGCCAATGAGGGATTGTAAACAAAGAGCACACGAAGGGAATGTTTTTAATTCATTAGTGAATTACTGAGTGTGTAGCTCTTCACACCTTTGTGATGACCTGGGGATAAACTGTATCTAAGTTTTCTTTCACTGTTATTGGTCCAGGACTGAACCACAGGTTTTGCTGCACAACAATGTGTACTCTGGTGTTTCCACTCAGCGCAGTCTCAGATGCTCCTCCCAAGTCCTGCACACGCACAATCAGGGTGTAGTCTGGGTCCTCCATGGGGTCTACATTCGTTCTCCTCAATTCTGTAACCACGAGGGAAAATGCAGAGTCATGCAAGAACTAAAGAAAAGTTTTGATGAATGAAAAGGACTAAAACTTTTCAGTAAATAACTTTTACCCAAAAAGAGTCACATGGACATGGTCTTAGAAATCAAAGAGAGCTTGGTTGCGCTTCTCTGCAGAACTCATCAACACAACACTCAATAAGTCACACGGCCGGCACTAATCGCAGATAGTGATTACACTGTTTTTTATCTCTACTGACACCATCTCTCTCTGTCAACATAGGCTGAAACTTTGACTAGCACAAATCACTCGACTTTAAGTATTCACAGCTTTTACTTCAGAGACACGTGTCAACCAAAAACTTTCCCTTTTATTACATTTTTAACCTGCTACCAGAATGACTGATTTCTGATGTCTTTGTTCTTTGTTCACCAAAACTGCTCATTACTCTCACTCCATATTTGTAGATTATTAATTTCTTGGTGATTGAGCCTTTCGGCCTTAATGAAGATCCAAACATGATGATTATCTTATTGAGTTATTATAATGTTGCCATAAAATGTATCTTTGGTTTGTGTTCTGATGTGATAACAATTCATAAGTTGATCATTCAGCCCAGAGATTTAAGCGCAGGCTCTCTGTTGACCATTGTTGTAAGATATAAGTGCTTAATGCCTCATCCATGATCATAATTTTGAAATAGGAAAATAGATCAACGACTTTCGTGTCTGAATACAAACCGGCTCTTTCCACACAAGTGAAGAAAGGGTTTTCTTCATAGGGGATTGCCTGCACTGGACAGTATTCTGAAAACTTCATCTTCAGAGCTTCAGTGCTCCTTTCTTCTCCTTTGCCGTAATGGATACCTTCTCTGGCCTTAAGTTGCTGTTCTCCTGTTAAACAACACACATGAATTGAATGTTATTATAAATTATAATAATCCAAAAGAAACTCGACTTCTGCTGTTGCGCTGTGGATTACAATAAGAGTTATAAACAGGGATCTACAAAGTCATTCACATGCTCATACTCACTCGATGTGCCCTGTGATCACCATCACGCGACACATTTAGGCAATCTGCCTCCAATCGGTGTTAATCTAGCACATGCATGATGAGCTGTGTAATCTGGATTTACAGTGGCACTATACACCCAGATTACAAGCAGAGATGGACAAACTATGGGCTTCACCCACAGATGCTGCACCTTGTTCTGTGTGTCAATGTCTGTGCGCAAGTGTGCGTGAGATCACCTTGTTCAGTGGTGGAGATCGCTCCTGTGTCAGGGTCAATCTGGAACATCAGGGTACTGTGTTTGCTGGGGATCTGGCTGACCAGGCTGTATTTAAGAAGAGCATTAGGGGTCAGAGGATCATCCCGATCCAAACCAAACACACGGGTGAATGCTACACCTAGAAAAAAAGACAAAAGACAAAACTTAAGTCCCACCACAGCAAGATGCTGGTGTTTCAAAACAAAGAAGTGTAATAGGTGTTCCACTTTAAACAGATAGCACTGCTGTATCAACCATATGACATTTAAAAAACAATACAAAAATAACATGAACAATGACACAGATTGGTCGCATGTTATTAAGTAAATCACACAGTAGTTTATGGGTGTTTGGAGGATTTTACTACAACCACAGTATCCACTGTTTCACTTTTTTATGAAGAAAACGGGACTGGACCAAACTGAACTTTTTTTACTCTTTGTCTTTTCAAAGTTAGGCCATCAGTGCAGAGAAGTGCAGCAGCAATGTGGAAAAAATGTTCTTGCTGATGCCTTCTAATGAGATCCTACAGTGCTAACAAAGTGATTGTAGGTACATGAAGTTGGTGAGGTGGGCTAACACCCATTTTGCATGAAGCCGAGTGGATTGTTGCTGCTGCTGTGAAATAGTGGCTTTTTAAACACAGTAAAAAAGAAAAAGAAAATATATTACAACCTTACAACTTTAACTGTATCCAACCTGAAAATCCATGTTTACTATTTAACAGTCATGTAATTATTGGCAGCAAACACACCTGCACGGCTGTTTTCTCTAACCAAAGCTGCGTATTCACTCTGGTTGAAGTATGGAGCATTGTTGTTGACGTCCAACACGTTAATTGTCACAGAAATAGGCTTTCCAACAACCTCGTCATCAGCCAACGCCTCCACCTGGACATGATCACAGACATTGGCACATATAAATATGTGTATTTCTGCTATTACAACTAAGACGGATATCTTCTATGAGACAAGAAAGGACAAGCTCACCAGCAATATATAATGATTATCTCGAGACCAGTCCAGAGGCCGATCTAGAAACAGCCAGCCGTCCTTTGTTATCTGAATGTCCTCCCTGCCCTCTCCACTCAACCTGAAGTTGTTAACATCTGGATTGGTCACCTGAAACTTTAGAGTGAAGTAAAAAGTAAAGGGATGAGGGGAGAAAAAAAGGGCACTTGTGTTAATTAACTTAAGTAAAGATACACATAACAAAATAGTACATAAGTAAAAGTCTTGATTTTACTTAAAGGTCCTGTGAGGAACTTTTGATTTGTTTAAAATTTGGCGCCCCCTGTGGACAAAGCAGATGTTATCATGTATGCCCTTAAATTATGTCTTCTTACAAAAATGACATACTTGAATTTTGACAGTCAAATGTTTTCTTGATTGTAAATATTTTGTGTGGATATAGTTAAACACTACTAAAAACCCACCCCACTAGTTTCAGGCATTGACAGTTAAAATCTAAAAACGGTCAGTCTTGTTGCTGATGGTCTTGTTTGCTGCTGTATATCATAAAAAAGCATCAAAATGATTTTCAGTCAATTTCACTGATGTCAAAACACTCCTCACAGGAGCTTGAAGTAAAAGTATTTTTCAAAGATTATCAATGAAACCACCAAAGACTTCCAAAAGTAAACATTATCTAAATATCCTTTATTTTAAAATTGCGAATATTGATTTGTCACTTTACAGTATATACACTAAGTGTGAGTGTAAACCTTACTAAACAGGAAAGGAATTTCCCCAAGTAGTTCATAACCTCCAGGTTTGCCTTTTCACCAAAGGCTCACATGGTAAATCAGAGGGGTCGTAATATGATTAAGAGAGACGGAAGAAAAAGTTCCTCTATAATTTCTCCTTTATACACATACATAATTATATTTGCATGCTAGAAACATATGATTTTATCTTCTTTGAGAGTTCAAACACAAGAAAAAACAAAAACCAACATAAATAGATTCAAAGAAGGAAATCTCTCCTTGACAAAGTGACAGGAACAAATAATCTGAGATTTGGAGTAGAGCATTTTTCATACCTGATAGATGGGGTAAGGCACTGGTGTCCCTTCTTGAACATCCAGCTCTGTGTTTTCAAACGGGCCTTTCTTCCCCTCTAGATCTGCCCCAGCAGCCTGCCAGAGCACAAAGGAAGAGGTCAAAGGTCATTGAATACAGTACAGGCTAAGGTAAAACTGAACCTGTCACACTCTTGCATACTGTTGCCCTTTCTGACTTCAGCCTTGTTACTGTAACTAACTGTAGTCAGGCATTAAGGGTAGGTTTGTAGAGCTCAGTTATTTATTGAACCAAAGACAAATGGAGGAATACTTGTAGCCCAGAGTAAAGCAGGAGAGCAAAGTCTATAGACAGAGGATGATTACCTACTTTATACACTTCCTTTTGGTGTTTTAACCAAGTGACTAAAGGTTTCCTTTCACTTTACAGGCAGTGTCCTTTTAATTTACCATATTACATAAAGTTCATGCATAAATCCAAGCATTAATCCACACTGACTGTTTCACAAACCTTTAACAGGTCCATGTATTAGATTATTTACTATGAATATGTATCGATGCATGGCAGCAGCAGTTGGAAGTGTTATGTACTCACGATGCTAAGCAGGAGTGGGAGCAACAACAGATGCACCATGGGAGTCATGATCACAGCCTAGGGAGGAAGGAGAAAAGGAGGTGAAAAACATATAGAGGGTAGGAGTTTGAGAAAGATGGTGAAAGAGGCAACATGAGGACAATTGAGGTTATACAAAAACATATTTACACTGTGCTTTTCTATGAAATTTATCTCTATCCAGCACCGAGTTATTGATTCGTAAAGACAGAAGGCCTTCCAAGAAAATCTCTGCACACGCACAAGCTATCTGGTGCTTCTTCACACTGTGGAACTGAATGGTATTTTAGCACAGCAGCTACAACACAAGTCAGTGAAAAATTCCCCTCAGTGTGCCGCAAAACTGAAAGTCAGAGCAATCATACAACACCTAACCTCAAAGTTTCTTTTTAAACCGAGGTTTCCTCATTAGGTGTCACACAGCACACAGACCCAAAGGTCAAAGTGAGTAACCCTGCTGCTTTTGAGGTTGTCAAAGGATAACAATACAGTCATTGTGTTACATGGGGGTGTCAGTTTTTGTGTATATGGACGAGATAACTACATTGACCGTTTTTCTGATATCCCAAAAGTAAGCATTTGAACACTCATTTACAACGCCATGTGACACACATTTTAGCACTGCTGACTAACAGTCTCTTAAGGGTGTTTGGGGGACAGTAATAGACTCTGTGTTATTTTAAGATGACAGCAGACTATATTCACTGTTAGTTTGGATCAACGTCACTGTGACACTGTTTGGAGAGCAACAAAAAATATGATACTACCATCGAATATGACCAATATCACGTGCACGGACAGAGTGCTTTACCGTAAACTGAAGTGTATTGGTAAATGATAATGTCTGTCAGTTTAAAACTCAGTGAAGGACGGCTAAAGTCAGCTCCCAAAGTAAAGTGAAGGTGACATTGAGTCATGCTTAACGACCTCTTTATGGCAGAGCACACTTTAAACGTCACCACCCTGGTACACACCTTACTAGGACAAGACACATTTAACTTAAAGCTGCCAAAAGTTTTTCTCGAATCAACAGAATTTCTGTCACTATGTTGATCATCTCCTGCATTGACTGCATAATCTTCTATAATTCCAATTCAGAGCTGTATAAATATAATGAATAAACTAATTTTTAGTAAGGGGATAAAAATATCCTGTCAACTGAATTAACAACTAAATTGTTTCAACACAATTAATGATAAGGTGAAAAGGTTCTTCAGCACATTAATCTGGGCGTTGCAGGCCCTCTTTTCACCTTTTTGCGCAACGACTAGATGACCTCTGTTACTCTCAATTTCTGTCGCAATACCACCAAATTAAGTGTCAAAATCAGGCTATTTCCCCCATAATCAAGCACTGTGGTGACAACCTAAGAGGCCATGAAGAAAATAAAGTCTCTGTGCCAGTACCCAGCTCCAGGACCTTGCCAAAGTCACCTCAAGATCACAGCACCTCTGCAACAAACCAAAAGCATTCTTCATATCCAACTCAACCAGGTCAAAGCAGTAGATGATAGTCCATTTGTGGCCCAATACCCCCCAAAAAATCTGACTAAAATACTGAGTATATCCAAAAACTAGAGGACAAGTGTGTGAGGAGTCTTACCTTGCCGGAGAGATCAAGCGAGTCACCCCTCAGACTTCAGAGTGATCTGAGCAGCCCCATCCTGTCTGGTCAAACGTTAACCAAGTGTTAACCTGTTATGTTTTATTGGATCTAATGATTGTCTAATCACCCAGCCCTCATGGCTGGCTAGCCAATGGGGAAAGTAGCTGACAAGAAGGAAGGAGACAGGAAGAGCTAGACAATGATATAGAAAGCACCATAAAAGGCAAATTTGTTCCAATTATTTAGAGTTAGTCTTTGATATTTGAATAAATCCTTTGGTATTCAAAATTGAGTGTTATAAGTAGACTATAGATGCCAAAACTAACTAGATAATGAGCATGATTTTAAAGTTTGCACCTTTCAGACATTATGTTAGGAATACAGTCTAAAAGAGAGAAGAATAGGCTTTAATATTAAGAGAGGCCTTTCTGTAAATCTGCTGCTCAGATTCTTGTTGAGCTCCAGACTTTGACCTATGCACCTCTGCTCTGTTTCCTGTGAGATTTCCATTACTTACACAGTCACTGATAAGGAGCTGTGTGTAGACAATGGGAGTAACAGGGTAAAGTGACAATCAAATAGATCATCAGAATGCAAAGCTATGGATCCACCAGACTTAGTCAGCCAGTTACTGCACTACTCATGAAGCTGTTAAATACTGTCTGGTGACTTTGCTCTTTACATTTTACGGCTCATAAAGTTTGTCAGTGAATGCAACAGAAATACCTTCATGGTGATTTCAGGAGAGGTTATTGAGTTTTATCCTTAATCACAAATAAAGTTGGGATTATCTTCCATACAACCTGATGGACACGCTACCATCCTTGGATGAAAGGTGCAAGCTTAACATGCTGTTCAAAGCTGTGAGGAAACAAGGGAGAGATATCTGAGAATCTGCAACCATAAGAAGTCTGAGTCATAGTTTCACACAAAACCACCATTAAACCAGAACCTGTGAGTGCAACGTAATCATTTTAACAGATAAAGCTGTTAATTCAGAAGGAAAATGTAAATATTAGGAACAGCATATATGTATAACATGCTCCAGCCAACATGAATTGACTCCATCTGCCTCTTTTTTTAACATTTAAGGCACACAAACTGCCTGTAACCATCTGAATGTTATATTTGCAGCACATTTTTATGTATATTCCTCTTTGGTAGCGAGGAGTTTGGGATCCAGGCTTGTGGCGTTGGATGTCAAACTGGGACCCAAATCTGTAATCAGCCCCTGAGCAGTTGAATCCCTGCTTTCGAATAGGCATTCACCGTTTACGCAAACATGTGGACTAAATTTGTCTCTCAAAGTTCAGCTCTAATGTCACCACCTGACTCATCGTCCTCAGCACAGCTGTGTTAGTGTTGAACCCTGTTTTTGTGTTTTTCCCTTTTGTGCAACAGCTGAGTCATGCATACTAAAATCTCATTAGCAAAGTCAAAGTGAAAGAAAAAAAGAGACTCGTTTTATTACCCATAATAAGGGTTATACAACTTTATTTAAATAGGCAACAATGAATCTACAGACAAGTAGCAAAAAAACTGCATTATCAATATTGCATTAATTCATAATGAGTGCAAAACACAACATAGTATAAATAACAAAGTGTAACAACTATATAATCCAAAAAAATAAAACTACTGTTACTTTAATCATCAGTATTCTTGTAGTGTTGGCAATTAGGAACGAACAGTTGACAGATCTGTCAGGAATTAGAGCAAAGGAGCTGTAGGAGGAAAAAGTATTGTATAAAAAGTGTCTCTTTCTGTCAGTCTCTTTGCTTAACCACCGACAATTTTCCTCACAGACTCTTTACAAAAGGAAGGCCCCCACTGAGAAGTCCAGAGGCTGACAAACTGAGCTCAGTCCTCTCAGCCTTCTTCACACTGCAACATCTGCACAGAAATGCTGCAAACAGCCCCCATGTGCATCACACTGGCTGTGTATACACTGAGATCTGGGTTTGAACCCTCAAACCTTCAGGCCTCAAGGTTCCGGCTGTATTCCCAGCCTTATCTTTGTTCTGCAGGCTGAAACTTTTTCACCTGCTCAGAGGCTTTAAATTCAAAACACCAGCGTCTGTTGCGCTCTTACAGCACAGAGAGATCATGACAGGACTTCGATTTCAGCCAAAAGGCCACACTCGGGTTGTTCTTTGCCACCATCTTGTCGAGGAAGCGTTTGGCCTTCATTGGGAGGCTCTCACGGCGTGTTTTACAGTGTTTGTCTCTGCGACGCTTGTTGGCCTCCTTGGAGTCTCGACGCAGACGCAGCTGTCGCACAATGCCGTGGAAGGCCTCCCAGATGTTATGCTGCATGGCAGCGGAGGTCTCAATGAACTTGCAGTCAAACACAGCAGCACAGGCCCGACCCTCTGAAACAGAGATCAAACATCAAAACTTGCATTTATGGAAAACCTTACAGTGAATACAAACAGACACGGACTGTGCACACTCACCGCTGACTGACACCTCTCTGCGTCGCACCAGGTCACATTTGTTCCCCACCAGGATGATTGGTGTGTGTTGAGCAGGACGAAAGCGGCGCAAGATTATCCGGAGCTCTGAGGCTCGCAGGAATGATGCCCGGTCAGTCACAGAGTAGAGCAGCAGGTATGCATCCCCTCTCTGCATGGGACACTCCTGAGCCCATTCAATGCCAGTCTGTAAAAGACAAACACACACAAAGTCAGACATGTTTCGTGGTGTAGAGGGCATGCTGGCACTCTCGCAGGTTTCCCATCTTACCTCTGAATCCCAAGTGTCGAGCACAGTAAGAGTTGCAGATTCCCCATCCACTTCAATTTCCCTCTCACATACTTCATCTGTAAATATGAAAAAGACAAGAAACAGTCTGTGTCAGTAAAATCATGAACATTTGGTAAAAACAACAAAAGCTTTCAACAGAAATAAATAGAAAGTTAATACTTTGCTGACCTTTTTCAAAATTTAAGTATGCCCTAAGTGCTCTTTAATATAATAATGGTATGCCATGGCTGGCAACTATTGAGTGTGGTTCTGAACCACGTTTCTGCCTGAGGGAAGGATTTGTTTTTGTCCTTCACCTGCTCTGTCACTAAAATGGGAGAACTTAGGGGGATTGGTGGTGGTGGTGTTGGCTCTTTTAGATAAAAATGATGAATTGATATAAAATGCACTGGATTTTCAGGTCTGTTTCTAAGTAATAACCAGTATAATGATAGTCTTTTCCTTACCTCCACACAGCTCGCAGTCATCACTGTCCATACTATCTGCAGCTCCGGCAAAGATGCTTGCAAACGCCGTCTTCCCGACCCCGCTGGCACCGAGCAGCACCACACGGTACGGGCTCCCCGGTTCCGCGGTCCCCTCAGCGGAGTCGGTGGAAATGACCGAGTCTGAGGACGACCAGCTGCCGCGGCTCCCGTCTGATTCCCCCGCGGAGCTGGTGCAGGACTTGGAGCGGGAGATGCAGGCGGGGACCCGGGCTAGGAGATTGTCGGGCAGCAGGTGGCTACCCGGGTCGCAGACGCTCCAGCGGTGGAGCTCGGACTGCAGACGGAGGCTGTGCCGGCGCACACTGGACATCATGGTGCCGGGAATAAATTAGGATGAGCGGGATTAAACAGCAGCGGCGGGATTACAGCGCTTTGAAAGGTGATGCTTTGACTCGATTGACCCCCTCGGAAAATATCATACAAAAATTAAACAAAATTAGTCTATTTCTGTATTTTAACTACTTCTTGTCGTCTTAATAGCACCACAGGAAAACTTGAAAAAATGTAGATCTGAGTTTGTGCTGCAGTTGTCTCCACTTCAGTGAATTACTGCATTACTCTTAGTCATAAATTGCTTAAAATAGTCGCATTCTGCATTAAAACAAACAAAAAAAAGTTCAACTAAGCACGGCAAAAAAACATCTGGTTGGTAAATCCCCGACTGGTGTCTCCTTGATGTGTGCTGCCCGTCGCTCTAATCTCCAGCTGAGTGTGTCTAAAGCTCAGATGGGGTTTCCCTCGGTTTTATATGAAGAGGAGGGGGAGGAGGAGGGAGGGTCACTCAAGTGGAGCACCAGTGTTTACTGTGATGATGACGGGCAGGCCTATTTACTGTCACTCCATCATAGTCACAGAGAGAGCTGCTGCTCGGTTTATATTTACACCTAAAGGACGTTTGAAAGTGTATCAAAAATATAACTTAAAAAATATATTCCACTTTAATAATGAGGGATGCCCTATAAAGTTTCTACAAGGCATAGGCTGGAAGACAGAGTTCACTACCTTCAGTAGGGGAGACCAGGGCTTGTTGTCACACTTTTTAAATAAAACTTAACATTAGAAATAGCCCACTGTTTTTTGTACATTAATGTAAAACCTCACTTTCACATAAAATATTGCTTACAAAAGACTGCAGGATGACAAAAAATTAGCTCCCTTGAGTCATCATAGCAACTTAAATATCAACGTTTTTTATAATCAACTACATTTCAGTGACAGTTTTCTTATTAAGAAAAGAGAGAGAAAAAACACACGGAGAGGTTATTGAAATTTCTATTTTGCTTTAAGGCAAAAAGCTTAAGATTTTTTAACCAGTCAAAAAAAGCCTCAAGAGTTAGTACAGATAAGGTCATTAATCTATTTGAGTATACTTCAATACTCTAACTTTTCTGCAAAGAAGATATTTGTGGATTTCCTCATTGCACTATAAGAGTATTACAGTGTATGTGCTGATTATATTATAATTATATTATATGCATTTTGTCGTGGAAAAATCAGTTAATTGAAGTTATATGAGATCTCTGCATTTAAAGTGTGTTTTTTAATTTGTGATGCCATGACGAGCCCATGTTCAACTAAAAGGATGAAGACTCCATCTCTATCATTGGTACATTGTATTAGAATTGAATTAGTCTGAGAGATAAACAGAGAGTAAAAATACAGAGAGATAAAGAAGGTCATTTACATGATGTATCTGCTGATCTCCAGACTGAAAAGCAGCTTTTGGTCTGGCAGTCTAGTACATGCTGTCCTTTAAAACATTCCCAATATTTTTTTTCGTTATTTGAAATAAACAGATTTTACCTCCAGTTTATGGTTTTTTAAAGAGGCTCAAATGAAACATGATATCTGTCAGCGCGGCATATGTTATCAATGCTTAAATTATGATCAAATCCATATTTCTCCCATCATGCGCTTTAACTCCACACACAGGTGCCCATGATAACATCTGTAAAAGCAGAGTTTCACAGGTATCTTTTCAAGTTGCAAAAGTGTCCTTCACTTTGATGAATCATTTTTTCACTCTCTGCTGCTAGGAGCACTTTGTAAGAAAAGATAAGCAAACACAAGTGATTCATCCAAGATGCAAGACACAACTTCCAGGAACATCTCCAAGACACACAGACATTTTCTTTTCTTGCCAAAGCTCAAATGATCACAGGTGTGACTGAGACAGACTGCAGGGAAAGATACAAGGTGTGTCGGGAATCTGATAAGGCAGTTGTATATCAAGATATAAACACACCCTAGGTGTGTTAGCAGATAATTTAGCTTTAATATCTGTAAGAGTTAAAACAATAACTGGTACAACTCCCAACCACATGTAATCTGTTCAGTGTTAGAGCATGTGGGAACTCATATATCATACCAATCATTTAGTCATTGTTTCAGGTAATTAACTGTTTTTTTATTGTGTTTACATTATTTTGTGTGCTCATTGCGGACATGTACTGATGAGTAAGATAAGAAAGTTTAAAGCTAACACAGGGGCAATTGATCACTGTGTCACAACGTATAGAACAGAGACTCTCAGTAAAGAAAGGTTTTAGCTTATGCCTAGAAGTGCCAAGGGTTGGTAAGTATGGTTTTAAACTGTTCTGCCTTAACAGTCATTTAGATTTTAGCTTATGCCTAGAAGTGCCAAGGGTTGGTAAGTATGGTTATAAACTGTTATGCCTTAACAGTCATTTATTTGAAGTGTGTATTATAATCACAACAGTCATTTATTAAAAGTGTTCCTTATAAAAGTGCTCTATGACCCTGACATATGCCTCAGATAATGATGTGCCTTTCATAAACAGATGTGCAGGTGCTAGTCAGAGATGTGAACAACAGGACGAGGGAGGAAGATCACTCTGTCCTGAGAAGATGGGGAGGTGTAAAGGGGGGTTTGCATGCCCAGCAGTCTGCCCAGTGGGAACTCAGTGAAAGCTTGGAATACATGACGCAAATATGATAAAAGGAGACAAGCGCTGGATGCATCCAAGGTCAACTGCCCTGAAACCACGGTTTCGGTCAGGTAAAAAAAATAGAACAATACGAGCTTGTTTGTCCATAGAGAAACACTGGGGGCTGCTGGTTATGTAAACTCTCCGCCCAAAAAGATGATGAGACGCCTCCTAGGGTATAACTATTAACTACTGAAAAATAGTAATCAGACCACCTCAGAGATACCATTGGGTTGATGTTGTGCTCTCCAAGATATCTTGTGTTATTTGATGTGCCGAAATAAAAGGTTTGTTGAAGACACCTTTTTGCCTCAGTGAATCCTCTGTTCCAGTCTCCATCAACGGACTCGGGGAAGTTTGAATTAACTTCAACAATTTTGGGGGCTCGTCCGGGATGGAGTTCTGACAGAGCTTTTGAATTGGAGAAAACTGTTCAGTGCATCAGAGGAAAAGAGATCTGGTCGACCACAAAATAAGGTAAGCAGAAAACCTTTTTAACAGAATTTCTGCCTATTTGTGTTACTCTAAATCAAAGATCTCTTGAACTCTGTATATACTGAATCCTAAATTTATTACGAGGCTCATGATATTGTACTGGTACATCTTGTGATATTCTGTGTTCTGACAAAGAGAGTAACTATGTGTGAAATGAAAAGTTAAACTTAAGAGAAGCCTGTGTGAAGGCCGCGTAAAGAGTCATAAGGACCACCGCTCTGGGTTGTGGCGGACCCCCCTAGTGGCTCGACGGGGCGCTAGTTGAGCTGGGTTGCAAACCCCGGGGACTTGGAGCCCCCCGAAAAGAAGTGTGTGTTATTGTTGAATTCTGTGCGAGGTGATATGCCGCACAGAAAGATTCAGTGGAGACTGAGTTTCTCTCTGCTGTGTGATTGTTGAATTTAGTGCGAGGAGCTGTGCCGCACAAAAAGTCAGTACAGACTGACTTTGTCTTTGCTGTGTTATTGTTGAATTCTGTGCGAGGTGATATGCCGCACAGAAAAATTCAGTAGAGACTGAGTTTCTCTCTGCTGTGTTATTGTTGAATTCTGTGCGAGGTGATATGCCGCACAGAAAAATTTAGTGGAGACTGAGTTTCTCTCTGCTGTGTTATTGTTGAATTCTGTGCGAGGTGATATGCCGCACAGAAAAATTCAGTGGAGACTGAGTTTCTCTCTGCTGTGTTATTGTTGAATTCTGTGCGAGGTGATATGCCGCACAGAAAGATTCAGTGGAGACTGACATTCTCTCTGCTGCGTGATTGTTAAAATTAGTGCGAGGAGCTGTGCCGCACAAAAAGTCAGTACAGACTGACTTTGTCTTTGCTGTGTGATATTGTTGAATTTAGTGCGAGCGAGGAGCTGTGCCGCACAAAAAGTCAGTACAGACTGACTTTGTCTTTGCTGTGTTATTGTTGAATTCTGTGCGAGGTGATATGCCGCACAGAAAAATTCAGTAGAGACTGAGTTTCTCTCTGCTGTGTGATACAGTTGAAACCTGTGCGAGGAGTTCTGCCGTACAGAAAAAGTTCAGTGGAGAATAACTTTCTCTCTGCTGTGTGACATTATTGAAGCCCGTGCGTGAATTGTGACTGTTTTGACCACATATATGCTGAAAATTGAACTTGTCTCAAAGTGGTGTCTTGGAGAAAACCTCACACAAAGTGTCTCAGTACTACACTGAAAGGGTCCGTTGCTCGGAACGAACGTGTCATACAAACTGACCGGCTTTGTGAAGGCCTCCAATAAGGCTGGTTGCCCGAAACGGAAGTGTCATACAAACCAGCCGGCCATTAAAGAGACGTTGCTGTTGTTGGGATGGATGGTGAATTTGATCGTGAGGTAGATGATGATGGGTGGGGCCCGTTATCTCTACAGGCAGAGTGGATCTTAAAGGGCATAGGGAAAGAAGATGGAGTTGTGGTGACAGCGAAAGGGAGGGAAAAGTATGCTGATATGCTGCAAGAGCTTATCGAAGGGAGAGAAAATGAAAGATCCTCACTAGGAGATCTCATCTGGGCACGTGGGAAAGAAGAGCTAGCAAAAGGAGAAGCAGCAAGGAAGAAAGCAGCGCTAGGCAGCATTTTGCTCCGCAGAAAATATAAACAGGCCGTAAAAAAGCATTTTAGAAGACTTGCTAGGTGGCAGACGTTGGGAGTAGCCCACAGAGGGACAGAGCATCTTACTAATGTAAATAAGGCAGCTGAGAAAGGTTTGACAGGGATTACCCCCACCCCAAATACAGACATGAGATTATTCAAATCAGCACACACACACAGTAAGACACAGAAGGACACACCCACCAACACAAAGGGTGCCACCCCAGCTCCGCCTCCACCAGCTACCCCTCCCTCTATCCTGCCTCCTCCCACCGCTGAACGAACGAATCCTTTCTCAGGTCTCCACCCCTCAGCTCCGCCTCCCACAGCTCCGCCTCCCAAAGCTCCGCCTCGACCCCCACCTTACCACTCCGCTCAGTCTGGTTTTCACAGAAAAAAACTCTCACCCACTAATCCTTTTGTGAGCACTTCTCTCTACCCAGTGATCAACATCAATGAAGGACATCTGAAGATTGACATACCCCCCACCATGATGCCTCAACAGCCGGACCCCTCCCTGACTTCTCACATTCCTGGACACAAGGCACCATCCATGGCCTCTAGGACTTCTGGTACCACCACCATCGACCTCTCAGACTACGAGGACAGAGAAGGCAACAATACCTACAGAGACATGGATGAAGACAGCGACTCTGAAGCCGAGGACAGCGAGGAGGAGGAAGAGGAGGACCAGCTCGATGCACCATTCGGAGACCGTCAGGCCCGCTTTTTGAGTGAGTTTAAAAAAGAATTACAATTTAAATCTTTGCCCACACCAGATTCACTGCCCGCTCCTGAGCCACAGCAGAGATCCACCCCCAGGGGACAGGATAAGACGGTGATACCGTCCCCGAACAGAGGCTCACAGAGTCCACAGAGTTTGCCCTGCACAGCCCAACTCACGGTAAGAGGTACATATGACCCCAATCCTACCAAGAGCACTCTCAATAAAATACTGCAAGACACCCTAGATGTTACAGGTGCAGAGCTCATGCGCAGCAGAGTGGAGGAGGAACTCAGACAGGAAGTGAGAGACGAAATGCTCAGCACCATGAGAGATGAGATGCAGAGGACCACCAGAGGCTCCACCGTCAACTATACGGATAACACGGACGCCAGTGAAGCCATGGCCCGACCCACTGCCACCCTGGAGGAACAGCAGCGTATGACGAACGAAAAAAGGGTGAGTGCACCTCTCAGCCACCATCACTTCACACGCTCAAAAGCCATGTTACCTCCAGCATATCCAGACGCAGCTACAGCACACCACAGCTCCTCCGCTTTCCCTCTGGTTGAATCCAGTGGTGGACACAAAATCTATAAACCATTCGCTGTTAGCGATACACAAACCATCAGTGATAAGCTGCCCCCCATCTCTGAGGGAGGCAACTTATGGCTGGACAAATTGGACTGCCTGACTAAAGGCCAAGATCTAGCCCTCGGCGATTTCAGGGCTATTCTCGCGCTCTGTGTCACCCCTACCGAACTCAGGGACATCGAAACCTGTGCAGGCACCATTTCCTGCAATGATGACAGGCAGCTAGTCACAGTAATTAGGGCTCTGCGTAACGAGCTCCGTTCCAAATACCCGCTTCCCAACGGTCCAATGATCCCCAAGTTCTCATGGGACAAAAGTCTCTCTCCTAGCGAGTATCTAGCCCAGTGCAAGGAACAATGGTCCAAATACACAGGGGTTCACCCCAGTAAGGGCCAGGAACATTGGTTTAGAGATGCTGTAATTAAAGGTGTTCCAGCAGACGTTAGAGAACACTTGGAAAACAGCCCAGACCTTCCGGGCTCAACCTGCCTGGTGTGGGAACGACATCTCAAACACCACCTACAGAGAGCGAAAGACAGAGCTGACAAAGAAGGTGATGATGACAAAGACATGCAGAGACAACTTATGAAGCTGCAGCTCACCCAGGCTCGGAGAAATATCACTGAGGGTAAGAAAGATCGTAATACAGATAAAATTATGATTGCCGCTGCCTCTAACGACCCACAGATTTCACCTGACATGTACCCAGTGCCCCAGCGGGCAGATTGTTCTCCCTATTCTCCTCCCACAGATCAATCTCAGGGTTCGTGGGGCAGAGGACGTGGAGCGAGGTCTGGTGGACCCTACAGGGGAGGAGGTTTCCAGGGCAACAGGAGATTTCGTAACAACGGCCCTCCCCGCCAGGGCGGTTACTGGAATCAGGCACAAACAGCACCTACACGCAACAACGCCTGCCACTCCTGCGGCATGAATGGACACTGGTGGCGTGAATGTCCAAACTATCCACCAAACCCTCCGCAGCAACACAGCTACCCGATGCGTGGCATGGCCCGTGGACCACCTCCGCTGAGACAGGGAGGACCACCCCCACAACAGCAGCAGCAGCAGCAGGCCCACCAGTTTCCAGTCGCAGTCACTGCCTGGGACCAGACCTGGGAGGCTCAGGACGCCTACCAGTATCCTCAATGACACGCCCCACAGAGCGACTCGGACAGCGGGGTAACGGCAGAGCCCATGCTGTCCATGACGGTCCGGGACCACGCTCTGCCCTTTCTCGTTGACACAGGGGCTACCAGATCTACGGTTAATCAGGACATTGGGCCTCTGTCTGGACGGACGATGAGCGTGGTGGGTTTCTCTGGGGTAAGTCAGATTCTGTCATTTACCATCCCCCTCCCCACACACGTAGCGGGACAGAAATTACAACACCCCTATCTAGTGTCTCCCAGTGTTCCAGTCAATCTCCTGGGTAGGGACCTACTCTCGAGACTCAATGCACAGATCCTCTGCGGTCAGCAGGGCCTCACTGTCACGTTCCCGGATGGGACTGAAGTTCTATGTGCACAAGGGATTGGGGACACACACCAGTACCTCCTCAGAGACACTGAACCTAGATTTGCAGACATTTTCTGGGCCCTGTTGGAGCCATCACAAACTGGGCTCTACTCATGTTATCTCCATTGGAAACCCTGGATCCTCAGCGTCCACCCCTACATGGCTCCACCTGACCCGCTCCATCTGACTCTGTTCTACGACCGGGAGGGTAATGAATGTTACCTAGAGGAATTCCAAAATCAGCTAGAAGGTAAGACCTGGCAGCTACATTCTGGTGACATTTTGGTGGGACAACAGGGGGTTGCGGCAATGGTTAATCTCACAAGAGAGCAACAGTCCTGGTATAATATGTCTGAGACTGCTTTCCCCCACATTTCGCTGGCTCTCCATCCGGGACATGAGGCTCGCGAATTGGGCCCCATGGTCAAAGCAGCAGTCTTAGCCTCAGACTGGTCTTCCTCCGGCCTGCCTGGCGTGCTCCGCTCTCCGTCCCTGAAAATGTTCAGAATTGTGAGTACTACCACTGACTCTGCTTTATGCACACATGAACTCATACCTAGAGACCATGGTAGAGAAAAATCTGATCATCCAAAAGCACAGGAGCTTATCTCCTCCCTCCCAGTCTCATTGTGGGCCGAGGGTCCAACCGATGTCGGATTGATCCACTGTAAACCTATCTCATTCCAGCTGAATACTGACTCTCCGGTCTGGGTGCCACAGTACCCTCACAAAAGAGAGGCAGAATTGGGCATTCAGGACACCATAGAAGGCCTGTTAGACTCTGGTGTCCTCGAACCCTCCAACTCCTGCTGGAACACACCCATTCTACCAATTGAAAAGAAGGGCACCGGTCAGTACCGTATGGCCCATGACCTCAGAGCCATCAATCAGATTCTAGGGACCAATACGGTCCCGGTGCCGAACCCATATGTTGCTCTGAACAATCTGTCTCCCGAACAAGCATGGTTCACATGTATTGATCTTGCTAACGCTTTTTTCTGTCTCCCTTTACATGAGAACGTTCGGGACATCTTCTCGTTCACCTACCAGCGTCGCAGACTCCGTTACACCCGCCTCCCACAGGGATTCGCCCTCTCCCCTGGCATCTTTAACCAGGTTCTGAAAGAGAGTTTGGCTGACCTGCAGCTGCCCGATGGCACCACAGTGATTCAATATGTCGACGACCTGCTCATTGCGTCCACCACAGCCGAGTCCTGCCTGCAGGCCACACGGGCCCTGCTCCTACTCCTGGCCCGCCACGGGTTCAAGGTCAGTCAACCTAAGTTGCAAATCGCGCGGAAACAAGTTTCTTTCCTCGGCAGACTACTGTCACAAAAGGGGGCCTCATTGTCCCCCGCCCACCGCACATCCATTCTGCACCACACCAAGCCTGACACTGTCAAAGCTATGCTGTCGTTTCTCGGTCTGGTGGGTTACAGCAGGCAGTACATACCTGATTTTTCCACTCTCACATCTCCGCTGAGAGCCATGGTCACCTCTGCAGGTATGAGAAATCTGAATGCGAAGCTGACATGGTCCCGCAACTCGAAAGAAGCTTTTATCAAACTCAAACAAGAACTCGCTGCGTCCGCCGAATTGGCCCTCCCCGACTACGCGCGCCCGTTCTTTTTGGATGTTTCTGAAACAGAATCTGTTGCTAACGGTATTCTGTTCCAGAAAAAAGGGGGAGAGAGAACGGTACTGATGTATCTCAGTGTCATCCTTGACCCCACAGAAAAACGTCAACCAACGTGCACAAGACATGCTGCAGGTGTTGCCAAACTCATCAACAAAAGCGCACACATAGTTATGGGACACACACTTCACATCTTGACATCACACAGCGTTGTAGCTTATGTGAACTCGCAAACTTTTACGATGTCCTCCACAAGACAGCAAAAACTCGCTCGCATTCTCGAAGCCCCAAACTTGCTATTCACTCATGAAGGTGTTAACATGGCTGAGCGTTTGGGGGAAGGTGTGTTGCATGAGTGTGCCCACAGGGTTGAAAAAGAAGAAAAAGCCAGAGAAGACCTCCAGTCGGAGCCCATCCCAGGGGCCAGAAACCTATACACAGACGGATGCTGCTACAGAGATGAGAAGGAGGGACTCAGAGCAGGATTCTCGGTGATAGAAGAAACACCAGACGGACTCAAGACGGTAACAGCACAAAAGCTCAATGGACCACAGTCAGCCCAGAGAGCAGAAGTCGTGGCAGTGATTGAAGCCCTGAAAGCAGGTAAAGACCAAGACATTAACATTTACACTGACTCAGCCTATGCAGTACACGCAGCACAAGTAGACCTAGGACAATGGATGAGAGCGGGCTACCTAACTGCAAAACAAGAACCCATTAAACACATGGATGAAATGAAAGAGCTTGCAAAAGCACTGTGGTTTCCCCAGAAGGTAGCCATCATCAAATGCAAAGGACACGACAACAGCGGATCCAGAGTTGCCATGGGCAACCAAGCAGCGGACTCCGCAGCCAAAGCAGCCGCAGGATATCATGAGAAGCTCCTGTTGGTAAGACCAGACACAGAGACACAAATGACAAAACTGTCCCTTACAGAAATCTCAAAAGAACCGGACCTAGCCTCACCTGAAGAGAAGACAGTGTGGAAACTCAGAGGCGCAGTCCTATCGGAAGGGACCTGGAGATCCCCAGATGGAAGGTTGGTTCTGCCACCTGGGCTCAAAGACAGTATCTTCTCAGAAGCACATGGAGTTGGCCATGCAGGCATCTCCCAGATGAAAGTGGACCTCAAAGAATGGTGGCACCCCTTCCTACATGACATGCTAAAGGAGTGGGTAAGACACTGCACTGTTTGTACACACCACAACACCAGACCTACATACAAACCCGGGGTGGGTAAGTTCCAACTAAAAACACGTCCAGGGAAAGAAATCATCATTGATTTTACAGATATGGTTAACTCAGTCCGAGGGTACAGGTATGTTTTGATGTGTGTTGATGCATTTACAGGATGGCCAGAAGCATGGCCAGTGAAAAGAGAGGACAGCAAATCAGTAGTTAAGTGTCTCATCAACCATTACATCCCACAGCATGGCTTCCCAGAAAAGATCAGGTCGGACAATGGGTCACACTTCAAGAACCAGGACCTCCAGTACGTGGAGGCCATGTTGGGACTTAAACATGGTTTTGGGTCCGTGTACCATCCTCAATCTCAGGGTAAGGTTGAGAGGATGAACCAGACAGTCAAGAACAGGCTGTCAAAGATTTGTGCCCACACAGGGCTGAACTGGGTGGATGCTCTACCGCTCGCCCTCATGTCCATCCGATCCTCAGTAAACAGGACAACTGGACACACCCCATTCGAGCTCGAACGTGGTCGACCTTTTCCAGGGCCAGAGCGAGCCCTGCAAAACACTGACCCTCCTCCCTCTCACATGCACCAGAAAGATTATTATGTACAACTGCAATCTGTTCTCTCTGAATTTGCTAAGCAGGTGCGAGACAGCAAAGACGGCACCAAAGACGGTGACCTACCCATCACTGACTGGGTCCTCCTTCGGGTCATCAAGAGAAAGTGGAGCGAGCCTAGGTGGACAGGACCATTTCAGGTGACCGAGAGAACCTCCCACGCAGTCCGGCTGGACGGGAAAGGTGACACCTGGTTCCACCTCACTCAGTGCGCCCCAGCTGTAACACCTCAACGCTCCCTGAAGGAAGTGCGGCAGGATCTTGCAGCAGCTGCAGCAGGAAACCAAACCAAAGAGCCACACACCTCCAGAAAAGACACAGGGCAGAATAATCCCTGCAACGAAAAAGGCACAGGGTAGTCTACCCCTGACCGCCTGAAGAAAGGAGACAACATCCTGCAGGACGTCGGCTGACAACTGCTCTAGTAGACAACGAAGCTACGCTGCAAAGACACAGGGCAGAATAATCCCTGCAACGTAAAGGGCACAGGGTAGTCTACCCCTGACCGCCTGAAGAAAGACGACAACATCCCGCAGGACGTCGGCTGACACCTGCTCCAGTAGACAACGACGCTACGCTGCCTGTCCGGGCGACCTCCACGGACGGATCATCTGTCAGGTCGTACAAGACGAGAAGATTTTTACCTGTATGTTCCACACTGTATGTTCCACACCCTTTTATTTCGGCATTTATCTGGTTATTAACTTACATTGTATTGCTCGATGTTCTTTTGTGGGTTGAATTTTGCAGAAACGAAATGAGGATCCCTCGTCCTAAATTTGGCTCATGGCCATGGTTGATTGCTTTAGTCTTATTTAACATAGGTTTGCTGCTTATAATTTTAGGGCTGACTAGGGAGTTCCCACAGTTGCCTACAAACGCCACAAAACACGATGCAACATACCTCTCACGTCCCATTCGCGGTTAGGATGCTTATTCGGCCCGCCCATCAATCTCTGGTAATGCTACAGCCCTGACCATTACTTGCGAATACTCTGGTCCAAACACTCCTGTGAAAGTTGGCCTCTCCCTCGGAGATGGTAACAATTGGCGACAAGCAGAAGGTTCCATACCCTATGATGTTTCTTACACGCCCCGGGGGGGAAGGACAGCCAAAAAGGGGGTGTCAGTAGTGTCCGTCAATTTCACTTACTTAAAGGTCATGGTTCCCACTCCTTCTGAATGTTGGGTTGATAGATTTGATGTGTATCCCTCTGGCAATCAAAATACTCACGGTTGTTTTCCATCTCCTCCTCTAACCCCCAGCCCACAGCTTGATACTAACCTGTCCCTCAGTGTGGTAGACCCCGACCTGGATGCCGCCCTGCATGCGAACAAAAGTAATGTTTACCTAGTCATAGCGGAAGTACTGACGGTTAAATTTATACTCCTGGCACTGTTGATGCGCTAATTGAAGGTGATCTCTTTGAAGAGATCAAAAGGGGGAATTTGTGGGAACTCATATATCATACCAATCATTTAGTCATTGTTTCAGGTAATTAACTGTTTTTTTATTGTGTTTACATTATTTTGTGTGCTCATTGCGGACATGTACTGATGAGTAAGATAAGAAAGTTTAAAGCTAACACAGGGGCAATTGATCACTGTGTCACAACGTATAGAACAGAGACTCTCAGTAAAGAAAGGTTTTAGCTTATGCCTAGAAGTGCCAAGGGTTGGTAAGTATGGTTTTAAACTGTTCTGCCTTAACAGTCATTTAGATTTTAGCTTATGCCTAGAAGTGCCAAGGGTTGGTAAGTATGGTTATAAACTGTTATGCCTTAACAGTCATTTATTTGAAGTGTGTATTATAATCACAACAGTCATTTATTAAAAGTGTTCCTTATAAAAGTGCTCTATGACCCTGACATATGCCTCAGATAATGATGTGCCTTTCATAAACAGATGTGCAGGTGCTAGTCAGAGATGTGAACAACAGGACGAGGGAGGAAGATCACTCTGTCCTGAGAAGATGGGGAGGTGTAAAGGGGGGGTTTGCATGCCCAGCAGTCTGCCCAGTGGGAACTCAGTGAAAGCTTGGAATACATGACGCAAATATGATAAAAGGAGACAAGCGCTGGATGCATCCAAGGTCAACTGCCCTGAAACCACGGTTTCGGTCAGGTAAAAAAAATAGAACAATACGAGCTTGTTTGTCCATAGAGAAACACTGGGGGCTGCTGGTTATGTAAACTCTCCGCCCAAAAAGATGATGAGACGCCTCCTAGGGTATAACTATTAACTACTGAAAAATAGTAATCAGACCACCTCAGAGATACCATTGGGTTGATGTTGTGCTCTCCAAGATATCTTGTGTTATTTGATGTGCCGAAATAAAAGGTTTGTTGAAGACACCTTTTTGCCTCAGTGAATCCTCTGTTCCAGTCTCCATCAACGGACTCGGGGAAGTTTGAATTAACTTCAACAAGCAGCATGTCTAAAGATAGCTTCCTATGAAGAGTTAGTGAATAAAAGCTTAATAAGAGGCTTAGTGTGTCAGCGGTAGGTCTCCTGTCAACTGCAGCAGCATATTGTTAATGGACCGTAAACCACCAGTTGGTATTTTGTGAATGATCCATCTGAAGACAAATGTCCTGGGACTGTGCATCACATAACGTACTCCAAACATCTTCTTTTTTTTTTTTACTAGAGCACTTTGGTGTACAAAGGGAGCATTATTACGCTGATTGTCGGATTGTTTTGGTTTTTCAGGACTTTTATATGTATTGGGTTGTGGCTTTATCGGCGAGACCTGCTGCTGTGTATTACAGCTCTGATCTGATCCGCCTGACAGATGATTGGGCGACATTAAATCCTTGATAAGTGCTGGAGCAGGACCAGAGTCAGGAGGAGGGCAGATTGATGGATGAATGGGAGGGTGGGTGAAGGGGGAAATCAGCACTCAGGCTGAATGCAGAACAGAGGGGGTCATTCTGATGGCTGCAGACAGGACTGTCAAGTGACCTCTTTTTGTTGGTCTTTCCTTTGCTTAATGTTAAATGTGCTGGCTCATAAAACCAGACAAGATGTAGACAGAAAGGTTAAAAAAGTCTTCACAAAGACCAAATCGGCGGAAACAGTCGCATTTATACAAACATCTCTCTTTGTACTAGGGTCAACATCTGAACTATAAAAGTTATATAAAATCTTTGCTGAACTGGATTTGATTTATTACCTTTTTTGGTGTTTTGCTGTGGTAACCTCAAAGGGCTAAGTGACTGATCAGCAAACACCAGACTTCTGGGACAGCAGACTGAGCAGTGAATACTTCACCCAAACAATTTGGGTCAGTTTTGAAAAATTGGTCAATACACTACCCAAAAATAAACAATACAGGACACAGTCCATCATACAGCTGAACAGTTTTAGACTCAGACTGTCTAACAGCTGTATAGCATGTAGGGCACACTCTATATGACACTGTATCTGATCTTTTTCAATGGAAAAGCACATGAGTGAAGTCGTCACTGCATTTTCCTATTTTCAGGGAACAGCGGAGTGTGCTGTATCTCATTTTTGTTCCTGGAAAGGCTGCTGTGGAGCAGTGGTAGAGTTAGTCATCTGACTGTCAGAAAGTTGGCTGTTTAATCCCAGCTTCCACTGTCCACACTCCAAAGTGTCAATGGGCAAGACACTGAACTTGCCCACTCAACTCCATAATGCTCCCAAAGGCAGAGCCAGTAGTGTGTAAATGCACGTGACTGGGATTAGTTAATACTGATGGGAACTTAACACAGCAGCTGCATGCTTCAGTGAATGGATGTGGCATGAATGGGTAAATGATATGCAGTGTAAAGTGTTTTGATTGGTCAGGTACACTCAAGAAACACTACATAAGGACAACCTATTTTCCATTTGTCTTAATAAATACTACTAAATCATTTTTTAAATGTATTTTAGGGAAACAACGAAGGCTTCTTGTCCCTTTTTGGGAAGTATAATGAGACCTTGGTGGGCACTTTGTAATATTTTGTTCATATTTCATTCAACAGAGTTCTTCAGACGACTGTATTAAGGCATGGAGCCAGTCACCTGGGTCTACAAGTGACTTTGTCATTGAGATGCGACATGCAAGATGCTTCACTATGGTTTGTAAGTATTATAATCACTTCTTGTATTATGTTTTTGTGTATAGCTGCTCCTTGTTTTAAGTTTTTAATCCACCTGGGAAAGAAACCTTTGAAGAGATATTTGTATCTCAATGAGCCTAATTAAATAACTAAACAAACGAACAAAAACGATGAGAAAGGACTCTCAAATGCAACGTGTTCATGTTTACATTCTTTTTCATTTACCCACTGACCCCCTTTCAGCTTCTTTTCACCTCTTTTGGTTCAGATGTGGGACAAAGAGGTGTTTACACAACCAAAGCCTAAGGAGGGTCTTTATAACAGCTCAATAGCAAAAACCTCTGTAGTGCCAGGTCAAGGACAAATCAAGTAGCACCTACACTATGTCACAGAGTTCCAGTGACATTTAGCAGATGCTTTTGTCCACAGCAACAAACATTTGAGAGCAAACACAAGCAAGATCTATGGGCATATATAATTAGATGATAATAAAATAGTTCTTTGTGTGACAGCCTTTACAAAAGACATTCTGCATTTAGCTCTTCAAAGAGAGCTGGAGAGCTCTTCATTCAAAATGAAAAAGTGAATATCCTGTTTTAAACGCCCTCCAGAAATATGAAGTTTCTACAATCTTAATTCCCCCCAAACAGTTAATGCTGTGCAAAATGTTCATAAAAACCGATGAAGGTTTGCTCATCATTTAAATCCACAATCTTTCAGTGGGTGACAAGCAGGCAGGTCAATAGTGCACCACAATTCCTACACTAAGAATAGCCATGGTGTCGTTATTCAAGCAGAATATGGTTTGGCATTGTCTGCATGGTCTCCATCAATGATGGCCAGAGCGGCTGTGATTTGACTTAACACGGTACAGTTTTCCATTTAGCCTCAAGTTCATCTTAAATGGACTCAGGCCCAGAGAACTCAACAGTGTTTTTGAATCATGTTTAATAATGTTTTATCTTACTTATATACATATATAACAAATACTTGATGTTTATATTTTATGATTATGATTATATCTGGTCTACTCTTTGCATGGTACAGGTTGAATCTGCATTTGTGGATGCAGCAACAAACTGTGTTCACAGACAATGAATTTTGGAGGTGATTTAATGTCCAACAGTGATTTCAAAAACAGTCATGTCTGTTTTTATTGTAACGTAGCCTGAGATCACATCCATCAAGCACTCGTTTTCAGCGTCATCCCTCTTGTGCAGAGATTCCCTTTCCTCCTCTGAATCTTTTAATGATATTATGTACCGCAGATCATGAAATCCCCGACAACATCAATGGTTTTAGGTTCGAGGAGATGAATGAAATATTAGTGTTGTGACCTAAGTGAGTGTTAATGCCCGAGGCTCAGCCATACAGCTCCAGCAGTACATTCAGTTCTTCCACTCAGGTCCTGGGATCACAGTGAATAAATCTGTGATTCAGCCTCTCCATCAAAACAGCTGTATCTCTTTCCCCCCCTCCAGCAGTGGAAAGTCATTCATTCAGTCCACACGCCCGCTTTTCGAACTGTCAGGCTTGAACGCGAGGCTTAAAAGAGGGATTGGCAGCATGGCCAGTAAGAGCTTTACACAGACAGACAAATTCCATCTCATGCAGCCTCCATCACATGGCCTCCGAGACTGTAAGAGAAGTGATTTGGATCAATATCCCACTTGGACAAGTGACACTCGTCTACCAAACACGTGTCCGATACTGAAGCGCTGGGCCACGAAATGTGATTGCTCTGGGAAAAAAGAAAAAAAGAAAAACAGTATCTTACATGACCAAAGCCAGGTCAGGGCAGTAGCTGTGACAAGTTGCTTGGGTGACAGTTGCTAAGCCACCACTGGTTTCTGTCAGTCTGAAACAAGTCTGTTTCTTTGCCCGGACCTATTATGGCAAAGATACAATTTACATTTCTAAACACGCTGCGTCATAGCGAAGGTGCTGGAACTGTCTGTCTTTTAATAGTCCAGCATTTTATTCCAGGCTTTAAAACACTAAGAAACTACTAGATAGATTTTCATGACATTTGATACAGACATTCATGGTCCACAGGAAATGAATCCTGATGCCTTTGACCCTTTATTTATTCTTACTATCAGATAAAATTTCCCACTTACCTAGTTTGATACTTTTGCATCTTTAATGCAGACTTACATGCATTTTTCTTATAATTCAAAGTGTCATTTGATGACTTTGATGTAGGTTAATGTTACAGAACTGATAGATTTAAATGAAGTTTGTCACATATTAGATCTGGTTAAGTCATAAGGCCATCAGTGGATATTTTGAGGTATCGTTTCTCCTATCAAAACTATTACTCATTTTGTGATTGTGAACTTATATCTCAAGATAAAACAGATTTGGGCAAACAAATTTGTAAATCTCATTTTTCACATAGGTTTTGCTCTGCTCTGTATATAAAGTAAAGTTGTGATGGGATTACTAAAAATTTTAAGTGTGATTATAAAATCGATGTATCCTGATCTCAGCCTTGTTATATGACTGACCTCTATGATAAGGATACTGGACATTCTCGACAAACCCAAAATGCACAAAATCATTCTCCACGTTCACAATCATAAACCGATTTGGATTCTACAAAATCTCTTCAGGCTACCTAATAACAATAACAATAAGGGCAATGTAAGGTACTCTTGAGGCTGAAAAAGCAGCCTCTGAATGAAGGAAGAGGACTCATATCAACTGTGATCACTGGAGAAACCACAGGTGTCTGTGTAATTGTCATGCTGTGGCGCACACTAAACGTACACAATCTGACAGGCTGCAGAGCTTCAACTGTCATATGCACAAAGGCGTAGCTCAACATCCCAGAAACCCATTTATTATACAACAAAGTTTCTTAACAATCATGCAGAGTGGTGATCATCCCATAAACAATCATTACTCTGTTTATGTAAAGATGCATTGTGCTGTAGTCAAACTGACAGACAGGAACACAAATCATATGTGAATTCAGGACTCTCTCACACACACACACTCCATAACTCCCACGCAGCAGCTTTGTGTTGGCGAGCAAGATTAGACCAGTGTTATCCAAACTACAAGACTGAACAGACTGGAGTACAGCCCACACCAGAAACCCCAGATCCCCGGATTCACTTGATACTTGTGCACAAAATCCTTCATCAAATTCATAAGCTGTGATAATGATTCATAAAAGCCCGGGCTATTGCCTTGTTACTAGTTTGTTTCACAGCTTCATCTCAAGTCTGTGGATGTTCATCCTTTACCATCCTCACTCTGCGTCAGTTAAACAAACTTTAGCACCACATGGATTCTATATTCAGCTGTAAATGTTACTCTAGATGGAGCAATAGCTACTACCCTGCACATTTATCTATTGTACATGGATATAAAATGTAACAGACACCTCCAACATGTAGGAAGTAAACTGATTAAAAGCCCGTTATTACCCAGATTTGTTCCAATTTTGTTTATTTAATGAAGTCTTACAGTAAATTTCTTCAAATAAATAAAGAAATCCTGAGGAAAGGGTTAAGAATCTCAGAAACAGCGTCACTTAAAACAAATGGGAACTGTCCTGATGTCTTTGGCAGCAACTGAGGAGTGTTTTAGTCATCGATGTATTCAGGATAAAACCCAGGGAGCTTGAAGACAGCGCACATACGTACGTGAGTCATGTATATCGAGGGTGTCATCCGGTGTTTGTCACTGCTCTGTGTGAGAGATGGTGGTCTGGAAGGCGAATGTGATGTGGGTGCGTGCGTGGTCGAGGTAAGGATCTGAGAAGGTGTCTGTGTCACCAGAGAAATGTCTCCACTGCATCAGCTCTGACATGCTGAGGGGCTTCTGCACCGCTCCACCACGGTCTCCTTGGCGACCAAGCTGGCAAGGTCTCTCAGAAACCTGCTCCCTGCTCTCCTCTAAAACAGCTGAGAGTGAAGGTAAAAAAGGAATTAATGCCTCAATGAGGTCGATAACACGAGTATCAGTGTGCTGTGAGCCTACCCTGGAGCGAACCGTCCATGCTGCAGCTGCAGTTCAACAGGTCGTGTGTCAGAGAGGCTGTGTCTGACAGGCTGAAAAGATCTCGAAGCTCACTGGTGGAGAAGCTAGTGTGCTCTGCGCCTTTGCCTGAGTCAACCACTGTCCCAGAGAGGCCCTGTTTGGACACCTGTCTCTGGAATATTCGCTCTTCAATTGTTCCTGTAGAAAAAAAAATCAAACAAAGACATCAAGCATCAGACTAGTTTTGAAAAACAATGCACCACAGCCTGGATGGACATGACTCCATTGATAGGCTATATAGAAAGGCTGTCTGTGTCATTTCATATTGATTTTGACATTTTATTGACAGCTTTTAATGCATTAAATGGCCCAGTTCCAAATCCTATCAGGATATATTGACCTTTTATGTTCAAAGTGTTAAGAGGAATCAGTAATACTGGTTATCACTCGATCCTAGATTACATGTAAAGGCCTAATCAGAGTCATCTTTCATATCTTTCCTTTATTTAAAAGTGTTTATGGATATTAAACATTTTTCCCGATTTAATCTTAACTTTTTCCCCCAATTTTACTTTTTTTTTAAACTGTCTAAAACCTTGAAAATGAAAAGTATTTAAAAATAACTTAAGAATAAAAACATTGTCAGACTTTTTGAAAATTGCATTTTACATATTATCCCTCCAACTTGCTCTCCCATCACTTTCATCCATCTCTGCGGTGAGTTTGAAATCTTACCTGCAGTGAGGAGACGATAGATGTGAACAGTTTTCTTCTGTCCATCTCTCCACACTCGAGCCATGGCCTGGACACAAAAAGGACACAATATAGGACGGACAGACAAAAATGTACATGGCACCATCTGGTGGACAAACATGTAATAAGTCTGATGTAATAATGTACTTTGATACCTGAGGTTCAATGAAGTATGTGCAGATAAATGAAAGACAAGTAACTTCAACTCAAGGACTCATTATCCATTTTCCAACAAGGTGAGGTTTAAATTTGTAATGTTTGTTGTCAAAGGATACGATATAATACTGGACATTTTTGTTTTCATAACCTGAGAATTCCTGCTTGTATCAAATATCAGCCATGATCAAACTCCTGAGAATCATTTGCGTTCAGCTCATAAACCAACTGCACCATCCAGAAGTGGACCAAAACCCAGATCTGTAATATTCAGTCTGTGTCTCTGTGTGTGTGTTTCAGACCATCTGGAGTTGAATTCACAGCTTTGCCTGACACGAGTAAACACACCACTGTTCGTTTGAATTTGACAGACAGGTTTACAAAGGTGTAAAAGAAAAGTGCTCTGGACTCTGGACTCAGTAAGCATGTCTTACCTGAATGTCGTTGGCGGGGTTCCAGTCAATATCGTACAACACAAGATGGGATGCACCAATCAGATTGAGCCCTACTCCGCCAGCTTTGGAGCTCAGCAGAAACAAGAAGTTGTCAGAGTAAGGGCTATTAAAATTATCAACCAGCCGCTGTCTTTGGCTTGTCGGCGTTTGTCCATCAAGTCTGCAGAATGTGTAGTTCATGCGTTTACATAAGTCCTGGAGCAAGTCAAGTGTCTTTGTATAGTTGGACACAACGACGACCCTGAAGGAGAACACACACATTGTCAGCACTGAATCAAAAACATGCACACAAATGCAAACACACGCCTAACATTCACCTGTCTGAAGGGCTGAGCTGTCTGATGGCAGTCAGCAGGTCGGACAGAACCAGGAGCTTTCCAGAGTCTGCAGAATTCAATCCTCCTGAAGAGTAGGATTCTGGGAAGATCTCCGCCAAGCCTTCATAGAGAGAGCTCTCCAACGAACTGCCATCTGATCTTTCCTGAAAAAATATGACAGAACACTTAGCCACATCTCCAAACACTTACATTATTTCACTACTGACTTATAAAACCTAAACGTAAGGAACTCTGATTATAAATATTAAAAGAGAACTGCCCTGAGGGAGGATGCAGGTGGCATAGCCCTGTGGGTTCGTACAAACGTTACCTTCACAGTAGAGTAGAGCAGACACGGGTGGTTACAGAGCTTCTTCAGAGCAGTGATGCAGGCCAAGTGTGTGTGAGTTTGCACGGTGCCCTGTAGGCAGGCTCTGAAGACTCTGTGGCAGAGAAGATGTTCATACAAATCTAGCTGCAAAGGGGAGGGTTCACAGAACAACGTCCAGTCTAGACGAGGAGGCAGGTAGCGGTTGATGATCTCCTGTGTCCGTCTCAGGATGAACATGCCAGTGAGGCGAGAGAGCTCTGCTGCTCGCTCTTCTCCTAAAACTCTCTCCTCCTGTCGGTGAATACAAGATCGAACTCAGCACCAGATCTTTAAAAAAGAATTTGATGACAACGATGAAAGGCAAGAGGAGCAGAGACAGTGATACCTCTGTGCAGGAGGGCTGTCTAGAGCGTAGAATGGGCTCCTCATACACTTTCCTATAGCCAGTCGAGGAGCCAAGAATCCCCGGGTTGACGAACTCTATGATGGCGTAAAACTCCTGCAGATCGTTCTGTACGGGGGTGCCTCCACAAAAACAAAGATTGTTTTTCTTTTAAAGTCTTTATGAGCAGTTGTACCTCTCAGACATAGACTTAATAGATGTTTTCAAATCTCCTCCCTTCATCATATAGGTGACGATGCACATACCTGTTAGTATGACTCTGCGACTACAGCTCAGGCTACTGAGCGCTGAAGACGTTTTGATGCTGCTGTTCTTCAATCTGTGTCCCTCATCACAAATTACAAGGCCAAATTCAACTTTCTGAACCTAAAAGCAAAAGTTTAAAATATGTAAATAGTTATTTAATTCATCCAAATGGAGATAGGAGTTGTTTAATAACTTCAACTACAAAAAAGAGAAGTGCTTTAATATGAACATACCTGCTCCAGGCAGCGAAGTAACATTTCATAGCTGATCACAAGAACACTGTGCAGAGGGGATAACACAAACTGCTCTATCCTGTGATCCTGCACACATCATTGAAAAGAATACATGTGAATGGCTTTACATGAGGTAGATAGAGGTACAGGAGTTCATCATAAGGCAGTAGCGGTAAAAAAAATAAAGAGAAAACTTAGAAAATTGAAAAATTATATCTGTGACTGCTTTTCTAAATTTAGAGGGGGGGATTTTCTGCATTTAACCCTCAATATTGTTTATCTATTTCAATGAATCTCTTTGATTCTCATTTATTACATGTTGCTTACCCATTTACTGCCAAAATTGTGAGAAGCTCTGGGCTTTCGATGATTTACAAGTGAATTTGACATGCTCTATGGCACATTAAAACTGAAACCTCTGATATATTTTTTTCTGTTCATTCTACCAGCAGACTGCTTAACATTAATTAAAAATTAAAAGAAAAAAAAAACTGTAATTCTCTCCTCACCTGATCCACAGTGAAAACACTGATCCTCTCACGGCCTAGCCACTTGTGAAACTCTGCACCCCAGTTTTGCACAAGGCTGCCAGGAGTGACGACAAGAACTCGCTTAGCGACCGCTTTCCCCCCGTACGGGCCTTGTTTAAGCAACGTCCAAGACAGTGCAACACTCTGAAGGGTTTTTCCCAAACCCATCTCATCTGCCAACATAGCCCCGTAACGCCCCACAGCTCTGAAGAGCACAAAATAAAGGGAATCAATAGAAATAAGAACCTATTGAAAAAATAATAAATAAATAAAAAACAGCAGCTTCATCACCTCATGCCCATGACACACTCGTACAAAAAGAGCAGGCCATCTCTCTGATGGGGTCGAAGATGATGAGTCAGATGTGGATCGACAACAACATCAACCACAGGAAGCCCTGATTTGTTATTGGACCACTGATGGTTTGGGGATGGACGAGGCATTACCAGGGCACCTGAGAAAAGAGCAGAGCTGATGACTATGTACCCCCATATATAAAAACACATTTATATGCTGATGACACTGTATTATACTGCCATGCCAACTCAATACAAGGATCTGATGCAATGCTCTCAGGAGCCGTGGTGTCAGTGTCCCACTGGCTCCAAAACCTTTGTCTACACTTGAATACAAAATAAAACAAACTGTCTGTATGTACTTCTCCTGACAGCCAACAGAGGGACAGCAACCATCAGTCACTGTGAATGGAGAGAGACTCCATGTGGTCGAACATTTTAAGTACCTCGGGATAAACTTTGACTCTAATCTTAATTTTAAGCAGCATGTTAAAGCAGTCAAGAATAAAATCATGTAAGACCCTTCCTGACAATAGAGTCATTTCTATATAAAGAAATTAAGACAATTTAACCAAATCACCTAAAAAACAATCGTAAGCAAAGCGTTTGATGGCTTTCCCTTGTCCATTGTGTTGCCAAAAGTTTCTGCTCAAATCACATACTGTACCTGGGGCCAGTGGGTCATGGCGAGGCCTGCAAGTCTGTTTCTCCTCTGTTTTGGATCCTGGACAACCTGCTTTCCCCAACAGTGATGGGGGGCAGAAAGGTTTGGACCCCAAGCTGCGTGAGGATGGAGGACCAGACTTTGTGTGTGGCTCATCTTTCTCTACCTGGACATCTTGAAAACAACGTCCCCTGGCGAAATCCTCCGCAGAAATGACCCCCATTATCTCCACCTCCTTCCCTCCAATCATCAGAGTCTCTCCCTCAGACAGAGAGGCCAGCATGGACACCTTGTAGCCACTTCCTGCAAATAAAACAATCATGCAGAGAAATTCCCTCTACACTCATGAACAAACAAGAAAAAATTGACAGGAAAAGAACTCTTATCTTTGACTCACCTTTGCCAATATCTTTCCCTTCCATATCTTTCAGTGTGGCTGTGCGTCCTCTTGTGATCAGGACAGCATCACCCTCCCAGCGTTTGTGTTTTTTTTTACTGGCTTTACACCACATCACACTGAAGTAGCGTGCTCCTTCCTGGCTGCCACCAGAGGCAGAGTCTACAGCTTCAGAAACACAGGCTGACCGTACAGGAGGCTCCGGAGGTTTGGGGGTCAACTGACGGAAATCGTCCACTTCTGTTATACAGAAAAATACACACTGTGAAAAATCAAAGGCACACATATACACCTTGGACAAACTCGCCAGCAGAGGTCACTGTTGCACCAAGTCCCAACCCATCATACAGATGAAAATGCGACTCTATCACACGACAACCCACACAAGAAACGAGATACTGAGAGCCGAGGATCGAGGAATAAACCATCACCATTTGTTGATCTTGATTTATTTTATAGAAATAAAAGAACATGAGGACAAACACTTGTGTATCAACATTACAATACAATCAACATTGTAGTCACATACATTAAATAACATTAATGTCACAAAACCGATTACACAACCAATCTCCCTTCTTTTCCTTACTTGGCATTCATTTAGTGAGAGAATTTTAACCTTTGACTTCAGTGCGAGTTTGATAACTCGATAAAAAAAACACATATTTAAGGCTTTTTAACAGTTAAACTTTAACTCTCATCATGGGAAACTGAACATTTCACGCTTCAAGAAAAGTTTGTCTTGATTTGTTTGTTACCGATCCCTAGTTTATTCAACTGAAAGTGTTGTACGTGTGTTTTTAACCAGGTTTAAGATTTCTTTAGACTTTGCAAAAGAAACACAAACAACGTGCCAGAATCTGAGCGGACTCTCACACTCGTATTCCTCAGTACATCATACAGTAAATGCCGTCACAGTCTGTTTTGAACCTTGACAATACAGATTATAAAAAACACACTAAAGTTCCCATAGATACTTGACAGGGGCAGGAAGAGTACCATCACTGTATGAAACATCCATTACTATTACAATTCCCTTCAAGAAACTTGACTTCCACATTGATTTGGCCTGTTGGGGCCTGTCAGTGTTCCTACCACAGACATTTACATGTTTTGTTGCTACTTGTGAATTCACACACAGAGGATGGAGGGATTTCTCTAACTGACAAATATGAACGCAGACTGGTGGTTAAACGAACTAGTCTTTTCCTGCGAAACGCAAACAGGCGGGAAGTGTCTGTACGAGGCACTGTTTCCAAAAGAAATCAAAGTTCTGATACAGCTCTCAAACATTAAACTGATCTCTGCTCTTGTATTTCCTATAACACTCTGTCAGTGGCCAAGGACATGAGTGTTGATGCTTGTTATAGTGGCACTGGCAGCCCGTGTCTCAGTCGTGCAGCCTTTAGTTTCTCTACTCTGATCTTGGCTCTCAGAAGTTCTTCTTCCAGTTCCTGTTTCCTCTTCAGCCCTTCTCTCTTTTCCTCTAAGTACATGGCAACCTTTCTGTGATTGGCTATCACCAGCTCATGCTCCTCTTTGGCCAGTTGCAGAGGACGAAACCTGTCCGGCTCATGATGGGGGTAGATGTCATTTGGGTACAGGTCATGGCGTAAGGGCAGCGGTGAGGTGGAGAGAGGGATGTTGACAGAAGACGGGGTGGGAGAGAGAGATGCTTCATAATCATGGACACTGCCCAAGTCCTGCTCTTCCTCCCTCTCCTGGCCTCCGTCCAGCCCTGGCCCTGTGTGCGCAGAGAGCAGGGGGAGGTCTGGTGGTGGTTTAACATCCTCTTCAGGGTCCAGCTGGACCACTTCATGGGGGATACTTGGGACAGCTGCTGAGTAATCCTGGAGTCCAGCCAGAGAGGAGCTGCTGCCAGGATGCTCGATTGGAGAGCTGTGCTTGTTGTATATTAATCTAAGCAGAAAAAAGGAATAAAAACTATTGAGACAGTGTCTGTTGTGTGTATTGAGTGTTATTTATAAGCATCCTGATCAGGTGATAATAAGCACTTAACAAACCTATGATAGTTGCAATCCAACAAAGGCAACAATATTCCTTGATAGTTGTCATTGTAATGAATAAAAGGTTGTTTTTTCTGGCTCTCATAGTGAGTGAATTCAAAACATATCTTTAAGATTAAACTGGTAATAGATCTGGAATATGTTAACGTATTTTGTCTCCTGCAATTCTTACAAAGTTTGGGTATTTTGAAGTGCGTAAAACTGTGTATTTTGGCAGGACATACTGTGTTTTTCTGTCCAGCCTCACCATGTGCAGGCTGTGTGTGTAATCTGATTGGTTTTACGACTCGGCGTCCACAGCCCCTCCTATTCCTCCTCCTAAAATAGTTCAATCAGTATCATGAATTAAACTCTATCGGAGCTAATCATGTACATCTGTACTCTCTAAACTCTCTGCTTCCTGCCAAGTTATCCCTCAGCGCTGCATTTAACTTTGTGCCTGTGTTTGTTAATACTGTACCTGCGCAGAGCCTGGTCCTTCTCGTGGATTGGCACATGGTGAAACAGGTGAGGGATCATCTCCATAATTCTCCTGGTTGGCTCTGAGATGCTGGCTCTGTACTCAGGCTGGGCGTGTCTCCGCTGCATCACTTCCTGCTTTGCAGACTCCTTCAGCCTCTTGTAGAGGGTCCTGAGTCCCTGAGCAGTGCGATGGGGTCTATCTCCTCCCAGGGCATTGTACTGCTCGGCCACAGTATCCCAGCACTTGTTCTTGTCCACGATGACTGCGTGCTTGTTGGTGTGCTCCTCCAAAATGCGGATATGAGGGCGGACTAGCTTCAACAGGTCCAGCTTCTCCGAGAGGGTGAAGTTGGAGGAGCGAGCTTTGCCCACCATACTGGACAGAAACACAGAGCTGGATGCCATCTTACTGCATAGCGGGCTCACACAGACCAAGTCAGGCCTATGGGTGTCACCTGTCAGCACCTACACTTCAAACCTTGCCTCCTCACTCTTCCTACCTGTCCAGCCCAGACCTGCCTGTTTTGTCCCTGCTTCTGGCTTCTCTTTATCCACGTTGATAAGTTAAAACTCCCACACATTTCTCTTTTCCCCTTCCTTCCTCTCTGAACCAAACATAAGCTATGCCTAACATGTGCAAGGATTCATACACTCCTCCTTGGGTCCCTCTCAGCTACGTTGCACAACAAAAACAGGCTGCGCTGCACACAATAAGAATCAGGCTTAACTAGGCCAGCCTCGTTTAGGCCCCCGCCTACCGCGGAGGGCTTTGGATGAATTCCTCCCAGCTTAGGCTGACGTAGCTAAGCCGCTTAAGCCCAGCCCGACCTACTTACAGCTCGGTCTCTCTAAACCCCAAACCGAGCACAGCACAGAGAACAGCACAGACACTCTGTTTTCACACTAGAGCACCAAGACGACAACAGTGGGAAACTGGGGAGACAGGCTGAAACTGTGTTTATACCGGTTATAAGGGATCTGGGTTTGTTTCTTTTTAAGTTGCCCTGAAATAGCGCTGGCTTAACTAAATGCGTGGGGGAGGGGTTAGTCAGCGCGCCGCGCATGCCCGCAGATGCGTCGCTTTTATTTTCCTAACCTGCTTTAAATGCCTAGAGTTAACCTCTGCTCTGTATCAGGGAGAACAGCTCAATAATACACGTGCTCAGGGCGCGTGGGGAAACCATGCTGAGACAGAGGCAGTGGGTGTGTCCGCCGCGTGCTTTTATTGAGAAAAACAGGCACTAGTTGCTCCGGCGGGAGGAGGGAGGGAGCGGTAGCTCACTGAACCCGAGCACAGTCTTAATCTGCCCGCTGCTGCAGCTGCACTACCCCGCTAATTTACATAATGCTGGATCTGCCGTCAGCCAGCCTCAGCATGTCTGGTTTAGCAGCAGCCATCATCAACGTGCCTTTGTTATTAACAGCATCAGAGAGACAGGCATGCTGGGAGAAATGAGAGAGAGATTCAGCCCCGCAGCACCCTTCGTGTCACGGTTTCTTCATGATGTGAAATAAAGGATATTTAATGTAGACGCACTGGTAATGTAATACATGCAAGCTTTGTCACAAAATGAAAGAATTAACATTTAGAAAGCTGGACTGGATCGCAGTTATCCAAAGTTGTGTTGCGACTGAGTATAGAAAAATACATCCTACATCTCAAATAGGCAGAGGTAGGGCTGGGCGATATGGACCAAGAGTTATATCCCGATATATTTAGGCTGAAAATCAATATATGATATACATCCTGATATTGTTATCACAAAGTGAGAGCAAAGGTTTAGTCACAGTCAAAGCTAAATATTAAGACCCAGTTTTAGCCCGTTTGAGACTAATCGGTAATCGGCCAAAACTCGCAGCTTTTCGACGATATTTTCAGAAATAAAATTCGAAAATGTTCTGCCATTTGAAAAGTTCAGATTTTCTTCTCTCTAACAAATCCACAGATGCAAACAGCAAACACAACTAAAGAATTTAATATGACAAACCCCAGTAAGGGCAGCATTTACATGTATAAAGACAGAACAAAAAAAAGTGCTCAGTTTAAGAAAATTGTTTTTAAACATCATTTTGAGATTACCTATCTGTCTTTCTTATCTCCTTAACAGTCTCAACGAGTTGCACAAGACTATGAACAGACTATGAACTCAGTAAACATTTCCCCCTCTTTCCTTTTTTACTTTGATAAACAGTTAGTGCTGTCTTAAGGTAGACATTAGAGGACAGACAAGTGTGTCCTTTGTTTAAAGATTTTGTGCAATAAACACCAGCCTGTCGACAACATCATCTGATATCTCTATATCAATATATGCAATATGGTCCAATTCCATATCTCATTTAAAAATATATCAATATATATTTTTTAAATCGATATATCGCCGAGTTCAAGGCAGCGGAGTGAAAAACGAACCGCTATAGATTAAAAATATAAAAACACAAAGATCACGTTCAGGAAGTGAAACCGTCTGACTAATAGTTGGGAACAAACACTTGAGCAACATTTTTCAGTCGTTTTTCTGCTGCATGTTCATTTTTTAGTGAAGATGGTAAAGAAGATACCGAGTTACTGCACATAAGTTCATGTAGAACAGATTATTCACGTTAATTATAAATTGAATTATCTATTTTCTTATTTTTCAAGGTTCCTTTACACCTTGTAAGATATTTTTCACGTAGGCATCAAAAAGAGGGAGTCAGAGTCAAAAGTATTACACTTTTGATTATAATAAGTTGGCATATAAGTACTATAAAAAGAAGAGGTGTATAAGATAGAAAGAAATATGCATATTTTTACAATAAACTAAACATTAAAATCCAAAAAAGAAAGTGTAATTAGAAAAAAGGTTTTATATTTAATTTAATTATTCCCTTTTTGCAGTTTAGTCTTGTTTGGTGGGCATTATCACACTCAGCAGTCTTTATGAAAGGTAAACAATACATTGAGAAAATAAACATTTCTATTACTTTTTTGGAGAAAAATTAAGAACATAGATTTATCCGTATCACAATACTCAACTTACCACCAGCTGCTGGACAATAAAGAATATAAGAGTGGTATTAAGTTTACGACCCAACATTGGTTATTTTGCATTTTTTTCTTATCAGGCAGATGTTTTCCTGAAAAAAAGACTTGGGCTGGTTTGAAACATAACTAAATAAAATAACTAAGATTGTGTATCCAGCACTCACACCCTAGTATTACTTTTAGCAGTTCCTGTCCTTGTGACAAATGTGTTTTGTTGTTACCTGCTGGACTGTTGTCAACTTTAACCTCTTCAGAGCCAACATCAGGATGTTCTGTCCCGGTGTCATTCTCTTTGTGCTCTGTTGCACTAAGTACACGAGCCAGAGCCCTGGACAAGGCTGGAGCGGGCTGAGCAGCTCTGGGCTGGAAATCATGCTCTGTTTTACTCTGAACTGGTGCTGTTAGACTTCTCTGGACCTGCAGGTTGACAGGGTGAAAAAAACGTTATAATCTGTGAATGTTTGGAATAGAAAATAAGGATGACAGAAATCAAAAGACATGCGTGGTGGTCAGTTGTAGGTGTTGGGAATTATTAACCTTTTCTAGTGCATTGCCTAAGCCGAGTTTAGGTGTCAGGGGCTTGGATTCAGTCAATGGACGTGCAGAAGATGGTCCAGGGGCCACAAAACGAGGCTTTTTCATCGCACTGCCATGGAGTTGGCTTGGAGCTCCTGAGCGACGCATTCTTCGACTGGCAACCCAAAGTTATTTCTTCAAACAGAAAACAATTACAATATCACTTTATGACAACATTGGCAACTCAAATGATCACATCATGTAAATAAAATCATAGAGTCTCTTGCTAAATGAGAATTTCATGAGAAAATATCTTTATGGTACTGTTTCAGAACAAAATAGGCCACCATTACTCTTACACAAACCAAAACCAGCATACACTCATATACATATAAGGCTCATTTACATCTTTTATATTATTTCAGGTAGAAATCACCCGGTGATAGTGATGGTGTTACTGATTTAAAATAGTGTTTTAGGGTTAAGCACCGTTGAGAGAAACGCATGTCAGCTCTGTTTGCATCTTAACCTGCGCATGACCCACAGTTAACCTGATTAATATCACTTTACCTAATCTCAGCAACTTAATTGATTCTGGTTACTAATCAAGAACGTTTAACAAACTAGTTTTATAAAGTATAGTAATCAGTCTGTCCCTGTAAAGACAAGAACAAGAGACCCAAAAGGCTTTTTAGTCCAGGACGCTGTGAGAAGTTATCAACAGATGATGCTCGAGCTACAACAGCGTTCAACAATCTCTAAACCGGAAGACATTGTGATGTTCCTCTTAAATAACGTGTAAAAAGTTTCCGTACGTACCCGAAGATAGTGAGGGTGTAATGAACTCAGTCCAAGGCTCAAACCGTCACTTACTTTATGTTTTAAAACGTTGTTTTTTTCGATTCCTCCTTCTTTCTAGCTCTTGGTTACCTTCACTTTCTCCCGCTAAACAGACGTCGGAGTGGGATTGGCTGTGCACAAAATAGTGGGCGTGGCCTAAATGAGTAGGGTGCGCTTGTTTTGTAGCACTACAGCAGATTGTTAGACATAACCCGAGAAGAATGCGGATACTCTCTCTGAACTGCCTCAAACCGTCATCCTTTGAGTTATAAATCGAGCTAATCCGCCATCTTGTTAGAGTGACCTCAGTTTGCCCCGTAATAACCACGGACTGTAAAAATTAGCTAAAATATCATCAGATGGAGAGTAAATTCTCTTCAAATCTGCTTTTAAGGATTTATTTCTTCACTGCTAAACACTGTAATTGAAATTCACAGCAGTGTTCCAACAAATCCTTTCACACAAAGACTGATACATAAATAAATACATTTAGTTTTATATAAACGACATGCAACAGTACATAGATTAGGGTGTATTTTTATAATTCAAAACCCTGTATTGTTATATTTGTGAACATCATAACTGTCAGCCTTTATCCTGTCTTAAATTGTGTATCCTTTTCAATCTCCAGCCTGTGTTTGTTTCTTAATTTTTTACTGTATTTTGTAATAATATAAAATTCATTTTTGGAATTCATGATTGATAGTTACATGTAAACTAGTATCTCGATGAGTAGCAATGATTTTGATTTCGTGATATTGGCTCGCTTGCATAATAGGAATTTATTACAAAGACAACACCAGTATCAAAACAGCACTGCAGTTGCTGGGAGAGGACTGCCAATGATGTCCATCTCTCCCAAACCTGAGTTTATGATCCTGTTATATAGGGTTAGAGTTTTAGGTCCTCCTACATCCTCTCTTTGTCTCTAAGTTATCTTTCTTTACCATCTGATTTACACCTAGCTGACCTGTAACCTCCAAACCCCCAACAGCCAGGAGGTCTGGACCAGGTACCATAAAAGAGACACACTGCCCAAATCTCATTCTCAGGTTATTTCAGAATGTCCCTGGGAAGTATCCCAAGGCATTGCATGTTGGTGCTTTTACTCCAGATACCACAATACTACAACTGTTAACTGAAAACAATGAATCAATCAAATCATCAAAAATTGCATCTCTTTTTACACAGAGATCTTCTTTACATGTCAAATATAAATATATAATTTCATTCTAAAAAGACACATTTTTATTTTCTACACATTATGTCAAGAGTTTGTGATTTTTTCCCTTTTTCCTCAGTAGGTGTTTATGACTGCCGCTTTTGGAGTAAAGGGAAAACAAAAGAATATTAAGAGACCATGATGAGTTCAGGGCATTGGGTTGCTCTTTGATTTCTGTGGTCTCTGCCATCTGATGTCATGCAGTCTCTAATCCAATCAGGCAGAGAGAGAATGTAATCCATGTTAATCCCACATCTACAGAGAGAGCGAGTAAGAGAAACCTAGAATAGGGTGGTTCATTAATAGAGTCAGAAACAGTTGAAGGACAGCAGTAATCTCTGACGGCTTCACTACAACACAGCACTGAGGATAACACTCTACTACTGAGTTTGTCTGTTTTCTGGCTGTAATTCTGTCTCTCTCTCTCTGGTCTGATCTGTTGTCGTCTGACAGCTGCTTGCCAGTGTCCTAAACTTTCGTTGTCACGGATACTTCTCCATGGAGACGTACTCCCAAAGGTGGAGAGGAGGGCTTCAAGGTAAAAAGAGACCCTAACCTGTATGGAGTAACAAGTCAGAAGAACGAGGATGAGGGAGAGCCTGTAGAAGTGGAAGTGGAAGGATAACAAAAAGGTTGACTTTGTAGGCACAAGAAGAGTGCAAATCAACAGAAAGAAGAAGTTGGATGTTGTTTGAGTGAATTTGTCAGGTAAGAATAAGATGAATTAATCAAACTGGACAGCATTATTACTCCTGTTACTTTAATATTTGGATAATATCTGTGTGTTTGCAGTATGGGCTATGATCTGGAGAGGTTTGTGGGATATGTGAATGAAGGACTACTGTGCTGTGTGTGTCGAGACGTGCTGGAGCGCCCCCTCCAGGCTCCCTGTGAACATGCCTACTGCAGCGCCTGCATCAGCAGCTGGTTGCTCCATCACCACTCCTGTCCTGAGGACAGACTGCCACTGGATGTGGGCAGCCTCAAACCACTGTACAGGTCAGCCAACATGTCTGCATATGAGTCTTCAGTGATCATGTCCCCGATGTTAGTGGTTATCTACAAATCCAATGCCTTTTTGGATGTTTTGTGTTCTTCCACTCTTTTTTTCTGAGATGCTGGTTTTGTTTTCTCCACAGGTACATGCGTAACGACCTGAACAGACTGCAGATCCGTTGTGTGAATGCAGGACAGGGTTGCGAGGTGGTCTGCTCCCTGGAGAACCTGCACACACACGAGGATGAGTGTGAGTTTGCCTTTATCTCCTGCTCTAACACAGGTATGAAACCCACACATCCAAAGTGTTGCTTATTTTATTATGACGATTTTATCCACAAAGTGTTTATGGTTGACAAATGGTTTTCCCTGTGCAACTTTGTGCTGTAATACGACACCTTTGTGTGTCTATGTGGGGGAGCGACATATGGTTCTTTTGTTGTCAAGACTGCCTCCAAAGTCTCACACCTGTGGGACTTTTCAGCTCCCACAGAGTGCAGTCAGGGTCAACTTTCCATCATTTTTTAATGAGAGATTCAGAAGTGAGTAAATGTATTGTACTGATAAAGTGTCTGTGACCTCCTGTTGGCAGGTGGAGAGTACATTTGTTATCACTGTGGTATGTACAGACTTGGAGTGTGTTTGCATGCAGTGTTGCTTTTGAAGTGTTGAGATCATCTTAGTGAAGGATTGACTGTTTCGGCTTCTTAATATTGAAGTTAAATAGAAGTCAGAGAACTCCTACTTCATCATTATTAAATACTGTATGAATGCAACACATCTGTCTCATGTTGGGCCTAACCATCTCCCTTATCTTCAGGTTGCCCTGTGCAGGTAGAGAGGCGGGGTCTGGAGGCTCACCTGTCAGAGTGTAACTTCCGCAGCAGGGAGTGTCCTAATGGCTGTGGTCATACTCTTCTCCCCATCAATCAATCACAGCATAACTGTGTAGCAGAGCTGCGCACAGAAGTGGAGATGCTCAGGTATGTCCGTTGTATTAATTACATCGAGGAAATTATGCTCTTTCCGCTCAGGCTTGTTTGCAATCCTTGTGTCTCTTTGGATATTTTTGGCAGGGCAGAGATGCTGTGCAAGGTTGAAGAGGTGAGACGAGAGATGGAGTCCCGTTTGGATTCACAGAGAAGACACATGGTGCAGAAAGAGTCGCAGCTGAAGAATGATGTGGAGGAGCTAAAGGTGACGTGTCACTCCTCAGCTTTTTAGGGAACAACAAACAGGCTGGAGAAATGACTTGAGCGATGAACCCTAACTACAGTCAGAAAGACTGGAAGGTTTTCCCTTTCAATCATGTGTAAACCTGTTTAGTGACTGTGTCTTTTCTGTGTAGGGTCAGCTGTCCCGTGTGATGTGTGACATGCGAGCCCTCTTGGGAGCGGAGCGCCTCAGGAGACAGGAGCTGGCAGAGGCAGAGCTGGAGAAGCGAGAACTGCTAGAGCTCCTCAGAGACCTGCAGCCTACCAGAAGCCAGCTTCCTGTTGAACCAGCAGCCAGGGATCAGCTTCAGGGAGACCTGCAATCATCTGGATGGGATCTACAAAGCGAGCCGACAATACACCAGCAAAGAGAGTCATCTTTACTCGCTTCCAATCTCTCACTACACTCAGTTCAGGCCATGAGTATCTCAGGTCCGCCTCCATCGCCTCAGCTGGGGGAGGGGGCGCGCAAGGGGGGCACGAGGAGTCTAACTCTGGACTGCATTAAGAGGAAGAGCAGGGAGGTGACGGTCATCTGAGAAGACTGGACCGGTGAATCAGCCAAAGACTTTTTGGCCAAAAGTAATGAAAACACTTTGAATGTACCGTAAGCTGTGTCAATTCTAGAAAGTTTAGTCATTTTTTGATCAAAAACGATGTTCAGTTAAAAAAGGAGAAAAACATTTAGTCTGCTGTGTGTGTGTGATAGTTCATGTGTGTGTGTGAGAGGCAGGACTTTTTGTGCAATTCCACAAGCGAAATTATTTTGATCCCGGGCTCACATGGAATTAAACTGATGTTCAATATTTAAAACCAACAATGATTACTTCCTGAATTAACATCACTCTGTTGTTTTATACCTACGTATGTTGTTGTTGTAATTAAAAACACCTGGAGTAATCTTCTCGATCTCAGGAACAAATTATTCTGTTTCCTCATGCAGCCATCCATCTGAGGCCACCAACAAAACAGCCGTTTTCAAAAAAGGTTTTCCAGGGACATTTCAAGGTGGTTACAATTGAAGTTTTTGAAAGACTACTTTCTGAGCTAACCAAAAATGTTAAGAAACACATCTGACTCAGAATATTTTACATTTCTACAGTTTTTAATTTTACAAAACAAGGTCTTAAAGCGAGCTTTTATGAGATTTTTTGGTGGGTCTAATTTGTTTTGAATTCAACTGGGTTATTTCAGTTAATATGAACGAATGCAACTTAACAGAGTTCCAATAGAAAGCATTGAGGGGATGCACTGTACCAAGTTTATAACCTTTGCAGATTTTCAACTCTTGTCCCTGGATGCACCATAATATTCCCCATCACTATCACTGCTTGAACTAGACAATATTTCACAAAAGCAATGGTGGACTGAGAAAGACATGTACAAAATATCTCTAAGATTTTAGGTTTAGCACGTCTCTCACACAGTTTGTTTCTGACTTCTTTCATTAGACAAACATCAAAAGAATTCGTTTAAATTAAAAGTTGAGTAACTTCCTTGGTCTGCATCAGTCTTAAAAACAAAAAGCATGAGTTAAGTTTTTCTGACCTTTATTCTCTGAATAAAACTCAAGAAAACAAAAACATCAAAATAAGAGTCTGTGCGTCGCTGTGACAACATCTTCCCATCATGTTTCCACGGAGACAGTACATACAAGTTCCTGATTGGTCCATGTGTTGCCATGAAAGGCTGAAGTCATTGCCAAGGTGAGTTTACCTTGTGAAGGAGCGAACATGTCTGCCCCTCCCTCCTCCGCTCCCTCCCCCGCCACTGAATTTGCTCCCCTGAGATCCTCGCCCTCCTCCTCCTCCACCTCCACCACCGCCTCCTGCACCTCCGCCACCTCCTCCTGCGCTAAGCCACGACAGCCCAGCACCTCCTCTACCCCGCGGGGCTCGGTCACGCGGAGCCAGCCGATATGGACCTAAACAGAGAACACGAGAGAAGTCGAAAATTATACGCTTAAGGATTGAGTTAAGTGTGCAAAATGAAACAAACGATACGAGGGGGAGCGCTTCGTACTTGCTGGAGGTTGTCTCGAGGGCAGCGGTCCACGTGTGAAGTTGCTCTGGCCTCCTCGGGGTTCGCTGTAGGTTCCTCTGTGGGTCACAGCAGGGACTTGTCCACTCCACGATGAACCGCGGGCTCCTTCTCTGCGAGTGTAGTTACCTACAAAACCCCAAAAGATACGATTTGTCTCCCCCTACTGGTCAACAAGCTGAACTGACCTGAAACAACTATAAATGATGGGTTCCTGTGGATATTGGTTAAAAATAAAACAAGAACTACTAGGATCTAAATGATACAAAAAACTGCAATGGAAAAAATACTTTGTTTGTTTCTGCACTCTTACTTCAAGCTCCGTCTATATCCATTTATTCTTTGAGTAAAACAGAAAGATTAGTTTCTTTCACAAACATCGATCTGAGCCTTTTTACGTCACGGCGGTAATTTTTTCAATAAATATGGGAATCAGAAAGTTTTTTACGTGCACCACGCCTTTGTGTACTTACCAGACAGCAGGACACCCTTGGGTTGTGGTGGAGTGAAAAAGCGAGTCTGGCTGTGAAATGTACCCCTGCCTCTGTTTCCAGTGAACAGTCCTCTGGTGGGGGGTTTTGGGGAACTCTTAGGGGGGCGTTTAGGGGGAAGAAGTCCAAGAGGGGTTGTAATGTCTTTAAATTCAGCTGCCACAAAGTCATCCACATGCATGCTGGGAGGACGTGAGGTGTTCTGTTTACGCTGGCGAAAGATGTCATGAGGCCGACAGCCCACATTCTGTCCAAACCCTCCCCGGCCTCCACGTCCTCGAGGAGCTGCCATGATGTGAGCTCTTTTGGCGGGCTCAACATAGTCTGATTTACCGCTGCAGAGAAAAGCACATGGTGATATTCAGTCATTAGATTAAGACCAGAATCTTTCATTTGCTTTTTGCAGATCATTTGTTAAAAAAAAACTATGCAGTTCAGTTCAAGTAAACGTGTACCTTGATGTGATAAATGTCTCGTGCTTGTGTTTGCCCAACCGGAAGCCTTTTGGCGCTTTTGTATGACCAGGAGACGAGGGCTCAGACAAGAAGGAACGCTCCAGCTCTGCCTTCAAGTCCAGTTCTGGGCAGCACTCCTGAGCCAGGCCCACCAGATCCACTTTTACCTGAGACACCGCAAAGGAGGCAATCATAGAAATTTATAAACAACCTCATTCAGAAACAAGGTTTCACAGCTGTATGCAGCCTATTTATCAGGCTTTAATAATCATATCGATTCAGTTCATAGGTGTATAATCAATAAGTACTGAATTATTTACTGTATTTAAAGAATAAAATCAAAGTTTTTTTGACAAGGTTTTTTTGAGGCCAGAGCTGCAGCTTAATAAAACTATTACTACTTTATAAAACAAAAAAGGGATAAGCGACAGATGTTTAGACTTATCTCTGGGTTTGACCAGTTTTTCATCCAAGAGCAGAATAAGTTCTGTGCCAGGGGGTTCTTCATATCATAATGTTTCAGAATAAAATTAAGAAAACACAGAGCTGAAAAAGAATCTGGATTACAATTTTTCTATATGGTCTTCATTTGTTTCACCCATTACCATGTCAAGGTCTGTCTCTATGTCATCAGTTTGGAAGGGAGAGAACCAAAGAGTCTTCAGCTGCTCATCCAGAGCCTCTGATAAAATAAACACAGTCCTAGAGAAAACACACAAAGCATGACATAGTTAATACTGCATCCAGTGTTTACTCTCATTTTGTTTTTGTAAACTTTATTTAGTTTGAAGTCAAGATGACATAAAGTTTTGTTTAGTGTCTTTTTAAACTAAATCTTGTTCTAAGTTACCTGTGATTAAACTGAGCCCCGAGGGTCTCAGGTGATGGTAGAGTGGGCTCAGTGTCAGCCCCCGGAGGTGTGTCCGTGGCCGTCTCTAGGGTCTGCCTCAGAACAATCACATTCTCCAACAGTGTCTCCAGTGATTCATCCTCCTTACATAGTTTCTACAGTGAAACACCCAGAACCAGAGTTACAGAGGCAGAAGCATCACTCACTTTGACGAGAATGAAAAGAAGAGAGAAAAGTGTGGGAATGATTCTTACTGTTATCTGTTTCTCTAAAGTTGGGAGTGGGTGTGACTCAGACTCCTCCCACTGCAGCAGAGCTTTCATCTCAGTGCCCGACAGCAGCCGTGGAGGAGTGAAGACTGGCTCTTCACCGGACCCCTGGCCCTCTTCCACACACTAGAGTAACAACAAACTCCCTGTAATACAACTTAATTGCTGCTCTCTTGTTTTTTTTCTTCACTGTCTACATCATTTAGACCTTCCTCCAACAAACTCTGGAATTCATGCTCGGAGCAATTTCAACTTCACGTCTACTCCTGCCATGAAAACCTTGAAAACCAGCTCTCAAAAACACAAACGCCTTAAACTTTTTCCAGTAAGGAAGAACTCACCATTGTGTCTGTGCTGAAAATCTGTCGGAGGAAGTCCAGTAGTGCTGAGAGCAGGTCTGCAGAGTCTTTGTTGAAGGCGAACACTAATCTCTTCAACAACGAGCACAGACCCGCACCATGTTTCTTCAGAGCACTGAAACAACAATAAGGTGTGATTAAAACCTTGTTGACTAAAATAAAGACAATTTATAAGAAGATAATAAGAGGACAGTGAAACAAGAAGTCAACCAAGAAAGCCTACACTTTAAGGTGGTAGAGTCCGTAGTCATGCTCAGTGAGGAATGTCAGAGTCCTGATACAGGTGAGGAGGAGCGGGGCGCTGCTCTCTGAATTCCCCAAAACCTCCAACAAGGTGTTGCACACTGATGACATCATCTCTCGGCCGGGGAGCGCATTGGCGAGCTGCTCAGCTTCTGTCGCACAGCTTTCCCCGTTTGGAGAAGCAACCAGAGAAATATCCTGGAACGATAAAAAACACATTTTGAGCTTCATCCTTTTTCTTTGTGACGATGTGAAGATGAATGTCATTGCTGCTTACCTGGTCACATAGCGACTGTAATACTGTCCCCACTAGTTCACTGCATTGCTGCTGCTGCAACGAGTGATCAGTGGGAGGAACCAACAGAGACAGCAGCAGGGGGAACAGGTCGGCCTGTTGCTCATCACCAGACACAGAGCCGGACAGCAGATGCAGCGCTGCACTCTTGCACGCTTTCTGTGACACCAACGCATCAAACAAAGACAGCAGACGCAGGACCTGGCCCCAGCACACTACTTTTCCTTCCGCCCTGAAGACAAAACCATGCAGACACTATAAACGTAAAGTTACGGGACAAAAAGTTGGAGCGTTTGATGAGAGATTATTTATTCTTTAAACTCACGGCTGCAGCTCTTCCAGCAGCATCTCCAGCAGGGTCTTCATGATGAGTGTCGCTGTCGTTGAAGACAGATCTGCCATCTGCACACACATTCTCCTCAGCATTGCCAGGAGGGGAGAACAGCTGGTGGCACACACACATCTGAATGCCTCTGAAAACACTTTCCACTGTGCCCTTATGTGCATGCTCCACAACTTCCTGGTGTTTAAGGCTACAGCCACATCTTGGACTGAAATCACCTGTGGAGCCAGATGTCAGTTTTGTTAACATGTAAGCCAAGAGAAGGAAGATCAGAAGAGGACAGCTCGGTGGTAAGTGATGGAATACCTGGGTGCTCTGCATTGGCAGTGGAAGAGGAAGGAGCTCAGACAGCAACGTCAGACCAGAGAAGAGACCTTCAGGAGCTTTCAGCAGTGAACCCAGAACCTCCTTCAGCATCAGAGACCATGTGTTGCTGGCCAGAGTTTCTTCTGTGTGAGTCACCTGCATCAAACAAACATTGGCTCAGGACAATGCCAACAAATCAGACGTTTCAAACCACAAACAAACAGTTTAACTATTTCTAAATCACGCACCTCTTCATTGACACCCTGCGTGAAGGTGAGCAACACGTCGACGATCAGCGCCTGCACTCTAGTCTCCTCTCCATCCAGACGTCCAGACGCGGGAATGGAGCACACAATCATGTGGAGAGTCACCAACACACTGGCGACACGAGTGTCTCTGAATTGGAAAGCTCCTCCGCGCAGCAGCTCCGTCAGCATGGTGCGCAGCAGACGCAACGTACTGATGCAAATACTGAGGATCATGCAGCGCTGCGGCGTGGGGCCCATGTGTCCGTGCACACGCCACGGCTGCAGCAGCACGCTGCACAGCTTCTGCAGGATACGCACACATGTATCCAGACCCTCCCCAGAAAAGAGCTGGACTCCTGCAAGACTCCACTTAAGATCCCTCTGCTGACCTGCAGAAAGAAGGAGGATTTTATCGAAAATGAAACCACCATTTTAAAACAGCAAACAAAATATTTAACCTAGTTTATCGGCTTTGAGATCCTATGAGGAGTTTTTAAAGTCATGAAGCCTTAAATTTGCAAGTCTATGCACCATTGCAAGCAACAGTCATTCCCTGAGAGTATAGCATACATTAATGTAAATGTAAACAACACAGGGCTTTAAAGAACATGAGGAAACGTGCATTTTAGAGGAGAGATGCACAAAAAAAGCACAATAAAGTAAGAAATACTTCTTGTAAAGTGAAAAGTCTTAAAGTAAATCAAAGACACTCATACGACTGTTAAACAGCGGACCTATCACAAATATCATGTTTGGTGTTTTTACCTTCTACAGCTGGTGGGGGGCAGGCTACGTGATTAAGGACCCTGAGAGCAGTGACCAGTCCAGTTCCTTCAGCAGTCAAAACATTTTCCACATTCTGCAGGAGGAACAGACACATGTTTACAAAAACATGCAGCACCCTCATTTGCATATAGCCGGGACACAAGTATGTTACAGAGCAGGTAATGTTTGAGGGGTTCAGACTTGTGGAAAAAACTCTGCATTCCAGGGAGTTGTACTGTAGACCTGATGGCTCACAGGTAAATTACTGATGAATAAATGAATGAAATTATCAAACTTATCTTTTATAGGTAGGAGGGACATATTATTTTGTCTTTTTATTATATCTTAGTTAAGCTTTCCAAGTCTTATGTGTGTTAAATTGTACAGATAACTTGTCTGCAGCAGCCAAAACACTTTCCATTAAAGACATTTATCCCTCACAGAATTAACAAAGAGCAGTCATTAGGACAGCCTGCAGGTGATAAATGAAGAAAAAATTAAGAACAGATTATTGAGAATGAGAGTAAGTGAAACGTTGCTTGACTGAGTGAGAGATTTGTACCTGCTTGATGTAATCTATGAGGGTGGGAATGCTGCCCATCTCAAAGCGAAGTTTGTCCAAAGGCTCCAGCCATTTGCTCAACTCTGACAGACAAACACAAAAAAACAAAACATCAGTGATCAAAGATAAAAAAAAATATTTGGCTAATGAAGTGAAAGTGACGTTAGTTTGATTTACCCTGTAACTTGGCATTAGCGTCATCAGCCTTGGCTATAGTGAGTAGTGGGGCAGCATATTGTTCCATCATGCGCAAGTCATTTGAACTCTGGACCACCACTAACACCAGCATACAGGCGTAATTATATGTCACCGTTTTGCGAGCCTTTGCTTCTCTGCAAGAAAAGAGGACAAAGAAAGAGTGAAATAAACCGCAGAGATCACTTTACACTTTAAGGAGAAGGAGGGGGCGATTGTAGTACCCCTGTCCATCCTTGCTGCTGTGGTGCTGCAGCAGGGTGACCAAACACGACAGGTTGTTGTCCAGGCTGAGAACATGGGCCACCGCGCTTCGACCGGTCTGCGTGAACGTCATCAAGTAGAGCGCATGAAGCATGCCCAGAACCTCTGGGTTGTCGCCTTCCTCTAACCCGGCTCCTCCATCTCCTCCTGCGTTCACGTGACTCATCAGTTCAGACACTCCCTGCAGAGCGTGCAGCGCCTGCATCAACCACACGCAAAAGCCCTCTTCACCAAACCCTGGTCCCGTGAGGCTCCCCTCTCCCCCTGTGAAGGAGGTCTCTTCGATTTCGGCTTCGACTATCGATGCAAGGAGGCGCAGGAGCAGATTTGCAGGAGTGGGCTGGGCCAGGAGGAAGAGCAGACCCGACTGGGTGAGTGACAGGAAGCGGAGGATGTCTCTCACAGCTTGGATGACACCGAGGTGACCGGCTGCTGCGGCTGCTGACAAAACCACTGATGTGCTCTCAAGGAAGTGGCATGCGTGCATGTACCTGAGAAGGGAAAAAGTACATCACAACAACATTCAAAGTCTTTCTGATATGTGTGAGGTGTAAAGTTACGGATGTTGGGCTGCATACCTGTACAGTGTTGGGTATGGGTCATCCCTCTCCTGTGGTCCGGTTATTCTTGCAGTAGTGGGGAAAGCTTTCCCAGGCGGTTGCACCATGCAGTATGGGGCGGTCTCTAGTAGGTGATGCAGCTCTTCCAAAACTCCTGCCAGCCTATCCAGCTCTGCCTCGCTGACAGGGGAGGGGCTCACAGATGTTTCTTCCTCCATGGGGCTCTCAGCTTCCTCCATCTCCTCCTGAGAAATGCCATACGGGATCAATGAAGGGTAGCGTTGCAGTAAGAAACAATGACTGTGATAACTTTCTATTAGAGTCTGTTCCTACCTGCTGTGGTTCACTCCATGCAGCCGCTGATCTCTGCAGGTCCATCAAGACTTCGTACATGTGACTTTTCTGAATGATGGCGTTGCCCGCTGTTATGACCCGGACGGTTTCCTCTCGCAGGAAGAGCTGAACTAAATTCTGTACAAAGAAAACAAATCAGCATCATTTATGAGAAAGTAAACTAAAGGTAAATATTAAAGGTTGGCGGAGTCCTGAGCTCAAGGCTGCGCAATACTGGAAAAAACTGAAATTCTAATTTTGGCAAAACATGAAAAAAAACCCCATCAAATTTAGATGAGATGAATGAAAATACGTGTCTTTTTATGTTCAGTTGTACATTATGGACCTACACAAAATGAAAACGATATCTGGTGCTTGTTTTCATAGTTCAACACTGTGGTATCTGTATGAGGGGTGTAAAATAAACAAACAAAAGCGTGTATATCAGCCTTAACAGCTTTTATGGCACCTTGTTTCCACTCTTCACTCCTAAGTCCAGAGTTTATTCAAAAAGCTGCTTTTAGTCTACTTAACTTGCACTAATTAATCTGATAATCAGAATGAGTTTCATTCGTTTGGTTCGATTGTACTAAACAGTCTCTGGAAATATTGTAACTCAATCTCTGCATCAAATGTCAAATGAAAGATGTCGATGTGGATTACAGTTCCACGTTCATAAATTGGTGCTGACCTGATAGCCGCTCTTCCCGGAGTCTCCTATATGCAGAAAAGCCTCCATACCAGCTGGAGTGCTGGTCAGAGCACCCAGAGCCTTCAAGAAACTGAGCTTCAGTGTTGAGGATACGTGCTCCATGTGGAGCAGCTTCAGCAACACATCCAGGGCCCCTTCATGCACCAGCGCCGTGAGGCCCTGTGGGCATTCTGCGAGGCAAGATGCCAGTTTGGCGCCGGCTTTCAATTGTCTGAGATTAAGAGCAATAGGCTGAGTGAGAGCAATCTCCATATTCAGAGCTTGAAGTGCCCACTTCGCTAAAACTCCAACAGGACCCTCTATCTCTTGCTCTCCTTGTTTCAGTAAATGAGTCAACCCTTTGACCAGGAGACCTGGGGCGTCTTCCACGGCAGTAACCCAGCGAGCATCTCTGTCTCCTCCAACGCTGGTGAGTAGCTCTTTTAGCTGGGTAACAGCCTCAGCCTCTTCTCCAGCTGCTGCTGCTTCCTCTGTCCCACCAGCATCCCTTGGTTCCTCCACGACAGTCTTTTCTAGCTGGGTGTCAAAGCGGGTCTTGTACGGGGGTGTGAAGTAGAGTAGGGGTCTCAGCTCTCGCTCATACGGGTCATACTGGACAGGTGGAACAGATGCCAGGTCCTCAGGAGTGTAGTCCATGTCAAAGCTGGGCAGCTTAAAGCTACCGTTATCAAGATCGTCCTCATCGCTTGAAATCTGCTCATAGCCGTCATCACCTGTGAAAATGTGGAAGGAGAAATTAGACAAAAGTTAATTTATTATGAAGCAGAGTCAAAGGATCCTTCCTAAAGTCTACATGTATGTATGAAAACTGAGAAGAAATGAGGAGGCAAGCAGCTACTTCATGTTTCCTTGCTCGTATAAATGTCCACTCACACATGTTAGCTTCAGTCCAAACATGCAGGTTAGTCTGACATGCAGAATGGGACGAGAACACAAGCATCGGCCTCAGCTGTGAGGGCTACGAGGTACACCTTCATATGATAGTTTATGAATGTTGACCGTAAGCTTTCAGAGTAGCCTGGGTGAGCTAGCTCAGAGTGTGGAGCATCCAGCTTTAGATGGAGGCAGCATGCCAGTGCAGAGCACACACTTTCTCCAACTGACACTCAGTCCCAAATGGACCCGGCTCCTGCGGCCCCCTGGGAAGTCTGATGAGCTGGATGCTCCAAGGGGCGACAGGGCCTGGCATCCATTTGGAATCCTAGACTATCCTACCCTCGCAAAATCACTCCCCTACCTTCCTCCATCTCCTCTTCCTCGTCCTCACCCTCATCTTCCTCTTCCTCTTCTTCCTCCTCGTCCTCCGGGACGCTCCCCTCGGTCCGTGCGTCCTCCTCCTCCTCTGGCTCCTCCTCTTCCTCCTCCTCATCACCTTCTTCCTCTTGTTCGGCGTCTGAGTAAGCTTCATCGGCAGGCAGGGAGCGTTCAGGTGAGACGGCCTCCAGGTAGTCGTCTCGGCCTTGACTTTGCTCATCTTTGACCATGCCCACTGCAGATGAGATTCAGTAAACATCACCAGACAGTTCACAGAAACATGCCAACTACATTTTTATAAGTATAAAGTCATCATTTTTTTTCTGCTATAACATTTACACAACCTATAAGCCAAACCCTAATGCCACTCATAAATATATATTCATACCTGGCAGCCAGCCAGCTATTCTACTAACTTCAGTACATAGTGGTTATCAACATGAAGAGACTTGCTTATGATACACAGTGAACAGTATGTGCCACTAACCTGAACAAGAACAAATCGGTACAGTTCATCTAGTATACCCCCAACTGCTTATAGAGTGAAAAGCAGAGAGTTCTGACTCTGTTCACCACTTTATCTTGAATGATCTTATTGTAATGATTTAAACTAGAATATAAAACATTGTGATTAGAACTTAACACTCCATAATCAAGTAGTAGACAATGAAGAATCTACTGAACAAAACAACACTGCCACTATTTGCATATGTTGCTGAATTCGGAAGCTCACAGCTGCTGTGAGTGAATCAACCCCCTTGCAGACAGACGGAGGCTGGACATACTGTATAAAAACTTATGTAACAAAGTAAAGTGATTCGATATTTTTAGGTTCAAATGAACATGGGAACATTTTTTAATTCTATTCCATTTCTGTTTTCCACCTCAGCAAGTTCATGACCTTTAGATCACGTGCGCCTGGGTGTGAAGAAAGAGGAATTATAGGTCCATCAGATAAAGTTAATAATACATGTCACTACATGCTTTTCCTCGGCAGAAGTTAAACTTTCCAAAAAGACACTGTGTCACAGGCAGCAACACCACATCAATGAAGTTTTGATTTATTTAGGATCCACCAATAGTTACAAGAAGATCTGCAGTAAGTATTCTTCCTGGGGAGGAGTTATCTGATAGCAGGTTTTTTTTATTTTTTAAGCTTTTATAAATGGACAATGGTGTGTAAAAACAATGACATAAAACATAAAAAAGCTACAACAGACAAACTGTGATGGAGCTTATATTAAACAGGTGGATTATTCAAAGGACAATATTTTTCTGTGCCAATAGAAAAAGGAAAAAAAGGAAACGATGTGTCAAAAAGAGAAGACGAATCTTTATACTGACACCAGGAGATAAACTGCGCAGTAACCACAAAGACAATATTTAACAATAAGGTGTAACAACCAGGATGATACTTCAGAGACTGCAGGATCAGATTTTTTAAGTCATCAAGATCAAACAACAGCTGATAAAGTGTGAGAGTAAAAGAGAGACGTACAGTTCTTACCCGTCACCTGGACCTGCTCTTCATCATCATCATCAGGAGGTGGAGGCCCAGGTGGAGTTCGGGGCCCTCTGGGTGCTGGCCTGGGTGGGCTGCCGTTATACTGGTCATCTTTTTCCCACTCTGAAACAAACAGTTCAGTAGATTGCCAGTCTTTCCAACAGAACAGAGAAATCAGAGGTCAATGGTTCGTGGGGAGTTTAGGTTTCAGGGGAGGGGAGGTATAAGGTAGTTTTGATTTAATGATGCCCACCTTGTTTAACGATCCTTTTGGGCCCGCTTGGTTGTTGAGGTGGTGGGGGAGGAGGAGGAGGTGGTGAGCTCTGGTCGTGTCCATGTGAGCGCTCTGCTGTCCCATACACTGCCACCGTCAGACTGGTGTACCAGCCCCTCAGCACCAGGCCATCTGTATTCACCTGCACACACAAACCATTTCAGTTGTTCAGCTTTCAAATCAACAGAAGAGGGGTGAAAATGCGGTCATGAACACTCATTTACCTTTCCACTGGGCCTGAACACGATGGACTTGTTCTCGTCGTACTCCAGACTGAGGGCCAGACAGACAGAAAGACAGAAAAGATTAAAACATGAGTTCAATTACATAGATGCTGGAGTATCCTCCAACATGTGTGTGTGTTTGTCATTACTCTACATTTCCATTTTAAGAAATAGCATGTGTCTGCAATTAAGCTAGCAGCAGCCCGTTGATTCTTCGATAAACCTATTTCCATCCAGCAGAAAATGGCGGTTATTATGTCTAAAAGCACTCCCCATGAACCCTCTTCTGTCCCCTGAGGTACAGAGGACATTAACTCTGCACAATTGTCCAGGATATTTCTTTTGTTCGTGGGTTTTTCTACGAATTTTTGCAGCTTTTATGCCTTCATTCAGATGAAAGGACACAGGACAGAGAAAAAGGACAGAGGGAAAGGTAGCGGAGAATAAATTGCATAAAAACTGCAGTTTCAACTTTAACCCACCTACTTTGGAAACTGCGGCCTCCATGCATGGGTTACGCTATTCAACTACTAAACTTGACTGGCAAATCAACTTTAAGCCTTTTTGATACCAAACTGTAAGAAAATACCTAAACATATTTTAACTGCCCTACAGACAACATATGATGTAAAAATGTGATGAATGACGATGTCTACCATTCTTTTAATATAGATCCTCAAACCTAACCGTCCTTTTTGCCTTTAATTTGAGAGAACAGGAATGTAGATAGAGCACAGAACAGAGACAGAGAGTGGGGACAAGGCAGGAAAGGAGATGCTGGTTAGCATTGAACCCAGGCTGTCCACATGAGAATAATAACCTCTGTACATTGGGTACTTAGATTGCTAGGTCAGGGATGCCCCGACTTTACCTGTGTTTTTAATGATAAAATAATTAAACTCACACTACATATAAACAAGATTACATTTAGATAATGAACAAACAGATTTACTTCTTGAAACACCCATGTTTTTCCTGAATTATTTGGCACAGTTCCAGAAGTTTGCAACATTTTAGGTGATTCTTGAAAACCCCACAAATGGCAGTGAAAAATGAACTTTGAATCCATTCTCAGTCAGGGTTCAAAGATATGAAATGTTCAGCTCTCAGAAAATTCAAGCCAATCTTTGTCTTCAATATCATGCTTTCCGTCATAAATGAAAGCAGCGTGTTGTTATAAACAAGGCTGCACCATTATTTTAATGTTTTATTAAACAGATACTGATCATCACAAAAGCTGTCAAAGAAGATCAATGGGTCAAGCACCAATTTGTCTAAAAATATTTTACTCTGAATTGTTTTTGACATCTGTCACACTTAAAAGTAATCCAACTGGTTTTAAAAAAAAATCACCGACCAACTTTCCCAGCAGGGATAATAACATGGGTGTGCCGTGTTTGTAGTTGTCAAAATCTTTCATGTTGCACCCCTCTAAGTAGAGGTTTGTGCTCTGGTGCAACTGCTTAACCTTGCTGTATTATTATGAGGTCAGAATAAAAACATTTCACTCAAATATTTATCCATTTGTCCTCCTAGTTTATATGTCACTCTCAGCTGGGTGGGGTTCAGTTTCTGGAGAGACCAGTTAACCAGAACAGGGACAAAGAAACCTGAAGATGGGTGGATGCATCAGAGCAAGGCATTGATGTGACCATGACTGGTTCAACAGGTGAGACAGATATCAAGACCTTAAAGACTTTGAGAAAATCATCCTGACCTGCCCAGTCTGTGGAAGGCTGGGTTGTTAGGTTTGGTGACATTGTTGAAGAACAGCTCCAACTGGAAGGCATGAGGGGACGTCTCCCTAGAAACACAGACACACATACACAGACACAGACACACACAGTTATATGGCAGCCATGTTGTAATCTAGTTGTGTACACAGAGCTCATTTTCCTGTATTAAGTATCAACACAGTGATTTGCATCAAAATAAATTTTACAACTGTACACTGTATAATCTTATAAATATCTGTACAATGGCTCTACCATAAATTACAACAAAAGGAAATGTGTCAAGTTCATCACATATTTATCATCTAAGTCAACTGAAAAGGATGTTTATATATGGCATAAATGTGGGGTGGCTGTGGCTCAGTGATAAAGTGAGTTGTCCTTCAATCAAAGGTTGATGGTTTGATGTTCATGTTGAAGTCTCATTTGGCCAAACGCAAAACCCTGAACTGCCCCTGAGTGGCACAGCCAGAGGTGTGTAAATATATATGAATGTAACCAAGAGCCACTGATGGGAACTTCCCTTATTTTACTCTGTTATTAATGCTGAATGTGTGTATGAATGGATGAATATGAGATGTAGTACAACAGGGCTTGGCGAACATGGAAGTCTACAAAAGCACTCTTTATACAACCAAACATCTGAAATATCTGTACAAAACGACCATCTAAGGTGATATTAAAGAAAAAACGTTTTCTACAACAAAAGATTCACCTCAGGCCAGTCCATTATGGGCTGCTGCGGGGTGACGCAGCTCAAGGAAGAACATTTATGATCATTTCTTCATAGAAATGCAATCAGACCGAGACGCTAAGGCAGAAGAACTACCGTGTCACCACGCTGTAGTCCATAATGAACTGGCCTGAGGTCTTGCTACAAACAAGCGGCTGCTGGAAGAGAGTAGGTGAGTTGTGTTTAGTCTCTTTGCTAAAGAAATTACGCAGAGTTAAAAGGATGTTTGGTGGCTAGGACCCTATATGTACTGTTGATGAAGTTAGGTGCTGTTCTGAGCATTTATTGTTGCTATAGAGTGGTGTTTTGGTTGAGGTTTGTTTATGGCTTCTCAGACCGACAGATCCTGCTGTTGATACTAACGCTGGTATAACTAGAGAAGCAAGCGGTCTGCAACATTCATCTCTCGACAGGGTGTCTAACTCGGTGTTACGGTTTGTTTGACCCTAAATTAATTTTACGCCGGAATATCCCTGGGCCAACCACCTGCCAATGGTTAATATGAACTGTGGCAGCATGAATTTCAACATTATAATGATCCATACAAAACAGTGCCAAGAGGGTGTGCATCAACTTTGACACCGATTCAGATCAAGAGAATGTAGATAATACAATAATACAGGATCTGTGATTATAGTCAGCACTGAGATTAAGAATAACAGTGTATGTATATATAGCAATAGTAAACTGCCTGAGATGTAATCGTGAAACACATCTCTGAGGGGATTATAATTTGCTTCATCAAAGATTTATCATCAAACCTGCATAAAAGATTCCTAAATTGCATCATCTCTCTCTAGATGGATCTGAACAACAGGAGTTGAAAAGTGTGTGTGTAAAGTGTGTGCCTGAGCTCTTACCCAAACGCTCTGCTGTCAGGTAAGCCGCTGTGAGCTTTGATCCCTGGAGGAATAACCCTCACCTCTGTGATCAGCACCCCGCATGGAAACCGCACCACATCCACGTTGGTTAACTAAAGTGCATAAAAACACAAAATCAACACAAACATTTGGATGCTATGTTTCTATGCCAAAAACGCACACACGTGTATCTGTTACAGCCGCCTCAGCTGCAAAGTAAACATGGTTTATGTGCAGAGTTAGCATTAGCAAGCCGGCTAACCAGCAAACAAACTGCGCAATGATGTAAAGAAAACATCTGATTTCAAATTAATATTCCAAAACATTTCTAATTCACCCTAAGTTTGTTGAGCAAATAAGCTTACAAATCTATATGTGTTTGATTGATTAGAGTGATGAGGTTCAGCGCTCACATGACAACATTGTTACTGCTGCTAATGTTAGCAAAGTTAGCTTTGAAGTTCAGCACTATTCACCAAAACTGTTTTATTCAACCGATAAGAGGATCAAATCAAGTATAAACAACTCTGGGGTAAATTAACAAAAGGTTAAGCATTACCTCGGCACTCTGATGCTTAAACGTATCTAGAAAAAGAAGCTCAGTTGTAGTATCCCCCGCCATCGCTTTCTGCTGTTCGTCAGGCCGGGGGAAACTTCCGGGTTGGCGATTACTTCCGGAGCATGTCAACTGCAGCGCGAGCGCTCAAACTTTATTTTCGGCGTTTTTATAATTTTAGAATCCATTAACTATCAAAAAATTCCTTATTAGGTCGATAAAAAAACATCCCCTGTATCTTCACACCACGACTAAAACTCTGTTGATATTTCTTTGCATCGTTTAAACTATTTCTGGGTTTGGTCAGAATCAGAATGTCCTTTATTGTCAATATACTAAAAGTTCAACGAGATTGGAGAGCTTCTGCTTTTCCAGTGCAATAGACAAGTAAAAATAAGGTAGTAAAAGTACAAATAGTTGTGAGAAAGAGGGGACTGTATATACAAGACAAGAATTCTACAGAACAGTAAAATAAAAAAACATATGTATAAGAATAAAATAGAAAGATGAATACTAAAGAGAATTATCAAAAATAAATATATATATATATATATGTGTGTGTGTTTAAATATATGTATATATGTATACTTTTTTATATGTATATGGACATGTATTGCACAGGTTAAGGATATAATAATCAACACACATGATAATCAATGGTATCTCACACAAACATAGACAAAATAATTATATGAATACCTACCTGGTACCTGAACTTATTTCTTGAATCTTTAAAAAATGTTGGAAATTTGTTCTGAGAATTTTGTATGATGTTTGTGTTGTGAAAGAGTGCAGTGTATTTTTCCTCTTGAGTCATAATAATGGTAGCCTACACTTGTGTGCCTCTTTAAAATATCCCTTAAATAAAAATATGAATATTTCAACCATAAATTTCAGAGTTCATTTAAACAATCCAATACTTTTCTTGCATCTTAAATTGGAATAAAAATCAGTTTTTTTTTCTGTTTTAGAAATAGGCCTACGCATTATTGAACATATGGGTCAATGACGTTACACAGTTTATTTAATGTTCCAGTGGTTTACTTAAATTTAAAAAGGCCAAAATTAAAAAATAAATTCACTAATTACTTGAATACATTCTCTTTTTGAAGACCTTGTCTAAAATTTCTTGATTTTATCCATTTTGAGAGAATATTCAGGGAATAATGAGAAAAATGTCAATGTGCTGTAACCATAAAAACTTAGTACCAAATATTTCAACTTGTCCAAAATAGGAAAAATGCTCAATAAAACACATTGTCAACTAGTTTGGCATAATCCTACATTTGTGTTGTTTCACTATAAATAAATTAAATGGAACACCAATGTTCTCAATATTATAATTTATTTGGGGAATTTGTCTGTCAAGTAAGCTTTCTTAATGGTCAAGGTGGTGTAACCAACGTTCAAGGAGACATTTTGTTCATTTGTGTAAAAAGACCATGTGACAGAAAATGATATCACATAAAAGGTGAAGAGAAGCTCAGAAGCTCTCCTCAAAATCTTAATAATTTGACATTTTTAGGACATGGTCATGTGAGCTTTGAGTAACATGTCAAATGGTATGACCTTAGAAAATCATTTTTAACTCATAATAACTGTAAAAATAAGTACTTAGTGTTTGAAATCTTCACTTCAATGCTATACCGTCAATTTACATTTAGAAACAGGCCTATGGTCAATATTCACAAAGTCTTTTAAAAATCATAAACAGAAAAATATACACCTGTGTTAATAAACACTTTGCTTATTATGGCTAAGTTGTGTAAGATTACGAGGGTTGAGAGTATAGGCCTAATATTTATCAGTTTCGTAAAATCAGTGATTTACGAGTTTGAAGTTGATGAGGGAGACTTGTTCAAAGTAAGATATATAAACAGATATTTCTGTCCTCCACGGTCTGCCACGTCCTAATCTGTGAAGCACCTGAAGAGGGAGGGGGCAGGTGGGGTGGTCACGTGGTCACACAGGTAGATGCACTACAAAAACGGGGAACGTTCAGCCATTACTCCGCGATGGTGACTGCGGGAGGCTTCACGTAAAAATCTCCCACCCGCACGACGAAACTTGGATTTACCGAGCTCACCTTTACGTTCAGGTGTCAAAGTAAAGGTGTTCGTACCTGTCGGCTATCTCGCTACGGACGGATCTTAAGTGACTGACCTTTACTTTTGTGAAGTATTAGATTAGTTCTTTGGAGGCTGTGTGTGTTTGTGCTCAGATGACGGCGCAGGTAGACTACCTGGTGGTGGTTTTCACCGCCACATCTGGCGCGAGCGGAGAGCTGCTGGGGTCTGACGAGAAGGAGCTCGAGCTGTTGGTTTGGCAGCTGGTCGACGTTAAGAACAAAAAGGTAAAAACTTATCTCTAAACTTCATACAACAGCTTTATATCCTTACACAATGGCGAAGGTAGTTGTAAATGTCGTTGTGGGTTTAGTTAAACGAAACAACAGGCGGAAATAGGTGAATAATTGTGGGTTTCTTTTATGTAAATTTCTTCTTTAGCTTAACTCCTAAGATAAGTAGGAGTATTTTCTCTGAAAATGTATTATAAAAGTCTCAAACATCACACAGCCATTTGAGATATTGTATAATTTTACAGTTTGTTGATTTCTCTGGACTTCTGCCTTGATGCTGACATCTTTTTTTCTACTTCTCTGAACCAGTTGGGCAAAGTAAATGAGCTCCTCATTAAGCCTGACCTCTCAGACTTGACAGAGGAGAAAGAAGAGGAGGATGTGGTTGAGAAAAGCGTGGAGGAGGAGCATGGATCCAAAGCAGATTGTGTCTTTACAGCCTCAAGTCTTGAGACAGCACTGAACCAGGTTGTAACCTTAAGAAATTTAGCATTTCAGCTTGTAATTATGTGGTTTTTTTATGACAGCTGTAGGGAAAGCTGGAAGCAAACTAATTAACATTTTGATTCCTTTTTATTTAGTTTCATCTACAACTGACAAATGAGGTGAACAGTGCAGGCGCAGGCACGTCGGTGTGTTTGTGTACAGACGGGCAGCTTCACATCCGTCAAGTGATTCACCCCGAGGCCGCAAGCAAGGTGAGAGAGCCGGTGTGGCGAACACCTTGCAGCCATGGGCGGATGTTCCCTTTTGGCTACAGGAACCTTCCTTGCTCACACAGTCACAAAAGGACATCATGTGTCAGCACTTTGCTCCCAATCCAATGTAATGCTGTGCTGAGAGTTGATCTACAGCGGCTACGAATGCAAACCTGTTTAATGGCACACGCCCTTATGCATACCTGTGCGCATAAAACCGCAGTACATAATGCTGCTGATGAAAATTTCCCACGTCTTTGTCACACAGAGATGATGGCTCTACTGGCTTGAGCAAACAGGAGTATGATGGTAATAAAATAACAGCTGCTTATAGGCCACATGTTCACATCCTTCCATCTATTTCCCTCCTCCTCAGAACATCCTGGTCCCTGACTGTTTCTTCTCTTTCTTTGACCTGCGGAAAGAGTTCAAGAAACACTTCCCCACATCTGACCTCAAGGCTCTGAATGTACACGTCATGGCAGAGTGTATCCTTTAATACGTTCACTGTTTACATTTGGTGTGCCAGCGACTAACTGCACATAACTACTCTGTTACGTGTGATTAATTGAATGTTCAACTTAGTTTTTCAGTCTTTTGTGCATTTTTAGTTTGGCCTTGTGCACTCAACTCACATATGAGAAGTTTACAAGCCATGGGGTGTTGGCTGAAGGACTAGAGGTTTTGAAATGCAAATAGGGAAACAATGGCATCACCTTTCTAAGCGCTCTTAGAACAAGTGTGTGTTTAGCCAACAGGGCGAACCCCACACACCCTCTGCAACAGGAAAACTAACATGAGTGTGTGTTATCTAGATTACTGTGTTTTCTTATCTCTTTTGTAATTTCTCCCAGATCTCATTCTTCGTAGAATGTGTAAGCTCAGCGTGAAGCTAAAAACACCTTTTTTGCTGTCATAAGCTGTTTTTGTTTGCTCTCCCGTATTTGTTTTCCTTGATGCACTCCTCCTCAGCTCTTAGTATACCTTTTGATGTGCCACCTATGTGGGATCCCTCAGCCACACCAGACCCCTCAGCCATATTACCTGCGGAGGTAGCAGTGCAGCAGGTCCAGACGATGGCCAACATTGTCCTTGCTCTGCTTTCTGAGCCTTTTTGTGAGTATCATGTAACATTTGAAAATATGAGACGATAACTCATAGTTGTTTAAGTTTAAGTATTTATATATTCACTGGTATTTTTGATTTTTATTGAAACTGTTTAGAAAGTCAACTAATTTTGCACTTTTAGGAACATTGTTAAATGGAGGGGGTTTCAGCTTAGTGGTTAGAGCACACACTTCATGTACAGAACCTGTTATCCTGCAGCAGATACTGCTCAGACCCTTGGCAGCATATCAATCCCCCACTCTCTCCTCTTCACATTTCCTTTCTCTCCTCATCTGTCCTATCAATAAAAGCAAAAAAGCCCAAAAATGTACAAAAAAAGTTATACATGAAATACTTATGGCTGAAACATGACAACCAATAAGTTACTTTCAATGCAAAAATGCCTTTCTTTAATGTTTAGACATCTTAATTTGTTTTGCCAACAACTATTGTTGGTCAGATAAACTAATGAAATTATAAATTGATCTATGAAAAATTGGGAGGCAGTTTTTACACCGCTGTGTGTCTCGTCATGGTCTGAAAATCAATGAATGGAAACGATTCACAAAATGATCAAATAGACGAGAATGAGTTTCTGCCTTTGTCTCTGCCTAAGAGAAACTTACCTGTTCATACATTAAATAAAGTCTTTATTTAGCTATGCTGTCTAATATGTTATTTTACTTCTGACACAACTTATCTTACTTTTTTATCACAGGCCACACATTTCCTAATCAGGAGCGAGTTAATGAGAAGTTTGAGACCGGCACCTGGTGAGTAAATTTTGCTTTAGATAAATATTTTTTTTTGTTCTCCACAAATCCTCTCCTTCTGTTTTAATGTCAGTATACGTGTTTGTGCGATTGTGTGCAGTAGTAAAATGGAGAAAGTGTGCGACAACACAGTGATCAGAGCCAGAGGGTTGCCATGGCAGTCCTCTGACCAGGACATCGCCCGATTCTTCAGGGGACTCAACATTGCCAAGTATGTTGTAGCTCGATTAAAGGCAATCAGCTCTTATATATCTATATATATTAAACTGTTGTTAACACTTTATTTTCATTGTTTTTTTCTTTTAATGTCTAATGTGGAGCACTTTGAATTGCCTTGATGTCAAAAGCATCTATATCTTAACTTACATAAAATTTACATCCCGTTTAATGCTCTTTGTGTTGTTTTGTGCAGAGGAGGGGCTGCATTGTGTCTTAATGCTCAGGGGAGGAGAAATGGAGAAGCACTTGTTCGTTTTGTCAGTGAAGAACACAGAGATCTGGCACTGCAGAGACACAAACACCATATGGGCAACAGATACATAGAGGTGACCTCCCTGAACAGTGTTTGCTTGAACTGATGGAGTGAACCTGTTGTATTACAAACAGACCCAAATTGTTTTTTGTTCTTTCTTTTTTTCATTTTGTGATCGCTTTTCATCCCTGCCTTGTTTTCTTTTGCGACAGGTTTACAAAGCAACAGGGGAAGACTTTCTGAAGATAGCAGGAGGTGAGAAGATGTGTTTTCCTTTTACCTTTTTTTAGTCCCAACCAGAATAAACATAGGCGTTAAATAAAACTGGCTTGAGTTCCAGTAAACACACCAACACCATCATCAATCAGCCAACCGAAAACCAACTAATCTCAGGTTAAGTGTCATGTGATAATGACAAACAACCACAGTGAGAGAGTGTACAGTAATGTTTGTCAAAGATAGCAAAATATCAGTTATCAGCCATTTTACTTTAAAGTATTGATATTTTTTGATTACATCAGTTTTGAAGAGGTACTCATGATTGACCAATACTCATGTCGAGAACTGCCTCAGATGCAGGATCAGGATGGGGAACATGGTCTAAGAACAAAAGTTAAAAAAAGGGGGAAAAACAGAAATCCCCTTGTCATTGCCTGTTGCTGGTTTTCCCTCATCATAAATATGGCAGCACATGAGTCACATGTAATCTTGACACAATAATCCTAAAATAAAATAGGAAAAATCTGTAGGGGAAGCCGAAACAATCAGTGGTGATTAAATCAGTTCAACTTTATTTAATTTGTGGTTACATTGTTGTGTATGTTTCCTTGTGTGTCCTCAAGGTACCTCCAATGAGGTTGCAATGTTCCTGTCCCGAGAGGACCAAATCATAGTGAGGATGCGAGGTCTTCCTTTTACTGCCACACATGAACAGGTGCTCAACTTCTTCTCCCCGGGGGAGGGGCTCAAAGAGACGTGCCCAATCAGTGGAGGGAAGGATGGCATCCTATTTGTGCGTTATCCTGATGGGCGTCCCACTGGTGACGCCTTTGTTTTGTTTGCCTGTGAGGAACACGCCCAAAGTGCTCTAAGGAAACACAAAGAAATCTTGGGAAGGAGATACATTGAGCTGTTTAAAAGCACAGCAGCAGAAGTCCAACAGGTACGTCAGGGTGACAACCTGATATGGATAGGTTTGTGCATTTTGTGTGCAGTTCTAACTGTGTAATGTGCATGTCGGTGTGCATTTAAACTCTTTTTAATGTTTCCTCTTATATTTATTTATTTCTTTCTCCAAGGGCCAAAATAGACGTTAAAGAAGTGTTTGTTTGTGTGTGTGCACAGAAGAGTGTGACAATGTGTGGGTGTGTTTCTTTTGTCCCACTCTGCTGTAGTTGTTGGCATTGCAGTGAGGCTTATGGGTGGGGACCTGCACAGCAGGACAGACTGTGTGCTTGTGTTTGTTTTCTTTAAGTATGTAGGTTCACACCAACAGTCTGTAAAGGATTACTTGGCTTCCTTTCTCTAGAATTGCTCTTTCTTTCTCTCTCGTGAGTCGAACGCATGTGGACTTATTTTCTTATCTGAGCTGACAGATAAGCAAACAGCCCTCGTACATTTCTGTGAAGAGGCTTTCCCTCAGGCTCTCGTGTATGACGGTCTAAAGGGTTTTATTGGTCCTTTCTAGAAATGCAAACAAGCCTGTTTCTAGCATCGCAACACATAAAACAACGTGGACTTTCCTCTACAGAGTTGGCCTGCAGTGCTTGTATATTAATGTGTTAGCTCTTCATTGACCTTTGAATGATATACGTTAAAGGAAATGTATTTGTTAAGGCGCTCAAGTGTTGTCTTTTAGTTTAATCTGGCCATTATTCATGAACTAGAATGTGTATTTCAGGTATTGAACCGATACTCATCGGCCCCCCTGATCCCAGTGGCCCCTGCCCCCTTAGTGTCAGTGCTGCCAGCGGTATCTCTCCTGCCCCCTCCTGGTGGTATCAGGGACTGTTTAAGGCTGAGGGGGCTGCCATACACTGCCAGCATAGAAGACATCCTCACCTTCCTGGGCGAGTTTACACAGGATATCAGACCGCATGGTGTGCACATGGTCCTCAACCAGCAGGTACATGCAACCGCAGTGCAGACACACCTACACACCATATTCACACAACTCCCTATTATCTGATGTAATGGTTGCAGGTACTTCAAGCTGGAGGTTGGATTGTCAAAGGAATTCAGACTAATTGTTGAATCAAAGCTTTTTGAACAGCAAGAAACAGCATTTTTTTCTGAGATGAAACATAATTTTTGAAATTTTATTAGCTGCTGTCAAGTGACTGCTAAGTTACACGACATAGTAACCAACTTAACCGTGTCATGTTTTTACAGTATATTACATAAAAAGCAAGCAAAAGGTCATTTCAGCTTTGAACAGTGTACTGAAAGCTAGGAGTGGGTTGAATGCTAACATTAGCTTTTGAGGGGAAAAAATATGTTTTACCTCAAATTGTGGCCTGCTTTTTAGTTTATATATTTTTTACTGAGCCCCTTTAAAAGTTGTAAAAGGGAACAATTACTCAAAAACATTGTAAAAATGATGTTTTAATGACTCTAAACCTTGGACGCAACTGTACATGGTTGTTAGAACATGAAAGACCTTCACAGGTGCAGAACTGAATCAAACAAGAATAAACAGAACTAAATTTTCAGCAGCTTACACGATGTCGAGTAAGTAATTTAAAATAAATATGTATGATCTAGCTTATTGTCCTGAGAGAAGGCGTTCAGGTGTAAAAACTGCTCCTGCAAGTGTGATCAGTTCAGTTGTCAGTGATGTGTGTCAAAAGCAAATGGCAGATGTTGAGAATAAGATATGCTTTCACTGTCTTTACGACACAAGTAATGTCTGGCTGTCTCTTATTTCAGGGTCGCCCATCAGGTGACTGTTTCATCCAGATGACCTCAGCAGAGCGAGCACTTCAGGCCTCACAGCGGCTCCACAAGCATGTGATGTCCAGCCAGCGTGGGACCAACAGCCGCTACGTGGAGGTGTTTCCCTGCAGTGCAGACGAGATGGGCTTAGTGCTGATGGGAGGCTCGCTGTCACATACACATACACACACACACAACCGGAGCAGAAGTGGGACAGGGCTCAGCCCGCCGCCATGTAAGTCCAGACGTAAGTGCTGCTGGGAGCTGGGGGTGCTTCGGGACTGCAGGGTAGGTGGGCTCCTGCCATTTGGGGGCAGAGTTGCTGTTTTCTTTCCTCCAATCTAGTAGTTTGGGAGGTTGGGAACAAACAGTCTGACCAGAAGGATTTAAAACTGTGTGTATGTGTGAACGTGTGATCTATCCTTGTTATTGACGATGAGTAAAATACCCATCTGCATGCACAAAGAAACCCTGAACAGTTTAATGTTTAATCCACCTTTTCACCTGCGTACACCATTCTGATTGTAGTTAATCTTCAGTGGCATGTGTGGTACTCATTTTTGATTTCCCCTTTTAACCACTGCCTTAGAAAAATCTGATGGGGTTGGAAAAATGTAAGCAACACAGCTAGTTCATAATATTCTCAAACAGCTTACAGCTCTCCAGTCTTATCAGATTGGTTTGTGGTGGTTGTGGGATTTAGCCTTAATAGATTGATGCACCTGCATTGTGTGCGTCTCTTTGCTTGTCCAATCATTGGAGCTGTGGGAAAAGGTGGGCAAAGCTAATCATTGGTGTGTAGAAAAGTGCTTTGATATCTGTATCTTTCACTGTAAATGTGCACTGGTGCATCCCCAGTTTTCATAATGAGGTACAATTAGACGTAAAACTAAATGACGTTTTTTAATGTTCAACATCAAGTCTAAACACTATCCAATTTAAGGCAAGATACATGTTGAGTTAAAAGAGTTGAACACTGAGCTTTTAGCAAGAAATCATATTTTTGATGGCGGTGTGTTTTTAGGAAGCAACACCATCTACACTTGATAAGCCTCAGAGACCCAGGATGCTGTTTCGCCTCAGTTAGTAGGACAGATGGCTCATACACAGAGTAGCCTTTACACACAAACTGTCCATGTGTCAGTGTAGGATGATGGTCATTGTTTGCACATTTGCATGATTTCCTCTTATAGACAAACAATGACCAGACTTCACCATAATCACTCTATCTTTTCTGTTGTTATTTCAGCTTGTTAAATGTGCTTTTTCTCCCTCTGTTTTCTTCTGTTCAGGTTTATCTCCACCCTCTTACTCCTTCGCCCCTGCTCCACCTGTCCTGCCCACAGAGGCTGCTGCCCTCTACCATCCCATGAATCAGGTGCTGCTGGCCCCTAGACCCCTGCCTCCAGGTCATGCCTACTACCCTGCTTCAGCTCAGCTATACATGAACTACACAGCCTACTACCCAAGGTAAACACTGATGTCTACAGCACAGAGGGGCTCATTAGAAAATTTAAACACAGGCTTCAATGTTCAATATCTGTTACCTTTTATAGGAGGCTTTAACTTTCAGTCTATGAATTACTTACACAGTCATGAGTCAGTCTAGACTGGGCTCAACAGGAGTTTAATTGGATTGCTTTTGTCCATCTCATAATTGCATCAAGACAAAACATACAGCTTCTAGTTACTAATAACAGACGAGTAATTTAAATTTGACCAAGATCTGTCAAAGAACAAGAGCTAAAATATTTAAGACTGTAAACAGTTAAAAAAAAACAAAAAATGTGGTTATGGACAAATCCCTGCTTTTTTCATTTATTTTTTGGTATGTTTTCTTTTTTTTTTTGCAAAAGGGTCAGTATTATTTTTGACTATATATCGGAAACTTTCAATCATCAAAAATAACTGTGAAATGAAGTTTTATCTTTATGCTAATCGACTGGTTTGATTTTGAAGGTCATACAGAGGCCTCTGATTATTTTGTAGTTAGTGAAATGCTCACTGGAGCTTGACAGCAAGAAAGTAAAAAAAACAGCTTGTACCACTGTCGATGATTTTGGACACATAATACACAATTTTGATTTTTCATATATATCATTTTGTCCTGTTATTGGCTGTATATATACTTCCACAAAAGATAGTTTGTAGGTTTAAGAGTAAAAAGTCACACTTGTTATTTGGTTGGTGTCACCGAGGGTAAAAGCTGAGACAAGGGTAGTTAATAACTGATCAGTGTAGTTTCAAAGGACCTAGACATTAGGTAAACATTGTTGTCCTCTAGGCGTACCTGGTCAGCTCTTTGTCATTGAGAAATGCTCTTCAGTTATTCCCACTCTGATAAATCAGATGTTTTTCTCTGTTTTCTGAGTATCAGAAATAAACAGCATGTAGGTCATTTAGTGGCTATTGTGTGTTTTTAAAGACATTTTCCACTAAAGGTCCTCCACCTCCACCTCCACCTTCTCTCTTTTCTCTTTGCAGTCCACCTGGCTCACCTACCACTGTAGGTTTCTTCCCCTCCCCCTCCTCCCTCTCCACCCCAGGGGGGTTGGTGCGTATGCCAGGTCTGGCCTACAACAGCGCTGGAGTCAAAGACCTCATTAACGCAGTGCAGGGTTATCAGGTAAGAGGCGTATAAGCTGTGTAGAACAGGTTATTGATACAGTTCTTAAACACAACACTAACTCTTCAGAGTTCACACACTCCTCTATAGGATCCAAGTGTTGCATTCATATCTTCTCCTGTTGAGGGTGTGTATCATCAGGCATCCTCTGTGTTTGCCCAGAGGCCATCAAACTAGTTTATCCTGTCTACTCTCCCTGTTCTGTCACACATGCTACAATGCTTGCTTAGACTTGAACTGAAAGTGCTCAAGACTTATTCAACTTTAGAGGAGAGTGAAAGCTTGGGTGAATTTAATTTGTATTTAATTAAGAAATAATTACAGACTTAGAATGTCAAGCTCCTCTTTGACCATTGTAAAGGATTAACAGGTTCATGTAGCCTCTAGGATCAGGTCTATACAGTTGATGATCTTTCAGCCCCCTGTCTCTGTTGTTCCTTCCCCTTCCTCACACAACAGTATGCCCCCGAGGATGCTCTTATGCACGCTCATGGGCCTGTGCACGCTCACGACCCAACTGGAACATTGCTTACGCAGCCCAAAGAATGGGTGTGTATTTAAGGTGTCTCAGGCAGGTGGCAGGTAAGGATTGGCTGAGGGCTGTGTGAGGGGGACTTAGCTTAACAAAGAGCTGTCGCAGTGGCGTTGGGTCTTTCATTATCACCATGGTTAATAGGGTTCAGCAGCTGCATTTACTATTTGGGTGCACACAATGTCATAGATTGGTAGATTTAAGGATTGGGTGATGTCTTCGATGATAATCATAAATGGGCTTTGCGAGAATAATTTTTGACGTGGTGGTGTTGTGGTGCTGTTTCCTCACAGAGTGTATAACCCATTTATGATCATATGCTTTTTCCTCCTCTGGCTATCACATTTGTGTGCTCAAGAGAGATACTTGAGCATATGCATGACCATGCCTCCAGAAAGTACATAATTATCCAATCTGAGCTTTGCAGCTAAAACAGCATGCCTGTCAAGCTTTGGTCCTCTTTATTTTTCACTATAGTACAAAAAGGCCACTTATACTAGCTGAAATGTGCAACTTAAGTGCTCAGACACTGGTCTTAATCGCTTTTCTGTTCCTCCTCTCCAATTTCAGCAGGAATAATCGGCATCGTCAGTTGTCTTTGTTGCTAAAGTAACACAGCATCTACAAAATCACAGTTTTATTTGTTGAGAAAATACAGCGAATAGATTTATTTGAAAAAAAAAATAATTACTTTAAAAATTGTGCAAAGTGTGGTCTCCCGAAGACTTGACGCTCACGTGTAATGTAGTCCCAGAGGTCCTTGAATGAAGGCTGTTACAGTTTCAACAAATTCCCAATACTTGAATTCATGATCCTGTTCGGAAATCTGCAAATTACCACACAAATGACCATGTTCTGCAAACCTGCTGGCTCAGTCGCTACCCTGCAGTGCATGGGTATAATAATAATAATAATAATAATAATAATAATAATAATAATAATAATTAATAATAATAATAACAGTTTCTTATCTATAGGAATTACAAACAATTATAAAGTAGCACTATTAGACATCATCTTTCTTGTTTTGTTTTCCATAGTTGTAAAATAGTTTCTAAAAATTTTGTAAATGCAAAAAATAAATTCCATGTGTATGTAGAAATATTAAATGCTCAGGCGAATATAACACATGGCAAGATCTCATTAGAATCACTTTTGACAGAATGTTTAGAGTAAGAACAATAAATGAGAAGAGAGAAAATTAGCTGCTCTTCACACTTGCAGCTCTGAAGTTTCCAAGATAATCAATCTTTGACCTTCAGAATTATCGCAGTTAACTTCCCTACATGCTGTGTTGGAATAAAAAGCTTGACAGCAGCTGAGCTGAGGGGCTAAAGGGTCAGTTGTTGGTGTTGTAATGTGATTAAAAAAAGGGTAATAACAGGTTTGGGCTTCAGGTGGTTGAAAGGTGACGGGTTACATCTGATGGTGGTGTAAGGTCCTGCGTTTGATGTTTTTACTCTGGGCTTATACTCCTCTCTGTTTTTTCTTTCCTGACTCTCCAGAGTCCCGCAGAGTCCATTTCTCTCCTGAACAGCGGTCTGATCAGTCAGTCCAGTGGAAGTGACGCTCCTCTCATGTCCCTCCCTGCCCTCATGACCAAGCCTGGGGGACAGTACCTGGACCTGACCCTGCTGTAGGGATCAGATTTTACAAAAACAAAAAAAAAGGTCATGTGACAATTTGATGTACGTCAGAGACTTGTAATGTATTTTTAGCTTTTAAAAAAATCAGTCTTTTAGATGTGTTATTTATATCTTTAAGAACAGAAATGGATCTATTTTATACCAAAATCTTTGTGGCCCTAGCCAAACATAGCAACTTTGTCTTATATTGCACAGCGTGTATTTGAAAAGCTTTATAGAGATTTTTTTAAACATGTTATGATACAATAATCACTATGATATATTTGCTAGCCAAACTAGAGAAGAATGACATAGTAAAAACTGAGCTCAATCTTTTTCTTAAGCTTGTCTGTGAAGTGTGAGTGTGAGTCTGAGTGTGAGTGCGTTTTTAGTGTGAGAGAGAGAGATAAAGTGAGTATTATGCATGCTTGTGTTGACGTGTCTTTTTACTTCAGTGCAGAACACTGTTTGTGTTCATATACATTTGATACAGTACACAGTGATTGTAATGGAAGCTTTAGTGCATGAAGAAGTTAGTAGTTAAACTTTAAGATGTTTACATTATGCCAAATATCAATGCACTGCTAATCAATAAGACTAATAATGTGTGTTATAGCAGTATCTTTGTTACAATGTGAGTTTGTCAAGCAGCCTGATGATCCCAGCATCAGGTTTCCCGTACAAAAATGTGACATCTCACACCTAACCCCTTGTATCCCTCCTTTATGTGTCGGTGTATACATGTTGTGTAATGCCAGTGTTGTCTTGCCTTTTGTTTTGGACCACCATCAAAAATAGAGGACAGTCCCGGTCCTTCGTAAACTAACCACAAAGTTACATTTGTCAGGAGATTTCTGAGTGAATCTCAGCAGCCACTGGGGTTTCTTACAGATTTTATTACACATTTTGCTCCAAAGATTTATCTGTCCATCACACTTATCTTGCCTTCTCTCTGCCATCTACTCTGATGTCTGGATAATAGAGTGGATAAACTTAGCTCCCTGAAGAAATCCCTTAGCCATTTGTTTTTAAAACTAAATCATCCGGAGAGTAGATGGTTAGTTGAGAAGAAAAGAAAAAGAAGGACACCTCTGATTTTTATTTTGTGAATTGAACTGTTTGTGCCCTGCAAAGTTGCTTTTTGGGCTCCAAGCTGCAGTAAAAATGTCTCGCAGTAGGACCCCTGCTGCTCAAGATGTCCTGGAAAAAATAAACGTGAAGTCTGCTGGCCTTCACCTCATTGATTTTACCTTTTTTCCTCGGTTCTTTCACTTTACTGGGCTCTTATTTTGCGTCTCTGTGTTTTAAAAGGGTGTGTGAAGCACTGGAGCACAAACACACAGGTAGTGTGGTCTGGTAACAGAATTTAGCCAGAGGCAAAACTGTGGGAACTCCCTCACGCTGTCCTCAGTGATTACCTCTGTTTCCCACAGACACACACACACATACACACACATGTGCTATGGCAAAGAGGCTATTGTCACTCAGACACACTAAACACATTATCTGAGAGGATGGCCCTTTTTTCCAACAGGCTGGAAAAGTGAAGAATGGGGCGCGCAGGAAGGGGGAAGAGAGAAGGAAGGCACACAAAACCATGTCAGACCCCTCCAGGGCAGATTTTGCATTGTGTAATACAATCTTGTGCACCCCACCCATCTCGATCCCTTTAAACTCACTCTCTCATTCTCCTTCACACAAAAACTACTGTCTAAACCAGCTCAGCAACACCATTACAGCCATACAATACACTTCTCACATTTTTTTCCCTCTCATTAACGCTTCATGTGTAGAGTTGAGAGGGAAATACCATTACTTAATCTTCTATTCGTAAAATACAATGTAAGTTCACATTATTTGTAAGAAAATCTCTCCTGAGTCTTTGCTTGTACGCAGACTAGCATGACTGCAACCAAGCTAGCAAAGTTTAAAAGCTTTGTTTATATTACACTCAACGAACTAAGCATTAGACGGCTATTAGACATCTCGTTTTTTTTTAGAACTAATTTCAACCGTATAGATGCTGCATACTTTTAGACGGAATCTAGACATTGTACTTTAACCCATTATTCGATAATTATTTATTTCAAAAAGCAACTGTGAGTTGCATAACTGATCTCCAAGTACTTAAACAAAATAATTATGATAGCCGTTGAACAATATACAGTGTAGTATAGATATAGCCCAGATTTAGATTTAGTCTAAACTTAGTCTAAATTTAGACATCTAAAAAAATGTTCATTTTTAGACCTGTGGTAGCCTGATTTTAGACCAGTCGTTTAGGCTATATTTAGACATCTATTAGACCTCTTTCAGACCAAAAATGCTCAGTGGGAAGAATTAATGCATTCACAAAGTATACATATCTCAAGAATTGAAGTCAATGAATATGGTAAGTTCAACAAAAAGAGGAAATTATGTATTTTCTAGTTTGCTGAGGGAACAGGAGTGCAATGCTTTCAGGTGTTTTGTTTTCAACATGTCCAATTCATTTCTTTTCTTTATTTTTTGTTTCTTTTGCAAGGTTTTAAGCCATTGTGGTTATTAAACTAACAAAAAAAAATCAAATTCAAGATAGACGAAAATCATAGCTTTGAAAGAGCCATGTTAATAGATAAAAACAACCAAGTTTAAGGTTATGAACATGGTGTCTCTTGAGAGCGGGTAATGGGTGCTGGGTCTAGCACAGCAGTTAACCTTTTATGTACTTAAAACACAAATATTCCTTTTTCTAAATTGATCGGTACCTTTTAATTATTATAATTTTGTACTACTTTTTAAATTGCTACCAAGAGATTTAAATGAATTTTACGACAATGCAGCTGCTGCTTTTACTTTAACCATCTAACCAACAATTCTCAGGAGCCTTGTATTCCTGCCTGCTGTGCCCATTACACTGCAACACCACACTGTTCCCCAGGGACTGTTTGCAAATCATTAAAACTCCATTACAAACTGAAAATAGGGCAAAGAAAACATGTTGAATTTTAAAGTGAGTTTTTGCTTACTGAAAAATATGTGCTCAGTTTGTTATATAATACCAGCAATATGTGTCAAATAATGGGACAGGGACAGTAAAAAACTAAAAAAAAAATTGTATGATATTTAAAAAAACCATAGATGAACATCTTCAAACTAACTTGCAACAGGTCAGTAACATGGCCTGGTATGAAAAGAGGATTCCAGAGAGGTCAAGACGTAACGGTGTGATGAGGGTCATCACTCTCTGAAAGACTTGCATGAGCAAATAGGAACAAGTCCAGAATGACACTACTCAACACAAAACTGTGGATATTTGGAACATTTCATCATCAACAAAAAACATCATTAGAAGATTTAAAGAGATTTTTGGGTCCTCAGGTGGCCCTGCAAACACACAAGTGGCTCAAAAACATTGGTGTATATTGACAAATGCTGGTTATAACTGCACTATGCAAAGAAGAAACCACATGACACAGTAGTACCAGGGACTTCTCCAAAGCTGAGCCGGTGTTAGATGGACTGAGTTAAAGTGGATAACTGTCCTGTGGTCTGGCATATCAAAATTTGATATGAATGCTGGGACCTCTAAAGATGGGACCCCCTGTCTTGTTACCAGCACATAATTCAAAGCCAGCATCCACAGGGGTATAGGGATGCATATGTGCTGAAGGTAGAGCTAGTCAGCACATCTGGAACAGTACATCCAGTGCTGAAAAATACCTGTTATGCCGTATAAAGGTCCTGCATATTTCAGCGAGACAATGTTAAACCACATTCTGCATGTATTACAACAGCGGGACTCTGTAGTAGAAGGGTCCAGTTGCTAAACTGACCTGCTTATAGTCCTGACTTTTCACCCGTTGAAAACATTTGCGGCATCATGAAATGAAAAATAAAGCAAAGGAGACCTTGAACGTCTGAGCAGCTGAAACCCTGTTCCTTTTGAACTTGAATAAAAAGAACATTTCTCTCCAACCAGTCAGTTATATATTGATGTTAAACCAAACATGATAAATTGAACTTTGAAAACCACTCACTACATTATTCCTGTTGATGCCCGTACTAATCCCTCTAGCTATACACATTGGTGACACATTCCTGCAGCCTTTTCTGCACCTCATCTTGAAGATGAATCATCAGAGGTTAAGATGCTCATAAAGGAGCAGAACAGAAAAGTAATTTCAGGCTGACTCACCAGACTGTACCTGAGAGGTGTGTAGAGGCAGATAACTCGATTATGTCCTTTTGAAGCGCATTCCCTCTCTGGGTGGGTAAGGCCTACACAGACTTACCACTCAGGCACGCAGGGCGAGGCTAATCCACATGATTGTGTCAGTCAGACACCAAAGATGCTCCTACAGTTGTCAAACTAATGATGTTGCTTTTATTATGATCCAACGAGGGGAAGGAACAAACATGGTCAATAGACACAGAACAGCAGCATAACAAATGCTGCATTAGATGTGGTTGTGGCAAAACATGAGCTGAGATATGCTGTAAAAGCAGCAGAAGTGTAAATGAAATTAAAATGTCTTCTAAAAACATGAAAAAGGGAGCTGTAAAAGCATCAAGATTGCGAATAAAACTAAAATGACCTTTAAAAACATGACTTCTGAGATCAGTTTTGCATTTGACTGGTGAGGAAATTTCCAACTGTGTATAAAATATTTTGAGTCCTTGATCTGACAATCCTGGATCAATATACCCAGCTGAGCTGTGGCTGCAGATTTGTCTCCTCCTAGTGGCTGCACTGAGACAGTAGCTATGCACTTTTAATTTAATGTTAAGTTTTGTAAAAGTCAGATGCTGCAAAAGGTTCTGTGGTCTCAAACAAGAAAACAAAGTTTGTCATGAGGAAGCTTTTTTTTCTGTGTATTAGTAACAATGTCTATTTACATTTTGAACAAACTGACTCAAAGGTGAAAACACTTCCACTTCAGTTTTTTTTTTTCTTGAAGTGTGGAGATCAATGCTTGAACAGTCGGTGTCTGGACACAGTTTAGGCATCAACATAGAAACAGTGTAGATTAACTCAATTGGTTATGCATAAATCCAAAGAAAATAAGATAAATATTTCATCATGTTTATATTTAACATGCAGGCAGCACCAGTCACATCCGTAGCTTATGTGAGTCTTTCAGATATCCGATGAACTCATTGTGTCTCATCTCCGTTTTAACAGTTTTAGTTTGAGTACAAAGAAATGTCCCTCTGAACAATTAAGCAAATATAACAATTGCCTTTATGCAAATATATAGCTGCTGAGTGTTATATGCAAATATACAAATGATGATTGGATCCAACAACTTTGGGGTCCTCATTTAAAAGCAGGTCGACGAGGCCTGGCGAAGATGTCACACGGTTGAGGATCATTGGCTCAGAGCTCTGTCATCAGGAGGGCTCTCAGTATCTTCTCTCTGTCCAACCTCATCTCCTCTCCACTGAAAACACAGAGAGATAACATTTTGTCCAAGAACGATTGATTTTTCCGCAGTAAAATTGTGACACTCTAAAAGATAAACTCCTATTTTTATGTTTATCTTCACACAGGATTCCCCAAAACTCTTGCGTAGAAGTTTTAAAAAGTTTGCAAGACTATTGAGGGGAAGCTTGAGCAAGTTTAAAGGGATATTCCAGCGTAAAATTAATTTAGGGTCAAACACACCATAACACCGAGTTAGACACCCCCTCGAGAGATTAATGTTGCTGACCGCTTGCTTCTCTAGTTATACCAACTTTAGTAAAGACCGCACGATAGCAATACACAGTGATCTGAGGAGCCATAAACAAACCTCAACCAAAACACCACTGTATAGCCAGTAATAATGCTCAGAACAGCACCTAACTTCAACAACAGGACATATAGGGTCTCAGCCATAGCACTAGTCAGCAAACATCTTTTTAACTTTGCCTGGTTTCTTTAGCAAAGAGACTAAACACAACTCACCTACTCTCTTCCAGCAGCCGCTTGTTTGTAGTGAGACCTCAGGCCAATCCTTTACGGACTACAGCGGGGAGACGCAGCTCAAGGAAGAACATTTATGAACATTTCTTCACGGAAATGCAATCAGACCGAGACGCTAAGGCAGAAGAACTACAGCGTCTGCAGTGCAAAATGATTAATATGGTGATTATTACTTCAAGGAAATGATAAAGTAATGATCATAAATGTTCGACCCTAAATTAATTTTACGCCGGATTATCCCTTTAAGAGTGACCAGGGTGAACATGGAGTGTGAGCGGTGTTACCTGTCATTATGTGCAGCAAGGTAAGGGACCAGGTGAGGGATGGAGCTACGATAGTAAGAAGGAGAGAGGTGGGGAGAGGGCGAAGGAGAGGGACAGCATGGACCACCCAGCTCCAGGGCTGGCATGTTATCCACCTAGAACACACATCAGTGTATACACACACACACACACGAACACAGACAGACACACATTCCTTTTGTGTATTTAAAAGTGAGGCATAGAGGCTAAACTAATGCCGCAGAGGTGTCATGTTGTGCATCAAACAAACATGCGTTCTTTATTCTGTCGTACAAGAGTGTGTGCTACCTGTGGATATATGGACGGCTGTATCTGTTTGTCCAGTGAGCTCGTAGATCCAGACTTCATTGTACTCTGGGAGGAGATGGCTGCAAGTGCTTCTGGGAGGTTATCCTCATCCTCATGGTTGCTGATGAGCAAGAAATTGAGAGAGACTTACACAACCTGCAGCCTGCTCTGTGCAAAATGTCAAAGCGGAGATAGCATTCTTCTGCATTAATCATCTGTTCCCAGAGTGCAGTTCCCCACTCAGAGCGCAGTAATCATAGCTGGTGTGTACTCACAAGCTGAACTGTCTGACTAGTCGTTTTCTGCGGGCGGTGCTTGTGTTGGATTTTGACAGCAGGGAGTCCGGCGTCAGGTTTCGTTCTAGTCGATGAGGCGTTTTGTCTGCTGTTAGACTGGATGCAGCCGAGTCTTGGGATGAGCTCTGATACCTGAAAACCAGAGTTTAAAAAATAGGGGGTTTGTTTTCAAAAGCAGACGCGGAGACTTGAATTAGAAAGTGTAGATAGGATGAGGGAACTGACCTGTCATTGAGGGTCTGGTTTGAGTTCTTCCCTCTAGGAGTTGTTGGAGCTTCCTTCTTTGTGCCATAGGAGAGACGGACACAGCTGTTAGTCTTACTCCACAAGTGTAAGAAAGCGAGGTGAAAGTTTGGTACTCACCCTGAAAGCTGCCTCCATCTGGGCTTTGAGGATGTTACACTTAACATGGTCAGGGTGTATTGCTGGAGACGCAGGAGGGTGTAAAGACTTTTCTGACAGCTGCTTCTCCTCTCCCTGGCAGTAGAACAGAGGAGGAAAGAAGGTTAAGAAACTGGGGCAAGTCTTTATTGTGAGCAATATGGGAAAACAAGCGTACAGGGAATGTCTTTGACCTTGTTGTCCATGTTGATGTGCAGAGAAGGCCAAGGGGCAGAATCCCTTTCTGACTCCAGAGCCTTGAGCAGAGACTGAGAGATGTCCAACCCATCTGCAGGGCACGGAGGGGCTCGACACTCTGACATACACAAAGAGTTTGGGGAAAGGTTTGCAGCATGTGAATTATCAAAATTTTAAAATCTGTTTGCCACCAAAGGTTATTTAACGAACAGGTGGATGTTGGATCAAAACTGTGACCTGTATTAATATGCTAAATGATGCAGATTTTCACCCACACAAGCTACTTTTTACTGTCATTTTTGCACAGAAAGAAAACCTACATTGAGAAAGATCATTTAAAAAAGGGTGGATTATCCAAATCCCAAAGCTTATTATTATTTCCCTTTAAACCCCAGAGGAACAAGAATAAACCTACAATGAAGATGACTAAGATTAAGTTTGTTCTGGGAATACACACAGCTTAGTGTTCAAATCTTTTACATCCACTTTAGACAATGATCAAATATCATAAAACAAATTAAACAATATTCTCTATCCTGTTGTGCCTATTGTTGAAGGCACGTCAAACAAAAATCTGCCTGAATTGAACTAATTCTATGAATGGCAAAGATATCACTCTGTTAAAGGTTTGTGATTACTCAAGTATCTATTTAAGTTGATCTTAAATAGCTAATTTGTGGCTTCAGGTAGTCTCAGGACTGATTATGAGGTGTGTATCTGGAGTTGCAGCCTTTTCATCCTTATAATTCCCTATTTGTTCATCTAATCCTTCGCTACAGCACGGCAAAAATACATTATAAGGTACCAAACATAAACCTGATTCTTCATGCTGAAATGAACACAGGTTTGACAGAGGTATCCAAGCCAGTCATCATGCCCTGACACGAGTTTACAGACACTGTGGTGCAGCTGTTTCAGAGTATATATGGGTAGTTTGTGTTTGATTTGGTTGATGCTGACCGACACACATCATACATGAGTGAATTAAGAGAATCAGCACACTGCACAGTCATGTCAGAGATGAGTTCACAGACACTGGGGTTACTCACTGTTCTTGTGTGTGTGCGTGTGGCAAAGCGTGTCCTGGCTGTGTGTGTGGCGTCGGTGATGGTAGTGGATCTTGCTGGAATACGAAGTCTCATTCTCTTCCACGCTGATCTGGTGGTCTGAAGCAGGACCGCTCAAAGGGAAACTGAAGATGATATGCAATCAAAACAAACTCCCCTGAACAAAAAAGTAATTGAACCTGCTCTCTCACACCATGATAATCCCATTAGCTCGATATTTCTTGGCTCCTGATTATTGCAGCTTTATGACTCCAGGTTTTATTTTTACACATTCTCTAAAGCAAAAATTCCCACTGCAGAATAAAACGCCAATCGATTGCCTGAGCTTGAATTTAAAGAGGACAGATTTTTATACATTTTGCATTAATAAACATGATGTTTATTCGCAAGGTAATATGGCAAAATTCCTAGGCAAAGTGTGATTCAAGTAGAGATTACAGAGTAAAAGGCAATACACAATGAGACAAAAACATTGGCCACATTTTCTGTAAACGCTGGATTACAATCTTAATAACCTACAATGTGTTCACTCTAAATCCTTACTTTTTAAAAGGACAACAACACAGATGCAGGATTTTAGTTCACGCCTCCATTTCACACAGAACGATATGCTATACACATCTCAAAGCAGCTTAATCCCTAAACCAGCATGCAATATATTCCTTCCACCTGCTGAGAATTACCTCGCTCGCTCGAATCACTTTATCTCACCCAGATGAAAGCGATTTGGATATATTAGCTTTCAGAAGAACTCAGAGAAGAGGGACTCAAACGCTAAATACGATGACAAAAATGTTCACCTAAATGAAGAAACCAAACTTCATCATGTAGTGGTGTTTTAGGGTGAATATCAGTCTGAGTTTATGGCATGTAGCAAACAGAAGAGTTGTTGAGTTTGCTTTTTACTTAAAGATGTACAGACCGTTTTTATCCCGCTTGCTTTGTTACAGAAGACGAAACAAAAACGTGACAGTTCTCAGGCAGATTCCTCAGTAAAACATTTTCCATCACGGATTTCTAAGTAGTGTTGTGTGTTTGAACTACATGGACGTGTGAAAATAATAATGCACTCGTAAGTCACTGAATTGACTGATAAGTGCATTATTACAGCAGATTGTAAATCACACTCAATCTGGGGATAGTTTTTATCATGTCTGTGAAAAAGGTCATCTGCAAGAGAAACACAGAGGGACGCATGTTTCTCTATTACTTTCATCTGCTTTACATTCTAGCTGAATCACCGTTACGGCTAACATCTAACCATAAGCTAACAGAAACTAACATACTGTTATTTCAGACTGTTGTTACACTACTGTCCCTTTCACTCGATGTGGTATCTCTTCCCTCATCTCCCCCTTTGTGCCGCCCTTTATCATTCCCCCGGCCCCCTGTGAAGGACTGAAAGTCACTTTTTGAAGCATGTCATAAAGGTGTACACTGAAACACATGAGGGGATGTGACAAATGGAAGATGACAGAGGTAATTAGGACAATGAGCACAGCATTTTTCCTTTTTTGAGTTCATCAGCAGAGCTTCCACCTTTGGGACACCAGTCTGTGTTAAATCTCAGAGTCAAGAGTCAGGCTTTAGTAGATTCAAACAGAGGTCAGAGTGCAGTCATGACCTTATCCCTGTAAACCACACTGATGGATCCCGGGAAGGTGCCGCTGGTTCGCTCAGGGGTGGAGGGATGACTGGATATGGGGCCCGCTGCCACGACAGAAGGCCTGAACATGATGGAGAGATGAGGATCCCACACACACACACACACACACACATGCACGCACACACAAACAAGCATTGAGGCAGACGAGACACACAGATGAGGTTTCTGAGTGACATTACATGTGATGAAAAACAAATGATGTGGAGCAGTAAAAATGGAACAAACGATGAGTGGCTGAACCAAAAGACCGTCAGTTGTCCTGTTATTTGTCTTACCTGTGTGGCGACGTGTGCGCGGAGGGCTGCAGGTACAATGGAGGTGTAAGAGCGGGGTGGGGCGAGTGCCACGGCTCGTGACCAATGGGAATGTTGTGCTGGTACTAAAGGGGAGGAGAGAGGATGGATTGAAAAGACGCTGAAATTAAATGTTGTCAGAGAGCTGGAGCCAGATCAGCAGCTGCAGCATGTGCTTGTGCATGTGTGTCTGTAAGGTTTATTTGAGGTCACTTACTGGATGCAGGCTGGGATCAGGGCTGGCGTGAGATTTAGAAAATAATGAAAATAGTCAGTGATAGTGGATCAGAAAGAACGGCAGATAACATTTATTTATTTAAGCTTTTTCAGGAATGAATTTTTACTTTTCTCAAAGGATTTTTAGGTTTTAGTTTTATTAAGCAGATTATATAGGCCCTTTATTTTTCACTATCTGTTATTTCAGCGGGAGATCAAATGGTACAAAGCCCTGCTCTGTTTCTAACCAGTTCTGAATTTGTCACAAACAAATCAAGTCAAATCAAGCCCATTAAATCCACTGGTAAAACCACAATTGCTCATATCTGGCAAAGGACCATGGGAGATTAAATAAAGAGAGTTTTTTTTTTTTTTACCTAAAATCTCTTCCATGAGATGATGAACTCATCCAACCACACTCATACAAACACAATCAAATAAATGCTTTTGTATGTAGTATGTCTATTATGGTGTGTGTTGTGTGTTGATTTTACCTTATGTGCGGCGGCTTGGCGGGAGAAATGTGAACTGGCAAAACAAGGACGAAATCAGTTACAGACTTGTAGAACATAAGAAGCAATTATGTCATTTCACCTTAATTTATCTGCGTTTTCAAAGGGTTATGTTAGATTAATGTGTTTTTCAGCCCAGACGTTTGGGCTCAGACTAAAACATTCATTCAGTCTTTTGTTACAGGGCTCAGTGACAAACCATCCAACATATAAAAGGTATAAAAGGTGCGTGCATGTCTGCACTGACGGCTCTGAAGTAAATACAGTGTTCAGTCTGCACTTGATCATTCATGTATAATAGATTATGGAGAGACAGAGGCTTGCGGGCCTGTGAAGCTGCTGCGGCTCACAGAGGGTGGGAAGTGTGGAGGAGTGGAGAGTGCTGCAGGTGCCTTTGACAAAGCAGAAAGGTGACACTTAAGTGGAACAACCAGGATCTCTTTTTTGTATGAGGAAATGGAGCTTTATAATTTTTCTGAACCTTATGCTGCTAAACTCTCATATTTTTTAGATAAAAAGTGTCTGAAATGGCTTTTAATCTTCCAGGTCGTGACTACAGGTCTTTTGTTCAAATAATACGATCAATGGTCTCTTTGGATGGAAAATTTCAGTGTTTTAATCACAGTCAATTTGAGTAGTACATGGCCTATCACACCCAGGGGCACTAAGGAGGTGACAGGTACAATGTGCTGATAAGACCCACCTTTGCCCAGTGACTGTGTGCGGGAGGGATATCTCTTGCTCGGCCTTCTCTCAAATGTGCTTGCTCTCCTCAGTCGGCCTCCGTGAGTGGCTTGATACTCTGTCTTACCGCTAAAAAAGACACACATAAAAATTCAGTCCCACCTGCAGCCTTTGAAAAATCCTCGTTTTATAGACATTTGCTCATTTGTTTGTGAATTTTGATCAGTGCCAGAAAATTAAACCTGAAAAAATGTAATCTTCCTTTCAATGTTGAAGCTAATTGGTTTTCTGAGTTTGTTCTGCACAAATAGAAAAATGAAAGAAACACGAATTTAAGAGAAGTAAAAAAAAAAAAAAAAAAAAACAGCTTTCTTTTTAATTCAAAAATTTCAAGTTGCTCCTGTTTTTAGTTTCTCCTCGTGCTTTAGCCCCGCTGCTCTGACAAATGGCAGGACGAGCCCATCATGTGTGAGAATTTTCTTCGGCCGTCTCTGATAATCATCAGAGGTTAAAAAAAACTATATAAAGGGCTTATTTTAGTTGTCATAGGAACAGACCCATGTAACCATAGATACACTGTATCCACAGATAGAAGGGCAACGTTATATGTGACACACTTTCCCCCCTGCGTAGGTCCAATCCACAAACTTATATTTATTTATTTTTTCAGTAAAGTTTCAGCACAAGACACTCCACACTTAACTTAGGGTGAGTCTGTGAAAGTGGTCTTCTTCATGTGCTCCTTTTCAGCTAAGCAGCTCAGTCATGTGTTCCAAGTCGAGGGGCTGTAGCTGTGATTGGCTGCCCACTGTTCCATTACAACCCTTAGCCCTAAGCCACATGTCAGCCCCCTCTATTACCCACTTCTATACACTGATGCGCTCGCTCAATAAATGCATGACAAGACAAAAATAAAAAAAACAGAAGCTCTACCTGAACCTGAAGCGGGACCCAAGCCGTGTGAAGTCGCTGCGGCCCGCCTTCCCTGTGGTTGGCTGACGTAACCGGAAGAAGGCATGGCTCTCCACGGCGCACTTCCACAGGTGTTTGCAGCTCTTGGCGCTGGCCAGCTGGAACATAAACGTGTGCTCTTGCTCCCGACCCTGTGTGGTCAAGAAACAACCTGTTAGCCACCTGAAGTGTGTTTACATGTAAGTGCAGACATAAGTTTGCGTAGACAGAACAAACCTGATCATCATCTTCTACCACGACTAATGTGAGTCGACTCTTTTTAAAGTCAAGCCGAGTGATTTTAGGCCTGAAAGAAGCAAAGAGACACACGATTCAGGGATTCTACATCAGTACCTGAGCATAAAACTAGCAGACAAGTGAGATGATTTGCAACAATGGTTTTAAAATGTACGAGGTTACAATACCAACTTGTGTTTTAATTCAACCCTCAGCTTGAATCCATTATGAATCATAATGAAGTACATTTACATGTGGGATTACTCTTTTGTTGTTTACAGTTTCTCAGTGTTACTTTCTGTTTCCGTTTAGAGAAATTTAACATGATTAATACTCTTTTAAAAGTGATACTTATTACATAATGAGAATGTTTAATGTTATTCTACACTTCTTTATAGGTGTTTAAGATCAAATCATTTATTATGAACAAAGCATTCAATAACATTAATCACAGTGAGTGAGTATTTGATCTGATTCCTTTACCAAACAAAAATATAAGTTAGATCAAATACTCAGAGATCCTGAAGGTCTCCTCTACAAAAACTGCAGCAGGAGACCAGAGACCCCTCCACTCTCTGCTAACACACACACACACACACACACACACACACACACACACACACACACACACACACACACACACACACACACACACACACACACACACCCCAGAGACACTCCCAGTTTGAAGAACGTAAAACCAGTATAGTTGGGATTCTTGCTCTCTTACTCTTGCTTCCTCTTACTCTTTTGTATTCTCTTTATCGTCCTCTTTGTGCTCTTACACTCTTCATGGTCTATGTTTAAGTTTTAAAACTTCAACAATTTTAGCATGCATAGCAAACCAAGATTAAGTCTGTGACTTATATTTCTTGAATTTCTTTAAAGTCATTTTTGATCTAGTATAGACTGACCATTGAGCTTCTTTTTCTTAGTTATCTTAGAATTTCAGAGTTGCCTCTGAATGCCATACAGCGATGTCATCCTCTGAGCCAGAGTTTTGCTGTGGTTTTGCACTCAGGCCTGTGTTCTGTGACCCCTGGACCATCTTTTGTCTGACTTCGGTCTTCTGCTGAGCTGAACCTCACAAACCGCCGGTAGCCTGGACCTTTTGAAAACCTGCTACATCCTCTCCTAGGACCAGCCTCACTTAAGTATGCAAACCTCCAGAGCTCCAAACAGGGGCTGATGCTGTCTCATGATTTCATGATTCAAACAATCACTAATTGGAGTAATCTTAAATTCATCTAAATGTATTTCTACACCGGAGTTAATGTCGGTTAACAAGTCAGAGCATATTCACTCACTATCATAAACTTTATTGATCAAAGCCTGACTCATAATCTTTCATTTATCCATCATGAGTTATCCCCATTATCTTATCCTCATTTATTGCATGTATGTTGTACCATTATTTATCCTGTAATATTCATTTTTCGAAGTTTTTGTCTGTTAGGGTTTTTCCAGAAGTGGAGTCCCTAAAATGAGAATTCTGGCTTGAGATATGAGATTGATTTAAAATTGATTTAAGATAGACTTTGTGTTTGATTTTTGAATCAACATTTGTTTTTCTTTCATTCTCCCACCATTAAAGGTAGGTGGTGCCCCATCAACAAGTACATAAATGTCATATTTTACTTTGCTCTATTGTGAGTAATTATCTCTTTTTTTGTTGTATCGTCCATCTTTAATTATCACTGAGCTTTTGGTGTCTCCTTTGTGAGTGGAGATGTGTTTGTAACTTGGTTATGTATCTGTGCGGGTTTGGTTTGAGCTGCAGCAGAGACGTTATCTTGTCGAATGGAGAGCGCCTCAGTACTACAATATAAAAATACACTTTTAAAAACAACTGGTTTGTCTCCTTTTGAAATCAGTATGTGATGTGTCTGGGGTTTTTTGTGTCACATACTCAACTCATACTCAACATTGTAAAAAAGGTTTTTTAAGGTAATCTGGATGATGTCTTAAAACTTTCCATTTCTCTAAAAGCATAACAGTGCTGATGACTCATCTTGCTCATCTTGGTTTAGATAAAGACTGTTCCATCTAATAAAACTCTTTCTTGAGTTGTACTGTTCTGTCCTCATGATTCACACAACCTAAAAGCTTGTTGGCAGGTGAATTTCAATGAAGGTTACATATGAACTAAAGACACATTCATTGCACTTACCAGAAAAAGAGGCCGATTTTGTTAGAGCCTTCGAACACTAAGATGCCAGTGGGAGTGAGACCTAGTGCGTATTCTCCCCCATCTCTGCCCTGAAGACACAACACCAATGATAAGCTCTCAAACAGACCGGAAATGCAGTGATTCTTCAGGTCATAAAACACAAACACACCTTTACAAAGTGCATATCCACTCCATAAAGCTCCAGCCACTTGCACTTGTTGAGGAATGAGATCTCAGCTTGAGATGGGCTCTGTCCCCTGTGGATTTTAAAATAACACACCATGATGAGTTTTCATGACACAAACATCACCCCCTCCGTCACCTCGCCTCTGACTCTGTGACTAAGACATACATTCACGACACATGACATTTTGTGATCTCCCCTGGTCAGAGGTGTTATCTCTGAGATACACGCTGAGTTTTTGACTTTTCCTGATTCAGACCTTTTCTGTGTAAGGATGGCGGTGAACTCAGCATGGGTGTGTCCTTGTGTGGCTCGGTCATCCCGGTGAAGTGCAGCATATGTGTGCATAATCTAATCCGAGACGGGAGCAGTCGGACTGTGGCTGGGTTAAATACTGCTCGGAATCAATCAAGACCCTCCAGGGATAAATCCCTTAATCCTTCATGCAGGCCGGTGAGAGTGGGGCTGAGGCGGAGGAGGCGGGGAGGGAGGAGAGTGAAATGTAGACGCCCTCATCAGGGGGTATGCTAGCATGGGAAATCAGTGGCAGGATGACTAACTCTCCTCTGTGCTCTTCTGTTTTTGCCCTAAATCGTATCCACTGAGAAAATCAGCCTACTCTGTCCAAATCTCTACTCACCCCCCACCAAGCGTACAAGTCAAAATGTTGATGTGCCTTTTAGTGGTACAATTTCTCCAGTTTGAAATGTTATAGCAGCGACCTGTCACTGAATTCATTAAATCCATCAAACTCACCTCAGCTCCATCCACCTGCTAAAGATGTCCGCCTCCATGGCCTCACTCTGTTTGGGAGTGAAACGAAACTCTGATACCAGAACAGGAGAGTGCTCCAAGGGGTCACAGTCGCCCAATTCACCTAAGTACAGGACAAGCAATTTAGGAAAAAGTGATGCAGACATGAAACAGATGGAGCAGCTGCAAGCCAATGTAAGTGACCCAAACATGTCGAGTGGTTCAAAGGACCAGGTTGTGTTGGAATGGGAAGTCAGCACGTTATGGTGGCCTCTCTGCACAGTTAAAATGTAATCTTACTCATCTGGTTCAGATTGCCATAAAGGTTATAGGGAGGAATGAAAACCTCTCTTTCCAGTCAATATACGGGCAGTTTGCTCTCAGGCAAGTGTAGAGTGGTCTGACACATCTCATGGCCTCCACTCCGAGCCTGAGCTATCAGCTGGCAGATAATACAGTGTCCCTCATCTGGTCTGTTTTAAGTTCACTTGAGCCCAGATCAATCAAAATTTCAATCTTTCTCAAGGCCTCATGGGTTGTGTAATAGTGTCCAAGTGTTCTCATCATTTTCACTTATGTTTTATTCTGAAGATGTCTGATATGGTGAATGTGCAGTATACTGTATGTTGTTAGTGAATGCCATCAATATATGATATGCTTCTCAGTTCACATGAGAGTTTGCACGATTTTTTTTTTAATTATAGACAATAATGTGGAGGCAGCTTAATATGTGCCAATCTTGAATAAAAGACAAATTATCCTACCAGCTAAACAGAGAATATCATATCATATCATATCATATCATATCACTTCATTTCATATCATATCATATCATAGCATATCACTTCATTTCATATCATATCATATCATATATCATATTATATCATATATCAGATCAAATCATATAAAATCATATATGATATCAGATCTTACCAGATCATATTAGATCATAATGTGTTTATCATATCGAAACGTATTGTATTGTACGGTATTGTATAGTATTGTATCATAAGGTATCATTAGTATCATAATATATTGTAAGGTATCATAACATATTGTATTGTATCATATTGTATGGTATTGTATCATAACGTATCTTTAGTATTGTAACATACTGTATTGTATTGTATTATGTTGTATTGTATTGTATTGTATTATGTTGTGTTGTATTGTATTGTATTGTATTATGTTGTACTGTATTGTATTGTATGTATTGTATTGTTTTAATCCCTGTTGAACTACACTGGATCTTATTATATCATATTGTATCCAATAGAATTGTCACTCAAATTACCTGGACAATTGAACTGCATGACTCACTGTACATGACTAACTTTTATAGTGTCATTTACAATGATCCATCACTTGAAAGTTTCTGCCATTGAGGCCATATTAAATTTTGTCGGTATGTGTTGAGAGCTGTACCATATTATGTGATCATCAAATACCGCACTAAAAAGCAGTTGGGTTACACAGCAAGAGACCTTCTAAGAGTTTTAATTGGTTTCATTTTAGGAGCAATAACCGATAGCGGCGGTGCATTCGGGGCCACTTCAACTTTTGAGGCTATTATTCCGAACGTGCATTTGCATTTTATCTCTTTCCTGATTTCCGTATTCTTGACACTCATAAGTGATGTTTTCTGACGCAGAACCTCATTCTGCCTCCTCTGAACTTTCAATCATATCTCTTAACATGAGTCAGTAAAAAGCTCTTTAAAGCAGTTCAGCAGTGTGCTGATGATCAGGCTTCATCTGACATGACCCTTTTGAGTTTCTGCACTTGAAAAAGATAATAACATTGACAAGAGGAGGAAAAAAGGTCCCATCCTTATATCTGGATGTTGAAATTCAAATCGCAGCATAAATGGCCCCCCAACACATCAAAACCCAATCAAATACTTTCGAATCAGTTCTTGGTGATGTGAAAGAAATGTGTTTTATCAGCATTAGCAAAAACAAAATGTACTCGGTGACAAGAAATGAATATGACAAGTCTACTCACTTTGTAAACAGTATGCCCCCAGCTCCACTGAGACATCATACGGACATTTCAACCTGATCAAAGGAAAAGAGACACAGGTGGTGAGCTGCATTCATAAATGTGTTGGAAAGACATTAAAGTAGTGTGTGTTTGTGTGTCTGTATATGTGTGTGTGTCTGTATATGTGTGTGTGTGTGTCTGTATGTGTGTGTGTGTGTGTGTGTGTGAGTGTGTCAAGGAGGAGAGGAGCAACCCTTTTCCTAAAATAAGCAGCCCTCTCTTGTTCCTGATCTTGAGCTTTATAATAGAGCTGGACTCAGGGGATCCGTGGCCCAGATAGAGCCGTGAAGAGAGAGAGGGTAACACACTGTCTGAGTGTGAGCTTGTGCACACAGGTTTGTGTTTATTTGACAAAAAGCTCCACTCAACACAAGTCCCCCGAACTCTACTGTATGTGACCTGTGCAAAGGTAGGTTTGTTTATCATCAGTTTAACACTTTGTCTACACAACTTAAGGAAGGACTTACAGCATTTCACCTTTACACAGAGAGAACTTTGTCAGTAAAGTCTTTTTCTTTTTCAATTAAGTTAAGGTTAGATCTGAGCATGTTGATCAAAGCTTATGAACTTGAAAGGGATGTATTTTAACCCCTGAAAATTACAGAGTTTTACATTTATTCATTATTCATAAGTCTGTTTATTTAATAGAACATATCATATATAATATTCAATTTAACTTTCAGCCAGAGTTGTCTTTTGTATATTTGCTATTTTTTATATGTTTGTAATGTGCGAATATTAGTCTGTTTGATGTGATTGCTGCTCTTGTTTTGTTTTTAGTAACCCGAGGAAATATTTGAGGCCAAGACTCAGTATTTTGTTTAATCTAACTGTGAATGTCATAGTTTATATACAAGCTAGCTCAAGGTATATTTACAAAACAGAACATGATATACTGTATGTAACATGACATGATGATTGGGGGGCTTTTATGCCTCCATTCAAAAGACGGTGTAAGGAATAGAGCACGGAATGACATGTGGCAATAGAAGTGTCAGTCTTGAACCAGCGCCCCCCCACTTAAAGGTCTATAGTCTCTGTGTATGGGGTTTGATTTCACCACTGAACTAAACCAGGTTCCAGCATCAACTACCATGCAAATTTTTTACTATCAAAATAGTTTTTATCCTGGTTGCTATGTGAAGTTTTCTGTCTTTTGTGTTTTTTTCCCTAGCAGGGGTGGACAAAAGAGGTGGCTATGGGTGCCCCCCTGAAATTTGACCCCATGTGACTGCAAAAGATCCTTAACTATTATCATCTATTTGACTCATCAAAGGACTGACTCCTGTTAAAACCAACTTTTTGGCTTGTGTTGCACCAGGCTGCCAGTAACTTACTTTGCATCCCACTGAAGCACATTTGTTTATGTGAGTTTGCACTTTAACTCGTGACTTCAGGCATTTTAGGTCCTGATTAAAAAAAACAAGATTAGCAGATTTGGATGCAGCAACTTTCTTGCATTACTTTTTAAGGAAGATATTTTTAGAAGAGATGATAAGACATGATTATGCTATTTATTCTTGAGAGTGCATACATACTTCATGCCACTCCTGCATAAGCTAGTGTCTCAGTTGGTCCTCCTCTGTTCAAAAGTCTAACAGCGCCCTTGTTTTTCCATGTACACGTGTCTGCGGTTGTATTTAGCAATAATTTACACACGTCAGTTCAAAGTAAATTAATAGGAGGACTTACTTGCCAGACAGAATGTCTTGTCGTAGCTGCAACACAAATAGATACCTGTTGGTTTAAAAAAAAGTAAGAGGCAGAGCATAAATCAATTGAAGTATCTTTGGCTTATCCTCATCTCTGGCACATAATTTGTTTTAACAAGTCTCTGTCCATTTGGCCTTGATTTGAATCTGCCCACAGCAGCAAAGTAATTAGCCTCACATCCCCCTCGGACCTCGGCACAAGGCTTCTGAGAAAACCATGTGTATTGCACTTAGTGTGCATGTGCATGTGTGTGTGTCTGTGTGCGAGGTTTTACCTTGTAAATTCCTCACGCAGGTTGTTTGGCTCCGAAGAGTAAAATTTTACTCTGAAAAACAGTCTGTATGGAGGCCCATCTAAAAGAAACAGAAACAGAGATTTAAGAGCACCAAAAGACACAAATGCAGGAGGAAGATTCAGGCAGTATGTTCCCAAAATCATTTCAATCAAATCGTATTTAACTGGATTATTTTATCCACCTTTTCTAATTTCTTGTTTTACCAGTTATCTATACCAGGCAGGTCATAAATCTTTATTCAACCTGCTTTCATGCTTCTTCCAATCTTTCCTGTTTTACTTCAACATCCATCAGACTTTCTTTTACATAATCTACTCAATGAAAAAAGGAGCAGGAGACAAATAAGACATTAATTCATCCATTCTTTCCCCTGTTAGGAGGTTGTGAGCAAACAAAGGTACGGCTCCTAAATGCACCTGTTAATCACCATGTCAACAATGGATAATGCAGCACCTGCTCCCCGCTCACCTGCTTCTGCGTGCACATACATTACACTGCACATTTTACGGCTCACAACACAACAACACATTACAAAGCAAGCCTAATTGGAAAATGAGTGAGTTGAACATACCTCTGATCTGTTTCTTTATAAACTTAGACATGTCCAACCAGTGCTATAAGAGATAGAAGACAACTAGGATGAAAATGAGGTGCATTAGATTAAAGCCTGCTGATGTGGAATTAAAAGCTTGTTACTCACTGAGACTTGTTCTGTGTCCATGTACTGCAACCCAAAGTAGTCTGTCTCAACCAGATCGATGTGATACATGATCTGATCGAAAAGGTCCTGGCCTTTGGATTTACTCTACAAAAGATCAGACAAAAGACAAAAGGTTTTAGCTTCATGTGAGTTCAAATAACACCCTGTCAGGGGTCATTAGCACGTCAAAATAGGTTTTCAGTTCACGTTTCAAGCTGTTTTGAAAAGTACATTTGCTAATTGTTTAATTCAGAATGTTCCAGAATCACTCCTATGCCGAAAAAAACACCCCAGCCCCATTGTTTACTATACTCTTGGCACTGTCTGTTGTACTTGTAACACAGCATCAGAGCTGAGCAGATTTATGCAAGCAGTTTCAATGTATTGTTTGTATTGTATTCAATAACACTGTTGTTGTCAAAGAAAGCAGACTGATGGGTTTCTTTGTATAATCTTCATGCAATGCCACATACTGGTCAGGCTCCAGGATTGTGGATCAGGATCTTCCCTTGACTGATTGTGTCTTTGAATCATGTAGATAGAGAATGAAAACAATCAGGAAACAGGCATGCTGTTCATGACGTGAGCAAACTGGCTGCAAATATGAAAGTGGTGTTTATATCTGTGTGATAGAAAGAATGTGAACATGATCCACAGCATTTAAGTGCGGCGACTACAGCAACATTTTGTCCCAAACTTCAGCATTATCCTTCTTAACACCCTGTGCGAAGAACTCCCTCCAGTCTGACCCATATAACAAACAGTGGGTGTGTAGAAAGATAACAACCTTGTACTTTGGATCCTGATAACCCATCTAAACTTCCTGTTGTGTGTATGAATGAGCAAGGAAATCAGGGGTATTAAGAGACAGGGGACAGAAAAAACAACCTGAATGCTCTTGCTTGTTCTGCAGCAGGCAATCATAGCCACTATCAAACACAGAGAGCTGATATTGTTCCTGTGTGTTTTTTTTCCATTTGTTTTGTCTTCACTCAGCCTGAAGTGACAGACTAATGAGCTTTAATAGACAAGTTTCGCTCTGTTCAGTGCACCTGACATGAACAAACTTGTTCCCACACACCTGTGACTAAGCCGGCCAGCCTGACAAGCCTTTTGTCATTTCATTATTGAAATGGTAACACCTCAGAAGAAGCTCTAGCTGTGTGTTGTTGCTGTAATCCTCCTGTGGGTAGGTTTGAGACATGCTCTCTCTACAATGTGTTCACAGTATCCGCTCAGACTGGAGGTGACGCATGCAGGGTACAGCTTCAGTGACACACACACACAACCTTTGAAATGAAAACATCTTTCCGAGGAGCACTTACGCACAAATGCCCACACACTCGCTCATCAGCCCACCTGCCCCCTCGCACGCTCGTGGTGCTTGTCTGTGATACAGAGTCCCCATAGTGGAAAATCAGATCTGGGAGTCAGGGAGCAGAGGGAGAAGGACGGGGATGGATGGATGGATGGATGGAAGGATGGATGCTGGGGGCAAGGGAGGAGAAGAAAAGACGGGGAGTGGAGTGTGTAAGAGTAAGATGATGAGCAAGGGGAGCTAGCCACAGAGGGGGTGTGAAGGAGATTGGGGAGGGGGGGTGGGGGGTGCCAGAGGATCAGATACAGGAAAATAGAGGGAAGAAGAAAGTGAGAGGGAGATGCTGTGGGAGAGCAAACACGAGGGGGCAGCTTCAGGTCTGTATTTAGATTTCCCTGCAGTCAGAATGGGGAAGAGATGTGATGGATTGGCTGACCATAACACCATCTGAAGCATCTCTTACTATACGCTGAGAGGCACACTCGGCAATACACACTCATGCAATATAGACAAGTGTGGTTCCACAGGCGGTCGGTGAAACTCTGGAAACTTATCTGATCAACGCGTTCTAGAAAAACAGTTTACAAACTTAAAATGGTCTGCATGATTGATTATTTTCCACTGCTTCAGCTCTCTAAAGAGGTCTTGAAGTTGATCATTTTTTGCAGTCAGTCCAAAACTCAAGAAATTGGAGTTTTACTGATTCACTGCAAAAAATGACCCCCCCTTCAGAAATGAGAACCAGCAAGTTTTGAAAAGTTTGGTTGAAAACAAAACATGCTGCTGCTATTTTCTTCTGCTTAAATCAATGTGAAACTACTCACTTGAACAATTGTGCCAGTCAAGACATGATTGGTTCAACTTTAAATGAACTCAGTTGTCTGCTTTTATTTTGGACCTGAAAAGCTGAACATAAATGAGAAACAAATCTCCAGGTCCAGCTGGATAATAGCCTAAATGACAGGTGGCCAATCATATTCAGGCAGTAGTGCTCTTGGACCTTCAAAACCCCCTCAATGTCCTCAAATGGATCCCAGGACCGCACTTTGACACACACTGACCTACGCTACCACCTATAGTCCTGCTGCTCCATGCACTTTGTTTACACACTGTGCCGGCCACTGTAAACACAGCGGACAGGCTTCAGCGCACTCACAGGCAAATCCACATTGACATCCGAGCCGTCCAGCAGCAGCACGCGGCAGGTGATGGTGGTCCTCGCGGTCCCTCCCGCCGGGATGTGGACCGACGCCCCTCCGGTGACCACAGCGGGGGCATGGACGACCTGCTGCTGATGGGCCAGCAGGAGGGGGTTCCCGGCCACCCCTCCACCCCCTCCTTCTCCTCCTCCTCCTCCCCCTTTCCCGTCCTGTTCGTCCCTCTCTCTCGTCTGGAAGCGGCTCCTGGAGCGGCGGCTGAACGTCCGGCGCAGAAAGCCCATCATCTTCCTGATCCACGAGGCGAGGAGGTCGGCGTTGTGTCCGTAAAAACTGCTCCACACTACAGCAGCCTGTGCAGCCGGGCTCCTGCTCCTGCTGCCGCTGCTGCTTCTGCTGCAGCTGCTGCCGCCGCCGCCTCCCCCTCCTCGTCCTCCACGGGGCGAGGAGTCACTTAGAAGGCACGGAGGAGACTTCAGGGCTGCCGATCGCTCCTCAGGCGGGATGTCGGGTGCAGAGGGGGCACCCCGGTCGCATACTAATGAAACTAACCCAGATTGATCGCAGACGAGCCAACCAGTTGATTATCTCTCATTCGGCCGGGTGTGGACGACAGGACTGTGTTACGGAAATACAAGCAGCCCTCCTCCACCTCCTCCTCCCCCTGTCCTGTCCGCTCTCGTGCACCTGCCTCCTCCTGCTCTGCTCGCTGTTGCGCACCGACTCGAAAATCCCGGAGAATTCCCGTCCGACGCTCCGCAGCGGGGTCTCCCGAGTCACACGAGTCCAGGGAAGGAGAAGGAAAGTCTTGACACCTCTGGCCCAGGTCGGACCCTTGGTGGTTGGTGTGGTGTGTGACACCGGCAAACCGAAACTGGACTACCTCGCTCAGGTAAAAGTCAACCAACGAAACTGGGCAAACACAGTGATCTGCGCCTGCGTAAAAACCCAAGCGCAGAACAAACTTCTGTTCCTCCTGACACAACGACCCATCAGAGGCAGACAAGCAGCGCCACCTGTCTGTCATGAGCCCCGTCTGGCGTGGGAATATTTCAGAGCAGATCATTAGAATGATTCCCAAGGTTGGGTCCAAGGTGCCCCAAGGGTCGTTAAGGGGTTAGGTCAGTGGTTCTCAACTGGTGGGTCCCGACCCAAAAGTGGGTCGCGGACACGTTCTGAATATTTATGAGATATTCGATATTTTCAGTAGTTGTATAACTTCAGTAGTTGTCCTCATGTCCCCTTCATGTGCTCTGAAATGCACTTAACTCAATAAAACAAGTGGATTTATGTTAAATATTAGAGTCTTTCAAGTTTGTTTTTTTTTTTTAACAAAAAGTAATTCACTTGGTTTGAATTCTATAAAAGTGGGTCACCACTTAAGGACCATGGGAAAATGTGGGTCCCAGAGTGAGACCAGTTGAAAACCACTGGGTTAGGTGGAGGAGATTACAGCTGCAGACTGTATGTCCATCTCTTTATCAGTGTATTTAACTCTACACAACCCCTCAACATCTCTTTGGCACACTTAAAAGTGTCATCAAAGTTAATCTGATAGCCTTACTTTTAGTGGCTGCTGTACTTAGAGATAAAGAGTCAAAAAATATTGATAGCTTTAATTTTATTGCATTAATTATATATTCATATAAACATAGGACTATAAAACAAACACAGGTTTAAGGTTGTTTTTGGAGGATGTAGCCCTTTAATGCTTGAAACCACAAATCATGGCCATAAAATTCTATTTTTTTGAAGCTGATATTAATTTTTGTTTCACTTCCTACTGAAAACCAAAAAAATCAAAATGTCCTTAAAATTTTGCAAATATATTTATTTATCTTCTTTGACACATTAGATGTTTTTGGAATCTAATAAACTACAAGAGGACATTTTTATCATTTATCTGTATTCAGGTGTTTTTTAGTAATTTGTTGATCATATTGATTCGTTAGAAGTATATTAATGTATCAAATATGATACAAAAGGCATTAGAGGGTTAAATCTTTTATTTTGAAACGTTTAATGGCTTTAAGAATAAAAAAACACCTTTCCAAATCTATAACTTTACCACCTGCAGCTTGCATGACAAGCAGTTGAAGGGGAAAAACCTTCGACCAAAATAAATGTCTTCCTCAAATATAAAAATAAATCGTTTCAATGACCCCTTTTTAAAATGTTCATCTAGAGCATCCTTGATAAATGATGAGAGGGACAAAAAGGCTGTTTTTCCGAAATAAATCGTGAAGCTGAGCGAGACTAGTGTGCAGGTTTTTCTCTTTCAAGGCTGTACTTATTTTTCACATTTCAAAAAAATAAACATGCCCTACCTGAGGACATCTATCTGTCTGAATCAAAACATTGAATATATACTGCACATCCTACTGCCACATATTAAAGAATATTGTAAACCCACGGAGACACCAGAACTCTCACAGCAATACTCTTTTAGTTTGGTATCTTTCTGTAAGTCACGATTTAAGAGTTTGGGTTGATGTGATTCTGGGATAGTTTCACTGATATGATGCCAGCTTTAGAGGCACTCAGCTAAAGGTTAAATCAGCAGACTTTCATTGCAGTGAGCAGCCTCACTCTACGAGGAAGTGTGAAAAAGGCTTGTACAGCCTTGAGGACGGCAAAGAATCTTAATATAAAGTGACAAATACCCATTTCATGATCTCATTTATAACATTCTCTATCAAAGCAAGTGAAGGGCGCAGACACGTCAGTATAAATCAGTGTTTATTTAGTGTCTTAATAATTTAAGAGTGTTGAAAAGATGGTTTGATACTTCTCTGACTACACCACTAAAACCTTTTTAAATCTATGATCCAAAGCCAGCCTTGCTCTCTGTCTTTTGACACACAGATAGACTGGAGATGATTAAACACTCCGGTCTTTCTCTGCTGTCTGGTTTGATAGGAGGCATCAGTCTATGGCGCACATAGCTTGATAAGCAAAGGCAACATTCCTGAGTGGCCCATTGGACAGAAATTAGCAGCTCACATCCATCTCACATCAGTCTCTATGGAGACAGCAGCCTCTAGAAGCATCATTTAAAACAAAGGCCGTCTAGGTGTTGAATCTAGGCTACACAGATCTCAGACATCTATGCTCTGAAGCTAGTTTTACTCTCATTATCCAGTCTGTGTTAGAGACCCAAAGGCAGGACAGAGGTTAAACTTTAGGGGTCCCCTCTGTGGAGGTCACCAGTGATGACCTGAGGCAGAAACAGTGAGTGTGTCTGTTGTGGTCCTTTTGCAGATTTGGGTTACGGTGCTGTTGATCCTCCCTGTTTCTCTTTGTAGACTCGTACAATGGCCTCGCACACAAACTGGAACTGACACTGAAACGCATGTTAGAAAAACATGATTAGTTCATGGATAACATTGCTGTTTTTAAAACAGTAATGCCAGACAAAATCTAAAGTAACACTTTGACTTTTAATCCTAGTCTCATCGAAGAACTCAACAAAAAAATCAATCTTGATAAAAGCCTTCCATGACAGCAAATGTAAAGTATGGCGTCTTCTGTATCAGAGCTTTATCTATACAAAAGCGACATGAACTCAGCAACAAGCAGCATATTTGCATTGGTGTTTCTTCATCTTATAGAACAAGCCAAAAGTTGTTTATTTAAGTTAACTCCAACCACACTATGTTCCTGTAGTGAGTAGAACACACAATGCAAAAACTGTAAGACTTGAAGTCTCCTGTAATTCCACATTTTCTGCTGCATTTACAACAATACTCTTCAATGTCTGCCCGTTTAGTCTTCAACCATGCCAGAAGCTCTTCGCAAAGGTATTTATGTCTTTGTGTCGAATGACCCTTTGAGCTACGCTACATTCAACATGCTCACAATGTGAACGCTAACATGCTGGTGTTTAGCAGGTTTGATGTTCACCTCATTAGTTTGGCATGTTTGTGTGCTAAACGTTGTTTAATACATTTTTACACAAATCACATTTACACATCAGCTTCTCAGAGATATGGTCAGTGAAAGCATTAAAACATGATGTGCCGAGCTTATAATAGAACTCAATTTGAAAAAGGGGAAGATATTTACAGTAAATAGAATCAGCAACTGGGAAGTAAACACCAAAAAAGGCACTAAAGCCAAACACTAAAGTTAGCCTGCTGGCATACTAATGGGTAGCATGTTACAATCTCATTGTAAGTTTTTGCATGCAGTTGCTTTATAAGTCGCTAACCCTGGAAAACTCAAAGGGCAAAAGGTTGGATAATAAAATCTGTGCTCCAAAAATCATCTGAATCAACTTTTGTCTAAATAAACAACATATATTAGACAAGGCAACTGGGAAATTCCATCTGCCGGGGGAGAAAATGTCAAATGATCACAGGCTTTGAAACAGCTACCAAGGGAGCCTGGCAGATTGACTCACAAAAATGATGTTGGATATGGACCAACACAGTTCTGGCTTCTTTTTCTTTTCTTTTAAAGGAATCTGACGATGACAATGAAAACACAAAATAATGCCAGGTTCGTTATGAGACACAGGAAAGGTTTGCCCTCCAAGTGTGCCTGTTTTCCATTCCTCTCAAGTGACACAAACACGCAATGGAAACCCGAGGAAGCTTTCCATCAGCACAAAACATCAGAGAGAAGAAGACAGGATCCCTTTTCAAAATAAGGGTGATAGTGGTGGTAGAGGCAGGCTGCACTGGAGGGCTGCCATGTTCTCTGAGACAACTTCTATCAGAGCAATGGATGACCCTTTCCTCTGACTTGGCAGATATCACTGAGAGGCTGCAGAGCGCAGCTTCAAGACCTCAACTTTCCTCTTTGAGCACATCAACCGCTAGTGTTATTTTGCAGAAGTAACTAACTAACAAAGGTCTGAGAGGATCATCTTAATTAAAAAAGTGTCGTACTGGCCTCCGAAACAGAACTTCTTGACTTTGTTTGTCAACATGGGATTTTTAGAAAAACTCCTATCTCAAGACTGATTACCTCACTTTGACCATATTTACCTGAAGCGCAGACCTCCACCAAGCAGCTCATGTCCCCCCTTAAACAAGAAATGCCCTGACCAGGATTCGAACCCAGAACCTTCTGGTTGTGAGGCAAAAGTGCTAACCACTACACTACTGTGCCGCCAATTGGTTATCTTCCAGCACTGAAAATTCCAATGACACCCTTATTTTTGTGTGTTCTGGATCACAGTATCCAGAATTTTGTCCGGATCACCACCAAAATTTAATGTATTTAATCCTGGGACTGAGACGCACCTCTGGTGAAAATTTCAGGTCAATCCGTCTGTAACTTTCTCCGTAAAGTTGCTAACAGACAAACAAACAAACCAACGCTACCGAAAACATGTGAATTCTGACAGTTGTAACTGACCGAGAAAAGACATTTAGCATAAATACATGACCAAAAGTGACTCAGCCGTATGCATGTTCAATTCCGCCACATTTTTCTCATTAAACAAATCTGCATTTCACAAGGCAAAACAGTATAAATATATAGTCAATATTAGGGATGCACGATATTTATCGGACCGATAAAATATCGGCCGATTTGGGGGGAAATTACGTCATTTTTTATCGGTCCGATAGGTGCATTTTTCCGATAGAAAGATCCGATATATTAATGAAATTACGAGTAACGTTTGCAGGCGGAGTAGCCGCCCGTCCGAGACGCGCTGGTTACGACGTCTATAGCGCCTTACTCGCAGGTCCCAAGCCTGACCCCGTCACTACCTGACAGATAATAAAATGTCTTCACCAGCATGGTCGTTTCTCTCAGTGGCAGAAGATGACAACAGCATTGCTATATGCAAAACCTGTTCAGCGAGGATTCCGAGAGGAGGAAAGAAGACGTCAAGTTTTAACACAACGAATCTGATAGCTCATCTGAAAAGTCGCCATCGCGGCGGAGCGGTATTAAAAGAATATGAGACAGCCGCCGAAGCTGCTAGCGGTACTAAAGCTAAGACAACAACACTACGGAGGATCGATGTCCCCATTCAGCAGGCGTTTAAAAACGGCAAAAGCTTCTCAAGAGACAGCGAAAAGGCTAAAGCCATTAACGACAAAGTGATGGAGTTCATAGCGGTCGACGACCAGCCTTTTTCCGTCGTTGAGAACCCGGGTTTTCGTAAGTTAATAGCACACTTGGAGCCACGTTACACTCTCCCACTCTCTTCTTCTCGGATGTGTCTCTTCCTGCACTCTATGATATTGTCGCCACATACATTCACAACCTGATCGACAAGAACGGACTACACGTGAGTTTTACCACAGACATATGGACGTCAGATGTTACTCCGGTCAGCATGCTAAGCCTAACGGCTCATAATGGCTCCTTTACAGTTTACAGTTCTGTTGACCAGTTCAGGGGATCAAATGAAGTTCTGCTTTTTGCTTTGTTATTGTTATTTATAGCAAATGACCACATTTGAAGAGCCAAAAACTTTTGTTTGTTGTTCTAGATAGGCCAGAGCAACAAAAATATCAGTTTTCAATCACTGCATCCTGCACAAACTGCAGATTATATGAAGATTATAATAAATGTAAAAATATGAATTTATCGGTTATCGGTATCGGTATCGGCCATGAGAAGAAGAAAATTATCGGTCATCGGTATCGGTTGAAATTTTTCATATCGTGCATCACTAGTCAATATATCTGCTTTGTGAATGCATGTGCCCACCAACTAGTCATATTTCCATGTTTTCATCTATCAGTGTTCCCCACAGCAAAACTAGGTTACTGTGGCTATGACCAGGGTTGTATATTAAAGAGGCCTACATACAATCAGCAGAGGTTGCACCAAAGTCTAGAATACACAGGAGAAACATGACAAAGATGACCCTGTCACTCATTGTTTCTCTGTAAAACACATGACATTGTTTTCAACAGCAGAAAAACAAGTATTTCAGGGCTGAATAGATAACCACTTTCACAGGAATGGTCAGTCATGATGTTAAAGCTACTCTGACCTTTAGCCACCAAAATCTAACCAGTTCACCCTTGAGTCTACATGAAACTATTTGTGCAAAATTAGAAGATACTCAAAAGAATGAGACGAGGATAACAGACAGATTTCCTGAAATTAAGGATGACAAAATTGAATTAAACATTAGGTTTGGGGTCAAAAATTGTCAACACATCATCTAATTAGACACAAGTGTGAAATTATGATCTAATTCACTCATGAAAAAAACATTGTTCCGTTTTTCACAAAACCGAGAGAAAGTATGCCTTAGTTTTGGAGACATGTCCTCCAGGCCTTCCACGGAAAACACCTTCAAAGAGTGAGACGCAGGCATGTTTGAAACAGGTTAGAGACTAAAATCTGGAAACACAATGCCACTGGGTAGGGCTGGAATCTGTGTGGTAGCACCGCAGGACGCTACTCAAGTAAACAACAGCGACAGGAAGTATTTTCATAAATCGTTTTCTGTCTCTGTACCGTTGTCTGAACCATCATGGCTCGCTGGTCTCGTAGTTTTTTGACAATGTCCAGTGGGAACACCGGCTGACCCTGGTCCAACAGAGTCAGTGCCGTTTCCATGGTGATCAAAACACCTGTGCGTCCAATCCCAGCACTAAAAAAAAATAATTTTATATAAGATTAAGAATAAAGAAAAGTAGAGGAAATGATGGCAATGCTTAATTAGAAGGAGAGAGAGTGGGTGAGTGAGTCATGTGTGTTACCTGCAGTGTACCATTAAAGGCTCTTCACCTTTCCTCCTCTCTCTCACCGAGCTGATGAACAGCAGGAAGTCCGATGGGTCATCAGGTACGCCATGGTCTGGCCACGCGACATATTGCAGGTGTGTGACTGCACGCTCCTCTCCCCTCTAAAAACACACACACATGCACAAAAGGCAGACAATCAGAGAGATTTATAGCACTGCATAACCTGTATTTAGAATAACAAACCTGAGACTCCACTACATACAGTGCTGCAGGTTTAAACACAGGCATCATTCAGTGTGCCGTACAACAAACACAGAGCTGAATAACTGAGCAGGTGAGCAGAACAAAAACGCACGTGACCAGCAGGTGACACAGAGATTAGGATGTAAGGAGGGACACGGAGAGATGAAAAAAAGAGAAACAGGTGCAAAGTAGAGAGGATGGACATGAGTCAAAAAAAAAGTGAAGGCAGGGAGGAGAACGGCTGAGTTTTTAGTTTATACTGGTCATGTGGTCCATGACTCCATGCAGGGATTAACTCGCTCTGCCAGAGGAACAGATGGGCCCACACAGCAGTAACTGTGTATGCATGTGTGTGCATTCTGACTTAATGCCTCCTTAAGCATGAGATGTTTGTTTACCTGTCTGCAATCATAATTAACAGCTGCTTCTTAATCATTACAGACTTTGGGTCAACTCAGTAAAACCAGCATCACATAAAACCTCATTTTCTCACACGCACCTTCTTAGAGGTGAGCCTGAGGAATCTGTTAGTACACACTAATTCTCACAACCTCCCACACACCTAACCATCCACAGGGAAGTGACCGTATGTTGGCTGAAGATTGGTCACTGCCTGTGGTGAGATCTGTTACGTGACATATGGCAGGAACAAGGCACATGACACTCGAACATACAAACAGAAATGCTCTGTGCTGTGAGGCCACGCACAGGACTTCCTCATATTTGTTGTGAAAAACTTTCCATCTTAGGACCAATTTTTTTTCAGAGTCAAATGATCTGCCAGCTATTTCCTCTAGTCCCAAAATAAGTTGGCCAACATAAGAACTGAAAACAGAGCCAAAAGGGATGTCAAATGGCTTTTTTTAAGTCTTACCAAAATCCCCAAATCCTTCTGTAAATTCTGTAAAATGATTCAAGTATTAAAGAAAAGCAACATATTTTCTGTTATCCATTCACATGACATAGGAGGATGTGTTTTCTGATGTACCTGTGTGTGTGTCAGAGTGAACTGTCTTGTCACGTACGCCAGGTTACACTCCTCTGAGTGACACTTCACCCGCATGTGCCCATAATCCTTCACTTCAGGCGGATGCGGCCAGTACTGGTGGCACTTGGTCTGCAAGCGTATGACATCAGCAACAAATTACATTACATGTGATGTGAGTCATCAGTCAGGAAACAATTTACTGCCTCTGCTGCGCTAGCTGAGCTCAACTCTCATGAAATCAACTCAAGTTCAGCAGCACAGTGTGTTCGAGCCCTGAACAAGAGATCTTCATCAGGAGCAGAACGTGAACTGTTTTCATAGTGTGTGTGTGTGTGTGCACATGATCCTGAAGTAGAGATGAACTCAAGGACTACCGTCAGGAAAATGATCAATTAATGGAAGCATCTGGTAACCAAGCAACAGAGACGGAGACATATTCGTTCAACAAGACCTTGATGTCTCGCTGCGTCTTTGTATCTGTTTTCACCCTCCGATGATTTATCTCACAGGCATCCTGCTCACACTTCATATTAAGCTTTCCTTTCTCTGTGAAGCCCTGTAATTACTCACAACTGTGTACGTTTATTATTATTGTGTCCAAACATCACCACAGAGCCTCCTTATTACGGTAATAATGCACCAGATAACAAGAAGCAGCATGTAATGATGTGCACAGTAATCATTATGATAACACTGCTGAGATTGAGCTGTTTCATTTCAAGTGTCTCTCCTGTTGATATCTCCTTCCTGTCAAAGTATCAACATGTTAAAGTATGTATACCCGTCCCCTCTCTGTCAGAGTTGTTAGCATGATGATGGTGTGTGTCTGCTGCTCCCATACAGTTTGCCAAAAGTGAGTGCAGGTCTGTGGCAACGGACCCTGAGCAGCAACATAACGTAAACATACACCAGACACTGGAGGCGCCACCTAAGAGACAAACACACACACAAACACACACATCCCAACACAAAGAGGATGAGTTTACATCAATATGTGAGACAGGGATGAGTTACACAGACAGTTTTGTGCCAGTGATGCACACCGTGATGTGGCTGGCGTTTATGTAGTCCTCCTGGCCCTTCAGCACCACTCTGGTGGCATCGTCTGAAAGGAGAGCAGGACGTCAGTATGTGTGAGGGTCATAACAGAACCACGGGGTCCGCCAATTAAATTTCATGAGATGCCACAGCAGCGAGCTCCACATCAAGGTTAGAAAGGTAGCACAGAGCTGAGAGTGGAGGCGGGAGCAGGCAGGGCACAGGCATAGAAGTGGTCAGAATAAGAAGCACTTACAAGGTAAAACATCCTTATAACGATTCTTGTCCATGTTTTCAGGGAGCCGAGCACAGCTTAGAGTCAGACCAGGCTTCCTCCGGTATAAATTCTATAAAATTACATGCAGAGACACACACACACACACACACACATGCAGGTAAACACACACAAACACACATGAACAGAAATCCTGTCTGATCACAGCATCTCCCTCACAGGATGTCAGGTGGAGATTAAGGCCAACATCTGTCCCAGTATCAGAACTTTGAAGGCTAGTTTTGATTCATGCAAGTAATCCAATGGTAAACAAAACCCTGCTTTTAAAAATACAGATGAATTTTCTTTGCATTGAAGCGTTTCACTGCTTAGCTCCCACCTGCATCTTAAATACCTCAAAGTGGAAACACAGTGTGCCTGACTGTATTCCTCTCTCCAGCTGCCTCATGGAATCCTCCAGTGTTGTGACTCGCTCTGACTGGGTGGATGACGGGGACTTGTCTCCCTGTGATATGCCGGTTAGCGTGAGTGTGGGAGGCAACTGCAGCAGGGGTGCCGCCCGACCAGGGCCTGGAATACAAGGACAGTTCAAGGATGTGATAAATATTCATTGAAAACTTGACAAGACAGTGAGCACTCTTGAATCACATGCATCTTCAGCACAAATACACACACACACACACACAGACACACACACCTTTACGTCTGATAAGCAAAGCGAGCTCTCTGGAGTGTGACTCTCTGCTGGCGCGTATGAACATGACGACCTGGTCATGTGTGTGTTCAGAAATGTCCCGACCATTAATAAGCACCACCAGGTCTCCCTCCAGGAGTCTGGGTTCACATCGACCCGCCTACAAACAACAAAAGCTGATATCAAAAGTGTTTTCTTCTGATTATTCATTCATGTAAAAAAAACAACATCCACTAAAAAACTTAGATCCAGCTGACTTTCTTTCCTCAACCTAATTCAGGCAAGTTTATTCTACTAAATGTTTCACCCTCCATGACTACTGTGCTTCAATTTCCTCATTATGTTATTATGACACAACCTGGAAACACCAGACGGTCACACCGCAAACACTTATGAGTCTGTTCTTACCGGAGAGTCAGGTTTAACATGAGATATGGCTAGAGGCATCTTCTGATCCACCCCGCCCTGCAGGAGTTGGGAAATTAAATGGACCAAGAGTGGAGGTGGAGTGAAAACACAAACATGATATATATATATAAGAGGCATTTGGCCTAATGTGGTGAAGGTTAAAAAGAAAAAGGGTGGAAGAGAGACACACTTTTACATTGAAGCCAAACTTGCCCTCGTGGTCAGGGGTAAGACAGATCAGCATCAAGTCACCATCACCAGGGGTACCCTGTGTGGACAACAAAAGCTCATAGTGGACCCACATCTGCACACATTGAAGAAAATAGAACTCATAATTATGAGGAGTTAATGATGAGGGATAAAAACAAACCTTTTTGTAGTTTTGTAAGCTGTGGTCACCATCCTCCTCTCCTATGCTGTCATCAGTTTGCATCATTACTTCGTCTACGTTGTGTCTGTAAGTGCCAAAGAGGTGAAAAGAAGTTCAAATGGTTACTCTTGTTCTCATTTATAGATCAGCAAATGACTTTCATCACTAAACATCATAGCTCTAACCTTTTTTAATGGATTATTTTTCTCTTTTTAAAAAAAATGTTTTTGCATTTTCACTCTATTGGATAAGACAGTGGATGGTGGTCAAGGTGGAAAGTTGAACACTGAGCCTCTGAGCTAAGTCAGAGTCTAAAATTGAAATCATGTTTTTTTTTGTATGGATCTATGAACTAAATAATCTACAAAAGAAGAGGACAGGTACTTCAGAAAACATTCAGCCACCAGCTAATTTTCATTCAGTCTCTGTGGTATACATTTCAGCTGTGTTTAATGTTTTTTTTTTTTATAATTGTTAAACCCCCCATTTCTATGTGTTTCTTTTGCTCTTCGTTATGATGTTTTGATATGTTTTGTATTACACTTAAAATTGCCTAATAGCAGAAATGTGCCTGATGAGTAAACTTGCATAGTCCTGCCTTTATAAAACTACCACCTCTTAAATGCTAATAGACGTTAATACAAATGCATCATATCTAGTGTCTGGTGTGCAATGTTTTAAGATTTTTCCCTACAAAGCACGATGCCATCTAAGCCCACTGAAATGACAAAGAGACTGAGAGTGTTTCTTCTTCAGCTGATACTAACTCATGGGGTGAACAGTCTCCTTCACTGTCCTTGCTGCTGCTTACAGACGCCCTGTATGTGTAAAAGACGTCCTCCCCCTCTGACATGTCTTTCAAGTCATTGGCCAATTCAACCGAGGATGGGCGGGGCTTTCGGATGCCATGACGAACTCGGGGACTCCGCCTGCCAAGAGAAACAAACAAGCAGCCCGGTTAATTTGGTTCAAATCGTGAGTGTAAGCTTTAATGACATGGAGAAATGAAAACACTGGAAATGAAAAACAGAGAGGAACTTAAGTATCTACAGCTCATAGTCAGGCTTGATCCTGCGGTTCATACCAGATCGGGGTAGATGGGGGAGATCTTGAAGGCAGGCTTTTGGTCTCCAGATGATCTGATGAAATTGACCTCCGCAAGACTGGGTTCCACACCATCCCACCAACCACACGGTGGCACACTGGACCACTACCATTAGAGATTTAAAGTAAGTTCATGTGAGAAAAATTGTAAATGGTATTACATATTGCTCAAGTAGGGCCTCACCTCTCATTTTTACTGTTTCCAAGACCTAAATGTTGCGTAATCAGCTTTCTGTAGGTCTGAACTGCGCTGTTGTTGTGTTTAGGACTTCTAACAGCTCGGTTGGAGCAGAAAAAGGAGTGATGATCCACAGAGGACCTCCAAAGGTTCTTGCAGGTCTTTGGACAAGGCAGAAGCATGGACACCTCACAATCCTGTGTCTCCCCCTACAAATGTACAGTGAAGGTAAGTTTTTGTGATGTTATATAAACTATTACATGCATTATTCACAGTAAAATCCCTGTTACACAATTTCAGCAATAAAGGGCGGTAAGAAACTGCATCATCCCATATCTTGAATGATTTATTGCATCTTTTATCCCAAATGTCTGCTGATGCATATTTAATCAGTTCCATATTCACATCAATGAACTATGAACTATGTATTTGTGAAATGTTCCCTCAAAAACGATTGAGTCTTCAGACCAACTCCAATATTAGCTATGAATACACAGAGCTCATTAAAAAGCAATCAAAAATGTGTGTGTGGATAATTCAGCAACGTTACTTTTTCAGAGGAAATCTTAACTTTAGAGACGGACAAATGGTTAAAGGACTCACATGTTTACGTTTCAGGTGTATAACAAAGCGTTTCCTCTTAAAAGAAATCTTGATGATGTTTCCCCTGCAGGGGAAGATTGCAGCTGGTTAAAGGCTTCAGAAAATACAGGAAACAAGCATCTAAGATGCAATTAGTAGCACCATCATCACATCGCTCACCAGGGGAAGAAACTGGAGCAAATCATATTGCAGAAAACTGCTACACCGCTGGAGGCCAAACCCACCATCAGTGGGGCGTTGTTTGAGTCCTGTGAGAAATTAAAATGAGGCAAAAAAAAGTCATGCATAGTAGTTAAACCAGAAGATGCAGTATTACACGAAAGTTTAATTGAGGGAATACCATGGCCGCATGCAGCTCCACTCCATACAACTCCAGTGTCCGTGCTGTATTCAGAAAACACAGCTCTGCCTCACTCTGCTTCAGCCCCCTGAGAGCACACACAGTCACACATATGACAAAAGCAAGTGGACACACAACAAAGCTAAATGCAATGGACTGTCTGAGTTACTTGTGCTGTGGATGCAGGTTCTCCACTTTGGACAGGAAGTCTTCATCCTGCTCAGGAATGAAGTGGCTCTTTGAGAGGTAACCAGGATGGTGGGATGGACAGTGATCTCCCATCTCAGCTGCAGATGATTAACAGAGACACTTAGCATGCACACATCGGCATCTACAGCTTGCTGGGAGCATCCTCATCAGGGATAATTACTCAGAGGGTTATTTTAAGTCATTAATCGTTTGTTTCTTTTTTAAGAGTTGGGACTTACATTGCACAGCATAAGAGGCCAACACTACAGCTGCACTCATCGGGCACTGCAACCTGCAATCAGACTCCATGATTATACGTATGTAGACACAGCTAAGCGCAAACATGAAAGGCGAGCAAATAGGGTGGCAGAGATTATGTTTGTGTTGCACTAACCGCCCCTCTCTGATGTCACTCCTGATCTGTAGGAAGTAGAGATGCCTATGGGGAAAAACCAAAGAACAACCTTACAAACTCAAGTCAAACCCTGAGGAGGTCTTTGGGCATCAAATAAATCATACAGTGTCACCAAACCAAGTATTTACAACTTTAAGGTTCTTCATTGCTCCAAAAGATTTTTCCACACCCACTCACATAGGGAAAGTAAGGGAAAGGGAATGTTGTGCACTTGCTCAGTGGGCAGCACAATGTGGAAGCTATGCAAAGGGTTCAACTGAGAAGCTCATGGAGATTAACACGTTCAAGGCTGTTTCCAACTTTCTTCAACTCTCACCTGTATTGTTTGTTTCCAGCAGGAACCTGTCTAAACATCCTGCTGTTTTTGGCAAAGGTAGCGAGCTTGTAATGTTGGTATGTTAGTCATCTATTTTACAACTTTGAACCTGTTTTAAAGTGGTTACTACATCTGTCATAAGGACTGCCTCTGCAATGTCATCATACATTTATGCTTCATGCTTGCTGTGTGACTTCCTGCCTGTAGCCCTGTTAGATGTCGCAACATCAAGATGGTCTATCAAGAAATCTGATGTTCACCTCCCAGTACATTTTTATAAATAACTGTAACAACTTCTGTGATCCCCTGACAATACTGCTCTATTATCCAGTCAAATCAGGTCCATTAAATGTTCTTTCTGATAATGTAGTTTAGGACAACAAACCTGAAAAACATCAGTCCCACTTTCTTTCTGTATGAAGAGCTATTTGGTAAATGTAAGCACATCACCATTCTGAAGTATAAATAGGAATAGGCTAGAAAATACACCTATTTAGTACCTGCCTATGAAGACTGTCTTGGTAAGCATAAAAGCATGTAGCTTAATGTACAGCAGAGGCTAATTACTGCCCTCTGGCATTGCTTCAGACACCTTGCCTTATTTGGCCTCTAATCAGAGCTTTACCTTTATGAATTTAATACTCAAGCTGACTTGAGAGTTGTCAAAACAACGATGGCTGGCAAAAAAACCCGCTAAAAACGAGTAAGACGAAGACCACTAAGCCCTTAATTTTCTCCAAAGTAGATGAGCAGAAAGGACCTTTAGAGACAATTTCTTCAGATCAATATCTGATGATAAACTGCTGATAAAAAAACTCAAATAACAGCCAAGCATGTATTCTCACCTTGTCTGTTCTTGCTGCAGAGAGTTGGGATCAGAGATGAAGAACCGCACTCTGAAGTTCAGATAAAAGGGAGAAGCCAGACCTGCAAAGAAATGTCATCTTGTCAGAAATTATATAGATCTATGGTTGAGAGTTCACCTTAGTCATCCCTTTCTCTACAGCAACTCCTCTTTATTATTGAAAAAATATGTTGAAAACAAAAAATATAAATGTATTTGTCAGGCGATTCTAGGTAATGACAGTGAATTCACAGGAGGATACCTTTTATCTGCTTCTTCAAGGGTTTCTCCGGCTCCAACCATCTCTGACAGAGAGGGAGAGAGTGATATTAATTAAGTGTAAATGCTAACTTGGGGAAGAAAAAAAACATTTATGCAAGCGTACCCAGAGGTTATCATCATCCAAACAGCAATCAGTGAGTGCAATACATTACAATCTCAGCCCAAATGTGCAGCAGATAAACGGCGAGCTCACAGGAGAGTGTGTGTTGGCTGTGATCGAGGTGATGGCAATGCTGGATTCTCTGATCTGCAGACTGAAAAGCTGCCTCTCCTGCAGGCCCAGGTGGTCACATACTTGGTCCAACAAAACCACACCTTCATCCTGCTTCTGAACAATAGAAACAACAGAAAACATTAACATCAGCCAAAACTTTACGTGACATACGCATCATCGTGTATTATTCCCATCTAATCACACTGAATCAAATTGTATTTTTTTTATCTGTGGGTTTCCCTGTGATTATACTTGGAATGAAGGAGTAATAATTTGGGAAAAAAAATAGTCATTAATAAATATATTAATAAAAATTATTTTTAAAAGACCATCTGCTGAACCACACTCTGGGGTTTAACTATTCATTGTTTAATTAATGACTCTTGGGGATAACCCACAGCTTACTCATAATGTCCCCTATTTCTCTCCCCACTCTCTCTTCCAGGAAGCATAATCACATCAAAAGAGGGTAATATTTACTGTAAACTGTGGTGAACAGTGTGTTCTTACAGTTGACACAAATTCCAGGTACAAATCACTTTCAATAGAACAGAGAAAACAATAAACCTTAGTCTACAGATGAGGAACACAGCAGCTATAAAAACGAAAGTCGTGAAGTTTATTATTAGAGCCTTTCTGCACATTACCACCAGAGAGCTCTCCCTGCTCTCTCACTGTTCACATAAAGATGCTGCATAGCTGCTATCTTAGAGAGCAATATTGTGATTGCCTTTCTGCATGTGTGTGTCTGCCTGTCAGTGTGTGTGTGTGAGTTTATACTGCTGTCAGGCTCTGAATGGGTTGTTGTGCTGATGTTGTAGAAATGCTCCTATACGAAGTATAACAAGCTCTGTCAAGGAGGTGAGCATGTTCCTCTGACTCAAGGTCACGGTGTTCAATAAGATATGTGGATCAATGAAAAGGAGGCGGAATAGTCGTCGCTACATCATACAGTGACACGGCAATCATTAGCAGAGCAAACAGACTGATAGGAGCAACATATGATATGGTACACAAACAGGAAGCTGTGTGTGTGTTTGAGTGTGTGTGTGTGTGTGTGTGAGAGTATCACGCACGCTGACTCTGAAGGTCTCGATAGTGCCGTCCAGCAGCTGAACTAGGCAGACTAGGTCCGGTTTTGGCATGTCTGTTACCACGGTAACTCTGCCTCCCTCTCAAGACAAACACCCTGCCCTCGGCTCATCAGTGAGAGGGGACCTGGGAACAGACACACACGCACACATACACACGCACAAACAACCACAAAAACAGTGTCAGATGTTTCCAGGCTGTTGTCTTCAGATGAAAGCACCTCCCTCAGGATGACATTGTGTGGTGAGTAATATATGTGGTGGATGGAGCATCAAGCTGCAGTGAGTAATGCACTGTGAATGCAGAGGAGTGACTGTTTGTGTTGTGCGTATGTGTGTGTGTGTGTGTGTGTGTGTAATTTCTTATTATCTGGCCTGGGTCTGAACATGTCCCTTCGCTCTCCCTGCCTCTCTCCCTCTCAGTTTCGCTCTGCCTTTCCAGGGCAGCTGAACGATAAGAATGTTAAACATTTTTAGAGCTGAACACGCCCATTGACAGAACTACAACTGATCTGAGAGCTGCTGCAGGGAGCAATGACTCCAGTATGAACACAAACACACACATGCACCATTAATCTGCACATGCATGTATGTGCCCAGAAGCATCCTAGTGTCAGCATCTACATGCATGCAAAAAAAAGTGTACATACATGTGTAACGGCTTGATCTCCAGGTGAATGATTACTGGACCCAGGTTGTGGTGTGTTGCACACTGCTGTCTGAAAAAACACACAGCCTTTGAGTTAATGTTTGAACAAAGTGACACACTTTTAATGTGTTGAAACAAAGCAGGCCCCTGTTCAAAGAGTTGCTCTCTATAATAACCCTTTCAGTGGCAGACTTACATGAATTTTCATCAAAAATCATACATTCATAACCACTATACTCAACTTTTAGGGTCTCTGTCATCTTGCATCCAATTTTGGCTAAAAAAAAAGCAGCTCTCACACTTAATGATGCCCTTGAAACAAGCCATTTTTTCATACATAACTTTATTGCACAGTACAAGTGAACACTATAGCCATGTTAATTGCCTCTACAGCTTTACCAAACACAAACCTTAAGAAAACAGGGCCTACCGGAGTGTTAAAGGACCGTATACACTGTCCGACTCTCCCTCACAGTCGATAATAAACTCTGCTTTGACCCACTGTACTTTGAGCTCAGCGCGAACAACGAACCTGTTGACAACCTGAAGTTTTGCCACAGCTACACCCAGGAGGAACAGCACTCCCCGGGCAAACTTTCCTGAAACCACGGCGATCCTCGTAACAACAACTTGGACAAGTGAATGTTTTCTCTTTTGGGTAGAGAAGGTTTAAAATACTTATCAATGAGTATATACCTCAGTGTTCCTTCTTCAAAGACGTCTCATATTCCTTAAAAGTGTCCGGTGTGGGAACCTCTGGACGGGGCGCGTCGGAGAAACCAGGTATAGTTAGGTAAATATCCGGGACAAGTTTCTCATCCCTGGCTGCGCTGATTCCGCGCGGCCCCGCCCCTTTCGCCGCGCGCGCTCCCCGTGTGGTGCGCGTTCTGGGTAGTGCGCGAGCAGCAGGGCCTGGAGAACCTTAGAGCGCGACCAGAGCAGTAACAGCAACAGTACAGCCAGTCTACTCTGTTGGTCTATATCCATCTGACTGGTTTGAGCACTTTATGTCACAGTGTGTACTCAATCAAACAAGCTGGAGGAAGAGGAAAATATCTTTGGACGGTCTAAAACAACAACAAAAAATTTTAATCATTTGTGGTGTGAAGGTTTGACTGAGCTACTTACACAAAGTTACAAAAAGTTGAAATTAGTCTAGGAGTAACTCCTCACTCTAAGTTTATAGTAGACCTATGAGGTAAAATGTACTTCTTTTATAGTAGAGTTGTGTCGTTTGTGAATGATTCGTTCAAAAGAACCAAATCTTTTAAGTGAACATACTGAACCGAATCACTTCCTCGAGTGATTTGTTCGTTTCTAACATAGACTGTATAAAGAATGGACAGCCTCTGCCTCCTTGCTGGGTGAAGCCACTCTGAGAACAGCACCCTCTGGTGGTGGGCTGCAGTATAGGTCATAAATCCCGCCTCTGCCAGCAAAGCTTATGGGGCTGAGGACAAACTTTAAATATTTATTACACAGAACATACATTTTTCTCCCCCTGCTTGCGATGTTGACATGTAGTTACTGTAAGAACTGAACTGATTCACAGCCGAATCCTGAAACGTTCGGCTGCGTATCAGTTCAGGAGGTCGGAGTCGCAGGCTTCTCCCGACAAGCGCTACATGATTCGGTGATTTGGTGAACGAATCTTTTGAACTATTCTTCTTCATGAACTGATTGCAGTGATTCAGTACATCTAAAAGAACTGCCGAGCCCATCACTATTTTATTTACATATATAAAAATAATACTCATCGGCTACACCTGTCAAGGATTTTCAAAACAAGATTGCCACTTTATCAAATTCACAAGCCAATGTGGGCTATTGCATGCATCAGATTTCATATTGAGCTTTATCAAAGACCCTTAAAGCATTTTACATTGGATACATCATGTATTTGTGAATTTCCCAGTTTGGGATCAATAAAGTATATCTATCTATCTATCATTCATTCATTCACACAGTCACACATTGGTGGTGGTAAACTACCTTAGTAGTCACTGACGGAAGCGTGGCTGCCAGTTTGCGCCTACGGCCTCTCAGAGGACCACCACACAACACTCACAGTCATACCCCAGTGGAGGACACACACTGGGAGCAAGGTGGGTTAAGTGTCTTGCTCAAGGACACAACGAACAGACTCGGGATAGAGGGGAATCGAACCGCCAACCTTGCAGTTGTTGGACAACCGCTCTACCTCCTGAGCCACTGCCACCCACAATATTTAGTATCTGTTCCGATCATACACTTGCATGACAATTCTTAGGATGGTTTGTAAAAATGTTGTATTTTGCCTCAATCAAAATGTTCATTTATGATTGTTGTCCAGAAGTTATGATGCAAGTAGATAATGAGCCTAATTTATAAGTAAAATTGTGATAAACCAGTTAAACTATTCAGCACTGCCATTTGTCTTCAGTCTCTAAAAGGTTAGTCTTGTGAGCCTATTTTGACAAGTGGATAAAGATATAGATTGCACTATTTGCAAACAAATCAGGACATGTAATATGCAGGACAAAGATATCCTTACAGTTATCAAGGCAGTATTCAACTAGGACTTTTGGAATAAACAACTATTTCTATTATCTGTTAATCTATACATTATTAATTTTCAATTTTTATTTGTTTTCTTTTTAATTCTATGTGTTTTGTCATGTCTTCATCATGCTATGTTTTCCAGCTTATATTTCAGTATTAAATACGAGAAGCTTTACAACTAAAAAACTGCAACCTGGGATGGTTAGGCTCCTTTAAAGATGATTTCATTAATTCCTAAATCATGATATTGGCCCCCGATTTGTATCCCTTAATTTCATTTCTACACCTATGACAAAAATAATATGGAAATTTTTGATAATGCCTCCTCTAGATGACCTTCAGTTACCAGTTCCCTGAATAAAGAACCAGATCAGCAGACCGTAATAGTGGGGAAGTGGAAAATTGTGTCATTTTTCAGTCATCATTCTCAATGATCGAGGTTAACACTGACAACCATTTGACAGAAACATGATTTGTGAGAGAAGAAAAAAATGTATGGCTTTCCTTTACAAAATTCCTCTGGTTACCTGTCACCATCTACAGGACTGATTAAGTACTGCTGTTGTATGTACTGAAATGAGTATCACATTGATCAGTGCATATAGGTTGTTTACTAAATTAATTAAACTATTAAAAGTTAGTTTTTTTTACCCACATATTTTTTAAACCCAAACAAAAGATTTGTAAAATTTGTACATTGTGTAATAAACATTTAAGATTAGAGAAAGGTTGAGGTGGAAATCATTTGTAGCTATTTCTTTAAACTGTTGATCAGTTGAGTTGATTCGATTGTATTTAAAACCAGCTAAACTTTAACCTAACTATATATATTTTTGTAAATACAATATTTATTAATTATGTAACAAAGTAGAAGAGTAACTGCTGTCTTTTGGAAGTGATTAAAGCAGTGGTTTTAACATACTGTATTGAAAACGAACATCCTGAATCAAACATTTTCCCATTTTGTGTGCTGTACGTTGTGCCCCTTAGTTAAAGCTGAAGCAGGTGTAAAACTGAACTGCTTTGACCTGATATTTCCAAGGACATCCAAAAGTCTGAATGCAGATCACCTGATTCCTCGATTTCTCCAGTCCGGGGACATCTCTAAATGTGACGTATAATTAGTTGTTCAGTGGGTGAAACGTGAAACTTGCATAAGAAAATAGAGAAAATCAATAACACAGAGCAATGTTTTTCAGTGTCAGACCTGATGCTGAGGTTGGGATATTTGGTCCTGGTAAGTGAAGCTGACTGGTTGACTTGCTGATCTCTCTGGTGGGTAACTTCTCTTTAGAGAATGGTGTAACATAGTTAAGATGTGTGTGTTGTGTTCACTATCCTCTTCTAGCATGCCTGTGGAAGCTATCCAGCCTTGGCCAGTTGCCCCCCATGCTGTCTGAGTGATGGGACAAGAGGTGTCAAACTAGCAGAGACCAGTTCATATTGGTGTGACAGGTGGAAAAGAGAGGAGGGTGGGGCGTGGGGGTTCTCACCACTACAGTAACAGAGAGAAATCTCCCCCGGTTGCTGTCTGAGGATCAGTTTTCTGCAGCAGTAACTAAGACACCCTGTACCAACCTAGTACTGAACCCTGCAGCTCCAAATTTAGCCCTGGAGACACAAGGACAAACTGCTTCATGTCCCATTTATCCCATCTGCACCCTTTGATATGACAATATTACTGAAGCACCTCTGATAACTTGTTTTTCTTGTTAACAGCGATATATCTGGTTAAAATTTCGGCCTTATTTTCCAATTCTACAAAGCCTGGTCAACTCCTTCATATTCTACATGTGCTTATTATCATTAATACTTTCATCTTCTTTGCCAGACTCAAGATATCGCCCATCTCGCTTACATTCATGGGGTAATCGAAGGTTAAACTAAATGTATGTCAGATAAATTTAGAGCAGTTGTGGTTTGATGGTGTCTGAAATAATCTGGAGCACATAAACCACAGTGATAAAGACATCCAGCCTAGTTGCTGAGACTGGAGTTTGGTCATATATTACCACCATAAAAGTGGGTCTGTGGTGGTGTGGACAGGCTCTGATAACCCCTATGTGTGCAGAAGTCACATGAGACAGGCAGACAGAAAGTATGTCGTCATGTGCAGGAATGCCGCCATGAAATGCACACATGTAGCATGACCCATAAACTGTCCTGAGTCTACAGGAAGCAGTGAGCCGTAAATCTCTGGTCATAAAAGTTATTAGTGACTGACACATGTAGATATAAAAGCTGTATATAAAATGGTGTCCCCATAAGAAGCATGATTAATTACATCATAGACAGTATTACTACGGGGCAGTAAGCTCATTAGCACCCTGGTCCTATTTTCTCAAAGGGGGGCACAACCTCAGCGTGCTGCCTTCACTGACCAACAGATCCTTCTCGGAATGTCTGAAGTATTCTGCTTTCACTGCACCGTGACATGTTTACATGAGCTTCACTGTTGTGTCATTTGAATGTGATCTGAGTTTACTGTGCATGCACAGACCTATCAATTACTTCTCTCAAATTAGACATTGTAAACTGTAATGAGTTTTGTTATAATTTGATAGAAAGTGACAGTAAAGAGTTGATACCAATTATTATTTGAGAAGAAAACACAAGTTTTTACTTTACTGCAGACATCTGGTCAGACAAGATAACTATTTCAAGTCTGTGTCCTGTAAATACAATTAAATCATCATAAAGGCAGTTGACAATTACATCCTGTTAAACCATGACGATAAATAAGTCTTGGAGAAACTCTTTAAGTCTGCATATAATGACATTATTAAGTTGATTATGAATAATAAAGTGCAGCTGTCTTCAATAAGGAAAGCGGTCTGACATATAATCTGAAGGAAACCAGCTAACATGACAAAGCAATTGTTACTAAAGTAAAATTAAAAGTACTTTGACAAAATTATTTTTAAAAAGACAGGTCCTACTCTCAAAATGTTATTTGACCAAAACTACAGAAGTGGTTGTCAGGGAAATGTCTCTTTTGATTTTGAAATATTATCATAAATTATATAATTAAATGTATAACGTTTCAAGCAGTATTAACAGTGGTATCTGATCATTATGGAGCTAGTTTTACAATGTTAGTTTTTAAAACAGCTAGTTTTAAAGGCCAGAGGTCAGAATAATGAAAGCAATGGCTCATGAGATGGAAAAGAGGGCAGTAACATTCTACTGAGCAAATATCTGTTTTTCATGGCCTTCAGAGGACCATTTAACCCAGGAGCCTTTTAAACCATTTTTTAGATAAAACATTTTGAAAGACAGGAGATGGACTTTTTGGTGTGGGCCACTAATGTAGGACTCACCCCTGACAAAGTTACATCAAGTCAGAGATTTTTTGTCACACACAAAAACAGCCTGACACATGTAAAATATGAAACTGATGTATTAAAAAATATGTATTAAAAAAGAGGAAGTAAAAACAGTTGTCCAAAGTCAGTAAAGTTTAAGTGCACATTTTTGGAGCACACTACAGAACCCAAAAATCTGAGGCTGTGGAAAAATCTTCAGGAAGCCCACTGGCTCTTTCGTTTATGTCAGCTCTCAACGAAGTTTTGATTTCTCCGAGGATACTTGAACGCAACCTTAGAGGCACCCTCCTCTAACGATAGTGGTCTTCAAACTGAGGAGCAACACATTGGAAGTTTGGGAGAAGCAGGGTGGATGTGCCGCAGTCTAGGCCAGCTTTTCTGCATCTTTGCAACCCAGTTATAGTTTTTTTGATTTGGTGAATACACTTTCAGATGACGGTGACTCAAGAACGGCCCATGACCTACAGCAAAATGAGGGGGCTTGTGTCGTTTTTCTCAGGTAAGTTTGGACTTTTTTTCTTTTTTGACGTTGAAAGGTAAATTCACAGTTGATCAGATCATTCTAACTATGGCAACGACGTGGAAAGGAAGGCTAAAGCTGACCCATAAAACGCTGCTTCTTTACTTTATGAAAGTTTGTTGAAACGGGTGACAATTATAATGTAAAAGAAATACCAGAATCATGAAAAAGTTGTTGTGAAAAAGAAGAGGACGCGCTGTGATAAGTGTTTCATAACTTAATCACTGTGATGAAGTCAGAGTGACCACTACACCTATTGAGTGACTAACGCTAAATACAGCTGCTGAGCTCTTATGTAAGGGTCAAGCTGCTAACACCCTGCCTGTCTTACAGCCCTGCTCAAAGGGAAGAAAGTTGGCATCAGTGACTTTCTGCATAAACTTGTGTCCACCCAAAAGCTCTGCCAACAGTAAGTTAGCAAAACTCATGACCAGCACTGACCTTTGTGCTGAAAGTGGAAAATGAAAACTGACGTGCTGTTTTTGACCTTCCGATTGAAGCATGGACCCTCAGAAAATCATACAGAGAGAGGGCAGATCGAGAAAAGAGAAGAGGGAGAAAGACGCCGAGGTAAGTTAGAAGAGGAAAGTTTTTTAAAGTCTGTGCAGCTGAGTGTTGACAGGAGATGAAACTAAAGCTGACCTTTTGACCTCCCTCCCCCTTGTATCTTTTCTCTCCTCAGAGCCCCTTGAACACAGAAACCTCACAGTAAGTTAATTTCTCGTGTGGTAAAACAGAAAGAAAAGATTGGCTGTTATTTCATGGTTATGTCCAAATTTTAAAGTAAAGAAAGCCCCTTTTTCTATGGCCCTCAGATTTTTTTTAAACTGTAAATTATCTTGTCACTGCTCAGTTAATCTTCTTTCGTTGGGTTGACCAGGTTGAAACCGTCAGATTTCGACTACCTCAAAGTTATTGGCAAAGGAAGCTTTGGAAAGGTAGGTGTCTTTTAACTTTAAATGTTTGTATTTATGCTTGTAAATGTTTGTTGCTGTTGTTAATGGAGCAGTGGATGACACATCTTTCACACACAGGTGCTTCTTGCGAAACACAGAAAACATGGAGGATACTATGCGGTGAAAGTGTTGCAAAAACAGATGATTATCAAGAGGAAAGAGGTATCTATCTGTTTGTTTATCCGTCTTTCCTTCTCTTGCCTTTCTTTCCATCAACCTGTCCTTAAATTGCGCCTCTCTTTAGCAGGGACATGTGATGGTCGAGCGGAGTGTATTGTTGAAGGGACTACAACATCCATTTCTGGTGGGACTTCACTTCTCTTTTCAGACCTCAAACACACTCTACTTTGTCCTGGACTACGTTAACGGAGGGGAGGTATGTATAAAATGAAATACTAATATATGTCAATACCCAACACACCGTTATATTTCCAACAATTTTTCACATGGATGGTAATAGAATCACTTTGGAACCAGAAGTCACCTGAGTCAGACTCAAATAACTGTAAGATGCCTACAGGTTTTTTTTTGTCATTCGTGCAACCCCACAATTACTTCATCTTTTTGTCCTCAGCTCTTCTACCATCTCCAGAGAGAAGGTTCCTTTCCTGAACCCAGAGCAGCTTTCTATGCCGCAGAGATGCTCATGGCACTTGGCTTTCTTCACTCTCTCGACATCGTTTACAGGTTCAAACCCATGCACATACACACAAACACGGCTAAGTTTTCTTACTCACCACTTGAACATGCTCAACATGTTTAATTGATTCATTCAGGGGATCCCCAATAAAATGCTCACTTTAATGAGGGGTCTGCATACACGTTTAGATGACTAAAAACCACCATGTTCTCAGATGTTACATAAAGAAATAAAAAGCTGAGGATAACAGCAGGATAAAGTTAATGTCGGTTTTGGTAGGAGCTCATTTAATAACTCAATGTTTGAATCCCATTTGTTTCTCTGACAGAGATATGAAGCCAGAGAACATCCTTCTAGACTGTGAAGGTCACGTGATGCTGACTGACTTTGGGCTTTGTAAGGAAGGGGTGTCCAAAAGTGGGATTATGCACACATTCTGTGGGACTCCAGAGTATCTCGCTCCAGAGGTGCTGCAAGGCCACCCCTACAGTCCAGCAGTGGACTGGTGGGGCCTCGGCACAGTGCTGTTTGAGATGCTCTATGGATTGGTGAGTGCATGGGAGTCTTTTTCTTTTTTTCATCTTATCATTTCTTTCAGCTTTACCGTGTTACTCAGTCTTTCTCTCTTTCTCTGTCTCTCTCTCTTTTAGCCTCCGTTTTATAGCCATAGTAAAGCAGACATGTTTGAGAACATACTTCATGCTCCTCTGCAGCTGCGCAGTGGGGTCTCTGAGGCTGCTCGCTCGCTTTTGGAAGGATTGCTGCAAAAAGACGTCAAAAACCGCCTAGGAGGGAAAGGTGACCAGGTGGAGCTGCAGAATCATCCTTTCTTTGCATCCATCAACTGGGATGACCTCCTGGCCAAGAACATTAAACCCCCATTCATCCCCAACGTGGTACGACAAATTCAGATTCCTTATTCATAATACGGTGTTCCTGAGTGTGTTTTAATTCTGTGCTCCTCTCTACAGACTGGTCCATATGATGTCAGCTACATCGACCCAGAGTTCACGATACTGCCTGTTCCTGCTTTTGTAAATGAGAGGTGCCAGGCGAGCGGGAATGGCGAGGCCTTCCCAGGATTCTCCTTCATGAACCCTGTGGAGTATGTGGCAGCGGAGCTGGTTTCATAACCACACGAAACCATCTGAGAGCGTGTTTGTTAAAATATTTATTTTTCATAAATTTTTAATTTAAAGTCTTTTTTTAACATTTGAACAAAATATTCTTAAACCAACATTGCACTGAGTTGTATGTTTCCATGGTTACACACTAAATAGTGGCATACTGATATTTCTAGCATAAGTTTACAATGTGAAATAGGCTGGTCACTGTTTCACATGTTTAAGCGAGCTTTATGTGTGAAAGTACAAAACAATAAATACTTAATTTTGAAACAGTTTCATTTTACATTTTAACATTAAATACTTAAAAAAATATTATACAACAGGCACACAGTTTGCAACGTCCCCATTCTGCTTTTACAGTCGTACAGACAATACTTCACCAGCTGCCTTGACTTCCTGCATAGTGACAAAATACAAAACAATATAAACAAAATAATTAAAATAAGACCTTTTTAACAATAGGACACATATCATTTGGCAACACTTCACAGACTGGACCAAGCTCTGACTTCATGTGAGGTGGTGAACAGTTGTGTTTGGTGATAAACAGAACAAGCCCATCACTAGGGTGGGTCTCATAGGTTCTTTTAGGGAGCAAGCGTCTGGCCTGATAATTTCCACTTCACCTCACAGGACTAGTTATGAAACAGTTTATACAACCAGCAGCTTTTTGTCTGTTAGTAGATGTTGAAGGAGGCGTAGCTCTGGTCACTCTGGCAGGTGAAGTATGCTATCAGCTGACCGTTGCAGATCATCAAAAACAAGCCGCTACCTTTTGGAGAAAAAGATAATTAAGGAGAGTTCAATTCAATTTAAGAGAAAAACTTCTCGAATGTTGTGGTGGTGGTGTTTTGTTTACCCAGAGCTAGCCACCACTGCCACACCATAGGAAACTCCAACATCACTGCAACAGAGAAATAAGATGTGAGATTTCATAATTTAATCAAAAATTTGTGTGCACAACTGTTAGAATGTTTTTTTTACCAAGACTGGTGATCATCACATGCAAAAGTGTAACAGTGAGGGCGTAGTCCCAGACCCGCCTCCTGACCACTGCAGCAAACAACAGGCCACTGCAGAAGTAGGTAAGCTCAAGAGAAAGGAGGTTCACTGTAAATGACCAACAAAACCGCAAGTTTAAACTAGGTTCATAGTCATAGTTGACAATGCTGGAAATAATCCGCAGGCTCACCTAAGTACTTGGAGTTTGATTCAGCAGGTTCAGTCTTGAAGTCGAATGGGATCAGTCCGTCAAAGCTATCCAGCCTAATCAAAGAGTCATATTACAAGGGAAAAACCTTACCAAACAGTTACAGTGTGTCATTTTTACAGAGGGAAACAGATGTTTTTTTTTCAAGTTTTTCTGTAAACTGTTCAGTTTCATCATTTTACATAGAACTGGGACAAAAAAAGCCAGTTTAGCATTTAACCTGATGTGAAAAAAGTCAAGGGGCAGGTTCATGTGCACTCATAATAATTTACAGTGAAATGAGGAGATAGGAGTATGTCATATGTACAGCCATTATTATTAATTCGGTGTCTAATTGTTGAGCTATTTGTGTGTAAAATGCTTTCAAACTTGTATTTTACTGGAATCCAGTTAACTTGCACAATGGGCTTATCTGTTTGGTTTTTATTAAGTCTCTTTTCATCTGTCTGAAACAGTTTTAGATATTCTATTAGATAACTATGTATTCATTTTTGCCTATCTGAATTAAAATCAGTTAATCACACACAATGGAAATGGAAATCGACGCTGAATTCGGGTGTAAACCACCTCAGGGGAAATTGACTGCTGCTTTATAAAACGAGTTTGCGTTCATGTGCTGTTGTACGCATGCGTGTGAGATGGTCTCACCTGAAGGCACCGAAACACACACTGCCGATCATGTAGAAAAGGGAGTAAAATATGAGCAGACACAGAAGGAGATTGAAGAGCACGGTCTGTGGGGAGGAGGAAGATTTCACAACACAGTAACTAATTTGTCTGGTGGGCTACAGTGCATATTTCCACGGTACACAACATTATAAACAAAAACACAGCCTGCAGTCTAGGCTGAAGACATTTAGCTGCTGCAAAACCTTGCGGGCTGTTGATTTATTTGTGGATCACCCTCATTTTTGTATCACACATGATTGTCAAGCGATCTTTCGTTGAATGGCGGACTGACAGCTGACACTGATAGAAGTATGAGCTGAAGAAATCGCAACACATTCACGCTTACCTTTGAGTCGACCGCATTGCCTTTGAATGCCATCTCATGATTTGAACTAGATGTAGAATTGCACAATAATCCAGGCTGCAGCACGATACACGACCCCGTTAATCCCTACAAAACTGGACTTCTTTCGCCATCTAGCGACCGACGCTTGAAATAAACCTCCGCCTCTCCAGCCAAACGCTGAACTGAATTCACCAAAAATCAGGGCGGCCTTTGTTGGCTAAAATTAAGATTTATCTGACTGTATGCCTCTTAGCAAGAACCGAGACGCGTTTTCTTAAGTGCTACAGCCATTTTATGTGCAATAAGGTTGTATTTAAATCAAAATTCGGACTGATACTGGCCTATGAAATGTGTTGCTTTATTTTACCGGAGATGAAATACCCACTCAATGTGGGAGGGATACTGCAGGACTGTTGTTGATAATTTGGATGAACATAAAAATTATGAACGCTGATAACCCCCAAAAATACTTGTTTGAAGACGTAACACAACCAATGGCGAACAGTCCATTGTCAGTTGAATTAATGGATTTGCTGTCACATTAAAACCATTCAGACATTTTGGTAGCCTAGGAGTGAGGTCACCATAAAGCTCGATGCTTGGTTTTTTCTTCATCTGCAGTCGTAGTGTAACCACACAGGCGTGTGTTACTGTTTTACGGCGTCGAGTTTTTTTCTGTTAACTCAGTAGATGTGGGTATTATTCTCGACTTTACGTATTAACAGTAATTCAAACGCGGAGTTGTATGGGTGTATTACAAACACGACCAGTTTTAGAGTTAACGCACACTATGGTTTTGATGTCGTTTTGATTAAAAACGGTACAAGGCCCGAGTTTGTTATCCGACAGCTAGCATTGCCGCATATAAACTTGTGAATGACACCGTATATATTTTACACACAAACAAAGTAGTGTTTTATCGACATTAATGATTTTTAAGTTGGGAATAAACACACTTCCATGACCAGGAGAGGACCAACCGCTCCTCAACGGTCATAATGGCAGACACTGCGGTTCCTGCGCTCCATTGATACACACACACGTACTTCTTGAGGGGCTCACTTCTGATGTTGTTGAAAGCAAGGCGGGGTTGTGAGCTTCAGCCCCGTGCTGGTAATCGTAAAATCGCCACTGAACTGAGTTTTTGGGCGTGTTTTGCGTGCAAACAGGTTTAGTATTGACCACCGAGAGTAAAGTGAACTTTTCCGAGACCCAAAGTTGTCAGGCAGCGCATCTTATACGCATGCGCATCCTTCTATCCAGCTCTAAATAAGAGTTAAAACAGAAACGAGGTGAGTTCCACATTTTAAACAAAACGAGCCTTAATTCTCATTTAATGCCGATAACAGGAGCAATATTTGTAAGTCTGACTTGCGTCTTTCCTATTGGTTATACTTCGTGTTATTTCCACTGTAATTTAAAACGGCGAGTATAAATCGTTTTTTCAAGTTTCTATTGAAGAAATTATTCAAGCAACAATGTTTAAGCCCGTAACAGTTGGACAACGTTAATGTCGGTGCGCATCTTAATGTGCCAATTATTGACAATTTGCAAAATGCGTTTTTCCATTGTTATTAACCGGGAAACTTATTTATTACAGATTGTCCTTAGCTGGCTGCATCCAGTCACAATGCTACGGCTAGCCGTCTAGCAACCCTCTGTTCAGTTGCACGGAGTGGAGCTAGCTGGCTGTTAGCTTCGTGTCAGCGCTAGCTAGCAACCTGGGCTGACATTCCGTGACAAGGGGAAAGTGGAAAAAATAACCCGAGTGAAGGAAAACACCAAGTCAGGAAATTACAGAGCACGCGTTTGCTTTTGTTCGACGTGTAGCCGCTTTGCATGATTTGTTTAAATGGGTAACTTGAGTAATTTACATAGTTTAAACGTGTTGGTGGCCTCTTCCTAAGCTCCGCCATTTTGTATAAGACGAATGCTAATCATGGGCGCTCTTACATACACTTTATTTATAGCTACAATAAAACTGAGGAGCTGAGTATAAAGTCAAACTCCATCAACATCTATAAGCACGGGCTGTTCTATACTTTTCACATACTTATGACCTCCATGCAAACAAATAATGCCACCTTATTTGGTGTTGAACATGCGTCAGGACTAAAACGTTATATCGTAATATTCGTCGCATTAAAATGTTTATAAGTTTGGCCAGTCAGTGCAGAAAACAGTGTTTTCTGCGAGATTGGTTGACAAATTACCCTCTCACTTATTCATAACCAGACAAACAAGCGGTTTTAGGAGATACTGTTAAAACAAGGAAAAGATGAACTTGTATGGTTAACTTAAAGTTTAGACATATTTCCCCATGTTTGTCATTGATCTCGATAACGGATTGATCTATTGTGACCATTTGTGTTTGCATTTTTCTGTTTGTTGAGCCGCAAAACAATAATATTTCTGACTGTTTTGTCTGAAACCGAAGTGCATGGTGTATCCTGCAAGCCAGCACACAGTCTCCATCTAGCGGTGATGTTAAGCACTGCTGTTTACAAGTGCAGGTAGACGCTGCGTTTGCCGTTGTGGGCACTGTGTAGGTAAAACCATCCAGGGGGCTGCAACACTGGAATGATCACGCATAGATAACACACTGGATAGGACACAACGTTATCAATGTTCCTACTTCAGCTTTATTTTGTACATTTTGTCTTAGTTGTAAGTATCTGGCGGCCCCTTTGATATAAGTCTGTACTTTCAGGTTGGGGATATCAGAGGAGTGGGAATGACTGACACTCCACCCAGTGATGGCCCCTCCCAGGGAGCTGAGTTTGATATGATGGGTGCTCTGGACTGGAAGGATGGTATTGCCACACTGCCAGGCAGTGACATCAGGGTATGAGAGACATTTATGAGGCTTATTAGGGACATCTGATCGTGTAAATGTATGTGGGCATGCTTGTGATAACACACAGCTTCATAAAAGAAGGTTTCCCGTTGCAGACGAGGGCCTGTTGACCAGAAATTTCTACGTTGTGAGCCCCAGAACCAGCCAAAGAAGTGAAAATACCACATATACTTATAATGATGGTAATGCCATCATATTTAAAACTGTGACACTGGAAATGATACAATGCTAGTATCTATTGCTGCACAATGAGGACTTGTTTTAGAGGCAGATGTAATCTTATCAATCCTAACTTATGTAAATATCACCAAGGAGTTTTTGTGAAGGGCATCACTGGATGTTTTGGAGACTTAGGCCTAGACCTGACAGGTTCTGATTATGTCTTAAGATGTTGGACATGTTTACCTCTGAGACTGATTTAGTTATTATTTGAAGTGACTCTCTACGTATATTCAGAGACAGATAGTTAAAGTTTAAGGTGGGGCATTACCTTGGCTCAGAGTTTTCTTTTGTTTGTTTTTTTGTCTTTCAGTTCCGCATGACAGAGTTTGGGACTCTTGAGATTGTCACAGATGTAGAGGTCAAAGGGCAGGATCCACTGCCTAACTCTGGGACCTTGGACCCAGCACAGTCCCAAACTCCCACCCCTCCACCAGAGAGCCAATCACAGAGTGGTACAGCCACAGCGCCAGCCAATCAGATTCAGCTAGGATCTTCTCAAGGCAAAGGTAGGACGGAATATGTTTAACTTTTTGCGCATTGTTATTATCAAGAAAGGAAGTGTTTACTTTTACAGCTGTAATGGAAAACGAACCATTTCAGCTCCTTCTTTCTATTTCTTACTCCAGCCCCCCGTCCTGTGCTTCTGTCTTTAGAGGAGGGCCCAAGTATGGAGGGCCCGAGTGTGGAGGTCGGTCCAAGTGTAGAAGTTGGCTCCAATGTTGCAGATGTGGGTTCGAATGGGGAGCTGTCGAGGTGTAGGGCGTGTGGTGGCAGTGTCCCTCAGGGTACTCTTCTGCAAGGCAAATTCTGTAGCTCCATTTGTGCTCAGCCCTCCAGTGGCAGGTAAAAAAAAAGAAGAAAAAGTCAAAATGTTTTCTCTCTTTGTTATGATGATTTTTTTCCTGTGTTTTTTTTTTATCATCATAAACATTTTTTCTTCTGCAGATCCTCTCCAGGTGAATCAAGAGAGAATCAAGCAGTTGAGGGTGAGAGACTGGGGAAGCGTGTGCGCAAAAAGAGGAAGATTTACATGGATTCTGGTGATGAAGAAGAAGATAATCAAGAGGAGCCAGAGGTAAGGGCCAAACCCTCCCAATTCAGTGTAGAGTTGTTGCCTATTTAGCTGTTATAAGTCATAAAAGCATGAGACAGGGGGGAAAAAAGTCACTAGCTGTGATTATAAACATGCTCTTAATTTTCCCTGTCTGAAGGAAAAAGCCAAGTCTACCAAAGGCAGAAGAGGTGCCAAAGTCGCCAAACTGGGTATGACAGACTGCTGACATTTTCTCATTGAAGATTTTCTTTTTTTTTAAATACAGCTGCAGATGACATTTTATTTTTTCATGTAACAAATTAAAAAAATATATATTACAATTAGGCTGATCTTGATGGAATAAATTTAAACTGGGGAACAAATGTGTCTGCAGGTGCCTTATTCTCATCAGTGACAAATAACAGAGCTGGTTGTGCACAAACTCCAGTTCATAAGACTTATGATTAATTTATTTTTCAGTCACTGCGCCAACCAATAAGAAACGGGCATGGAGCTGGCCTGTTTACTTGGAAGAGGAGAGGTCAATCGCAGCTCCTGTCAAACTATTTAAAGAGGTACTTATTCTCAAAAAACTCTGTCAGTTTAGCAGATAAAGTTGTTTATATTTCCTCACTTAGACCAGATCATGACTCTGCTGTGATGTTTCTCCTTCTCTTAGCACCAGTCATTCCCGCAAAGCAGAAACGGCTTTAAGGTGGGGATGAAACTAGAGGGACTGGACCCGTCTCACCCGTCTCTGTTCTGTGTGCTCACTGTTGCAGAGGTACAGTTGTTGATCAGTTGTTTGTGGATTGCATTCAGTAAAAGAGAAAACAAATTTATCTCTGTTTATAATTAAGAGCTTGACTCATACTTCTGTGTTTCCCCTTTGTGTGTCAGATCCAAGGCTACAGGGTAAGACTCCACTTTGATGGTTACCCAGAGTGCTATGACTTCTGGGCAAACGCAGACTCGTGGGATATCAAACCAGCCGGATGGTGTGAGAAGAATAGTCACAAATTATTGTTGCCTAAAGGTACAAACAAACACAGACACAAAATGAAAAATCTACCCATGATTGAAAGAGTAAATCTCCAGAGTGATTTTTCCTGCAGGCTGTAAGGATGGAGAGTTTAATTGGGGCATGTATGTAAAGAACTGCAGAGGTCAGCTGGCCCCCAAACACCTTTTCAAGAGCCTCAACACAGTGAGTTATCATTACAGCCTGTAGACTCAGAAACCAAACAGGGTGTCCAGAAATTCAGGGGTTTTTAAAGTGCTGATTATGTTTTGTTTTTTAAACTCTAGTCTGTGACGCCGTCTGGATTCAGAGCCGGCATGAAGCTTGAGGCGGTGGACAGGAAGAACCCGTCGTTGATCTGTGTAGCAACAATTTCTGCTGTTGTCGATAATCGATTGCTCATACATTTCGACAACTGGGATGACTCGTATGATTACTGGTGAGAACAAAGAGGGAGACTGAAAGAAGAAGAGGGCTGCGAGGGTTTTACTCACCCTTTGTGGAGGATCTTATCTTTGTTTGCTTTTATGATGCACTTGTTTTCCTTCTATTTATTCATCCCTTTATTTATTTATTGGTTAAGGTGTGATGCTAGCAGTCCATACATCCATCCTGTGGGTTTCTGTGAAGATGTCAAATTGACTCTGACGACTCCAGCTGGTAAGACAGATCAAGATAACCTACACAAACTACATGCCCATTCTTGCTTTATACAGGATTTCCTTTGTTGTATTTTTAGTTTCATGATGCACTAAATGTTTTCAATAGGTGAAAGTCAGGACTACAGATGGGTCACTTTAGTGTCTAGCCGCTTCTACTACTGAGCTATGCAGTTGTAATTCATGCAGAATGTGGTTTTATGCAAGGTCACACCTGAAAACAGCATTATCTAGATGACAAAAACCCAGATTTATTGCTATGCATTAATGTTGCCTTCCCAGGTGTGAACTACCTATGCCATGGGTAATACCATCACATATAATGACTAGGGATGCAGGCTCAATACATTGCAGCTTGCTTCATGAAATATTTATAAAATTACAATATAGTAGCCATCAAGACTACTCTGTAGAGTTTCCTATCTCTCCCTCCCTTCATACCGCTCTAACTGCTGACAACACATTCTCCGGCCCATCCTGAAAACCCTCCTCCCTGCTTGCGTCATTTTCTAGAGAGGAGTGTAAAATGAGAAAGCAAAAAACAGATCCCAGGCAAGTTCACCTGCACTCCAAGAGGCTGTTGGTTTGATAATATGAACTCTGATGCCCCGCCCATTAACGTGAAGCAAATGGAAACTTGTTGGTCACACCTTTTACATCCTCTCCTACTTTTTACACCACCAGACTGGAATTTAAAAAGCACTCTGTATTGTGAAATAAACTGAATGCTGTTTAGTCAGCCTGAAGCTCATACTCAGGGGAAGATGTGAGATAGGTCAGACAGGAGTCCTGGTTGCAACATCTTAAGTATGTTAGACGCATTGTTGTGTGGATCTAACAAATGTTTTTTTTTTTTTTTTTTGCTCTCACCAGAATATAAGCAGCCCAAGGCTTTCTCATGGGAGAAATATCTGGAGGAGACAGGCACACAAGCTGCTCCTGCGAGGGCCTTTAAACCGGTACCACTTTACAAACACGATCAAATTTCAACATGTATGACAGTAGTCCAGATTCTGTCGTGACATTTTTGTGTGTCCTGTGTTTGTAGAGACCTCTCCATGGCTTCCAGTTGGGAATGAAAGTTGAAGCTGTCGATAAGAGGAACCCCATGCTCATCCGGGTTGCAACCATAGTGGACACAGAGGACCACCGTCTAAAAGTAAAAGACGCTTTCTACTAAAGATGTGTTTTGACATTCTGAGTTCTCAGCTTTGGTCAAACTTCCTTCTTGTGTCTGGTATTCTTTCCCAGATTCACTTTGATGGCTGGAGTTCAGAGTATGACTACTGGGTGGATACAGACTGCCCTGATCTGCACCCTGTGGGCTGGTGTCAGAAAACTGGACACCCGCTACAATACCCTAACGGTGAGATGTTTCTTGCCCCAAAAGTTCTGTTTGATACTCAGTGAGTTTGGCCCAAGTTTCTCAGTGATAAAAACTTTAATTTCACAGATGAGTCAGCAGTTTGACTGCATTTCTGGGGGTGGTTGTGAATCTGTAATGAAGTCAAATGGAAATTGTATCCCAGGATGTTTGCATACATACATTAACACTCTCTTGTGTGTCTTTGGGTGTATATTTCAGGCTCCAGTGAATTACTGACTGCCCCAGGACAAGGATGTCCCACTCCAGGATGCAATGGAGTGGGACATATTAGAGGACCTCGCTATGGGACGCACTACACGTTAGTAGCACCCACCAGGTTTTGTGCTTACTCATTTTCTTTGTTTTCGTCTTCTCTGTTCTGTCTCTGTGATTCTCAATCATAGTTTAATATGAAACACTATATCTCCAATGAAATCCAATTTTAACTTCCTTAAAGTAAATACATGAATGCATGTTGAGATTTTCTGATTTAAGGTTAGTTGTGTTGCTTTGGAGTCACTGATCGTGGTGTGAAAATCTACTCTTTTGTAATCTAACCCAATGCAGTTTGTTGCTGTCTCACTGAATTTGTTTCTAATGTCTTCATCTTAACTGCTTCATGTCACTGTTTCTTAAGCAGGACATAAATCATGAAACCTCATCTCGTTTTTATCAGTGTTTGGGGACTGTGTATTTTCTAATCCTAGGAGAAGCTCGACTCTGTTCTAAAATGTCATTGAAACCCATGTGGGCTGCCTGCATAGTGTAAATGTGTTGCTTGTGTTTGTGTGGGCGGTCAGAGTCTTTGGGATGGTTTCTTGAGCCGTTTCTCTGTCTGTTAGCTGGAACTTGCTTAACTGCAGAATGTTAAATGCACAGCTGACTTCGTTTGAGCTTGTTTACAGTTTGTGCGCCTTTGTCTGTGCAGTCAGGTGAGCTGTCCATACTCGGAGATGAACCTGAACAAGGAGGGCTTGCTGCCAGATCGCCTCAGTGGGGAAAGACCTCCCGCCCTTAGTGGACCTCAGCCTCGAGGCAGACGCCCCGATCCTCAAACAGTCACTACCACGCTGACCTCCTCTACCCCAGAGCTGCTAGAAGGGGCCGAAGACCCCCAGAACAGGTTTGCTGCTGAACATTACTGTACACACAGCCATCACCACACTAAGCATGACCATTCTTAGGAGGAGCTCCTAAGAGAACTCCTATAACTGTTTTGCATTCAGCTCTCTGCACTGGTCTGTACCTGAGAGTGTGTTAACTGTGTTGCTAGGAAACCGGTGACAGTTGAAGCTGAGCGTACAGGACGCAACACCCAGCCAGACCCACTAGGTGGAACTGGCGAGCAAAGCCACAATGGAACGAGGCCTAAACGGTACAGAGCCATCAGACCAAACTGTGGACTTGTGCTCTCTAGTTTTAGGAAGTAACCTCTGACTTTTCTGTTGCCTTATGTTGCAGAAGCGCTCCAGTTCCCAAATACCTGAAAATGCACTATGTGAAAGAGGAGATTGGTGATAGTAAAGGTACCCTTTGATTTCAAATGACACTAGCAGAAAGAGTGTAAATTATTTTCTATCTCCTGCTGACTCCTCTCCCTCTCTTCCCTCTCTTAAGCCTCTCCAGACGCCATCTCTCTACAGCAGGCCCTCCACGAATCAGTGTTCTCCCCCGGCATCTCTGCCTCCCCCCCTCACCGGGTGGCTCTCTGCTGGGACAAACACTGCCAGCTGCTGCCTGAGGTCCTGGGGCTGACTGCCAAGAGAGTGGCCACTTGGAGCGCTGAGGAGGTCAGAGATGCCCACACACATGAAAAGCAGACACGCACTCCTCAGTGAATCATCCAACATGAAGGCAGAAAGTTGCTCAAAGACAGGGTTCATAGTTAAAAAGGGAGCGATGAATAGTTGATATTTGGGCAGGTCGGGTTAACAAGTGAAGTTCATCCGAGACTTACAAGACACCTTGATTAGTGAACGAATAAATACAGATTATAATTCGTTGTTTTTTGTGGCCCTCTTCAACAAGACTCCTCTTTTTGCTTTTCAGGTCGCGGGGTTTGTGAAAGGACTGCCAGGGTGTAAAGAGCATGCTGCTACGTTCAAAACAGAAGTAAGTTTCTCTTTGTTGGGAATGGATTGTTTCAAAATGTGAAAATATAGGCAGATGTCTTGTGCTCTGTATTAGAATTTTTTGGGGGGTATGATAAGAATGAAAAAAAATTGCGCAAAATAGGCTGAAAAAGAGAAGATTGTAATGTAGCTGAAGAATTGTAAAATCTATGGGGAAAAAAGCACAAAAATTGATACAGTCTCTCTCTCCAAAAATCAATCACTTTTTCTCAGCGTTTCAGGACTTAAACTGATATCATAATCCCCCCTTGTAAGAATGTTCATCCGTGATCAGTTTTTCAATCTGCTTGTCTTGTTTCCAATGTAAAACAGAAAGCCGGTGCCTCTCTCCTTGCACTCTGATTTCTTTCTGACAGGACAAGAAAAAAAAGCTTTATATAAACAGTGGGGCTTATGTCACTTATTTCACATTTGAAATTATATATAGAGGAACGTACTTGTCTGTGTGTGGTGTAGTGTAGTGCATGGGTGCTGGAGCTGCAGAGTACATACATAAGGTACACACACAGGTGGACACATTACATAACTCTGACTCAATCAGTTCAATACTTGGGTTCTGCTGTAGCTTTCTTGCAAAAAAAAGGTCTTTTAATGTTAAATATTTTTGTATTGACACTGTCTGCACGCATATGCTTGTGTAAATGTTAGGTAGCTTGAGGGATAAAGAATATAATGCCAAATGTTTTCCCCTTTCACAGCAAATAGATGGCGAGGCCTTCCTGCTGCTTACCCAAGCAGACATCGTCAAGATCCTGTCAATCAAGTTAGGACCCGCCCTAAAAATCTACAACTCCATCCTTATGTTAAAGAACGCAGACGAGGAGTGAGAGCCATTACCTCTGCTTCAAGCTTCATCAACACTCAGCTGAAGACTTGATAAAATCAGCCTGAAGCATTTTCATCCGTGGAACTCTGCAGCAGGTGCAGCTACACGAGAGAAATGAGAGGAAGCCATCATCCTAAAAAACGTCCACCACCAGCCCCGCCCCCTTCCACCCACCTACCCTCTTACTCTCGTCATGAATGACAGAACTGATGAACCTTGAGAGAGATTTACATGAAACCCTGAAGAGTTATCGACTTAAGTTGTGTTTGTTTACCAGATCATTACATAAAAAAAAAAACTACAGGCACCTTCAATGCTTCTTAACATTGTACAGTTTTTGAATTGGATCTAGTTTCATAGTTTTGTTGATTTCTCTGTTTTCTTTTGAACTTTTGAGCTCATAGAAGATATTCAAGCATCTTTGTGCTTTGTTGCTTTTTACTCGGCAACAACAGATAATTTTTTTAAAAAGCTGCAAATTACAATCGTGATGTGGTGAGAGGTTTTCAATGTGAAACCCAGTGGAGCAGAAGCACTATGTAGTTCATTCTTTGTCCTGTAGATGGAGAAATGAGCCGCTCTGTAAGCCCTGAGGCAACAGTGATTGTTTAAACTCGAGTTGGCTGGAGCTAAAGGGGTGGGGTGGGGGGTAAACTTTGTGTGTTTGTGCGTGTGTGTGCAGATGTGACTAAATGTGTTTGAGAAAAGAGCATGAATGTCCCCACCAGCCTGTGTTTGTTGCTTTTCAGGTCAGAGGATTGTGTTGTGACAAAGCAGAGCTAAGGGCTAAACATTTAACAGCGGAAACTTGCAAGTCTTTAAAGGGACCATATTGTGCAGATTTCACTTAAGAATGGTTTTCTAACAATAATGTGAATCCCCAGCCTGTCTACAAACAGGAACCCCATGAGAAAATTCTATCCACTCCCTCTCTTGCTTGTTCCACCTTTCAAAATATGAGTGCTCAAACGGGCAGATTGGAACTATCGCCTTCCATGACTTCATGGACGGCGATAATGCTGCGTTCGAGTTACCTCAGAAGTCAGTTGTCGGAGCTGAAATTGACATCACACCCCAGTTACCAAGTCGGAAAAAAGCAAAATCGGAGACCTGAAAGAAGATGGCTACATCTACGAAAGTTACTTAGCGCTTGCCTTATCGTCGGACAAGGCAAGCGCTAAAATAATTTTCGTAGATGTAGCCATCTTCTTTCAGGACTCCGATTTTGCTTTTTTCTGACTTAGTAACTGAAATGCTGGTAACTTGGGTGTAGGCCTGTCGCGATAATCAATAAATCGCCTTATCGCTCGGTAAATAAAAACGAGGTCGGTCATTTTGCCAGCCTCGATAATTGACGTGCGTTTGTTTTCCTCCTCTCTCGCTACCAAACAGGCTGGATGAGAGAAGAGGTCTCACTCTGCGCATTTTTCTCGGCACCTGGGGGCGTTGGCTCTATAGCGGAATGAACGGAGTCAGTGAACCCTCCTGTCAGTCATTCAGTATCTTTGTCACGGGGGGGCGCGCGCACAGGTACACGTAGGCGCGCACAGGCACACAGACAGACTTTTGGATACAGTGCTGCAAGTAAGCGTCGTGAGTGAAAAGCAAGCAAACAGAGTGAACACGACAGCTTTGGTGTCTAAACCGAACGCAACAGCCCAAGTGTGGGAATATTTCGGCTTTAAACCAGTTTTGTTTTCGTCAACCACAAAACTCCACGTGTTTGCGCGCGCGCTCGTGTGTGTCTGTGTGTTGGAGGAGCACAGCAGGCTGATGAGAGCTGTCAGAGCGGACTGAAGCTGCTCCTATATGTTTAGCGCTTAACTGACTGAGTTTTGCAACTCTGTTCGTCATTTTCGTCTCGTCCCATCAACGTAAACGCACTTTCGTCTCGTCACATTTTAGTCATCTCCGACTTATGTTTAGCTCGTCAACGTTACGTCTTCGTCGTGGGTAAAATTAAAGTTTATCACTTTTGACACGGTGTACTCGCATTATTATGCCATTTGATATCATTATCTATAATTTAAAAAACGGTGTCAATAATATCGTTTATCGGCAATAATTTGTAGCACAATGATCGTCCAGCAAAATTTGTTATCGTGACAGGCCTACTTGGGTGTGACGTCATTTTCAGTTCCGACAACTGACTTCCGAGGAAACACTAACTTAGCGTAACTCCTCCACTACAGGTTGGTGACCCTACCCAAGATGTTCTGTTCCCAAAAATTTCCTCTATTTTTTCCCTCGTAAACACTGGTTGGAAATGGCGAAGGTACGAGCAAGGCAGGGATGACAGGGAGCTGCTATTATAAACATCTCAGCTCAAAACATTACAAAACTTTACGTTTTAAGATTTTTTAGTTCTACTTTGTCATCATCAATCACAGTCTGACATACAAGCTTGTAGTAGTGTAACTGAGCATAGGCTAGTAGTTGAGGCTGGTAGCAGTCCTCTGATTGCAAATCTTTTTCCGCAGACTGCAAGAACATCGTCACCAGAGATAACCATACTTATAATATTGCGCATTTACCAAAAAAGCTTCCAAGTAAAGAGAAGATAGTGGAGATGTAAACTGTTAGCAGGCGCTAATGTTACCTAGCTTCATGTAAGTCACTGTGTACCAAACATGGACAAAGTAAAAGTAAAAAGACAAATATTAAGACACTTAATATTTTTAACTAACCATTCAGAAGCGCACTGTCACAGCCACAGAGTTGGAATTTCTTCAAGAGCCTCTCCTTCTGGGTCTAACTGGTCCCTTGTAGGAGCAATACCTAGCACTCTGTAAACATTAGCGCATGGTACCGTAGGGCAAGCCACGCCCCCTTCTTCCAGAGAGACAGGGGCGTGGCTTGCGCTGAAGGAGGCATGGACAGGCGCAGCACAGAGAAACAGTGTGTTCTCAGTAGAGGTCACTAGAGAGTTTTCAGGCTGGTTGGAGTCCAGGAAAGATATGAGATTTTAGACAACAAACTTCAAATTGACTGTTCTTGGACCCCTGAGATCTAATCCGCTGAAAAGGAATATAATATGGTCCCTTTAAAGTGATAAAGGAGAAGATACACCAGTTCCCCCTTTCTCTGATTTTTGTTTCTTTCATTCACTCAGAAGGCACATGAACATGAATGTTGAAGAAAATCAGCTTTTTGTTGTTTTGTTGATATTGATGGTCTCATTTGGTTTTAACAACCTCTGTCAACCACATTGTAAATAGTATTCAGTAGTGTACATCTCTAAAAGGACTCCCCCTTACTCCTTAACAGTGTTTACTCCTGCTTGGTTATGCAAAGGCTTGACTGCTTGTCTGCAGGGAAGGACACAGTGACTGAAAAATGTGAGATTTTGAGAAAAAAAAAAAAGACAGTCAGTGTCTTTGTAAGTCAGCGTGTACTTTAGCAAGTTGGAATGTGTACATCAGCAACTGTTTATATGCAAACAGCTTTTATTTATGTATTCTAATTTAAGGTAATGGTACGCTGTTTTGGCTCCGAGGTGTCTGTGGCTGTTTGATGGAATGGGTGAAAATAAATGAGATGCGCACTGCCTGTTGTCCTCGCTTTATCTGTGGTAATCTCTCCAAATACACGCACATTCAGATTGTATTTTGAATGTTCTTTCAGTGGCATATGGAATCCTTCCAGTTGAATAAATGACCTGAAGGATTTTTGTGTGCTATCTTAGAACTTCATAACCAGAAATACAGCCAAGAAGTCCAGGACCTTCACAGCTGCTCTGCACAAAATGAACTGTAACATTGACTTTAAAATCTGTGTGACTGAGGATTAATTTTCACCCTGAAAGGAATTGATTTGAAGCCACGTGATTGCTTGATGGTAAGCCATCTTCTTTCAGGACTCCGATTTTGCTTTTTTCTGACTTGGTAACTGAAATGCTGGTAACTTGGGTGTAGGCCTGTCGCGATAATCAATAAATCGCCTTATCGCTCGGTAAATAAAAACGAGGTCGGTCATTTTGCCAGCCTCGATAATTGACGTGCGTTTGTTTTCCTCCTCTCGCTACCAACCAGGCTGGATGAGAGAAGAGGTCTCACTCTGCGCATTTTTCTCGGCACCTGGGGGCGTTGGCTCTATAGCGGAATGAACGGAGTCAGTGAACCCTCCTGTCAGTCATTCAGTATCTTTGTCACGGGGGGGCGCGCGCACAGGTACACAGACAGACTTTTGGATACAGTGCTGCAAGTGAGCGTCGTGAGTGAAAAGCAAGCAAACAGAGTGAACACGACAGCTTTGGTGTCTAAACCGAACGCAACAGCCCAAGTGTGGGAATATTTCGGCTTTAAACCAGTTTTGTTTTCGTCAACCACAAAACTCCACGTGTTTGCGCGCGTGCTCGTGTGTGTCTGTGTGTTGGAGGAGCACAGCAGGCTGATGAGAGCTGTCAGAGCGGACTGTTCAGACCAAAAAAGATCATTTTAAATTTGTTTTATACATCAGTTGTGGTATCTATGAGCTACAACATGAGGTCAAAACCCTAGTATTAAAGTCCACCATTTTAGCTTAGAGGACTAATTAAGTCATAATCAGAGCCGGCCCAAGCCTTAATGTGGCCCTGAGCAAAATTTGATTTTGAGGCCCTCTATTTCTGCCAATAATATCGATTGTTGATCATTCACACACATTAACAAATCTCTTTGATTAGAATTCCATGACATGCAAACATACCTTTATCTTGGTGTTTTTTCTTTTCTTCCTCTTTCTTTTCTCTGCTCCTGAAGGATATGTCCTTTTTTGCGACATTGTTTTGCCCCACAACTACCTGCACTTTGGATGCTCAGTGCACATCGCACAGCAGGAAGCACATTAAAGTTCGCAGGGCTTTGACATATCAGCAGTAAGAATCATACATTCAATCATTTATTTTTACAATAATATATATTTGATCTTACAGAAAGCATCACTAGTACATGCAAAAAAAAAAACATTAAAAACAATTTTTTTTATTGCTCTTGGGGGCCTCCTGTAAGCCGAGGGGGCCCTAAGCAGGCGTTTAGTTTGCTTTTGCCTTGGGCCGGCTCTGGTCATCATAGTAGTTCAGGGGTAAGTTGAGCACAGTACTCCTTTACTGTAAAAGTAAAGGAGTCTGATGAGAGGATCAGAGTTTTATTTCAGATTGTTGAAATCTTTTACTTTTTCTTTTCAAAAATACAGCTGTGAATGTTCTGAATCATTTAAAGACATTCTCATGTTAAAATGACTTTTTACAAAACAGCTTTTTAGCAGTTATACGCAATAATAATAAAAATGATTATTGTACCAGCTGAATGGTGTTTAATAGATAAAAATACACATGGATGTGAAGAAGTGACTGTTATTTAGGGAGAGAAAAGGCGAGGGAGGGGAAACCACTTTTGTTATGTTTACACTCATTCTGTTGGTTTGCAGGGATGCACAACATAGTGAAATATATGCAGATACACTCGTTAGAGACAAAACTATGATTGTCTTGATGATGTGATCTGAAATATGAAAAATGTCTCATCTTACCCCACTCTCCCCTAATGTACTTTTCCGCACATATTTGACATCTTCCACTTTTCTGATGAAAGGAGGCGTATTTTTCTGAAATTTGATGTCTTGCTGATCTCTAAGAATAACTGAGCTCAGCGTGGGACTGGCCTGGACCAGCCACAGATTCCCACGACCCCTCCTCTACTCACAGAGCGACAAATCCAAACACTGGCTGCAGAGGCGCACAAGCAGCGAAGAGACACGGAGGCAGATAGCAGCTTTGCACCACTTTTAGTGAGACTTTTTTTCTCCCCACAGTAAAAGCTTCATTTTGGGTTTCGCAGCACCAGCTGTTGAGCTGCACACAGAAACGGAAAGGATAAAAAAAAACAACGTCCTAATCTGAGGAGGAATTAAGTGAAAGTGTGGATTTGAGCGAGAATCAAAGTGTTGGAGAAGATGTACGGAGGGGTGGGATGAAGCAAAGTCGGAGAGATTTATTTTGATAATGTCGAGGAGGCAGTTTCTGCTTCGGATTAACATTCAAAACAAGGCAAGTACCCAAACTGTTTTTTTCTCCTGACTGCGTGAAAGAGAGTGGACCGTGAACTGCAGTGGATTTCTGTAGTCAACACCAGCGCTGTCGAACTGCATGGACTTCATGTAACATAAAGATGCATGCGAAAAGAGCTCACCCGATACACAATCTTCATTCGGGTCCTGTTGAATCGTGTTGTGTTCACTTGCCTCTGGGGAAATTATATCATGAGTTCAACTGGAGCGGTTGTTGTAGCTCTATTTATTGACCACGAAGTGATTGTACAAAGAAATCATGAATCATAAGGTCTTGATAGGGGTCAGATGTGTTCCAGCCTCATGATGATGAATGAATTGCTCAGGAGCAGTAAAGTCCGGGTTCAGAGAGGCTACAGCAGTAGAGAGCTGAGTCTCTGTGTGGCTCCACAGAGACACTGGGGGAGCTGCAGAGGGTTTGGCATCTCATTAACTCAGCCACATGTCTTATTAAAGCTGCTATTTCCTGTTGTGAGCAATGCAGAGTAAACTATCTCCTCTCCAACACCCTCAGCTCCCTCCATCTGACACCGCCTGCTCCTCTAATTCTCTCATTTCTTTCTCTCAGTCAGAAGCCAGAGGATGACAGCAGCCAGTCCTGTCTGCAGCCCTGCCTCCTCCCACTCTTCCCACTCTTCTTCACCTGCCTGCCTCCCAACATGCCATAGACACCTGAGGGAAGGCAAATCCCTCAAGACTAAACTACACCTGCGATCCGCACCCGGTGTGTGGCTTATGCTGGGCGTAGCAGTGGTTTTGGTGGGGATGGCTGTTGCAGTGGCGGGTTACGTTTCGGCGGCACCAAAGCCCGTGGGTGGCCGAGGCAGCACTCATGTTGAGAGGATGAAACTAGCGGGTCCTGTGGTGATGGGAGTGGGCCTCTTCATCTTCATCTGTGCTGCCACGCTGCTGTATGAGAACCGGGACCGTGAAGTCCTCAGACAGGAGATACCCGACGACCTGGAGGATCTGAAGGGAAGGAATGGCTGGGAGGATCTGCAGGAGCAGCCCAGCTTCAGCTGCCAGGAGCAGTGGGAGTGTGGCGATGGAGAGCAGGGTTGTTGGGCCACTCCGGCCCACTCACGCCCTCTCTTAGACCAGAACTGTGGAGCTCTTCTTCCTCCTCCTCCGTTTGGCAGGAATAGACAAAACATCAGCAGCAGACTGTCTCCACCACCTCCTCCAGATGCAGGAGGTAGAGATAAAGATGAATACAGAGAGGAGGAGGAGGAGAAGGAGGGAAGATCAACGCTTTTGGCTCGAGTTCTGCACCACCAGGAGCCAACTCCTCACCCTTCCTCCCCCTGCTTGTCCATCTCCCACTCCTCTGTCTACTCAGACTCCTGCAACTCCAGTGAAATCAACTTCAACATACGGACAGACTCTCCTCTGCCGGCTCAACACTGAACCTCCCACTGATTCAGCCCTCATAAAATATGCATGACGAGTTACATTGGTTTCACGTGCAGGCATTGAACTAAAGGCAGGACAGTTTCTCAATTTGTTGTAATGCCTCTGAGTGGCGCAGTGGCTCTGAGTCACATTCTGTGAGGGGTTTTGTGTCCTACATCTTTCTCTGACTCACCCACGTTTAAAAAAATCAGAGCTATGCTGTTTGATGTCAACCAAATCCATCTTGTTGTCTTTGAACTCGCCGTACCTAAAATCCACAAAGCCACTGTGTGTTTGACCATATTAGGATGCGAGGAGGATTGCTGAAAACTTAGTCGGGAGAGAGAACACACTTGGGTTACTCTCTTTTCTCTTCAACACACACACATCCTCTCTGCAGAGATTTGGTAAGAGGATGAGCCAGATTAAGTCTCAATTGAGTTTATCTAATCTCACACATACTGTAATCTACTCTCTTATCAGAGTGAATTGGGTCTCGTTATAAACAACAGGAGCACAAAAGGACACACTGCACTCACCACACACCTACAGCCGCACTAAAAATACCAGCTGGTGCTCTGTATGCGCACAATGTGGACTCTAGCTTTTTGCCTTTTTACTGTATTTCAACAACTTTTCAGTGTCAGCTGCTTAGCTTTCTCCCTTTCCCCCGATTGTGATGAGGCGAGATCTTAAAGAATTTCAATTAGACTGGATCGGAAGAAAAGAGCAATGACTTGAGGAAAAAAGAAAAAAAACAGCGAAATCTGGTGAGGCGGTTGTGAGTTATTCCTGACGCAGCGTAACTGAGAAAAGCGGCTCTGTGAATCGTGTAACTGTAGCCTCACTCTCCCACCATCACGACCTTTCATGTCCTCTCGCTTCATCATCTGATTCCTACGCTTTTATTCAAATACTCCAGCCTCCATCATCTCAATTTGGCAGCGAGAATCAAACAAAACAAAACAAAACAGAGTGAAATCGACACCAGGGCCGTTCAATCCGAAGCGAGCACGTTTAAACAGGCAAAGAAGTAATGGGTAAGATTTTAATTATCACCAGCATTTTCTCCTCCAGCCTCTAATTACACCGGGGATCAGTCTGAAGGTTTTTATAGGTGCTTTAGGACTGCAGAGTATTTCCTTGTTGTTTGGGCTCATGCTGGGATCCTGCCATCCAGATGACTGAGACTGAGGTGTACAGTAATTTCCAGCCACACATTTCACTCACTCGAACAGCACCCATCTCTCCCCCCCTCTTGCGCACAGCTAGTCAGAAGAAGGTGATGTGTGGGTTCAGCGTGCAGTTTTCAAGAGCTGGACACAACATTCAGGGATCGGTTTGGGAGATAAATCAGAATCTTGAAACAAGCTGTGAGCAGCCTCCTTCGCACTTATCGCTCAGAAAAGCAGCTCCTTCCTGCACCCTCACACGTACTGTACATGAATCCTTCGCCTCACCATGAGATGATCCTTTTTTTTTAAACAGAGAGAGATACTTTTGGATTTATTTTCATGAATCTGCAGGAAATGTTGAATTTTTATGCGTCTCACTTAACTCAAATGCTGTTCAAAATACATGCAGCAATGAAATCGGTTCAGACAGGTTTTCACCTCATTTCAGTCAAAATGATCTTGAAATTGTACAACCTAGTTAACGCTGATGCTTTTCTCAACATTTGTAGGTTATAAGGAGGACACCAGTCTCGAAAACTGTGTGAGAGAAATACTTTTGGATTTATTTTCACGAATCTGCAGCAAATGTTAAATTTTTGTTTCACCGAACTCAAATATTGTTTTCCGCTCCAAGGTTTAAAACACATGCAGCAGTGAAATTAGTTCAGATAGGTTTTCACCTCACTTCAGTCAAAATACAATCTAGTACAACCGAGTTAATACTGATGCTTTTCTCAAAATTTGTGAGTTATAAGGAGGAAATCAGTCTCCAAAACTGTGTTTTTTTGATCACATAAAATACAGAAAAGCAGCTCAATATCGTGTTTGGGAAGCTGAAACAGAAAATTTGTCACAAATTTTTCAATTATGATCAATAAACAAACCATTTCAGCTCTGCTGGTGTGAAATATGTATGCTCCTGTCTCTTTATTGAACATGCTCAGTTCATACAGAGTTTAGATAATGAGCCAATTTTTAAATTTTCTGATCAAATATGAGGAACTTTTAAGTTTGAATTGAATACCAAACAGAGCAGAAGACTTTGCTAAGGTTTCTCATGTGCACATCAGTGTCTGCTGTTACATAAGTCTGTGACAAATGTTGTTTTGCAGCATTGACAATATAACTGAATCAATCCCCTCCACTGAGAGATTAAGTGTGGTGATATCTAAGTAGACGGATGGGTGGCTGTAAGCTTCTTAATGTTGCGCTGACTCCGGACTCGTGCATCTTTGTTCCTTAAGAAGGTGGAGCTATCTTCAACATTTTTTTTTTAATCCGTATGACGGGTATGACTGTCTGAGCATTAACCAGCCTGATAATGTGTAGGTTTCCGTTTACTCAAATATTTCACCTGCTTCAGCCAGAAAACGGATAGAATGAAAACATCTTTGTAAAAAATGAACTCTACAAACGTGACGTTTTCAACATCTGGCATCATTAAAACGGAGGGATTAGTGGACAGCTTAGTCGCCACTTTTTATCAAACAGTAAACAAACCAATTTCAAGCATGAACAGAGATTTAAAATTCTTGACTTAACACCCTTTTTTCCTGAGAATCAAGCTGAGGTCAGCATTCTCCAGATATTTTACACTAAGATATCCTTTATCTGATCAACTGCAGTATTTCAGAAGCAGTGATCGGTGCAGGAGGGAGAGCAGGTGCTCCCCGGACTAATCCAATTTCAGCCCCTGAGTTTGGTCCTCTACAGTTCTCATGGTGCAGTCAGTGGAGGGAGTGTCGTGTTCAAAATGAAAGGACTGATACTGTGTGTTCTTGCTGCTTTGACGCTCACACCTGTAAAAGGTAAGAAGACGTGATTTTAGTGGGTGAAGAACCTAAGAGGCTTGTAGCTTATCTTAAAAGCAACATTTTTCACTGTTTGACAGACTTGATGATTTTCTTATTCTAGAGATTCGATGTAAATATCTCTGAATCAAAGGTTTTCACCAAATAGAGTGAAGCTTACTTCTGTCGGTGTATTCAAAATCATTTTATTTACAAAAGTGTAAAGAAAGATAAAGCAGCAAATTGTGAGGGTACACATTTCTTATTCACAGATTCAAATTGAGAATTGAATGTACCTATTGTGTTGTTTCAAATGAGCAGTAAAATCAGCTGTTTGATAGTTTTACAGGCAGTAGTTAAATCTACCTTCATTGATATACGTGTATGTGAGCACATACAGATAATGCAGCACAAAGCAGCCCAAAAATGTTGCGACCTGTCTAAAACTGTTTCAGCAAATAAGACGAGATTATGGCTCATTTCAGCAGGATTGTGCAAAACTGCATGAGCCAGGTGCGCATAATACAGAGATCCTAACACCCAATACTGGCCACAGAGCTTACATTTTGTGTCTTTGCGCTCCCTTCAGTATTCTCATGTCTGCTTGTTCACCTGAGCTGGCACTAACTAACAAGATGACAGGGGATAAGGACTGTTAGCCCTCCTTAACTCGATTCATCGTCCTGCAGAGGAGATTTATGCAGTACCAGCAGCTGAAACTGAAGCTTGGTGCAGCACTAGAGTTGCCCATTTGGCAACTTGGTGGACTACTCCAAACATAAATCTGTAACAGAGATGCTGTAACATTCAGAAATACTCAGAAAATCACATGCTTTAACATCTATGACCCTAACAAATGGCACAGATGGTATGCGCTGTAAATCAATGCTCAAAAGGGACTTTCTGCCACAATTTGCTTCAGTTTCCCACTGTGAAAGAATATCTTACATAAAAGCCTCTTTCATTTAAAAAAATTTTGTTCCGTTTTATTTTGAGGGGTTGTGCAGTGCAGCATGGCAGGGATAACTCCGGGTTTTTCCAACTCCTTTACAACGTTTTCTGCAAACTCTTTCTATTAATCCCAGTATCTGTCTGTTTAATAAAAACACGATGGAGCCTGAAGACTTGGAGCTCTCCCCGGCTAACACAAGTCATCCACTCAAAGAAACAAATTCCAGACTCCTGCAGTATAAACATTATATCTCTGAGACGCTTGAAGAGGTTGACAGAATATGGCTTATCAGTTTGACATGATGTCCCTCAATAGCGCTCCAACACTTAACACATTCAGCACATCCTGAATAATAAATGAGTCCAATAAGCTAGGACATAAACGCCTCCAAATCTGAATAATCTAAAGCATTACTTTCGTTCCCCTGACATCCATAATTAAGAACACACTCATGTATTCTCTCTTTGCTTATTTAAATTGAATATTTGTGACTGCTTCTTGTACTGTTTCATTTGTGATTTTTCAGAGCTTTGCCTTAAACTGTATCCTGCCATCTTGGCAAGGTTTACTCAGAATACTGTCCATAATTTTTTCATTTGGTTGTAAGACTCAGTCCTTTGGCTATTTGCTCTGTCAAAATGTGTTCCAGCAAAGACTGATTAAATCAAACTGTTTCTGTTGTGTTTTTTGGGGGGTTCAGGTGAGGAGGAGGAGCCTGGAGAGCAACTCTTGGACTCAGCAGGACTGGAGCATCAAGGAGTCCTGAAATGTTTTCGTTGTGAGCTGGGCTTTTGGGATGCCTGCTATACCACAGAGACAAATTGTAGCCACAAGGAGGTCTGCTTCACAGGCCGAGGGAAGGCAGGTGTGTTGGATAACACTGTCATTTTGTCAGTCTATTTTTAATCAATTAAAGGGATACTCCGGCACAAAGTTAATTTAGGGTCAAACACACCGTAACAGCGAGTTAGAGACCCCCTCGAGAGATTAATGTTGCCAACCGCTTGCTTCTCTAATTATACCAACTTTAGTAATGACCACACGGTAGCAATACACAGCGGTCTGAGGAGCCATAAACAAACCTCAACCAAAACGCCACTTTATGGCCACAAATAATGCTCAGAACAGCACCTAACTTCATCAACAGTACATATAGGGTCCTAGCCACCAAACATCTTTTAAACTTTGCCTAATTTATTTAGCAAAGAGACTAAACACAACTCACCTACTCTCTTCCAGCAGCCGCTTGTTTGTAGCAAGACCTCAGGCCAGTCCATTATGGACTGCTGCGGGGTGACGCAGCTCAAGGAAGAACATTTATGATCATTTCTTTGAAGTAATAATCACCATATAAATCATTTTGCATGGCAGACGCAGTAGTTCTTCTGCCTTAGCGTCTCGGCCTGATTGCATTTCCATGAGTCTTTTTGCTAGAGAAATCAGGCAAAGTTAAAAAGATGTTTGGTGGTTAGTGCTATGGCTAGGACCCTATATGTACTGTTGATGAAGTTAGGTGCTGTTCTGAGCATTATTTGTGGCTATAAAGTGGCGTTTTGGTTGAGATTTGTTTATGGCTCCTCAGATCACTGTGTATTGCTATCGTGCGGTCGTTACTAAAGTTGGTATAACTAGAGAGGCAAGCGGTCGGCAACATTCATCTCACAAGGGGGTGTCTAACTCGGTGTTACGGTGTGTTTGAACCTAAATTAATTTTACACTGGAATATCCCTTTAATACCTCACCATTGGAAAGGGGAATCTTATGTATGTACTTTATGTTGAATTCACAAGAGGTTCTGTCATTTTCTCCCCAGCTGACACTCTGGATGTTAAGACTTTGGGTTGTGCAAAGGTGGAAGAATGCGGCATGGAGTCGGGAGTGGAGCTCTTTTATAACAAAACACTCTTTATCATGACCAAACACTGCTGCAACACGGATTTCTGCAACTCAGCACACAAACTTCCAATCAACACGCTTCTATATCTCCCAGTGGCTCTGCTAACGACCTGGCATCTCTCTGGATGCTCAAAGGCATCACAATGAACAAGCTGAATCATATCTATGCTGTCAAAACAATCAGGGGAAGACTCTGTGAGGTGATGCTAGAAGGACTTTGACCATATGGTGAAGAAAACTACCAGCTTACTTTATTTTTATACGGTTCAATAGACTACTTAATGAGAAACCACAGATTAGATAATTAGAGCATGAACATATCAATACAGAGGGCTGTTAATCCAACCAATCTGTATTCTAATTAATGTTAAATACAAACAAAGACATAGAACGTGTGAATAACTAGCTTTCCGAGCATATGTGGTAAAATATCTAGTTGAGTTGTGTAACCCCTTGTGATATGTGTAGGGAAAGCTATCCTGTCCAGAGGTGGAACATCAGCTGGTGTGTGCTCTCTCACAGAATCAGTTGTAAACATTGGGAAGTGACTCAACAAACTAAATGAACAAACTAACCACAGACAGCAGAAACGTGACTGCAGTCACAGCGCACAGCTCAACTGCGGTTCAGCAGCTCCCCAGCAGAGGGCAGGAGCTCCTCTTTCATGAAATGCTGAAGGTCCAAATCTTTGTCCTCCAGGTCAAGGTTCAGGAATTTCTCCACCAAGGACTTGCATCTGTCAGTCACACAAACACAAACTCATCTTTTTGACACACTCGACTTTAATATTTTTTTTTTTTAATTTTTGCCATTCTGTGCAGCTGAATGTGACAAACCTGTTTGCTTGCGCATCTGATGTCGCCCTGTTAATTCGTTTGACGGGTCGTCCTGTCCTGTACAATTCAGACACCTAACCAGACACACAGATCCAGAAACAATCTTTCTGTGTAAGTATCTATCTGTGTTTGTCTCTGTGTGTTTACCTCCACTCCTCTCTGTACAAGGCTGTTTGGCAGGCCGGCCAGAGTGGCGATGTTGGCAGCGTAGCTGGACTGACAGATCCCTTCTTTCAGTTGGTACAAAAACACCAACTCATCACCATCCACTGCTGTCTCTAGAGTCTACGCAAACACACATTAATATGCAGCCAGACAAACAAACAAATCGTCATACTTATTAAATGAACTTTTAATGGTGTATAACAAATCTCAAGAGAAGCCCTAAAGCCAATTAGTCCCTTGGAAGTTTTCCTTTCAACATTATACCATAGTGCATCAGTCTACCACCAGGAATCTGCATTTACAAAATCCTTTGGGCTACACTCTATCAGATCAGAGAAGAAGACTTTTTTTTAGTACCAGCAGAGACAGCAGGTTGGAGGATGGTAGGAGGCCAAGCTGCAGCAAACTATGGAAGTTGGTGGCCAACAGCACATGTGGGACATTCACCGGAGCTGTTCTCAACCAGTGAGTGATAGATGCAGCCAGCAAGGACAATCCATCCACCTGTATAGACAGCATTACACTGTATTAATGAAGTTGCTGTTAATCAAGTTTTTCTGTATCTCTTTGAAAAGTGTAAATTAACACAAATGTCACTGATTGATTAAAGGAGCATTAAGAGTTACACTAAAGTCCCAGAACTTTTTCATCGAGTGGTGAGATGTTGAGTGTTTGTGTGTGTCACTTATCAAAGCAAAACAAACCTCTGTGATACAGAAAATACATCCACATTGGACATAAAGGCTGAAACAAACAACTTCTAGAGGTGGACATTTCACACATGTCACTTTGACTCTTTTATCTTCACGTTGTTTGAAGCAGTAACTTATCTAGAAGTCATGACATGACAGTGTTTAGTCTGTTTAATACCCTTAGCTCTTATAAGGTTAAGCTTTTAACTCATGATAGCACGAGGCTGAGCTGGTTCCACCAATAAACCAATTAACATGACATTCCTACCCAGTGTCAGTGGATTTAAAGGTCCACCGAACAGATGTCCCCCTTTTTTCACCTAGAGCTCATTAAATTAACCCTGTAACTACAACAATGGTAAAGATTATTCATCAGTTACAATGTTATTCAGCAGAAGCTTTTGTCCAAAGCAACATACAGTTGAGAGTAAGTGCAACACAGCAAGAACAGAAAGAGCATTCATCTAGTTCCTTTTTCTGGAACAAATCAAGCCTGTTTACTCTCTTAGCTGTTTTTGGTGACCACCACACTCACTAGCCAGTTGTTAATTGAGTGGGCTGGCTGTTTGGTGGGAAGAAAGAAGTATACAGTCATCTTTTAGCTGAAAACATCTGCCTGCTGCAGCTAAAACACAGCTGTTAGAGCGGTGAGTGGAGACTCAAACACTAACTTTGTTAGAGAGACAGCTTCACAATGAGTTAAAAATGTTGTTATGCTGAATAAAGCCAAGTGGTACAACAGATACTCTCTGTTCCATCAATATAGGCTACCTCTTACTGTCTTTGGTCAGAATAAAAATGTTTATTATATTGAAATCAAACTCTTATTTTTAGTATCAATGAAGAGGACTGAAACGGACCCTTTTAGGCCACTTCAATCATTTTCATTGATGTATTTCTTCTGACCTTTATCCACACCTCTAGTTCAAGCCCCAATGCTGCATTATTACAGCCCTTATCTGTAGGTGGCAAACATTAACACCTCTATTGTTCACCTCAAGGTCTCGACAGCAGCCGCTATTTTGCTCCTCATAGGTCGCACATGTTGGGCTGAACTAAAGGTCTGTTCGTGCTGCAGCTCCAAATGGCAGAGTATCGTCTGAAACTGTTTCCAGGCTCTTTGAGTTTGATGACACTGTGTGTCCTTGTTAAGAGTCTACATATGTATTGTGTTCACAAAGGGTAGGAGCACGTTTCTTCTTACCGTGTTGGTTCCTTTTCCAAATTCATCAACAAGAACTAATGAGTTGCCGGTGCTGCTGTTCACAGCCTGGGCCATCTGGAGAATAGACACACAAACTGTTATACCACACTGTGCTATCTTAGTGTGTGTATGTTTGGTGTGTGTTTTGGTTGTAGGCTGTAGTTTCTGCATAAAAATGTCTTGACAGGTGGAAAGTGGGAGTGAAGCTGGAGGCCAGTAGTGTTGAAAGTTCACATCTTTTATTTCCACACCTACACACACATACACAATAAAGCTTGTGTGAGTGTCTTGGGTACCTGGTTTAGGTCTATCATGAAGGTGCTAAGGCCCACAGACACAGACTCTCTGCTCTGCATGCGGGTAAAGATCCCATCTACAAGACCGATCTCTGCCTCCTTAGCAGGCACGTCTGAGCCGATCAGAGCCATGAACACTATAAGACCCACCTGCCAAAGACAAATCAAAAAGGGATGGTGTAACTTGAAACAAAGAGAATGGAGATCAGCTATTTGCTTTGTGAACTAGACCATGAAACACTGCAGAGAGCAGGCGCAAATAATGCCCAATTCTTGATGTTACGAGCAGCCACAATGCATTCTTAGTGAAACAGCCCTCATTGTCCAGAAAAACAAAACAAAAACAGTGATCTCAAAATCCCAAACCCACCAATGACAAGCAAATTCCAAGCCAGCAGGCCTATGTAACTGTGGGGTAATACACATACACATACACAGACATGCTAAGGCAGATATCGTTGAGTTGATGAAGACCTAAATGTCACCACTCTTTCCACGACTCATAATATTAAACTTAGAAGCAACTGTGAAGACCAGAAGGTAATTTCTGACTGGCTTACCTGTTTGAGGTAGATGCTTTTGCCGGATGAGTTTGGCCCAGTGATAATTTTTACTCTGCTGTGCGACTCAGAGCTCTGGAAGGAGTTGGCCACAAATACAGGGGAGCACAACTCTAAGAGAGGGTGTCTAGAAAAAATGTTTTTTAAAAATACCTTTATGAATCACACACTGCATTCCTAAATAAACACAATTCCTGCTTCTTAATTAAAGGCTTACCTTCCCTGTATGACTGTTATACTCCTTTGGCTGGTTAGTTTTGGCGAGGTGTAGCCGTATTCTTGAGAGGCGCTGCTCATAGCCATTAAACAGTCCAGCTCAGCAGTAAGATCCAGAACCTACAAAACACACAATAAAGGGACTGACTGTCCTCTTTACAGAGCTGGTTGTAGATGAAAGTGAGGCGCTTGTATTCACAGACTTATGAGTACTCTGCATGACTTATTGAGTTGTATTTAGCCACATTTGAAGGGAAAACATTCATGTCTGTAATTGAGAGTTCAGAAAACCTTGAATGAGATTGCAAAAAAAAAAAAAAGAATTTGTTTTGGATGTTTTGATTTTTGCTGTTTTGGAATCTGTGTGTTTGCAGTGAAAGTGGGGTGATGTTAAATTCTACTCTAATAAATCTTAATAGGTAATAGGAAAACACTGTAAGTCTGTGTTTTCATAAAGGCTGTTAATTTAACTGCAATGCTGAAATCTGCCACAGTATTATAAACAGTTATTCGGGGCAAGACTCTAATGTACTTTCTGTCTGGAAAAAAAAGCCATAAAATCAGCATTTAAAGCCTGTAATGGACTACCACCTATTTGCAGAAACCTACAGACCTGTTTCATTATTATAGTTTGTGGCACATTCAAAAGAAACTTTAATTCTGGTCACAACAGACACCAAAAACATGCATAACCAAGTGCCTGGAGGGGATGCAAACAAACCTTGTAGATGGATGCACTCCTCTCCAGAATTGTGTTCTGCAGCTGTGTCATCACTGCTGTCTCCATGTCTGGAAAACAGGAAGTGCTTTTGTTGACTTCAGTATATTTGATTACAAAATAGAGGGGCAAAAGTTTTGATAAATTACCTCTAATGTCACAGTGCAAGTCTCCAAGAAGGTCATCCAGCTCTTTAGTTCTCTGGCTGCGGTAGTGCAGACGATCCTCTGACAGAAACTACCCCCCCCCCACACACACACACATAAACACAATGAAAAAGTGTAGTAGGGCTAGTGTAGAGGTCATTTTCAAAAAATGCAAACAAATCAAGAAATATAAACAAGCTCACACACAAACCATAAAATCAAGCCCCTCTATCTCAAAATCCTCTTTCTCTACCATGCTGGGAAGGCGAGGGACAGAGAGCAGGAACCCTATCTACATGGAGAAATTCATCATTGACTCTTGCTGACCTGTGAGATGCTCGACTGAAACTGATTCTGCAATATCTTTGTGACAACAACAGATTATGTAGTATGATTCAGGACAAAAACAAATAAAAGTGTAACTGTTAGGAAGATGAATTTCAGCTGGAAGTGGTGTAGATGTTAAACTCAGACCAGAGGGATGTAGATGACACAGCAGGAGGGGATGCGATTGTCCAGGTGTTCAAGCTCTCTCCTTGCTACATCTGTCAGGAAGTCAGACAAGCCCATCATCTGCCTCTTCTCTGAAACAGGAAGGATTTAATTAAGAGATTTAATCAAATTTTTAGCTGACCATGAAATATATCATCTTATTATTTATACACACCAGATTTAATTTCAGTATTAAGGTTCTTACTCTCATCGATTGCCGGGTCCACGTTAGGCTTGATAGTAAAGCGGTTCTCTGCTATGCTGCTCTCAAAATCCACCTAAAAGTGGAGTAGTACCTGCTCACACTGAAATTTTCCTAAAAAATCTGGTCAAGATTTATCCAAGATTTACAGCTGTGAATCAAGGTGTGTCTCACCACACGGCTGATGAGGGAGGCAATGTAGTGGAGGTCATCAGAGAAGCCGTCACTAATATCATGGAAGAGCTGAATGGACTGAGGCAAGTGTCGCACTGTGTCCATGATGCACACCATACTGTACAGTGTCTGACAAAAACACACAAACACAACATGTTGTTCAAGTTTCACAGAACCTCCAAGAAGGAATGTGGCAGTGCTGTAGGTCCAACCTTGTGGAGACTCTGCCAGTCTGTGACTTTGGTGTGAGAGAGAGACATCCTGCGCAGAAGAGTCTAATAAACACACATACACACACACACAAACACACAAATAGACAGAATAGCTTTAGGGCAAGACAAAGTTTCCATGATCAGTGGGTGACACAGCAGGGAAAAGAATAAATGTTAACAGATGTAGAGAACAAAGGAGGTCATTGCTTGTTACGGGTATGTTGCTGATGTTGCGCAGTGAGGACTGCAGGGTGCTCAGGGTGTCAGAGTTCCGGGGTGACGTGAAGAAACAAATCACTTCCTGTCTCCTGCGTAACACAGCCAAGTCCTGTGTTGGCCGCAGAAACCACTCACTAACAGATGAGGGGACATTCATTAAATCTGTACTACTTCTACTAAAATAAAAATGATTTTAAAAAATACAATTGTGTAAAATCCACATTTTAAATGAAAGTTGTGTGTTTGAAAAGTTAAAGCTGGGATTAAAATCTGTGTCTTGATAATAAAATTGTTGACAGCACCAAAAACAGATGATGCAATAAGAAGGGGGTGGGGGATTTAATTGCTGTAGACACAAGCAGCAGCAACAAACTTTGACATCCTTGATTCAAACATAAATGTTCTGCCTGAATCACAAACTACTTAAGTGTTTCTAAGTAAACTTTAGTTTATTATGTTGCTTTGGTTATGTTTTTTTTTTTATTGTGTTTCATGTCCTCAACCACAAATCAACTTTAAAATATTAGGTAATTGTTTAAATATTAGAAACTGATGTCTTAATCTTACTTTTTAGTTAAATCTAAATCTGGATGTTTGTGAGATTTGTTACTCACCGTAGCAGTTTGGAACCAAACTTGCACCTGCAGCGGTTCAGTATCCCTGCAACATACAATTAGTTCTAGCAGTTCATGCAAACACAACTAGAGGACACAGAATGGGTTGTTACCTTCACGGGGTCATACCATAAAGACTGAGTCCTTCTTTTTCACCAGAGTGCAGCTTGTATACCGACGGGTGAAGTTCTGACTTAAAGATTTGCAGAACACTGAAACAAATGCAAAGTCAACCATGAGAGCTTCATTACTTTCTTTTTTTTATTTGTGCCAGCCTTATCTGAAGATAAACATGGTGTATGTACCGCAATTTGACTTGTTTATTAATTTTATAGAAATAGTGTTTATCACCAAAGGTGCCAAACCACATTATGGAAATAGCAGCAAAGACAAGAATATAAAACACAAGTCAAAACTCTTTGTACAGTAGCTATCACTTTGGAATCTTGTGATAACATGTTATGAATTAAAGCTTGAAAATTAAAACTTTGTTGACTGACTGAAAAACTGCATGTTATAGATAATTGAAAAATGGAAGGTTTCAGAAAAGTAAGTTTATGACAACGGTTAATATCTTCTGTTAAGTTAATAGTCGTGATACATCAATTTCTCTATAAAGTGAAAAGAGATTCAGGAGTCAAGAGTCAGCTTCTAGGATAAACAACGCTTAATGTTACAGAGACTATGCTGAAACTCTCACCTGTAGGTGTCTCGGTCAATGCAAACAACACCTTTACTGTAATGGAAAGAAACAAAGCAAGCAAGATTTGTTGTGCATGAAAACTCCAGCATTACATGTGACAGATGTCTTTTACTTTTGATCAAATAGAAAGACTTGACACAGAGCCTAAAATATACAACAATACTGCTTATTTGAGTAGCTGAATACAGAGCAGTGAAAGGCACTGTTCATTGAGAAACTCATTAGGGACAATGTGTTATCGCAGCTCTATCTGTGTGTGTGTGTGTGTGTGTGTGTGTGTGTGTGTGTGTGTGTGTGTGTGTGTGTGTGTGTCCGCAAAACTAAATAAATGTGTGTCTCACAGTGTGTAGGCGTGAAACTGCAGGATCGGAACTCCAACACTGCTGTCTTCCAGCTCCACTCCCACTCTCCTCCTGTCCAGACATTTGAGCAAAGCACCCACTGCCCTCAGCTACACACACGCACACACACACACACACACACACACACACACACACACACGAAAAACACAAGAAAATGATGGATAGCTCACAAGAAGTCCTGCACAGGGACTGGCTGATTGATAGGATGATATTTGGACAGATGGCTCACCATCAGGGGTAAGTCAAAGGAGATACAGGAGGAGAGGTAGGACATTTTGTCTCTCTCCGAAATGGAGGCAGGAAGGAAAGGAAGGTTTGCCGACAGCAGCCTCTGCTTACCAACCTCTAGACCTGTAAGATTCATGACAGGTTTCAAACTTCTGTTATTTTTGGAAAATCCTGTCTTAAACTTTGTGAGCAAATTTGAGCATTGCTGGGTGAATATTTACCAAAGTCAACAAACGGATAGGTAACCACTTCTGGTTTGTATTGTGGGTTTGCACCTTAAATTCGCCAAAGAGGTAAAAAGGAAATTATTGGTGGTGTGAAAAAAACAATTATAATCAATGAAGAATAGTGTCAGTATGATGTGCTCATTTACAGCTTGATAAAAAAGAGTGCAAGATTTGAAACAATTTTTGCTCATTATACAAGCTTGCTGTCAAGTGTCCTAAATTCACTTCAGAGTCAGACTTCGTGTTCACAAGCAAAAAAGAAAAAAAAAACATATGTGACATTATACTTTTTACCCACTCTCTTGTGAAATTACTTCTGTCTCCTAAAACTTACTTAGTTGTTGAAGGAAACGTGCCATGCAGTGCTGCTGCTTTGCACAGGTAATAATAACATGGGGATTAACCTCCTGGATGACTAAACATAATGGAAAGGAGGAAAAAACACACACAGTTTAATAGGGCAGGCACAAATTATAGTTCAAAAATTAATTATAATTTCTGTTAAAATCAGCCTTTGTTTATAGCGTTTGCAGCAGGTGGTGTAGTTCTCACCTCTGGCCAGTAGGTGGAGCTCGTGGTCGTCAGGAGTGTCTTTCATGTAGTGTAAAGAGGAGTCAGTGCTGTCATAGAAGCAAAGGGCCACCTCTCCGTTCTGGGCGAAAACACTTAGTAAAACCTGGTTACAAACAGTAAAATGAAGTAAATCCTTTCTGATGTAACTGTGAACTTTTTTGAGTGAGCTTACCGCAGGTGGGTTTTCGTTCTCGTCTTCATCTCCATTCAGGCTTTGGGGACTAAAAACTAACCCTGTTTCTCCTCTTCCTCTCAGGCCGTTCAGTGTTGTCATGACCAGTTTATTTTCTCAACAGAGAGCAAAAAAAAAAAAGTCACCAAATGTTACTTTCCTTGTGTGATATTTAACTGCCTTGTAAGTAAGACAATAAAATAATAAAAATGTAAATTGAGAAGCTATGAGGTGCCATTGTGGTTCTTGAATACAGCTATTTTATGGTAAGCTAGCGATATCGCCGGGCAGTTAACAGTTATGTTAAGTAAATTGACATCTAATTATTATTAGTTTAGTTTAATCATATGTACTTACTTAAGATGTCGAGGCTTTCTTTTACAAAGCTAAATAACAAGGTTAAATTTAAGACTATCTACCGATGTAACAGCTACTCGATAACAGGCAGGTACTCAGACAACCCTCACCTCACGTGAACCTTTTTTGCGCGCGTTCCTTTTTCACTCCTGTTGCCATGACAGCAGCTTCGTTATCGTGACCCGTACTTAGCTAGCTAAACGGAAAGAAAAAACCCACACAAGCGCGTAAAATTGCATTAACTTTTATTTTAAAAGAGAGATAACATGTATTTGCTCTCACATTTTACAAAACCATTCTTTCAGACTTAAAACAACGACAGTCTAAACCAGAAGTGTACGGTTCTACAAGCCAAAATCACAACACACCACGGTTTTACTGGCTGATTTATGTTTTCTGTAATGAAAGGCTTGATGCTATCAAACAACTTATGTAAATTGTCATTACTAACTTTTTTCCTCAATGTTTGTGAAAGATTTGAAATTGATATTACAGCGTAAAGTTAATTTAGGGTCAAACACACTTTAGTAACAACCGCACGATAGCAATACACAGCAGTCTGAGGAGCCATAAACAAACCTCAACCAACACACCACTCTATAGCCACAAATAATCTCAGAACAACACCTAATTTAGGGACCCTATATGTACTGTTGATGAAGTTAGGTGCTGTTTTGGGCATTATTTGTCAGCAACATTTATCTCTCGAGGGGGTGTCTAACTCGGTGTTACATCGGTCTCACAAAAAATATAGACAGTTTAAGTTTAAGATATATGGTAGTTGTCAAACAAAAACCTTAGATTTTCCACGACCATCAGCCCTCAATTAAATAAAACACTGCTTTATTTTAAAAATAGCAAACTTGACTTTAGCTTATAAATACTGTGATAAATAACATAATAAATAAACATGTATGGCACACATATTTACATTGTATTTCAAGAGAAAAAATGTTGTAAACTTTTGGTACACAGTCTGATGTTATAAAAACATTCCTATTTTGTGTGTGCAAGCACAAACTAGTGACTAGAAACCACATAGCTCAGAAGACAAGGAGGAAGAGGCAATTTGGCAGTTTGTTCTTGTCTGTCTTCTCCCAAAAACTGACGAATTGACAATCTGCATAGAGCCATCAGAGCAGGAGGATCACCTGGTATGGAGAGACATGAAAAACTTAGTTAATGTGTCTTTAAAGCCGAAAGCATATCTGATGAAAGCACATTTGTTAAAAACCAGACACTCACGTGTGGCCCCATTCAAGTATCTCAGTTGTATGCTTGCTCCTCCTCTCACACTGCTTACTGCTGGGAACAGCTCCACTCCACAAGGGAGGCCTTCAAAAGCCATGCCAAGGAAGGTGCCATCTATAATGAATCCCAGAGTCCCTGCATCAGAGTCGAGGACTAGCAGGATGCGCTCAGGGATGTGGAGAGGTGTCTCTGCATCCTCAGAGGGACCCCTTTGTCTCTTTTTAGGGTACAATCCTAGACTCTGACCATTGTGCCAAAGCTGATTGGTTTTGAGTTCCCAACCCCAAGACCGTGAGTCTCCACCTATCAGCACGTTGTACCCTGAGGCCTGCAGGGGACAGTTCTGAGTGGAAACGCCTATGACAGCATGACTCCCCCTGTGGTTTGGGCCCCAAAGTACCTCCCAAACATGAAGCCCACTCTTCACCCCCATCTCAGCCCTCACACCGTCACTGCTCAGTTCGGCAGGGGAGCGTATCACTCTCCGTTTGCAGGAAGACAGGAGAAAGTGAGGAGAGTGGTGCACTGAGCTCCAGTGTGAGTTACTGTCTCCAGGAGGGACCGAAGAAGAGGTCAGAATGACAGCAAGGCGAGAGGAGGCTGGGACGGCCAGATGCTGGAAAGCTGATGAAGGTGGAGGAAGGCTGTTGTCTCCTTTGATGTACAGCCATGCTGACAGTGAAAGACCCATTAGTCCAAACAATCTATGAGGCTTATCACACTGGCAGCCACTGTCAGAGAACAACTGTGGAGAAGACAAACAAAAAGATTAGTTTACACACAAAATTACATATATGTCTGATGAAAGTAGTTTTGTTTTGCAAAAAATACCATTGCCTACACCTTTATACTTCACTTTAAAAAGCTATGGCTGGTTGGTAAATTAACAAGGGTTATCTCCTTGCAGACAAATCGCCTCAGACCATACACACCCTGCACACCACCTGTTCACACTCATGCCCTCTTGGAGGCATTACAGGTCTTCGACAGCCAACTCAACCAGATTAAAGAATAGTTTATTCCCACTGCTATATGGACACTAAACCAATATCTGAAGTAAATTGTATCCACATCTATTATCTTGTATTGTTGCATTGTTTTTTTTCTGCATGCATGTATGTATGTATCCGACACAGGAGATGTGAGCATGATATGCTGTACAGGAAAACAAATTCCACCAACCCTGTTGTGTGGCCATTAATACAATGATTCTGATTCTGATTCTGACTAGGTGACTTTTAAACTAAAAAGAAGACTGAAACAAGTGATGGTTCATTATGATTAACAAAAATCTTACATGTGTAAAGGAGGGTAATGTATGGGAGGTTGTTTAGTGGTGTAGTGGAGTAAAAGTAGAGGAGAATAGCAAAGATAAGGGTGGAAAAGTTATTTCTAGAGAAGGCCACAGATAAGATAAAGCACAGTAACGTGATCAAATGGCAGGACGGATTGGAGAAAAACAAATTAACAGAAAAAGAGAAAAAAGTGCAGCAAATAGAACAAGATTACAAATTAAGATAAGGTATAAAATTAGTAGAACAGTGCAAAGGAGAATAATGTGGAGTAAAACATACAGCAAAACAGAAAAAGCTACAGCCAGCGGTGACTATTGTACTCAGATTAGGGCTGAAACGATTACTCGAGTAACTCGAATAACTCGATTAATAAAATTCCTCGAGGCAAATTATATGCCTCGAGGAATCGTTTAAATCCGGAACCATGTGCAGCGCACGGTGTTTGACACGGACGGTTATTTCTGTTGCGCAGAAGCGTGCTCTTTCCGCTCCTTCCGCTGCCGCGCGTTTGGTTCAATCATGGAGGGAAACGAGGACAGACAGAAGCTGTGTCCGAAATGGCATACTGCCTGCTATCTACTTACCTACTCAAGCAGTAGCTACTGCCTACTGACTACTCAAAGATGATTTGAGTATGCCGCGGCTGCCCGAGCGTTTACACACATACATACTAAATACCCCAGAATGCATTTCGTGCCGGCCGGACGCAGCGCCGGGAAAATTTAAATAGTCCTACCACAAGCTACATAGAACGACTGCATACCGGACAAATTATATAAATTCATTCAATAATAATATTTTTTCTAGCGAGAAAGTAAGTGTTTACATCACGATTATGAGCCCAGTTGTTTGAAATAGTGGCTGTTTGTAAATTTGTCTCGGCGTTTTCGGAGACCGAAGCGTCCACTTGGTCGGTGTTTGCGTCTATTTACCGTAAACACCGGGCAGCAGCAGCTCCCCCTTCACGTTTCCAAATTATTGCGAAGTGTTTTCATAATCAACATCTACACGACACAAACCGGGCGGCAGTGGATGAAAAAAATCACACAAACATCCGTGTATCCATGGTGATAATGCTATACACCACCTGCTAGGCGTGTGATGAGCAGCAGAGGGCTGCAAAATGACCAACACACAACAACATGTAAATAAAAATGTAACACTTTTATATATTGAATAAATGTACATTTGCTTGTCAAATTATGTTAGTATCCAAGAATTATATTATTTCAGCCTATTAATTAAACAAGTAAAATTAGATCCAAAGCCTGGAAATAGTTGTGACTGGTTTAGTGAAAACTGCAAAGATCATTACCATAGCAATTAAAAGACCATCTGCAGACCTTGCCTTCAGTAGTTTCATGTGAACTACATGGTAAAATGTAAAACTTTTGGTTCCTGATTTATGCAGTAAAAATATTCATTTGAAAGACCTGGCCTATTTCAGTTTTGTGTGTTACTGATGGTTTTTAATGAGGCAAACGTGATTCAATGCAAAGTATTACAGTGAGAGCAAAACATTTCTTATCCGATTACTCGATTAATCGACAGATTAATCGATAGAGTACTCGATTACTAAAATAATCGATAGCTGCAGCCCTAACTCAGATACCTCCAAAGTAGAAGCACTACTCTTTTTAAGTACCCCAAAAGTTAAGGGAAATATTCGTTCAGTTATTTTGATAGAACTGAAAAAGATTGGGGGGAAATGATTAATGTATAGATACTGAATTGTTAAATCCATTTGCATATTCATAAATGACACTGCAGCAGTAAAAGATGTGCAAACTCTTTCCTCTAAAATCTTAATGGAGGGGTTTACTTTCAATCAATCCTCTGGAAGAAAGGCTGCAAAAGAAGAGTAAAACTTTTTCTCTGAACAGTGGATAAGTTTGTCATTCTTACCTGCTGTTTGGATAAATGCTGCTCCTCCACGGTGTCCATTTCCACTCATTCCTTCACTGTGTTTATAGCCGGTTCTTATCAAGCGTTTGGCGCATGTAACGTAACCGCGACGTCCGCTTTGCTGTTTTGACTGTGACCTCCGAGACGGGAACAGCACAGTCCATCACCTCAGACTGACGCCACACAGATAGAGCTGCAGAGACAAGGACAAGGCACATTTCCTGACGTGTTTACAAACCCATGAGGGTTTAGCAGCTCTGCTGATGACACAACCCAACATATTATCGATGTACACCTTATCAGTTTTATCCTTTCAGTCCATCATCTGGTTCTGTAATGAATGTAAACATATATGGCGAAACACACGAAGAGGATTAAACTCGGGCATTTAATCAACAAAAAGATAAAAATGAAATAGAAGCCAAAGCGGCTCATTGTTGCTAAGAGCGCCTGCGCGTAGGAGATGGGTTACACACCCTGGACTCTGTCTTCAAGGCAATGTGCTGTGTTACGTTCAAAACTAAAAACGCAGATTTTAGCAATAAAACACCGGCTATTAGATATTTCTGGAGGATAAGGTCTGCAGACTTTATGATATAACCAGGTCAGGTTATCTTTGTCAGGTATCTGGGTGAAACAAAAAGGGAAGGACCCAAAATGCAGAACAAAATTGATTTATTTAAAAGGAACTGATAGAAAAGCAACAAAGACTTACTGGTAAATGTCCAACTCAAAAATAAAAAGCACAGGGGAAAAAAACCCATATGGAGACATTAGAGACACTCGTATATACCACACAAACACACAACACAAAATGAACTAACAGGTGAAGACAGGGGCTATACAGTATATACACACAGGGAAACGAGCAACGAGAGGCAGGTGAGACTGAGACACAGGTGCAGACAATTACTAAGGAGGGAAAACTGAGGAAGTAACACAAGACTAGAAACACAGGGGAATTAACTACTTCAAAATAAAACAGGAAAAACTTATAATAGAGAAGAAAACACTGTAAACAAGAGGGAAACGGGGTCAGACACAAACTGAAAACTCACAAGACAAGACTACAGGGGAACAGGAACAATAGAGCACAGAAACACTCAGGAAAATTCAGACAAAGTACACTCAAATCACAGGGAAACACTAAAATAACAGAACATATCATGACAAAAATGATTCATGAAGTCAACATTCAAGCGCTGTAGCCTTCTTTTCATGCCCAGACATTGTGAAGCTAAGGTAACTTTAGAGAATTTGAGATCACATCAGTCTCATAAAACCACCAATGCTAATTTTGAATTTTACAAGCTGTTACTTGATAAAGGATTGTTGCTCACCAGCTATTCAGCTATCTAGTCTGTAAACTTATGTCAGCAATGCACTTTTTTCCTTGTGGAAATTTGATGTTTTTTAACTAAGTTTCAGAATGAGCAATAATTGAAAAGTTTTTTTTTTGGTTTTATTTATTCATTTGTTTATTTTCCACAGAAAAACTGGTGTATTGTTGTTCAAAGCCTGGGGCCTTATAGACATTCCTTATGTATGCTGAGATGTATCCTGCTGTATGGAGACCTCTGTTCATGACATAACTTTTTTTGTTGCACAAATCAAGAGGACATAATCACGAAACACTCATATGTAAAAAGATAAACACTTTTTGTGAGGGGAACTAACAAGGTGCAGAGTGGGTTAGGTTCCATTTGCAGAATGACTGATATCCAGTAGAGCTTATGAAAGATTAGGTGACTATTTAAAGTACAAAAACTGATATGAATGTTTAAACTATTACATTCAAGACTCTGAAATTTAAACTTAAACATTCAAGACTTATACTTCATTTCTTGCAACAAAATTATACATGACAATATATTACTGAACACACTGATCACAGAAAAACCTTCAATTCATCCAGCACTGGTTGGTACAAGCTGCCGTCCTATAGAATAAAAACAAAAAGAAGAACAATATCACACATAACCAAACACAGTAGATGATGAATCAGACTAGTTTTGTGTTAAAATGTTAGCAGTGTTGCGTCCTTTGCAGATGTCACTCACATTGCATGTGCTGTGGTAGCTAAGTATGTGATCTCTGGTAGTGTATAAGTTTGTGCCTTATTGCTTAATTTTAAATTTGATGGAAGAACAGTTTTTGTGACTTAATATGTCAAAGCGAGGATGCTCACAAGTTGAACTAAAGACATAATAGAGGGGTTACAAATCTGGTTCTGTTTAATTTTTTTGGCTGATCTGGTCTCCTACCATTTGTGCATCTTTTGTTGTAAATCAGCCCACCACCAAGGACGACCAGACCCAGCAGCAGTGCTGCTGCCCCCACAGCAAACTTATTTCTCTCAGACTCAGATATAGACTCTGAAAAAACATTAAAACAAAAAAATTAGATTAACCTCTGTTACAAAAACGGAACAAAACATGAGCATAATTGAAGATTTCTGTAAAGATTGGTATGTTTTATTTGTGATACAGAATGGAGTCCATGTAGACTTTTTCTCATCACTCACTCACCTCACTAGAAAGGCAACAAACCAAAAAAATGGCCTCGATTGAACAACATAACTCCAAAATCAAATATTCCACATGTCATTTCCTTACCCCACTCGTACAGCTTGGGCTTCAGTAAGCTGGCATGCTCCACCTGACAAGCTATTGTGTCTCCAGATGTGTGTGTGAGCTCTAGGTGAGAGTGGATCTGATAAAGCCAGTTCCCACTGGGCAGTTCCTCAGTGGACATCACATCAGATGTCACCTCTTTCCCGTTTCTCAGCCAACTCAGCCTGATTTGTTTGGGGTAAAAGTTGTACGCGCTACAGACGAGCATGCTGGGGTGTCTGCTGCCCGACAAATCGGCTGACCTCAGCGTGACCGAAGGTTCAACGGCTGTAGAGAACAAGTGTGAAATGACAGATCTGATTTCTAACAGTGTAAGCATAGCTTTCTAAACATTCTATGGCAGACCATGTGAGCACATTTTGGATATGGGGAACAGAGAAAAATGTAGAAAGATATTAACTGTTTGCAATTAGATGGGACCTAAAAATCCACTTAATTTATTACCACATTTTCAAAGATTTTGGTGCCTGTAGTAATTTCTATGAATGTAGAAAAAAAATGAACAAATATAAATAAACTATCTTTTTTACTTCTCTGCAGCAAAGCTACAGTCTGCCTGTCATGTTTTGTTCTGCTGTGGGAAAGAAGTGAGCATCTTATTGACAACACATTGTATAATCATTAAAAAAAAAAAAAAAAGAGTAAGATAGTATCACATCACCTGATTTTGACAAGACATCAAGTACCAGTTGAACGTGGGTCTTGCAAAGCTCTAAATTGTTTTGTTCACGTTTCAAAAACTCCTTGTTTTTGTTGAATCCATCAACGACTTCTATTGCCTTTTCTGTGTAACCAGTGTATTTCCCCAAAGTGCTGTTGTAGTCAGCCCAAAGAAGCTTATTGAAGAACATTTTTGCCAAATAAACAACATCACCAGACGAAGAAAACTGGCACTGAAGCAAACCACAGCCAAAGAGAGTGGCCTCTGTGACAGAAAGCAGCAAGTATTAGTTCATGTTGAAAGAATCCTCTCATCTATTCCAACACTCTACCTACTCCAACTCCAACAATGTCAAAACTTTAGTTTTAATGTTACTTACCTGTTTGGGAAAAAAGCAGTGGACAAAGTAACAAAAAGAAGCTGCATGTATTCATGGCGACGCATGAAATGTGATGAATCAAAAGTCCTCAAAATCAAATGTGAATTCTCACACAATAGACAGAGGAAGTTAAGCAGCGAACTGTTGAACAATATCTATGTAAGTGGGTGTGTCACAGAGTCTGTGTGCCAGTTTTACAACATTGTTTCATGTGTTTAAAGCAGGTCTGAGGTATTGGTGAAGTGGTAAATATGCAGTATTAGTGCGTAAAAATCTTAAAGCTGCTAAACTCCCTCACTAGTAGGTTGTGTGAACTTAAATGACTTGAATATGACTTAGGAGAATTATGTTTATGTTTGTTTCATATGTTACATACAGAACAAAGTCATATCATGAGCAGGACTTTGAGGTTTGCTTGATATTTTGCAGGTATTAACAAAATCACCACCCCAAAAACATGCATTAATGTTTTACATTGATCCATATGAATGTACTGTATGTGTCAGTGATTTTTGATACAATACTTCCTCCCGCTATCAACAGCTCAACATACTTTTTGCTGTGAATCTTCGCTTCACAGATCTTAAACAAAGGCTGTCTCTCTGAGTGACATTTTCCCAGCAGCAGAGGAACAAAGCATTCAAATTAGCTGTATGAAAATTTTCAGACTTGAAGCTGATGGCACTGTTTAACCTTTGTAGGTCACATAGTATCGTGCCAGCAGTGTCAAACCCAGTCTGTTTCATAACCAGTGAAAAACTTCTCACAGAAGCTTTAAGCAAACACAGATCATTAGAATATAAAGTAAATTCAAGTATGAGATGAAGAAAAACAATGTATTACTCAAAAGTAGATACTCAAATATAAAATTATTAAAATACAAAATCAATTAAATTAAATGAGGCTTATGGCAACAAACTGTGTGTAAACTTTTCTGTTGGTTTTAGTTGTTAGCCATGCAATAAACAGGATAATATATAGTGAGCAGGTCAATATGCAAAACAGAATCCCTATAGGGTGAACTAGAGCTCTCTGTGACCTGCCTCACCCTAGTTGGGTTTCTATTTTGAGGCTGAAGAGGCAGGCTACACTATTCTTAAATGAGCCATATAATGAGCAGTAAAAAGAGAAATTCATAACAGGCCTAATATTCATACCCCTTCATAAAATAATGTAATGGTTTAAATGACAATAAACAAGGAAAAGTGTTAAACTTCAAAAGTTTGTACTGTGTGTCATGTAAAAATATCGTTAAAACTTCAGTGAGGAAGTTAATAAATCTTATCCGGGTGTCTTTACATTTTGGAATAGATGCACTCTTCATACCTTTTTTTTGTCATCTAAAAAATGAGCAGTTTCCACTGCAATAATATGACCAACATACCGGTCTAAAATGCAGAGAGGCTTTGTATGTGTTCGGGTTTCCTTCACAGAAGATTGGGCTCCAAAGAGTTAACAGTCACTGGATGTCTACTGAGGTGAACCAGTCTAGTGGTAACTCTTTTTACAGGTTTTCTCAGGCATTAGGTCATAATCATGCATTTATAGAAAACACTGATGAACTGTCATGCAAATAACTTATGAAGAGCTGGTTTGATTAAATTAAAAAAAATCCTCAATGTCAGAATCAGCTTTATTGAACAAGTATGTTACACATACAAGAAAACTGACTGGTAGACTTTGCTCTTTATGTACAAAAATTTAACATAAAATATCACAAATTATGTACAAGCAGAGACATGTAATTTATATATACATGGTTGTATTCACTGGCCAACACATGTCCAGGACACGACAAGTGCTGGCCAGTGAATTTTCTCTGTTGCCCTCAGGTCGTCATCACAGCGCTATGTCTCACCTGTCTGCAAGACGAATCGTTTTCTGAAGTCTTTTATTCCCTGCTATTCATCTTTTAAATTCTTTATGATTTTATTCCTTTTATCATGTCCATTTTATTGGCCAGTATTCTTAGTAACCCGTGTATTTCCCCATTTTATTGATCTTTGATTCCACTGCACTCCTCAGCATTTTGGTTTTTATCCATTTTGTATCCTATGTATGTTCTGTGTACTTGTGTTTCTGTAGGATGACAGTATGTAAGCTGCTCAAATCAATTGCCCCTGGTGGGATTAATAAAGTTGTCTAAGTCTGTTTAAGACAACAGTGCAATGGTGAGAGGTGCAGAGGAACGTTGAGTGAGATAAATATATACATATATCATTGAGTAACAGGTGGGTTACGTACATAAGGTAGATGGTGGATTTAAGACAACAACTGATCAGAGGAGGGGGTTAATTGAGTGAGGCTGTCCATCCATGCATCACAACCAACAATGCAACAATACGGGGAGCTGGAAGGGTGGCGAACTGCATGTAGCTAAATGCGACATAGTTTTTACACAGCATTTAACCTTTCACCCCACCTCCCCAAAATAGACTGCACTTAATATACCTTATACACTCACCGGCCACTTTATTAGGTACACCTGTCCAACTGCTCGTTAACACTTAATTTCTAATCAGCCAATCACATGGCGGCAACTTAGTGCATTTAGGCATGTAGACATGGTCAAGACAATCTCCTGCAGTTCAAACCGAGCATCAGTATGGGGAAGAAAGGTGATTTGAGTGACTTTGAACGTGGCATGGTTGTTGGTGCCAGAAGGGCTGGTCTGAGTATTTCAGAAACTGCTGATCTACTGGGATTTTCACGCACAACCATCTCTAGGGTTTACAGAGAATGGTCCGAAAAAGAAAAAATATCCAGTGAGCGGCAGTTCTGTGGGCGGAAATGCCTTGTTGATGCCAGAGGTCAGAGGAGAATGGCCAGACTGGTTCGAGCTGATAGAAAGGCAACAGTGACTCAAATAACCACCCGTTACAACCAAGGTAGGCAGAAGAGCATCTCTGAACGCACAGTACGTCGAACTTTGAGGCAGATGGGCTACAGCAGCAGAAGACCACGCCGGGTGCCACTCCTTTCAGCTAAGAACAGGAAACTGAGGCTACAATTTGCATAAGCTCATCGAAATTGGACAATAGAAGATTGGAAAAACGTTGCCTGGTCTGATGAGTCTCGATTTCTGCTGCGACATTCGGATGGTAGGGTCAAAATTTGGCGTCAACAACATGAAAGCATGGATCCATCCTGCCTTGTATCAATGGTTCAGGCTGGTGGTGGTGGTGGTGTCATGGTGTGGGGAATATTTTCTTGGCACTCTTTGGGCCCCTTGGTACCAATTGAGCATCGTTGCAACGCCACAGCCTACCTGAGTATTGTTGCTGACCATGTCCATCCCTTTATGACCACAATGTACCCAACTTCTGATGGCTACTTTCAGCAGGATAATGCGCCATGTCATAAAGCTGGAATCATCTCAGACTGGTTTCTTGAACATGACAATGAGTTCACTGTACTCAAATGGCCTCCACAGTCACCAGATCTCAATCCAATAGAGCATCTTTGGGATGTGGTGGAACGGGAGATTCGCATTATGGATGTGCAGCCGACAAATCTGCGGCAACTGTGTGATGCCATCATGTCAATATGGACCAAGCTCTCTGAGGAATGCTTCCAGCACCTTGTTGAATCTATGCCACGAAGAATTGAGGCAGTTCTGAAGGCAAAAGGGGGTCCAACCCGTTACTAGCATGGTGTACCTAATAAAGTGGCCGGTGAGTGTATACTGGCTGTGGAAAATAAACTCTATGGCAGTGGTTAAAGGCATAAAAATATTCCATGCATAGTTAATTCATCAAACAAGGTTGGTCTTGTTTACTTTTAAGGGTAGTAAAAAAAATCACCAACTACTTCAGTCCGTTTGATAAACAATTAAAAATTCTCCAATGCTGCATTTATTGCCATTCAGCGTGTCCTTTAACTGCTAAAAATGTTCCTCCTGCGACTCCAAACAGACCAAGAATTAAACCAACTCCACAGAAAACATCTGCTCCAACACTGGGATCACTGATTTCTGCTTCTGTTGGGAAATTGGAAAGCAAATTTATTAATATCATCATCAAAATAAATAATAAAATATCTATTTTTATTTATTTACTTTACAAATATTGAACACTCACCCCAGATCCTTGTCTGAGGCGAGGCCAGAGCTATGTGCTCCACAGTGCAGGTGTAAATATCCCCGTTATTTGGTGTAAATTTCAGGGTGGAGAGCTGGTGAAAGGTTTGATCTTTGTTGGGATAATATTGACTGAGTGACACCCCCTCTGTCACCGGGTCTCCATTTTTGGTCCAGGTGACTCTGATCCTGGGTGGGTAGAAGTGGTTCACAAAGCAGATGAGGCTGTTTTCGACACCGGGCTGAACTTCTTCTGCAGGGTAGAGGGCGCTCTCAGGGGGTTCTACACAGGGTCAAAAGTAAAGACTTAATCAGCACTGTATGGGTGAAGAAAATATGATTTTCTCTAAAATTGATGTTAACTCACCCTTTTCTTCTGGTGGATCTATCTTCTCAGCTTTGAGAAGGGCAAAACCTACAACGCATATTCTTTTTGCCTTCAGAGCATTTTTGTAAAGATGCGAGGTATACTCTACTTCATATGGGTCCACCGGAACGAAAGGTGGCAGGGTGAACACAAGACTTTGTTTTTCAAAATCAATGTACATAATCCCATCAGTATCAAACGCAAGCTGAATATGTACTTCACCATCCTCGGAGCAGCTCACAACATAGGTCATCTCATGGGGGACTGAAAACAGACAAGTCAGACTATTGAAACAGAAACAACTTTGACACATATTAATGTTAAATTATGAAGAGACATAACTACAGAATCTGATAAACAAATGAGATATCCTACAGAAACCAAGAAAACTCCAAGTACAAGAGCAAAGTGATAAATTAAAAACTCTTACTTTTTTGAGAGAAGGTGCAGAAGATGTTTAGCATCAGAATAAGAAGGGAAAAGGTCTCCATGGTTCACCTGCAGTATGTGTTATCCCTCTGCTTGGAAAAATATTGTCTCTCTGTCTTTCTTCAAAATTTACTTGTTTTGCTAATCTTAATCAAAGCCAGCAATGAAATTGGCCTGCAATTAGTCTTTCGCGTTTATGCAGAAACCTGCAGCAAAGTGATTTCCCAGAAATGAGAACTTCCTCGAACGCTCCCTTTTATGTAAATGATGATAACATCACTGTAGCTACACCTGTTCTGCCAGTTTGTGTTGGAGGTGCTCTTGTTCTGGCAATAAACAGTTTTTAGAGACCTAGAGGTGCAGGGCTTTAAATCATTTCCAACAATTTAAATGATAAAAAAGGAAAAAATGTTGGCTTAGATGCATTAAGTCCCTTTTTCAATAAAGGCCTGGTAAAAATTCTGCCCTAACACTCCTAAACTCCTAAACTCAAGTTAAAAATCAAACCTAAACAAAAAATGTATCCAGCCTGTTTCACCGCGGGTAAATATTGTTGATGAAATTAAATAAAAATAAAAATTTGGGCTTTCCAAAGAACTCAGACAGATACATCCTCCTTATGGTCTGTTTCAGAAACAGCGCAGGTGTTCAGTTTAACGGCAGGGGCCGAAACCCTTTTTATGCGTCATTTTACAGTATGTTCTGTGTATAAATGTACTTTAAAACAGTTGTCTTAAGATCTTTCTTTGAAACATTAACCATGACAGATAGGCTGCATATTGGTGTCAAGCCTGGGCCATCAGTATGAGGATCATAATCTCCACAGATGGGATATTCACTTAGACAGTGAGGCAAGCGTCAACCCACCACAGAACAACATTTAGATCCAATCTTAAATCTTACGATTGGATTTATGCAACATGAAGATTAAAAGAAAACTACTTTCAGACTGTCATGGCACAGTCTAAAATGTTGATTATGATATAAGCAGGGGCAGATCCAAAATCTGACAAACCCTCCTCAGTGGCCACCCTAAAATCCTAAATCATCTTTTGTTCTTTGGTCTCGTCAGAAGCAAGTCTTAGTTAACTATTTATACTAAGTTGAAGCTGAATAATGGTCATTTTCCCTGCATCAGAAAGTATCAAATTCTCTTATTCAATCAATCAATAAATCTTTATTTATATTGCCCTTTTCATACAAGTCAGATGCAATTAAAGTGCTTCACAGTGATTGAAAATATAAAACAAAACAAACATCTATTGACCCAGTGTCATCAGGAGTCACGGCCATGTAAAGCTGAATGTCATCAGCAGAACTGTGGAAAGAGATGCCGTGTCTCCTAATGACACTGCCAAGGGGTACCATATCCAAATTAAAAGGTAACGGTCTTAAAATTGATCCTTGTGGTATCCCACAAGTCACCTGATAGTGTTGGAAGGAGTGATCATTAATAGATAAGAAAAACTTCCTTTCACTTTGATATTTACATTCAAATGCATTGAAAGTGCCTAGGTCAACATCCTGTCCTTTCAGAGTCACCATAAATTGATTGTTAGTACTCCACTTTGGTAACATTTCAGTCTTTTCAACAGTGAGCTATTTTTTATCTGAAACATGAAAGTTTTGCTTAAAAGAACTTAATAAATTCACAAGCTAAAAAACAATGTAATATTACTTATAATTTGAACACAACAGCAGCATGTAAATATATATAGTTTTTCAAATAGAGACTAATGAATGTCCTATATTCTTAATTTTATTTAGGCTTGCCATTTACCATCATTTGTTACTTATCATACCCGACATAGTCAAAGCATGAAGCCAAAATCTTAGTAAGTTAAACTGATCTAGGCTGTGTTTTATTATGTTGATTACGGTGGTTGATTTCTAAAAAGTTATCCAAAATATCTTTTATCAGAAGAGCTCATTTAGAAGTTTAATATAAGCTGATGTTCTGTGTTTTAAGGTCAAGTATAATCAAATAAACTTTTTTTAGACTTTAATAACCTGTGCACATATTTTACATGATAAAACAAATGTATTAGTACTGTCTATGGAATCACAGTTCTGTGTGAGCTAACATTAAGTGTAACAGCCTTCATACAATAATATAAATAATTGTTGATATGTTTGTTTATGTTTTTCTCCAAACTGTAACACTTAAAACTCTTGGGTCTTGAATAAGTCACAGATGTACAGTAGAATACGGTAACCCTTTCTTTTACAGCACACTTATTACCAGGTAATTAACACGTAATTACCTAGTAACAACATAACATTATCTGGTAATTACATGATAACTACTAAGTCAATACTGTCTAGTTTTTCTTTTTTTCTGTGCAGCTCCATTTTCAAAAGCTATCTGGGGTTCTTATTTTCTATGATTGACACTTGATACAGCCTATGGGTGTGTGAAGATTGCGTAGCGATATGCTGTTTGAGCCGAGCATTATCACAGCGACTCACCCACCGAATGCGTACAATGCTACTGCGCAAGTGGTGGTTCCAGGAAGCGGAGAAAATCCTGGAAATACTATAGAGCAGTAGAGCAATTCGGCTTCAAATTTGTATGATGATGAAAGGTTACCTACCTGGTAGCTAGACAGTATTGACTTAGTAGTTATCGTGTAATTACCAGATAATTTCATGTTGTTACTACCTGTTAATAACCTGGTAATAAGTGTACTGTAAAGAAAGGGTTACCGAATATACTGCATGCCTAATATTCTCAAACTATATCATTACAGATAATATTTGCTGCTGTTTTTATCTGAATCAAAAAATCTGTATAAAACAAAAGTTTTTTATTGCCGTTCAGTGAGTCCTTTAGCCATTAAAAATGTTCCTCCTGCGACTCCAAACAGACCAAGAATCACTCCAACTCCACAGAAAACATCTGCTCCAACACTGGGATGACTGACATCTACTTCTGAGGGGAAATAATTAAGCAAATTTGTTGATGTAAATAAACAAAAATACATTTTATTGGACAAATGTAAAAGTGAAAGAATATTAAACACTCACCCCAGATGCTTGTCTGAGGCGAGGCCAGGGCTATGTGCTCCACAGTGCAGGTGTAAATATCCCTGTTATTTGGTGTAAATTTCAGGGTGGCGAGCTGGTGAAAGGTTTGATCTTTGTTGGGATAATATCGACTGAGTGACACCCCCTCTGTCACTGGGTTGCCATTTTTGGTCCACGTGACTCTGATCCTGGGTGGGTAGAAGTGGTTCACAAAGCAGATGAGGCTGTTTTCGACCCCGGGCTGAACTTCTTCTGCAGGGTAGAGGGCGCTCTCAGGGGGGTCTACATAAGGGTTAAAGGTCAACTTACAAGCTTAATTGAATTTCTACATCAGTGGAAAAATATTGATCAATTATTAATAAGAAGATTACTGACCTTTTTCCTCCTCCACATGTTTCTCCTCGGCTTTGACTATAGCAAGAAGCAAAGGGCATGCAATCCTGGCTCTTAATGCATTCTTGTAAACAGAAATACCACTGACTATTTCACTTGGGTTAGCCAGAATGAAAGGTGGTACTGTGTATATGATCTCATGTTTTTTAAAATCTATGTATAAAACCTCCTCATTATCAATCTCATATTTAACTTCTGTTGTGCTGTCCTCGAAGCAGCCCACAGCATAGACAGTTTCATGGGGGACTGGAGCTAAAAGCAAGAAAAGAAAATGAGGAAAAAAGTATTAAGAAAGGTACTGTTCAAAACCGCAACAACCTTATTAAATTACACTCTCAAACTCCCCTTTAAACAGCAATCCTTTAAAGAATAGTAGTAAATTTGGATCCCTTACTTTGTGAAAAGATGCTGAAGATGTTCAGCATCAGAAAAAGGAAAGAAAAACACCTCGAGGTTTGGCTGCAGTACGGCATCATCTCTCTGCAGGAAAACAAAGTAATGCTGTATCTTTTGTCTCCTGAAATCACTGGAGTAAGTCAGTCATGAGCTTAAACTTCTTCTCTGAGCACTCCTCCTTTGCGTAAATGTTAATGTGAATACAGCCGTTGAACCAGTTCTGCTTGAATGACATAAAGTCAGTCTAGCAGCAGAAATGAGGAAATGAACTTCAAACAGCTTATTAAACACAGTAGTGCTTGTTGTGAACAGTGTACCAGTGATGGATTCTAATATTTTCTAGATGTCCCAGGCTTTTAAAAATCAAAGCACTGAAGGTGAGAGAAGTAAAATGTTTTATTTCGTTATGGGGAAAAAAGTGTGGATTTCGTGTTAAGGTTGATAAATAGCAACATTCCGCGATCATTACACAACGGAGCCGGTTTTAACCTGTCCAAGTTTTTTTTTCATCTCTAGACAGTAGGTAGCCTGAAGGTTACAGGTCTAGACTGATGTTTGAAACCCCCAGTACCAACAGATTGATGTTAATTCAAATGTACTCAGGCACCAGTAGAGGGGTCCAGGGGCGTCCTCCATTTCACCATTTCAGTATGTTGTTTCAGAAGCTGGATTCAGACTGTTTTGTGTGTGTGAAAAGCATTTCATTTCTGCCTACCAAAGAGAGTCCCTGTACATGATTTGAACACTACACCACTTCAATCAATAGTGATTGCTCTAACCAACTCACCTTGGGTCCGCCTGTCAGGATTGTCCTCATCTATTTCAGTTTGACTTTCACCTGGCAATAGTGATAGAGGGTAAAGTAGGTTTGGGTGGATTTGATAGTTGCATGTAGGTGAATAAGGTCAGTAAGAGTGGTCCTGGAATTTGCATGCTATCTTTATTTAGAGCAGTGGTTATGAATAACTATCACAAAGTAGTGATTTTCAAGGGAATTCATATGGTGATGAGAAATATTTTAGTCATTTTTGGTCATTTTTACTCACTCAAAATCTGCCATATTTTGTTTCTCTCTCCTGCAGCTGTTATTGTGCCAAAGACCCTGAGTCTTCACCAGGGAGGACTCACATGCTCAAGGAATAGGTGGAAAAGAAACTAAGTTTACAGCACAGAGGCACTAATCATGGTGGCACAAGAACAGGCCTTGAGCGCCAGAGCAATAGAAGCCCAGATCTACCATACTAGGCAATATCCTAGGTTCAGGCTGTGCAAAGAGGGCCCTGAAACAGTCCAACACCTAACAGCAGGATGTAAGATGCTGGCAGGAAAAGTATACATAGAGCGCCATAACCAAGTAGCCGGTATAGTGTACAGGAACATCTGTGCAGAATATGGACTGGAAACCCTGAGGTCAAAATGGGAAGCACCTTCCAAGGTGATGGAGAATGACCGAGCTAAGATCCTGTGGGACTTCCAGATACAGGCCGACAAAATGGTAATGGCCAACCAACCAACCAACCGGACATTGTAATCGTAGACAAACAGCAGAGAAAACCCGTTGTGGTAGATCTTGCCATCCCAAGCGATACCAACATCAGAAAGAAGGAACACAAGAAAATAGAGAAGTACCAAGGGCTCAGAGTGGAGCTAGAGAAAGCCTGGAAGGTGAAGGCAACAGTGGTGCCTGTGGTCATTGGGGCACTTGGGGCAGTAACCCCCATTTAAAACACATTTAAAACACTGCCATACATCATAAAAAGAAAGTAAATAAAATAAAATACATCTACATAAAAAACAGTTCATGAGGTAAAAAGCATTAAAGACGATTTAGAAGGTAAAAAGAAAAACATATGTCAGGCATACCAGTATTTTTTGCATGAACAGAGTAAGATAAAAGATAAAATGCAGAAAAAAAGGCAATTTCCCCCCCTCCATTTGGACATTGCACAGTTAAAAATAAAACTACTTTAGTTTGTCATGTATTGTCCTTTTTTGATATATTTTGATGACAAGTACTTTTTCTTGGGTATATTATTTTGGGTAAAAAATCACCTAGCGATATTTTAGCGATAGTGTTTTAGGGTTAAAAGCTACCGTAAAAATGGCGTTTGTGAAGTTTTACCAATTTGAGAGTCCGTTATGAAAAATAACCAGAAACAAACCCCCCCCAAAAAAGTAATGAAACAACTTCCCTGACTTGGTCGGCAGGTGACGTTGTAGTTCCATGAAAGTTAGCGCGGTGCTGCACGTTGTCGAAGCCGCCTGTTGGTGCTGTTGTGGGGCATGAGGCTCAGAGAGAGGGGCCGTCCTCCTTTCTGACCCTGGGCCATCCATGAAAAAAACCGACCGAGCGGTAAAGGGGCTGGGATGCACAACAGGACCGAGGATACACGGCTTCACAGGCGACAAACCAGGAGTGCTGGTGCTGCTAAACATGGAGCCTCGCCTCCAAAGTGAAACAAATCGAGTTTGCACTATTGTGGGCAGTCTGTGAGTTCAATAAAGCAAAGTATTTTTTGCTTTGTTGCGTTTTTCTTACCCTTTTTTTGACCGCTGGTACAAACATCTGCAATGATGCGGGCTGTGGACTGGAGAGGAATCTCTGCGATTGTACTCTGTCTTGTTGGATATCTTTTCTCTAAAGCGGACGCTAAAACACTCCCGGAGGACACGGCAACGCAAGGTAAAAAGTGTTTCCTCCACTTTTATTCGGTCATTTGGTGCAGAATAAAGGAGGCCAGTCAGCTGCTATCCTGGTGGCTAATGTTGCCGTTAGCCCAGTAGGATGCTGATGTGACCCAAAGTTAGCTAGCGTTAGCAAGTTAGCCCCCGCGGCAGAAACAGAACATAAAAACTTGATCAATTTGTTTGATTTCTTGATTGGTTTGACATTTTTAAACTAAAATCGATAATATTCAATTCAATCCATCTTCAAACCAGCCGCAGTTTAACCTCTTTGTTGTACTTTTATTGTCTTAGTGTCTTAAATACTGTTCTCATGCTGGTCAGGATAGTCCAACTGCTGTGATTTTGCCTTTTTTTAAACATATCAACAAAATAAAACCTGTTTTTTTTCCTCTATAAAGGGGAAAGGAGCATCTTTTTAGGCACCCCCCTCAAAGAATACAAAAACACATGAGCTCAATTAACTCCAGGGTTGAGCTTTGTATTGATCATTTTTACCGTAACATGCAGGCTCAACTAATTAAGTCAATTACGGTAATTAAAACTTTTTTTAATTATTATTTTTAAAAGCTTTGTAATTGCTTTACAGTCACATACAACTTTCACTGAGGGTTTTTGAGTTGTTAAAAAAATAAAATAAAATAAGTTATTTAATAGTCCATTAGCAGGGAATTCAAGTACTTAGTAAAAGTTAAAAAGTGCACATTCAGTGTATTTACTGCTGTGTATCTTGAACAGAAGGAAGTACTGGATAAACAAAATGTGCACAAGCAAATTCAGCACCACTTAGAGTGAATTAACTGTTAGAGTAAATGTTAAGAAAAAATTCCCAAACTTTTAATGTTCAAAGCGTCTTAATTTGCCATTGAAGCTTTTGTGATATGGTGATTTTGACTCTTCTTTCCTTTTGTTTTGCTCTGTTATATTTTAGGATCTCATTCAGTCACCCATTTAAAAGCTTTGACGCACAGCAACATTTGTTTAATTCATCACTTTTCATCTCATGCATCCCTACACTTGCACACTCAGATCACAGTCATGCGTTCGCTTTGGTCTTTTCTGTTCTTTTTAAAGAACATATTCAGCATGTTGTTTGAAAGCTGAAAGTTTTACGAGGCTTTTACTATAAAAAACAAGTCCTGTTTCTCTTTTAATGTTAAAAAGAAACTTGTGGAGTCTACATTCTTACCTCTTCTTGATTATGGTGATGTGCTATACATGAATGCCTCTGCCCAGAATCTGCAAATGTTGGACAGTGTTTACCATGGAGCTCTGAGATTTCCTCACATTTTTATTCTGTATTGAGTCTGTGTGACTTTTTGTTCTAACTATGTATTGCTGCCATTCTTGGTCAGGTCTCCCTTGCAAATGAGCTCCTCAGATATCAATGGGACAAACCTGGGTAAATAAAGGTTAAAAAAAATCCTCTCACTACCACTATTTACAGCAGGATTGTAGACATAAAGGTACTACTAATGTTGCTGTCAATACAACATGATTAAAAGGGAGTAATATCAGCTTTCATAATCATCATCATCATCTTTGTGATCAGGCTAAATTGATAACAACAAGGTGTGATTGCAGAACTCTGAAGTAAACATGAGTACTCTCTTTTATCCTTTTTGCAGTCTCGGTATCCACTTAGCTTTCTGTTGACCTTCACTGGTTTCAGACAGAGGGCAGGAAGAGTGTGTGTTTTTGTGCGTGTGTTTCCAGGTCGATACTGAGGACTTTTCCTGGTCTGTCCAACAGACAACAGAGATGAGTGGAGCCAGACAGACAATCTCCCTGCAGATATAGATCTCACTCACATTACTGCTGCCCATAATAGGCATTGCCTTGCATTTTCAGCAGGCAAACATTTGCTGAAGCTGTACAGGGACTGCCAGGAAGAAGACAGCCAGTCAAGTCATGTTGTCACCAGCTAGCAAAAGTTGATTTTTTATCATGAGTACCTGCTGCCAGTGTTTAAAGTAGCCGGCATTGGAGCTGGTACATGTTATAGTACACCTGTCCAGGAACAGACTGATTAATCAGTGAGTCAATAAATCAGGCTCAATATTGGCATTTTGCAATAATGAGCATCACACTGCCATTGGTGCTCACAAGAGCCATGTCACCAACACCATCATCTTAATGATAAAATGTTTTTTCACTTCCTAAATAATAGTGCATTTTTTATGTACATGAGATTTATGACCTTCTTCTTGTTTTATGAATTTATTTTTAAACCAAATAAGTTGGTGACCAAGTATTTTTTCTCAATCATTTTTGAAAAATATATTCATTCCAGTTCAGCAATTTGTCACATTTGTTACTATTATTGAATAGTTGTAATATTAAACAACAATGAAGTAACATTGGCTATTGTGTCTGCCATTACTTCACCTGTTCTTTTATAATGAGCACTGGCAAAAATCGACAACTGTTGATATTAAATCATAGGCTGCTGTGTATACTACATATGTGTATAGATACATTTTAGGAAGGTAGATTTGAGTTTTAAAAAGTAAATGTAATGAGCTTTTTCTAATTTCAGTTTTTACTTTAGGTGCAGTAATAGGCAACATTTTCATGATTTACTTCATGTCAAACAACAGCATGAAAAAAAACAGATGTCTGAAAAGTCAAACCAAGACTAAAAAAATTGGCGAAAGCTCTTTTTGAATAACACAATTTTAATCCATACTGGGTTTATCAAGAGATCATTTTGTATCAAGAGCAGAATAAACATCTATTCTAGCCACAAAGGATAACCAAGACTACAGAAAGTTTGACCGGGTTTCAATCAAAGCAGTTCGTTTGCTCTCCTGCTTAAGTGTGGAGACCTAAAGATACAGTCTAATTACTGAGGCCCCCGTTGAGTTAATGGGATTGATTGATAATAACAAAGCTAGTTTAACAGCTAGGAGTCTAAGTGTGTTTTTCTGCTTTGTTGTTTGATCTGGTTTGCTTCGACTTTGGTGTTTCTTCATGTTGCGACATGCTTTCTTTTTGTGAATCATACTTAACCCCTCTGTCTCCACAATAAGATCCTTGTTACATGACCATCACACTCAGAATCAGATGTTGGTTATTTAACCAAACAGCAAACAAATAGTTTCAGTCGAAGTCAGTTTCAGTTGAGTTTTCTTTTGCTGCAGTTCATTTAGTTTCAGCCGTTAGAATGTTGTTGTTGTTGTTGTGGTGTTGATGTGTGTTGTCTTAGACTTGTTTCCCTCGCTGCCTTGTTTTCTTTGTGGTGTGTGTACCAGTCGACTGTAAACATAACTGAAACAGCTATCTGGTTTTCACCTTCTCTGCGCTCTGTGACAGAAGCCCTCATGCTCCCGTCACATGATTTCTGACTCCTTGTACTCATGTGCTCGTGCTTCAGATGGTGGAAAGAATTGTGATGCTCCCATTCGCTGTGACCACCAACTGTTTTGTAAACAAACCAACTCCATATTATTGAATTATCAAGTCACTCTATTTTTAGAAGTTACTGAAACTTATCGGTCAGTTTATGCTTGACTTAAAGGAACTCAATGTGAATAAACTTTGAGTTCCTTTCTGTCATTTTTAAAAGAGAGGCTGCTAAATATGCTGGCTCTGTAGACCCTACCTGTTTTGAACTGTTATAGACTAAAAGACACACATGCTCAATAATTAAATGACTGGTAGAATACTCAGTCATGAAAAGGACTTATTACCAAATGGATTGTTAATTGCCTTACCTACCCTACACAGATGGGGAAGCCTGACTTCTGTCTGACCTCTGAAGGTCATCTGATCATGCATTCAGTCTCTGGTTGGTTGACTGATGTAATAAAGTTGGCAACCTTCCAGTGGTGTAATCAGTTAACATAAATATCACATCATATTACTTAGGGGTGTCCTGTTACGATATTGATATCGGATATCGGTCTGATACAAGCAAAAATTTGAATATCGGATTATATCAGCATGCATCTCCAACATTAGCATTCCGATACAAGCAGTCCATTCCAGACTTGGCTCCAGCACCTCTATCCAGCATGTAGAGCCCAAGTGATCATAACAACAGTGTGTACTAATATACTGACAAAGTAGCAAGGAGTAAAGATGATGTTAGCCTTGTGGCAGTGTTTTTCATAAATGTCTGAAAAAGACATTGCAGCCGAGTGCAAAGCTTGTCATGCACAAGTTTGTATTGTTACCGGCCAATAATATCGTTATCGGCCGATATTGAAGGCTACAATATCAATATCATATTGGAGGTAAAAAAGTTGTATCGGGACACCCCTATGATCACTCGAATTAATGCAATGAACATCATAGGTTAACCTTTTTTGGGGGGGATTAGATGCAGATAGTCTCTGAAAAAACAACAATCTTCTTTGTGGGATAGAAAGACCCCGTAAATTAAAAAGAATTCAAATAAATTCAAGGATGTTTAGTTGTTCAGTGTAACAGTGTTTTGGACTACTTTTGTACCACAGGGAAGAAATGAACAAAACTCCTTCAGTTACTTCATCAGGGCCAGACTAATCAAACATTTCTCAATCAGATAACTGACAGCTATCTTTTGACTGATCAGAAAAATTATTTTGTGTGAAAATGATAGAGAATAAAAAGCCACTCGCACTGGTGAGGGCGGAGTAAGCACTGCTGTAACTTTTCCACTGAAATTTGCTTGTAAACTTACAGACTCTCCCCTCTGCCTCCTGTGCAGTAAGCATCTGTTTCCTCCTCATCTGTCTGGAAGAACACCAACTCCCCCACCACCACCACCACCACCACTACCCCCCCTCACACACACCCATCGAGGGCCAATCATACCAGGCATTTTCAGTTTATTACACCACACTTTTATGGAGCAGAAATGCTTTACCTCCCCGTGACTTCTGATTAAGACTTTTCGTAAGACCTCGCTCACTCTGAGTGAAAACATGCTCACAGATTTTTCAGTCCTCTCTTCTCATGTCTACCTCTTTCTGTGCCAGCATAACCAACCACCAACCACCCCGCTGGGATAATTGGTCTGAGATCACAGCGATGGTGAGGCAGAACTCTTTTTGATGCCTCTATCCTCCATATGGTACTCAACAATTAAAACACAACAACTACAAGAGTTTCTGCGGAGTACTGGTTGAGCTTTAGTCCAGGTTTTCCATCGTTCTCCAGGACTAGCATTGTCTTTTTCTGTTGTGCGTGGAAGCAGAGAGGAGACTCCCAGCTTGTTTAACAATGATGTCACTACAGAGCTGATTTATTGGATGAGGAGTGGGAGGGGACTGCAGCATTTGTCAGTCAGGGGTCTCCCAGGGGACGTCTTTTTAAAGTGAGCACAGCTGGTACCCCTAACAGCATATCAGTGGGAGTGGGATGGGAAGTGAGGTCAGCATAGACACACACAAACACACACCAAATCTTAATTCGATGGGGAGTTTCTGTCAAGGGGAAATCCAGCCATCTTTTTGTTTTTTTTGCTCCTCTGCTGTGCAAATGTAATAACAAGGAGGAATGAAGTGAAGGGTCAGGAAGCAGCCACAGAGCAGATCTTCACACCCGACCTCTCTGGGTAATGATGTGTTTGCTTTGAGAGTGACATGTTAGTCTGCCAAACTTCTCCACACACACAAAAACACCACTTAACTTCCAGCCTTGCAGAGGTATCATTTGATGCAGTGCTGTTTTCTGTCTTTCTTTTTCTAAGGTGGGTCTGCACTCAGGCTGAACTCACTCTAGCAGATTGTCCTGTTGGTGCGGTTCCTCACCAAGCACAGGGTCCTTCAGCGAGAGAGCGAGGAGGGGGGGTTGTCTAGCCAGGAGTATGAATGTATGTGTTAGCTTGTGAGTGTCACGGAGGGTTGGGTTACAAGAAAGAGTTACGACAAAATTTAGTTGCATGAAATTTGGTGGAGGCGGGCAGGTCAAGGTCCAGGGACAAAGTACCTCAGCCGTAATTGAAGGTCACCGCGGGTCAGTGAACAGCCGATGATCAAACATTGACAGGGTTGTGTGCCAAGACGGAGGGAGAGTTTGGGTTTGTGTGGATGTGAAATTATAGTGTTTTTGTACCGAGTTTGTTTCTTATCATACCTTTGGGATATAAAGCTGAAATTGACTTTTTGTTTGTTTTTCTGGTTTGTGGTGTTATGAAATGAAACCTTTCCACAAAGAAGTCAACAGACGTGTGCACACTTTGTTTGGCAGTGTGGGAGAGTAGTCAGGGTACTTTTGACCAAGTGCAGTTTCAGTTTCTACCCAACTACATTTCAGAAGCAAATCTTGACATTACATTTCTTTGATGTATTTATTTATATATGTTTTTTAAAAGCTTAGTTTGGGGTGGTGTCTTTTTTAAACAGGACATCTCCAAAGAGACAGACAATGTTTGGCCGATGACATGGAAAGATGTCTGACATGCTGTGAAGAGTTATCGTGGGCCAGTCACTGCCCTCAGGACTTCAGTCTAGACCAGAGGAGGTTACATCGCTTTAATACATCCTTACATCTCACCATGACGCTCCTTCATGACTCCTTATGGTGTATTTCCTGTATTTTCCCTCAGTGAGTTCATCAGTCAATCAGATATTGTGATCAGTTATTGCAGTGCTGCTGTATTGTGATATTCTTCATAGACTGAGAGTGATGTTTTCCATCAGGATTCTCTCCCCTATAGGCTTTTGTTTGTGAGGTTGACCCCTCAGCTTAATCAGCCCTTCACCAGAATATTAATCTGACATCTGCAGTTACTGTTTGATGTTTCAGATAAATATTATGACAGATGTTATGTAGTGACTATGCTAACCTAAATTTTAGTCGCTGTCTGGGTGCGGGAGTGAGGTGTTTTTAAGTGCTTCTAGTACAATCCAAGGTTGTTGTTGAGTTATATTTTGCCATTAATTGATTTAATGAAAAACAAACAAAAAAACAAACAAAAAAGACAGATATGTTCAACTTACGACAATGGTGATGTTCGTGATGAGGGTGAGACTGAGAGTGGTGTCGGTGATTAGCGGTAAAAACCGTGTGCTCTTCCCATTCTCCAGATCACTGCTTCACCTGTGTCCCTTTGTAGCATTTACCTGCCCATTCACCTGAAGTGCTCCTTGTGGTGATTGCATGAGTAACAAAATTGTGTGAATAACCGGCTGAAATTCCACCACATTTTTTAAAGTTTAAAAGTGAAGTCGAAAAATGTATGAAAAATTCATCTTTTGATTTTTATAGCCTATATGGATTATTTATTTATTTATTTCCCCATGGTAGAAACTTCTCCTCCTTCATTCAGCCAACAGTTCAATACTCAAACATAAACAGCTGAATCTGTGTGTTTGTTTTTTCACATCTTCGCTGTGAGTCCTTTAATATCAACACTCAGTGTGTACATGTCTTTTTTTCCTCCACTCCTGTAGAGAAGGTGTTTATACACATGCTTGTTTTTCTTCTATGGTCCAAGGCTTCTTTGAGAGTGGGAAATGGTCCATTGTTTAGAGAGGAAGTGCAGCTGGAAAAAGTCCAGGAAGCGGTCAGACAGCTGTCTCTTTGTGATTGGCTGTGATGCAGAAATCTTTCTGTGTGGATTGGTGGCAATGGGTCTGGCATCCAAACAAGACCTGGTTAAATACTTGACTGTATTTCACGAGGGTTTAATTATAACACCGGCGCGTTTTCTGCCTCAGTATCACTCTTTGTTTTGGTCAAGGTTGCTGCCGTCTCTTCGCAGAGAGCGTAATTTACACCAGCTCAGAAAACACTCTCGCTTGTTCACAGAGGTGACTCTGAAGGTCCACCTGAGTGATGCCAGCACCCACCAGCCCCTGGGAGGAGCCAGCATACAGCTATTCGCCAACCACACTCCTGTAACCACAGAAACCTCATCAGCTGATGGCAACACCTACCTGCGCTTCCCCTATCGCCTTGGGACACCATTGGTCGTCACTGCAACCAAACAGGGATATGTGCCAAACTCTGTACCCTGGAGTCCCTCGAGACTACCTGGTAGGTGTGTGAGAGAGAATGAGGGGGGTATTTTAGGATATAATGAGAAAGTTGCATTTAGACTTTGCTGCCAGTTTAATGTAAATGTTATTGTCCAACAAAATGTGTGTGAGTGTAAGAGAGTGTGCCAGGTGTATGAGCTAATGAGTGGAGTGCTCCATTACTAATTTATTACAATAGATGCCAAAACCCAGCGAGGGGGCAGCTTAAGCTTTCCTTTCACTAACACACACACACTAAATACCCCCCAGGAGGCTGCTGTACAGTGTGTGCATGTGTGTCCGTGTCTGTCTGTGTCTGTGTGGACTGTGGGGTGGGGTGGTTATTATGAGCCAACGGAACGGCAGCCAATTGGATTATCACGCTTACCAGCTCTGAACAATAGAGTAGTGAAAAGAAGGAAGGAAGAGGAAAGGAGTGCAGTTTGCTGGGTCAGACTTGTGTCATGCTGAGCAGACGAGATGAAAGCAGGACAATTAAAAATGTATAAAGATGGTTTTATGACTTGTTATGTTTTAGTGGTGGGCAGCAAAGTGGGCAGGTAGATTGCAGTCGCCTCTCATCTGGTTGCGCATTTGTTTTTATGAGTTAATGTTTTGTTCACTCGTCTATGTGGTCTGTTTTGGTTGCAGTTTTTTCCTCCATCAGCCTGGACCTGCTGCCCGAGAGAGCTGCGACTCTTACGGTGTATGAAGACGTGGTGGAGATAGTTTCAGGCTTACAAGGTAACAACAGTGTGTGCACAGATCATTTATTGTCTAAGTAGCTCTAAACACAGCTCATAGAGTGCTGGAGGGATTATGGAGCTCAAGTCAGCATGGCCAAAAGCCAAATGGATTTTCCCCCTGGCTACTGGATTTCCAGATTACAGCAAAGTTTCTGATGCTTTTAAGTTTTGTTTACTGAGAGGGTCATGAATAAAAAAGTGGCACCTCTGTGATTTAAAGAGTAAAACACATCAGCTATTATTAAAAACTTAATCCTGTAAAAGGATGTAAACCCAATACACCACTAAAGGGTGAGCGTCACATTTAATGTCCCCAAAAGCTATTCTTGTCATTTTGAACATTTTGATCCTCTTGCATGTCACTCCCCGCTTTCTTTGTTTACTGCTTCATCCGCTGTCTTGTCCTCTCAAAAAAAAAAAGGAAAAATCTGCCAAAATAAAAGAAAAAAAACTTTCAAAACAAGCACATCCACAAGTTCACAGGCTCTAGATAAAGTACTAATAACAACAAAGTATATTATTTACTTTTATTTGTGCCCGTTTTTTTTTTATAATCAGATTTTATTTTACTTTCAGAATTTACATACAATCATACATCATTTTAATTCAAATAAGGTAGAAAATGACAAGAAAAAGATAAAACGTGAGGGAAAAAGAAAGAAAACAAAACAAAAAGAAGGGTAAATAAAGAAACACCCCAACAACACAACAATGTGTCATCAATTTAAGAAATTTGTGTCCTTGTACTTATAAAAAAAGTATTTTTTATTACCAGTCAGCTCAGTCTTGGACCTCCTAAACCATCGTCTCCTTTAGGCAAGTAATCCATAAGGGGCCGCCATATGTCCATAACGATATCATTATTCCCTTTTAATTTGGCACTTAGCCTTTCCATCAGTAAACATTCAAAAATTTCTTTGTACCGCTGAGTTACAGTTGGAGGTTTGTCGCTATTCCAATTGAATAGTTAACATTTTCTGGCCAAAAATAAGAGTTTATTGAGTAATTTTGATCGTCTCACATCCATGTCACTATTTGTAGGTGGCCGCCCCAATAGAAACTGGCCTGGATCTTTACATATCATGTTTTTAAATATTGCTGTCACTTCCTTAGATACACATGACCTGAACTTTGATATTCTTGGACAGCTCCAGAAGCAGAGTATATATGTTCCTATTTGTGCCTCTTTAAAGATACAGTGTGACGTATTCATAAGTGTGTTTAGATTAGTGCCTATTGACTTGAATTAATTTATGAATAATAAAAAAAAATGGCCTTATGTTCAGGGAAATCAGGATGAAGTGATAATAAAAAGTCCACCATCCTCCATCCACACATTCAAATGTAAATAATGTGTTGGTCCTCCTCTTTGTTAAGTTTAGTGTAATTATATTAGATGAGGCTTTCTCATTCAATGGAGTCTCTTTTGTCTGCTGGGCCTTTTGTGTGTATATGACAGACAGGGGGGTAATTTAACCTGTCAGCTGTGTCATCCAAAAAAAAAAAAAAAGAAACACAGCACACATAAATAGACGGACGCCATTAACATCTTGAGTACACACGTTGCCCACAACACGTGTCTGAGCCAAGTGAGTCGGTGCCCTTTGTCCGACGCACATTTTTCGTCATGATGATGTGAACTTGGCTGCCCAGGGGAGTGATGAACCTTGGCATGTGGCACGAGGAAGGGGAATCAAAGAGGGGGAGTGAGGAGGAGGAGGTTAATACAGTATGTGCTGGAGAGTGGAGTTGTGGGTGGAGCACTTGGAGTAAAAAAAAAAGGGGGGGGATGGGCAGAGAGCAGTGTCCAACAGAAGGAGGAACAGATGAGGTGAGAGGAAAGTGGAGGGAAAAGAGACAAAAAGAGTTCAATGAGCAGACGACAGACACAGGATTGTTTTCTCTCACAGAAAAGGAGGAACGACACTCAAGTCTGAATTTACAGCACCCAAAGAGCCTCAGAATGAAGGTTTAAAGATGCCGACGCTGCAGAGCAAAACTTTTCATGTTCTGCAACCTGAAACACTAACACGGTTTAAACCCTCACACACAGCTGGATATGTGCCTCACTGCTCAGGAATGTGTGCTCACAGTCAGACCGCAGTGACATCACCTTGCTGAGTCGAGTGCAGATTTTGTTACTGTTTATTGTTTTTTAATGTGATTTGTTTATGTTCATGGAGGGACGATGAGGGGAAATGAAAAGGAAACAATTCATTCCACATAAACTATCACAGAGAAGCATTATGCAAGATGAGATTAAACAAAGCAAGTGAGGCGTTATCCTCTGCATTAATCTGAAATCACCTCCATTATGAGGACAAATTAGGGAAATAAAGAGGTGTGTCATATTATCCAACCTTAGTACTACCATTTGAAATCATTGTCCAACCTTAGTACTACTATCTGAAATCAATTTTAGGTCAATTGGTCATGTTACATGGAAGCTATTGAAGGAAAACAGCCTTTTTTGACAACGTCAATCGGTAGTTTATTGACGGTCCCTTATTCAACACCTTACATTTACAGCGAAGGTGCTGAGTAGATTTGACCCCGCTGCTGTTGCCATTCCCGGTTATGGTGAGTGAGAAGACACCGGTAGATCCGCAGTGAATGTCCGTTGAATATCCAACCTAAAACTAACTTCACTGCGGTATTTACATGAAAAAACATTTGTTTCTTCGGCTGATTTTTTTATGCGCAAATGTGCCCCTTAATACATTTTACAGTTCGCACACATCTATTTTTAGTCGCAAATGTGAGTGAAATGGTTGCACTGTCGAGCCCTGGACAGAAAAGATATGTTTTGATATGAGACATGTCAAAACATATGAACACCACTCGAACTGACATGTCCGTTGTCTCTGATGGTCTATCTGTTCCTCTTCCAGGCTTTAGGCGGCAGCCCAGTGTGCATTTCCAGCGCCGAGCTCTGAATCTTCCTTCCAACACTTCCTACGCAAACCTCACCGCTCTGCTCACTGTGACGAGCTCCCCCCTGCACATCCAGCACTTCCCTCACCTGCAGGTCCAGAGCAGCAACGGCACAGGTGATGATACTCAAGCAGAGGTGGTGTGCTCAAAAAGACAAAGAGGGAGGAGTTACAAACTTGGAAGAAAGGGGCGAAGGAGAGTCGGAGCAGAGATGTCAGGGGTTGAGGACTGCAGAGAGGGGGATGGGGAGTAAAAAAAAGAAGCTGTGGTACATCAGAGAGACTCTACTCTGGAGAGGCCTCTTTATCTGACCTCCTGAAACATAATAACCCCAGTGTGTGTGTGTGTGTGTGTGTGTATCCACATGCTTTCAGGCTGTCTCATCTTGATGTGCTCCTGTGTGTTGCATGTGTTGGTGTGTCTTTGTGTCTTCTTCCTTCAGCTCCAATACTCCTCAAAAGCCCCCTCCTTACAGCTCGTACCCTCTCCCTCCAGGCAGGAGAGGCGTACTTGACACTTAAACAGCCTCGCAGATTTTTCTCTCTCCACCTTGTTCCCCTCTTTCCTGTCCTTCCCTTGTTTTCTTTCCTGTCTGTCCTTCCTCTGAAAACTTTCCTTGATCTATGCGTGTGTTGTTGTTTTTTTTCATTACACAGTCCTGGATGTCTGCTCCTTTCACCACTCCCCCCCTCCTGTCCACCTGACCCCACTTCCCTTTCCTCTCTACTGCCTGTTTCCCCTCTCACACTCTCCTGCTTTCTCTCACAGGGACAGAGAAGAGGTTTGAGTTGACTCCTGTGGCAGCAATCTCTGTTCACTTATTGGCCAGCGATGGAGTGGAGCTGCAAGTAAATGGACCAATCACAGTCTCCGTCCCCTTACTGGACCACAGTGGCCTGAAAGAAAACGACCACATCCCTGCTTGGAGGTTTGATCCCCGCTCAGGTATGTAAAGACTGAAATAATGAAGCTTGTCTGACGTCTTAAGCATTTTGTGGTTGCCTCAAAAAATTAACCTCGACTCTTCTATGATATATTTACTTCTTTACAATTTAGAGCTACAACATTGGCAGATTATTTATGATAACACCAGAAAATGGGCAATAACACAAATCCTGTTCGTAATTACTGAGTGCAGCCAGGTGACAATTTGCAACTAAGTCTCATTGTGATTACTGCATTTGTGCTATATTAATCTGCATTTCCGAACACAAACATTGGCCCATAGATGCTCTATATGTTTAAATTTTGAACTGTTATCAAACCAAGAGATGCGCTGAGACCCTTCATCCCTCTCTGGACCCACAGATTTATCTCAGCTGTCTAAAATCTGCATTGTCAGATGTCCCGCACAGTGACACACCCAGTTCCTCCGGGACAGTGTGAGCTGAAAGACAGTGGTTAGATCATCCATGGAGTCAGACGTGTCTCCATTGCTAGATGTCTTTCTGTGCACATTAGTCTCACATTTCCGCATCGAATGTGTCTACACGTTATGTTTGTGCCTTGCCAGCGCAGGAAGGAGCTCTGCGAGGACGAGAAAAGAACAAGTATTGGGTAGTCTAATGCAGGGCTGAAATATTTATGGTTGTCAGCTGATTGCTTAGTAGTGGAACAGAGCAAGAGTGAGCTGTTAAATCACAACAGAAATGACATGAGGATATAAAGAAAACAAACAGTTGATTGTTTTGAAAATGGCTGTTCGTGCCCAGTTTTCATTTTACCGATTGCTGTGATTGGATCAGCCTTAAAGGAAAACGCTCCCCAACAAGCTGCTAAATTCCCGACTGCATTTGCTGGCTTTGTACTTAGTGTGCCCTCTTGCTAACTGGAAATGGGCGAACACTGTTTGTTGTTTGTCTGAAAGACTTGGTCTTGATTCGCTTCGTCAATCAACTTTTCTTTTCGTACTCATTTGACTTTAATATCGCAGGGAGTAGGGCACCGGTAGTTACCCAACAGACTGTGGTCAACCCCCACAGACTGAGCCAGAAGAACTAAACATTAACAAGAAGAAAAGGCTTCTTGTCACACGTCATACATTAACCATGTTGCAGTCCTAATGAAACTAGCTTACGCAACCGGCAGCTTTTAAATTTACTTCATAAAATATTCTTCCCGTGCATTTGGTTTAATCAGCCTTTGCAATCTGGACAGTCTTTGTTCTTGTGATACTTTTAAGGATCTTGAGACTCAGTTTAAAGCCTCAACATCTAGAGCTTATAAAAAGGGCTTTGATAAAGGCTAGGAGAACACACACACTAACACACACACACACACACACACACACACACACACACACACACACACACACACACACACACACACACACACACACACACACACACACACACTCTCTCTGAAAGCCTTCACACAACCTTAAGCAGTGAGTATTTCCACAACAGAAGCCATCCCAGGACCCCTCTCCAGGCTACATCCCTGTTTCTTAGCAACCCAGCAAATAAATAACACAACAGAAAGGCCCAGCTCCCAATTGAGCTTCCTCATGATTTGAATGTGTGGCTGTGTGTTCATGTATGTGTTAGAACGAGGATCAAGAACAGACACAAAGACAGAACAATGTAATGGGTCTGCTGCCTATCTTGGAGCAATACTGAAGCAGACAGAAAAAAGGCGCTCTCACAGAGACGTTACGTTTGTTTAAAGAAGCAGGCTCCTGAACCAAAAACACACACATGCACACACACACACACACACACAAAAACCTGTTTCTCTTGTATAACCGACAACCCCTCATGTATTGTTACATGTTAACCAAGCATAGGGCAAAATGATGCGGTATACAAACAGATCAAGTTCAGCCGTTTTTAAACAGACACACCTTTATTCTGAGGAGTTTGTCGAGTCAGATGGGACATCTTCTTCACCACTACCTGTGAGTGAACAAAGAAAGCAAGACAATGCTCAGCTGTGTTGACTTTGCAAGAATAGGACCTGGGGCAGAGGTTAATATACAGACTGTATTGACTTTATGACATTATCGACATCATAATGCATCACGTTGAAGTGGTTGGTCGTGCTGCATTGTGCAGAGGCTTGGGAACATAGTTATTCAATGTCAGTGTGAAACGGGTCAGTCACACGGAGAGAGCTCTCCCCTGTGGAACCAGGGTGAATCTGGGCAGAGCTATCGCCAGAGCATAGTGTGTGTGTGTGTGTGTGTGTTTTTTAGGTGCTGAGTCATACAGTATCTCTTCTTTCTGTTTGCTTCTATATCTAATGATTATTTTTCCTTATCTCCTTTCCCATACCTCTTTTTTGTTTGCTCTTGTTTCCTCTCCCTGTTTCTTCAGGTTGTGATATTTGTCTTTCCTAGATTGATATCCTCTTTCCTTTTTACTTCCTCCCTCTTGAAGATCTTTGCAGGTTCTTGACCCCTTCATGTCTTGTTATGGTAAAAAAACCTGGGAACAAAGTAGCTCTCACTGGAGGTTTCCTCTTGTAGCAGATTTATTGTCGGCAAATCAGCCAGAGCTTTTGGCTTTGTATATTTCTTTCTTTTTGGTTCTGGCATTGTTGGAACTACTATTGTGTTCCTGTTCACAGGCTGATTGACTGCATATTTAGAGCACTGACCCCTGGTGGCTGGATTTGAACCTGCCAAAGTACAGGATCCACACATATTACCATATGTTTTATCAATTTATCTGTTATCATGACAACTCCTTAAAAGCATAGTATGAGTTTATTACATTAACAGGCGTTAAAATGTAAATATTAGTAAATGTTTGTGTTCTAGGGATGTATTATTTCTATTTATTAATTTTATTTAATTAATAAATCCTTCAGTCAATCCAGAGAGACACCAAATTTGTCTTTTAGGTCGCTGACCAAAAAACTTTGAGACCTCTCTTTTGTTTGGGTGAAAAACCAGATTGGAAAATGTGGAGTAAATCAAAAAGGTTTCTGCATTTGAAGGTGTTTGATGAGTTTGGACGGTAGATTTTGCTTGTAGGGGCAACATTGAAGAGTTAAGTAACCAGCATCAGACTTTTACCAAGCTCTGTCTCCCTTGCTTCACAATAAGCTTATTTTATTTAATTCTATTGAAAGTAATAAAATAATTTTCAAAGAAAAAAAATTTACTCTGGGCCATGTGGTTTCTGTTGGTTCTCCATCTGCAGTGTTTTTACCATCTGCTGTTCTCCATCATACAATCATACATTGGTCTGTATGTTTGGCAAACAGGTACTTTTTTTGTTAAACTACAGCCATGAGAAGTATTAGATTTTTTACTTACTCACAATTATAGAATATTTACTCTTGAAGAGAACCTCAGAGCAGCTAAATGGAGCGCCAAAGTATCTGCTAAGTTAATGAGAGTCACGAGGGAGTTTGCTGCAGACTCTAGATCTACAACTGAATAATGTCTGTAAATTTGATTTCAGTCTTTGTGACTGGTGTTTTTGTATAAATGTTTTTTTGTGTGTGCATTAATACACAGGTGCCTGGATAAAGAGCAGCTGGGGTCATGTGCAGAGGGAGGGCAACCTGCTTAGTCTGACCTACATCGCCCCTCAGCTGGGATACTGGGTGGCTGCCATGTCGCCAATACACTCAGGTAAGAGATAGACTGCTGTGAAACTGCTGTTAGATTTCTGCACATGTGCTGGGTGTAGAAAATAATTCAGACAGGTGTACAATAAATGTAGAGGATTTATCACAATGAGTGCCAGAAAATAAAACAGTAAGTAAATCATGATTTATTACAGAAATCTGCTTTAATAATGTCTCATTTCTCCCCTCCTGTTGTCCCTCCCATAGGTCCTGTGGTTGCGAAGGACATCAGCACATACCACACTGTGTTTCTGCTGGCTATACTGGGAGGGATGGCCCTCATCCTCCTCTGTCTGCTCTGTCTTTTACTATACTACTGCAGGTGTGTATGAACACTTAACTATCATGCATGTTAGGTCTAAAGGAATTCTCTGAGGTGTTCTCTTGCATTTTTAGATACAGTGTGTGAACCAAAGAAGGATGTAAAGTCAAACAGATTCCTTGTAATGAATTGTAAGAAGTGTTGTGTTTCTGTGCATTACAGGCGCCGTTGTTTGAAGCCCAGAGGGTCACACCACAAGCTCACACTGTCATCTGGTTTGGATAACAGTAAGAGGGACCAAGCCACCTCCATGTCACACCTGAACCTCATCAGCAATGAGGTCTGTCTGGTTTATACACAAAAATTCAATCACTGAGACATAGCCGGTAAAACAGAGAGTGCTTCCTTCTAGAGTTAAGGCCTGCATGTTTGGTTACCTTTAGTGGTCAACGATCTTTTAGTAAGACTTAAAAATCCTCTTCTCTCTGTGGAGGTGCTGCACTGCAGATGAATCCTCCATCTCATCTCCTGAACAGGAAGTTTTTGCTGTGTATCTTAATTTAAAGTTTTCATTTTCAAAAGGTTTCTTACGTCTCTATCTTCATTGCTTGTAGGCGCAGCTGGAGCTTGTCTCCACAGCAACTGAGCCTGACATGACAACACCAATGCTGAAGCCTTTCTCATACGAGCTTCGAGACAATCAACGCCAACACAGCATAATCCATCAAAACAAACACAGTCGCTCCTCTCTTGGTAACAACAGCCACCACGGCTCATCGCTTGGGAACTTGACTCCTCGCAACAAAGACTACCGACAGTCTGCCGAGACGTTCCAGCTAAAGTCTGCACTTTCGTCCGGAACAGACCGGGGCTATCGTCAATCATACACCTCTATCTGCTCGTCTAACAACCCACTGTCATCAGTCACCCACGGTCAGGTGTCAGCTAACCATCTGAGCAGTGTTGGGCATGTTGACTGCATCTCCCCCTCCCCTCCTCCTCACTCTCCCAGCAGGGGGGAGGGATGTGAGTGTAGAGCTTCTGACTACCTTCTGTCTCGCTCAGTGGACCACCTGGAGCGTCCCAGTCCCTCTGTGCTCTCCAGGCCTGGCCAGCTTCTCTGCTGCGGCTCCGTGGATCTCCTCAGTGGGGGAGAGGGCTACTCCAGGGTGCGTCCCACCCTGGTGATCCCAGCACACTACATGCGTCTTCCAGGGGAGCATCCTCTGTCCGGACAGGCCCTCCTGCTGCAGACTGACCAGCAGAGTGACCTCGAGACCATCCAGGCTGAGCTCAATGCCTCTCATTCCCAGCAGCCCCTGGGGAAAACCCCAACAGAGTGTCCCCCTTGTCCCACCAAGCAGGGTGACTCCGAGAATCTCGGTCTGTCAGAGTCTCTTTCGATTCCAGCGGCCCTCGGGGAAACTGCACTGGTAGAAATCAACAGTGAGGATACCTTGTTGGCTGAAAAGACTCTGATGGAGCTCAGAGGAGGGAAGCCTTTGCCTCACCCGCGAGCATGGTTTGTCTCCCTTGACGGACGTTCTAATGCCCACATTCGCCACTCCTACATAGATCTCCAGCGGGCAGGGTGCCATAGCAACGCACCAAGCGGAGGAGGACATCAGGTTAATGGCAGCAGTGGAAAGCACAGCAATGGCAATGATGCTAGCCTGGACTCGGGTGTGGACTTAAACGAGCCAAGAGCGAGCCGCAAGGCAAGAGACAGAGAGCGGGGTGTGAGAGAAACCGAGAAAGACAGGTCAAAAGGCACGACACCAGCCATGGCGTACACTCAGCTGGTGTATGTGGATGATGTGGATGGTGGGGGCAGCGAGGAGGAGACGCCCAAATGCAGCCCACAAGACAGTCAAACAGGACCTGTCCTTCTAAACAAAGCAGATGGGTGTGGAGTGGATCAGGGGCCGGGGGAGGTGGAGGGGAAGAGAGTAGAGGGAATACAAATACAAGAGGAGCCGCCCTCACTGTCGTCTTCATCCCCTGCTTCTCCTCCTCCCCCGCCAACACCAGAGGGAGAGACTTTTAGGACTGACAGTGCCCTGCTTTCAGCCTCCCTGGATGATGATGCAGGACAGGAGGATGGAGAGGAAGAGAAGAAGAGTCCGTGGCAGAGACGAGAAGAGCGACCCCTGCTGGCCTTCAACATGAAATGATCCTCAGATTACCACTTTGTGAATAGATTCACATTTTTTCTTATATAACACCCACATGTCCATATCTGCATAAAATAACTTTGTGCTTTTGTTTCTCCTGTTTCTCCCAAACTGGCCTCTTAAAAGGCATTTGATATGGGAGCTAGAGGGAGAAGACCCAGCTGCCCCAGCAATGCATGTTCAAAAATGCCTAATTGTGGTGTAAACTCTCAGATTTTAACATAGGAGTCTTACAAATTACAGTCTCCTTAAAGGCAAATATTACTTAATTTAATGTAGTGCTACAGAAACCATTAACTTCAATCCCAGAAAAAACACTAGGACCAAAATCTTCTGCTGAATACACAACATATAACAGACACATATTGTCAGACTTTTGAAAACCCTATATTTACAGTCTATTATTCTGATTGTGCAGGTCTAACAGATACTGTACATTATCATTTACTGACACAGAGAGAACCGTCAATTGAACTTCAGTCATCAATTTGCATTCAAGTTTGTCTACATGTACTACAGCACAGAATAGATATTGTATTTTAAGATTAAGTCACATTAACACAGGATTGAGCTGTATGGATCTGTGGGTTTTGTTCATGATTTCTTGCCTTGAAACCATTGAAGACACTTTGGAGCTGGACAGGGGGATCAATTACACAAATCAGCACTGTTCTCTTGTACATATGGGTGCAGTGGGTTTAACGATAGATATGAGGAAGTGGGAATCTGCCCTGTATCCATGCCTTCCACTCTGCCTGGACCGTTACAAGAAGGAGATTGAAGCCCTTTGTTTTTGTAAAATAGCACTGAGAGAATATTTCAGCACTGGGATCCCCTTTAAGCCAGAACCTATGGAGACCACATAGATCCTGAACTTCCAGGGCTCTTTTATGAAGTGACTGTAGTCAAACTCTTCATCCTCGGAAAGCTCTTCAGGCTGGGCATATACTATGCTTGGGAGAGACGGACAAACTTTGGAGGCAAGAAGTTAGATATTTTATGCACAATAGATAGGCCGTTTTTTTAAAGAATAGCTACATAAGCATTAAGGAACAGATGATGGGTTATTCTTGCAAACAATAACTTTAAAACCTTTACATTTGAGCCATATTGGCCTCAATTCACTGACTGTCACACTACATTTCTATAAAAGTGACATTATAACCTTTGGGAGTACACTGCTGAATGATATTTCAACACAGGAGCAAATACAGAGAGTGATTCTCCTTTTTTCCCAGCAAATTGAGTGCTCCTTCACGTGAAGCGGTTCTGACTGAAACATGTAAATCTTGTACTTTGACAGGTTTTGAATATGTTGCTAGAATTCAATCCAGCTCCTCTGAAGGCTGTTCAAGTGTTTACATAAGGTTTTAGGACTGGAGAAATTAAACCACTATTCGCTCTGCAACATAATCAGATAATGTGACACACCGCCATAATGGTAAGGATGTAATACCACTACAAACTAGTTCAATTTGAAAATGTTGTGAGGTGTTCTTATATGAAGGTTTTGTATTTGTTGAACCACTGAGTGGCATATTTTTGCTAGGCTATGCATCACTTTTATACGGCTGCTTGAGATGCCTTTTTTTGTAATTTTACCACTATGATTTTAATTGCCAACATAAAGTATTTTAGCTAAATAGGCTTTTTTTATTTGTTTGTATATGTTAAGGGCTTTTTTTTCTTCTTCACCTGCCTTATTATTGAGGCTAAAATAGCAAATTCATGCTGCATTTTTTTTTCTTAAACCAAACTATTTTTGCATGATTTGTTCCACTTTTAATTTCTTTCCCTCATCTTCCAAGTGCCTTTGAACAATCGGACTCTGCAGCAAATTTGTGGAAGAGATAACCTTATTTATTTCTGGCCTTCCTCTTGCCTTCAGCTTTCCTCCTCTACCTCAGCTCTCCCTTTCTCTTCCACTAGTGAAAGAAAGCATGCAGTAAACTTTCCTCAGCACTAGCTTGTAACAAGCTACACTGCAGACAACTCAGAAAAAGTCTACCAGCTGCTGCAACCCTAAAAATCCTGTACTGTACTCAGCAAGGCAACAATCTCTTTTTGAAAGAGCAGCAAGGGATTTATTGACATACTCAGCGCAGTACAGGATAGATAAAGCTAAGTGCGATTTGTATGTGAAGCTAAACTGCAGGTCTTTCAGTGCATTTTTTGTGTGTTTGTTCTGGAGGGTGAATGTTTGTCTCAGAAATGTTTATGTGTACCTCTGTGGTAGGTACAGCTGTGAGTTTGTGCTATCAAACTGAAGAAATAATCAACATGCATTCACTCAAGGTTCATATAGTCCTAACAATCATATTCCAGAGTGTGTATATTTCTTTTTATGTACTTCTACTGGTCAAAATGGTGTGTGAGTTGGTGTTGTGAATGGCCTCTTCTTTCTTAGTATCCCACAGCAACCCCCAGTTCTGGGAGAAGTTGCAGTACAGCATCCTGAGTGTTACTTAGGTGCTTTCATTATATTTCATTATATTATTCTGAATAAACAGCCAAACTGGAATGCTTTGTGTTTGTCTGTGTTTCTACATTCCTTCCTACCATGTTATCAACAGATTAATCTATTTTAAAACACATTTTAAAGACCACTTATTGAAAGGCAGTTCTTCTAAACTTTTCAGCAAAGGTCATGTTATAAACAGGAAAATACTCTTTTAATTGTACATCTGTTAAGATGAGTATGCAAACTTCTTGGATGGCTTTTACCTCTGGTGTCCTGTTTCAAAATCCCTTACTCATTCTCTCTCTCCTTCCCTCTATCTTGTTCTCTTTCTCTCCTCCTGCCCTCTCTCCCCCTATCTCTCTGTATTCCTCCCCAACCCAGCAGCGGCTGGGTGGCTGTCTGGCATGAGTCTGGTCCTGCTCAAGGTTTCTGCCTGTTAAAATTAAGTTTTTCCTTGCCACTGTTACTCATGTTAGATGAGATGGGCCAAATCCCATCTTAGGTTGGGTCTTGATAATTCATCAAACAATGAGCATGGTCTAGACCTGCTCTTGTTCTTTGAAAAGCGTCTTGGGAAGACGACTGTTGTGAATTGGTGCTATATAAATAAAATTTGATTTGATGATTTGATTTGAAAATGTAGAATATTCTTTTTCAGTGTTTTCTCATCATTTAATATTCCATATGATTCAACATCAACCAGATAGAATAACTACTAGACAAAATAAAATTGTCAGATTCACCCAGTCAGTTTTTTTAAACTATTAAATAACTAACAAAAAAGTCCTGAAATAGAAATCTCTACAAATATCACATCATTATGAGCTTGTAAAATGCAGTTAAAACGCACATTATTCTTTTGAATTGAGCACACATCGTGGATATTTCTGTTCAAAGTTGTATTAAACCTACTTATACAAAGTGACATGTGAAGGCGGAGTAGTGTTGTCGGTGATATATATGTTTTTAGTGATAAATACATGATTCTGCAGTTTAATTTCTGTACCACTTGACATCCAAAGGCAGGAGTCTGGTTCTGGTTCTTCTCCTGGCCTCTAGGCGGTGCAGTTTCCCTCGGCATTTTCTTTGTTTTTTCCATCTCTCGCCCGTAGCCCGTGATCTCTAATCATACGGTGGCTGCCAATTTTTTAAAAACATTTATATGATGGCGGAGGATAGTGAATCCGCGGCCAGCCAGCAGAGCCTGGAGCTAGACGACCAGGACACCTGCGGGATAGACGGCGACAATGAGGAGGAGAATGAGCATATGCAGGGGTGAGGATGGCCTGGCCGGTCCGGCTGGAAAACGCAGTAACGTTATTTCAGGGAGCCTGTTTGTGCGCTGCCTGTTTATGTGTGTGCTAGCGCAGTCGAGCTAACGTTAGCTGACACAAACACAAACAGACAGCTCACTACAAGGCCGGGAATTTAAGCTAGTAACCACAGGAGAAGTGTTTATTAAATTCGTTAATTATAGTGTTAGTTTAGTTGTTTTAACGCGCTTAAATTTACTCTCAAATGAGCTCGCGCCCCTATTGAATGACATGACAGCTAACGGCTGAGACAAACCGTTAGTTAGCTTGCTAACGTTAGCAGAGTTCAGCTGTCAGTCGTTGCTATGGTAGCTAACGTTAGCTCAATGCTGCTGCTGCTGCTGCGGTTGTGTTTGCGAGCGTGTTTAGGATCATACGTGTCTTAAATAAAGTGAACTCCTTGTACACTGATGTGGCAAACTTATGCGTTCATGTGTGCAGAAGTCCTGGCGGAGACCTGGGGGCAAAGAGGAAGAAGAAGAAACAGAAAAGGAAGAAAGAGAAGCCAAGCTCGGGCGGAGCAAAGTCTGACTCTGCCTCCGACTCCCAGGAGATCAAGGTGCGATGAGTGCACGATGGAAATGTGTCCAAACCCTTTTGATGAGAGAACCTAAAACCACAACCCACCAAACTGGATCATATAGTCAGCGCTGTAGTTGGTAGACGGGCTACTCTAAGAAAGTACATGAGCACATGGGACAAACCTGTTGGTTAGCCATCACTTTGACTGTGTCAATAAGGGTAAATTGTCCTCGGCCTAAGTTTAGACATGGCATTGAAACCCAACAGTAACCTAAGATGACTGGGATCATGGTGAAACAGCCTCAAAACATAAACCCGTTTGTGCATTTGTTTGCTTACTAATGATATCCCAGTTCTAGAAACAGGTTCAAGCCTTTCAGCATGAAGTGCTACTTAGGGCACTGTTACAAAACTGAGATACTTTGGCATGTAATAAACTTATCCAGGAGGATTTTTGTACCTAATGCAGCAGGTGTTGGTGCTGTATTGAAGCACACCAACTTGAAAGGTGTTCCAAGTGTTTTGAATACACTTGGCAAAAATACAAGGAACCCCTTATAGTATTACTGATATCAACAAACCACCGCACTCACCATATCACTACATAATAAATAAAATGTACAGTAATCACCTGTCTGATCATGTCGACAAAAACTCAAAGTTTGTATTGCGCTGCTTAAGATTATCCAGGTGTTCATAATGATATTGCTGGCTAGTTTATGTGCTTTAAAACACCATTTTTCAGTCAATAATCTGACATTACCAACTGAATCCGACCTGTTGTTGACCGTAAGTACGGCACTTTTTTTCTCTACATAAAGAACCCAGGCTTGCCCATACAAAAGCTGCAAGACATCCAAAGAGCCATGGAGTTGCTGTCCTGCCAAGGTCCAGCAAAGAGCATCGATGAGGCAACCAAGCACAAATACCAGTTCTGGGACACCCAGCCAGTGCCGAAGCTAAGTAAGTGCAAAAATGTGCTCAAGTCGGCAAATTCTTCTTTTTTCTTTCTTTCTTTTTTTTTTTAAGTAATTTGTTTGTATTTTACTCCAAACAGCCACTGACATGTTGGAATAAGTTTGTTTTTCTTTTTTAATTGTATTTGTCAGCCTTTCCATTGCAAGGCCTGAAGACAGTTCTTTTATCCAGAGATTCACAGATGGATTGTTTTCACTTTTTCAATGTCTATCGATAAGATGCTTCACTTGTACCAGACAGAGGTTAACCAACTTACTTTCATGAGATCTCAAGGTTAATGACTCAGGAATAATGCCAAGAATGCAAATGTCTGGGCAGAGAGGAATCTTCTCAAAGATAATATTTGATATTGTATCTGTTATTCCCCTCCAGAAACCTTGGACTTGATTACATTCCCATAAGCAATGAAATGGAGTCCCTCTTTACGTTTGTTTTTCTGATAAAAAAAAATGCTTTTTCTACCTAAGAAGATACTGATTATTCGCATATCTAATGGTTTGTTTCAGAAATGATAAAAAAAACATCCATACTGAAAAGCTCTTCTATCAACTGTCAGCAGAAGCATCTCTACCATCATCCTGGGATACAGTTTCTGTGCACCAGGGCCATCTACTGGATTTATTTTGTCACAGTCTGCACTGCTAAAAAGGTCCCAACGTGCCATGAGAGAATTTCATTCATCTGAGATTACCTGGCATGTGTTTATTTGTTCTAAAGTACAGGACAAAATCATTGTCATGAGTCGGCTCTCAATTTTCTACCCTGAACAGCAGCAGTTGCAAAAGTTTGATGGTATGAGAGCAGCTGGAAGTGATGACATCTTTGGATATGAACTCAAAACCGTTTTTTTGTTCAACCCGGTTTCAGACAGGGAATGTTTGAACATGAAACAGCCTTTATTTGATCACCGTCTTTCTTGCATTTATTCTGTTAAATCTCATAAGTATATTAGGCATCATATCTATTTTATCATTCATTTTTTAGATGGTCTTGTTCTGTTTCCAAGTTGTAATGTTACAAATCATATCACTCATGTAGTTATTGGTTTTCAGTCATCTTTATGCAAGATAAGCACACATATCTTCTGTTGACAGTGACAAAATACATCCATTACTAGCTATGGACAAGAACTGCCATTGTGTGTTTTTACAAATGAGAATTGAAATGATGAAATTAAGATGAGGATTACCTGAGCTAAAAGCGTGAAAAGATCCTTGACCAGTAAAGACAAGAGTTCTTCTTTTTGCAGATGAGGTGGTGACAAGTCACGGGCCAATAGAAGCAGACAAAGAAAACATTAGACAGGAGCCATATTCCTTACCTCAAGGCTTTATGTGGGACACTCTGGATCTTAGCAATGCTGACGTAGTAAGTATTTTTTGAAAGCACTTGCACATTGAAAAAGGGGGATGCAGCTAATGAGCATTGTCTCTATTGGTATCTGTAGTTTAAGGCTAACTTAGTGTATGAAAAAACATTTCGTGAAGCACATTTTCCTCTTATCACGTCCTCCTTTTTTTTCCAGTTAAAGGAGTTGTACACCTTACTAAATGAGAACTATGTGGAGGATGATGATAATATGTTCAGATTTGATTATTCTCCAAACTTTCTAAAATGGTAAGCTGTCATTCCTGATGTTACTTTGGTCAAATGCTTCATAAATGCACGTGCATGTGTATTCATACAACTAAACTGTGTGTTTTACAATCTAACGTCCTACTCCTGCAGGGCACTGCGTCCACCTGGCTGGTTACCACAGTGGCATTGTGGAGTGAGAGTGTCCTCGAATAAGAAGCTTGTTGGCTTTATCAGTGCCATACCCGCAGATATACGCATATATGACACGTGAGCATTCATAAATGATCATTAACAGCTGGATCAGACTAACAATGCGAGTTAATAGAAACCCTTGTGATTTATGTCTCATTTTTTTCTGTCTGCTGCTCCAGAGTGAAGAGGATGGTTGAAATCAACTTCCTGTGTGTCCATAAGAAGCTGCGCTCGAAGCGTGTCGCTCCTGTGTTAATCCGAGAAATCACACGGAGGGTAAACTTAGAAGGAATATTTCAGGCAGTTTACACTGCAGGAGTAGTTCTGCCTAAACCTGTGTCTACATGCAGGTATGCAAAACTTTATAAAAGACCCCTTTCACACATTAACCCCTGACAATTTGCTTTACACATGCATTACATGTAGGGTGAGAAAGTAATAAGTAGAACCAGAATTCTTGACTCTTCCTCTCTTTCCTCTCTTTCTGTTTTTGCCTTTGCCAGATACTGGCATCGTTCTTTGAACCCCAGAAAACTCGTGGAGGTGAAATTCTCCCACCTGAGCAGAAACATGACCCTGCAAAGAACCATGAAACTCTATAGACTACCAGATGTAAACACTTCACAATTTTTAATCCTCGATGCCTTTTTACTGTTCCTGTCAGTGTTAGAAGCTGATATGAGCCCCTATTTCCTTACCCCGTACAGAGCACTAAGACTCCCGGTCTGCGGCCAATGGAGAGGCGTGACATTCTCCAGGTAACTGAGTTGCTGCAGAAATATCTGAGACGTTTCCAGCTCGCACCCTCGATGGGAGAGGAGGAAGTGGCTCATTGGTTCCTGCCTCAGGACAACATAATCGATACATATGTAGTAGAGGTATCTGGGAGTAATATCTTTTCTCAAGATCATGTCAGCTCATATGTTTTCTGATCTTTTTTTAAACACTTCATGTTTCTCTCTTGTTTTCAGGGAGCTGGTGGTGCACTGACAGATTTTGCTAGTTTCTACACTCTGCCCTCAACCGTGATGCATCACCCTCTACATAGGAGCCTGAAGGCTGCTTACTCTTTTTACAATGTTCATACACAAACCCCACTACTGGACTTAATGAATGATGCACTGATTCTGGCCAAACTGGTAATGTCTTTCTCTGTGCAGATCTATTGCAAAACACCTGTCATTACTGGATAAATTTCGCTATATTATGATCCTTAAAGGAGGAATTTGTTGAGTTGCTCACGTTGAAAAGCTGATGTTTGTTGTGAAATTGTCCCTAGAGAGACTTTGTAACTTTTCTTTACAGTTCCAGTGATCAAGTTTGTCCATGTCTTATTCTGTTTGTCTAACAGAAAGGTTTTGACGTGTTCAATGCCTTGGATCTAATGGAGAATAAGGTGTTCCTGGAGAAGCTTAAGTTTGGCATAGGTGATGGAAATCTGCAGTATTACCTCTACAACTGGAAATGTCCCCCAATGGACCCCGACAAGGTCAGCAACATCATATTTAGTCTGATCTGATGATCTCCACTTTCATCACCCTGAACGTTCTGATACTAAGACTCAGTAAGAAGAAATTAAGTAAATCCCTGATTAAATTTTTTTGAAATTGTCGCTAGTTGACAATGCTGTAGTATAACATGAATGTAATGTAACATTGAATATAGAGATGGACAGTGGTTTATAAAACTTAATGAGCAATATTTGATTTTTACAAATCTGTCTGTGCATCAGTCTAGAAATTGGTTTAATCAGAGAGAGTTGGATACATCTGATAAATCTGACTGGTATTGTTGAGTCATTTGTTCAACTTAAGCAGCATTTCATAGAATCTAATATGAAGTTTGCTTGTTTTGTCCCTCCTCTTGTGCAGAAAGCAAACAGTGCCCAGCAGTTAGACCTTATAGATAGTCAAGTTTTAATATGACTGTACTTATCGTTGTAACAGTAGATGAACCCTTTCTTTTCAGGTTGGCCTGGTCCTTCAGTAGCAGGCCCCCACCCAAGCTGCTACACAAACACTGATCAAGTGGTCAGAGGTCGGCGACCTTTTGCCACTCCTTACCTGGACACACAGGTAGCCCAAGCTAGACAATGAGAACTACAACAGAAAAGAAAAAAACAACAACATCAACAACCCAGAGACTGGGACTTGGTCCAGCAGGCACTCGTGTCATCAAGAACAATACTCAGTTCACTTGAAGGTGAAAATTCCGAAATCATCAACATCCTGAATGTGAAGTCATGCTATGCCTGAGATACTCATACAGTACAATGCTCTGACATGCACACTCACATTTACAAAACACACCAGTTTGACATACAAGAGGTTGCCTTGACATTGTGAATTTTTGTTAGTTTTTCTTCCTCAGCTGACGCCTTGTTAAAGGGACTGGCATGCTGTTTTAATGTTGCTGATACTGAACTATGTAAATGATCATCAACAGGTCAACATGTCCACAAAACAAACATTTGGTTATTGTGTCCCCACTGCAATTGCACACTTGCAGAGTAAAGAGGATCTTAAAGGCAACCGACAAGTTATTGTTTCCATACCGTCTCATATCAATGTCTGCGGGCTGTTTCTGGCCTTCGGTCCGATTACAGATGCGAAGAACTTGTTTTGTTTTACAGATGAAATGTGAGATTTTATTTCCTGAAGCATCTGAAGAGAAATATCATCTTCAAAATCTCAAATGTTTTTTTCACACACAAACACACACACACACACGAAAAGAAAGGACTCATCCACCTGGTGCATTGATACACACTTTTTTTGTTAAGAATATATAGTTACATGTACATTGAAAGCCAGATCATATTTATTCCTGTAGTGTGAGTTTGGGGTTCGGGAGGGCTGATCCAAAGTATTTTCCTCATAAGTAGTGTAGATGTCACTGAGTTTGTTCAGATCATGTGGGTTTAAGTGGTTTTTTGATAAAGAATGTATTGCATTAAAGAAGCACAATTTTTGAGTTCGTTAACAAGCAAAGGGTTTATTCTTTTTAAAGGGTCCGATTTAGACACTGAAAGGCTAGTGTACAGACTGTTCACCTTTATTTCTTGAAGGATGTGAACTGTTTTTATGTTATAAACCTGTCTCTGGAGCTGATTGGTGTTTGGTTAAGTTTTCAAGTCTGTCTTAACAAAGACAAAAGGACTGAAAGTACAGGTGGCATGGTGGGTACACAAGCAAGCAAAGCCGAATTGGAAACAAAAAGGCTGGAAAACACAAAAAGAACACTTCAAATATAGCCAGTTGAATTTTTTCTTTTCAGATTTTGTACAAAAATAAGAAGTCATTTTGGTCTAAAGACAGTTTTGTAGCCTAAATATGGCTTCCTTTAAGAAAGAGTGATGTTCTCAGTTAAGTTCTGTTTTAGGCCGTATGTGTTCGTTCTCTTTTATAAATGTAGTCATTGTCAGTCTTCTGTTATTCCTTTAAGTAGCTTCTTGGATATCAGTGAGTATGATGCCCCTGAGAAGCTGCTGATCGGAAGAAATACATAACATGGCTTGCAAACTTTATGTATGTGACCATCCATGTTTAACGTGTTCTCAAACTCGGATTAAAAAAAAAAACTGAGCACAAGTTTGAAGGCATTTTCAGAAGAATTAAAGAGCATTTATTTGGAGTAAAGTGGCTGCATTAACAAAAGCTTCTATCTGTAAAAGCATCTTTTTGAAATTGGTGTTCCCCTGTTTTTCTGGGTCCATTTTTATTGACTTCTCTAAATGTTTCTTTTAACGGTACGGTATTTGTGTGTCAAAAGATACTGTTGGTTGTATGCGTGTTGTGTGGCCTAATGTTTGAAACGGTTCACATATTTGTAAAAGTACTTTCAAAGAACATGATTTGTCCTTTTTGTTTTGAAGTTATGTTTGTGGGGCATTTTTGCCTTTATTAGACGGGACAGCTGAAGAGAAAATGAGGGCAGGAGACGTGCAGCTAAGGATTGTGGCCAGGAATCAAACTAGCAGCCGCTAAAACAGGGATCACAGCCTCTATACCAAGAGCGCTTAGACTGACAGGCCATCTGTGCCCCATTCTTTTTTCCTTTTTTTTAAGTAATTCCCTTTACCTTCATCTTAAATAAGGGGTTCAGCTACAACTATCTGGCACTTTTCTGTGTGAAATCTTTGAAAAGCTGTTGTCAGACCACTTTTTATAGGAGCTGCTTGTGTACTCAGTTTCAAATGTTTTATAATTGTCTTCTTGCTCAGTGTTAACTCTTTGTCTGCATAACTTAAGTAGAGGCTGCTGCCATTTTCATCGTCTGTTTTTCCTGTCTGTGGGTTTCTTCTCATCCCTTTATATTTTAGCGAGAAAAGACGACCAAGTCAGTGCTTCAGGGTTCTATTTTTTTTATTATTTTGTCCTTGGAAAGATGAATGAGCATCCTTCACAAAGACAGACTTTAACAGCATTTATTTATCATTGAATCCGGGTTACTGAGTTGACGGTGTGCCTCATGGATGCTGGTTGTGTTACAGATGTGTTGCCTGCAGCTGTTTGAATGAACTTTGAGCATGTCCGTTTTGCTGCCGTGACAATTTGAAACATTGTTACTTGCCACACCCTTTAGTGCGAACTCAAACCCGAGGTACCTGCCTTATTTAAAAGATGTTTTGTTTTATGATCAAGGTTTTTGAGGGTATGGGAGAGCGTACTTTTGAGATGGCATACAGCTTTCTCGAACCGAAGAACAATATTTTTATTCAAATTCATTGTAAGCTGTGAAAAAGCTGAAGAACTGTACCAGCATCATTTAGACATGACCCCATGCAAACAATCTGTTTTAACTCACTCGTCAGCTATACCAGCATGAATATTTGATTGAATAAACTCACTTTAAAGAAAGGAATGGCTGATGCTCTTATTTTTTCAGGACGTGTACACGAGCTGTAACTCTGAATGTTTTAAAATTAACTCAGTCATAACACTATATTTGTTCAGCTCTAAAACTCATGTTTCCACCACCTTCAACTTCAGGCATATTTACAGAGGAGCGTGAAAGAAACATCAGATGTGTGTCCACATTATCCAGAAACAGACCCCTCATTGTAAGTATAACTTTTCTGTTTCTGTGCTGACTTTAAGTATCAGAGTTCAAACTTTTTATTTTCCAATTCATAGCAGTTTAGCAGTAGTTGGTTTCTTCCCTGAAGAAGTACAAAAAAACAACCTCTAAAAATGAAACTTGTTCCAACATATGCTTGCTTTTCATTTTTACTATTTTCATTCTCCTTTTAACACATTAGCCAAAGCCAACTGACACAGCGCAAAACTAAAGGTGACCAATGTTTAACTTATATTTATCTTCTTGTAACTTTTTACTTTGGCTTTGGTGATCGTCGTTAGAAACCAGGAAAAACCTTCAAACTGTTCATTGTTATACCAACAATCAAAGTCATAAAAAGTTCTGTTTCAGATTTAATTCCTTTGTTCTGAATTATCTCAAGCGAACTGCAGATGCTTGCAAATTCATCTACAATTCATTCAAATCTAAAGCTAAATCCCGACAAGTCAGACGCAAACATAAAATCAATAGCTGTGAAAATGTTAAAATAAATCATTAAGAGAATGAGTAACTGTAGTATGTGATGTCCATGAGAATGGGCTCCTTTGATGTCCAAACTGAAGCCATACATGAGCTTCAAAAAGAGCCCATTCAAAGAATGCCTCGTTTTTTCATTCATAAGAAACACTGTTAACTGCTGCTTTGAGAAAATCTATAACAAAGTAATTTTTCTTTCTACTATCAACCAGTTTTTGTTTTATTTCAGCAGTTATGACTTAGCCTTTTCTTTTCTTTTCTTTGCAGGATTAGGAACTATTTTTTTCACTGCAAGAGGTTGCAGTCTGCTGGAGGAGCCGGACTTTGTAAACTCAGATTCAGTTTCTAGTTTCCTCTTCTGTCCCTTCTTCTGCTCAACATCCCCACCCTCCTCCTCTTCAGGGCCACCTGGGTCTTCGGGTTTTACACTCTGTGTTGCACCCTGTAGCCAGGCTACATCTAGAGAGGGCACTCGGGGTGTAATGATCTCCACAATGTCAGTGAACATGTCATTGTCTGTGGAGGCACAGTGTCTGAATCCCAGTGCGAGGACACTTTTCAGCCCCAATGGCTCGGACACATTCTGACTCAGTCGAGGCACCTGGCAGGCCGGGACACCTCTGGTCGCACTAAGAGCAATGAGATGATTGATCATGTGTCTCGGCTTGACAGACTTGCACACAAGCAACAGCTTGAGCTCGTTCCTCTCCAGTGCTTTGGTGACCTCGTTGATACCGATGGCTAGCTGCCTTCTGGCTGCCACGTTTGTCCAGCCATTTTTGGAGGGTTCCTGCTCAGACATGTCCTGGCTCACCTGCAGAACAGGCTCTGATGTGGAGGGAGAGTTTTTCTTACTCTTTTTCCTCCATGGGCGAAACACTTTGACCTCTTTCTTCTCAAGACCAGTAGAAACCAGCTTGTCCTTCAGGCTATTCAGAATGAAATGCATGTCTTCTTGGGGCAGTGGGCTCCATTTTGGAGTGAAGGGTGAGGTGAAAGATGTCTTGGCTTGGACATGTCTTTTTATTTCCTTTTTACTTGGCTTCCCTGGAGTGGCCATTCCCTGAAATCAAGGAAGGAAAAAATGTACACAGTCATATGACGAGTGGAGACTGATCAACATTTCCACAAACACTAATCCATATATTACAATATATGCCAATACAAACATCTGGAAGATTTCTAACATCTTTTCCCCTTCAAGAGGACTTACTAGTAGTAGTAGTAGTCGTTAATTCAGTCATGACAACACCAAATATTGTACACAATATTGACATTTCACACAAAATCACTAAATCAAGAGTCATGTGTTGAATATTGACTGGAAAGGCATAGGCAGAAGCAGACTGCTTATAAAAGCCTATCCTGTATTGTCAACTTTTTTAGGCTACCGACCTCCAGAAAAGCAAAGAAACCACAACAACAGATAATTAATCGCACTTATAAGCTTCAAAAATAGCTTTACAAACCATTTTCTTAAAAAACGAAAAAGAATTACATGTTTTTAGATTTATGTTGACATCATTCCAGAATTTAACTCCAGTAATGGAGTAATAGATTAAACGTATCACAGGTAAACACTATACACATCATTAATTCTACTAATTAGATATTAGAAGCTGTTTCTATTGATTTATTACAGTTCGAGTTATCTTTGGACTCTTACCTTAACTCTGCGTCTTCACAGTTCACTATTACTGTTTTTACCATTAACTGCTCAACCGACAACTAAGAGCTCCATCGAGTACCTGATACTGATCCACACGAAACTCTTTTTGGGTGATATTTTTAGTCCTTTTTCGAGACTCACATCGACAACACGTCGTGGTCACAGGGCGCCGCCATTTTCTTTGAATAAGAAAACCTTTATTTAAAATATCCCGCGATGCGTCAACAGACGATACGTTTATGATGCCACAGCGTATACGCGCAAATATGGCGCCTTACGTATGTCTATAATTACTCTGAGGAAAAAAAAGATAATTCAAGCATAAAATTTGAGAATGTGTATTTTGTATAATGGGGAGTCACGCTACGGAGTGAAGTACCCAATTTAAACATCCGGAAACATATTTTCAATCGTATATTTTAATTTTTCGGGATTATTGCGATTTTTTTTTATGATGTGTAAATAAATTGAACATGATAGGTAGTGCACAGTTCATAGAGTTGCAGTCGTATGTAATACTGAGATTGAGCAAAAAGCAGCAGTCTATGGACTGAGTCTTAAAACTGTGGTCGTAGTTGACGTGTATGTGTGTGTATAATATGTATGTGTGTGTGTTTAGTGTAAGAAGAGAGTGTGAGAGGCAGCCAATCCGCTCCTCGGCTGCTCTCTGCTCCCTCCTCTGCGGTCCACTCCTTGGCCGATACAGATTCATGTCGATCAGCTGTGCCGCAATTACAGCTGCGCAGATCTGTCCAGCAAGCAGGGGAGATACTGTACATTTATCTGACTTATCGGGACTGCAGCTGACCAAAATGTCGAATCAGGTACAGTATTATCTGCTTTTGTTATCATTTGATCATTTGCATCTCATCTGTGCATCGTAATGGGGGGGTTCCAGTTCATCGCTTTAATGCGAATAACGGTCTCTGGTGAAGGGGTGTTCACCCCCGCCACCGTGAGTGCTGTCAACCATCTTTGACACTGTGGGATGTATAACCGAGAGTATGAATGCATGTATTCATTTACTTAATCATCCTTCTGTTACTGCATGGTTAAAGGACATGAATTTACTTTTATTTAATGAAAACCCGAAAAACATCATGAAAATTTATAAAAAGCTAAATGAACAGTTAGAAAGAAAAAGGATCTAAACTCACCATGGTACGTTTGTGTTTTCTGTGATTTGTTGGTGTATGATTATCTATTCAGTAATGTCCCAGACCCTTTGTAAAATGGATAAATGAAGTGGGCACAGAAGTACTAGAGCCTTGAATAAAAGCCCATTGTTTGGCTCCTACTTGTGCAACAATAGGTTTCCAGAGCTCTGCACCCTGACCGGAATACTACACTTAGATTTCTCATTCATTGGTGTAATCTGTTACTGATTAATCTGCGCAAACTCATACTCTGCTATTAAAATACACTCTATGTTCACTTTACACCACTGATAGATTCATTTAAGTGGAGCAAATACACACTGGCCTGTTTGTTCATTTAACATAACACAGTAGCTGAGTCTTAAACTGAACGATTCATTAAAATACACAGTTTCTTTGTTTTTTTCTTTCTGACTATCTTCCCTCCACAGGCAGAGTTTGAGAAGATGGCAGAAGATGTTAAGAAGGTGAAGACAAGGCCTACAGACCAGGAGCTGCTCGACCTGTATGGGCTTTATAAGCAAGCAATTGTTGGAGATGTTGACACAGGTATGACTTACTGTAGAAAAGCAGAATAACTTCCATGCAGTGTCCTCTTAATCTTGAACATTTCCCTTTATTTGTTTTCTATAAACTAATGTAGAAAGGCCGGGAATGTTGGACTTAAAAGGAAAAGCAAAGTGGGATGCCTGGAACTCCAGAAAAGGTATCAAGTTTAAAATGATTGTAGATTTAAAACAGTAAATCAATTTATTTTCCTTTTTTTTTGCATGATATTAGTTGTTTCTAGGGTTTAATGTTCTTGCAAATGTCCCTCACAATGTATTCTTGAGACTAAATTCTTGGATTTTTACCTTTTAAACTCCAATTGATACATCCATCACATCCTTTTCTTCTGTGATTTGAACAGCAAAAAGCCCCCTTAAACTTATCTCAGTAATTGTCAACATTGAACAGCGGGGACACAGGGCTTCTCCTGTCCGTATACTTACATGCTTACATCAAAGATGCTTACCAGCTACTGATAAGCAGGTTTGTTTTTAGGTACCATGTTCACAGCTGTAGTTTAGTTTATGTATGTACCAAAGCATTACTACTCTTGATAGACTGGCGAAACCTATGTCGCTCATTTGGCTAAACACCACAGCACATTAATTGTTTATGTTTTTAATCATAGTATTTTGTATCACCCTTACAGGAATGTCCAAGGAAGATGCCATGACGGCCTACATTACACTTGCAAAGGAAATCATAAACAAATATGGCATGTGAGGCTTGCAATAAAATAAAGGTACCGAATTAACCCAGGAACCGTCTACTAACTCAATTAGACGCTGCTGTCTATACCATAGATATATGATATCTCTGGTCTGTATGACCAGTAGCCTTTTGCTTTTAGAAGCCATAATACTGTGAGATGTGTGACAAGTGATCAATTTGCTCTGAGATCCTTCAATTACTTAAAAAGATAAGTTTGATAATATCTACATCTGAATAACTTCTATGCATTATCAAGGGTTAAAACTATAGACATTTTTCAGCATGGTGCTTAATCTGATTCATGAGCATTTTTGTAGTAATCCACATGTGCACAACAATGTACTGTATAGGTATTTTGAAATGAAGCTTGATTCCTAATAAAAGCTGGACGAATTAAATGTGAACACACTGCACACATTTTAACAATAAAACTTATTCTGCACTGTTTGTGAGTGTGTCGTTTTTAAAACATTTGTTTGATGGGATTTTTTTTGCAAGTGTTACAAGTGTCAGCCAATCTTTGTAGAATTCTTTCATTTGAAGTACTATGTGTCCTTTAAACCTTAAAAAAATGATAACACTTATTTCCTAATGTTGTTGCCAGACTTTGTCTTATTTATCTCACTATCTCTGGATGACTGAATTTTCTTGTAGCAATAAACTATTGGAGATCTAGGAAGCAAAACCATAGGTAAATCAATGTGGTAGGCCATACCATGACATACCATGCTGCCAATGCCTACAGTAATGAGACAATTTATCCTATTCCAAGGATCATTTTATGCCTTTGCAACTCTGCATACCATTGTTGATTGTCTAGCACAACAAAATTATGGTGGTAAACTAGCATTGTTATTATAAGATCTTGATAAAAATTATAATAAATCCGTTATCATGAGGCTAAAACTGAATAAATAGCCCAAAATTTTCAGATACATTCTCACTTTATTACAGTTGGGGAGAGTGGGGTAAGACGAGACATTTTTCATATTTCGGATCACTACATTAAGACAACCATAGTTTTGTCTCTAACTAGTGTATCTGCATATATTTCAAGATGTTGTGCATCCCTGCAAACCAACAGAATGATGCCAAAAAAAGTGGTCTCCTATGGTCAACTTACCTCGTGTATGGGATAAGTTGACTATAGGAGCGAGGTACGTTGAGCCTTATCCCTACTAGCACTCTCCACCCCAGCCCTCCCTCACCTTCTCTCTCCCTAAATAACAATCACTTCTTCACATTCATGTGTATTTTTATCTATTATACGCTATTCAACTGGTACAATAATTATTTTTATATCATTGCATATAACTGCTAAAAAAACACATTTTAACATGAGAATGCCTTTAAGTGATTCAGAACATTCACAGCTGTATTTTAGAAAAGAAAAGTAACACATTTCAACAATCTGAACTGAAACTCTGATCCTCTCATCAGACTCCTTTACTTTCTCAGTTATGACACTGACTCAACTTACCCCAGAACTACTATCATGACTTTATTAGTCCTCTAAGCTAAAATGGTGGACTTTTATGCTACGTTTTTCACCTCATGTTATAGTTCACAGATACCACATTTGATGTATAAAACTAATTTAAAATGATCTTTTTTGGTCTGAAAACAATTCTACTAAAACTTATGACAGACTAAATTCACTTTCAAGAGTGAAAAATGTTTTTATTTTGTAAATAAATGTCTAACCCCTTCACCCATGTGCTTCCCATGTGCCTTCACAGACTCCATGAATTGATGCCCATCTCCTAAATATTTGGTCACATGATCAATTTCTTTTATCATTTCCAAGCAACTTACCCTTTGGCTCAACTTACCCCACTCTCTCCTACTGGCACTATGAAAAATATTAGACCACCAAAGCCCCTCTGTTTAGCAAGACATTGTGTACAGACCTTATTTTTTTACACTGAGTCAACATGTTGGTTTCCTGTATGCACATATTAATCCCTATGTGCCGCAGAGAGGTGAGATGAGGAAACCTCCTCGTGTTCAATGCCTCATTATTTCTGTTAAATGTAGGTCGTGTAGTGAGTTCGCGCATGCGCAGTGAGGTCTTCCGGGCTGGTTCTCGGGACGTCTCAGTTTAGTGGGTAAAAGGTGAGGAGCGCTGTTGTTGTCCGCAACAACACACACACAGGACCTCGTCATCTTCCTGCGGACTTTAACAAAGTCTGCTTGTCGTCCATGCCGAGAGCTCAAGTCAACATATCCTGAAGGTAAGCGGAGTTGAGTTAAAAGCTTAGAGAGAAGTTTGTAATTCAGTTTATTCGTTTACATGTCATTGTTATTGTTGGAGAAGCGTGGAAGCGAGCCAGTAACCGCAGGAGACTGAACCTCGAGCACACCAACATTGGTGTAGCGGCTACTTATCTGAGCTTACATACTGAAAAACATTATTTTTATAACGTCAAACAAATGGGGAATTTAGTCTGCATTTTTTTATAGCGAACACACGAGCTATTGGATGTTGAACCAGCAGAAAAAGCCACAGTCTTTGGGGTATTTTGTGAACTGTTTATCAGACCGTTAACAGAGGAATGAAAACCTCTGGTGTGCAGTGTGTACCTGCTCCGAGATGATCTAACGGGATCATATAGCCTTACTGAGGTTATACCTGACCCAGAACTTCAGATAAAGTACACTGAGCTCAGCATTTATCCTAATTATTAGCGACTTTATGAACCAAATCTAGTTCTTGTTTTAAGTGTTTACGTTGTATAAGATATTTAAGTGGTGTAAAATTAATCTTAGTTTGTTGACATAGGCAGTATTCCTACTCTCACTGTCAAGATTGAACACACACGTCATCCAGACTGATCGACTGATAGTCGTTCCTTAGGTTCTAGATGTAACCCCAACATTTGATCATTGATAATAGTGCTCCAGTGATGCAAGGTAGTGTACATCAGTGTCAGTGTGATATTTGTTTGTATTACAGGAAGAAGAAATGGCTAACAACTTGTCACAGTCTTTGCCTGAGCGGACCTTCCAGCACCAAAGCAGCCTGCCATCTTTGCCTGTCCCAACACTAGAGAGCAGTCTCTCTAAATACTTAGATGCAGGTAGGACAAGTATATCATACTGTGCTACCACGTTATTGTTTTAAAGGTCAAACTGATACTTCAAGGATGCAGAGTACTCATATTTACTTCTTCCAGTACAATGTTGCCATGCCTTCTTCTAGTCTAACTGTCTATGCTAGGCTAATACATTGAACCTAAATTTTTTAAAGTTAAAATTTTTAACAATTTAGAAGACCTAAGAAATTTGCATTTCCTTGTTTTTCATCAGTTCGCCCATTTGCGACTGAGGCAGAGTTAAAAAATACATCAGACATAGTGAAGAAGTTTCAACTGGGCGTTGGTGAAGAGCTTCACCATAAACTGCTGCAGAGAGCCAAAGCAAAGAAGAACTGGGTGCGTTATTGAGCTGAACATGTCATTTTCTTGTCACAAATCTTAAGTTTAATCGCCAACATTTTTCTAAGTTGACTTTTTCTTTTATTTGTCAGCTGGAAGAATGGTGGTTAGATGCTGCGTATTTGGAAGTCCGCATCCCCTCTCAACTGAATGTGAACTTTGGTGGCCCTGCACCTTACCTGGAGCACTGTTGGCCTCCTGCAGAGGGAACACATCTGCAGAGGGCTAGTGTTGCCACATGGCATATACTACAATACTGGAACCTGATCCGCACGTACGACATTTTGAAATACATTGTTTAAAATGCTTTTGTGCGTTTATAGAAGTTGCTTGTCTTTTCATGTTTTTTAACTGTCTTTTTCACGTTGTAGTGAGACGCTGCCTCCTCAAAAAGCTGGCAAAACACCGTTAGATATGGACCAGTTCAGAATGTTGTTCTGCACCTGCAAAGTACCCGGGGAGAAGAAAGACACCATTCTGAATTACTTCAAAACAGGTGAGCTTTCTTATCTCTCACCTTTGGACACATCTGCATACTCTCTAGCCCACTTTCAGCCTACATATCACTCTTGCGTAATGTGCTTTTTGTGCTGTGTCACAGAAAGTGAAGGTTCGTGCCCCTCACACTTGGTAGTGATGTGCCGTGGAAGAATCTTCACATTTGATGCCCTTTGTGATGGGAAAATCCTTACTCCTCCAGAACTGCTCAGGTAGTGATCACATAACGGGTGCAGTTGTGTGTCAATAATGGAACCTTAGCATTAAGCAAGGCAGGTTAATAGGCTCTGTGAATTTTAAGAACACAAATACATAAAATATATTATATTTTATCCCATGAAAACATATTCTTTATATTTTGTTTTAAGCTGTTTTATGTTTGGACATTGTTTTAACTCCTCACCCTCGCCATTCCACAGTCTCACCCCACAGACTGAAATGCAAAAATCGTTTTCTGTGTGTTCGGATTTTATTAATTTTAAAGTCAGACTTATTTTAAGCTTTATACATAACTTGTGATGTTTGGAATTTCACAATGTCTGTAAGTTTGAATACTCTTGACAGCAAGAAGAGTTAGTGTAAACAAGATTGACACAATTTTTTCACAACATATAACCCACTAACAGAAAGCAGGATACAGCAAACCCCTTAGCAGTAAGTAGTGGAAGAGAAGATGTACAGTATGAATGATTACATGACTGGTTTGTTTTAAACCAATGTTTTATTAAAGAGCTCTTCAAATAAAAAAAACATCCCTATTGACAGCTTCAGATAAGATGCAGCAGAACATGAATAATGAAAACTACGTTAAGGAATGAATGAAATAGGAAAGTATGAGACTCATAGAAAGCTACAAATGCTTTTGATATAATCCATGTTCAGTTTTTAGAAGGATAAAAGCAAAACATATTGTGTTTTATTACTTTCCTGTAAACCAAGATTGGTAGCATTTTGGCACTTTGTTACTGTGTTAAAATCTGTCAGCTTCAGTTGCTAAGAAACTGGTGGGAAAGCGTTTATTTTTGCACAAATAAATCACTTTGATAAGTCAATCTATCCTTCTTAGACTGTGCATATAAATTTAACTTTGCTTTGACTTTGTTGCTTAATTACTAAAAATGCATTTTTGTGTTAAAGGCAGCTGAGCTATGTGCAGAGGGTCTGTGAGGAAGGGCCGGAGGGGGACGGAGTAGGTGTGCTCACCTCAGAGGAGAGAACACGATGGGCAAAGGTAGGGGTAGCATACTTGAGTGCTCAGCTCCACAAATGATAAATTATGGATTTGTGATAAAGTTCTCATGTTACAAGAGTGCACAGAAGATGCTGTAAATGTGCCTGCGCATACTTCCTCTGCAGACCAGGGACCACCTAATAAGTATCGATCCACACAACAAGACTATCCTGGAGACCATCCAGAGCAGCTTGTTCATCATATCCTTGGATGAAACAAAACCTTATTCTTCTCCAGAGAACTACACCAACGTAAGGGCTGAGATAGCCTCAATAACTGATGATTGCTTGACTGAATGTTATCTCGTCTGATTGTGTCTTTATTATATCTGAACACAGATGGCCTTGATATCTCTCACGGGAAATCCCACCATCCGCTGGGGGGACAAATCATACAACTCACTTGTGTTCTCTGACGGCACTTTTGGATCCAACTGTGATGTGGGTTTCATGGTTAATAGAAAATACTGTGAAGCCTGTATGACTTATTTAGTCATGTTCTACTTGCCTTTTTTCCTTCAACTCATCGATAAAAGTGTTGAAAATGGTAAATAAAAACCTATTCAAATTGTTTTACAGCATGCGCCTTATGATGCCATGGTACTTGTGTCTATGTGCTGGTATGTGGACCAGAAACTCAAAGCTACAGATGGCAAATGGAAGGTAAACCCTGGCAGCTACTTAGTTGTGGACACTTCATTATAAGTGGAAAATGTACACACTTTGATACTTTTGTCTCTCAGGGCTCAGATGCGGTCAGACCTGTTCCCCATCCTGAGGAGCTGGTGTTTACCTTGGATGAGAAAGTCTGCAGTGACATCCACCAAGCCAAGCAACACTACCTGGAATCGGTAAGATAGTTATCAACACTAGACTATACCAGATACAAGATACTATAGTTTACTTATAGTGATCACTCTTTTGCTGGTTTTACAGACACAGGACCTGCAGGTTGTGTGTTACGCCTTCACAGCCTTTGGAAAAACAGCCATAAAAGAGAGGAAGCTGCATCCAGACACCTATGTTCAACTAGCAATGCAGTTAGCCTACTACAAACTGCATAAAGGGTATGGACCTGTTCTGAGGATAGAACAAAATGTTTAAAGCTTCAGATGAAACTTATCCTCAGTGTCTCCTCTTCCTTCTCTCAGGCCGGGAAGTTGTTATGAGACTGGGATGACACGCAAGTTCTACCACGGCAGGACGGAAACAATGCGACCGTGTACCATGGAGTCTATGAACTGGTGTAAAGCCATGATGGACCCCACATGTGATGTAAGTCTGTTAATGTCACATGCCCTGCTTTTAACTGCAGAATCACACAAAGTAAACAAATCTTTTCCTATCAGGTTAGTGACAAAAGGAAAGCCATGCTACTCGCCTTCATGAAACACAACAAACTGATGGGTGAAGCCCAGGAAGGAAAAGGTGGGTCAACTTTTCCTTTATGTATTGATATTTCTACACAACACCGTTCAGATATGGGAGCATCTTTTTGTGCAGCTCTTTTACTACAACAACAACAAAAATGTACTCCTACCTTCTCAGTATGTGCCAAAGTTAACAGCTGTAATAAATTCAATACATTTAAGACTTTTAGGAATGAGATTGCAGACAACAATTAGATTTTAAAAGCAATTATCAAGCTGTGATAATTTATACAAGTTAATTAAAATAAAGTGTTTATAAATCATAGGAAACCTAAATTACTTTGAAGAGGATCTGAATAAATAGTGACATTTAGCTTCTTGTTTTAAAGGACAAAAAGTGTGTAAAGAGGGGACATTGCTTTTTTCTGACAAATAAGTAAACATGACTTTGGACGTGGTGGCAGGTGGCCCAATGGTTTAAAGGTGTGTCCCTTGTACAGAGGCTGCGGTCTTTGGTGCAGCAGTGGTTGATTTGACTTCTGCCCAAAGACCTCTTGCTGCATGTCTCCCTGATCCTCATCACACACTGCCTGTTTGTCTCCAGTTATTTAAATTATAAAGACAAAGCGCCCTAAAAACTTATATAAAGAAAATCATACACTTTCTACTCAATGTTATAGCACAATTTGCCAGCAGGGGTTGCTATAGAAACAGAATTTCACGCCCTCTGTGTGGCAGAGCTTTTATTACCCTAATGGCTGGATCAATGTTTTTGTGGTTAAGTGCCATGTTGTGTATGTAATGTTCTGATGTGAATGTGTCAATGATGTTAACCCACAATATTTTCCGACATTGTTGCTAGGTTTTGACAGGCACCTTCTTGGGCTGTATCTTATTGCCAAAGAGGAGGGGCGTCCCACTCCAGATCTCTTCTTGGATCCTCTCTATGCAAAGAGGTACTGAAGGCAAATATGATCATTTTTATGAATTAGCTGGTCCATATATTGTTCACTGAATACCTGCAGGTGTAAATGGAACATTTTATGCAACCTGAAGGCCTGTGCTGTCTCTGTTTCGCTGGTGTGGCAACTAAACTGTACAGAACAAAACTATGATATTGCAGAATGACAAGAATGTATTTATTGAATGTTTGAGTTACTCTTTGTAAAGGATGGTCTGTTTGATGGAGTCAACTCGTAGACTAGATATTGTAAAGACTACAGAATAATATTTGAGTTGTGTTTGTGTCTGCAGTGGTGGTGGGGGTAACTTCGTGCTGTCGTCGAGTTTGGTGGGCTACACCACAGTTCTAGGGGTTGTTGCTCCTATGGTGAAGCATGGCTATGGCTTTTTCTACCGCATCAGAGATGACAGGTAGGAAGACAAGAGTTATTTTTACTTCCCGTGATTTTGATTAGGCGTATTTGTATTCGTAGCATTTTTTTGTGATAATATGACCAGCATTCTTTGATAAGTGAAACTAGTTGTGACTTTTCCCTGCATTTACAGGAACATTGTCCTCTCTTATGTTCTCTCTCAGGGTTGTGATCTCCGTGTCAGCATGGAACTCTTGCCATCAGACAGACGCTGCCTCACTTTTCAACAACTTTAGTAGCTCCATGCACGAGATGTTCCACCTGGCCACCACATCTCAACTTTAAACCGACAGACCATCTAAATTACACATGTATCTTTGAGCATCAATGCACATGAGGTTTGCAAACCATCAGTTTATAGCTGACAGCTAGTGATAGTCATGTTTATTCTCAGCACAGATCAATGCAAAGGTAAAGAGTCAGTGCCTCTCTCTCACTGGTTTTGGCCTTGAAAGAAATTTGACAGGTCTATTTCTTGCTGTGATAAATAGACCTTTTGTGTAAATTCATGTTTCGGATGTATATATTTCCCTGATTTTCATGATTGTTGTTCAATGTTTAATTTCAAATCCTGACAGTATTAATCCACTCTAAAGCTAAAGTGATGCTGAGGCCACAGACTTTTTAGGAATGTCTCCCCTCAGTGGAGAAGGTTAGTTTTATCTAGGATGGACATTTAATTAATATAATTTTTAGCTGCTTTGAGTTTAAGAATTTTTCTGTGAAAATATCAGGCATTCCACGATAAGCTCGCAAAGAGAACTGTGATTTGAGTAAATAAAGCTGATTTACTGTTCTATGTTTGAAATCCATGATTATAAGGAAACAGAAATGATTTTTATTTTTAATTTTTTTTACTTTGTTTCTGTGAATTTTTAAAAAAGCGTTCAGAGAAAAACTTTCACAGAACACAAACTTAATATCCCTATATGATTACACACGGCACACCATCTGCATTTAAAGCCTTAAACCATTCTGTAACCTGCATGTGGTTCTTGATTGTTCTTGCTTAGATATCCATCTAAGAAACAAACCAATATTTTATATCTTAATAATGACTGTGTATTCAGAAAATTCAGTAAAAGACAGATGGGAAAATCTTTTGGTTTTGTGGTTCAGTCCAATGGTAAATAAATACAAAGTTGAAACAAAGACTTGATACAAAACTTTAATAGTTAAATACAAGCGTACAACATTTTTCCATATCAGTTAGCAATTCTGAGCATTTGTTGATACAAAATAGTGATTACAATCATAGTGTGTGACAAAAATTATAACCTGCACAGCTCTGTGTATTCAATACTTTTTTCTAGGTTGAATTTTTGAGGCACTTCTGATGTACTCCAAACTTTTAACAAGATAAGCAACATTAAAACAATAAATTATGGGAGAATCTGCAAAAGTACACGGAGAAAGATGCAACTGACGTGATGTTGATCCCACTGTAAGAGGCATAACTTGTGTTTTTAATACATTAAAAATCCAGTGTGTTGTTGGCTTAAATGTTATACTCCGAACTCTTTAACACTTAATTTTTGTTGGCACATAAATCATAACCAGTCAAGGCAGTAAGCATTGAGAAGCTCCAAAGAACATAAAACTGGCCATTATAGAGTCACAGTGTCGAAGGCACAAACTTGAATGAATCCTTTTAAATAAAGAAAAGGAAACAAAAAATGAGTACAATATACAACATGTTTCTTTTTTACAGCAGAGGTTCAGACTTGACACAGAAAAAAAGACAAAAACATTTTTTTCTATAAATATTCAAGTGTTTCTGCGAGGGGTGACAGTGAGCCGGCGTGCACTACAGCAGGTCTCACTAACTGAAACAGCGAACAGAAATTCAGTCATTTATTTTATTGATTACACCTGTATTTCACCCTCTGCATTGTGTCAAAATGCCCTTAAACACAACAACAGAAGCAAAGAAATTAGACTGCATGGATCATGATCAGAACCAGACTTTTGGACCCAGTAGGCAGCAGCTACAAGAAGGCCACTGAGGCTTCAAGGCCACTGTTCAGCCTGATTGTCATTGTTTTCAAGCAAGGAGTGAATGGTAATATAAGGCGTGAGTGTTGAATCCACTCTTCTGGAGATTTAAACAACGTTGCTCCCTGGGTCTCTTTATTCCCTTCCGTGGCCCATCTGTGTGGTGACCAGCATGTGATAGACTCCCTTCTTGGCCAGCAGCTGTTGATGCGTGCCCAGTTCGACCACCACTCCCCCCTGGAAGACAGCGATGCGGTCGGCATTCTGGATGGTTGACAGACGGTGGGCCACGACGATACACGTCCTGCCCCTCCTGGCCTGGTCTAATGCCTCCTGCACCACCTGAAAGGAGCATAAAAAACCTTGAATGAACTTGGACATTGAACTTTTACCACAGATGCATATTTTTTAAAATACTCTCAATAATCCTTTTGATTCATATTGTATAAATGTTTTTATGGTTTTTGTACCCAAGCAGTTTGCATTTGTTTCTGTGTGATTTAAGTCTCTACCTGGCTGTAAGAGAATTCAAGAATAATTAAAACAAAAAACTATATACTAAGAAAATACAACAAAGTTAAATTCATTGTTTGATGTTCACCTGTTTTGGCAGGTCTTATGGTATCAGAAGAACTTGAAGTGATGACTAGGAATAATATAAACATAACCTCACAACATATCATCAATAACAATGATTTTTATGTTTATCAGAAAAAAGTATCTTCACTTTACTTTAACATCCTCAAATAATATCTCATTACATACAAAATTACTCCTACGACTTTTTGCTGTTGGCCATCAGTCTCTCAAGTAATCTTTAAGTATTTAAACAAGGTTTCTTTTTTACCAGCTTTGATTGATCGTGATAGCCATGATTTTCATTATTAACAAAGAAAACATGAACAAAATGTGAAGATATTCTAAACACCACTTTAAAAAGGTGGTATATTTTTCCTCTTTCTAATACTCATAAAAAGAGATACAATAACATTGTGACGAGTGTCTAAAATGCCCGTGTAAATGAGGATCATTCCTCGGCTGTTATTGTCAAAACTGTCCAAGTTTCACTTGGCACCTAGTAAATTAGTTTTTATCTTCTTCAAACACTCCCAGACTTGGTTTCCTTATCCAAATAATTCTGGTTCTGTTCATATTTCTGCCGTCCTGTTTATGTGTTTTACTGTATTGTTTTAAGACTGTGTATCAAATTCCCCCTGAAGTTGTGCAAACCAGACAGAGACAAACACCAACCTTTTCACTCTCTGTGTCGAGGGCGGATGTTGCCTCATCCAGGAGCAACACTTTGGGGTTACGAAGGATGGCCCTGGCTATAGCGATACGCTGTTTCTGTCCACCTGACAGCTGTGTTCCCTTATCTCCAGCCTGGGTGTCATACTTCTGCTCGTAAAAACAGAGGAGAAGGGAAGAGAATACAAGACATTGTCATATTGCAAGAAAAAATACAGAAGAATCACGTGACCCATGATCTTTATAGATATAGATGTCAAGGCAGTTTTGATAACTCTACGACCCCTCGTCCAAAGAATAATGTTTCATCAGTGAGACTTAGATAACTGTGAAGTTCTACACAAAATAAAAAATCTCAAGACGTCACAGATTCAAACTACCTCCTGTATCTCTAATTCCAACATGGCTAAAACATGACATCATATCAGTTACCTGTGGCAGCTGCTCTATGAAATTGTGAATGTTGGCCGCTTTAGCAGCTGCTTCTATCTCCTCCATGGATGGCACGCGGCTGTTATCTCCGTAGGCAATGTTTTCAGCCAAGGAGCAGTCAAACAGCACAGGCTCCTGGGATACGATGCCTATCTGGGATCTCAACCACTGGAGGTTCAGCTGTTTTATATTCTTGTCATCCATCACCTGCAGGAGTGAAAAGTAGCAGAGATTAATGCAGAAGGAGTACAAGGGGGATATGTCTTAAAATGCACTAAGATGCACCATCTTGCAATTGTGCAACTTAGTACTCTCCTTTATTTACCAGCTCCTCCTTTATTTTGGAAAGAATAAAACAATAAAGCCAAAGAGAGACATACAAAAGCAGATTTGGTTGATCTCTATGTTTTCTTTTGGTGATTCAAGCTCTTTTTGCACACAAATTTTCCAGTGAAGCATTGTTTATATTGGAATATTGACTCCAGCCAGTCAAGAAGGGCCCATATCACCCACCAAACATCGGATGTCGAAAAGACGTGCACAAGATGTCAGAATTGGACGTTTATTCTGCACCTTCAGTGGACGAGATTTAGACGTCGAAAAATAACGTTATGTAGATGTTATGTAGACGTTATTTCGACGTCACATTGCGCAGTGGGTACAGTCAGACATTAATACAGTTATACATATATATAAAAAAGATATTCTATCAAGAGTTATAAATCAATGACCTTGTGAGAGGTTTTCAGATCAAGGGATACTAAAAAAATATGATCCTTTTTACAGCCAAAGGATAGTCAGCAACTTTGAGGATCCCATCCAGATAACATGCTACAGTCAGTGTCGTAAAGATAAAAACACACATGCTACAAAGATCTCTTTCTGTCTCCAGGTCCCTGTCTTGTCAGTACAGCACACTAAAGCTAGTCATAAATACACAAGCTAGTTAACTATTAGGCAACTGACAGTAAGAAAAAAAAAAAGCACAGGTTTATTACGCAAAACACTTGAGGTGTATTTGACTGCTCACCACTCTCCCCTCTCTGGGGTCATAGAACCTTTCCAGCAGCTGGATGGTGGTGCTTTTTCCACAGCCGCTGCTCCCCACCAAGGCCAGTGTCTCTCCCTTTTTCACCCTCAGGTTCAGCCCTTGAAGAATGGGCACATCCGGGCGTGAAGGGTAGTTAAACTTTACATAGTCAAAGCGCACATTTCCATCAAAATGTTCCTGGAGAGATCAGACACAAGAGGAGAGCGTGAGCATTTGTATAAAGAGCAGTAGTATCATGTTTCATGTGTGGAGCTCTGTGTGTAATGTACCGGTGAATCTCCCTCCTCCGACAGATTGTCAATGGCAGGCTCTCTGTTAATCAGGTAAACCAGGTGGGCAGCAGATATCTTAGCCTTTGCATAGTTTGGAGCAAAGGTGTTAGCCTCTCCGACGGCCATGGCACCAAACAGGACAGCAGAGATCACACTGAGGGGGGGGAGGTTAAACAAATGTTACTGTTAACTCTAACTGTTAGGAGTCTAATGAGGATAAACAGAAAAGGCATCAAGGCAAAGCAGGGAAGAACAAAGGAAATGAACTTGCTAGTTGATAACATGGGTGTCTTGTTAAGTCAAAACGTCTCTTGGGTAAATTTCAAGCAAGAGACAAAATTAATGACACATCTGACATATTTTTTAAGCAAGACACAGTATCTTTGGAGCCTTTGGTTTGGAGGGTATAAAAAATTGATATCTAAGGATTTATGGTATATGTGGGGTTAGGGAGTAAATATATCTGTGTTTTTATAGTTTTATGTCCCTTCAGGCTCTGAAGGTGGAGTGACCTTTGGACTCAAGGTACAATAATGTGAAAGGTGAATTCTTCCCCCACCACTGACACATTGAGTTATATTGCAGCCTGAAACACGTGTACGATTCTATTGTATTATCATGTAACAGGTGTCTCGTGTGACCATGTGCTCTGGGTTCAGAGCTCAAACATTCACACAAGCCCTTCCCCCACTCCAAACCGGGGTAATGATTAAATACCATATAAACAAACTCACCAGTCAGCAGGGATGCTTTGGTTTGCTAACTCTGACACTGGGATATTATTTTCATTTCAATCTAAAACTCCCAGATAAATCAATACTATCTGTTTACTCACAGGAATACCCCCTCAACGTCCATCCTCCCCGCTTTGATGAGCCAGGCTCCAAAGCGGAAACAGCCTGCATACGTAAAGTAGATCATGGCCTGGGAGAAGGAGTAGGTAAGACCATACACATGGGCTTTTTTCTGGGCAGCCCTGCACAGACAAGAGAGAGGGAAAAAAGGTGGCATCAAAGAGTGAGAGAGGACACTACTCGTAACACTTAAGTTTTGCTAATTTGTCTTATGAAGTTAATGGATAACACTGTTGCCCGTACTTGTATGGTACCACAAGGTTCTCCTGATACAAAGACTCAAACTTGGGCTCTCTGGTGAGGGAGGCAACTGTGCGGATATTCTCAATGGCCTCCGTGGCAATCTGTCAAGACAAACCAGCAGAAAAATGTTACACTTAGATCCTTTTTTGGAAGCAAGCCAGAAGATGCCCATTGATAGAAATGTCCGTATGTATGTTATTTTGATTATAGTCATTGAACAAAACTCAAGACACCACAACAAAAGAGACTTCAGCTACTTTAACACATCCTTCTTTCATTGACTACCTTTCCAGCCTTTTCCAGCTCTTTCTTGTCTTCAGCAGCATGTCCAGCGAGCAGCTGCATCTCCGCAGCTCCAGCCATGGCTATTATCGGCACCACAGCCAGGATAAGCAGAGTCAGCTCCCAGCCGTACACAAATGAGATGATGATACCAGTGCCCATGTTGGCAAAGTTCTGCGTCAGTGTGGCCATACGTGCTCCTGTAGCCTGGAGGTCCATGAAAGACAGAAACAAGGCAGAAGAAACGATCATGGGTTAGAGATTTTCTAAGGTGCTCTTCAGCAGACAGCTTTGTTCGTTGTGCATGTGTTGTGACTTTGTTTAAACTCTTACCCCTTGTACTTGGGCAGCATCTGTTGCCAATCTTGTTGTGAGAGCGCCAACGCTATTTTTTGGATCATCATACCAGCCAAGATCCTACAAGAACACAAAGATTACAGCTTTCCTCTCATAAATAACATTAAAGATTTAAACACAAAAATTACTCCGGCTCTGATTGAACCCTGAGAACGTTTATCATTTTTTTATTATTGTGGTTTTCTGTGCTGACCTGTCTCATCATGGACGTAAAGGCTTTGAGTCTCAGTTTCTGCGTCAGAATCTCTCCAGATTTACCGAAGCAAAAACCCTGTTCAAAGTTAACAGACAGCAGCAACCATTAAATAAGCGTGACCAAAAACAAGAACGGGTGCATTATCTACATTTTTATCACACCGAAAATCTGACAGTAAATGAAGAATGTGTGTCAAAGTTCACATCTTTCCAAGATAGTAAAAAATCAATGTCAGTGAACTGTGTGTGTGTGTGTGTTTGAATATAGATTTCTACCTGTAAAAACATGGTGACGAAAGATATGCCTCCAATGGCAACGAACATCAGGGAAAAGAACTCCGAATTTTCTCTAATGACTTCTTTATCTGGTTCTGCAAATACCTGAGAGGAGAGAATAAACTCTTTATTCCGTCTATTTCAACACCAAGCTGACTGCAATTTAGATAAAATATTAAAACTCTTATTATTACGAAAGCAACATACAGTAATGATTTTGGAGAAGATGACGGCAAACGCCGGCTGCAGAGCTCCGTTGATGATGGCAGCGATAAGCCCAACCAGAATATACGGCCATTCAGAAAGGTTGTAACGCATAACTCTAGAGAACGGCACGGGAGGAACATTTTCATCCTGCAGAAAAAAAAGGGACAGAGATTGATTACTACTCATTTTATTCTGCAACTTAAGATCGTAGTTAACTGAATAAAGAAGGCAGCTGGACCCACATATTCAATAATATAGTACAATAATGTTATCTTTAATGCAAGTCAAAAGATTTGACATCTCACTACAACTTACATCTGTCTGGTAGTCGGACTTGAACTTTTCCATCTCCTCTTTGTCTCCCTCTGAGTGGGCGAAGGAGGAGCCCCTGGTGGACTTCCTCCTCAACAGAGAGGACTGTGACGTAGACTTTACTAAGGGGCTCTTCTCATCTGCAGACAGATGACCCTCTGCCTCCAGCTCTTCTTCCTCCTTCTGAAAAGTCTAACAGAGCGGAGAGGACACCTCATAAAACAACAATGACAGACACTTCAACACGATATAGTTGACCTGAAGTTTCAGCCAAGCCAAGGTTGTTTCAAAGTGATGAGTGCGTTCCTTACCTGCATGGTGACCAGTGTATGGTAGACTCCTTGTTTTTCCATCAGCTCACTGTGAGTCCCCAGTTCCACGATTTCACCTTTCTGGAAACCAGCGATGACATCTGCGTTTCTGATGGTGGAGAGGCGGTGGGCCACAACGATGGTGGTGCGACCTAGTCGAACCTTTACAAAGTTTAAAAAAAGGACTTTATGAAGCTGTTATCAAGTATAACGGTGCGTTTAGTTAAAGGTGAAAACCTAACTTGAAAATACAAACAGTGACAAGGCAAACACTATTGTTCGTAATGTAGTGCTAACGATTGTTGCTACTGCAACCAAGCCTGCCAGCATGCTAAACCTACTTAAATAGAGGTTAGCATAGCTTAGTTTGAGGGGAATATCATTTTCTTTGCAAATATACTTATCTTTATCATGGAATCAAATTTTTTTTAAAAGGTGGAACTAGTAAAAAGTCAAAAATCACTCTAATCCTTTTGTGTATCACTCTATCCTATATTTATCTGCTACAGGAAGTAAGGAGGTTTTTGTCAAAGCTGCAGAACAACATATAGATGGCTAAATTAGACTATTCCCACTCTTTAGAAACACGAAAGAGTAGCTTAGAAACACTGAATACACCTTGTACTGTAAGTGTTGAACAAACTAATTTAGGTCCATTGATCTAAATGAATTGGAAAGGTCTTCAGATATTGTTTCATATGTTTCTTTGTTTTGGAAAATAACTTCAGGTTGGCTTGTTCTGCTGAAATGAACCCTGATATTGAGGAACCCTACACATTTGGAGCACCGTCTTGTAGCGCATAAACAAGCTTTATTAACACATCCATGGTCAAGAAAATTTGCTTAAAACCCTGTAAGATAATCTGCTAGTGGTGTCGATGGAAAAATCAAGGAATCATCAGATTAAGGATTAAATCACCGGGGACTAAAATTTAGGTCTGGACCGCAACAGTGAATGAAAGGAAAACCAATGCCATCCATTGAGGTGTGCAGTTAACATCTCTAGAAACCAGTTAAAAACTCTTTGTGTTTATGTTGAGTGTATGCTAGTGGCATTTTATGAACAGAACAGCAGCATCACTGTTATCAGTTGTGAGTTGTCACCTTGTCCAGTGCGTTTTGCACAATCGTCTCACTCTCAGCGTCAAGAGCAGATGTGGCCTCATCCAGCAGAAGAATTTTGGGGTTGCGGACAAGAGCCCGAGCAATCGCAATCCTTTGCTTCTGTCCTCCACTCATCTGAGTCCCCCTATCTCCAACCAGCGTCTCAAACTTCTGCTCAACAGCAAATGTATCAATATTAGAGTTGGTCAGAGTTCTTGATAAGCATTAGAAGACTTGAAGTGACGAACACAAACTTACATCTGGAAGGGACATAATGAAGTCATAGGCATTGGCCTCTTTGGTGGCTTGTTCAATCTCTGCCTGCGTCACATCAAGTCGACCGTATCTGATGTTCTCTGCGATGGTGGTGGCAAAGAGGATAGGCTCCTGACTCACGACACCAATCATCTCTCTCAGGTAGCGGATGTTAAGAGAGCGGATGTCATGACCATCAATTGACACCTAAAATGGAAAAAAAAAAACAAGCAGGCACAACATTTTAAATGAATGAAAACACAATCAAGTAGAATTGATAAAATTGTTTCTGCTCTTGGGTGAGGATAGACGGCTAAAACCAGCTTTTAAGAAGACTTTTAAGTGGCAGACACACCATGGACCAAAGAAGCAGTGGGAAGTATGTTATATCCTTTTTACCAAATGAGTACAACATAAATGTCAACAGGAAATGTGTTGTGGTTGTTAAAGCAGTTTCAGCATTTTGGAGCTAGTCAGTGAATGTCAAGAGCACCCACTAGAATGGCAACCTAACAGTGACGATGAGCAGATGTTTATTTTTATTCAAGCAAGCAAGATATGATGGGTTACATGCTGACCTCTGAGGGTGTTGACAGGCATGTATATTATCACGCTTGAATGGGGCTGAGCTACACTTACTTACAACATAAACTCTTGCAAATTTAACTTAATACAAAACAGTGGAGGTCTGCTTATTGTTTCAAGTCTCAGCCATGTGGATAGGAGGCCTTAATTATCTAAATAATGAGAAGTTTTGAATTTTTTCTGATTTTTTTTTTTTTCTGATTTTCTGAAGTTAAGACATCAAGAAAATGTGTGGGTCTCTGTTAGCTCCTTTTCAACTCTAGCTAAACCACATTGGCAGCTGTAGGCTTTTAAAAGACCTGGTTGTCTGACTGGATGTGGTTTGAAAAGGTGTAGGATTTTGATAAGGTAAATAACTCCCCTTTTTCATAAACCACTAAACAGGCATGTGTTTGGCCAGACTCTTTTGGCTGGGGTGGCCAAACTGGAGCCTTACCATAAGCATTGCTGTCAGGGGTGTGTCTGTCCACAAACACAAATAAATAGCAAATACCCTCTTCTGGATAAAATAACATGGATTAATGTAACTTACTGATCCCTCCTGAGGATCGTAGAATCTCTGCAGAAGCTGGATTGTGGTGCTTTTACCACAGCCACTGCTACCCACCAAGGCGATAGTCTGTCCACTTTTCACGTCCAATGACATGTCATTTAATATCTTAAAAAAACACAACAACAGTCTTAATGTTCAAATATAAATACATTTAAAATTAGATTGCTTTTGCTGACATTATACTTCAACAACCTACTTTGACATCTGGCCTTGATGGATAAGTGAAGTGGATGTTCTTGAACTCTATGTCTCCCTTGATGTAGTCAGGCTTAAATCCAGTTGTTGAATAACTGTCGATGTTCGGGTTCTGTTGAGACAAGAGTTCATCATTTTTAAACTTCAGAAAACTTGGCCTAAGACTGGTTTGTAGTTTGTCCACAGTTGGATAGGGAACCTGATTCTTATCATAACCTCAAACAGACAATGAAAGGAAGGCCGTTAGCCCTCCAGGTTCGGGTGAGCGTATTTAACAAGGCTAATGTTTATTTCCACAGCCCCCCCTGTGTGTTTTTACTGCTTCTCTTGATGCTGTTATACACACACACACAGACTGTTACTTTTCCTCTCTTGGTTTGCTGCTGACAAAAGTAGAGCTCTGCGTTGATCAAGTATTTCTTTTATGTTTGCCTCTGAGATATCACCTCTTTATTTCTGAATCGACAGAAGACTGTATCAGTAATCAAACTTTTTAGCTCAGACTTGACAAAGACCAGTATTGTTAAAATTAGAAACAAGACAGAGTGTGGAAACAACAAAAAGTTATTAATATAACAGGGAAAAATTGTAAATGAGAATTTAGGGCAATGACTTTCAGTGGAACAGTTAGGAGCACGGGATGCAGTGAAGCACAAATCAGCCCTGAGAGGTTATTCCACACTCTTCAGTTTTGCTTGTGGCTGTTTTTCATGCTAATCTTCCATTCAGGTGCAAACAGATGTACTACTGAATCAATAGTTTCCAAGAAAGCAGCATCCTGTATCTTTGTTCAGCATGACGGCGTGGTGACTAACAGTCTCACTTTACTCCATACACAGGCTAAAGACACCCAAAAATAGCAAGAGACGAGAATTTGTCTTGTATCATCCTACACATGGTGAAGTTTAACCGGTTATGCTGGTTGTTATTCAGGACCTTTTTACATACACATATACATGTGATAGCGGTGCAACATTTGCAAACCTGATACCTCTTTCACCCTCGCAGGAAATTCTTGATAAGTTCACAAAAAAGGGAGAGTCCCAACCGTGCGATATCAACCAAATGACCTTCAGTCTTAATTCAAACAGCGGGAGCTCCAATTAGAGTAAAATCCAACATCTCATTACTGACTTCAAGCAGCTTCCCAGAGGGCCAGAGTACAAAGGTGCATGTGGAGTAATACAGACTGACAGCTTTCTGGGTGAAATAGTTGTGAAAAAAAGAAAATTTCCACATATTAGGGTGAAAAATATGATTTTATCCTTACGTGATCAATAATGTCGTATACTTTATGTGCTGCTCCTCGGGCACTGGCAAAGGTCTGGATGTTTGGAGAAGTCTGCCCAACAGTAAACGCTCCAATAAGCACCACGAAGAACACCTTGAACAAAGACATATCAGTGTTAGCTGTAGCAACTCGCAGAAATAAGTCACCCTTAATTTTATGGAGCAGTAAAAAGTAATGTTTTTGTCATAAATTGTCTACTTACTGTGAGAACAGTTCCAATGGTGTACTCTTTACTAAGCACTAGTGTGCTGCCGTACCAGAAGGCCAGAGCATAGGACAAGTAGATCATGAGGAAGGTGAAGCCCATGGCGATGTTAGAGGAAAGTGCCTTCTTTATCCCCATTATCTTAGCATCCTCCAGGTTTTTATTGTATCTGTGATACATTACACACAAACACACAGCAAAGTAAGGGTTAAAGTTTAAATAGATTACAAACCGTCATGGCCTTGACAAATTTCCTCTTAGTAGAAAACACTGATTCAATTTTATGGGTTTTTATGGGTTTTATCCATTTATAGTGGTTTTGTGTTACACAACATCGTTAGGTTGCCCTAAACAAATGCTTGAGTTTGCTGATTAGAAAATAACCATGTATGCTCTTATGGCTTTTATGATTGTACATCCTTTATTATACTTTGAGTACTGTCAGTCAGTTTACAGGTAAGAGAGAGAAATAGGCTTTAAAGCTACTGACACTTTACTCATCCAAAGCCACACAATGATGTTTTATTTTTCCCTCAGTCTGTTTTTTGGTTTCTATATTTGTTTATCCTTACTGCTTTGCTTTTTATGTTCCTAATCACCGGATCTACTGTACATCTTAATGCGGATCTTTAAGGTTTTTAAGGATCCGGTGGCACAAACCTTTGGTAGATTTGGCAGTTAAGAGACAGAGATTTATTCATATGGAAAATGTTAAATAAGACAGTTTCCATAATGTGCACCTGCCCCACAGCAGCAGTTTCAGACATTAGAATGAATCATAAGAAATTAATAATTCTTTTGTAGCTCATAAAGAGGCTTCCATATAAATTACAGTCTCATCACTGAGGCTCTGAAGTAATTTTAACCATAGATGTTGAAATCAGTACGTCTCAGACAGAAAAATCCTTACACTACGCTCACCTCTTGATCTCTCTGTTCTGACCGCTAAAGGCAAACACAGTCCGGATAGAAGAGAGCACCTCTTCTGCTACGGCTCCAGCCTTAGCATACGCAGTCTGCTCTTTACTAGTGAAAGATGCCAGCACCTGTTCAGACAAGAGAAAGGGCACAAAGTTGTTCAAAACACCAACCAGTGACTGCGTTGATATGACAACGATGAGAGACTCTTACTTACCTTACTGAAAAGAGCAGCAGATATACCCAAAGCGGGACTCACAGCCAGGATGACGAGGGTGAGTTTCCAACCTTTACTGAAGCCGATGATGAAGGACGCGATGAAGGTGGTGTAGGCCTGGATCAACATCCCCGCCTTGTCACCAATACCCTCCTGGATCTTGTAGATGTCACTGTGCAAATATAAGCAACATTTTGATCAGAGTGGATATCATTTACTGTGGACCATGAAAGAATCAATGACAGCTTTTAAAATATCAGCCCCATGTAATACTAACAAGATTTCCTACATTTCAATTAGGGTGATTTAGGATGGTGTGGTAATTGAGGACGCTGTCTACACCTGGCATCAATCTTAGGTTTAAAAATCAGACTGTATGATTCCTTTGCCACCCACTCTGTCAGACGTGTGTTGAGCTCGCCGGTCTCGGTGACATCGAACCAGCTGATTTCCTGCCTCATGATGCTGTGGAAAAACAACTGGCGGATACGTTTGACCTGCCGCCCAGCTGCCAGGGTCCAGAAGGAGACCTGTATGTAAGCTGCCACCAGCACCACCGCGCCCATGATGGAGTAATAGATGGCGTACCTGCAAGAAGCAAAAGACAGCGGTAAATATGACGACAGGACTGATTTGCTCTTTTTGTAATGATCAGAAATAGACTTACTCTGTCATTTCTTTCTCTAGGGTGCTGTTCGTAGTTTGGTTCATCACTGGAGACACAAAGTAACAGAAAACATTGTAAAAACGGACTTACAGAGCAGAATAAGTTATTCCATTATCATCTACTGGTGCTTCGGCATGTAACTGAAAACTCACTGGACCCCATGGAGTCTTGTACAAAGCTGTCTGTCATGTCTCCAAACACAATACACATGACCGGAAGGATCACTCCGTTGACCATAGCCATCAATGTCCCGAAAAAGATCAGCACAAGATCGCTGCCTTTTGCAAATCTGAACTAAAATCACAACAATAGAAAACACACAGAAAAAGAGAAAGAGAATACTTCAGAAAAAAGGGGAAAAAATCTGAATGTCTTTGTTGAAAAATCTCCTGATGATGTACTTGGTAGAAAATTTAAAAATTGATCAAAACAAGGAATAACTTTAAACTTTAAGGGGCCATTATATTTCCTCAGCAGGGGTCTGGCTAAGTCCACCCAAACAAGAAGAGGATGTGCTGCACTCCCATCCTCCCACCCTGCTTCCCCTCTTACTGCACACACATGTACAAACACTCACATCAACACACACACAGAAACTTTTATTGTCATAAGATCCCACAACTCCTCCACTTCTCATAAAATTACTTGTGTGACGTCAGTTTTTACCTTTGGACCAAAGGGTGTTTCTTAAAAATGATGAATAGACATAAATGAATGCAGATTTTCCAGTTTTCTGTCATTTTAAGTCTCTCTCTCTCGCACAAACTCACACATTTTACACATTAGATGACATATTAACTGCATTTTAAAGCTTAACGGTTTGGTTGACGGACAGTAAAAATACAAGGGATGTAGTAAGTGACAAATAAAACCACAGACTGTGCTTACCACAGCAATGGGCCCAACCATGGGAATCTTTTCCGCTTTTTCCTTCTTTTTCTTCTTTCCATCACTGTCAGTTTTCTTGCTGTGAATCAATAAAAGGTTAAATGTCAAAAAAAAAATCTGATAACAATTTACCTTGTCAAGGGAAAAACTGAGGGTTCTATTCAAGTTCACATGAAGTGTTTAAGTTTTAAATAATTCATATTGAGATAATTTAAAAAAAAAAAAAGTTTATTTGAAGTGTGTTTACTCTAATTCTCCATTTTGTTCACGTTTGGCTGCGGACAGCATCTCCGTCTCGTCCTTCACATCCATGTCTGGGTCCTAACAGAGGAGGAACCGGCAGTTTAGTCTAAACAGTTTACACATAACCCCTCCTGGTAGCAGTCTTAAGATTGAAGCTCTCTCTGTGGCTCACTAAAAACTGGACCATAGCTTTGGGAAATCAAGCGACTGGAAAAAAAAACGAGTTCAATGAAACAGAAATCAAACCTGGATATATCTCCCCTCCGTAGCAGCTCCAGACCCCTCTTCGTCCTTCCTCCGGTCTATTTTTGACTGTGGTGGTGATCACACACACGCCTGGACCAAAGGCTATCCCTTACTCTCCTCCTCCTCCCCTCTGTCGCCCTCCTCCTCTCCCCCCCTCACGTGGCTCTCTAGCAGCTGTGCGCAATTGTAGGGAAACGGGAGCGCTGACTCTCGACCACTTCCGCCCTCCGAGGAGTAAATTGCAAATGTAACTGCACTGAAGGTCGGACAGGTTGATGTGTATTAGTTTGTAATATTTGCAGCTTTCCTCTGGATTTTCAGCGGGAGAGTTTGTAGATAACGTTCGCCGTGAGAGGCTTGGCAGGAAATAATTGATCACTCTCTGTCAACAGTCTGACAACAGCCTGTAGGGGCGTGACTAAGCGATCGGGGTACCTGTTGACTATTCCCCCATCATATAGCTGGGGGGACAAAAATGAAGTTTAGTCTTAATATTACCACTCCAAAACACTTATTTTATAGTAATTTACTTGATTGAATCACTGAAACTTTTATGTTAAATTTGTCCTAATATGCAAAACATCTGTTGGTGAACTTTGTTTCTGGATCAGAACTCTCTGAGGCAGTCTCCTGTTATCAGACGGCTGGGACATTTGTGAGGGACTGAGATGGAGACAATGCCACAGGCTTACACATACACATACATGAAGAATAATCACACACACACCCCTTCAACTCATCGCCTTCTTGGCCTCCATTTCTCCCAACCTGTTGTAATAATAATAATGAATCAGATTTCATAAAGCACTTTATCAGAGACCCCCAGAGTGCTTTACATTGATTCATTCGCTCACATAGTCACACCTTGGAAACGTTGCTGCCAGTTTGCTCCTACAGCCTCTCCGACCACCACCACACAACACTCACCAGTGGAGGACACACACTGGGAGCAAGGTGGGTTAAGTGTCTTGCCAAGGACACAACAGACAGACTCAGGATAGGGGGAACCGGTCATTGGACGACCAATATGCTTGCGCGCCATAGACTGTATATAATTGTATAAAAATTTCTAAAATTTGTCCACAGCTCCATAAGCTTTGCTGAAGGAGGCGGGATTTATGACCTATACTTCAGCCCGTCACCAGAGGGCGCTGTTCTCAGAGTGGCTTCACTCAGCTGTACCTATTGCGAATACGAGGTGGGATGTACATCTCCTGAATCAATGTAAGTAGGTGGTGGTACGTGCTGATACTGGGAATGTTGTAACCAGTAAACAAGATGCTACCCAATGACCGATGACAGGGCTTGCAGTCTGTTTTGGAATTATGGTTACATTTTTATGGAGGTGCACATCAGGCCACATATGTAGGCTCCTGCTTAGGAATAGTTTTAATGCTAGCTTCAGTGTTGGCTGTCATACTGGAATAGTGTCAATGTTGGCTTCAATTTTCTAACTTGTAAATATTCTTGATAAACTGCAACTACAACAGATCAGTATTTTTATTTGCAGAAAAGTCTTTGGCCTAAACAATCATAAATTTTAAAAGGTGATTAGAATCTAACTTAAATACTAAGACTAGCTCTCACACGTTTTGGGTTTATTTGTAGACATTTGCAGAAAGCTCACAGGCCCTCATTTCCTGTTGATTGTGCAAATATTGTTTCTATTGTCAGGTTTGACACGTTAAGAAGGTAAATGTGGTGCTCCTTTGCTTAAGGTTAAGTCTTAGCAGTAGTTAGAGTTGCCAGTGAGACCAACCATCTTATAGTCTGAGACTGATTCAGGGACTTGACAACAGTTGTAATTCTACTTTTTCTGGTGGGGGATCAACCAAAAACAGAGTCAAAAAGTCACTCTTTACACAGGAAAAGTATTTGAGTTGATGGAGCTTCACATAAAATAAGACGTCACCATAATACTTTTCCCAACTACAGGTTTAAGGTCCTTGAATATTTACAAAATGTTCTGTAAAACTAATGTTCTCTGTGTCTTTTTATCCAGAGGGAAACAATATACCTCAGTAAGTGTTAAAAAACGGTTGGAGTTGACTTTAGTTTATAAAGTGAGAACTAATTTAATGCAGCACATTATTCTTCAGTATTTTCATTTTAGTTTACTACCTGTTTTATCACATATCTTTGAAATTTTTATTTTGCCATTTGGTAAGACTGTATAATATTTTATGATCTGGAGAGTGAATTCAAGAAAATAAATGAGAATTAAGCAGCAAATTAAAAAAAAAAAGGATTGTTTGATATTTCACTTTGCTTATAAATCTCACAATTGTGCATGTTTTATCCTGTTGTCAAATAAGTGTATCATAAAACTCATTATGATGTCTCAGTGAGGGTCAAAGGTACAGTTTGACTTTTTATTTGGAGCAATCTATCAACTATACAACAGCAGCCACAGAAAATAAATAAACATCAAATCATCATCTGAGAATTATCAATAGTCTATCATGTGTTTTAAACTTGAAAAGGTCTGAACTTGGTATTCATTTGTTGAGTAACCACATTACATCCATAACACAACCTCTCATTGAACCCTGACAGCCTGTGACTCATTATATTGCATCCTGAAGACAGACTTCAACCTGTGTCATCCTCACTGACTTTTATGTAAAATTCAAAGTAGTTAAATAAAAAGTGAGTCATGTAGTCATGAGAACAACACAGCATAAAAACTACACAGTAAGTCACCATATTGTAGATGAAGTGCTCCTTTATACCCGGTGTTTAGTCTTGAATCTTTTGTCATTTTTACACCAAGTTGTTGCAAAGCAGAGAATTATGTTTCTTATCACTGACACAGGTACCTTAGGCCATCAAGATATACAGCTGTGTGATTCATTAGTAGACCTTCTATGAGACGCAGTCATCATGTGAAATATCACTCGTGTGGTTTCTCACTGGTTTGTTTCACATTCTCGCTGCACAAAGGTGAAAGTCTGAAACTAAAACCACACTCAGCAGAGCACAAATAACATAAGGAGTAAACGCTGCCTCTTAGTCAGTTCCATGAGTTAACTTAAGGACTGCTTGATAAAACTTCATGTCAGAACACGAATGGTAGTTTCAAGATATCTTAAGATCTGATTATCAGGTATATGGTCACCTAAAAATGATACAGAAACTGGTTATTTTTACAATTACTACACAACTCCTATTACATCATATCATGTCAAGTAAAATGGCACTTGAATTCGTGTTAAGAAAGGTGATTCATTAAACAAAGATCCTCCTATGAGAAATGTTTAGTGTCACATACTTCCCTCCCTGTATTGTAGTGGGCTTGTATTTACCAACTTGTGCCTTTTAGCTCGGAGCTGTTACTGCATCTTTGAGTCATGTCAGCGAGTTGTTTGTCAAAGTAGGAGTGCTGGAATACTTCCATGTTGTATTTAGTGGTGGAGTGGGAGGGGGTTACTACACCCCCTCCACCCCCAAGCCCCACTGCATCTGAAACTGCACTCAATAGTTTGTATTTTGTTTCATGAATTACTTCGACTTACTGTCCATTAAGCTTTTGTTTTACTTATAATCTTTTCTTATTCAACCTTTTATTTTATTTTGGTCCTCATGGTCCCATTTCATGTTGTAAGGTTCTTGTATTGTCTGAGTTTCCTATGACAAATGAAATTGGCCTTCAATTCGGAGGCCTTTTTTTTAATTAGTTTTTTCATTTCCATGTGCTGATATTCTGTGCTTTATGACTGTTTGTCAAAGTACTTGTAAACTTCTGTTTTTAAAAGTGCTATAAAAATAAAGTTATTATCATTATTATGAATTCTCCCTGCATTTTAAAGTTTTATTTATGGTTTTGCTCTGGATTGGTCTAAAAATCAAGAGGTGTACAAATTTCTGTTAGGGACCCTGTATGATAAGTAACACCTTGGAATACCTCCAGAGCTTAAAGAATTCAAATATACCAGAATAAAATACTTCAGTACACATGCCTCCATCCTAAAGTCTTTACCTTTGTGGCAACCTGTCCAAAATTCACAGTACACAACATAGACAGTCTGTCATAATTTTTTATTATAGTCGTGTTTGGACTAAAAAACAACTTAGCCCATACACGGGGTAAGTTGACCATAGGAGACCACTTTTTTGGCATGCTATATCATCAAGACAATTATGTTTACACACATTCTGTTGGTTTGCAGGGATGCACAACATGTTGAAATATATGCAGATACACTAGTTAGAGACAAAACTATGATTGCCTTGATGTAGTGATCCAAAACATGAAAAATGGCTCATCTTACCCCACTCTCCCCTAATCAGAAGAGCCAAATATGCAGTAACACTGGAGAGCAAAAAGAAAATGCATGCTTTTTTGTGCCACTAGAGGGCGCTGTCATTCTGCAAGACGGGTGCAAAGGCAGCAGAGGTACAATTACTCATCTCAATATCATCTGATCAGATATTCTCAGAACCACACATCCAACAAAAACGTCAGGGAGATTGTGAAACACATGTGGAAACATTATTTAGAAAAGCTTCGGTTGGTTTCTTCAAGATCTTTTTTAACGCAGTTATGTAAAGTTGTAATAGATGTAAATGTAGAGATCTGCTGAAATACCTGTTTGTAAATTCACAATAAAAGCCTAAATCTACCACTGTAATGTCACGTGAGTTTTATTTTGAAAGAAATAACCGGAAGTAGTATCGCCATCGCCTTGATTGTGTTTGATGGGTTGGTGTCACCCCCACCTCCAGCCTCCTCCTCCTCCTTCAAGTGAGCAGCAGCAGCGTGTGTTGTTCGGATGTAACAGAGACAGCAGGTCCTCCTCTGCTGCTGTTAGCGGGGAAGGAGCAGAGCCTCCAGCTGCGGACACGGACACGGACACGGCCCGGGGCGATGGCGTCGCTCGGCGTGGGGCTGCATTTTAACCGCAAACGGGGAGCGAGCAGGAGCGCCGCGGTGGAGAGGAGGAACCTGCTGACGGTGTGCAGGTGGGAATTCCTCACTCTTTTCTGGCGTTGACAGGGAGGATGAGAAGAGCGTCTGCTGCTGCTGAAGGTCTGACTGTAGATTTGATCCATCAGAGACGTGTGTTTGAGCAGGACTGAACCGCGTGACTTCATCCTTTTTTAGAAATATGACTTCATGTGTCTAAAGAGAGGGAAGTCATTCTGAGCGTGATGGATGAGCGACATCAAAATACTATTAAACATGTAGAAAAGCTTCCAGTTAGCACCCAGATCATAGATAAACATCGTGTGTATTTTGGACAGAATCTCAATAGTCTATCCTCCATTTACCACAGACGTACAAACGCACACATATTCACACATATACAATCACACACTCCCACCAGCAGCATTAAATCATTCATGTGATTAGACTTCTCTTTGGATAACCCTCGTACTCAATCTACTGTGAGGTCAAATCATAAATTTTAAAAATTCTGAAGCTAGGAGTTCAATATTCTTCATAATTTCTCCACCTCTTCACCAAGGATTTGGGTTTGCAATCAAAACAGAAAGAGGATGTTGTTGTTATCTGTGTGTATGATTATGATCAGGTTTCTGTGAAATTTTACAGACAAAGTTTCTGAATTTGTCCAAAGGCAGATTCAGCCTCAGATGAACACTATAACCACTAAGTTAGATAGAGATAGACTATATTGAAAGTTACCATGTTACAGCAGCAATAAAAACACAAAATAAAATAAAATATAAGAAGTATGTACAATACAGACTGAATATATACAATAAATACAGACTAAATATACTAAACATCCTAAGAGAAAAAAAGTGAGATATGAAAAAAAGTGGGCTATCCACTAGTAGTACTAATTTAAGTGGTTTAAGTGTCTTTTTTTCTAATTTAAAGGTAAGATAAGGACATATTAAACCCCAAGGTGAGATTTGATAAGTCAATCAATCAGTCAGTCTTTATTTATATAGCACTTTTCATACACAACCATGTAGCACAAAGTGCTTTACACAGAAAAAGGAACAAATAGAAACAAAGAATACCCAAATCTACCCCAGCTCAACCCCTCGTTCCCACCTCACGATCTAAATGCATCAGAAACAGTATTAAAATGCATGAATTAAGAGCTTGAGTTTATGGAAACAGGAGTGTGTGCACTGAGGAAATGTCATTTTAAAACTCAAGATAAGGAAACACTGGAGGCTCTCGGTTAAAATCTAAAAACAAAGTAGCATAGAATGAAATTTAATAAATAAATAAAATGAAATAATAATAACAGTAAAAGATACTAAAATAAGAGCACCAAAATAGTTCAATAAAAGATGATCCTGTCATTAAAACTAGAAGAGATAAATGCTAAAACACTTACTTACACAATTTAGTTAAAACAAGACTAAAAAGGTATGTTTTCAGTTTGCATGAAAAATCCCATTTGCTTTCTGCAGAATAAACTAGGTGAGTAGATTTTATTTATAGTGATTTTCACGGACAGGAGCCACAAAGGGCTTTACATAAAATCAAAATGAAATAAATGAATAAATCATCAATGAAATGATGTCAGAAAAAGATCAAATAGTGCAAAGCACAGCATCAAACAATTATATCAAAGAAAAGGATTACTCATAACTCAAAGTTTTAACTGTTTTGCAAAAGTCTCAACAGAGTCAGCAAAGCACTGTGATAGAGGGAAAGAGGTTCATAGGTGTGGATCCATGAACTCAAAAGTGGGAACACCTCGAGTCTTAGGCGGTGTCTGTGGGTGTAAGGAGCTGGACCTGAGTGACAGGGCTCATGAGTGAGGTTCTGTAAGTTCTGTGAGGTATTCTGGGGCTTGGCTGTGTATTCTTCCAAAGTGAGGGTGCGAATTTTAAACTTTACCTTATAGGCAACAGGGAGCCAGCAAGGTGGTTTTAATATGGGAGTGATGTAGGGCTGTTTGCTTGACCTGGTGAGTAATGTTGCTGCAGCAGTCTGAGTTGGCATACTAAGAGAGGTGAAGAGAAAGTTAAAGTTCTCAATACAGGAATAACCTTAGGTGTGTATTATCATCTCAAGTTCCCCAGTACTGACTGTTTTTCTGAGTTTGCTGATATTTCTAAAATGGTTAAAGAAATGATCCAGAGAGCTGCGTTACATGACAGTCGAATGTTGATGAGTTGTCAGAAATTACCCTGAAGTTGTACACTTTGGGCTGAACTGCAGGGGAGAGCTGCCCAGTTTCTTTCCAGACATATTGTAATGCCTCCATCTATTTTATCAACATTTAACTGTGACTCATTCTCAGATGTCCAGTCCCTTGTAGCCCCATGGCAGTCTAGAAGCCTAGGGGGAGCAGATACAAGGAGAACGGTGAAGGACCCAGGACTGAGCCCTGTGGTACACCACATGTTAAAGGAGACGGATATGCACGGACTCACCAATTGAGACGACAAAGTTTCTGTCAGCAAGGAATAAAAAGAACCAATCCAGAGCTTTCCCTGATATCCCCACCCAGTCCTGTAGTCTGTTAATGAGGATGCCGTGATCTACAGTGTCAAAAGCAGCACTGAGATCAAGAAGAACCAACACAGAAGAGTCACCAGAGTCAGAGGACATAAAAATACCATTGGATACTCTCAAGACGTCAGTTTCAGTGGGATGTCTGTAACTGAAATCAGACTGAAATTTGTCATAGATCTTATTTCCAACGCAGCAGTGACTTGATTTACCACAATTATCTCCAAAAATTTAGTCAGAAAAAGGAATTTTGATATATTAAAGCAGGATCTAGACTTGGTTTCTTCAATAAGGGTTGTATAAATATACGTTTGAAATGCATGGGGACACATCCAGTAGACTATGAAGAAGTAATGACTGCCAAAACAGCAGGAACAGTTGTAGGTTAAACTTTTACAACTGGGAAAAAAGGAATGATAGCCAAGGGGCTAGAAGACAGCTTAGCATAGCCAGTGAACAACAAGGACATGACCAGTATTGATCTGTGGTCTTCTTGGTGCAACTGGCACATGTCTACTACTCTCCTACATCCCTGTGGTGCATTTGGGACAGAAGAGTGGAAAGGGATCAAAGAGGTGGTGTCGAGGTGTAACATGAGAAAGTGGAGAAGCATACTGATAATACACCACCTCCTCTAGCTGTTCAGTCAGGCAGCTAACAAAAGAGCAAATGTAATTTCCAGGCCTCAGCTTTCTGACTGTGCTCGGTATGATTTCCTCAATTAGTGTCTCTTGAAACAGATGAAAGAGAGTAGTTACGGTGTGCTCCTCTCTCGCTACCAAGGCTGGACCTTCCTCACCTCTTTTTGCTTCCATACCAGCTATTAAAGTGGCCCAACATGAGCACAGAAGGGCAAGAGAGAAACTTGATGGAAGGTGAACAAAGTGAGAAATTGAAGATCTGAACCATAACTCTGAGTTTAGTTGGATGTTCAGCAGTTCCTCCTTCACCTACAGTGTAAGTAGCTGCTAATGTAGCCGTCAGTATTTTTATGAACCCTGCTGATTTTCTGTGTAAAGACTCCATGTTCGCTCCCACCAGCACAAATCTCTGCACCATCATAGAGTGGTAAACAAACCAGCATTCATTCCTGATTTCAATGACTTATCAGATCTCGACAGGGTGAGCAGGACCTTGACCTGAAGCCAAGACCCACTTTGTTTCAAAGTCCTGCTCACCCTGTAGAGATTTAAATTTGCATAACCAACCGTTCACTGTAAATTATTCCTCACCTGTCACAGCATGACCAGCACAGATATCACTCCTTATATTAATGCTCACTAGTGTTTCATTCAGATTTCCTTGAGAGCCTCAGCTGTGTGACTGTGGATTTCACAGCTGCTCAGTTTTATACCTGTGCCTTTCTCTAATGTTAGGTTTCCTCTAAATCTGATGCCCTCGAGGTGTGCTGTTTATGGGTAGCATTTTTCTGTTTGAACTCAATGAGTCGGCACATCACTGTGATGGTTACTTCTCTCCTGAGAAATAGAAAAGATAACTTTCTCTTTTTATGACAGGGTACAAGCTGACTTATTGTTTTCAGTTGCTTAGCAACATGACTCTCAATTAATCTTGATTAATTCAGCTGTTTAGGTCCACACAGCACTTTTGATGCTTTGAGGATGTGAGGACAGGCACCTATAAGTTATAATAAAGCGCACTTTTCCCTGTCACAGAGTATTGATGGATCCTTGGTATGGTGCCATGAAAGGCTAAGATTCATATTGAGATGGTGGAAGGAGTAATAGCAGTGAATATCAGTGCAAAATAGTCCACAGGAGGAAATTAAAGTAGGTTCAAGATCGAAGATATATGATTATAATTACATTGTCAGAATATGACAAAATCAGTCAGCTCTCTCACAGGACGCGTGAAACTCTGCGGTCACTGTGCTGCTCAGCAACCAGATAAAGAGAAATGATGGGAGATTATTTAGTTGATGTCAAGTCTACACACTATTTGGCACCATTTGTGCAACATGCACACAGACACACATATACACACATACACAGACACACTACAGCCTTGTCCATTTACGCTCCTTCCTGTCTAATTAGTTTGAATCAGATTAAATTTTGGCAGCGCACATGACTGTCATAGTGAGTGGCACATTGTTCCTGGTTTCATCTCAGGATATTGATTACAGGCTCACTGCAAAAGTGAGTATTTAGATTTGACTTTTAGTGGCTGGTAGGAATGGAAAGTAAAGTTTATTCATGTGGATATTTAGATTTAAGGGTGCAGGTAGCAACACGAGTGTCCTGGGATCTGAATTTACAACCATTCTCCACCAAAAACATTTCATGAATAGATATCAAATTATTACAGGACTAAATACAAAAGGAAAAAAAAAGATTTCAATTTTCATTTGTCTTTAGCTGAGACCCTTTTTATATTAAAACATAATAAAGCAATCCTTTAACTACTCCAAGCTTGAGCTATGCCATAAAAAAGCTGTTAAAGCTTTGAATATCTAATCCAAAAAACAAACCCCAAAGTTTGCAAACATACTCAAGAAGTGAGAAACTTTACAAAACAAAACCAACAGTTTTAGTCTGAGAGAGTAAAAAAACGTTTTTTACCCTCACACACTGAGCAGGATGCTCAGTCAGATCATTTCGATAGATTAGGCAGATTCAAAGAAAAAATAGTTAAAAATAACATCACTGTGGCAAGACACCCTGACTTTTGAGTCCTACAGTTCCTTTAATGCCAGCAGTGTTTTTACTGAGTACTAATAAAGCTACTTAAAGCCTCATGAAGTGACCGAATGTCCACTTTGTCTTGTCTTTCTCTTCAGATTTTCAGTGAAGACTCTCCTGGACCGCTCCTGTTTTGAAACAATTGATGACTCCTCACCAGAGTTTGTTAACTTTGTGTCTATTTTGGAGCAAATCCTAAGCCATCGACTCAAAGGTAAAAGAAAAAACCTCGTATCCATGTACAACCTACACACTTAGCTGTATGATTGATATTCTGCAGAATGCATGGCTCTCTTTTTTTCTTGTATTATTTGATTACTGACTGGAGGATCACAAGTCCAGAGGGACGATGTGTGATAGCAGCTCGAAGTGAGCAGAGGATGCTGTTAATATTTGTTTCCTCATACCTCCAACCCACAAGGCTGATTCATTGTATAAAAACTCCAAAGTGAGATTTCAGGATTGAATGCACACTTTATGTGACTACAGAGTGTTTTCTGTGGGGAGAAGCCACCAGCTTCAGCATGAATTAGACAAATATGAAAAGAGACATTGAATCTTGTAAAATAAAACTTATTTTCTTTGCCTTTCTTTCAGGCCAGACAACTTGGTTTGGCTATGAAAGTCCTCGAAGTTTCTGGGATTGCATTAAAGTTGCCTGCAGCAAAGTGCCACACAACTGCATCCGGAGCATAGAGAGTATGGAGAACGTGCGATCATCCAGAGCCAAAGTGAGGATAAATCCGTCCTGGGGTCAGATTTAATAACAGCTGGGAAGAAAATAATGAAAATCCTAGAAACAAAGTAAAGTCAGTATTTGATGACACCTATGAGTACTTGGTGACTTTAGCCAAATAATGAATGACATTGAACATGTTTCAGTTTTAACTTTACATAAAGTTAAACTCTGGGGCTTCAAGTTTTTTGAGTTACAATCATAATAATGAGGCATGCATTTGTGTTGCTAGCTGTCTTTGCATTTTCCCCTCAACAGATCGATTGTCATGAAAGTCTAAACACACCTTGGGAATGCAAATACTGTTTAACAGTCAGGCTGCAGGAGAGGACTCTTAGGAGGACTCTATTACTCACACACAAACATATGCAAACAGAACTAAAAATGGACTGGTGAATTTTCTCTTTTCAGCCAGAATACAGCCATGTGAATCACCTTCTACTCTTATAATTAGATTTAAGCACCATGAACACCAGGGAGGTTTTCAGATGGCACCAAATTGGAGATAATTAACAGCTGTTTCAATAAAGCATTTTATTTTAACTTAATTTTGCCATACTAGTGGATTTAGGGAAAACATAGCAAATTGTTTTGTGTGCCAGCAGGTTCACCACTGTCCTGAGACATCACAAAAAATATTCACTATTGGACTGATTAAAAAAAAAAGATGTCTCAGAGACATTTAGGGGTGAAACTGCTCATCAAACCTGCTTTATTTGGCCACCCTCTGTCAGGGGAGCATTTATGGACACACATAGGAAAGATATTGTCTGCAATAAGTGAAGCATTTGTTCATGACAAACTGAAATGAACTCTTTCAGCTTTTACAGAAAAACTTTTCCAAAATGAAACTCAATAGTTAAACAGATATTTGAAATGTGGTTAAAAACCTGCTGTTTTCTGCCATGTAACCCTTGAAACAGATAAAATCAATACCCATGTAAAGGCTACTTGTCAGTACTATCATGGTCGCTGAATGCTCATATAAATAATAATGATAATAATACAAAACCTGACCATTTACCTCATATGTCGTTCTGTCAGTTTTCTTACCTTAATTCCCAAAAAGAGGTGTATCTGTTAATATTATATTGTACTGAATGGTTCAGTAAATACTTTTCTAAAAATAGCAGTGTCACCTTTTAGATAATGATGGTAATAATTAGAGTCTAATCCCTGACATTTACTCTCACCCCGACAACAGGCTGTAATGTCTTTGATGATTTATTTATTCATTTTATGCCCCCCTAAAAAAAAATTATTATATTCACTTTGATGATCTTTTACTTTTCATCTCGCTTTCATAATCAGGTAAAAAAAAACATCAGTTTTACTTTGTGCTTATTGCCTGTGAGAAAATGTTAGCATGCGAGAATGCTTGGATGATGAATTTGTTTACCTGCCCCGGTTACATATAACATTTTTAATGTTGCCATTATGAGCGTATTAGCTGGTCAACATTCCCATTTGGCACATGGCCCAGCCTCAGAAGAGCTGGCCTCTTTTGTAATCCTGTTTAAAGTTTCACTGGTGGTAAAAGCTTTCTCTTAGAGATCCGTGTTTGTCTCTGCAGGGCAGGGCGTGGATCAGAGTGGTCCTGATGGAGAAGAGATTATCAGAATATATCTCATCTGCACTGAGGGACCTGAAAACCACCAGGTCTGAATGAGATATTTTTAAATCAGATCCCAGAGGGGAGTAAGGTAAAAAATGTGGTGAATAATGTGTGAATTCTTGGTCTGTAGGAGGTTTTATGACGACGGAGCGATCATGCTGGGGGAAGAGGCGGGGCTGTTAGCAGACACACTCATCGGACTCAACACCATCGACTTCAGGTGCTAATCACATCACTCTGTTTTTTCCTGTAGACCTTCACTCCATACTATGTGCTCATTTTATAGCATGAAATACATTTCTAGTAAAAGCTCATCACAATATCGTTCAGGTTCTAGTCATTTAAAATGAAAATAACAGCGTTTATCGTTCATGTTTTTGTCACCATTGAGGCAAAGTAAACGCCAGCAATGACATAAGGAAATCCTCAAGTCATAAAGCATCTTTTAGAGCTCAAACAGAGCTCTAGTTGAGAGTATACCACAGCTCTAAATCCAGCTAAAGCAAGTATGATACTTTGTTTCTGTCTCTTTAGCTTCTGTCTGAAAGGAGAGGGTCTGGACGGCAGCTGCCCTGCAGTGATCGACTACACGCCTTACCTGAAGTTCACGCAGAAGTATTACAGTCTATTTGTATTTATTAGGATATACGTGATATTAAAGCTCCTATGAGAAATTTTCAGACATCTATGAAATACACTGAAATTCATGTTGATGCCTTTTCATGGTATCAAATGTAAACAAGATCATCAGCGACAACACTGAGGATTTTTACTTTTTAATTTTAAATGCCTGAAACCAATTTGAGGGGTTGTGTGTCAGCTCAGCAGCTGAAGACACAGCCGTGTTTTCACAATATTTGCCTAAAACTTTAACAGAATTATATATGTTTGACTGTTAAAAGTCAGAGAGTGAGATTTTTTTGGTCAGAAGTTTATACTGAAGCATTTAGAGGACAGGATTAGCAAAAACTAAGAGGCGAGAGGCGCCAAAACTGACACGAGTTAAAACTTCCTCACAGGAGCTTTAATCTCCAGCCAAGTTTTATAAATAAAATGTGAAGCCAGGAAATCAAAGATTTCAGCTTGTTTCGAGGGTCCTCGGTAGGATGTGGAGTAACCCTCTGGCTCTCTGCAGTGCCGACAGTATCAGCAGCGACGAGGAGGAGATGAGGACTCTGGGGAGCAGTGGCAGTGAGAGCAGCACCCCTGACAAAACAGCCACCGCCGCCTCCATCTTTACTGAGCAGAGCAACCTGTTCAGCAAGTGCAAACGCTTTGAGCAGAAGTACCGCATGGCGTTGGAGCAGAAGGTAGCACCTGTGTTTGTGTCTGTTGGCTATTCTTGTACATATAATCAGCTGGTAATATATGCTGATGTGACATTTTGCCTGTTTGTTTGATAATTAGAGGCTCCAAGTGTGAAATGCCAGGAGGAAACAGACTTACTGATTCAGCTTGATGTTGTTCCTTGCTCATAAAGCACCTGTAGTTTTGACAGAAATGTGATGTTTGATCAGACATGGCAGAAAACAAAGTAAAAACTCTGAGTGTGTGTGTGTGTGTGTTTGTCTGTCTGTCTTAGGGTTACCTGGAAGAGCTTGTCCGTCTGCGAGAAGCCCAGCTGGCAGAGGCAGTGTCTCATAACAAAGCTCTTCAGCAGAGCCTGTCAGATGCACACCTCTCACACACACTGGAGAAGGAGCAGCTTGAATTCATCGTACTGGAGCTACAGGACCAGCTGTGAGTTCAGGACCAACAGTGTGTACATATATATGTGTTTGTGTCGGGTTGGGGGTGTCATATAAGGTCACTAACAGTAGAGCAAAGGGGGAATCTGCAGCAGATCCAGCTGTGACTCTGACATTCAGGAGTCAGGACGCAGCATGGCACCTGGAGGCTGCAGGTGGTTCGTTATTTATGTGTTGTTGAATCAATCACCGTCGAGGCTGCTTTTAGCCGAGAGAGAAAATTGCACCGGGGTTGTTGTTTTTTTCCTTTTAAGCTCAAGTCAGCTGGAAAAGAGGAGGCCCTCTCAAGACTGAGCACCAATAATTCTAAGTAGGCGGCAAAGTCTGTCAAGAGGGTTTGTGTCACAAACTCTGGGAACAAAACGGAAGACGGAACGATGAGTCACTGGATGTTTTCAAATGCAAATTAAGTGAAAAGTGAAGTGATAAGCGGAGAGAGGGAGGGTGACAGTGAGATACACCAAAACAAAGTGTTGGATTTGTGTGTGAGATTCTCTTTATGTGGGCTGTTGATGTGAGAGAGAGCTTGTAGTTTGTACAGCCTGACTTGTAGTACTTTTGATGTAGGATCTGTTTCGATGTAAAATGTAAGAGCTGAATAGAGAATTGCAAATCTGCTTTTTATCATCAACACCATCAAAGGATCCCTAAAGTTGTTGTATAAAATTACTGCGCCTTTGCGTTTATTGAGTGGAAGATTATTGCATGAAAGTGAAAAATACAATTCCTAAGTTTAGATGTGGTGTAAATCATTTAGACCCTTGAAAATAGTGCAAAAAATATCACATCAAATCTTAAAACAAAAATCTCAAACAAGAGTTTTTGTTTAATCAAAAATGTATGCTTGTTTTAAATTTGTTGGCAGCAGATTACAGGGTCTAATTTTGTCATATTTTGTTTCATGATCGATCAAATGTTCAAACAATGAGTGTGTTCTAGAGCTGCTCTTTGGGAAAACAATTGTTGTGATTTGATGCTATATACAAAAAATGGATTGATTGATAAATTAAAATGTTTTCAGTGGATGACGAGATGGGACTATGGGCATGCTTGTTTAGCACCCATACTCTTTCTTGCTGTCGTAATAAATGCAAAATGCCCCCTAAATGCATCCTAAAAAGAGAGTCAGATTTAGACTTTTCAGACCACAGGACAGTTTTCCACTTGTCCTCAGTCAAACTAAGACAGGCTTGGGCTCAAAGACATTGCTCAGCATTTTTAGGTCGTGTGTATAAATAGCTCCCTGTTTCAACCTGTGTTGTGGATGCAATAACAAACTGTGTTTACAAACTGTGCTTTTTTGGACCTGACTTTGAGCCACTGCAGCATTTCTTTTACAGAGAATGCAGCGCCTGATCACAGCTTTACCGTATTGGTTCCTTTTGTGCAGAGATTTTTACAGATTCTCAAAATCCTCTAATGGAGTCATGAAGTAAAGATGATGAAATACACAATTTCTTTGAAATTTTATGCTGAGGAATATCATTTTAAAACTGCTGGGCTATTATAGCTCACACAGTCTCTCTCACAGGATAGTGAACTTCCCATCATTTTTACGTCTGTGAATCTCTGCCTCTCTGGATCGCCTTTTTTATTCCCTCCCATTTAACTAACTTATTGCAAACTAGCCTCACTAGTTGGGAGGTCTTCCATCAGTTTTTTTTTGTTTGTTTGTTTTAGATTACCTTCTTTTTATTATTTGACATGTTTATTTGGTAACTAATTTATCTCAACTCTGGACTTTTGGTCTTTCTTCAGGACTGTATTGAAGAATAATGACTTGCGGTCCAGACAAGAGCTGACCGCCCATCTGACCAATCAGTGGCCATCTCCAGTTGCTTTGGATGTCAATGCTGTTGCCTTGGATACGCTACTGTACAGGAAGAGCAGGGGACAATGGGAGGAGTACGTAGATGAGTCCTACAGCTTCAAAGTTTAGTTTAGTCATGTCCTGGGTGGCATTTTACAATTAGATTATTAGTAAATATCAAAATCTTATACTGATGAATGTGACATTATTCAGCATATTTTTCACGCATAGCAGTTGATCCATTTCAATTCATTTGAGGAAAAAAGGAAAAAAATCTGAATACTGACAGAATTCAAGATTACAAAAATGTAATATTAATATTTTATTTAGAGGCATTAACATCACTTATTAGGGGGATCACCAAGGTTTTATTTAACCATTCTCCCCTACAAACAATGTTTTAAAAACCTGATCATTAACACGATTCAGAGAAATATATGGATAGCCTAAACTACCTGACTTCACTTTCTAAAATATTAAAGAACAGTACTGTTGCTCATTAATAAAAGTACCAATGAATTATGTTTTGCTGTTGGAGGAACTACACGCTCCACAACTTTCCAAGCTAGATACATACTTTTGAAGTTGTGTTTTTATCTCTGTATATCATCTAATTTTTTAAAAACTTATTCTTCAACCATTAAGACATTCTAGCCTCCAAATAGTGTTGGAAATTAAGTATGAGCAGGTTGCAAAATAGCTTCCGGCAGATAACATTTAATTGTAGGAAGTGTTCCTAATTTGTGAATTAGCCTTGAAACCCAAGATGGAGCTGTTCTTTTCATTCTGCACACAAATATCAAGTTTATGCACCCGGCACAACTACTTTGTTTTTGAATGACTTGATCAGCTGTTTTTTCTTCTGTTACCTGAGTAATAGATGTTTTGAGACTGCAGACAAATTAATTTCTCTTCAGGGATCAATATAGTTCTTCTTAATCTCTTAGACAGTAGTGATTGGAGGGATTTTAATTGCTCACCTCTTTTCTGTTTGTCATTGCAGCAAGAGTTTCCAAAGTCTAGAACAGCTGTCTGCAGACATGAGCCTCTCCCAGACGTCTCTGGAGCCTTCACACACTCTGAGTCTGGAGGCCCGGCCGGCCAGCAGCACACTCTGGCCACACCAAGGTATTTGATCCCTTCAATGTTATTTTTCCTGCTCTGAAATAAGCATTCATCAATGTGTGTCATCTCATTCAGGTAAAGAAGAAACGCCATCTCTAAGAGGTCTGTGTGGATCCCTGACATCAGTCGCCAGCTACAAGTCCCTGACCAGCATGAAGTCCAATGAGTGTTTGGCCAGTCCTTTAACAGAGATCTGCAGCCCCGGCATCAGTCCTTCATAGCTTGAAAGTAAAAAAAAACAAAACACCAGGGCCAAACAATCCAGGAACTTTTTAAATGTAAGTGATATTGATTCGTTGTGAGTAGAGGCTTTTGTTCTGCTTGTGGGGCCCAGAACTCAAACATCTGATGGACATTAGGTTTGCTTGCTGAGAGTGAGATGTTGCATGTTTTTTTGGACTGTTGGCCTCCACAACAGCTCCATGAAACCCAGTAATGTCTTAAAAATGTTTGATGACTTTTTAAAGGGAGTTTTCAGCTCTATTGTCATGCTTCTAATCCACTTTTTTTCCTCCTCACTCTTCATCAGTAAACATGTTTTTATCTCCAATCTTGGTAAAAGACTGAAATAAGAGTTTGGTGTAAGACTTACCAAACCACTTTACAGTATTAAGAATGCAGTGATGAGTCTTTTCACTTCTCTCCCTCTTTGAGAAGCTTTGCAGTAGTTCTTAGCATGTTGAAAATACCGATTATAGCTGAGATGGAAGTTTAGGAGAAAACACATAACTATTCTTCCTCTTCGTTTATTGCGGCTGAAAGGCTCTTATACGTCTTCTGTGATACTGCTGCCTCTAAGCTATTTTAAAGCAGTAATTTGGTTGATTTATGCTGACTGTATTTCCACTTTCATTAGCTGCCAGCTCACATTTCACTGAGTGTAAATTTTCACTGTTTTTATATAACGAGTGTTATGTTGTCATTGTTGTGCATTATGCAGTATCACATCATTTTGTTCTCAGGTAATGATCACTAGGATTAATATTCACCTCTTAGTTTTGAGTTTACATAAAGGTTAAGCTTTATCAGACAAATTTTGCCTGATATACCCTTTAAATAATTAAATACAGTTTGATCTGTGTAACATTGTTTGAGGGTATTTTGCAAAAGTTTTCATCTGCAATAAGGGAACAAGTGTATTTGCAGAGTGTCAGTATAATGTGGTTTGTATCATTGGTGGTAGCTGCGTACCTTAACGCAGAGCTCATGACTTTGCCTTTAGCTTGTTGGAGCAGTCATTTGCACAGCCATGCAGTATTTGTTTAACAGATTTATTTGCTTTTATATGTTTGATTTTGAATAAACTCCACTTATTTAAACAGTAAAAATTCACTAGTGACATTTGAGTTTCTTGTTGACGGTGAACAGGTGAGTGGATCAAGCTTGTGTGAGCTGATGGAAGACCGGAATTCTCAGGGAAGGCTGTACAATTATGAAATCTTGTAGTTAACACGTCACAGTCTCATCAAACTTGTGTTATGATGGCACAACAGTTTCTTTTGCTTTTTTTTTCCTGTCTCACACATTCACAGTTAAAAAGGACTGGTCTGAAAGTGCTAAAACAGAGATCCTTTGACAGTGCCTTTGGGGAAACATTGACTCAGAGTGACACTCACTCACAGGAGTTAAATAAAGATCAGTCTTACATCTCTGATGTAAGGACTGCAGGCACAGCGCACATGATCCAAGTGCAAGGAAAAACAACACAAAAACTGCGGCTGCCATCTACTGGTCACAATATGCAGCAAAGTATTTGATTTGAACCCTAATGAGACAAAACTGTTCTTTTCATTTGTGCACACATGATCTATGGTGGTGATCAGAGAACAATACAATTACAAATACTAACAAATCTTTTCTCATCAATTTTGTTCATCCACTTCACCTTGTAGAGCAGAAAGGGATCAAGCAACCCACTATTACACTTATTTCCATTTCTGCTTTTCCTATTTGGCAACACGAGCCTTTTGAATCTTGGTGTCATTCAGCAGTAGTGATGTTTGGTTCGAATACAACTAGTAGGGGATCCCTCAGGTGTTGCTGGTCTGCAGAGGCCCCAGCATCCTCTCCTGGTTGTGTTTGCGGAAAAAAGCTTTCCCAAATTCGTAAGTGCTGATCATGATGGCACATGCTGGAGCGACTTTGATCAGTCTGGGGAGGAAACCTGGCAACGAAGCAGCGGAGACAAGCAAGAGCATGACATGAGTGAGTTATTTAGTGAGGGAAATCTATGATCGTCATTCGAAATTAACATCAAACTGAAATATCCACCTGCTAACAGTCCACTGACGCCATCCTGCGCCACAATCCTGCTCATCACGCTGAAGGTGGAGGTGGAGACCTCATGTGACACTGAAGACAAAGACAAGAGTCAACTTTGGCCATAAGAGGTATAGTTTAAACTATGAATTTAAGTTTATCAACAGTCAGCATGTTTAACTCTCCATTTATAACATATGACATGTACATGAAGTTTAAAGCATTAGACCAGAACTTGAAATTAAACCATCAACTCATACATGGCAGATTTGGGAGGTGTTTAATCTGGACTGATTTCTTCTGACTTGCATGAGATTTTAGATTAATGAGAATTACAATTTTAGAGGCAAAGCAAAGCATGCTGTTTGTTAATGGGTTTTAAAACTATTTATCCTGAAAACTAATGGAAGCAGCTGAAAGTCCCAACCGTTATATTCATGTTACGAAATTAAAATAAACTGACTTGAACGCCAATACTTCAGAGTCCTTAATGTGTACTTTTTGTGTACAACCTTAACATATTTAGCTTACTTAAACTGAACAGCCAAGAAAGCCAAAGATCCTCTCACTCAAACAAGATTTAGAGAATTTGATGTTGACCTTAAAAATGTGACTCAAGTCTTATGAAGCACCCTCTTTACAAAATAAACGCATCACGCCATGCTTACAGTTTCTTGCTTGCAGCTCTCCCAGCTCCACCTGCCTTCTTGTTTTGACGACATCAAAAGGCAGCGTGACAATGGAGGCAATCTGCAAGAAACATATTCAATCTATTAACTGCAACATGAATTATTTGATCATGGTCTATTCATGCATCATGATTTGTTTCTGTTGAGGTCTCCTACACAAGCCGAATGGTTTGGAGGTGCACTTACAGAGCCAGACAGCGCTCCAGACAGGAAGGTGATGGTAAAAGTGGGCTCTCTGGTGTTGTAATGTTCACACAGCCATAATTTGCTCTTTTCATAGTTGTACCAATACATGGCTGAGAATGGCACATCTCTAAACAGCGTGGGCCCCAAACCTCTCCACAGGGACAGCCAGCCCTCTGTCTCCACTGCTGAGCGGATGCAGGCAGTCAGCTCCCTGTACGACTGTTTCTGAGATTGCAGCTTTGTGCGGATCAGCTCCAGAGGGCTGATGACAGTTGCTGAACCAACTAACAGGAGAGATAAGAACATACTTCAACACATGTTACAAATAAAAGCAAAAAAGAATACAAGAAAATAGGATAAAGAATGACAGAGTGAAGAAAATCCGCCTCGCAGATGTTTTTTCCTCATTTTTCTCAAAAGTGGTAAGCTCACCTCTAGCAACAGCCCCGGCCACGAGAGGGGCCTCCTGAGCGTAGTCTCCCATTCTTAGCTTCAGTGCTGCACACAGCTGGTCGTAACATGTGAAGTAAATCACCGTAGCAGGGACTGCCATCACACTAGAGATAACAAATAAGCAAATCATGCACTAATTACACTTCCATCAACATCATCTTGTGCTGGGGAAAAATCAACCACAAAAACAACACTGAATAAATGAACATGATTTATTAAGTACAAATTTTAAAGCTGTTTTACTGACACAAATTACTCTTGGGTAATCAGCTTTCAGTAAAGTCTCAGGTGGTTTGCCACTAATAGGTTCATTTGAAACTAAAACAGCCTTAATGAGTGCATGAGTTATGGATCAAATGACTTCCAACTGACTGCGTTTGCTCAGTGAGTCAGCCTTGAGAGGAGAGTAGGATGACGAGATTAAAAAAATTAGAAATGAAGAGCATGGAGAACTTGAAACTCACAGGGTTGGGGGTAGACCACTCCACAATGACTTTAGACCTTCATTGCGTATTATCTTGAGAAAGGCATCCTGTAAAAACACAGTGGGAGTCAATGTAGGAAATGTGCTGTTAGTAAGTTAAGGGTTTTCTTTTATAACTTGATGGTGTAGCTCTTTGTCATGCACCCTCAAACAAGTCTTTTCCTCCAGTGAATAAAAATACTAGAAAACACCACGTCTCTCTCGTTTGTATGTCATTCAGAATACTAAAGGAGCCATAACTTTGTAAAATCCTTACGAGAGTGCCACTGAAGTGACCTGGAGCTTTGTACCAGGCCTTGGAATTGCCGTTTTCACACACACATATGTGGTCCATGAGTCCATTGCAGTAGACAAAGCATTTCCCTGAGACATAAAGACATATAAGTGGTTACTCTACTGTTAATTGCCTATACTGAAAATGATAATACAGCAAGAGCATTTATATTGTTTTTACCTTTGGGAAATGGATTTTTCTGTGCTTGCAGTCTGATCTTCACAACATCTAAAGGAGTGACTGAAAAAAGAAAAGGCAATAACTTTAAAACTACCACCAAATGTTATACTTTCTATGCAAAGTTGGTCTACATACATCATAGGCTTAAATAAAGAGCATGGTGAGGTGCAAAGGGTTTTAGCAGCAGTGGTGTACCAAACTGGGGAGAGTGGGGTAAGATGAGCCATTTTTCAAATTTCGGATCACTACATCAAGGCAATCATAGTTTTGTCTCTAACTAGTGTATCTGCGTATATTTCAAGATGTTGTGCATCCCTGCAAACCAACAGAATGAGTGTAAACACACCTGTCTTGATAATACAGCCTGCCAAAAAAGTGGTCTCCTATGGTCAACTTACCCTGTGTATGAGGTAAGTTGACCATAGGAGCGGGGTCAGTTGATCCGTATCCCTACTATCCCCTCACTCTCCACCCCAGCCCTCCCTCACCTTCTCTCTCCCTAAATATCAGTCACTTCTTCACATTCATGTGTATTTTAATCTATTATACACTATTCAACTGGTACAATCATTATTTTTATAATTGCATATAACTGCTAAAAAGCTGTTTTGTAAAAAACATTTAAACATGAGAATGTCTTTAAGTGATTCAGAACATTCACAGCTGTATTTTTGAAAAGAAAAAGTAACACATTTCAACAATCTGAACACAATTCTAATCAAACGTATGACAGACTAAATTCACTTTCAAAGGTGAAAAATGTTTTATTTTTTTTTTTAAATATTTGTCTAACCCCTTCACCCATGTGCTTCTAACCTTCACAGACTCCATGAATTGATGCCCATCTCCTCAATATTTGGTCACATGACCAATTTCTTTTACCATTTCCAAGCAACAGGGGTTGGCTCAACTTATCCTTTGACTCAACTTACCCCATTCTCCTCTACACTACTCATGTAAAAGTACGGTCACTAAAATGATGCTTTTCTTAACTAAAAGTAGAATTAACAGACAATAAAGTAGAAGTACTCCGAGATGGTCAGTCAGGGGAACTAACCGAACAAGGATGTGAGTATAGCTCCAGAGCAGGACGCCACCATCTGCTGCAGAGGAGTAATGCCATTAGAGGCTGAAGACGCAGGACTTTGACCATTCATATTGACGCCTACAAACAAAACACAACCTGACATTAGATATGTTCAGTTTGTAATTTAGACATCATATAAGAATCTCTTTAGTAAAGCTGTGGTTACACGCGAACACTTCAGGGTTGGCTTGTCAGCCTGTTATTTAACCTCATTCCAGATAACATCATGAAGACATGGCTAACATTATTTAGCTTTCGTCCGACCTTTTATAGCAACCAAGCATCCACGACGTCCTCTCTGAACACAGACATCCCCCTCAGGTTTAAGAGCTCTCTTGAGTTATGAGTTACTCCTGTTTCGTGAACTCTACGAGGAAAGCATAACTTAAACACGTGTGTAGGTGGGCTGTAACCCCAGCTAGCTTGTCAGTCAACGTTACATGATAACAAAATTACGTAGTGTTGATTTCATCAGAGCACATTCGTTAATTTTACATCATGGAAATAGTGTTTTTAGAAGTACCCAGAATAGCAACATTTATTTTATATTTACTTTTTATTTAGGGTTTTCATGAATAATTTTTGCTTGGGTAAGGTTTACCAGTAAAGTGGAAACATCAATTTCGAACCAAAGAGTGCATTTACTTATCTGTAGCGTTGCCAGGTTTGAAGCGTTTCAGTAAAACACTACCTCAATCCAGATTCTCGAAAGTATGGAAATCCCTTAGGTAACTTTCGTCAGATATCTTTATTTATTAAGTTAAAATATATTAAAAAAATGGTTAATGAAATAAAAAATGACTTATTGAACATAAATCGGGAAAATTCTGTGTTTTCAATGTGGTTATGTGTAGTAGACGGAGAGTTGAGGACCTGGCAACGCGTACTTCCTCCAGCGTCGGATTTAAAGCGGGAAAGCTTTTTCAGTGACGGATTAACCCGGAAAGTTTTTAACTTTTCTTTAAACATTGTTTAACTGCGTATGTTTGGACTTTATTTTAATACACTGCTTTAACAGAATGGCTGCCGTTATAACGTAAAGAGCAAACATAGGTCAAGCAGAGAAAGGAGACAATGAAACCGTCAAGGAGACAAAAACATCATAGTTAGCTAAAAGTCACCTTTGTTTAAACTGTAAACAGCATGTTTTAGTTACGGGATTTTACTCGGACATTTTTGCTCCTTGTGTTTTTGTAGATACGTCGCTTCCTTTGTTTACCAAACAGGAAACAACAAACTTTTAAGAGGATGAAATGAAGCCCAAACGCTCCCGGAGACACAGTGGATCAACTTTACAAGGTAAACTGCTGCTGCTGTTTTCTTCCACATGAGTGACTGCTGCCAGATTATTGTTATTAATCATGTTAAATCAGTCTTATCTAAACGATTCAACTTTAATTGAAGACAGCAGTCGTGATCTCTTTGTTTTAAGCTTTAGTCAAAGTAACGTAGTCATGTTTACTTGAATACTGAGCTACTTCACATCCGATAAATTTGCAGGCTGTACTTTAAACATATTTATCTAGATTAATATTGACACAAAGAGGAAAAACTGACTTCCAGAGATGACTTAGAAGTCTTATAACACGAGAGCATAATTTAGACAAAGCAGAGGAAATAATGTCGATAAACAGGATGATAAAACAAAAACAAAATGTTATCATATGTCAGTGGTGTCACTCTGATTGTGTGCTGGTTTTTCAATAAGACTGGACTGTTAATGAGCAACATGATTGGCTTTTCTCGATTAGGAGTATCTTGATTTTCTGTTTGAGAAAAAAGATAGTAACCCTTGCTCTGTTTGGAGGTCTGTGCAAACTTGCAAAAATATAAACATTTATGGTTGATGAATGACAATGAATTGAACACAGATGTGCACAAATTCACACAGAATCATAGATTTTTTTACTCATTTTCCAAACAATGTGGTTACAATGTTTTATTACTAGTTATTTTCATGATTAAGCAATAAATCATTTAAGCATTAATTGTTAGAGATGTGAAAAAAATTGATTTTTCACAATTTTGAAAGTTGTTTTGTCAGAAAATCCTCAGAAGTAAATGTGTTTTTTAATTGCGTATTTTCCTGAAAACCAAAGACTTTTCATCAACTCTTATTAGAAACAAAGAAAAGACGCAAACTCTCATATCACAAAGGAGGGAACCAGCAAATGTTTGGCTTTTATGACTTTGGAACGAACAGAAAAATGAATCGAGGAAAACAGATTTTATTCTTCTTTGATCTACGATTAATCTAGTAAAACAGTGCGGCTCAGAGGAACGAGACAGATCTTTTCTCCAAATATTCCAAAGCAGTGTCTTTGTTTTAGCCTGAAGGCTGCCTCCTAGTCCTCCCCGTCTCTGCTGGAAAGTTTCACTCCGCTATCACGTACCTCTACCTGTCTATATCCACTCGCTAAGCTGCACATCGTCTTTCTCCTCCCTTTTCTTGTCCTCAACCATTTTTGACAGGATTTAGAAATGACTTCAGACCGTTTCTTTTCCCTGTCACATGTCTACTCCATTGTCCTATCATCTGTAGCGTTGCCAGGTTTGAAGCGTTTCAGTAACACTACCATAATCCAGATTCTCGAAAGTATGGAAATACCTTAGGTTACCTTTGTCAGGCATCTTTATTTATACTGTGACAATATAAACAGAATGGTTGCATGTTCACAGATTGATGAGTTTATGTTATCATCAGACACCTTTTCTGATTGTCTTTCAGGAAAAAACCTTGGTGCTGGAGGGGAAAAGTCAAAGCTCAGCCAAGTGAAGCCTGCTAATGTCGTACCTTTTGCTGGAAAAGTGTTTTACCTTGATCTGCCATCAAACAGAATAGCAGAGAAACTCGAGCTGGACATAAAGGAACTCGGAGGGGTGATGAAAACAAATTTAAGCCTTTTGTCGTTTTTCTTTTATCAGTGTGACATGTATTAACATGGTTCAGTGCTGTGGAAGAAACTAGAATTTAAGAGCAAAGAGCAAGAGAATCACTATCCTGTTTTTCGTTTTGCTTTTCAATCAGACGGTGGAGAAATTCTTCAGTAAAGAAATAAAGTATTTGGTTTCAAACAAGCGGGAGGCCAGATATGTGCACCGCCTTAAACAGGACTCTCCGGTCCCCAGTCCAGACTCCGGACAGAGCTCACCTCACCCTCGCTCCAACCTGCACCGGCCTGGCAGTCATGGGGACTCAATAAAAAACAAGTCTCAGGGCCAAACTGAAACTGTAAGTCCACTCTAAAAAAATATATTTTTGTGTCACTCTTCATATGTGCCGTGTCTTCTCTTGGTATTTCTGTGCTGTTGGTTAATTTCATTCTTTTATTTTCTCCCCAGCAGCTTTTCACAAGCCGGGGGAAGTCTTTGGTGGAGAAAGTGGTGAAAGAGCAGGTTTGTAAGGTCAACACTAATGAGTTTAGACAGGGACTGCTGTTACCTCTTGTCTTGCCTCTGCTAAAACACACTTGTTTGTTTTTCAGGAGAGGGTTCAAATGAATAAGATCCTGTCAAATGCTCTTGAGTGGGGTGTGAAAATTCTTTACCTAGATGGTATGTTGAAAAAGTGAAATGTTTTTCTTACATAACAACAACCATTGGATGCTTCTTATAATTTTGTAGGATATTGATATACCAATGTATTTTTTTTCTTAAATTATACTTACAGATATATTGGCCTATGTTCAAAAGAAAAAGAAGACCGTCTGCAACCAGCGTCCAGCTGCCCCTGCTGTTAAAACAACTGTAAGTTTCCATGTTGTTTGGGCTTTTTTGTTTGGGCTGAATTTTGCTTTTTAAATTCTTTTTCTGTCATTCTTTGTAGACTAAAACGGAGTCAGCAGTAAAGCACAGCTCACAGAGACTCAAAGGTAATTGCTCATGTAGTTCCAGAAATAAGTTTCCTAAGCCGTTGGCATTACAACAAAAATAGACTAATATAATATAATAATAGACTTCTTAAATTGCTACAGGAATTTACACATGTGCTTAAATTGTCCTAATGTTGTTCCAGGAGGGCAGATCAAGAAACCTTTCATCAAAGTTGAGGACTCCAGCAAGTAAGAAAAGCAGATAAGAAAATAAAATGACATCTTCTTGTTGTCTTTGTTGACTGCTTATCTTTTCCTACTTTATAGGCACTACCGTCCAATCTACCTCACCATGCCAAACATCCCCGAGTTCAACCTGAGGACTCTTCCCCCCTGTAGTCCCTTCTGTGTGGAGGACAAGGAGCCACCTGTGAACAAACAGCAGGGACACAGGTATAATCAACACCGTGGAAATGTTTTCCCTAACTTCTGACAATGTTTAGATAATGTTTGTTGTAAATTATTATTACATAAGTATACGTGTTTACCAAAATAAACACAAATCTGTAATTCAGTTTGAAACTTCCTGATCAAAAACAGAATTTATAGGGCTGTGTTTGTCTGCACAGTGTCCAGTTTGATGTTGCCAGAGCTACTCGTCAAGACTGAATGATAATGTCATCAAAATGCAGAAACCTACCGTTTCCATTTTAGTTTGATTTTTTTTCTGTGCAACCTCTGGGCCTCTGTAGGCACAGCGAAGAGAAAGCGCTTGGCTGGAAGAAAAACCGAGACAAGAAACGAGGCGGCTACTGCGAGTGTTGTTTAATCAAATATGAGAACCTCACGATGGTAAGATATCATATCGTAAAAACTCCAAACTTTTACTACGGTGTGACTGTAAGAAAAACAAACCTTGAGAATGATGACATGAGCTTTGACACTCACCACTATACATATCATATAATACAATAATATATCATTCATGCACCTTTTCTGGTATCTTTTACTCATAAAGACATAGATGAGATGTTATTAAACTGTCCCCGTTTATATGAAAAACATTTTGGCTTTATTAAAATTAGATTATTTTTTTAGAGCTTAAAAAGAGTTAAAGCTGAAGATGTTCATTTAAGTGCTGCTAGTGCTAATTTTAGGTCATTTTTGTAGGTTGTCTCGCCTTACTGGAGCATGTATTAAGTGATAAGTGTAACACCAAATTGGCAGCTGGTTCACTTTTAACACTGAGATCCAAGCCTGTGAATAAGTGGTTATTGTCTACCTTGGCATTAAACACCTGAGATGGGGTAAATTTTTGTAAATTTATTAAATTCCAGATGACATGCAGTCCAAGGTAATAAAAATAACTCTTCTCAGCAAAGATGAATGCAATACCATCCAAAGTGTTGATTTCTCATTTTTAGTTCACAAAAAGCCAGATGTTAGAAATGAGAGGAAACTGCCTAAAGATGGTCTCTGATTATTTAACTGGCTACTTGTTTTCTTGTTTTTCCACAAGCATCTACAAAGTGAACGTCACAAGGCCTTTTCGAAGAGTGACGAGTATTTAGTGGTGGACAGACTGGTTTCAACCCTTCCTTGCAACTTAAAGCACATAAAAACTCAAGTCAAAAGGTAATTTCTTTGATTCTTTTAAAATCTTTTACTCACTTTGCTCAATCATGAGTGTTTTATCTGTTATTCTCTTGTCCAATCCTTTTTTTTCCCTTTTAGACCAAAGTGCAGTGTTTCCTCTGTTCTGGTTGTTCCTGGACCGTGCAAGAAAACTGAACTAAGCCACAAGGGAGGTCTGGATACTGCAGAGATTATTGAGGATGAACAGCTTCTGAACGTTGATGAGGAAAAGGGATGTCACTCAGGGCCAGCTTTAAAACTCAGACCTGCTTCTACTTCTGCTCCTCTGCTTTGTAGAGAGAGGGACAGGAGGAGTTATTACACTCATTCAAACAAATCCAAGCCCAGATCTCTTGAACGTAAAGGGCTGTGCAGACAGAATCCACCTACCTCTGGTGCTTGTAAAGTGGGGCAGAGTCCAGGTTCTCCGCTCAATATGGAAACAGCTCCACCCAGAGGTGAAACTGTGGCATCCACACCGTCTGAATTTTCTCAGGCCGACCAAAGGGATCAAATTCAAGACAAAGGGAAATTGTCTTCTGAGTTCAACTTTGTGCATGAAGAGAACAAAGTTTCCTCAAAAAGCCTTGCTTTAAAAACAAGTCAACAAAAGGAGACTGATGAAAAGCAGGACTCCTCTGCCTGCGATAATGACTCTGAAGAAGACGAAACAAACCCTTCTACACTAAACTCCTCTCCAGTTTGGAAAATAAAAAGGAAGGTTAAAGTTTATGAACGCAAAAGACGGAAAATGGAGACCCGCGTTGAGCATGTTAAACCAAGTGAAACTGCTGAAGACTCCATGCTGAGACTCTGGGAGCTTTTTCAATCCAGTGATGACATGGAGGTGGAATTTCTGGGGTTTTAGGACAAGAAACATCAACAAAAGTAGACAAAAAAAAAGTACAGAGAGATTTAAGAAATGCATTCAGATGTAAAATTATTCTTTTGATTATTTTCTTTGTTTCAAATGAACAAAGTCAAGTAGTAAGAGGCATTTCTATCACATATTCATATTTGCCCTTCATACCTGCTCTGTGATGTAGGTTTATGAAGTTATGCTTTTATTTATGTCTTACTTGAGGGAAATGCACACCAATCCAAGCCCCTAACTTTAAACTTGCAGTAATTTATGTTAACAACTCTTATGGGGTAGAAATTTCCCTGTTTCCTTGTGATGCCATGTTTTTAGAGTAGATGAGCGTGAGAAGTACTGGCAGCGTCAAAAAAGCAGCTTTAGTCATGATGTTTAACAGTGATCCAAAGGAAGAGAACTCAACCACCACAACATGGAGAGACTTGTGATATGTGTACATCAAATACATGCAGTAGTTAATTTGTGTGCTAACGTGTATGACCTGCTGGTTGGATGTCGGGTACTTCACATTATATATGACATTTTAGGATTCTTTCTAAGTGCACTTTTAATGACCTGCCCTCTGTGCTTTTGCTGGTGCATTAGCTCACCATCTCCCTTTTCTCCCTGTGTTTTGTGCATTAGTACAATGCCCTTGTTTCCCTCGCCTCTCTCAAATGGATGCTCCGGGTCAAATGGGAGTCTTTGTACCGCTGGCATTAAGAAAGATACATGAGCAACAAGAACTGCAAGTGCTGCAATTAAAAGGGAAAAGGAACACAAAATGCAGACATTGTATTCTTTTGACGCCCATCAAGTACTTTCAGATACCACTGTTCTTTTAAAGATCATTCAACGCATCACCAACTGCCTTTTGCTTGATACAGTAATGCCGTAAACTGAGTCTCCACACATTTAAATATATTGTTAAAACTTGCTTCATTTCCTCCTGGTTACAGACACGTGGCACAAATATAGAGTTTTGCAGATTTGAAGGCTCCCTCTGTGGCTCTCTCTTTGTAAAGACACGTTTTCAATGATTATGTGAAACCACATGTTTTTAGAAAATTAAATGAATAAAAAAGTGAGTGTTCCTTAAATACCATAATACAAAGAAATTTGATGGTTTTTAATTTAAAGCATATTTTTTTTACATTGAAAATAGTGAAAAGACAACCAATGAAATCTTGACGCTGAAATGTTTATTTTTGGTCATATTTATGGTCATAAATTTGATGTCAGGAACACGTTTCCAAACAGTCAGGACAGGCATGTCTGCCATTTTAAAGCATCACCTGTTCATTTCACAACTCTTTGTTGTATTTTTAAAGTCTGGACTCTCTGAACTAAGCTGGTTTAGTGCTGGGACTCCTCTACTATGAAGCTTGGCTGAATGTTCTTGTTGTGTTATTAGGGTCCTTACTTAAAAAAAGGATTGTTTGATGCCTGTTTACTGGTTTTTGTTGTTCAGCACTTAATGGAGCATTTCCAGACTCTGACTTTTGAACTGTGCATTGATAGAGTTTTGTTGTCCCTGTTCTAGCTGGGATGAATCATTGCTGGTATCAAAAATGACCAGTTTTCAGTTTTAACATTAGATTTGTTGTCTTCATACTATTCTATGGTGGCCGAGAACCGCCACTGCCGCAAATAAAAAAAAAGAATGCAAAAAAAAGTCAACAAAAGTTACTGATGCAAAAAAAAAAAAGAAACTGAAGCCCACTACAAATGAAAAAAGTTTTTATAAATATAATTTTTATAAAAAGTAATTTTTTTATTGTCTTTTTGCATCAGAAACTTCCATCGTGGTTTCTTTTTTTGCATTCATTTTTTTATTTGCAGCAGTGGCGGTTCACGGCCACCGTACTATTCGATTTAGGCTTTATATTAATTGCCAGTCATCAAATTCTATGTCTATTCTCTCTTCAATTTTATTCTAACAACATTTTGCACAGCATCCACACTCTGAGGATTGTGAATTAGTTATAAACTTGTTTCAAACTGTCTCTAAATTCAGTCTTTTCCCCTTTAGGACATGACTCCTGTCTCAGAGCTACATCAGTGTAACAATCACGCGTGTAGAAACAAAATATTGACTGTGGGAAAAATCCACATGTGCTTAAATCATCAGGTGTGCATTCCTAAGCACGTGGTTTGGTCTGAAAAGTTAGTCACTCATCCTGGCAAACTGTTAAAGACACCAAAATATTCAAAATGGTCCAAAAATCGACCTGTTTTTAGGCAAAACTAGAAAATCTGGGAACAAACGACTTTTTATGGATACTTAGATAATATGAATGCAGCCTGAGGAAACAACAGTCTTAACAAAAACAATACCACCGCATACAGGAGTTCATCATCTGTGTCTGGACTGGCTCGTGCTGATAACAGGCGGAATTTGGCAGGAATGGCGCTTCTGCTGCATCTGATCATGGAGGAAGGTGGTGCTGGATGAGGAGGAGGAGGCGGCGGGCGTGGATGTGGGTCCAGCCGGGTGGAAGGCCGACACCGGCAGCTTTCCTCCATCCCGTCTCCACTGCTCGCTCATATTTATGCATTAGGCGTTTCTGCAGTGAGCCGCTGGATATTGATGTGTTTTAAGGAGGTGTTCCCAATCCTCTCCTCCACCCCTTCATCCATCCCTCCCTCCCTCTCCCTCTCCCTCTCTCTCTCTCTCACTCTCTCTCCTTCCTTCCTGCCTCCTCCGTGCTGCTGCTGATCCGCGGGGTCTCGGTGCGCTCTCTCGCTCTCAGACGCGCTCGGCGTTCAGACTCGCAAGGACCCTGATGGCCCCCACCCGGAGGGACTGCGCTAGCCAAACAACCAGCTCCGGCTCCCAGCTCCCCTAGCGAAGGCAGGACCCCGAGAGCCTGCTCCTGGAATACCGCATCGTTTTATAATTCCCAACAAAAGAGAGAGAGAGCGAGGAAGGTGATGATGCTGAGGATGCACCCGCGATGGTGGATTTCCCTTTTGTGCGTCTGTGGATTGATGCACGTCGGTCACCAGAGCAGCCCTAATGCCCAAAATGGTAACTGGAGCTATTTCAGATATCTACTGAATGATCATCGCGCAACAATAGCGTCAAATCTCCATCAGTTAGTCAGAGATTGTTTATTTTCATTCGTGGCATCGTCTACATCATGATCCCCATCTAAAATATGCATGTAGCCTGTAGCTGGCTCTTGTTATCAAAGCAAACTAAGAGAAAGAGACATTTCAGATGGCGCTGTTTGTGCACGATGAAGGTATCACTCGTGTTATAAAACCTGGTGTTTTCCTCCCTCTCTGAGCAGGAGACGCCTTGTCGAGCTTGAAGGCTCTTCGTGATGCAGGCAGGTTCGCGGGGAAGGAGGACACGGTGCCTCTCCGCCTGCTCTACAGCAGACACAACCACAGTCAGATCACAGAGGACGAGCTCAGCACCAGGGTTAGAGCCAGCTCCGGATCCACGCAGGTACACCGTGTTTTCAGGAGGGGGTATCTCTTTTTTTTTTGCACAGCTGTGGGTTGTTCTGCTTGTTGATGTTTTGAATTGATTCATTTTTCCCCTCTCTGCCCCCCCATCCTCAGAGGGGAAATTAATTCTTAGTTAATCACTAACAAAGAGGAAGAAGCTGGAAACGTTTAGGCAAGAAGAAGCTGCACTAATGAGACAGTCAGCAGGTGCTATTTGGGTCATCACTGTTTTATTTGCCAAATGAAAAAAAAGAAAACCACCTGGCTTTGCATAACCTACTAAATATTCATCTTCTTAGTTGTCACGTTTACTTTATCAGCACTGTACATTTTGGAAGTCATCTCCCACAGTCATGTGGCTGTCAGGATAATACATAATTTAGTGATAACTTGCATCTTGTGTGCCCAGCTGGTTTTCTGTCCCAGCAGCAGTCTCACCTACACTAGCTCATATCTTATATCCCATGAAGCAGCATTTTTTCCCACTGTGTACATGAATGAAAAGACTAAAGGGAAGCTGTTTTAGCTCCTAACAGTTCTATTTGTACTTGTGCTCATGTTTATGTCGGTGGACGTGTCCCTAGAAATTGCTGTGAAGAAAAACTAAAGGTAAACTGCTTGAAAAGTAGAAAAACAGAGTGGTAATACATATTTTTTCCACTAGAGGGTAATGAAAAGTTTGTATTTATTACAGTTACATCATTTGTACACTAATAGAAATGCTGTTTATGTCATGAGTTAATTCTAAAAAGTTCAACTGGTGTATCGGTACAGGATGTTTTAGTTTTTGGACTTAACAATGGTTTCAAATGATAATGTAAAAGCCATTTCTCCAGTGAAATAATAATCACAATCAACACAACCGTGTTCACTGACTCAGTGTCTGCTGGGGTCATTTCAACAGACGAGTCAATTAGCATCGTGCAAACCTGTCATGCGTTTTTAATTTGTACTGCTAAGGCTCGTGTAGGATTGCCTATGGAGGGACTGGAGAGTAGAGAGGGCTACAGATGGTAGCAGGCAGGGAGGTGGCGCTTACCCTTTGTCTCTCTTACACCTCAGACAGAGCTGCAGCTTGATGGGTAAACAAGCTAACAGGAACCATCTGCCATCAGATATAATTTTAATATTTTCCTTTTGAAGTAGGTAGCTACTAGTCTCCATCACAGGTTTGCCTGGATTTTAAAACCAGGAGGCTAATTCCCGCAGACTGAGGGAGACATTTTACTTCCTGCACAGACTTTTAAGAAGATTTGCTGAAACTATTCATTCCACGCCTAAACCCTCATATAGCCAAGATACAGCTCTGTGTAATTCCTGAGTTTACAGCTCAGAGGATGTATTATTTTACTGAGAATATGTTGCTATGTAACCTCTAATCTTGAAATCAACAGCAGTCTTAAAGTTCAAACTAGGTTTACAGTGTACATCGCACATGAGGCTTTTATATCTAGGGTAGGAAGGGGAGTAGACAGTCATTGCTATCTTTGATTCAGTCTCTGATGTTCAAAATCTTCTATCCTCCTGAGAGTTTCACATAGTGCAATCAGCTGTGAAGTCACTGGCACAAAGTTTGATCAGTTATTGGCTGTTTTTAGATCAACAGCCTAAAAACAAATCTGTCAAGTAGATCTGAATATGTGTGACACTGGAAGTTATTTATAGACTTCTGTTGCTTTTCCTATTTTCAGTCTTAGACACAAACAGCTTCTCCACTGAATGAGCAGCAGGGAGTTCAGCGAAAGGCTCCTGTTGTTTTGGAAGAAGAAAAAAAAACAAATGCTTAGAGTGGAAACAGTCTGAGCATGTGTCTGTGTTGATTTTAAACTTGCCCCCTCACATCTGCTGCATCTGTGTGTGTGTGTGCGTGTGTGTGTATACAGTAGATTGATAGCACTTACAGTCATACTTTCAGAGTCATGAGTGGAAAGTCCGGCATGCTATAACTCAGAAATCAATGTTAGAAGAGTCAGTGGTGGTATCAGAGTATCGGCCCGGCTCAGTCAAGCCAGGATGTGCTTTCATTAAACACAATTACTGGTACCTCCTCCCATCATAGATTCAATCTGCCAGATAAGATTTCATCACAATCGTGCCATGAAATGGGATTGCCCTTTGTATGTGCTTACACACACACACACACCCACCCACACATGCCCATTTGCTTGCTCATACATTCATTGACACACTCCTACAAACAATAGAGTCTGTGGTCAATGGGGACCTCCTGAGCCGGGGTCGTCCTTGGGTGAGCGCAGCAGCACCTTGTCAAATGGAAACAAAAACACTCACCCCCACCTCGTCCTCTAGTTGTCATGCAGTGTCCGGTCTGTAATGAAGGTGGCAGCCCGTGGGCTGAGTCTGGGGGATGGGAGGGTGAGCCGGGAGAACCCTAAACCTGCACAGGCATGATTGTTGGGAGATCGCATTGACTCGAGGGTGTGTAATAAAGCCTGTACCATATGGGCCCAGAGCCGGGAATGACTTCAACCCCCTCCCCACTCAAATCAATCTCTCTCAGTAAAAGCAGATTTCTGTTTGTATACATATCAATGCTGCAGGATAGCAATGTGACGAGTGAATCTCAGCAAATCTGCTTCTTTGTTACTCTAACAAAACCAGTCTGGTAAACAGGACTTTACTTTCACTGAGGTAAACAACAATAAACAGTCCTATATTTTTAACATACTTGTTTTGAGTGCTTTTGAAACTATTCTTTATATTTAGTGCTGTGTTAGATATGCAAAATAACTACATCAACAGAAAAGATAGACCTTGATGGCTTAATTAAAGCGGTCTTTACTGATGATTGGTGCTGAGAGCAATACAGTCATCCATCAATGTAGATGAGGATTGATCCCAGAATATGCCAATGAACCGAGCTGTAATTATGATAATGTATGCATGAAGTCATAGTCGAAACCTGTCCTCTGTTTCTTTTCAGGTGAACCATGTGGCCCAGGCAAGTTTTCAAGTTGACGCTTTTGGAAGAAAATTCATCTTGGATGTGGAGCTGAATCAGTGAGTCGAGCTTTTTCTATCTGTCTGTCTTTCTTGTCCGCTCTCTTGGTTTGGTGAAAGCTATCTGTGTCTGGTTTGCTAGCCAGTATTCATCACCCCTCTGTTTGTTGATTTGGTCATTTATATCTTAACTTCTGTGGGTCTAACTATCAGCCTAGCTAGTAACTTGCTCATAGCTGTTGACAGTCTGTCTCTCGAGCTGACCAGCTATCAGTGTTGTTTTTCTGGCTAGCCGTCTGTTAGCTGAGCTATTTGTCTTTGGCTAGCTGGATCATGGCTTTCCTCTAGGAAGCAGGCCTAGCTATCTCTCTCTTTCTTGCGGTGGATTCCTGAGCTTCCTACATGTTTGTTTTGGACTTTCATGGCTTTCTGTCTGTGGATTTATGTTTTAATGGAGAATTTTCTGCTGAGCATCTGACTTTCTTGGAGTCACACAATAACTTTCTTTTTGTAACGACCCAAGCAGGGCCAGAACAACACTTAGGGGCACAAATTACACGTAAAGGAGGTCAAATCATGGATATCACCTTTTTTTCCCCTGCCTTGGTGCTGTTTATTGCTCAATTATTGAAATGCACTTTCATGATATAAAAATCTCATACTGGAGTATAATGAAGTGGGCCATTACGTGAATGAATGTTCATGTATGTATGTGTTTTGTGTGTGTGGCTCTTCAGTTATTGTGAGTGTGTGATTTAGAGGTTCCATCATAATAGGAAGTGATTTATGGTAAAGGCTGAGGCTCTGCCCTGTCAGACTCTCATATTGATCACATCTTGGCTGGTGGAAAGTAACTCTCTCACTCTGTTTCTCTCTTTCTTTCTCTCTCTCTCTGTCTGTTTGTGTCTTTTCTTTTTTCCCCAACCTTGAAGAAACACTCTTTTTATATCAGCCTTCCTGAGCCTGTCCTCTGTTTTGTTTCTGTTTACCTCTAACATGCTTTGAGACCAGCTCTTATTTGTCTCATTTAAACCATCAAAAATGAAAGCTGTGAATTTGGCAAACCCGTAAGGTGATGCCGCCTGCTCGTCACAGCAGAAGTCACTCCCCTTTGGAGTTCGATGTTACATCACAGGAATTCCCAGGTTTAGAGGCTTTGTTTCAGTAAATCCTACAGCTCACTGTGTGACACATTAGCCAGTCATGGAAGTAAATGCACATTCATTTCCAACAGCATTTTCATCTTCTATCATTCATGTTTATTTGACATTGTAGGCACAAAGATACTTTTCCATCATTTCTTGATTCGATGTAGAGCAAAATATCTGTCAGAATAACAACTGAAAGGAAACACTCCAGTGAAGTGTTGTTTTTAGCTCAGCAGAGAGAGTGAATTAGCCTCCAATCAGCCGGCTCTTGGCCACCATTTGACATGTGTGGTTCTGAATAAGAATAAGAGACTGAGATCGAGCAGGCAACAGAGAGCTGTTCTGAGTGATGTTGATCTGTTTTTGTCCAGAAGTCCTTGCAGGGCTGAATCGCTGCCTACCATTTTGCACAAGCAAAGAAAAACAATCTGTAACATTTTGTCAGTTAATTAATCTTTGTCAACCAGGAACACAAATAAAAAGAGAAAAAACATGGCTGCCAGGCTAACTTATAATGAAACATGATTATATATTCATGCATTTTGACCATTTCAGTTGAGAGGGTTTTCTACTCCTTTTGCCTTATTGGCTATTTTTAAATTATAAAACAGATTGAACCAAAGGTTAATTAATATAGTGTCAATTTGTAACCTGCTTTATTTTCCCTTTTTGGTTTGTTTATTTTTTCTCTGCGCCCCACAGCAATAGATTTCCACTCTCAGGGTCTGCATGCTTACACCTCAGCTCGGGTGCTACTTTTCCTTCTTGTCATCTTTATCATCTACCTCACTCTTCTGTGAACTGATCCATCCACCTGACAGCTTCTCTGATTTATTTACAGGTAGCTTTCACTCCAGACAGAGTAAACCCAGCTGATGTGTGTGTGTGGGAGGTAATTACGTTGAATGGACCAACGTTGTTTTAGGTTCCCTGTAACAGAACCTGTTTCCTTATTTTGATCAATGAGTGACTGAGCTGCCGTACATTTAATTGTTTCCATAAGCACAGGTGTGTTGTCCAGTTTTAGTTCTCAGCTGTGTCTATATTTATGCAGTATCAAAATCCTCCTCTCCTCTTCTCTCTCTGTCTTTTTGCCTCAAGTCATTGCTATACCGTAGACTATGAGTAATAGGAGTGTAGGCGTTTGTTATAAAGTCTTGTGAATTTGAAGCACATGTGTTTTTGAAACACATGTTGGTTCTGAAATGTAAATGATCTGCCAAGTGCCATTACTTTCAGGTATGAAAATTTGACTTGATTTGTGCCTGCCACACAAATTTTCTCCTCTGCTGGAAGTGCGGATGTGTGGATGGCGACGTTTAAAGGACAGGCTGTCAATGAATCATGCCGATAATTTTTGCATAGACAGCCATGAAATTTTGTGTTGGCATTCAAGGGCCTCTGCAATCCTGCTGACCTCACTGGTTCCTCCAAGCTACCAGTTTAAACTAGTTTGGTGATCTGCACCTCAACTTAGAAGTTAAAGGGATACCCTGGCGTAAAATTAATTTAGGGTCAAACACACCATAACACCGAGTTAGACACCCCCTTGAGAGATGAATGTTGCCGACTGCTTGCTTCTCTAGTTATACCAACTTTAGTAACGACCGCAGGATAGTAATACACAGCGGTCTGAGGAGCCATAAACAAACCTCAACCGAAACGCCACTTTATAATGCCCAGAACAGCACCTCACTTCATCAAAAACATCTTTTAAATTTGCCTAATTTCTGTAGCAAAGAGACTAAACACAACTCACCTACTCTCTTCCGACAGCCGCTTGTTTGTAGCGAGACCTCAGGCCAGTCCATTACGGACTGCTGGGGGGGGACGCAGCTCAAGGAAGAACATTTATGATCATTACTTTGTCATTTCCTTGAAGTTATAATCACCATATTAATCATTTTGCACTGCAGACGCGGTAGTTCTTCTGCCTAAGCGTCTCAGTCTGATTGCATTTCCATGAAGAAATGATCGCTGGAATATCCCTTTAAGTCGCATGCCTCATGCACAGAGGGTATAGTCCCTGAAGTGGGTGGCTGGGGTCAAATCTGACCTGTGACACTCAATTCAGTGTCATCCTCCACTCTCCCTCACCAGTTTTCTTATATGTCCAACGTCCTAACCTACTGATAAAGACGTTGAAAAGTAAAATTTCCCTGAAACACATCAGCCCAGATTATGCTAGGTATCATATGTTTGGCATTTCTGTGTACTTATGTAGCTTTATGTGCCCAGAGTATTGCACGGTAGGGTTATATGACCAAATATATGTTTTTAAATAAAGAAAAACAACACATTTTAAAGGCCGGAGCAATTCTGGGTCTCTTGACTAAAACAGTCACATGTATAATATTTATGCATATATTAGTATTTCGATGTGTGTGCTGTATGTGTCAGCCTTTCTATAAACAACTTGTCATATTGACAGGACCCATCCACGAGTGTGATTGTTTATAGAGGAAGTAGGAGTGGGAGTCACTGGGCCTTTTCTCCCCCCCACTGCCTTTGTCTCCCTCCCTGCTCCTCAATCTCAGCGGCCAGCTACAAATTTACCATTCATAGGGCCAGAGTGAGCACAATGTGGGGGGTGGCCACACTCTTTCATCATCCACATCCACAATACACACACACACGCGCAGACACACGTCATCTCCACCCTTGATTGCCCCAACACCCCCCACCCCACCCCACCCACCCTCCATTCATCCATATCCCAACTACCCTCTCCCACCTGCTCTCGCTGAATAATGGATGGTGCTGTAAGATTAAAGAAGGGTGTGAACACGCATGTGTGTCTGCATCAGTTTCCGGCTTGTGTCGTGAATGAGAAACCTTTGGTTTGTGTACTTGCGCAGAGTTTTTGTTTTTATCCAAAGTCTTTCAGCTGCAGACAGGGTTAGGCAAAACAATCATTACCATAATAACAGTGAAAACAGTCCTGATATTGTTTTATTAAATCAAACACAATACAAAAAAATTCTAGTTAAACTAATTGAAGAGAAAATGTTGATTGCATTGATTTGTTGATTGACAGAGTATTTGTCACGATCAACATTTTACATATTTCCATTGTTTAAGTTGGGAATACTTTCTAAGAATGCAAACAGAATATAACTCAGTTTTGAGCTGTTAGCCAGATAAAATGAACTCTTCAATTTATTGTTTCTGAAAAGTTAAACGCCAAATTATCATCAGTTTAAAAGAAAAACAATATCAACCTCTAAGGAAAGTGTTGCTATTTGGATTACCAATTAAAACTGTTAACCATAACTTTTTTTGCTTCATTATACAACTTCTATAAAAAAACTTAAGTCAACAAACACATGAAAATCTAATTTATAGTTATCTTACAATGAAAAAAATCGTGAAATGGTGCTTCAATAATTGTACTTAATCATTTAATTTTCCCATTTAGTTTTCCCAAAATGCATTAAAAACTTATAATATATTAAGTAAACTACCTATTTGCTAAAACAGTTAATGGCAAGTTTGTGGAAAGAAGTGTAATTCTGTTAATGCTAAAGAGAGTGGGCATATTGTGATTTTTTTATCATAGTTTGTAGGTTTTGTTTGTTCAACGGTAGTTCGGACAGGAAGAAGAAAAGGCGAGGACACCTTAAAATAGTTTTATAAAGTCCCCAGTGTTAGAAAACGATGCTCTGCTGCGTCATAAGTAAGGGCTCCTCTCTGTCCTCATGGTGTCACTCACAGATTCTCTGAGTTTGTTTCCATTACTGCGTCATGTCAGCTTTCCTTTCTCTATGCAAATGCTGAGGGGTCAATTACAGGCAATGCCAAATGCATTATTCATATTTGTGAGGAGCGGTTGTGTGTGCAGCAGGGATGACAGTGTTAGTGGGGAGGGGGATGGAGGGGACACAGCACAGAAACAACCATGGGGTCCTCACTCTGCTTGTGTGTGAGGCAGCTAACCAAACATCCCATGGTTCAGCGGTTTGATGAATGTGTGCATATGTGTCGCTGCGTCTGCACATGGGCAGGAATGCATATGTGTATGTAGAGAAATGAAGGTTTGTCCCTCCATCACAGGCGTTGAGTTGAACCCTGGACGATGTGTGACATCTTGCCGGGCCTCAGGTGCAGAGGAGACACTTGAAGGGTCGTAATGAGAGAAAACGAGGATGGATTGGCAAAAATGAGACCCAGATGGAGTAAAAAAGAATCAATACCTAAAGAGGAGGGACACGAGTTTTAGTGGGTTTATCATGAATGATAGACAAATGATTAAATTAGTGTTTCTTAGCATAGTTTGAGAGGTTTCTGGACAATTATTCAATACTAAAGGTTACATTTCAATGCTAACGCAGCTTGTTATGGTTGATGAATAGAAACACTGATACACATCAGTTTTGAAAAAGTACAAACCAGATCTGATCAAGGCTAACAAAACATTGCAACCCAAAAAGTATAGAAAGTTGCACAACTGACCTATATTTTAAACAAATAATAAATATTTGGGTATATTTCAATGATCCTCTAGAACATCCACCAGATGTCCGATATTTTATCTTTCGCCTCTTTCATATACTCCCCTGAAATTACTAAAATTTCCAGGATCTTGCACGGCAGTTCCCAACTTTGCTTTTCCGCAGCTCTCCCTCACAGCATGAAGTCGTCCCTGTCAGAAAAGGGTCTGGTTGGTGGGAGGTTAAAAAGGTCTTGGGGCAGTAACTTTAACCTTGGTTATTCCCTGTTGTGTTACCACATCAGCTCACCCTGACATCACATGGAAATTTTACCAGTGGGGTGTTTGCAGAAAAAAATCAGTGTAAAGCCAGGGTTGAAAAAGTTCTGAAAACTGCTGAAGTGCTCCAATGTGCAGCCCAGTTGTTGTGCATGTGTGAATCCAACTTTGTTCTCATTATTTACATAACAAGCAGCAAACAAATGAGCTTGTAATTGAATGTGTCTAACCTCAAGAGATGCAACAGGGCTTGAAATTAATTTCTTTTCTTGGTGGCACTGATGCTCTCAACCTGAGAGAAAATTAAGGAGCTCCTACCGAAAATGATGATAAACATATCAGCAACATGGATCTAAATTTAGTGAACACAAGGTCTTCTTTGGGGATGCGTCAGTGGTGTTAAATTTCACATTTAGCTGAGCCAACTAAACAGAGCGGCTGACAGTATCCTGACAAATAAAAGCTTTAACAACCCAACCTGATAATGAAGCCTCTCCTTCTGGCATTTCTTGTGTTTGGTACTCTTCTCATGTTTGGTCCAGCTCTCAGCCTTAAAAGAAGCTCATAACAAACGCAGTGCTGCCTGCAACCTCTGCAACACAGGCTTTCAAGTTAGCACAGCACATTGGGCCAATTTCAAACTGGAGCTATTCCAAGTCTTTTGGCTACTCCCTTCAAAATCTGAGTCTTGTTTGTCCCTGATATCTCCACTTTCATCATCATCATCACAAACCTCAGGAATTGCATTTTACAGAATCTTGAGCAGCCAACAAAAGCTCTCTGTGTTCACTTAAAGGTGGGGTAGGCAGGATCTGAGGAAGCGCCCCCTTCCAACCAGTTTTCCCCTCAGCTCCTCCTCTCCCCGCCCTCTCTGCTCCAGCAAGCCCCGCCCACAACCAGACGCTCCTGCTTGATTGTATCGTTTCAGTTAAATTCAGATATAATGCAGATAAATACTTGAGAGAATTACGAATGGGGCCCGGCCAATGTTAAAGTGAAAAGCATTGGTGCTACTGTAGATGCCATCAGACTACCAGCAAATACAATGTTTACAAGACTTCTAAAACGAGGATAAAGTGACATAGTCCAGGACCCGAGGTCAACAGTTTAGTGGCGCTACAACACGCAGCCTTCCTGTTGGACAACAAACACTTCTGTTACAGACACTTGGCTTACTTTGTTCAAGCGGTTTACCTGTCCAGCAGAAAGGTTACAGGGTCTGTAAGATCCCGAAGCGTCCCCCATCGACCCAGCCCTTGGTTCTTGTCCGGTCTATCTCCGTTTATTCCATTTACCTCCGCCCGTTATTCCACCAGAGTCTCCGGTATTTCCTTCGCTTTCTTCCTTGTATTGGCAGTTGTGGCCAAAGGAGGATTCCAAGAATTTTCCATACTTTCTGGTTGGTTTCTACTGTCCGATATTGTAGCACGCTAACTTTGTTTGGGCTCATGAACATTATTCAAGGATGTGAAGTGTGCCTCACAACATGAGGACGCAGCGTCTGTCTAACAACTCACAACCAATCAGGTTGAGGGAATGGGTTTGTTTACAGTCAGAAAGAGAGGGCCGTTAAAAATTTTTAAAATGTTGACTACACAGACATTACAAAACACAGTGATATCATTATATTACCAAATGTGATCAACTAATAGTTGTTGACTGATATTAAAAGCTTCTTTGTATATACACCACAAAAAAGATGCTCCTTTAACGGAATCTTGCCTACATCACCTTTAAAGTATCTCTGTCATATGGCAATGCAACACAGTGATAGGAGTGATTGGAAGTGAATATTAACCAATCTAAAACCAGCACTGAAAGTTAAGAACGTCAAGCTGATATTTGATTGGTTATTTAAGAGTTAGATTGAACAGAGCGGCGTTGGTTAGTAATGCCTGCAAAGATACACGTCGCTCATTGTAGCTGATCTGATCAATCAACCACCAGTTTCTCTATTAGCAAATGTTTTATCAAGGAATAGAAAAAAAAAACGTTGCTCCACAACAATTATTTGCTGTCTCACAAATGCCCTCAAGCATATATTCTGAGGATGCACAGATTAAAAAGCATATGCGACTGAAACAATTGCAATTTCAAGGGTAACATATGATTTCTCTTTCCACTTTTTGTTTTGTTTGAAGAGCTGGATATTTTTTAAGGATGTTGCTCACTGTTTGGACTGATGAGTCAAAGGGAAGATTTCTAACCCAGCAAAGCCCTGGAAATAATCTAAATGCCAGTCAACAACCAGCGTCTTTGTTTGGAGTGAGGGGGATAATGAAAATTTTGGAAAATATTTCCTCCCACTCGTTCTTGAGTAGAAGACGAACTGCTGGCTCTGAAAGTATTTTTACCAACAACGATCTCTTGTTCATAAAATTCTCTTTGGCTGATGTCATGTAGAGGATGATCTCATGACTACATAGTCGTGCGTGTGTGCGTATGCGTATGCGTGTGAGCTAGATCATATAAGATTCTGATTCGTTGGTGTTGCTGGTGCACATCCTTAAGCTGTGCACTTGTGCATTTATCACATGTTGCTTGTATATTCATGTGCATGCATCTCCACACGCATATGATTCAATCATCCCTCAGATCCCTCATCCCTCATCCCTCATCCCGTCCTGGGATCAGTCCTCCTCCACCCATGTCCTGTTTCCTGCATTCTGACATTGTTCCAACCCAACTCCACTCCATTCCTTCTTTTCCACCTCCATTTCTGTCTCTCCTTCTCTGCTTCCAGGTCTACGATTTATTGCAGACAGGCGTGATCTGATTTACTGAGGACTTAATGAGAAAAACACAGAGCGTGAGTGTGAGTGGGAGAGAAAGAGGGACATAAGAAATAGTGAAGGATGGAGAGAAAGAGAAGGACAGGGAGACATAGAGAGAGGTGTGTGGACGTCCTTCATGCACCCTTGAGCCTTGGTGGGTGGGTTGAGTAAGAGCAGCAGATAGTGTGAGATATATTCTTTGTGTGTGTGTGTGTGTGTGTGTGTGTGTGTGTGTGCGCCTATGCTCAAGAGAGCGAGGTACTTGAAAGAAGTACCCTAAAAAGAAATAGTCCCCACTTCCTTTTTCCCCTCTTCTCGTCTCTTCATCCCCACCGCCCACTTCCTTGTTTCCCTTCTTGCTTCAGGCAGGGTTTCTCTCTCTGATCTGCGTGTCCACTGATCACACACATACTTGTATGCACTTGCGCTATGGGAATGATGTGTGTGTGTGAACAAATGGCTCACAAAACAGCATACACTTTGTGTTTGCTAAGTAGCTCACAAAACACATTGTGAACTGTGTGTATACAGCGTGTCCTTGTGGAGTAGTGAGCGTGTATTTGTGTGTATGTAAGTGTGTTTTAGGAAGGTGGGAAAACATATTTAATGGAGGTGTGCAAGGTTAATTAGAGGAACAAATAGCACCTGTGTTCAAGCTAACAGGGTGTGTTTTGGGGTGGGTGTTATGCACAGGGGTGTCCTGACTTTCTCGACTGGCGAGGCCCAACTGTGGGTACTTATGTGAGGCTGGTATAAGGCCTGTGTGCAGACATACAGAAAATAGAATAAACAAAGTTAATTTACCCCCTCTCTCTCCATGAATCAAATCTGACTTTCATTACTTAAAGGGATATTTCAGTATTTTTAAAGTGCGGTTGTATGAGTGACATGTCACCAGGAAGTGTACCAGCCACAGTGGATGCCTGTCAGCCCCTTTACTTCCTTTACTGAGAAACCGCTTGTAGAAACACGACGCAAGGTATGTTCCCATATCTGGCAGATGGGACTGACTCTGCAGTGTAATTTAGATTATTTTGAGAGACCCTGACATCAGCAGTCGTCTCCGTTTAAGTGTACACTCTGCTCAGAAAGTTTGCAGCACTACACTTGGCCAATAAAGCCCATTTGTTTTGGCTCTTCCTCATGCAGCGAGATCAGCAAAACCTTCTATCATACAGTGAATTTTGACATTTTTGCCTCCCAGCTTTGCATTATGTGAAGCATTGATCGTTAAAGATCAGTAATGTTTGTCATTTCAATTCAGTCTTCCCCCTTCAGCAGCCAACACTGTGTATTCTGATAAGGTAAACATGTCGAGTGGACCATAGGTTGTGTCATTATGACGTTAAAAACATTGAGAGCTTGAGAGCTAACTTGAAGACGTATTCAATTCGGCTTTTCTGATTTAACTCCTAAATATTGAAGAAAGTCAGTAACAAACTATGGCCGTCAGTCCGGCAGTGGACTCTGGTTGGTGATTTATTATGATTCCCAAAGATCCGGATGTGCTGCCATGAACAATCTTGGTTCATAGGCATTAGTTTACACCTGCACCAACCAGGTAACCTGGAATCCCTCCTGCTCCTTTTCCCCCTGTAAACCCCAGTCCATAAAGGTCTCTACATTAGTCCATAAAAAACGGCATGCTGTCAGTATCACTCATTATATAGTTTGGTTGTATTTTTGTCTCTTTGAAACCTGCAGACATGAACGGCTCAGTGTGCTGCATAAGGAAGAGCACGTTTGTGGGTTGTACCTGCAAATAGTGCAAAATCAAATGGGCTTTGTTGGCAAAGTAAAGTGCTGAAAAATTTATTGGTAGAGCACACACTTAAACTGAGATGAGTGCTTGAGTCAGAGTCTTAGCTAATTTACATGGCAGTGTCAGCCCTGTCTGTGCAAAATCGTAGCATACCTAGAATCCTGTTTCTACCAAGAGTTTCTCAGTAAAGAGGTCAGAGTTAACCAGCATCTGTTGTGTCAACTTCACTGAACAACAACAAGCACCTCTTGAAAAACCTTTCTACAAAAATACTGAAATATCCCTTTAAATCTAAGTATCATACAAAAGTTTTTTTGTTTTTCTTTAAAGGATCACTTAGCTTATTAGCTTTAATGATTTCTTGTTTAAAGTAGCCTTCTTTGTTGTAAGTTAACTCTCCCACACTGTCTGTCTTATCCATAAAATGGTTGAATTGATGTGAAACCTGAACGGGTGACTGTCAGTCTTAGATTAAGAATTAGGGATGGTGCCTGGGAGAGCCGGTCAGATTTCAACCTCAGCCTATTCAACCTCTATTTACCCAGGCTAGTCCCATTGAGATCAAGATCTCTTTCTCAAGGGGGGGCCTGGACAAGAACAGCAGCAAAGCAGTTTCAAAAACAAACAAAAAACAAACCAACACACTCAGACTCACACAGCTCAACATCAGCAACAAGTACAGTAAAAATAATGAATGCTACCCTTGACTGCCCCTCTGGACACACCTCTGGTTATACATCAGAGACACTTAAAGATTAGGAGGCATGACATCAAGTTCAGACGGTCTCACAGGCTTGTTTATAAATGATATTTTCTGCCACTCTTGCCTTTACTTGTTAAGATAGCCAAAGCGACGGGAAATATGAGGGGGAGAGAGTAGTTCTGTGAAGTTACACAGCAGTGCTGTGAGCTAAAAACTAATATCAGTGTGCTAAAATGCCCCCACTGACATGTTAGGCAGCTGTTGTGTGACCAATTTCAGCATCGTAGTGTTTGCTGTTATTAATTGTGAAATTAGTGCAGCTAAAGCTGCGAGGAACTCTGTTTATTCTACAATAATTAAAAATGGGCCTTTTTTAAGGGTCACCAAAGTGTGTGTGGCATTTTATGGTGGTCCATCCAACACTTTACTCAGAAGTATCAAAGTCCAGATGAGATAAAATGAAAAGTCAGGATATAAAAAATGATTTAATGTCAATCCATCTGAGTGTTGATATTTCCCTCTGTGCAAAAGCAGCCTTCCATGTGTCTAAAAATGTAAACCTTTATAAGGAGAGGGTTTGTGAGGCTCTGACTGAATCACCAGCCTTTCCTTTTATACTCTTTCATTCCTCTCACTTAATGTCCCTTTATATCTTCACCCTCTGTCTCTCCCACCTCTCCTCCTTCCCCCCTCTCTTATGTCGAGCCGTCTCGTCTCAGTGTGGAGGATTAGTGGAGACAAAGAAAGATCCAGGAGCTGACTGGAGCTGAAGATGAGGACAGGAGGAGAGACTGTTGTTCTCTCAGCAGGAAAATATACTAATGCTTCTCTAAAGACCATTGTCTCTTACAGATTATTCACTTTTCTCTGTCATGCTGCTTGGAAATCAATCGAAAGTGTGGTTTACCGACAGGAGATTAACTGTTTAACAAATTTAACCACTGTGCAAAATTTGATTTAGTCAGGGGACTGATGGAAAGAAGATTTACCCACAAAAATACACACAATGTGAGTACATTAAAAAAGCATGACCTAATCAGTGAGAAACAGAATCAAACACTGAGTGCACAGGCTCAAGACTCAAGTCTCTGTGTGTCTCTTTTCGTGGAGCTCAGTAACATCCACATGTTGTCACAGATATAGATCTACATGTTCTTCCTCATGCCCACAACATCTCCATCTGCTGCATAATTCAGGAGGTATCTCTGTTTCTTATATGTTGCGTGCTATAGACTCAACTGCTTAATGGAGCCAAGCCTGCAGGGAGCAGGAATCTACAAATTTTTGTTTCATTTTCTCTATTTTTTGTTTTGTGAGCATCATAATTTTCCTTTTTTTGTGAGCAGGAGTATTCCCTGTGCAATAAGAGCAGGGATCCCATTGCGTGCGCCGGTGGAATTGCATGTCTGATAAGTGATTGGAGAGAGTGAATGAATTACAGCCTGGAGACCTTTAATGAGGCCTCAGTGGGAGGGAAGGAGGGTGTGGGTAAAGAATCAGGTGAAAGCAGCTGCAGCTTTCCCCCAAAGAGAAACCTCCTCCTCCTTGTTTCTCTCCCCTTGACTCCTTTTCACATCTTTATTTTACTATCCACCTTTCCATCTCACTTCACCCCCTCAGCCCTCTTTCCTCTGGTGCTCGTATCCCTTCTCTTCCTCAGCAGTCTTCCCCTCCTCCTCATTACAAACGCCTGACACAGCACATGTTCAGCCCTTTGTGTGCGGCTGCCCTTTTATAACGGGGTTAAAAAGCCTAAAATCCATATATGTGGCAGAAGCCTGTGTGTCAATTACATGTGCAGATGTGTAAAATGTATTAATACACCAGTTTAAACCTGGTCTATTTTCTTTTTATTTTACTTTTTTTGTGGTTTGGGATCTAAAGATGTATCAGGGAGAGTCTTTGAGAGCAGCTAGATTGGGCTGTGTGAAAGCGCTGAAAAGCCTGCTACCCCACCACTTGTGCCAATACACTAAAACACACACACAACTACACACATGCACACGCACATAAAAACATCAGTCCTGCCAATCTGTCCTTTTTGTGCTGTTTTTCATCCCAGTGCCATGCCGCTGCCGGGCGACACAGTTCGTGAGAGGAATTTTAGACCCCATAAAAACTCGGTGTTTATATGATTCACCTTAGGAGATTGAACAGGGTTGCCATAGCAGATGTCTTTGTCCGGAGCAACTCAACACAAAATGCTTTAGAGAGGAGGTGAAGTTTGATGTGACTGACAGCCAAGACAGACTTAGTGCACTAATTGCTTGGTTTTAGGATTTTTTTTCCTACTTGAAGGCCCATTTTATCGAGGTAGAGTCTATCCCAAGCAACATTTTCCCACATGGAGCATCGTCATAGCTCTGAAGTATTGTGTGTGTGTGTGTGTGTGTGAGACAGGAATATGGTGATGAAGGCTGAGAGAGAGGGGGGTGACTGTAGATCCTCTCTCTCCTCCAGACTTTTGATTGACAGCTGGACCCCCTCTCTCCCACAGATGTTTCCGCTTCTTTCGGTAGCAAAAAAATCTCAAAGTGTGGCAGAGGATAAGTGGAGTATTTAAAAAAAGCAATGAGCTGAGAAAATGACTGTAGCAGACACTAAATGAGACAGAAAATGAGCAGGAGACGTGGGTGTTCGGCCCCACATCTCGTCTGGAGATACCAGATGCAGACTAAATATCTCATGATAAATCTGTTGGTTTCCACTTCTCTATTGAGGGACTTGGAAACTATTTCTTATATATAAATATATTTCTCTTTTTTCCTTGCTTCCCTTAGTCACAGTTTTGTGTTTATTCTCGCTCAAAAATCGCCTCAACTTTGCTGTGATGAAACACCATCCTGTGATCATCACTCATGTTGATAGTTTGCTGCATTTGTATTTAAAGAGAGCTTCAGTATTTATCTTCCTGTCTGTATCAGAGCGAAACTACAAAGTGGTCGCTCACAGTTCTTGTACATAAGCGGGTATGTATGTTAAGAGGGGGGATTGTGTGTCGGTGTCGGTGTGGGGGTTGGGGGTCGAGGCTGAGTTTGCGTCTTTGTCTGTCAAATAAATTATTTAAATCCCCCAACAATTAAAGCTGAAATCTGTTATCAGCATCCTCCATTAGAAGCTCGTATGTCTGCCGTGCTGCCTCAGTACGCCGCTCGCTTGTTCCTCCTGCCCGTGCTTAGCGTGGAGCCGGATAAAGATCACAAGCTCTGAATCTTAAACACACATCCCAGCAGAACAAAGGCTAACAGCGCGGCTGTGACCCAGTGACTCACACATGCACACGCCGAACGTCTTCATTACAGGAGTGTATAAATCTTTGGTCGGTGGAGCTTTTTGATGCACAAATAAGGATGAGATGTGATGTGTGTCTTAAGATTGTAGGGTTAGCTTGTTGTGAGTGTGAGATGACAATGACAATGGTGAAAGTAGTGCATGATGGGATATCTGTTCAGGCCTCTAGCTCTTAATTCACACCTTGTGCCTCCTTTTTTAGTTTAAAAAATAAAGAGGCTCCCTCCCTTGGTCATTATTCCCCCCATGACGGCCATTCTCTCCCTCTTTCCATTTTACTCCACTCTCTCTGCTCTCTGCAGTTTTTTTATTGCTGTAGCAAAATGCCCATTAGTCATGTTAGAGAGCAGCCCGCTCCTTCAGTGCCTGTGTACGTGTGCATGCTGATGTCAGGGGGTTCATTTGCAGACTATTGTGATTTATGGTACACCACCTCTCTGAATCTCTTATCCATTTTCTCCAAAGCTTGGTGGATATTTAAAAAACACATCATGTGTCTGCTTTCAAGAGCAAAATAATTTCCTTCCATCTGCCTTTTTATGACTCACTGCTGTTACTGGGTTTTCTTTGATTTACCAATCTGTTGTTCTATCAAAGCTCTCTCTGTTTTGAAATTGAGGAAATAAGAAGGATCTATTAGTGCCTAGAGCTACTCCGAGTAATGAAGGTGTACAGATCTTTTATCAGGATGATCAGAATATTGAAAATAAATCATGTGTAAACATTTGAGAAATGTGCACATAGAGTGTTACATAGATGAAATTTTGTCGTAGATGAACCCGACCTGAGTTTCTCTGCAGAAGTCTTTGCTGATATCATAGACTGTATATAGAATGGACGCCATCTGCCTCCTCGCTGGGTGAAGCCGAGAACAGCACCCTCTGTTGACGGGCTGCAGTATAGGTCATAAATCCCGCCTCCGCCAGCAAAGCTTATGGGGCTGTGGACAAACTTTAGAAATCTATTACACAGAACATAAATTTTTCTCCCCCCTGGTTGCGATGTAGTTAAAGTAAGACTGGTTTGTGCTCAAGTCCTCTTTTTTTTTCTGTACAGCTCCATTTTTAAAAGTTATTAGGGGGTTCATGTTTTCTATGATTGACACCTGATACAGCCTATGGGTGTACAAAGATTGCGTAGCTCACCCGGGGGATACGCTGTTTGAGCCGAGCGTCATCACAGCGACTCTCCCGCCAAATGCGCTCAATGCTACTGCCCAATGTTGGTTTCAGGAAATGGAAAGAAAACGAGGAAATACCGAGAGCTTTTTGGCCTCAAAACTGTATACTGGCGGAAGGCGGAACCAAGTTGTCCATAATGTATACAGTTTATGGCTGAAACATTTTGGATTATTAAAGATGGTAAGCCCTGGTGGATAAAAGTTGTAAAATATCTTCTGCAATTTCCTGATAGTGATCGTTGAGATGTGAACGTCAGAAGTATAACAGCTATAGCATACCATGGATGCATGACCCGGACATCAGTACCACAACGTTTAAAGCTTGTCCCTGTTTAATATATGAAATAAGATTTTTACTTGGCACTTGGGCGTTTGAGACACAAAGCCACTTTCAAATAAAGGAAAAGACAGACATCTGAAGGTTTTGTCCTCACTTTGGGGGAGGTGTTGTTCTGTTCATGCTTCTACATTGGCTGTGGGGTTAATGAAACACAGTTACAAGAATTTTTTGATTTTTAAGATACATATTTGGGCATTTAGTCCTTTATTTCAAGAGGTCAGGACAGTAGACAGAGCAGGAATCCAGGGGAGAGAGAGTCAATGACATGCAGGAAAGGAGCTGTCAGCCTGAGCTGAACCCAGGCTGTGGTTTGAGGACTATCGCCTCTGTACGAGGGGCTCATGACTTCACCACTGGGCCAGGTTTAACATCGTATTACCTTCTCTAGTTTGAGATTTGATTTATTTGGTCCCCTTGGGGAAATTCATCTTCACTGACTGTACATTATGCGAAAGACAACGACATTGCACATTACAAACATCAACGAACAGTAAGGACAGACATAAATAGTGTGGGACAGTGACAACAGCAAAAGGTGACAGGCTGGTCGGATAGGTCAGCGGGGCCTGCTGTTAAGGGCGGCGATAGCTGCAGGGATCAGGCTTTTCCCAAGACGGGCCCTCCTGAATTTTTGTGTTCATTACACAGTCATTGTGTAAAACACTTTCTAATCTTATTAGTTAAGTTAACTTACTTCTGTTGATAGCTTCATATTTTTAGTGCTGTAGTGGACTTTATTTACAGAGTGTCTCAGTGAACCATCAGTGAACCATCATATCTGCAGGAGGATGTCTATCATGATATTTTTAAGTGAAGTTGATGTTGATAATATTGTATTTAATCAAATCTAAGAGGAGTGATAACCAGGCCATGCATACAAAGCTTATTAAACTCTGTATTTAGTACAAAAGCAGCACTTCTACATTAGTTTCTGTATGTGTTGTCACTGCACAACTTTCCCCTCCATGTCCTCCTCGTCACTTCACTCTGTCACTGATTCTGTGTTAAGGTTGCTGACTTGCTTGATGAGAAAACAAGATGAAGATAAACCCACTGACTCCTCTCATGCCTGGGTGTTGACAGAAAGTCAGAGATGATTGATGAGTTTTTGGTCCAGCGTGGCCAATAGTCTGTTCATGGATGCCCCATTGCTTCAGCTGCACAGTTTTGTACCCCTTCCTGTCTGATACACACAGCAATCTCATCAGTGATTTTGGACTCTTAGATATGGGTTGTTTCTCGACAGCGCTCCTGATTGAGCACTCACTTGAATCTGATGTAGATAAGTTTGTTATGCTGACTGAACTCTTAGAATTTTTCTCCTACTTCCTTCAAGTAGAGGGTCAGCGTTGTTTGTTCCAAGTGTTTACACTGTGTGTGTTTGTATACAGTTTGTGTGTATTCAAGCTTCAGACCAATATTGTCTCTGGCTGGAGTCATGATGTGTAAGCATTAGAAATGACGGCTCACTTCTCCTAAACTGCCTCATAGAAACATCCATTCATTACAGTTATTTCACTGCATATCTAATGGTATGCTTTAGTATATCTTTGAGTTATTCAACTTAAATATAACATACAGTTAGCTTATTATTATTCTTTGTTAAGCAGAGGCCTAGCTTTTTCCTTGATTTTAATCTGTTCTATCATTTTGAGTTTATTGGTCTCTAACCAACATGATGTTAATTAAATCCATAAATCCATCTGTCAGGGGCTGAAGTTTGGTTTTTATTGAGGAATAGGTTAAAAAAGAGACCAATCCCCATTCATATGCTGCATTCCTCAAAGTAAATGTCTAAGTAAATGTGTGTGTGTGTGTGTGTGTGTGTGTGTGTGTGTGTGTGTGTGTGTGTGTGTGTGTGTGTGTGTGTGTGCGTGCGCTCTATAGCTCATACATCTCTGTCTCAGATTGGCTCTGCAGTGTGTATTTCCTTTGGGAGTCTTGGGTCCAGCTTTGCTGAGAAGGCACACAGAGACCTATTCTCCGTTATTTATGCCATTCTTTCACTTTCTTACTCTCTCAATTCATTTGCACCCTCCCGTTCTGCCTGTGTCACCTTTTTTTTTTTTTTTACTCCTAAGTGACCTTCACTTGTCCTTATTTTCTTGGACAGGGACACAGAGACAGCAGACGTTTGCTAGAAGGCTGGATTTGTATAATTGTGTTTGTGTGAGTTTGTGCGCTGGAAATAGCATCGTCCCTGTACGCTGGTCATAATTAGCTGGGCTGATGCTCTGAAGCCTTGTGTTGCTAAGATAGAATACAATCGTCCTGTAAAATACAAGCAAACTTTTATAATTGAGTGACACTTGAATGGAAATCACAAATGTTCTAACTTCTGTCCCCTCTTTTCTTTCCTCTCTGTTCTCAGTGATTTGCTGTCTTCGGGGTATGTGGAGCGGCATTTGTCAGAGAAAGGGAGGACTGTCATCACCAATGTAAGATTCTGCAAATCATGCTCACTCACACTTTCACGTGACCACTTCCAGTAAGAATAGGAGCTTCATGGTGTCCTGGTATGACCAGTACAAAAGCAGATTTACTTATCATAACTTGGCAATCTGGTGTCTACCAGGCTGGAATATTACTTCTAAATAGTATAAATACCTTTTTGTATTTATAGGGAGTTGAGAGTGAGGAAAGATGATCAGCAAAGGGAGGGTTGTGGCCAAGAGCACCTCTAAAACACCTCCTTTAGGTGTAATAAATTGTTTTGCTTTGAAGGATTTCTTGACTAAGCAGAGAGTTTTTATTTCTCTTGGCTCAGTGTTTTAGTTTTACACTTTTTATGTCCTTTTATGAGGCATCTGTATGACTTTAAGCACAATGTAGGGCGGAGGATGTCCATGTCAAATTCTGAGTCCACAGATCAGACCAGTTTTATACTTCCCCTCAGTTTGTCAGAGGCTCAGAGCCCTCAAGAAGTCATTTCTGGAGTTTCTGGATCATGTTTATTTGTAGTTCCTGAATATCACTCTCATCCAGTAGAGGTCTTAAGCGTCGTTCTTTTTCTACTAAAGTTTCTTCTGATTCTCTGAACCTTTTAATAATATTATGAACTGACCTAAAGAAGTAACCAGCTTTTCTGAATCATTCCTATGTACAGTTTCCTCTTTGCATGTGACTGTTTAACCTGCACTTCTGGGTGAAATAGTATTACTTAACTGTCTCAGAGCTTTGCTGTCCCTGTCCCAACCTTTTTTAATGGTGTTACTGGTGTCAAATTTAACATGAGCTGAACAGCTGATGTGCTGTCTTTGCACTATTTTCAATTAATTAGATGATTTAAATGATTTGCAAACCAACAAAATCGGGTTTGTTTCACATTTTATGCCGTATCCCAAATGATTAAGGAAGTTACATGAACATGGACTTTTTGTCATAGAAAAAGCAGCCATTAATAAAAACAGTTTCATATTTTAAACACTGCAAAATCTAAAGAAAGAGAGCAGACTCTGACAATCTGACAATGATTGCTGACGTCCACTCACTGCCTGAGTAATTTACATATTGAAAGTTACTGCAAGGTGAGCAGAGTTGGGAAATAAGAGTGTTCATCAATGCAAGCCGAAAATATAAAGGTCACTTCAATTTCAGGACACAGATCAGCTGTTAGTATGAGGAGTAAAGCATGTTAGGATTTAAAGGTTGGGTAAAGACCTTGGTAATGCAGAGATGTTTTACTATTTATTTTCATTGAGGATGTATGTTGGCATACACATGCACGTACGCACGCACGCACGCACGCAAGCAAGCAAGCAAGCAAGCAAGCAAGCAAGCAAGCAAGCAAGCACACTTTAGTGGCTCCACTAAAGATTTACTCTCACCTCTGTGTTTTTTGTGCTGCAGTTTCCTGAAGCTGCTCCGGGTTCCTCCCCCTCCCTGTGAACCATTTATTGGTTTATCAATGTTTTACTGTGCACACACCAAGACCAATCACCTGGCTTTTCTTTAGCTTAGATTTGGGTGTTTGAGACCAAAGTGAAGCTGTAGATTTAGCCTAAACACGAAATTAAGATTGTTGTGCTAATCCTTTACAATCTGGACTTCAGTTGCAGGATGGCCCCTGAGAAGATGTGTTTCATCACATAAGTGGAGGGATTATAATGGTCAGGATTTTCTCAGCTAAGCAGCAGATTAATGAGATATAATTCACTTTACAGGGAATGATCTAAATTATTACACCACACAGTGTGTGATATAGTCTCTTGTAATTATAGAGCTTAATATAACGTGATCTCTTTGTGAAGTATTTCACTTTGTAGAGGGAAATGTGGTTTATTCCACTGGCAGAGTCTGCTCTCATTCTTTGAACACAGTGTTTCGAATATGAAACTCTTTATTAATGGTTGCTGGTCAAGAAGGTTAACCACATTTTGTTACTCCTTTCACAGAGGTCAAAATGTCAGCCGTCAAAACACAGCTGCTGCTCTTTTAGTCCGCCTCTGACTTCTCTTCTTAGATAATGCAACCCAAATCTCAAAAAGCTGGGACACTGTGTCAAATGTAAAAAAAACAAAAAACTGATTTTAGTGGTTTGTAAATTATTTAAACATTATATTTCATTGTAAATAGTGTAAATATAACATATAAAAGTAACAACCAAAATGCTATGAAAATATATGTTAATTTAAAATTCTTTTAAAAAATTGGAGCAGGCACAACAAAACTTTGGAGAAGCTGTGTAAACCTGGAGAAGGAACTCCAAACTAACCAGATAAATGTACAACTAGTTTGTATAAAGAGGGCATTCAGCAGCATTTCATCTCTTTAACCACTTTCTCTACTCAAGTATTTTTTTCCTCGTCACTTAATGCTTGAACTTCTTCTTCTTCTGAGGTACTGGTTGAATAAGCGGTTTATGTGTTCCTCATGGACTTAAGCTGTAGTTCTTGTCACAGTGGGAACTAGTTTAAGCCACAAGCTTTAGCTGCATGTATACCACTTGTCTCTCCTCTTCATATTTCCCCCTCACTCTTCAGCTTTCCTATCAATGAAGGCAAAATTTTAGACTAAACAACAAAAAATCACAACAACTTTTACCTCCATGCAGGGGAGAGCGTCCTACTTGTTTACAAACAGCCTGACCCTCACCTTTTCATTGTGCATTGTGGTGTCCACATCCGATGATTAATTACTCTTATAGCAGGCGAAGGAGATCACATATGTGACAAATTTAGTAACATACACACACCCACCCACACACACAATGAGGATGTACCCTCAGCTCTGGGTTTTGGGTGTTTCTTGCTTTGATGAGAAGTGGAGCAGAAGGTTCAGGGTGACAGAGGGAGGATAGTAGAGCACAGCTCTGCGTATAAATAGCCCTCTCTGTCTCTTCAGTTCACACTCGCTCTAACTCTCTTCACCTGACCTCTTCCTCTCTTTCACCTCTGACTCCATTTAGGTTTACCCCACAAACTTGTCCTCTTGATGCATCCACAGTCAAAGTGCACTCCAGACATATGCTTCATCTCTCTTATGCCAATGATGCACCGTCTTTAGCTCTGCTTTGTTGGACATCAACATTTACAGAGGTGCTATAAAACCTGATTTGAGCTTTTGTCCTTCAAGAATCAGATCTAGAAAAATAGATACAAGCAATAAGAATGATTTCTGTAGTTTACATAGCAACTTCTTGATAAAGGTAGTATACTTTAGAACAGTGGTTCCCAAGTCCAGTCCTGGAGGCCCATTGTCCTGCATGTTTTGGATGTTTCCCTGATCTAACACACCTGATTCAAATGATCAGCTCGTTATCAAGCTCTGTACCGGCTTAATAACCAGCTCATCATCTGAATCAGGTGTGTTAAAGCAGGGAAACATCCAAAACATGCAGGACAGTGGGCCTCCAGGACTGGACTTGAGCACCACTGCTTCGGAAGATTTAAAGGGATATTACAGCATAAAATTATTTTAGGGTCAAACACACCGTAACACCGAGTTAGACACCACCTCAAGAGATGAATGTTGCCGACTAGGTATACCAACTTTAGTAACGACCACAGGATAGCAATACACAGCGGTCTAAGGGGCCATAAACAAAACAAACCTTAAACCAAATGGCCACTCTATAGCCACAAATAATGCTCAGAACAGCACCTAACTTCATCAACAGTACATATAGGGTCCCAGACACAACATTAGCCACCAAACATCTTTTTAGCTTTGCCTGATTTCTTTGGCAAAGAGACTAAACACAACTCACCTACTCTCTTCCAGCAGCCGCTTGTTTGTAGCGAGACCTCGGGTCAGTCCATTATGGACTGCAGTGGGGGGACACAGCTCAAGGAAGAACCCTTTAATGCATCAAAAGTGATTTTTAGGGGTCCTAAAACCTGCATTTTGTAACCTTAAGACAGAAAGGTTATCTGTTTTTAAACAGTTTGTCGCCCTTGTGCTAAGCTAAGCTAAGCTATCCAACACATCCATTTCTTTTGGGATGAGCATGGAGGCCCGAATTCACGGGCAGACCTTTCTAACTGATGCTCCTGTGCCTGAATGAGACCAAATCCTTTTAGCAGGACTGTCACATCTTGAGGGAAGTCTTTATCATAAGGTCTGTGGGTCAGGTATCACCCACTTTTTGGCTGTTTTGCAACAAAAACAAACCTTGCATGTATCCTCACACAAACCCAGTGAACTGACATGGATCAGGATGAAGCTGACACACTGTGCTGGAAGTAGAAGTGGAGGCAGCCCTGCGTCGCTGTGTGCAGCATCAGACTGTAGAGCAGAAATTGATCCTCTGATAAAAGCCGTGTTTCCTCAGGGAGACCAGCTTCCTGCCTAATGGCTGTTAGGCAGCAAGAAATGGACCAGGAAGAGATGGCCTGCAGAGCACTTAGACACTTAGACATCATACACGTCTATAGAAAATAAAAGTGTGTTTATGCTAGCAGGAAGCGCACTCACACGCGCACACACACACACACACACCGACTGATAGAGACAGATGGAGTTGGAGAGAATGAGTGGTTGACGGCGCGTCGTGACAGAGATGGAAACATTTTTACAAGTGACCGATGCTGTGGCCTCAGACTGTGGGAAGAAGTTGAGATGGAGTCACAGAGCAGTTAACACACAGATGGTAGCGCACAGTACCGCGCAAACACACATAAACACACTGCGCACATACACACACAAACACAACACTTGATCATACTTGCACTTGTGCGCTTTAGTAAATGAATTCTGTGTGATTGATTGCTCTGGAGTCATTTCCTGATGGAGGATGGTAATAAAAGCAGCATGGAAAGTATTTGGCTCTCTGTTTTAGGGAAAGCAGCCATATGCAGAACATATCTGATCCTAATTTGTGTGTTTGTGTTTTGTTTACAGGGTGGAGAGCACTGTTACTATCAGGGGAAGATCCGAGATATCCCTCGCTCCTTTGTGGCTCTCTCGACTTGTCACGGATTACAGTAAGTATAAACGTTTGTGCCCGTTTGACTTTGTATGTGCGTGTGTTTTTCTGTCAATACTGCTGCCGGGGCCTTGCTCTCATTTATTCATAGGTCAATGCAATTAGTTTAAGTCAGCCCTTTTGAGTCTGTCTTGATTTTTGTTGCACAGGTTATCACTCAAGCAGACAGCCACGGCTCAGGTGTCTCTTCTTTTTCATCTTCTTTTCTCTTCCTTGCGTTGGTATTTTTAGTATTCTTTAAAGCAGCCGTCTGTCACAGAGAAAGGGGTCAGAAAACATGCCTGTGCTGTGTTTGTTCGTGTCATGAATGTAAGTGTACTCGTGGTTATGTTTGTCCTCCAAGTTAGGGGAAAGTGTAGGGAGGTTGGGTGGGAAAATGCCTGATTTGCACTGATTAATAATTAGATATAGCACATATTCATGTTTTCAGGTTTTCACAGTTGCAAAAACACATTTCTCTAAAAACAAAAAACCTTTTATTTACATGATACAGTTAAGTTTGCACACTTTGCTTTGCTATATTGTTGAAATATCTTGAAAATAAACCCCCCCAAAGAATTAAGCCAAACTCCTTATGACTGTAATTATAAACAAGTGTGAAAAATGGGCTAAAAGAAGCTCGTCCAGTCTGATCAGCTGCTTTTCAAAGCTCCTGTGAGGAGTTTTAGGCCACTTGTAAAACAGACTAATATTAATCCGGCCTCTGCCTCTAAATGAGTTATTAAAGTTGGTGGGATCACCAGTATATTTTTCTTGACAGTAATTCGAACAGGATGAGATTTATTGTTTGTCTGAAAATGATACTTAGACATGTTCAAGAGAAAAGATAAACTGCTTTTTCAACAAGGGGTGTCACTGAGATAGGTTAAAAATAACTCCAAAGAGCTCCAATGATTGAATTATCATATTTCTAACATATTCAACCTTAAGTTCAGTGTTTTATTCTTGTAACTGGATATTTTTCAGTGATGCTACATCAAGATTTTCAAGATTTCAAGATTGATCTCAAAACTTTTGAGCCTAAAACAGAAATGTGGATTCATCTTGATGCTGCGAAGACAACATGTATTTAGACAACAGGCTGATAGCCGATGTTAGTATTAAAGTTTTTGATAAATTATTATTTATTGATTTTGTGAATTCCCCTCTCTCTTCATAGATATCTTTTTGTGGCTGATGTAGAACCAAAGAAGCAAATTCTACGTAAAAACCCACAGCTGATACTTCTTTGTAAAGCTGAGTAGTGAGTTTTCATGTTTTGTCTAGTTTCAGGTGGGTTTATATCCTAGTCAGGTGTAAAGTTAAGTCAAACATCAGGTGAATGATAAGTCACAAATCAAACCACCAAGAGTTTTTGTTTTGGTAAACGTGTGATGGTTGGTTAGTAGTCTGCAGATCATGACAGTAGAGAAATCTCTGTGTAAAGAGGTCTTACAGAGCCAACAACACCTCTCGTGACTGCACATAGTTGTTAGTATTTCTTTCAGCTGTTTTTAAAACATTCTAATTAATTCTCGACTCATTTTGCCTCGTCAGGCTAAGCGACAAATAGATAAATACAGTAAATAGTTAATCAGTGGAGGAAGTTATCTCGGCTAATTAAGGAAAGCAGATTGCTTAATAAGTTTAGCTCAGGCTTTATAATAGCTTTTGCATATTTCATGTGATTGTGGGGATGTGTTTGTCAGCACAACAAATGTGCAAACAAAAAGAAATAAGAAGTGGGGCACGAGTTTTTCAAGGATAAACAAACACAGAGTCCGGGTCTGTTTTTGAGTCTCCTGCAGACTCAATTATTTCCTGGTATAACCAAAACTGTCATGCTTATTCATGGAGACGTTGTTGTCCGTCTTTCAATCTCACATTTATAACTTTATTTTTCTTAACCTGGAGCGACTACCTCAACAGGACTGATGCACACACTCTTACACATGAATTTGATTGTGTGTTTGTGTATGTGTTTTGGTGTGAGAGAGAGAAAAGGAGGGAGGAGGGAGTGAAGGGAGTGTCCTGGTGTCAGGGGGTTAGACATTAGAGGTAGAGTATTTCCCTTATGCTGAGTCAGGTATTTACCATAATATACATCCTGCTCTCTCCTCTTCCTTTACACACACACACACACACACACACACACACACACACACACACACACACACACACACACACACACACACACACACACACACACACACACACACACACACACACACACACAAGCACAATCTTTACTCTTGGTTGCAATAGGGTATTAAATGTACAAAGAGAGAAGTGCTCTCAGCTACATCCATTATTTGAGACAGACAGTGACGCATTGATTTGCGTCCCTGTTTTAGCAGAAACTAAATATCAGTCTGAACAGTTTGCTAACGACACATAAATTAGGAGTCAGTTAAAACGGCTTTTCAATTTAGATTATTTTCCATTTTCATTATTTATCTAGAAGGCTGAAATCAACTAGACACTCATCTTAAAGCTTTCAGTAATCATCCCATGATCTCAGAAATAAACAAGTCATTCTGTCTTGGTAAATGATTGTTATAATCTGTCATTAAGTTTCTCAGGAAAACAAGTTTAATTTATTCTTTGCCAATAAAAAAAACAAATCATTCACTCTTGACATATAGTTAGTGTTCTCTTCTGTAACTTTGACTTGTTTGTCTTTCAGTTTTTTTATGTCTAATCTGCTGTAAGTGCAATGTTGGAGCAGACCACAGAGTGTGTTGAAGGGGAATTCTGTATGTTGACAGCCAGAAATAAGTGAAAGTGAGGGACAGTTTGAAGGCAAAGACAGATGTCTGTGTATATGTGTGTGTGTGTGTGTGTGTGTATGTGTGCGTGTGTGTGTATGTTTACCCTTGTGACTTCACAGTTTAACCTGACCAATCTCCTAAAAGCTTTCGATAAAGTTAATTAGCGGACGATTTGGTGCACATGCGCACACGCAGCATGCAAAGACAAGGAGACCTTCAACCAGCTGCTAAATGAGAAACTGATCTTTTTGTTGTTGTTGAAGATATTTGCACTGTCACATCCATTCACTGTCATGTGATAAAGATATGTCATAGCTTTTGAACACATTTGTTTCCCGTCAAAATTCCCTCCTTTCAAAGAATCAGCGTGAACTCTTAGTCACTCTTCCACTGATGTAATCACATAGTGACATTTTAGTTCCGCTGTGTGGGTGATTCTTTCAGAGTGGGTGACCTTTTGTTCCACTTTATCCTTCCCCTTTCACTAAGGCGAACATGTCCCGGACACAGCAGACAAGAATTCAGTCCAAAACTGCACCTTGTAGGAGTGCATTACAGTCATTACTCTGACAAATGCTGCAATAATACAATAAAACCCTGCTGGGCAAGCAGTGAAACGGCTAATGTATCTCTGATGGCAGAGGGGTAGCTGTATTCAGATACATTATTTCATTTAGTGCTGAACAAAACTACATTGACAGGTGCTGATGGTCTATCCTTCTCTCTCTCTTTCTCTCTCTCTCTCTCTCTCTCTCTCTCTCTCTCTTTCAGTGGGATGTTTTTCGATGGCAATCACACCTACATGATTGAGCCTGGAGGACAGGGTAGCAGTGATGTAAGTACTCTGCAAGTGTACATGAAAATGTATGAACTCTGTAGGAGCTGGTGACCACTCTTTTCATGAACTTCCTCTTCATCCATCTCTCCATGACCGGCCCTGTTGTACGTTCTGTGTCCACTGAATCTGGTAGAGCTTTTGTTTCCAACCCTTTTCTCTTGATCCTCACAGTGTGTTCTTTCACATCACATTAGACTGGGTGGTTTTAACACTTTAAAATTAATTATCGAGGCCTAAAGGTAAAAGAGCATCTGATGTGAATCTTACTCTTGAAATCATTTTCCCATTAGAAGAAAATAAACACTTGGGTGGATTTTTCGCTTTTTTAAGTATAATCAAAAAGCCTCTGAACACACTTTGGTGAGAATAACTTTTGATCATGTAACAGCAGCATTTTCAACTGATCTGAATGCTGGAATAACAATGTGTGTTTCAAACATTTTTAAACCAAATAATAAATTTGTTACTAAAGAAAACAGTCAGTGAAATTCAGCGATGGGAATGACTCTGTATGAACCTTTCTTTAGGATGCAGCCAAAGGTCTTTTTATTCACAAAACAGTTAACCCCGGTTGATTGGGGATGAGGATGCATTCCACTTGACTAAGACGCCCAAAGTTTGGATCAGTATCATGTTATAACCTGACAAGTTTATTGTTCCTATCATGTTACATTAACATGTTTGAAGGAGTACATATACTGTTAGCTCCATAAACATAGAATGATAATTGACTCATTTCTGATCATAGAAAAGGTGAAGAAGGTCTCATTATTTGACTTATTTCTACTTCATGTTTGGGTTGAGACACGGTGTGATTCTGCTGCTGTTTGATGGTCTTATGGCGTAGCTCTGTGTGCTTAAGTGTGGGTCGAAGAGCAAGTAAGAGTGATCTTGAAAGTGGGACATTTGTGTGTGAAGATAATAAAGCCTTTAACTAGGGCTGGGCGATAAATTGATAACAATATATATCAAAAATAAATTTCCCTTGATATCAATTTAAAATATGGTTAATATGCTTTTCAATAGTCTGCATTCTGCCATGTTTTGATAATATACGAATAGCCAATGAAAAAGGGAGTTGCTCCGGGTCTCGACTCTCTGAACCAATCATGTGATGAATTAGAACCAAGTAGCAGGCTGCAGCTACATGCAACCAAAGCACTTTAACATGTGAAGCCGACAGCACTGTCAGTGAGAAAAAAAGAAAATGAGTGCTACCCCCAGCAGAAATGCAGATGAAGGCTCAACAGATGACGACATTGTCAACAACACTGGTACGAAAACATCAGTGGTGTGGAGGTATTTTGTTTTTCTGAGGTCAGACATGAAGCAGAGTAATGTGAACTGAAAATTATGTCGAGTACATGTCAAACATCATGTAAGAGTTACAGGGAATATACTTAAGATTTACAAGTGATTTTTTTATATCGTTATATATATCGATATCGACTGATATGAAAAAAATATATATACTGATAAACTTTTTCTTGTGTTGTGGTGGAAAAGGTATCTCTCGCCTCTTTTCCAACTTTATCCTGTAGATATGTTGATGAGGATTTTGAAGAAAACCTCTCTTTACACTTTCTTTTAGTGAAAAAACAATCTTGATAGATGTTTGTCAAAAGAAATGTAAAAAGAAGAAGCTGTTTCTGTGGCGTGTTATCGGTCACTATGTTCCACACCTACCTGGTGGGAGCAGCTTCAAGCAGTGTTTACCTCTAAGGCCTCATAAGCTTTAGTTCAGATAAAGGCATCTGTATTAAGTTTTGTGAATTAAACCAAACTTCTTTACATTTTAACTTTTGCTCAAAAACTATTTAATTCAGACTTGCAATATTTTTGCTACATATCAGCTGGATTGCCATAAACAGTAGTGTCTCAGAGTAGCTCCAGAAGCTGCACAAGCCTATAGCTCAGTGTGGACAGTAGTATTATATTCCTGGTATTACAGGATTCATTCTGGGGTCAGTTATTGTCCTGAGAGAAGGCTGAGACAATACTAGCATCACTTACAGATCACACACCCAGTCAGCTTCACTTCTCTAATGAGCCTCGAGTGTGGCGGACGGGTCTCAGGATGAAGAGATTTGCTGGATTACAAAGACTGCAGACAGCAAAAAAAAGAAGCCTACAGCCAATTAGCTATTCACAATTAGAGGCCTTACAGTGGGAATGGACAGACAGATCTGAGATTTTCTACAGACACCTTGAGCTTGAGAGTGAAAGAACGAGCTGCTGATACTGTGTGAGTGTGTTTGCTCTGCTCTGATTAAAAAGTCCACAAGAAGTTGTGTGTCTGGTGTTTGTCAGTGAAAGGAGACAAGATAAGCCAGGTCAGGGATTGATGTTTGTGATTTCATCCGTGTGTGTTTGCATGTTGATGTGTAGAGAGCTGTCTGTGGGTGCTGCTGACAGTTGCCCCTGACATACGAACCTGTTAAGATTCATGCCCATGTTAAGTTTTAGAGCCAGCAGTGTGGAAAGACAGATGTGGGGAGGATATAAAAGGGATGGACAGACAGATAGACAAGCCTAAAAACAGGAGTGTTGACTGAGGGAAAATGAATTATATGGAAGAAGGCTTGCTGAAGGAGAAAAAAGCAACAACAGGAGTGTGTTTTGTGATTCAATTTAGAATCTTTTGCATGAAAAACTACAAAAAAAAAATCATTTGTAACGTCAGCAGTTTTGTCTCAGTTGTGCAACAGTCAAAAGAGGGCTGGGTTAAAGTAGACCAAAGCAATAGAGTGTCCTGAGAGTTGAAGATGGATTAAAAACAGCACCAAGAACGGTTACTATGCCCTGGTTTAGCTTACATACATATGTCACCATTCTTTACTCCCTATTCCTCTGCTTGGCTTCACCCTCTCTGCCTCTGTCATCGCTCGCCAGCATTTTCTGGAGAGACTGAATTATTCAAGTGGTGAGAGAGAGAGAGTGAAAGATCTAAAGTAAGAAGACTGCTGCAGCCTCGTCTTCAGAGATACGGTATCTTGGATTGCTTTTTTGGTCATTCACAGACACAGTGACGTAAAATACACAGAAATTTTCAGGAAGCTGCTTCACTACATTTTGTTTTTTTGTGTTTGCTGTCAAAGATTTGACCGAGCCGCTGTTGCATATTAAGAAATCAAAAAGAGTTCTTTTCATGAAACAAAGTAAAAACAGATTTTAATAAAGTAAAAACGATCTGGAAAAAAAATGTATATTTGAATTGACATACCAATAACCATGTCCAACATTTCACATTATTTGCACAATTAGGAGCATTCATTTATAACAGACCCCCCCCAACGTGTCAGTTTGAATCTCTAGGACCATCACACTGATGGACAGTTGTCAAAATGCCATTGTCCATAATTTGTAGTTGATAAAAACTTTATTTAAAGAGATGCTGTTATGCTTTTTTATATTCTAGCAACAAATGTTACGTTAAAATCTTGGATGTCAGTGTTTGCATGATTAAAGTTTCAGATTGTAAGGTTAATAAGTGCTGAAATGATCCCCAGATGGGACTATGGGTTGCTCTGAATGGCTTGTTCAAAAAGTCTCATGAGATCAAAATGAGATTTGCTCAAATCATGACATTACCAGACAGTGGATCTCCTGTAAATAGCAAATTTGTCATTTTATAAAATGAAAGACAACTTTTTTTTCATGGCAACAGTGAAGGAGGCTTCCAGAATGCTTGGTTCTGGAATGCATTTGGGCCTTAATGCTGCATTCGAGTTACCTCAAAAGTCAGAAGTCCGAGCTGGGAATGACGTCACACCCGAGCTACCAGTGTTTCAGTTACCAAGTCGAAAAAAGCAAAACCGTGGGTGGAAACAAGATGGCTACATCTACGAAAGTTATTTTAGCACTTGCCTTGTCGTTGCTTGTATTCGGACAAGGCAAGCGCTAAAATAACTTTTGTAAATGTAGCCATCTTGTTTCCGCCTCTGATTTTGCCTTTTTCCGACTTGGTAACTGAAACGCTGGTAACTCGGGTGTGACGTCATTCCCAGTTCGGACTTCTGGTTTCCAAAGTAACTTGAGTGCAGCATGATACGACAGTAGCTTAAATGAAGCATCTCTGACAGAGGCTGAAATGATGGTTTTCAAAGACAGCAGAGCTCAAGGATCTGAGTTTCTTGGATCCACTTTATAAAAACATTTTACAGAAGGAGAAAATATTCAGCATGTCGCTCTATCCGCAGTGTTGGTTTGGCATGTGAGGTGAGAATCCTGTCTACATAACAATGCAGAAGGACAGAGGTGTCCCTGAGCTCAAAGGTAGCTGTCAGTTAGACAGTACTGAGCTCTGGATGCTGCTCCCTGCAGTCCCCCTCCGACTGCCTCCTAACATCTCTGTGTTCCTCTCAGTCTGTTTTTCTCGGTCTTCCTTATTTTCAGTGATTGGTGGTATTACATGCAGAGGCATTGTGTACTCTGATGCACCACTCATTCTGGCTCTTGTTGGAAATGATGAATAGAAAATAATATGACAGGACTGGGTGTGTGTGTGTGTGGAGCTGGAGAGTCTGCATGACTCCTATCGGCCATATGGTAAATCCATCTGCCCTCCTTCCGTTGAGGTAGGAAAAGTTTCACGACATTAGTTAAGTGTGTCCCAAACCAGCCCATCACCGTCCGAGCTGATCTAGTTCTAAAGTGTCTGATTGTGTTAAATACTGTAGGAAGTCCAGTGAACAAGTAGACCACAGTTGTTGGCCACACAGAGCAGCAGAATATAAGTTCCCCAGCTAAGAACGTGATGTCCCTGGCTGTTATGTGGCTGATAAATCTTGCACTTCTTTAGTGTGTGAGTATTTGCGTGTTCATGCTGACAACTTGCAGCGAGGATTTGTGATTTTGGCTTGCATATGCAAAAAACACCATATGTTTTGCCCTCATGTTTCTTCTTAGACACCTTTTCAACCCCCGCCTGCACCTGGGCATCTGCAACTTCATTTCTGCATCTCTTTGTTTTTACTTACAGTTATTTAAAAATACACAAAAATCAAACTTTTATTCTATGTTTTTGAGTGTAACATCACACTTCAACTGTAAAAGCTAGGAAGCTGTGACAAATTAGTAAAATTATTGTATTTTGCATTGTTATAGACTGGATGCTCCAGTATAAACAAGCTGTCATTTGACTGGAAATATCGATCCATAGGAGATCCTCATGTTTGGATTTGTGGGGAACTAATTTAGCCCTTTGCTAAGTCATGGTCAGAGTTTTAGTCTGTTCCTACATATTAAAATCTGATGATACAGTTTTCATACTAAATGTTTTGCTTTTTCCACAATGCATTGCAAAAAGAATGTAATTGAGCTCCTCATCGCTTTAGAAAAACTATTTTTTTAATTAAATTTGATGGTGAGGCATCCATGACCTACATACTACTTCATCTTTATCTTTACTCAATCAAAACTTCAGAATCCCATCTGTCATCCGTGCTCGCATCCACAGTCCTGATTTGTGGACTATATTACCTGCAACCCAGGGATACAACGACAACTAAGAGATTCTTTACTGGTTTAACTTACTGGTAAATCTGGAGCTGATTAGTGAAGGGGATGAAGCCAAAGCCAAATACTAACATGATCATAATGATATTGCTAAAATTATTACTCTAAATGTGACTTAAGGTTAGTTATGCGCGACTAACTCTTATCTTCATCTCCTAATTGGTGCTTTTTCATCACTCACTGAACACAACAACTCCTATGGTGCTAGTTTGTTCATTACGTGCTGTGAAAAGATGGTGGTCCCTGTGAAAGGGGACTGTGAGAAATATAAAAGGCTCATATAAAGGCTCACAGATACTGATTATTAGAAGTTCATGAGGCAGATAATAAACATTTGGAACAGATCTGCATTTACTGTAAAAATAATTATCGTTCTGTCAAAGTTAAGAATCTGAAATATTACAAAACTTTTTTTAATGCAATGTTTGATCAAAACAATGCCCCTCCCCCTTTTTAAAAATGTATTTCTCGATAAAATAAAAGCATTTTGCACTGCACCCAGCATACAGTTGAGGCTAGTGGGATTGATTTCAATTTTGTGAACAAAGTGACAGTTTGACCGGGTTAAATATAAAGGGATCACAAGATTTTTGTCAATTCAGCTTCTGTCAAAGTCCTTCTGATAGTTTTTGTAATATTTCAGTAGTTGACAGATTTGTTCATTTTATAATTTACATTCCAGCTCGTCTTATATGACTATTAAAGGCTTTCTTGAATGAAATATCTCAATCAGACTCAGCCCAGCCCATCATGTGTTGTCATAACTGGTCTGTGATTGTTCATCAGATGCTGTGTTGTAAACTGACCTGCAGTTTCTGGAGGAGAGGTTAGGAGACTGTCTGTGGGGGTTGAAGGGTGAAGAAAAGGGTGTGTGGATGGGGGTGTAGACAGGTTATATGGTGGGGGTGTGAGCATGAGGTGCCAAGAGGAGGATTTTCTTTCACTCTAAGGGAAAAAGAAAAAGCTCAGTAAGCGTCAAGGCTGATGGGATTAAAAAAAAGGGTCTCTGTGGCCTGGAGCCAACTTCATGTTTTCTAAACCTGGACCGGTTCATTTACACATGCAGAGAAAAGGGGAGTATGAAAGCGTGTTACCCCTCCCCTGTTTTATATTCATGAGCAGCCAGTCTGTGTCTGAAGTACCATCTCCCTTGGCAACCCAGGCTCCGCCCCTGTCTCTTTGTAGCAGGACATATGAACGCCATCTGTGTTTAGACCCTCACTCTCCACCCATGTTCACTCCCTGCAGAGTCTATATGCTGTGTATGTATTTTCCAATGGGGTCGTTTGACTGGGAGTAATGATCCAGAGAACAACAAAGAAACTGGACGAGAAATTATTCCATTACAAGAGTCAATTTAGGAAAAACTGCTCTGATGATGATGATGATGATGAATAGTGCAGTGTGCATGTGCAAATATCACAGACTCCTTAGAACTGTGGTCTTATTAATCATCAGCTGCTAAACTCTCAGTCAACATGAAAGTGTCACATCAAAGACGTTAGCTCCAATTATGACTGCTGCAATTTAGGCTGGTGGCTGCTAATCCAGACGCTCGGTCCACAAGGACTACATCAAAGATAAGACAAAACACTGGAGCGCTAAAAGATTCATTTTAATAGAGTGCTCAGTTATTAATTGGCTTTGGTTTTGCTCTTAAGCCTGTGTTGTGATAACTTAAGTATTTACCCACAGAGCAGATCAGGGTTCAGGGCAGAAGTCTATAGGTCTGTATTCTTACTGTAACTCTTGAAGTGCAGAGAAAAGCAGGGTGCTGCTTTTAAAATGTTTGATATTTTAGAGTTGAAGTTAGAGCTTCATCAAATTTGCAAATAGTTTTCACAACAGATTTATTTTTAAAAATATTTACAAATTGCATTATGAGTCCAGCTTCTCCAATTTATTGATCATCTCTATCGCCAAATTAATATTTTTATTGTATATCAATCCTGTGACCGTGAGTTTAGCCTTGTTAAACAATCCTGGCACAGTGGTGTAGTGGTTAGCACTGTCACCTCACAGCAAGAAGGTCCTGGGTTCGAATCAAGTCAGGGTGTTTCTGTGTGGAGTTTGCATGTTCTCCCTGTGTCTGCGTGGGTTAACTCTGGGTACTCCGGTTTCCTCCCATATCCCAAAAACATGCAGAAGTGGGGTTAGGTTCATTGGCCACTTTCAAATTGCCCGTAGGCGTGGGTGGATGGATGCTCGTCTTCATATGTTATGAACTAGTGACTTGTCCAGGGTGTCCCCTGCCCTCGCCCGAAGATGTGCGGATAGGCTCCGTGACCCCCAACGGGAATAAGCAGTAGAAAATGAATGAATAAATCACCTTCAATCTTGACTTTTTTTCTGAGTGTTTTCCCACTTTTAACTTGTTGGAATTAAATTTTTGTTAAAAACATACTCAACAAGAACTACTGTGTGCCCTATTTTACTGCATTTATGTCTACACAGCAGTTGGTATACACGTCTTGTTTTTGATACCCCATAAACAGACAAGCAGATGTACTTTAACGTGTTTTAATGAAAACTAAAAGGACAAGAGTAGAAAAACATTTGACAAAAACATTGACCTTTTGTGGAATAATATGACTGTGGAGAAAGGTTGATCAGTGCTCATTAGGAAGCAAGAGATTCAGTTTGGCTCAATCACAAGTACTATCACCATTGAAAAGCAGAATGACATTACAAAGTGTGAGAGGAACAGTACTTCCATTTTTTAGTGTTAATATTATGCCTCATAATTTAAGAAAAGTTATGCAACAGTGATTAAAATCTGCTCTTTAAATCCATTCAAACGTTTCAAAAACTCCTCAGTGTCATCTTTTCGATGTAAACATTGAAATTCAAGTTAATATAAAGGACTGAGTAATAGTGTTTTAACAATATAAAAGCTAACAAAGTCACCAAGCAAAGACGATGTGAACTGGCGCAATATTCACATAATTAATTAGTGCATTAAAAACATAAAGAGCTGCTCCTCAAAGGGACAGTGACATGAAGGCAATAACAATTCCGTTACACATTAAACACATGATTCAGTTAAGAGGCTTTTCAACAAAGCCACAATTACCTATAACAACAGTGTTATATTTAGTCGTCAGATGATTTTGACATTTCAGTGTTCACTCACGGTATACAACATTAATAAACGTAACAGGGTTATAAAATTGCTGTCTTTCTGTAGCGTTTTTGGCCGCCAGAATAAGTTACTGTGACCCATAGGCGAGAATAGTTGAGCTCCTTCGACTTTTTACGCTTAAAGCTGATCAGTTGGTACACAAGTCATTTAGGCAGGAGCTAGTGTTACAGTATTTTGTGCTTGTTAAAGAGTGAGATGACAACAAAAGACAATTAAAGGTTTCTTGACTGTTTTTGGCAACAACAACAACAACAACAAAAAATAAAAATAAAAACAAACTCATTTCCTTCTCTACAATACAGCTCAATACAGTGTTGTTTCATCAATATTTTAGTGATTTTTCTTCCAAAGAAAACTTCATCCTTCATAATGCTCCTCCAGAGTTGTACTGAATCTCATCTAACCACCTATAATCTGCACTTTACAGACCTAGACTGACTGACTGTTTGAAGGTACCACTCTGGGGGCTGAAATAGCTCTCAGATTATTAACTTCCATCAATCATACTCTATTACTTGTATCAGAGGTGAATGTGATGATATCAGCTTTCCTCTTTCTTCTTACTGTCCCTGGGTCAGGACGGGAATGTCAATCTCAATGGCAGACATGCGTGAGCGGGAAGAATAACGATGACCTGCATAGCTGGATGCGTAGCCCTGAGAAGGGGCATAGCTCTGTGAGGGTGCGTAACTCTGTGAGGGAGCGTAACTCTGTGAGGGAGCGTAGCTGTAGGCCTGGGTCCCTCCCACTTCTGAACCATACCCGTCTGGAGCAGAAATCTGAGACATGTACACCTGAGGCGGTGCAGAGGTGATTACACTTTGCGCATAGCCCTGAGAAGGCAAATAAGGCTGGGTGTCGATCACAGTGGGAGGATATGTTTGTGGCGGGAATGGCTGAGGACCATAAACTGGCGAGGGAGGGTACCCGTTGGCAGTGAGAGGCTGTGTGGACAGAGAGGTAGACATAGATGGCAGCGGCAGCCAGAAAGGCGAAGGCAACTTTTTACACATACAATACCACATAAACATCAACAGAGCGGCCAGCATTAGTCCTCCAGAGCAGCCGATGGATACATACACAGCAAAGCCATCAGAGAAAATGTTGTCGTATCTGATGTTCATTTCCTTGGTGCGAAACAGGAACCAGACTGATGGAGCCAAGGCGATAGCTCCTCCAAGAAACAAAAACATCCCTGCCACCAAGTGACAGCCCGCACTGTTGACCAGGAATTTGAGGGTCTTAATGTCCGGTTCAGGCTTATCTGAGCAGCAGCAGGTCTTACACATTCCTGACATGCACAGCAGCAGAGCCAGAGAACCAAGCAGAAGGCTTGTTGGGAGACAGAACTGCAGTAACCGTAAATCCAGCTGGTCCACTTTGGAGTACCACTGAAATATAAGAGGACATGATTATTACTTTGTACTATAAAAAGAAAAAAGTAAAGGTAAAACAGAGCAATTTTCATGGAAGAATACCTCTGAATCATAGTGGTAGCATCCTGAATAGCCATCCTGCTTCACACATTTAGCCCACAGCCCATCATACACACTGATATTCTTGGCATTACGATTGAAGGTGACGAGTCTGGTTACACGCCACTGTGGGACTAATGCTGCCACAGCAATCCCTCCCACAGACACAATGGCAATGATGAAGGCAAACGCGTTGGTGGCGTGGATGTCCCGGCACGACATAACGGCTGCTGACAGGAACTGAGGCCAAGTTGAGAGTTCCTGATTGAGAGGATGAAGGGAGTCGGTTAAATGGAAACTAAAAAGCCCAAAAGGTGATTTTAGAAAAAAAATAAAGCACAAAGAACTCCTGATCCACAGAAAAATGCAGTTATACAAGTTTCTTTCTACGGCCTGATTATTAATATAGCAAGATAACAGTGCCACAGCTTGACCCAGCTATGGGTAACCCCCCTGTTTTTTCTTCTCACCACAGTGTAGCTGACCCAATATCTGCTATCCCCGAGAAACAATGCTCTCATTTCATCAGCAAACAAAGAAGGGGTGACGTTGGCTCAGAGGTTGCAGGGGAAAAGTGTCTATACTGCAGTACTTTACATAGACTTCATAGCTAAACAATAAGCTATTGAGTTATCTGCATTAAGTTGCTTTGTATGACAGCATGCAACAGTGACTGACAAAGCTCTGAGAAAAGTCCTGAGAGTATCTCAAGTCATACCATGTATCTGTTTTGCATTTTGTTTAATTCATACTTCAGCCAAACGCTATTCTGTCACACTGGACGGTCAAAAACAATTCAGCTGGGCTTGGATGTCAGGCACTTGTTAGACTGGACATCTGTTATAATGCAGTTCTGGTACAGTACAGACTAAAGAAAGGTCACAGCCCAGTTTTTTTCAGGCAGTTTAAAGGGATATTCCAGCGTAAAATTAAGTTAGGGTCAAACACACCATAACACTGAGTTAGACACCCCCGTGGAGAGATGAATGTTGCCGACCGAGTGCTTCTCTAGTTATACCAACTTTAGTAACAACCGTAGGATAGCAATACAGAGAGCCACGCGCTCAACCAAAACGCCACTCTATAGCCACAAATAATGCTCAGAACAGCACCTAACTTCATCAACAGTACATATAGGGTTCCAGCCACCAAACATCTTTTTAACTTTGCCTAATTTCTTTAGCAAAGAGACTAAACACAACTCACCTACTCTCTTCCAGCAGCCACTTGTTTGTACAGAGACCTCTGGGCGAGTCTATGGACTGCAGCAGGGTGACACAGCTCAAGGAAGAACATTTATAATCATTAATTTATCATCTCCTTGAAGTAATAATCATCATATTAATCATTTCGCACTGCAGACGCGGTAGTTCTTCTGCATTAGCGTTTCTGTTTGATTGTGTTTTCCATGAAGAAATAATCATAAATGTTCTTCCTTGAGCTGCATCACCCCACTGCAGTCTGTAATGGACTCACCTGAGGTCTCGCTACAAACAAGCAGCTGCTGGAAGAGAGTGGGTGAGTTGTATTTAGTCTCTTTGCTAAAGAAATCAGGCAAAGCTAAAAAGATGTTTGGTGGCTAGTACTATGGCTGGGACCCTATATGAACTGTTGATGAAGTTAGGTGCTGTTCTGAACATTATTTGTGGCTAAAGGGCGTGGCTCTCTGTATTGCTATTGTGTGGTCATTACTAAAGTCGGTATCACTAGAGAAGCAAGCAGTCGGCAACATTCATCTCTCTCGGGGATGTCTAACTCGGTGTTACAGTGTGTTTGACCCTAAATTAGTTTTACGCCGGAATATCCCTTTAAATATAATGCAGCGTGTCAAAAGTAGAGGAAAGCAGACTTTTGCAACAGGGGCAAGTCATGCTTATATTATTCAAGAGCTTACTTCTACTTCCCACTGTCAATTATATTGTTATAATCCACGCATGTTAATCCCCTTAGAAGTGAATAATCCCACTCCTTGCTCATAATGATGTTGTGAAATAATAGTGGGTTGACAATCGTAGTTCAGGACCTTTAGACACTTTGTTTTACTCACAGGGAACCCTTTGTTACAGACATCCTATACACTGCTGACATTTATTAACAAACAGTAACCTTTATACCGAGTGGATGAGTATTTTGGGTGATAATACTCCCAAATAACCTCAGACATGTCCGCTACTGTAACGTTATGCTAATTAACAGCTAAATTAGCCTGTAAACTGTTATACAAAAGAACACAAATTAACTTATCCATTGCTGTATGTGTTTACAGTACAAGATAAAACCTAAATTAAGACACGAAAGTGCCAAGGAGCCAACACTTACCGAGTCTGTTAGCAGTTAGCTACAGTTAGCATTTCAACCTGTTGCTCCTGGTATTTTCTCCTTAAGCTAAAACACGACAACAACAATGATTATTGACGTCTGTACCTTTTAGATCCAGCAGGTCAGTCGTGGTCGAATCGCATTCAACATATCACTTATTCACACAAGCTTCAGCCCAGGACGTTTGAGACAAAATTACAGTAGATAAGCCCGTAAACAGACAGGATGTGGCCTCTTAACAGCCGAGAGTACAGGGCATCGGTGCAGCGATGGTGGTTTACGCATGCGCGGAGGAGTTTTGGTTTGGAGGGCTGTTATTATACTCCTCAGCTCTTACTATCAATGTACACAGGTGAAGTGGAATAATGATTTGCCAAATCTGCTTAAAGACTTTAATTGTGTTAGACCGACCAGCTTTAACATTATTAACAACCCTGATGCAACCCATCACAACAGTTAGATCACAAATTCTACTTTTGGCTGAAAAGAATGTTGATGTTTTTAAGAAGAGGCTCCACCTTCCAGGCTTTTCACTAATTGCCTTTTTGTATTTCTCTTACTGCAAATGTTCATTTTAATCGAAGTTCTTAATTTTTTTGTCATTTTATTAATTATCTCTGTTCTTAGTCTTTTTCTTAATTCCCATCTTAGAGGTTTTGACTTCTTTTACCCCTTTTACATGGTAAAGAGCTCTTACTTATCTGTTCATTAAATATTATTTTCTTGTTTTAGTCCATCAGGTTTTAGTCTTTCTTTTTATCTTCTTTATCTCCAGTGTTTCCCAAAGGTAGCTCTTTCCTCACGTTATGTCACGGTGCATTTTTTGTCTGAAAAGTGCCATATAAAATTAAGTTGAATTTGAATTTTGAACCTCGACATTTTCAATTTTTGTTGACATGGCTAGACATTTGATAATTGTTCTTTAAATGAACTGTTAAAGTTTTAGTAGGTGGTGGGCTGGAGTGTAATATATTGAAATATTTTTGTTTCCCCTATTGTTTGTTGATTAAGTGAACAAAATATAGAGAGCGTATAATTAAACCCGTTCCAGTACACCACCATCACCAACCGCTAATAGTAAGTAAGTAAGTAAGATATAAAGATATAAAGTACAATAATCACCTGTCTGATCATATCAACAACAACTAAAGCTGTAGGGGCATCTGGAATACTGAATTTGTGTCAATGCTTTTATATTAGATCACATTCTCTCCCAAGGATTTCTAATGTTATGGTTGGCTGCTGTAGATCTCTTGTCCGATGTTTTATCTCCTCTGCTCTGACTTTGACTGATGTGCCCACAGTTTTAAATGGAGAATGTGTGTGTGTTTATGACTGGTGTTAATAAATGTACTACATCAGACACTTAATAAGGTCCTTTTTTGTGTCTTTCAGGGGGATGTCCGCATTCACATGATCTATAAGTCTGTGGGGCAAGAGGGACTTAATGATCTCTTCAATGGTATGATAAGACTATTAACATAGGGATTTATGATCTTATATCTACTTACATTGTGCAGAAATATCAATCACAAATGTATTATTCTGTCTTCTAGGTGAACTTCCAGAACCGCCTTTTCCCAGCCCTCCTTTTCCGGGGGCAAAAGTTGTTCACAGAAGAAAAAAGAGACAGGTATGCTCCTCTGCAAGTTAAATCATTGTAACCAATAGAAGTATCTTGAAAGACTCAGTGTGACTTAAACTTCAAATGAATACATACGTGAGTGTGGGATTGCACTGTTCCCTTAGTGTATGCCTCCAAGATACTTCACAAAGCCCAGACAGAGCACTGTTCCTAAACTTTTCAAACAACTGCTCTAGACCTCTCTCTCCTCTTCGTCTCTGTCATTAAATATTTACCTTGTGAGCTGCAGCTGCTTCAAACTGTGTATTCTTTTCTCAGACACAGTCAGATGTCTGCAGCTGTCTCTCCCTTAAAGCTGCACACATCTTATTTTTTAATTTGGAAAACTAGCAGACTGGTTAATGAGTTTAATGTTATTGCACTCCATTTCCTCTCTTTTTTCTGTGACACATAAGACTAAAAGCCATCTGATGTGTTGGTTTTTTGAAGTCCTCCCTGATGTCTTCTGTGACAAAACCAGTAAACTGTGTTGTTACTTTTTAGGTTTCACATGCATCAAGAAGCGTAGAAGATGAGACCAAATATATTGAGCTGATGGTGATCAATGATCATCTAATGGTAAGACTATAACCATACACATAAATATGATATGGATGTACAAACAAGATAATATTCTTTGAATGAAAAAACATTTACTCTTTCATGTAAGTTAATATAAGGCCAAAATATGCTAGAAAAAATGTGAAAATATGCTTGTCATGTTCCTCTCTTAGCTTCTGAATCATAAAATCCACTTAAATAAGTATTTGATTAATAATATTTATAGCTACTACTGGGCATTTACCCTATAATTTCACCATATCAGGATTAAATGTAATATTTAGTATGTAAGTGCTGTGAATCCATTGAAAATTCTCTGACATGATTCTTACATATTTAGGTTGTCTCTTTGTCATGGCTGTGTTGATGAGGTTTATAGAAAAAAAAGGTTAGACCAACTATGAGGATTTCTACATAATGTTGGAAGGACTGAGAGACACCATTGTAAATTAAATCAATACTCGCACTCTTAATGCACTCTGAATTCTCCATTGAATGTACATGAAACAGACGGTTGTCATGCGAACAGCCCTGAATAAAATCTCCTGGATGTGAAAATGTTTCATACACATCAAACTGATTTGACTTTTTTGAGCAGAAGCAAATGTGCAGACACCTGCTCCTTTTGAAGGTTTAAGATGAAGCTGCACCAGAATGTGAATCACACTTCTGTTTGTTTCCTCTCCACCCTCCTGTCTGCTTTTCTCTCTCTGTCTCTGTCTCTGTTTCTCTCTGTCTCTCCATTTCTCTCCTCAGTACAAGAAGTTTCGGCTTTCCATCGGGCACACGAATAACTATGCTAAGTCAGTGGTCAATATGGCTGACATGGTAAGAATTGTATTGATCTCCTTCTTGGAAAGCTTACCACAAGCACTCCCAGGTATTGGAGTTGCACATTGCTTTGTTTTCTGCTTTAACCAACGACTCTCAGCAGTGAAAACCGCTTATGGCTCATGATTTGCTGCAAAAAGCCATTAACCATTCTGAAACAGCAGTGGCATCCCAACATCGCTGAAGCAGATATTTTCATGTTTCATTTACAGGTAGCCACATTTGTGTGTTGTGCTGCTGAAACCTGACCTTCTGCAGGGTCATGTCTGTAAGCTGATAGGCTTGAGAAGCTGAGGAAAGGTTGTGCTTTTTGCCGTGTCCTTGAGGAGGATCATATGAAGCAGACACTGTTTGGGAAGTTCACATTGATTTCCATGTACGAGTATAGAATAGTCGCTTTTTCCAGGGTGTGCTATACCACCATGTCACTGAGGCCACACTCACAATGACATCAAGTGTTGTAGATAATACAGAGAAAAATGAAAAGGGGGGAAATGACCTTTAACTGAGTGACATGTGATGGATAAGGGAGGCATGCACTAACTTATAATTGACTTTGTTGATGCTTCTGAGGTACTATAATGCTCCTAATGGATTGGATTTGCTCAGCTGCCATATTATGACATAAACTTTAAGATAAAATACATTTCAAGAGAACTATCATAGAGGTTATATGTATATTTTTAGGCCCATGTATTACATTAGTGTTCAAATCATCTTGAAAAAATGAAGTGATTAACTTGAGTGCATAATCTCAATGACATTTGCAAAGTATAAGGACTTTATAAGAATTATGCCTTTGTTATCATTCAGTCCCAGCATTCCCTGGTAGAGATGTTTTCAAGTTAACTTTTAAGTCACAAAGCAATCTGATTTTCCCTCAAAAAGAAAAAAAAGTGACCTTGTATTGATAGCAGGGGAAACATGGATGAGTGTCACTGCACTGATTTCTGCTGCTCTGTCAGGGTTTCTAAAGTGCAGTGAGCTCCTCTCAGTAACCAGACAGCAGGAAGGAGAGAAAGTTTCAGGAAATAGTGCTGATAAAAGATCTTTAGAGTTTTTCCATTGCTCTTTGTCAATGAAACTTTCTTAAAACTAGATGCTAAGCTGTGTTTCTCTAAAATAATAGTCCCAAAAACTTGAATCCTGGCAGCTCTGAATGTGCACAAATCAAAGTAAGAGTAAGGTTGTAGCAGCCAGATGAGGACTGAACCCTGCACAGATCACTTACCTCTTTTCTTTCTGCTTTGTAAGCTTTGTTTTTGAAACTCTTGGCATTCAGCTCAAACAAAGAGGATTTTCTGTTGTCCTCTGTTTGTCTTGCCTGCAACCCAAACAGATTTTCCACTTATAAGAGCAAACATCATTATTTGACGTCCAGTTTGCTCCTGCGTGTCCTTCAAACAGTCACCCTTGCAGACTCCACTGCCTGTAATGTGCTGCTGTCTGCTGGCAGGATCATATTGATCTTTCTAGCGGTTTGAAGGAGGATTTTGTGACAAACAGCTGGAGATGTTGATTTAAATGAGACATGCCAGTCAGTGTGTATGTCAGTCAGTCCACTTTCAGCCAATCAAAGGCTTTCAACTTGAAGCGGTTTGGCTTTCAAAGAAATCTAATTTTTTATTATATCTGCTTTAATTCCCCAGATTTTCAAGGAGCAGCTTAATACCAGAATTGTGCTTGTTGCCATGGAAACGTGGTTAGCTGACAACAAGTTTAACATTGATGATGATCCCATGGTGACGCTGAGGGAGTTCATGAAGTACAGAAAAGACTTTATCAAGGAGAAATGCGACTCTGTTCATCTCTTCTCGTAAGTGCAGGACTTCGCTGTTTATTTGATGACCCTGATTCATTTCTTTTTTCATAATTTCATAACTTTTGTGACTTTTCAGGGGGAATCGGTTTCACAGCAGCTGGGGGGGAGCTTCGTACATGGGGGGAGTTTGCTCCTTGACGAAAGGGGGAGGGGTCAATGAGGTGAGCAGCAAATTTGTGGTTACAAGTTTTTTAAAAAAGGGCCTTGTCTGTGATCTTTTCCAGATTTATCTTTTTTATTTTTTTATCTGTCTCCTGCTGTTTCCCTCTTTGTTGTCTTTCCATTTGTCTGCTTGTCTGCTGGCCTGTCTCCTCTTTAGTACGGGAAAACAGATGAGATGGCCATAACACTCGCTCAGTCTCTTGGACAAAACATTGGCATCTTCTCCGACAAGAAAAGGATCCTTAATGGTACACAGAGAAAACTTGACACATCTGTGTTTCCTTTCACAATTAGATTTTAAATCTCTTTTTTATGTTGATGTTCGTCAATCTTTCTTTTCCCAGGTGAGTGCAAGTGTGATGATCGATGGTCAGGCTGCATCATGGATGATGTTGGGTAAGTTTCTTTATGGTATAAATGATCATCAAATCTTTACCTTAAAGCCACAGTGGAGACAGTCAACAGATTGTATGAGAAAAAATACAACCGGGGCTAACAGATTGACAATGATCTTCTGGCAAATTCTAGTCACTACATCAGCCATGGATACAGTTGATTCCAGGCTTCCTGGACATTTGTCTGCTAAACAGTTTTTTAGGTGATAGTGTTAATGAAGTATTAATGACCTTAGATTTAAAGATAATGAAAAATCGACCCTTGGATTGATTGGAGACAACTTAATTATAATCTATATTGATGCAATTAAGATTATCCAATATCAATTGATAGTCTTTATAAATGAAATGAACCCTATCCAACTCTAAATGTATAAGGGACAATTTACAGTGTAACTGGTCATGCCATCCTATGATTTATTAAGGCAGGGTTATCTTAAAGCTAAGGTCATGTTGGCAAACATACTGTGACAGAACAGCACGCAAAAAACAGGAGCAACAGCAAACACAATCCCACATTACACATATAAAACACAGCATCAGCAACAAAACAAACTCTGACTGTGCCTGTAATGAAGTGTTGTTGTAGTCCCATACTTTCCCTCTAGGTGTCAGTCCATGATTATTTTCCATAGGGCTTGTTTATGTAACTTCACTGGGCCTCCGTCTGCATTAATGTGTTATATAATCTGTTGCTTGCTAAGATAGAGATAAGATAGACCAGTCTGTGTATGTTTTGTGTTTTCATGCAGAAATCATGAAAGTGTAAGTGTGTGTCCTTCAGTGTGTTAGTTCACTTCTGCAGTGTTTAAACTGTGCAGTAGTTTGACATAGTGCTGTTGTGAGCACTGGGATGTGACTGCGATATGTGTGTTTGTGTATGTACCCCTCTTCTTAAATTCCTCTCACATTCCCCCCTGTATCCCGAATGGGACAGCAGGTGAGCAGAAGCTTGGCTAGAACGTTGCCTGTGCTGATTTTGAACCAGCTGGCTGCCTTGTAGGGGTTGTCAGTCACCACAACCTTTCCCATCTCATCGGACAACACTACAGCCGCTGCGGCCCCAGCTTCTCTTTTTATTCAAATGATATGAACAAATACAGTTTGCTGTCTCTTTTTCATGCGCTGACTGTATTTTTCATCATCATTTTGTACAATGTTACATGTACTTTATGTGTATTCCTCAGTTTTTTGGCCGATGTCACTGGCTGATCAGCCAAAAACAAAGAAAAAACCTATATTTTGATTACTCCAGTATTAACTGACTTCTTTCTTTTTAAAATTCAGGACTTTCATCAGCTTTGTATGTCCATGTCTAACCTATTGATACAGTCTGCAATGTCATTTATCTCCCTTTAACATCAGTGCAGCCCCTTAATAACTCCATCCAGAATTTATTTTGGTTCCAAAATAAACATTTACATATAATACGGTCATATGCTCACCAGTGAACAGACCTGGCTAATATCTATACTCTCTAAAATGAAGTCAATGGTATTTCAGACGCTTGTACTCAATGAGCAAACCACAGTCATTCCCATTGACTGATCTCTCAGAACCGGCATGTCTGATCAATCTAACAGACTACTAACTTTCCTCACCTTTTCTTTCAGGGTTTAGCCACCGTGTGTCTGTGAGAGAGTGTGTAAGAGTGTATCAGGGCTTATTGTGGGTGTCCAAACAGAACCAGCAGTAAGTGTGCTAACATTTGAGCACATGCAGTGATCAGGTTAGAAGTCAGACGTGTCTAAAGTTTAGCGAGCCACATTGAATGTTCTGCTCAAGAGGGTGACATATGAATTATAATGATTGTGACTTTAAAAAAATAGAAATATGTTACTTTCTGTGGTTGCTTAAAGGTTTCTAATGTAATGCATTAAAACACAAGCAAACAATAAATTTATCAATGCAGAAACAAGAGGTTATTCAGGCTGCCATGCCACCTTATCACCACCAGGGGGTGACATGCTGACTGTAAAAGAGTGACACAGGAGAGAGAAATGTTTTCGGTGTGAGCAAACCTTTTTCTGGATACATAAGGTGCTTCATATATGAAGTGATATCTCTGAGGTATATTTTCCAATCTAATACTTTGTCTTTGTGCGGTTAAATGGAGTCTTAATATCAGTAAACTTGGCAATTGTTGTGATTCTTCTGGTGACTTCTGGCTAAATATTTGAGTACATCTCATTTGTGTTTCACTTCCTCTTACTGTTTAAAAGGGGAACTAACACTACAAGATTTTAACAAGATTCAAAGGCAAATCAGACATAATAGCTTGGACAGCTTTAAACCTGCCAGGTTTCAGAAATAAACCTGAAATATTGTAGTGTATTTCATCCATCATCTACCATCACTGGCCTGTCATACAATCATTATCTCTGTAGGTGGCCGCATTTAGTTGCTTTCCATTTCAAATTATGAAAACCCCTCACAGACCCGACTCTCTCCGGCTCCGTTATTGCATTGTCTCCTGTGCGGGTCGTGATGAGCTGCACAACCAGAGGCACTTCAGTTAAACACGTGCTGTAATCAGCATTATGAACAAAGATAATAACACTTAACTGCTGCTCACGGTTGGATTTGTTCATTATGAGCAGAGCAGCCAACCCCTGACATTTGATTCGATAGATTTGCAAAAATACTTTGGATTCTTATAAGCTGCAGGTGAATGTAAACTACACCTGTATTTCATACTTTTGCTTAAAATCAATCAGACTAAGGGTCTGAGAGTTTATTTTAACCACTGAGTTTTAAACATGATGATGCAATAACTGCTCACAAGTGTATCATCCAATATATCTGATCATCTCCTGGAAAAATTATAATTCATATGTCTTGGAATCCATCGACATCCTACTCGTCTCTGTCTCCGTCTATGATCCTCTCAATCCTAGCTATTATGCATATCTACCTCCTTGCTATAGTAAGGACCCTCTCTGAACTGTAAGTATGGTAAACCTGAAGTATAACCAGAAATTTTCATGGTGTGTAAGAAATACAAACACTTTAGAATAAGACAAACTAGCTATGTCTATTGTCTGTAACACTGGATAAAATGTGGAGTATGAAAAGTCGATGTCTGCTTTTTTCCCCTGTATTTTGTTCGGGGTTACAAGCCTCCTCCTCCTCCATATTTTCACCTGTGGATGCTGTCTGTATTGTTTCTGCTGTAACAGTGTAAAATTCTTCCTTTGTGTCGAACAGTTTCTACCTGCCTAAGAGGTTCTCTGACTGCAACGTGGAGGAGTACCACAACTTTTTAAACAGTGGAGGAGGAGCCTGTCTGTTCAACAAACCACTGAAGGTTCATCTTGCACTCATTCTATCAGAGAAACGAGTGTCTGCTTAGTTCTATTAGTTTAATCCTGATCCTGATCCTGTCCCCTTCAGCTGCTGGACCCACCGGTGTGTGGAAACGGCTTTGTGGAGCCAGGAGAGGAGTGCGACTGTGGCAGCCCAGCGGTGAGTTACAGTTATCTCATAGATGAGAGTAAACAGATGATAACAGGGATGTAATGTACTGTCCTGAAGTAGAAACTGGATAATTATGCGAGGTCAAACTGACAGGCTAATTATCAGACTCTGTCTAGTGAGAGACACATGTAATGCACAATCTTAGAGTTTGTTTATTTAGACAGATCAACGTGAAGATGTTTTATACTGCTTGATAAGATATTGTATCTTAAACTGGACCAAGAGCAGAAAACTTACCAGTTTTTTCCTTGTCTTTCAGGAGTGTGCCAAAGAGGGAGAGGCCTGCTGCAACAAGTGCACCCTGACACAAGGCTCCAAATGCAGCAACGGACTGTGCTGCAATAACTGCCAGGTACAGAAGACAGATACAGCTTACCTTTCATTTTCTTAATCCTTTCACTTTTTCTAATTAAGATGAATAATTATATTTGCTGGTGCTCTTTTACACTGTGTTTTTGTTCTGGAGCACAATAAAAGTTTTCATTCCTTTTTTTCCTCAATTTATGAAACTTAAAGTCTCCTTGATCCTTCCTTTCACTGGTCTTAGAGATCATTCACAATAAGTCTTTCATACTTCATTTCTGAAGACAATGTTTTGGCTTTCCCCCACCTGTCATAAATGGACCTGTGGTAGTTTGATGTATCGAGAAAAAAGAGAGGATCCTTATAGTTAGAGTCAAAGTGACACAAACCCACCTTTACCAACACTTTAAGTCTTTTTTGGTTGTTCTCTCATATATCTTGTTACAGATGGAGTTCATGGGAGTTGTGTGCAGGGATGCAGTGAATGACTGTGACATCCCTGAAAACTGCACAGGCAACTCAAGCCAGGTGAGCTCAAACCTCCATCACACTGATTTCTGAACCCTCAGGTTTACACAAGTTATCAATGTTTCCCTGAAACTTTCGTTTTTTATTCTCAGTGTCCACCAAATGTGCACAAGATGGACGGCTACACATGTGAAAAGGATCAAGTAAGATGTTTACATGGCATTTATGACTTAGTGTATTTTGTTTGTAAAAGTAAGGCTTTATTCTGGTGGTATATTTCACTCTTTAGGGTCGTTGCTTTAATGGAAGGTGCAAAACCAAAGACAGGCAGTGCAAGTACATCTGGGGAGAGAGTAAGTAAAAAAAAAACACAATACATCTACTCTTGGGACTAAGCACTAAATAAGAAATAAATATCAAATTTGGTTTGATTGCGTCTCCTCAGAGGCAACAGCTGCTGACAAGTTCTGTTACGAGAAGTTGAACATCGAGGGGACAGAGAAAGGGAACTGTGGCAAGGACAAGGACACCTGGATCCAGTGTAACAAACAGTGAGCAGATCTTTTCTCCGACTTCAACCAGTTTAAATAACACATCCTTCGATTCTGAGTGATTTTTATTTTACTTCTTTGTGTTTCAGGGATGTTCACTGTGGCTACCTGCTGTGCTCTAACATCTCACCTGCCCCACGCCTGGGAGAGCTACAGGGTGGTCTGACCTCTTTCTCAGTTGCCCGCCACAGTGCTTCTCTGGACTGCAGGTTTGTTTCCCGGTGACAAAAGGTTTCCAGACAAAACAGTGTATAAAAAACTTAAGTATATTAAAATCACAAATACATGACATGCCTAAACTCTGAACTCTAAAGTTTTCCATCATATGTAAATTCCCCACAGTCTTCCTCGGGTTAAGATCTGTTTTAGTGACTCAGGCGTGTTTGTTTTTAAGTGGTGCCCATGTGCTGATCGACGGAGACACTGACCTCGGATATGTTGAAGATGGGACGGCCTGCGGGACAGACCGCATCTGTTTCAACCACAGATGTCTGCCTGTCCAGCAGTTCAACTTCAGCACCTGCCCCGGGACCACGGACAAGACCATCTGCTCTGGACACGGGGTACACGCACACATACATGACTGTGCACCTGCTTTTACAACTTGTCCAAAGCTGTTGTCATTCAGTGGAGAGGTATGGGTTGTACAGACTGATTACTCTGCTTTGCAACATTTCTAGACATTTTGACAAAGTAGTGGTCCCTAAGCAAAGCTGTAAAAGTCTGAGAACTCAGAATTTCTTCCAGGGGTTCAAAATTATTCATCAAACCTTGAAAAGACACATTTTCAAAGCCGTTAAACACCCGACTAAAGCACTTTTTATGTCTTTTATGTAGACAAGAAGAAATATGTTCATCCGCCTCACAGTACCGACCATTAGATTGAGAAAGTTTGTTCAACTCATAAACCTGACAAAAGGCCTGAGGGAGAAACCGAACAACGACACAGTCTCTTCAAATATTTGAGAAACAAATGAACTGCTTTGCAAGTCTGTCCCCATTGAATCGTTTTAGCTTAAAATTTGCACTGAAAGGTCCTGTAAAGTGGGGCGTGACACCAAATTCTGGGCCTACACTCTCAATGTCAGTGGGACCCCTATCCATGCCAGTGCATTACCACGCTTATGCTGTGAAGAGCCAATTTTGAGGTGGACTTAATGCTTATGATACCTTTTGATGAACTAAAAAACCAAAAGAGACAATAATTAACAAAATGTGGCTGCAGTATGACTGGTGTCTAATGAACTAGATGTTGCCAAAAGAGTCTTCATTTACAATTTTTACTGCAAATATTCTTACACATTTATCAGTAAGAAGACAGCAAGATGAATGAAATTCACAGAAAAGCAGGAAAGAGTTCAGAGATGTTAGTTTGTCCATCAAACCAAAAGTCAAGGTTTAAAATCTCTTCTTACAGCAAAGTCAGAAAACTGTTCATCCTCTCCAAAAGCCTTGGTTTCTTTTATGCGGGGTGGTGGAGTTGCTTGGCAGTGCCTTAAAACCTCTTCTTTCTCATGCTGTAGGTGTGCAGTAATGAGCTGAAGTGTGTGTGTTACCTGGGCTGGGCGGGAGAGGACTGTAACTCCACGTCTCCTCTGAGTTATCTGGTGGTGGGACCGACTGCCCCAGTCTCAGGTACAGAGACTCTGACTGCTTCTTTTCCTCATCCATAACCCTCCTGACCTCACATTTTCTACATCTCTTGTCTTTACGCTTCTTTTTTTTCTCCGTGTTTCCTCTAAACAGTTTTTGCCTCCAGCTTCATCTTTCAGTTCTGCTTTGATAACCACCAATCCCATTCTCAATGTTGAGATGTTAACTATTTGAAGCTTCGATGTGTTGTGTTTCTTCTTTATTTTGTCTCTCTGTTTTGGTTCCACGTCTGCACATTAAAAACCAGCTACATTTGTAATCACTGAACCATGCATGCGTTCTTTTTGTTTGTCATTATTTTCACACTCATTCTTTGTCGACAGGCCGATGTCTTTGACGGAGTGACTTGAGGTCAGATTTGAGTTCCTTTTCGTTGTTTGTCCTGTCTCTGTTGCCGTCATTTTCCTGCTCCTCTTCCTTTCTCATCCCAACTTCTCTTCACCTCGAGGGATTGATTATGACAGTGATTTATAAGAGTATATACTGTACGTTTTTATTGTTACCCTGAATGAGAACCAGCTGCTCATGGGATACCCTCTCAGTGCAGAGCTGATGGACCACAGCAGTTTGGTTCTTCTCATTTTTGTCCCCCTTGTTCTCCTTTTACTCTCTCCCTGCTAAATGTTGTGTGTTTTTGTGTTCTGCTGCGGTATTTTGTGGTTAGTGTTTCCCCCTGTGTCCACATGATTCACAAAGAACTAGCCCAACATCCAGTTAACACACATGTGGCTCCTCTCTCTCTCTCCTATCTCCTCTGTCTCAGGTATCACCAGTACCAACATCATCATCGGGGCCATCGTAGGCTCTATCCTCTTCCTCGCTCTCATCATGGCCGTCACAGCCTGGTGTTACAAGTAAGTGTCACCTGAGCCTGCATGTGTTATGTGGACTACTGGGTGTCAGGAGAATCCAGGGACGCACAGGAAACTAGTCCGACTAGTATAGAGCTGTAAGATCATTCATGAGATCAGGGAAAGGACTTCTGTCTCTGATGAAATTTGTTTTTCCCAGAAGCTACAAGCAGAGACGTTACGTCGAGTCTGAGGTTCACAGAAGATTCTGCCGGTTTGCTCACCTTAATTTTTTACCTGTGCTTTTCATACAGAGACTGTAAACTTGTAGTTTCTTTATTAGTTTTTTATTAGCCTCAGATTTTATTACTGTTGCATTAACCTTCCTCCTGTGTTAGGGTCTGCACCGACCCGTTTTTGTTTTTAAATGCTTGAAAGAACCACATAAATGAGCTTTTTTGCATCAAGAGTTTTTGACTTTGTCAGGAACCTCTATTTCGACAAAATAATAAATAAATAAATTGACTAAATTGTAAAATTTTCTTATTAAAATTATGGCACTTGTCGTGTTAGGGTTGCTGTTGACCTGGTTTGATTAATATCTAATAATTAAAGCAAAAACTGAAATCATAAGTGCAACACACTGACAGTCAGATCCTCTTCCAATCATGTGAGATTTAGGAAATTCTCATTTTTCCATGTTTTTTCCCTGCACAAAAAATGTTGGGCATGTCCAGACATGTGAGATCAACTCAGTTTAGATGTCTGTATGAGGGGTACACTGACAAAGAAAGGCCCGGAGCCCCACTACAAAAAATATATGAACAATATTTTCATGGATAATGAAGCCTAACAAGGTAACCTAGAGATGCTAGAGAATTGTTTTTAGTGTAATTTACAACTGATTTAAGACACGGGTCAAAACTGAGCCTTAACATAGTGGGTGCGTAGTAAAAGCTAACACAGGAGGAAGGTTAAGTCTTTGATTATGGTAAAAAATACAATCAACAACACAATTCAAATTTTAATATTAGTATATTTAAGTAAATCAATATCATTTAACTCATACCATGATGTTTCTTTCAGCTTTTCTCTAATCCAAAAAAATCTGTTGTGTTTCTAGACAAATGCCCCCAGGTGACTATGTTACAAAGCCTGGGGATGCAGATTCATTTTACAGTGACATGCCCCCTGGAGTCAGCACGAACTCCGGCTGCAGCTCCAAGAAGAGGTCAGCCTGCCTGTCCCACCTGCAGATTTGCACCCTGTCTTTCACTCCCTCCATCCCGTCCATTTCTCAGAACATCTCTCTGTTTGGCTTCAGGTGTGCCATCTCATCATCATTATCACTCATTCATTTGCTGCTGTGTGTGGATGCTCTGTTGTCGAGCTCACTGGTGTGTTTATGCTCCATAATGGTGTGTTCGTGCCATCGCTTTCACATATGGTGAAAGGATATCGTACCGCCTCTACATTTCTCATATTGTCACATCACATGCAGTCATCATGTCATTGTTTAATGGCTCACATTGTTGTCCTCTGCTGCAAAGGTGTCTTCCTGTTTCTATCCATCTGTATCAGCGCTCCCCTTCATCTCTTCTTGTGCACCAGGACCAGAACAGTGCTTTGCAGATTTGAAAGACAGATGATGCTTTACTGATGAATTTCTTTCAATGCTGTTTGTGTGTGTTTGTTTGTGTGTGCAAATGTGTAGATCTAATGGGCTATCTCACTCATGGAGTGAGAGAATCCCAGATGCCAAACACATCTCTGACATCTGTGAAAACGGTCGACCGAGGAGCAACTCATGGCAAGGTAATACATAAATCCAGCGCAGTCCTAGAAAAGAGGACATAGGTTACATTTTCTGAAGTTGATTTAAGGGTCTGAAAAAGATGAACAAGCCGTATTATGTTTGAGTCCCACGACTTCTTCTCATGTCCTGATAAATACATTGAATTTTATCTACATTGTAAGTGGGCCATATGTGGCAAGGAGCTTTTTTTTCACTGTAAATGCGATGAAGAAATTTTAGGTTGAAAATGAAAATCTTTGATAGTCATCCTGATGGTGCCAGGCTTATACGAGGTGCCTCAACAAACAGTCTCCATGCTAGCCAGTTTAGCTCTTTGTGTAAGTAAGACACCAGAGGACAAAACAAATATCACAACAGGATCCTTTATTTCGAGTATACAAAGATTTTTGATGTATGTCAAATGATGTATACATATGTATATAAGCGCCATACTTCTTCTCACCATTTTTCTTCAAACCTTGAAAACATTGAAACTGTTCACTCCAAAAACATTTTCAACACTGCGTAAAATCCTAAAATCTATGTGTTTGTGTGTTTCCAGGAAATCTTAGTGGAAACCGTAAGAAACTGAAAGGAAAGAAGTTCCGCGCTCGCTCCAACTCCACAGAGTAAGTTCCTGCTGACAAGTCAGTCATGTTGAGAGATCAATGTAAGTCCAGGATGGGATGTGTAGATGAGAGAAGTATTGATGAGAAAAAGACTTATTCAGCTGATGTTACTTATTTTTTTATTTAATTTTAATCATGTCAACAAATCCAATGAAAGACAAAAGAAAACAAAAGTCAGTGTTTAAGTTTTAAACCTGCTACACATTTCTGTGGTACTGAACCTCAAACATCTTGGATCCTACAAAAGATGTAAATCAGTAAAAACTGGTACGGCAGGTAGATCACAGAGATTGTTACAACAGAAACCATTAAGCAACGGTTCAAGTCAGTGGGTCCCAACTGTGCTGCTCTTTATCCACAATGTTTGATTTGTTAATGGATTCATAATTCTTGTAAGAGTGGTCAATAAGTGCAGTAAATTCAGTAATTGTTTTATGACTTGCTGAGCGATTGTGTTTCTGGTGAACTCTCTGCAGTTTTCAGGTGCCTGTTGAATCGGCGCTCACTTTATTTTGGTGCTAATGCTAGCTGCGGCTAAAGCTTCTCTGTATTTCTTCATTACACCTGAATTAGGAGATTTTTTGTGTTTAAACTTGAGGATTTTTTTTCCTCACACAGTTTGAAAATTGCAATTATGTTTTCCTCATCTGAAGCAGTAATAGGTGAACACACAGATGACACCATTTCTACTCTCCTCCACTTCGTTGCAGCAAAAATCAGTACTACTGTCTCCACTGTGTGTAACACTGAATCGTTGACACCATCTTATTGTGTTACACTTCCTCCTGTATCGGCTTGTTTAAATGACTTTATTATCAGAATAATTGATAAGAATAAAAAATATTGTAATAATAGGCCCATTATTCAGCTGAAATCCCTGATCCAGTACAGTTTAAGTGTTTTTAAAAAAGCTGGAACGGCTGGGTGCTGTTAGTGTGATAGGAGCTGTTTCCAGATGAGAGAGTTGCTCATCACAAGGTAATATCCTTACAAAACCTTTACCATTGCACTTCTCTATATCCAGTGGAGCTGCCCCCCTACTCGCCTGACATTATAGTAATTGCTGCCTTTTCATTCGGTTTGTTGACAGCAAGAAAACGAGGAAAAAAAGTGACATAATCTTGATATTTAGGGGAAAACACTTTTATCAAATGTACTATCAGAGAGAGAGAGGTTTTCAGGTGCAGGCTCGCTCGCTAGGCAAGTCTCAGTCTATGAGATCACAGCTCTCAGTTCTTGTCTAGCTTGTGAGGCTGCATGCTGCCTTGAAACCCATTAAATCAATGCATTTGCATTTTTGCTTGTTGACTGCAAATGAGCCATGTGCATTGGCTGCACCCCAGCCTTGCATGTGAGTTTGTTAGTTTGTGGGTTTGAAGGTGCTGTCATTTAGCTCTTCGGTGCATCTATTCTCACCGCTAGTATGAGACTTGCTGAGCGGCGAGAAGCTAACTGCTTGGAATGATGTGACATGTTGCCAAAATGCAACTGATCCTGTACCGCACGACACAGTTGTTTGTGATTTCCATGGTGCAGTGTTCATCGGAAACCACACACCACGGGTCTGTCCACCATCTTCTCACCATTCTCTCGATTGCATCTTGGTGTTTGTTCAGGATATCTTTGCTCTGCTCTGCTTTCCTAAAATATCTCCTCTTCCTCTCTTTCCCCTCCTACACCTGCTTTTTTTCTGGAGATTTTGTGTCCTTTTCTATTTCCTTTCCTTCTTCCTTCCTTTTCTCTCTTCTCCCCCTCCTTGTGTTGTGTCCATCACCCCCCTCCCCCTCCCACAGGTATTTAACCCCTCGATCCAAAACAGAGTTTTATGATGTAACTAAATGGGTAGAAGATGTGAATAGAAACACTCAAGGACCTTACCTTAGGTATTACCTCAGATCATGTCCTGTACCCCACACGCTTGTCTTTAAAACCCTCACTTTTGGTTTCATTTTTGGCATAGCTAAAGACACTTACAGTTAGCTTTAATCTGAGCTATTTCATACAAACATTTAAAAGCTTCATGGCAGAGAAAGTAAATAAACAACTGGCATGATGGGACTCAGAGTTCCTGAAAGGGGTTAACTGATGAGCATTATAGGATGTACTTTAAATTGATTCTGCTTTAAGTTTAAGTACATTGTCTTTGTATTATTATCTCACTTTTTGTTTGAGTGAGGACTTCTCTTTTTGATCAGCTGCACTTTACTTTGCAGTATTTCATTTGCAGCACATCATTCTTCTGTAACTCATTGCAAACAAAAACCGGCTCTTACTGCCTTTGCTAGATTTATAATCACAAGTTATGATTCCCTTTAATTTTCTCCTTGGCTTCTACCCCTCAGTCTGTCGTTCCCCCAGCATGTTGTGTGTCGTGTCTGTGTTGACCTCGCCTCGCTCACAGTGGCCTCACAAACGTCCACATCATTGTGACGTCACTGCTGCCCAATTTTTTTTATAACCCTGCGCTGACAATATCACTGTGCTGCTGAGACAAAACTGTAAACCACCACTCTGATAGTGTCCGAGCTCTGTAGACGAACTCAAGCTGTAAGGATTCCTGTTTATCAAGGAGGAAGTTTATGGTCTCACACATACTGCCTGTCAATCAGCACTGTGATCTGTGGACTTTCACTGTATCCAAGACCTCACTTTTCCCCTCCTCTATTATTAGTCTGAAGGTAAAACAGGTCCAAAGAGTGGAGAGATGTGTGGAATGACATCTGTGAGCCCTGCTACCAGAGCTTACATAACATTTAAATATCTCCTTGAAAATCAAAAATAAACATCAGTTCATTATTCCCATCAATTACATGTGCTTGAAGCAGTCCTAGTTAAACAGCCTATACCAAAAAGATTGATACAGGACTGCGCAAAATCGATTCTTCGAGACTTCTTTAAGTTAAAGGCATGGTTGACGATCTGAGAGGCAGTTGAAAAAACAGAGCCATTGAGGCAGATTTGAAAAAAGCGTCCCACCCCCCACACACAAACCTCCCCCCTTTGTGCTCCGCGATTCCACGATAACTTCCCGCTGAACCTGGCTTGCAGAGCAAGAAGCCAGCCGGCAGAAGATACTATGCTAGCGTAAAACAGGATTCACCATGTCGGATTATTAGTGACTAGCAGCAGTAATCGCCAGCTCTGCTAGGGAGCACCATCTGTTGACATTTCAGAGACTAATAAGAGTTATTTATATAACATGTGCCACGATAAAAGGAAAAAATTACCTGTTCAACAAAAACTCTGTTGTCTTGGCGTCTGTTTTCAGGCCCAAATCCTGGTGGAGCTTTCTCCACCGCTCGAAGGATGACCTGATGTTTATTCAAGTTAGATTTCCTCTCTTGGTCACATTTCCTCTTCGACTAGTGTTTTCTTCCCACTTTTGGTGGTGGGTCAAGCAGAAGTGTTTTTTGCGTCCTTATCCATCACATCTCCTGTAGCTAAGCTGCTATGCTACTTTTACCCGCTCAGAGCTCCATGGAGGGCCTGGAGAGTGGGAGGGGACGAGTCGGAAACACGCAAGAGGGGTGTGTCAAATACGGCGAGGTGATTGGATGGAGAGGCGGAGCAGGAGATTGACCAATCGGAGCTGTCGGGGACGGATGGCTCCCATTGGTCAGTGTTTTTGCAGCCCTGCACCTGCTAGGGTGAACAGATTTTTTTCTTATTTTTTTTCTCTTCACTTTGTGGAGATCGCACGATATGTCCATGATCGCTACATAAACGAGGTTTATAATAATTACCAATCTCTCCAATCGTCAACCATGTCTTTAATAACCACCCAGCTTAAAAACTCTTGTGCTAATAGAAGCTGTTTTTGACATTTCTTACATGCTTGGCATTAGCATGTTCATTTTCAGCTTCTTAGTTTATAATTCTAGCTTGTAAATTAGCACTTACGACAAGTTATGCAGTTGTTTCATTTTCTTCGGCACCATTGAAGGAATATTAATATCATGATAAATAGAGGAAAAAAAGTTCAAGAGGGAGAAATAAACTTTTGGAACCATTTGTTATCAGCTTCCCCACTCTCTCCATGACTTTGACAATCCTTGATGGGTCTGATCACCATGCAGCAGCGGTGTAAACAAGCTGCCACGCAGGGGACGGGCTTTCAATGGCTGTTCCACTGATTAGATCCTCTTCCTCTGTTCCTCTCGGTCTGTTGTTCTCACTCAGCTCCGTTCCGGTTTGGTCTGCCGTCACAGTCGCCTCATCACGCTCACTGCTCCCAGCATACCTCATCTAAACACACTATTTTTCTAAAAGATGAGTGGCTCAGCCGGAAGCAGAGGTTACCTCTACCAGGATGTTTTTGCTAAAGTGGATTTCTGCTTCGTCCGGCAAGTTTTGTGATGGAGCCCAATGATGGAGGAAATATGCTGTGGCATAGTGGAGTGTGTTAGTTTCAGGAGACTAGGACCAAGTCCACACTGCATCTGGAACTGTGTACCCCTGTTTACAGAGGTTGCTCCTAAAAGCTGAGCTAGTTACACATTCAGTTTTAACATATGACATGATCTGTCTGCATCTTTGCTGTGGATGCACACTAATCAAAGCTGTTATGACCAACCTCTTTCTGTAGGACGGTTTAATTATTAGATAATCAGCTCAGTGAATAGAGGATGTTGCCCAAAGTCACAGATCTAGATCCAACCAATCTGTAACTTTGGCCAACTTCGTCTTTAACCAACCAAAGCAGAGGAGATGGCGCGTAACTGATTTCACATCTTTTTTTTAAGGACACTATCCCCTGCCAAGTCGCCAACTTCCTCTACAGGATCCATTGCGTCCAGCAGGAGATACCCGTACCCCATGCCCCCCCTCCCTGACGACCAGAGGAAAGGCAACAGGCAGAGTGCCAGGGCAAGTATTGATCAGGAGCATTTCAAAGCAGAGTTGTCTGAGCTGCTATGAATTAAACCCAACCTTGAGATGTGATTGTTGACAGAGAAGAGAAGGAAGACAAAATCTGCAAAATTTGATAACATCTAAAGTTTTTTTTTTTACACTCACATTAGTCCGTCTTTTCTGTAAATGAACTTTTTACTGTTTTTTCTATCAAGATGATCATACAGTGGTCAAGAACTGCCACTGCTGCAAATAAAAAAAGAAACGGTGCAGATAAAAAAAAAAAAGCCAAGAGGCAATGCCAAAAAAAAAAAAAAAGTTACTTACTGAGAAAATAAAAGGATGCAAAAAAATAATAATTCTGCCGGGGACCAATAATGATGATGCACTGGTGTTTTACGATCCAGGCACAGAAAACGACGGTGAGAAGATGAGCAAAGAAGTTAGTGGAAAGGTTATTGTTTAATTTTGCTCCATAAACTTTTCAATGTGTCGTTTGGTTAGGTCATGTTGCGCCTGAGTCGATATGAAGTTGAACTGAATTTAACACTACACCGGCATCCTCCAGTTCAACTTCATATCGACTCAGGCGCTACATGGCCTAAACAAATGACACAATGAAAAGTTTACAAAGCAAAATTAAACAATAACCTTTCCACTAACTTTTTTGCTCGTCTTCCTGCATCATCTTCTGTGCCTAGATCGAAAAACATCTGTGCATCATCATTATTGGTCCCTGACAGCTCACTTCCATTATAGATTTTTTTTATTTGCATCCTTTTATTTTTTGCAATAAGTAACTTTTTTTTTCCATCGCCACTTTTTTTTGCGTCGTTAACTTCCATTGTGGCTTGTTTTTTTTTTTTGCATCGGACTTTACTTTTGTTTGCATCAGTAACTTTTTTGGGACTTCTTTTTTTATTTGCAGCCGTGGCAGTTCTTGGCCACCGTATTATCACTTTATCAAATGCTGCAATTTTGAGGTAATAAATGTTGGTGGTAAAATGGCAAAAAACCAAGGCAGCACTGAACATTAATGCCCGATATGTCATGGCATAAAGTCTCTGTGTCTTGTGTTGACCTACGTTTGTGTTTGGAGATTTAGAGATTAACCCTGCTCTTCCAACCTCTTTTCTTTTCTTTCCTCAGCTGTGGGAAACTTCAATATAATGCTTGGTGCCCGCTCTGCAAAAGACCTTAAGGAACTGCTCTTGCGTCTCCTTTTCTGTGAATGAAAAACACAAAAATTAAACAAAATTGACTCTAAACAATGAAAGAGAGAGTGAGCCCCCCCTCTGGAGTAAAAAAATATATATGAAAAGGTGTTTGTGAGTTAGTGTGTCCAAGAGTCCCAGATGCTGCCTGTCATTGAGTGGATCTCTACAAGACAGAGATGGCAGAGGACCCACTACATCCACTCCAGACCAGCCAGGGTTCTGACTGAGCTGTTCCTGTCTGCTCAGGCCTCACATCCAGGACTGGAGAAAACCCCCTCCTCCCTGACTGTCTACCCTTGTGTCCTTAAACCTTGTCACATCCCCTTCAGCCTGACTCTGATCATACTCACTTAAACACCACCGTTGCCCCTTTCAGAGTCGTTTGGAGCTCATCGTTAAAAAAGGAGCCAAAGCAGGTCATGGAAACACACCGCATCCCTGGATTTGTTGGATCAGTTTGATGCCATGAATCACTGTAGAAACTCTGACACTGTATGCATGAGACAACCCCGTGTATCAACAACCTCCTCCTACTGAAAGACGAGACGAGAAGAACCGTTGTCTGATCTGAAAGGAAAGCATGCGAGGGGGCAGTGATTTACTCCTTCTGTAGGCATAGATGCTTTCTCATCACTATAGGCGACCCATATCGTATCACCATTTATAGCCCATAACCCATAACATGGACCCAACCTGACCCTGAGTGTGTGTAAATATGTACAGCGGAAAACACAAAGAGTATGTTTTGCTTTTGTTTTGGAGGAAGTCGAAGATGGAGTCTTATCCTTCCTCTCCCAGTCGTACTGTGTTGTAGACAGATCTCTGTAGAAAAGTGTAGACCCCACACTCGTCCTTCTGTCTCTTTCTGTTCTTTGTCCTCTTTTCTTTTTCCTCCCTATGACTTTAACCTGTGTGTCTGTGACCTGAATAGCTTCCTCCATCCACAGTAGAATGTTAAAGTGTTTTTTTTATATTACCTAGATGCAGGTTTCATCCACTTCTGGAAGAGATACTGAGACATCCAACATGGCTGAGGACATACCTGTAGAGATGTTTATTTTGGCACATTGGAGGTGTTGCTGAAGCAGCTGTTGATGAGTATTATTTAGGACAATTTTAACAGTCAACATGCCATTTCTGAGTGAAAGAATGGGCTGAGATATGTTTGGTGTAGATCAAAGTGTGCCACTTTTCACTTGTGTGGTTTTTGAAAAATGTTTCTATTAATTACTGTCATTAAGGCGTATTAAGTTTCCCTGATTCTAATCTGGACTTTTGAGTCATTTAGATGAATGAGAATTCAAGTTAATAATGTGAATGTTGTTGTTGGTCAAAATCTGCCCGAATCTGGACATAGCAAATATGTGCATTTTGGATTTAGCTGTAATGAGATATTTAGCCTTGTAAATGATGAAACTATGCTGTACAGTGCTTGCTGTTTGAGCTTGTGAAGACCAACAGCATGACAGATCTATTTTGAGTAAGTTATTTCTTCAGGTAAGCTGTTTATGAGACATTCATGGGAAAAGAGCATGTCACTGAAAGACTTTTTCCCCTCATTGTCTATTTGCTGTCGTCTAAATGGGCACTGTTGGTCAGCAAAGTTAGGACAATTCGATGATTGAGAGGCAGTTTTTTGTGCTTTGGCTGATGCCTGTGTCGCTATACAAGGTGGATTTACATGAAACTTTTTATGTATCAAACCCAGAAGCAAGTTCTTTGTACAGTAACAACTCTGATTGTTGTGTTAAGGCCTCCTGTTTGTCATCCCGCTGTTGTTAATTTGAATCCAGTGTGGGCACTCTTTCATTTGTAATCCATGTATGCGTTAGGACTATATAGGTAATACGATCTTCACAATATTGGATTGATATTGCTACAAGTATCTTTTTTATTAAGTACATTTGTAATGTCCACTTTTCTTAGTATTATGTACAGCAATGATTCAAGCAGTAATTAAGTGCATTATTGTAATTATGTGTGTGTTGATGAGTTTGAATGGAGACATGTTGAGTTTTTTTTTTTTAAACACATTGTCCCCAGGTAAATAGTGGGGTCGTTCCTCTGGCATGTGCTAATCTGTATTATATAAGTTTGGACACACATAATGTTGTAAACGAGATGTGTACAGGCTCATGATTTGCCTTCTTCCAGAGCTTTCTTCTTTGCTCTGGTCTTCTTTTAGTATTGTCCGTGTTTGAAGGCCCAGTCAGGTTTCCTGGTCCTTGATTATATTTTGAACATCATATGTTGTGCTACAGCAAAGGCATCTGACGGGGTGTCACAGACATTGCACAACTGAGGATGGGATACCACTGACTAACAGTGTTTTCTGTCACTGTACAGCTGTCAATTTTCTGAACATATCTGACTGTGCGCACAGATCCTCAGCTGGGCGAAACGTCCCCAAAGATGAACCGCCTGTCTGCGTCTGGGAAGAGACTTGAATGTATTTGTGTACTGGAGAACACCAACCAACCAGTCTCACCCATTTGACCTGCTGTCGGGCACATCAGCCTTCTGCTGCAGGGGCACCGGGGACCCTACATATGTGCGAGTTTCAGACTAAATACTGCAGTTGCTTTTTTATCTTTTTATTTGGTTATTTTTTGCCTGTATGCTGTACAGACTGATGATGCAAAAATCAATGCCATTATTTTACTTTCTCTTAATCATTCAGTATTGTAATATATTTAATATAAAATAAAACTTTCATCAACACTTCTGCCTTTGGTTATATTTTGGTTGTTAGTAGACTTTACTGTAGAGGGAAAGACAATGCAGGTTGAACACTTCGTATAGTGTTTGGCACCTAAATGAGAAACACACTATGAACAATCATTGTAGGTGTTTTAGTTTTTTATTATAAAATACAGTCAGTTAAATATGACCTCATGTTAACATTACACATATACAGCGACATATTCCTCCAGCTCAGCCACACCACTACCATATTCTTCCTAGTTTGGTTGCTCAGCCCAATCCCCAAAAACCCCACTCATGGACATGGAGGCACATTTCCAAAAGACATTATCTAGACAGCAAACCTGACAATTTTAGCGTCCTTTTGACTTATGCTGAAAAATCTAAACATTATCCTGTAAGACTCAAATTCATACAAGAGAGTTGCATGTTTTGTTGGTATTCAATGGTGAATCTTGTTTCCAGGTAGAAACAAGTGTGATGTGTCCCAGTCCTCTTCTTCGTACGCTCACAGGCTCATAAACTGCGCGCTCGACACTATTAAAGTTTGAGAAGGTTAAGTGCTTCGGCATTATGGCGGACGCTTTGACTGGGCTATAGTCCAGCCCACACATCCTGCATGCTTTATGAGCTGGGGGCTTCACAACCAGTACACAAGGCTGATGAAGATGAGAATACAGCCAGAGGACGGGCGCTGCCAAAAAAAACTTGTGGGGAATGAGGTCATAGGTATTGAGTATATGTGATTGTTTTTGTATGAGGCATTAAAAAGTTGTTCAGAAAATCCAACTTAGCATGTATCTTACCCTAAAACAGACAGCACTATTATTGGAAAATGAGGGATCAATGCATTTATACACAACCTCAAAAATACAACTTAATCCTCGAGCAATCAGATACAACAGAAACAGGTGGGTTTTTCTCAATCTTTAATAAATAAATAAACTTTTCGGACCACTAACAGAAAAGCCATCTGCTGTAACCTCTGTGAACAAGTTTGCACCGACACCTGAATTTCTGTCGTCATCCGTCGTTCTAAAAAGATTTACTAGTTCATTCAACTAATCAGCTGTTTTCACAGAAGACTCATCTGTCATCTTACACTGCTGGTACAACAAAAAAGTTGTCACAAGTTGGTTGGGTTTTAGGTCACAAACGGTTGTCGGAGGGGTACCTCAGTGCCTGCAGTCTTTCTTCATGGAGGGCTTTTGAAGCTGTTTCTTCACTTTCATCCAGTGACTCTCTGATGCAACTTTTTAAATGTTCAACACCAAAGCCAGTGAGGGCAGAGACAGGAACCACGTGTCTGAAGCACAGAAAGTTCTTTGGTTTCATGTCATCTGGCAACAGATCAGAAAACTCTGCAGGAGGGAGAAAAGAACAAAATCCCCATCAAGAGTATGAAGAAATAAAAGATCAGTGTGGATCAAAGTCCTGTCAACATGCTGCAAGCAATGAAAATAGGTGTGATTTTTCCTTTTGTTTCTCATCAGACAACAACATCTAAAGTCATATGTGTGTTGTTACTTGGACTATTTACCAGATCAGAGGCCCTGAAATCTGACCTGCAGCTCTGTGGCAGTCTGTATTTTTTGTTACTGTATTTAATTTTGTTCTCTGACTTTGCAGTTTTTGGTCTCAAATTTTAAAATTTGTTTGCTTGTCTTAATGTGTTCTTCACCTCAAGTTGCAGCGCATTGTGCAACTAAAGTTAGAGTGACTGATACTCAAATGCTAAGTGAATGAGTATGAAAATTAAGAATAACATCAAATAAATTTACCTTCTGGGTTTTGTAACTGCTCCTTCAATTCTTCTAAATTCTCCTCAGCGTCTGGCAGGTCCATCTTATTCACCACCAACAAAGCAGGCTTCGATACCAGCTCCTCTTTGTACAACTCCAACTCCTTGACAGAGAAAAAAAGAGTGGGAGGAAGAGGAGGAAGAATAAGAAGATGGAGTAGGTTCATAAAAAATCTGTAGGGGGCGGGTAATTCAAGGATTCAAGTGTGTAAGAAATATGCTGAGAATATTGGGCTTTGGGTACAATATTTAACATTTTTCTTGAAACAATAAAAAGTTTTTAACAGTCTTAAAGTTTTCAGTCTGACCTTGGTGAGAAGTTGAACAGTTTCAAAGGCCGTTCGAAAAGCTGTTTTACTGGCCAACTGGAAACCAGAAACATCGACCTGCAGCCACATGGAGTAAAACAAAAATTAAACTCCATCATCGTCATCGAACCTCTCAGCTGCTTTTCTGACAAAAGTCAATCATACTTGTCAATAAATATACAAAAATGCACAAATCCTCTTGTAGGCGTACCACAAAAAGTAGCTGCTTGGTCCTCTCCACGTGTTTCAGGAACTTGTGGCCCATGCCTTTGTTTATGTGAGCTCCTTCAATCAGGCCGGGTAGATCAGCAACAGAAATCTATCACAATTTCAAACATGAGCAGAGGACCTCTCAGTGACAAGAAAGCAAACTAAACGAGCTCTTTATGGACATTTTAAGTGAAGTATTCAATCTCTCACCTGCTTGTAATCTTTATACATCAGTTTACCGATTTCAGGCTTCAAAGTTGTGACTGTGAAAAATCAAAGATTTGAGAATGGTTGCAAAAAACAAGTAAGCAGCTCCTGAGCACTGTTGTATAGTGTTGTTTACTCACAGGCATAGCTGGCAATCTGAGGTGTGGCATTCGACATGGCTGTCAGAAGAGATGACTTTCCTGCGTTTGGGAACCTGAGAGTGAATCACAACAAGGAAAATCTGATATTATGAGAAATAGATGTGCAGGTTTGAATCGCTGTTAAAATGAACGACTTTGTGTGTGTTTCTGCTCTCACCCTACAAGGCCCAGGTCTGCAATTAATTTGAGGTCCAGCCTTATGTGTTTGGCCTTCCCTTTAGTGGGCTCAAATGCAGAATGGAAGCTGCCTCCATGTCCTCCCCTTGCAACTCTTACACGATCCCCCTCTGCATTCAGCTCACCTTTGAGAGAGGGTGTTTGAAGACAACAATAATGTTTCAATTTCTTTGTAATTACAAATCCTTTTGTTTAATGCATCAACTATGTATCAACAATGACGCAACAAGTGCTCAGTGACCATGAAGCCAAAAGATTTAGAGCTTTCCCCATTAAAGGTGAGGTAGGCAGGATGTGAGGAAGTGCCAGTTCTTGGGAGAAATTTTGAATTTAAACTCTACCCCTCCAAACCAGTTTTCCCCTCAGCTCCTCCTCTCCCCTCCCTCTCTGCCCACAAACAGACGCTCCCGCTCACTCGTATCATTTCAATTAAATTCAGATATAATGCAGATAAATACTTCAGATAATACAATAATTACAGTAAACAGCATTGGTGCTACTGTAGATGCCAAGAGACTACCAGCAAACACAATGTTTGCAGGACTTTTACAATCAGCCTCACAACCAACCAGAATAAAGTGACATAATCCAGGACCCGAGGTAAACAGTTTAGCTGCACTACAACATGTAGTGCAGGTCCCGTTTGACAAGAAACACTTCTGTTACAGACACTTGGCTTACTTTGTTAAAGGGGTTTACCTGTGCAGCATAAAGGTCACAGGGTCCGTAACATCCAGAAGCGTCCCCCATTGTTTATGCTATGTTGACCCGGCTTTTTAGCTCTTGCCCGGTGCCTGTCATTCCACCAGAGTCTCCGGTATTTACTTCGCTTTCTTGCTTGTATCGGCAGTCGTGGTCAAAGGAGGATTCAGAAAATTTTCCATACTTCCTTGTTGGTTTCTACTGTCTGATATTGTAGCACGTTAACTCTTTTTTGGCTCGTAACGACTCGGGGGAGCAGCGTCTGCCTCATAACCAATCAGGTCGGTGTGCGAGAATGGCTTTGTTTACAGTCAGAAAGAGCGAGCCGCTCAGAAAATTTAAAATGTTGACTACACAGACATAAAAAACACAGTGATGTCGTTATATTACCAAATGTCATCAATAACTTATAGCTACTGACTGATATTTAAAGCTTCTTTGTGTATACACCACAAAAAAAGATGCTTCTTTAACAGATTCCTGCCTACCCCACCTTTAATTTGCAGTAGTATAAACAGCAAAATAGTGTTAAGAATGAAAGTGGGGCTACAGAATAAGAAAATAACTTTTACAAACCAATTATTTTGCCATCATCTGCGGTGACTGTGATACCAACAGGGGCATAGATTTCCTTGTCCTGTCCCCTCTCTCCTTTTAGTGCTCGGACACTGCAGATAAATGAGATTCACACACAGTTTCTTCACACACAGGTAACTCACCAAATACCTCTGAAAAACAGGTTTGAGAATTTATCAGACAACATGTTTCTGTGTCTCTGTGAAACATCAACTCCCCAAATGTGAGTGATTGTGCAAACACACCTACTGTTGCCTCCAGTTCCAGCTTTAAACCGTTTCACAGGGTACTTGTCCTTTATCCTCTTCAAGGTCAAATTCTTTGTAGCCACAACCCAAACATCTCCTCCATCTCCTCCTTGCCCACCAAGACGGGGTAGACCCATGCCCCCGCTGCCCCCACGGACGTACAGACGGAGGTTATCCACGAAGTTTGCATACTGCAGAACAGATATTACAGTCATGACATTTTGATACAGTAATAATAAGTAACAAAAAAAAACCCACACACAGTTAATCTGTCTCACTGACACGTTACATGAACATAGTCTCAAAACTGAACCATGGGATTTAAACAAACAAAAAAAAAAACAGATTATGGCTCAATGTATTGGAGTGCCAATGCTAGTTTACAGTTAGCTTGCTCGTCAATGTCAGCACAATTTTGCCCAGTTCGGTGTCATTTATGAGCGCATTCACAGGTGGTTAATCCTTTTTCGCATTACATACCTTTCTGAAGACGACTCTACTTAAGTGAACCATCTTTAGTGGCGAATATGAACATTTATGTTGTATCCAGCTAAGCTAACGGGTAGTTCACATGTGTTTACGTGTGTGGGACCGGAAGTGGTACATTCTCTCAGCTTATAGGCTAATGACCCGAAGAGGCGGGGCTCAGGAGCTTTGAGTGGCAGCTAAAGTGCAAACAGTAACTCATGTACAGTAGACACACCATGTGGTAGCCTACATACAGCGATATAGTTTAACTCTGTCTTTTTTTTCGTCTAAAATGATTAAAAAACACAGGAGGTTAAGCCCTTTCAAACTCAGAGAAAGTATTTTAAGTGTTTTTCCTCACTAACTTGATTTTCCTTTTACCTAATGAACCATTTTCATTTAAAAAACCTCTCTCTGGACGAATCATTCACAAAATTAACGACTTTATCTTGGTCAGTTCTGAAAAACATAGATAATATCCGAGCATGCCGTCAGGCATGCTGCTTCCTTTAATCTTCAATTTAATGAACACTTAAGTACAAATGACTCATGAGCCATTTTTCATATTTTGGATCACTACATCAAGTCAATCATAGTTTTCTCTCTAACTAGTTTATCGGCATATATTTCAAGATACTGTGCATCCATGCAAACCAACAGAATGAGTAAAAAGCTGTTTAGTAAAAAGCCATTTTAACATGAGAATGTCTTCAAGTGATTCAGAACATTCACAGCTGTATTTTTGAAAAGAAAAAGTAAAACATTTCAACAATCTGAACTGAAACTCTGATCCTCTCATCAGACTACTTTACTTTTTCAGTTGATCCACTGGCTCAACTTACCCCAGAACTACTATTATGACTTTAATAGTCCTCTAAGCTAAAATGGTGGACTTGAATGCTATGTTTTTGTAGCTCATAGATACCATAGTTGATGTTTATAACACATTTAAAATGATCTTTTTTTGGTCTGAACACAATTCTCATAAAACTTACAACAGACTAAATTCACTTTCAAGAGTGAAAAATGTTTTTTTATTGTAAATAAATTTCTAACCCCTTCACCCATGCGCCTCTTATTGATGCCCATCTCCTAAATATTTGGTCACATGATCAATATCTTTGACCATTTCCAAGCAACAACAGGGGGTGGCTCAACTTACCCCACTCTCCCCTACTGTCAGGCATGCTTCCTTGGCTACTGCATATATGTGCCTTATAAATTGGCAAGATTGGATCTTTGGCATGATCGAGTTGTCCTGAGTATTTGGGTGCTGCATGTCTTCATCACAATGTGTCCTACTTTGAGCCCACTCAGTGAGAGAGCAGCAGAGAGTCGGCGGCGCTGTGAGGATGCTGAGAGATGCTGAGAGATGCTGGGATCTTCCGGCTCTGTTCCCTCCCGATGCAGCGTGAGATGCGCATGTGACGACAAAAGCAACATCAGGACCCGGCTTCTTCCTCTCTCACAGTACAGACATCAAGACACAGGGAACATCTCTACTGCCCAAGACGACGTTCAAAGGCAGATCAGACCTGAATTAGACAGGTCTGTGCGGCTGAACAGCACAGGGGTAAGTATGTGTGTGTGAGTGTGTGAGTGTGTGTGTGCATGTGTGATGACGAGAGAGAGAGAGAGAGAGAGAGAGAGAGAGAGAGAGAGAGAGGTTTGGCTTATTATCGCATGCAAGACTCCGGACAGTTGCATAGGTCCTCCCACTGATGTCTGCCTATTTATACGACCAGCAACGCTGCCGTGGGTCGTGATAAGAGGACACGACTGGGAGACAGAGCTACACACCATTACGCGGTAAGAGACCCTAATCTTGGCCGAGTGTTGCGGATGCCCGTGAGTGTGTGTTTGACCTAAATTATGCAATGATGGTGACACAGCCACTGTCGCATGTGCTCCTTGTGCCTCATTGGGTGCAGGAACCCGCTGCATGTAGTCAGAGCAGCGTAAAGTGGGAGGTTTGAGCATGTGGGTCTATGAGGATGATGAGTGAGGATGATGGGTTAAGAGACTGCTACATAGCTCCGCTCCTCCAGTAGCTTCTAATGATGCAACATCCACATTGTTGAAATGTCGAGTGCAAAAGTAAAAGCTAATTGTGTCGCTGACTTCCAGTCTGCTCTGTCTAAATGAGCTGATATTGTATAGATGAGGCTGTAGATGCGGGCCTGCCAAAACCAAACCACATTTCAACCAAAGATTTTATTGTCTGACAAAAAAAAACAGAGTTATTCATAATCAGACATTTGTATTTGGGAGAATTCCTTCCTTTAGCAGTGAAAAAAAAAAAGATATCTGATCTTTAACCAGACAACTTCCATTCTTAGTGTCATGGTTCGACTTATAGGGTCACTTTCTCTCTAGGTCTGGCCAACAACATTCAGTACAATATGTCCTTTAACACTGTACATCCTCTCCACACATGATGCTAAACACAATAAGCATATGTAGGCACAATGAAGGGCAGGAGCACAACAACAAACCACAAATGTTTTTACACTCAGGAGTTTACATTTGGCTGTTATCACATTTTAGCTGTGGATTTGTTATAATGTTTTGTGTCAATGCAATGAAACGTGCCTTTCGTAGTAAGTGAAATTGCATCACATTTCAAAGACAAAGCACTACACATACTTAATATTAGCAGCATGGTTTTAATATCTTAAAAATGTATTGTCTAAAAGAGTAAATTCTCTGTATGGTGCAACAGAGCACAATTGTTGGCACTATGTGGAATTTAAATTTGTAAAGAGAACAACCACCGCAAGGTATTTATCAATGAAAAAGCTTTTTAAAGTGATGGGGGAGATCTGGAAAATTTGGTTTGAATATTTAGGGGAGTGTATAACAGTTCCATCTCCAGGTGACCAGTCATACTGCTCTGAGATTTACTGTTGTCATTAGCTTTAAAGCAGCCAAAAACTCCTACAGATGGGAAAATGAATACCGGCTCTTAAAGTTTCCAAGGTCTAAATTTGACTTAGTTCTGAACTAATGCTTCTTTTTGTTAACCACAAGGGGAGACTTCTTGTTATTCTTACATTTTCTTCATTTCCATGGTGGATTTGGTTGACCAAAGAGGCCAACATCTTAAAACCAGACCAGAAGCTTGTGAATTAAAATCCACTTGCAGAAAGAGACTATTTTTTTATGCATGGGTCTATGGCAGTGTAAAATGAAGTTTGAGCAAAATGTGAAAATAAGAAGAGGAGAACACTGTTGGGTTATTCGTCAACCAGGGGGACGACACTCTCCAAAGAGTGCAGGCAATGTGTGGAATCCCAGTGCTTTCATTGAAAAGGGTAAACAAGCTGACGACCAAAGACAACCAGTTAGTCTACAGGAGCAGACAGGGAGAGGGGTAGACTGTATTGGCTGCAGTGGAGACATGAGAGTTAAGATGAAAAGGACACTGAGCCAGAGTTTTGGGATGTCAGACAAAAGCAGTGTGGGCAGTGTCATAGTTATGAAACATGGGCAGTGGGCACTGTAGTGGGTAATGTTTTGGCGGGAGTGTGTGTGAGTGTGTGTGTGGTTGTGGTGGCCACTGGGTATGAGAGGAGGGGCTCTGATGGTTTGGTCTGTCAGCATGCCAGGACCACATTCTCACCCTGCTTCTGTTGAAAGGGGTGGTAAAGACATAAACAGGCCCAGTGGGATTAGGGTCCACTCAGAGGAGTGATCTGGGGGGATTTGCTGCCCGGCGGGCACACAAAGGCACTGTCGTGTAACACACAAACACACACTACACATGCTCAACGGCAACGTTTCACAACAGACCGAAGCCTACATAAATCTGATTAGGACTCCCTTTTGTTTGGGAAGCGCACCGGGGTTAACACAGGCTAGCCCTGCCGCAGGCCTTGTTTGATAGGACAAGGGGTGTGTATGGACATTGGCGGGACAGTAGAGAAAAAAAGTCAGTGAGGAACGTAGTGTTGTGGCGGGGTGTTTCCACGTGTGTGAAGCCCCAGACAGACAGGGAGGGTCATAGCTGTGTGTGGAAGCACAATAACAGGATGGATAAAGGTTGTTCAGTGTGCGTGTTTTAGTCAGCTGATGGTGGACGGACACAGGATCTAAGCTAACATGAGACAACAACAACATTGTCAGACACAAAGAGAACAAGCCGGTTTGAACCTGCTCAAATAATCTGACCTAGAAACATGAAAGCAGTGGAAGCACAAATGGGCCTCTGCTTTTAATTGAATATCCATTGGACGGATACAGAAATGTCTAGAACTTTCTTCATATTTTTATCATTCCTCCCCAGAGCCGGCTCTGGCCCAGGCTGTAGCCATGCCTCTTCTGGAAGAGACCACTCTGCCACAGGAGCACCCACCCACTGTCCCTGTGGTCATCATAGGTAAACTTTTCCCCCTTTCCCCTGCCTTTCCCCTGTCTCTCACACTTGGCTCTGTTTACCAAATAACATCACGCAAACCTTTGTAAGGCCTGTCCAATGTTGCACTCACTCTGCCTTCATTTCAGGGAATGGACCGTCAGGAATTTGTCTGTCATACCTTCTCAGTGGATACAAGCCTTACCTGGATACGGCAACTGTCCACCCAAACCCAATACTCTACAGGAAACTCCAGGAGACCAAGCACCTACCCATCACTGAACAAGTAACCACATCTACAATTCCTTGTGCTTAGATTTGTGATCATGGTCAGGTGTATCATGGATACTTTCTTTTGTAGGATTTGGAATATTTGAGCGAAGGTCTTGAGGGGAGATCAGGGAACCCAGTGGCTGTCCTTTTTGACACACTACTGCACCCCAATGCTGACTTTGGCTATGAGTTCCCCCCTGTACTCCAATGGAGGAGGGAAAAGCAGCATCACATCCCACATCTGGTGCTTGGGAGGGCAACACCTGGGGGAGCTTGGCATGTAAGCAATCCTTGTTGAGATCAATATTTTCTGTCAATCAACTCTTTTGTACTTTTGTCTTGTATTTATCTCTGCACTTCCCTTTGTAGGCAATGCAAGGATCCATGCTGACTATCAGTCTTGGTATCTGGATGGAGCTGCCTGGGGTGAACTACAGAGACTTGACCAATGGGAAACGCAGGTACTGAAAGATGACAATGTTGCAGGACGTAGTTCAATGAGCGGTTTTATTCTGTAGTGCTTTTCCTATACTTGTCCCCTTTCTCTGCAGGGATGTGACCAGTGACAGAGCTACCCCTGAGGAGATCTCATCTTATTACCGTAACTATGTGAAGCTAAAGGGCCTCCAGAAGAACTTTGCTGACAACACATACGTGACCTGTGTCCAGAAACTCTGCCGAGGGCATGAGGGGGAGGGCCTTGAAAATGGGCACACTGGACAAGAAAATGGAGGGGTGGGTGATGGTGGCAATGAAGGCTTTGAGGGAAATGGAGTTGAGTGTCTAAACAAAGGAGCAGGGGGTGCTCTCTGGGAAGTGAGAGGATACCAACAGCTGCAGAACGACACTCATGTCCCTTTCTCCGTGTTTGCTGAGAATGTAGTTCTGGCCACCGGTGCATCTGATTCACCAGTCCGATTAGGTGTGGATGGTGAGGACCTGCCATTTGTTTTCCACAGCATCTCAGACCTGGGTTTGGCCATAGGCCAAAGAAAACTGGATTTAAAGTCTGATCCCATTCTAGTTGTTGGTGCTGGTTTGAGTGCTGCAGATGCAGTTCTGTGTGCTTGTAACAGCAACATTAGAGTGTTGCACGTCTTTCGTAAGAACGTAGACGACCCAGACCTCATCTTCAAACAGCTGCCCAAAACCCTGTACCCAGAGTACCACAAAGTCTACAATATGATGTGCTCCCAAACCTACATCAATGTACCCCCCTCCTCTGCCTCTAACAGACCCCATACAGTGAGTATTGCTTCCTCAGTATGTGCCAAGATGTGCCCAAAGCCCCAGCTTGCAGCAGGTAACATGGCTGGTAATTCCAGTGTTGGCCTGTTTCCTGACTACACCAGTTTTCCTGAACACTGTGTGGTCTCTTTCCAGTCTGATATGAAGTGTTTGATTCAGGGGAACAACTCCCTCAAAGCATTCAAGATCTCCATGGCTCTAGTGCTGATTGGGACCAACCCAAACTTGTTTTTCTTGAAGGGGCATGGACAGTACCTGGGTCAAGATCCAACCAAGCCAGTCAGCTGCAAGCAGAACCCCATTGACATCCACCCCTACACTTTTGAGTGTACCAAGGAGCCAGGTCTGTTTGCCATGGGCCCCCTTGTCGGAGACAACTTTGTTCGCTTTCTGAAGGGGGGCGCTTTGGGCATTGCCTCCTGTCTGCTGAAGAGACTCAAGAAGAAAGGGAAGCTCATCAGCAATGGTGGAAATAACTTCATCTGAAAAAGTGAGGAGAGTTGTGCATGCTGGTTAAAATGCACAGGGTTAAAGCTTTCTAACTAACAGATTTATGAGGGGAAGGGAAAACCAGAGGTGTCAAATGTTAATATCATTGATGCAGTGTTTTTTCATCAAAGCTAAAGCATTTTTTACAACTTTTCAAGACCAAAAAGACAGTGGATGTAATTAGTTTCAGAAGAAACAAGCTTTCAAAGAGTCTTGTCCGACTCCATTAGAAGTCCAGAAAAGTTTAAGCTACCATGTGCCAATGTTTTAAAGTCAACTGTAACCTCATGACATAATGGGACCTTTTTTTTTTTTTTTTTTTTCAGGGTTATTTATTCGTCTCTCATGTGTCTCACAATCTACTTGCCAACAATTCTTTAATGGCTGTTGTAGACTTCTCTGAAGTAAAGGCTACTACCGTCATTCTCATGAATCTAAAGCTAAATGTGAAAACAGTGCACTCTGGCAAACCTCACAAAGTTAAGATCATCCGAACTGAAAGTCACACAACATGAAGTAGCGAGTGTTCGTAGTAGTGGATGCACACAGGATTGGTGTGAGGAAGGGTGACCCAAGTTCATAGCTAAGCAATCCAAGTGTTCGTGATTGTTCTGAGGCTGAATGTTTTGTTTTTTTTTATTTAAATTTTTTTCACTTTTGTCTTTTTTTAGCTGCTAGTGAAGGTAGTTTGAGCCATATACCTAAAAAAGCTAGAGTCTAATAAAGTTAAGCTGTTGCTTTGGTGTAATACTACAGGAAGGCTTTCTATGCAATTCAAATACAGATATGAATGTTTTCTTGGACACCCTTTACTTATTTCTTATTTCTAAGGAAAGTGTCATGGAAAAAAATACATATTATTCATAGGATGACCTATCCAGACTTGAATATTTTCTTCTGTTATTTTTCCATTTAGTATGAGCTACTTACGAGGAAGAAGAGCCCTTTTAAAGTTTAAATTGAGTATAAGAATCAACTTCATAAGGGATAACTTAATTTACATAATATTTGCCCAAAAATGATCTGTGCCTGATTCTTGGGCTTGGAGACTTCTCATTAAATTAGCCCATGCTTTGAAGTTTGTCACTTTAATTCCTAAATATGGGTATGGTTTTGGTATTAAAGTTTTCTCAAGCAATAAAATGAGAGGGATAGAAAAAAAGATGAATAAGCACCATTACGGCCCACAGAAGGACTGATTGTTATTACATCATGGCTAAATTTAAGTGAAAATTAATGCAGATCTTACCTTTATCATCTTAACTTGACACTATAAATACACCAGTAAGTGCAAACCTCCCTATACCTTGGCCAGTTGCCGCAGGCTTAACTGACTCCAGATATACAGAAAGAAAATGTGAAAACATTTAATTTAATATTTATTTTTAACTAACTATTCAAACATGCTCAGTTTTTTCTTTTTTTGCGATTAGATAACTTTAATTTAACACGAACTATTCTGTGAACTAACACTTAACACTGACATATAAGCTATGTTTGAAAACTGTTCATTCACGTTTTTTATTGAATGTCTATTTAACTGTAGTCATTTTAAAAGTTTGTAATGTGTTAACATCGCACACTTTTTTTTCTTTACCTAACACTACAGAGCAACTACAAATCCAGACTTCTCTGAAGATATTTCAAATTTTCACGATTCACCAACACTGATTTCTTTGCTCCCAACTTGCACAAACTGACTAAAGCGAATAAAACAAAATTTCAATGAGTCGCTTAGTAAACAGCCTAAATTACAAATTACAATAAGTGTGAGATAAGACTTTTTACAGGTTTGGAGCAGTGAAAGTAGCAATCCATTTTTTCATTCACTCCATATTTTCCACCCTTCATACCCATTTGCAGATTTTTCTTCTGCACCCTCAAAATACAGTTTCTGAGTCAGAGGGGGTAACACATTACTGTGGTCAAAATACTTTCTCTCTAGTAGTTAAACACACTGCTGTATACATTTTCTTCATTATATAACTGACATATAGCAAAAATGTGTCAAATATTGAATTTCAGCTGAGTTATACTTTCATAGTTTTTGTTTGTTTTGATAAAAATATCAAAAACATGCATGTAAGCATGAACCACTGCCTAAGCAGCAGCAGCTGCTGTGAGCAGGAGGAAGAGAAGAGCTTTAAAGTAAAAGAGGAAAAAGAAACTGGAGAGGAGACAAGTCACCAAAAAAGTGAAGATGTGATTGTTTTTAATCTTAAAGGAAAATGAAATAAGATCCTGCTGTATCTCGGTCTGACACTAGTACCCGTTGCTCTTAAATCCAAGACCAATCTGCTTGCTTAATAAAGCAAAAACAGGTTTAAAGTGTGTCCATTTGTCCACATTTGCTTTCAGATGGACACACTTTGCATAGAACAATGCGCTGAACTACTGAGAGTTAACAAGTCCCCATTACTGCGGTGATGTCTCCCTGAAACATGCATGTTTGAATGCAAGTTACACTTTAACTTTTCTAACTTTACTCTAAATTTTCTTTTGAAAATGATGCAGATAGCATGTGAAAGAACCGGTGAGGGTTTTAGGCGCTCCATCAGTGGAGACAGACCTTAATTTTGTTCACTTTGCACAACACACAAGAGTCCTCCTGTATGAGAGCTGACACATGACATGAATTCAACAGCTGGAAGTGGATCTAGAAAACTACATTTGTTAGTCAATTTTCCTTTTTCTGAGCGACTTTCTGAGAAATAAAAATAAAATGAACCCGATCCAGCTGTTGAAATTAACTGATGTCTAATATGATAAACCTTAATAATGATTAAGTTACCATTTATCTGCAGCTTTCTAAAGTTTTTAACCTGGTTATCTATCCTGCGGTCACAGTCAACAGGCAGCAGCAGCAGACGCATAGTTGCCACCGCAGTAATGGCCGCTGTGCAACAGAAATTGCTCGCCATATTTGTCTTGGTTACATTTGTGCAGGTTTTTGAAAAGAATAAAAGCAAGTTAACACAGAAAAACATGTAATCATGTAAAAAACGTGTAATCAATCGCTCTGTTATTACTAAAAGTAATGAGCAAAAGATCCCATTCAAAACGCAGAAATGGATTGTAAACAGGTGTTTGTTTTTATTTCTTTCTACGCCGAATACCATGTCAAACTCTTCGCTCATGGATGGCACTTGCCTTAAGTGTAGATCCTCTGGCATGACGACTACTAATCCGAGCAACTTCAGATCTGTAAAAGTGCCTATCGGGTCAGCTGATGGGTAATACTTCACAGAGGATCAAGTTGAATCCTACTTTTACTTTCAAATTCAGTCAAAACCAGGGAACACATTGGGTCTTAACTTCAAAATGAAGGAACAGCTGCTTTCAGCATGTGGAGTTTTATTGCTCTCTTGTACAACTGACAAGTTTTTAATGTTTTGTATGCTGCATTTTTTATTATTGACAAATAAAACGTTGGAAAAAAAACTCTGAACATGAGACAGTTTTGTTACATTTCCTGCTTCGGTGGCTTTGTTAATAGGGAGGATGCAGTTATTACAAATAAAGGAACAGGTTGAACAACAACACATGCAAACCAAACTTATTGTGTTGTATTATAAAGAGTTAGTTCAATCAAAGCAGTGTCACTGCTGAAATACATTCTGTAGTCTTTTTTTAGAAGGGATGGACATACTTCCTGAAATGACTTCCCTCTGCAGTCTTTCAACATGGAGGCATTTTATCTTCTCTTGGAGAGTTTGGTTGGGTTGTACCTGAAATAAAAAGCACACACGATTTTATGTCATCGGTCTGTCCATGTCAGGACAAGCTTTTAACGTTCCTCATGGGTCATTCCTCAATGTCCTTAGAGGCCTTTTGAACAAACAATAAAAAGAGCCCAAATTAAGAGCTGTAAAACATGCAAAGTGTTTGAACAGCTTAAAGCAAACAGGCTTCCTATAAACCACGTCTGGAAACTTCGTTTTAGACCGCTCAAAAAATAGCGTATTGTTTTCTTAGCAGCAGTGTCTGTTCCCCGGCTTCGCATGACTGACTGAGCATGAGTCGGTGATCAAACAGCTCAACCTTGACACGCACACACACACATAAAATCAATCCCAGACCGGCTCTTTTCTGCTTAGTCAAAGAAAACGTGGCAGAGGCGACAGTAGCAGCTTACATCATCTCTGTTACCTTAGCAACTTCTCTGACGAAAGAATTACTATGTTCTGATTGGTTAATCTGAACTCAGAGGCTCGAATCTACATTTTAATTAACTGTGTTGTCTGCACCTCATGATAATGACGCAGCCTTCACAGATGAACAATATTTTCACTTAAGGAAATAGAAAATTCATTTTAGACAGCATGCAGGTTATCAGTATGAGCGATGCAGGGAAGATTAAAGGTTCATCAATGCAAATTTTAGCGTCCCAGACAAACCAATTCATAACACTAGAATAAAAACACAAACTGGGGAACTGGAATCTTAATGAGAAGGAAAAACGCTAAAAAAAAGGGAATGAAGGATTTAAATATCACAGAGAGAAACACCAAAGTGACATAAGATAAAACATAAAAGCATGAAAAGACAGATTACATTTGCCTCTAACTGTAGTTATTATTTCAGTCTGGTGCACAATATTGTTTGTTTTGTATCATTAAAAACAGGTGATACACAAACCGACAGAATCTTTATTTTATGCTTCAGTCTGTTGGCAGAGTCAGAGGTTCGACATAAGAACACGTTTATTTCCCTGAGAATGAGAGAGGCACAACTGTGACTGTCACTTTAGGTAACTGTACGGATTTTATCAGTGACCTGAGATGACTGAGATATTCTGCTCATGTAACTTTTGAATGACTGATTAGAGGCGTTGTCTCTTTTTAAAAAAACAGGTAAAAAGCATCCAGTAAATCTCAGCTCATCACTAATTATCTATGAAATCCAATGACAAGAAGCTACAACACTGTGGGTTCACTGCTCCACCTCTAAACCCACGACAGATGTGGCATACAAACCTGTCACGGTTTTAGAGGATGCAGTTGATGGGTAATCGAGTTAGTACAAACTTTTAGAAAATCAGGTTCACTTCTCACCTGAAGAGGTCATCTCCCGCAGTCTCATCCTGTTTGCTCTGGCGTGCCTCCTGAAACAAACACACGCTCTGGTTACGAATGCCGGACTCGAAATGGATCACAGACATAAACCAGAAGTTCGTTGACAAAAGCACCTCAGCTGCATCTTTCAGCCATTCATCCAGATCAGTGTTCCTTCCTCTGTTGTGAACCAGCAGATCCGAGCCGCCGATGATGTGAGGGGAGCCCCGAGCACCTGGCACGCACATCTGTCGCAATCAACCAACCAGATTCAGACAGACAGTTGAAAATATGTTAATCACAAACATAAATAATTTTCGTCAATATAACTTTCGACTTAAGAAGCACAGAGTCCAATCATTGTAGATGTTGTTATAATCTGGAAATTCATGTTGTAAAAATAGAAATTTATGAGGGACAACAATTCCTTATTGGTGTGCTTCGAATCAAAAAAAGATAACTCATAAAATAAACTAAATATGCCATCATGGAAAAAAATAGTGCCTTGAACAGATTTACCAGATATCTACAGGTGGATACATCTTTCTTTATACTTTAAATTAATGTTAATTTTATTGTTATGAACAGGTGAGCTGTGTAATGTGTTTATAATCAGACGAGGACAAAATAATTAAACATCTGCTGGTACAACAATGCCTAACTGCACACGACACAGCAGAGTCTGCAGGGGGATTTTTAATTTGTTATCTGAATGACTAATGAGGTCCTGATGCAGTGGAGTCTGACCTTGCGGAAACGTTTGAAGTTCTTTGTGTGGTCGCTGTGCTGCATCCTTTGTGGTTTGGTTCTGGGGGCTTCAGTCACAGCGAGGGATCGAAACTCTACCAACACCAGCTTCTTAGGAAGGTCCTCGTCAATCTTTGACTCCTCCTGAGAAACAGCAAGAGAATACCTTTCATCAGACGGAGATTTTATACCTTCAGTCTAAATTTAAATGTTGTTGAATAACAAATAAAACAGAGTTAGATTTATTGAAACCACAGGAACAGTATTCAGGCAGGTGAGTGGTATCACCTGCAAATGCTCAGAAGTCCTAGTGGCCTTATACACTTGGGACAGCAGGTCTTAAAATGACAGGAATCAAGAATATCTAAAAGTTTAAAGATCTAATTGGACAGAGCTTGACGCTAACTTTTTTGACAAGGAGCACATGTGATGCTAAGTAGAAAGAGTAAGGAACGCACAATGAAAATTGATCCAATAATGAATGTCTTATTGTCCGACCTTAGTACTATTATTTGAAATCAATTTTAGGTCTTTAGGTCAAGTGACACGGAAGCTATTGAAGGAAAACGGCCTTTTTTGAAAACATTAACCAGTAATTTATTGATGGTCCCTTATTCAACACCCGACGTTGACAGTGAGGCTGTCAAGTAGATTTAACCGTGCTGCTGTAGTTATTCCCGGTTATGGAGAGTGAGAAGACACCAGTAGATCCTCAGTGAATGTCTGTCAAATATCCAACCTAAAACTAACTTCTCTGCAGTATTTACATGAAAAAAAAGTGTTGCCTCGGCTGATTTTTTGTATGCTCACATGTGCCCCTAAATACGTTCTATAATTCGCACACATCTATTTTTAGTCCCAAATGCGAGAGAAACGGTCACACTGTCCAGCCTCGTTGGAGTACCTCAGTTTAACTTCATAACTTAAGAAAAGTTCACCTCAGAATAAGATCCAGGTATGGACAGAAAATGAGGTTTACTCAAAGAGAGAAACTTACACAGACCTCCTGTTTGATCCTGGAGGGTCTCAGAGGAGTCTCTTTCTCTTCTTTGAGCTTCCAGGCGTCTTCTTCGGGTTGTGCAAAATCCTACAAGGACATAAAAGAATACAAAGAGTCAACCCAGCAATATTTAAACAATTAGATATCAGAATGAAAAGCGAAGCAGAGTATTTGAGTCCTCACCTTCATAAAAGCCGGATTCTTAAACGGCTGTGTTTCTTTACTTGTTGAGGCAGTTTTCATCTGAGGCCCTTCTGGAGGTTTAATGGACTCATGGTTAGATGCTCTGTATTCAGAAGGGCTCACCTGCTCTGTCTTAATGGTGATTGCTTTAGTATCAGTTGTTTTGTTGGGTTTAAGTTGGGAATCTGACTCTTTTTCCAGACCTGCCCATGGCCTCTTGTCGGTCCCGTTTTCTCCTACATGGACCCGTTGCCTCTTGCTTGTTGAGGAGGTCTCCACGGTGTCATAATCTTGTTTCTGCTTCATTGCTTGTTGGCCTTTGTTAACCGAGGGTTGCTCATCAAAGTCATCCATAACCTCAGACATGATAGACTCCAGTTCATCCATCGGTATCTCTGCTACCATCTCCTTCCTCTTTCTGCTCCTGGGCTCTGCCTGGATGGAGTGGGAGACCTTGTCTGACTCAGCCTGTGGCAGACCCACAAAAAGATCTGCTGCTGACTCCTGGAATGGTGCCGCAGAGACTCCCTCTGAACCTGAACCTGAGGCTGTTTCTTTGCTGGATTGTGGTTTTTGCAGGCTGTTGGATGATTCCAGTAGGGGTCGTTTGGGCTCTGACATAACAGCAGAGAGTTCGTCCTCCAAAGGCCTCGGGGAGATGATGAAACAAGAGACAGGTAAGAATAGACTATCAAGTGTATGGATCAAAATAAAAACGAGGATGTCTTTGATTCAGCGGGTATTTTGGGAGTTAAAGGGTAATTCTGGCATAAGTTTAAGTCATGGTCAAACACACGGTAACACCGAGATAGATCCCCCCTCGAAAGATGAATTTTGCCGACTGCTTGCTTCTCTAGTTACACTCAAACATTTCCTTGAAGTAATAATCATCATATTGATCATTTTGCATTGCAAACGCAGTAGTTCTTCTGCCTTAGCATTTCGGTCTGATTGCATTTCCATGAAGTAATAATCATAAATTTTCTTCCTTGAGCTGCGAAACTCCGCTGCACTCAGTGATCGACTCGTCAGGGCTCCCCCACAAGTGGCTGCTGGGGGGCATTATTTGTGGCTATAGAGTGGTGTTTTGGTGAAGGTGGGGGGACTCAAGTTTAAGAATAAGCCTCTTATCAGAAACAAAATGTTAAGAATTTCACAATTTTGTTTCACATAAATGTCAAAAACAAAACTGTACAAATGACAGATCATGAAAATCCACTCTCAGTTGTATAATCAGTCCCCCATCTGTGTACAGTATTTACCTTTTCTTGTTGACTGGTTGAAAAAACGTGGTCAGGGTCGATTGCTTCTGAGGGGACGCTTGGGGAGCACCTCTCTGTTTCTGCGGAGATTGCCCCTGTAGGAATGCCTTTGTGCCACCATTGGTCCTCAGAGGGGACGACTGGGACCAAACGCCACAACTGCCTGCACCTGAAACTGCAAAAAGCTATGAATGATTGATTTGATTTGGGTATTTCAGGCCTTCAGGTGATGCTTTCTGTTGAATAAATCCAAATGACGGGAGAATATTAGAACTTTTCTGATCTGTTCGTTAAGTATAAAACCTGAAAACATGAGGTAGCTGCTGGACAGCTTAGGTCAAAGGTCACTATATCTGCTTACAGGAACCTCTGACCATCTCTTATCCAGATATTAGATTTTGTCTAGCTACAGACTTAGTATGTTTCAAACAATGCTCTTAACAACCTTGTCACAATAGTCCATAAGTTATGCTAAAAGCAAATATAAATTTAGATACAGGAAATTCAATAACTTTACCTTTGATGATGTTTGGTTAATGTGCACAGGAAAACTAACTAAATCCTTTGGATCAATTTGAGGTATGAAAGTCAAAAAAATACTATTAAACAATGAACGTGTTACTTTACACCTGCTGTCTGTGTGTTTTTATATTTTAACATCCTTTTTTTGGTCATTTTGGCATTAACTGACAGGTCAGCTGGTGACGTACTGGAAGAAAATGAGTCGAGGGACAACTTCTGAGTATTCTGTGAATGTGGAGTGAGTGCCAGTAACCACTAATATGAAGACACTCCAGGAGACGTTGTGGGTAAATAGAGAAGAGCTCTAAAATGATCCAATCACCTGTGCAGATATTACAACAGCTTTGACACGAACACATCTGTTAATGGACAATTTTAGCCACCTGTTGGTTTGGACTCGAGCGTCTTCTTCTTCTCTGAGTTGGTTTTCTCTAATGTGTTGAAAGATGAGCTTGTTACGGCATCCACCTCAAACTGCGCAGCCTTCTTCTGTGCCACAGGTTCTGGTCTTCGGATCTGACTGCTTTGTCTTTTCTCAGGAGTCTCCCCTACGGTCGTCACCCCTGTGACATCCCCACAACGCTCGGTCCTGGTGGATAAATGTAAGTACACACATCAGACTGAAGAGCTCTGAAATAAAAAGTGTGGAGTACTAAGTTTAAATCAAACAAATGAAGGGCGTGTTTCTGGGTGTTTGTTAGTACCTTTGTGATGTCTCTGTGTTGGCAGCATAAGCTGTGATGTTCTGAGATGCAGCAGGTAACACCGTTTCATCCACCACCCCGCTCTGTGACAACGAAGCACTTGGGATTTTTGGTTTGATTTTTGGTGCGGATTCTTGATTTAAAAAAAATGAATAATTGAATCAAAAACTAGAGAGAGGATTAGAAAATACAGAAAGCACTCAGTTTTTTTCTCTCTGGTTACTCACCTGAGTCTGGGATTAGACTGGATGGATTGCAGTACCTGTCACAGGAAGCATAGATGGCAGCCAAACCAATTTCAGACTCTGCGATTACTCTGAGGCCTTTTCTGTGTCATTGGAAAATGGAAAAATGTGGATTTTTAAGTCTTGACAAATCCTTACTTTGAAGGGTAAATTGCCAAATAGGCTATTAAAAACTTTTCAGTAGCAAAAGAGAAATGCTCAGCAAACCTATGAACGACGTTCTTCAAAGACTTTGCCCACTCAGCTGCAGAGGGAGACAGCAAAGTTTGGGAGTTGCCTGTTGTAGACTCGATCACACAGTTCTGCGGAGACTCCAGCAGGTCTCGGGGCAGATGGCCCTCCTCCAGCAGATGACTCTTCCCGCCTCCATAACTCACTGCTGCACTGAGGCGCTTCATCTGCACACAATATAGACGTTTAACGTTAAAAAACAGAAGAGTCTGACTGTAAAATCCTTGTTTCAGAAGCAAGTTAAATAAATTACTGCTCAATTATCTAAGTCTAATCTAATAAATTTTCGCTTGTGTTCATGTTTTCCAGAAGTCACTTGACTTTTTCCATCCGTGAAAAAGGTTCAAATAAAGATTCAAATAAAGATTCAAAGGTATCCGAAATGCTGGCATTAACAATCAGATGAAGAAATGAGTACACTTGAAATAAAAATGTCTCTGGAAAAACGCGTGCTAGGACCCCGAATTTGGAGTAAGACTTGTTGAACTTCAGTCCTCTGTAGCCAAAATAAGAATTATAGCATCAAAACCAACTATGTACAAGAATATTTATTTATTGTCCAACAAAACTTTTTCCACATATTTTGTAACAACAGGAGAAAATTTACCTCAGGACAACTTTTTGTTTTAACTCACGGATGAAAAAATAAATTGATGATCTTGGCAAATCTCTTTTTATCAGTATTCATGCACAGCACACAGTGAGTAAAACCCTTACAGTCTGACTCAGTGTGGTCTCCCATACTGATCCATAAATATTTCAGCTACTGTGAAAGCATTTCCTCCTGCAGATATTCTATAAGGTTGTTGTACTCAGGTGCACCTACAGTACCTCTTCAGGGCGTGGAAACACTCTTTCACAGTGTCATGAAAACACAGTTCATATTTCTGCCTTTTTTTTTAAAGACTGTACTCAAAGATCATGAAGCTGACAAAAACCCATCTCAGTCGGTAAAGTGTTCTGCTGACCTCAAAATGAAGGATAATTGTTTAAAATCTATACAAACAGCCTAAGTAATCCCTCCAGGGGCTTGAGCATAAAAAACTGTGACATTCAGACAACAATCAATTATTAACAAGAGCTCAACTGGAAGTCTGAAATGTGTGAAATATGTGTGAATGTTAGAAGTGAGGACTAATGTTTAAGAGTAACTTTAAAACACACAAAAGGAAAACCATGTGATGACTTTGCTGTCCCCCTAATGAGGTTTTATAACAGGCACATGCTGTATGAGGTTCATCTGTGTTACTTTACAGCATAAACACGAGGTTCAGATGCTTCATATTTTGGCACAACTGCTTTACTTTGAGAGGAATAAGTTGAAGTCACAAATACGTCTGCTCTATCTCATTTCCACTTTAAGTGCTGACCTCTCCATGGAAAATGTTACAATAACACTTTGGGGTCTGGTTAATTTGTAATTATTTGGTATTTAAAGGAAACATTAAATCAAGCATGTTTTGAAATTAAATAAAATGTCCAATAAGATCTTGTTCTTTTAATGGTTTACACCGTCAGCCTTGAAGAAAATAGTCATTAGCTGTAGTTTTTTCTCTGGACCTGTGAGCCTCCCAGAGGATCTTCAGCCTGCAGACTGCCTGGCAACTGATGTTGAGCTCATAAACATGAAGCTCACAGATCACGTGACTTTTCATCATCTTTCAATCTAATGACTGGAAAACAAGGGGGCAATTACGCAGCCTAAAAAAAGCGCTCATTTCTCTGCCTCACATGTGTTTTACTGACTGTCGGGACAGGATGACTGCTGATAAAAGATCACATTACAGCTGCCTTTTTTTAATGACTGGGCTGCCTTTTTTTGTTATGGTATAAAGACTACACAGGTTTGTGTAAGGTTTTCAGACAGACTGAAGTAGACATACCTGTTTCTCACTGAGGAATATGAAAGTCTTTCCAGAGAAAAGCTGTCTGCGAGCCGGAATCGCTCTCAGGTTAACATCCTCTCTGTTTAAGCTGGGCTCATCGATCTCTGGGATGAAACTTGAAAGATGAAAATGCAGTTCAGATGAATTTCCATCGAGTTCACTATGATTTTAGTGTCCATAAAGAAAGATTGTTTTACCTCTCAGCTTTAGGGAGAGGTAATTTCTGCTGGATAGCTCTGTTGAGCTCTGAGAAGAACTCTGGTTTCACGATGGGGCAGCAGCACAACAAAGCAGAAATCGTCTAATCAAGAAAAACAAGATGCACATTTATTAATTTAAAGACAACCACGTGACATGTGCTAATCAGGGATCCATAACTTGGTTCAGACCTTGATGGTGACTTTTGTAGTGGGCATAGCCAGGTGGGTGCAGTCCTGAGTCCAGGTGTTGACCAGTTTTCCACCCAAAGTCAGCAGCACCTGAGACAGGGACGCTTTGCCGTCGTTGTTCACACATGATGAACACACCACAGGCTTAAAATGGTCCACACTGAGGTGAATCAGAATGGATGAAGGAGATTCACATTAACTATGAGTTACATGACCTTTTTTAAGTATGGAGTAAAAAGTAGAGTATTGTGCTTCAGTGCCATACCTGAATTTACTGTGAAAAACCCCAAACGTCACCTCGTCCCCCGACCTCAGGTTCACTGACGTGCTGTCAGTCAAACGCTGGCTGTTGACAAACGTACCATACTTGGAGGTATCTCTCAGCATGAGAGTCTGGGAATACAGTTTAGAAGAGCAAATCATCACAGTGTCCACCAGTCACACAAACCACCCCACACAGAGCACATGTCTCTGTTCAATTACTCATGGTCCATGAAACTCAGCCTGAAGCCAAAATATGTCCTAACCGAATCAGAAGAGCAGGATCTTCAGGATACACCGTTTAAAATGAGGTATAAAGAGACAATTTTTAAGAGGTACAGGGATGAGGAAGGTGTTGGGTAGCTCTAAGTGTTATGAGGTTGTTGTTTCTTTTTTTTTATTTCTTTCTTGTTTGTTTGTTTTATTATTATTATTATTTATTCTTGTTATATTGTTTTTATGTATGCGCTGTATTAAGTGGATGTAGATTTTGTTTTGTAATACAAAGTCATAAATGTACTTTCTTTATCTATAAATATCAGGTACATCTATATAAGTTGCAAGTAAGCTTGGTGTGGGTAATTATTATTTAAAGGAAGGGGTGGGCGTTCATAAGTTATTCTTCTTCTCACGCCTTTTCAAATATGTATTTCTATGTTTTATGTTTAAATGGTTCGCCTTACTTTTTTTGTTTTATATTTTTGGTTTGCATATTCAAAATAAACTTCAATCAATCAAAAAAATATGTTTGAATGAAGAGAGTTACAGCTTTGTCTGTTTTTCTACACTCTTACAGAGCGCAACTGTAGTTTTATGTTTATTCTTAGACCAAATGCACAAACTAAAGAGAAAGAGAATAGTGTTTTCATAATAATATCAATCTTATGAACATTTATTGAATAGAAAACTTACAGGCATATAAAGGCTCTGCTGTGCAATGAATTAACTGTCTGATCGTTACATTGGGAAGTGATGGAAACTTACCTGAAGATTATAGTTTTACATATTCATTTTTGTGTGCTGTTTTACACAGACAGCCTTTATGATGTAGATTTTTGTCTTTTTATAAAACAGAGATCAATCATTTATCAGAAATCAGGGTTGTGAAGTTGGTTTGCGTGTCAGCTGTGTTGGTCTGGTGCAATAGCGCCATCTTCTGCACAGAAATGGTACTATAATGATAAATATTTTCTGCAAGAACAAATGTAACACGTCTTCTTTGTTAGATATTATGAAAGTTGGATGCTGCAGTTTTCTCTATGCTGGAGAGTTAATGATAATATCTGCATCTCTGTTATCTCGATGTCTTCTCTTTGAGCAAATTCCTCAGCTTTAGTTACATGTTCATAACCTCAAATCTGACTTTGGAGAATGAATCTGTAAAAAGATAAGTGCTCAAACATACTGAATACATTGACAAACATATATAGAAAATATCACTGCTTCAATGCTTTCAGCAACTGAAATTATTAACCCTCTTCCTGTGTTAGGGTCTGCACCGACCCGTTTTTGATTTTAAATGCTTAAAAGAACCACATAAATTAGCTTTTTTTGCATCAAGTCTTTTTGACTTTGTCAGGAACCCCTATTTCAACAAAATAAAAATAAAAGAATTAAATTGACTAATTATAAAATGCTCTTATTAAAGTTATGGCACTTGTGGCGTTAGGGTCGCTGTTGGCCCAGTTAGATCAATATCTAATAATTAGAGCAAAAACTGAAATCATATGTGCACTGAGAGGGACCGCACTGACAGTCAGATCCTCTTCCAATCATTTGAAATTTAGGAAAATTCTCATTTACGTCGGGCATGTCCAGACATGTTAGATCAACTCAGTATAGATGTCTGTGTGAGGGGACAAAGAAAGGCCCAGAGACCCACTACAAAAACAATTATAATCAAGGATAATGAAGCCTAACAAGGTAACCTAGAGATGAGAACCAAACTGGATGATAAATAATTGTTTTTAGTGTAATTTACAGCTGATTTAAGACACGGGTCAAAACCGACCCCTAACATGGTGTGTGTGTAGTAAAAGCTAACACAGGAGAAAGGTTAAACTGAGAGTTCAAAGTTTATTTCCTGCCATAACAGGGGCAGAAAATTTCTATGATTTATGATCATTGGGGGAAGTTTTTATAGGTACAGTACATCCCGAAGACACACACATTTGACAAGTAAGTAAGTTAATAAAAAACTAAATTTAATCAGTCTGCTCATCTCTGTGAATAATAAAACAACATACTGGGGAGATTTGAGGAATATTCCCATGAACATTGAGCAGCCCTGGCATGTAAGATAATGCACATACCAGCCTGGTTAACTGTTATTATGTCTTAAGTAGGGTACAATAAGTAAATTCCTCAATGTTTGTCTCACCTGGTCTGTAGCAGTGAGGTGAGCGTGGGCCCTGCTGATGGACTGATCATTTGGTAAGAGGATGTCACAGTTCTTGCGTCCCACCACATATTCCTTATCGGAGTGGAGATAGTGAATCTCACCTGTTGGTTGACGAGAGATTTAATAGAGGGTCAGCTCATCAGCTGCTCCTGGAGGTACCGAGGTCCAAACTAAAGCTCAGAGGGGATAGATCTTTTTCTGTTGCGGCCCCAAAATTATGGAATGAGCTACCCCTCCAAATCAGACAATTTTAAAACTCGTCTTAAAACCCATTTTTATTCATTGGCTTTCAACCCTGCATGAGACTCGGCTCCTGTTCTCGTGTTTTATGGTTTGTTTTTAGTTATTTGTTTCTATTGTTTTTAATTTAGTTTTTAAAAACATTGAAACTATATTTTACTTTTTAATATCTGCTTTTATTTTATCTTTTGCTTTAATTGTTTTATATGTCTGCGTTATTTTGTCTGTTTATGTACAGCACTTTGTTCAGCTGTAGTTGTTTAATAAGTTAATAAACCCTCTAACATATAATCCTCAACAGACAACCTACAAAAAACTCAGACACTAGTCATGACCAGATGAAAAGGACTCTGAAATGTCACAGCTCTATGACCCATTCACAAATGAACTGTTTTAGACTGAAGGTGATAGAAGATGGTGCATCAGGCCAGGAATGCTGTGACTGTCTTATGAACCAGGATATGCTGACAGATCATTGTCACTTTCTTCAACTAGCTGCTCACACCCACTAAACCTCAACTGATCTTCACTGACGCTACAACAGGACAGGCGTGGGTTGAATCAGTGAGCATTTGTTGTTTCCTTATTTCTTGCACTGACTGCTAAAACTCGCCACACCAGGCCATTAACTTGTTAGCTGAGTTTGAAGCTAGCGTTAAACTTTGTTCAAATCAGAAAACAGGTTTACCTTCAGGCTGCAGGGGCGTTAATACCCACATTTCCCCCTTTTTATGTCACTTTTTCTTTCTTAAAGCGCCACAAAATGCCGCGTTTTACCCCACAGCTCCATATCAGCAACAGAAATTAAAGCGGACACACTCATGCACACCGCGCCACCGTGTGACGTAAATACACTGCGCCATGATGCTCTTTCAAAATAAAAGTAATTCAACTGATTTTTTTTCCCCATCACTTTTCAAGGTAATTGAACATTGCTTTACATGTTTAGTGTCTGCACCCTTATCTCAATAATTGTTTTACTATTATTTTGTCACATTGATATTTAGCTTCATTTACCTTTGTAGATTGAGCCACAATTATTATCTATTTTAGATGATTTTAGGTATATTTGGACACCAGGTAAATCCATAGGCCTACAGCTATAGAAAACAGTGAAGTAATGCTGCCCTGAATAGTATACAAGACAAAGCAGCTGGTGTTGAGATCTCGCTTTAGAGACAAATGATCAAAATCATTGATAAAGTTTGTGTGATCAGCATCTTACAGGAGGTTGACCCTCCAAAGCACGAGGAAACAGACATGACATAATTCATTTTAACATTTTTAATGCTGCATGATATATTGTACTTAACAATAATATACAAATACGAATGATGTAATATTTAATCATGTATACTGATATATTTTAAGGTATGTTTCTACTTTCTTGGCTGGCGTATAGGATGATGTGATTCTTTGGGAAAACAGACTGAGTGGCAATAGTGATTCATAAATTTGCAAGGACAGGCCTTTAAATATAAGGCTATGAAGATTTAATAAACATGCTTGAACTGCTTAACATCACCCTATCATCGCATGATCCCTTCAACTAAAGATTTAGGCAATCTTACCAGAGATGGCCAGCATTATCAAGAGATGATTTAGGCCAAAAACTCATTTTTGTCAAAAAATGACGTAGGCCATTATTTTAATAGGATGATGATAAAAAGCTCACATGGATAGTGTTAAAGATTTTATCATTGGGCCACTGGGGGAAAAAAGGTAAAAAAAATTGTTTTGAATTATTATTCTGAGTTATATTCTGAATTCTGCCTTTTTTCTCAGAATAATACTTTAAAAAATGTTTATCTGACCTTTTTTTCAGTGGCTCTAATCCTCTTCCATATAAACACACCAAGGTTTTGTTTTATGTGGTTCTGACAGACAGATGATCTGAATTAAATCCTACTCATTATTTTTATAATTTATGATCATTGGGGAAAGAAGACATGAAACAGTTGTTATAGGTACAGTACATCCAAAAGACACACACATTTGACAAGCCAAGAAGCAGTAAATTAAACTTGCATTTTAATTAAAGTTTACATTTTTAACAATAAACAAACCAGACACTTGATAAGAGTCTTCGACAACAACCATCAACTGTACAATTTTAGACTTGAGAAGGATGGGGAGGAACAGATTTAATGGATTTAATGGTTGATAGACCTCTCACAAACTTATCCAAACAGAAATCATACTCTCAGTTTATTAAACTGCAAAATAACATGATGCAATGATATTGCTATTTTCAGTCATTTACTGCATTCAAAATAAAGGATCGTTATCAGACTTCCATGGCTGTCCTGAGGCTGGTCTGAGACGCCCTCGTCCCCAGAGGCAGGGTAGTCTATTATTGACCCTCATCACTGCAACACTTGTGCAAGAATCGGGTTTACGGATGATCTCGCACCAGTCTGGGTAGTCCACAGGTTGTGATCCACTGAGGGGATGATAAGAATTTAGTATTCATCCGGCATTAAAACTGATCATTTTTGGGATGATAAAAAATTAAAATCAGACTCACTGCTCACAGCATCCAACTCCAAAAGGCTCCATGCAGACACACTGGTAACAGTCACTGGTTATCCAGCTCTCTCCAATATTGTACATCTTCCCCATGTGTTCACAGCGCCCTGCAAATTACATTTATTCATTTAGTCTCAGTGAAATACTTGCATGAATCAGGCTTTTAAACAGTACTCTGATAAACTA